TCTTCAGCAGATTACCGAAATCAAAGTCCGTTGATCTAGAAAGAGAGTCAGAAGACTACTTCGATGTCGCTGACACAACATTTGCTGCTCACGCTCTTTCACAAGATGATGTTATATTCTCTTTCGAAAATCGCTCATTTTCGTCAGAAGAAATGGCAACTGCTCAGAATGCCTGCTCAGACACGAGAAATTTAATTGTCAAATCGCAAATTAATCCAAATCAGAAGCGATTCACGATCAAGGACAATGTGCTCTATTCTCGTGATCGACTTGTTCTCCCAAGTTCGCTTGCTGATGAATTTATACAATACTTGCACACAATAACTGCTCACGCTGGAAGTCAACAGCTAGTGCAAATGCTCACAAGGTTTTACATCAGTAATGTTCAACAAAAGTCAGAGCGATCACCAGCTCGTGTGAAACATGCATCCGACTTAAACCGCTCAAAGAACTTCGTCCATCGCTCATTAAGGACAGAATTTTCGCTCAATTACCCTTTGAAAAAGTATTCATAGATCTCGTCGATTATGGACGAACTGATCGCAATGGAAAACGATACCTGCTCACGTGTGTCGATAGTTTAACTGGATATTTGGATGGCGAACCACTTTCGAACAAAACTGATAACTTAGTGGCAAAAGCTTTCCTCAAATTAGTTCTGCGTCATGGCATATCTCAGAACTGTGTTTCTGATAATGGTGGTGAGTTTGGACCAAAAACAAGAGCGATACTTCATCGATTCGAAATTCGTCACTCAACTACTACAGCTTATCACAGTAAGGCGAATGGAAAAGTTGAACGAGCTCATCGCGACTTGCACCAAAAACTCAAGGTCCTACTCGCAACAAGCCGCTCATGGTCTGATTACTGGCCGTTTGCTCAGTATTATCTAAATAACATGCCAAAAGGAAGTCTCGATGGAATCTCAAGTAATGAAGCTGTCTCCGGGAGACAATTTCACACTCCATTCACGCTTAAAGATCCAGTTGCTGAAAACTCCAAACCATTCATAACTGCTCTGAATGAATATATGAAGAAACTCCATCCTGCGATACTTAACTTCCAAGTTCAAAGATACCAAAAACTCCTTCAAAGAGACAAAAATAATTGCCCTGTTCTCGAAATTGGCACTTCCGTACTCTGTTGGAAACCAGACTTATACTCTGGAAAACTTGGAATTCATTGGTCAGGTCCATTCAAAGTTCACCGACGATTATCAAAGGACAGCTACATAATCAAATGTCCATTCACGAAGAAAGAATATCGGCGTCATATCAGTCTGATTCGACCGCTCAAACGAAAGACTGCCTTAAACAGAACTGAAATTATCAAGGAAGATGACGTGGCCGAATCACAAGGGAAAGTCCTAAAAGACGAAGTTAAGAACAAGTCTGAAATTAATTCTCATAAAGATCAACCGCTCCTTGTTGATAGAGATGAGATCATTCCTGCTCAGAAGAATGAAAAGTCAAAAATTAGCTCTCATAAAGATCAACCGCTCCTTGTTGATAGAGATGAGATCATTCCTGCTCAGAAGAATGAAAAGAAGTTAACGAGTCATAAAGATCATAAAGAGCCAAGTGATAGAGATGACTCAGCTCACGACAACGTTTGGAAAGATCGTCTCCGCTCACGACGATAGTGTTGTCCTGTGATTAGCTGCTCGACTAATCCTTTAATGGTCTAGAAGTTTTGCTCATAACTCGACCTGATTCACAGATAGCTGCTCGACTATCTCGCTCTCAAATCGTCACATTTTCACGACGTGGTGGTGCTCAGATATGCGTTCCCATTATCTAGCCACCGTTTACTCATAACTGGATTGCTCGCTCTCTCTGTAGTCTAAAGCCCTGCTCACACGACATCGATGTCAATTGGTTAATTGGTTCCTCACAACTTCGGCGATTCAATGCACAACTGAAATTGGCTCATAAGAAAAATTTCACTTCCCCGATCAAGCTCAAATGGGAATCCAGCTTACTGGTAATGCTCAACCAGATCGTTATTACGAAGTTTTCATGCAGGCCTCTGTGGATTTATGTTCTCATAACACAGGTAATGTGTTTATCAATTGCGCACACGATAAGCACCTCTTTCCTGAACCTTGGCCCATCCTTCTGCAGATGTTTGGCAATGGGTGCAGTTGCCAAAATCACACACAGAAAGTCCTTTTATGAAAAATTAGGCATCTAACTCACAAGTTCCACTCAAAGCTTCGCTCAATAGCTTTACATTTTCACGAACTTAATCTCGCTCAAGTAACTTATTGTTCTGCTCACAGCAATTTCGGTCTATTGCTCTACTATTTTAATCACATGCCTAAAAGTTTATTGGAAGCAATATCGCTCACTTGCTTCAAAGTTTATCACAAGAGAGTATTTGTTATTCACATTTGCTTAAATATTCTAATCACAAGCAAATTATTCACATTCTCACAGCTCTGTTCACAGCTTTATATCACTCATAATGTAACACTCTCTTCTTGTTGGAACTCGCTCTTAGTTCTATATGTAGTCTGTTCAGTTCTACTAGATTACTGGTCCGATAACAGGTACAAATTAACGATCACCTGCTCGTGATGATCAAATGCTCAATAATTGGCGTTCATTAACGATCTCCTGCTCGTGAAGATCATCCGCTCAAAAATAAAAAGGGGAAAGAAGTAAAAGAAAAATACCCATCACAATAGGCCCAACTCACGACTTTGACTACTTATCACTGGTCACAAATGTTCACAAGAAAAGACATCGGAATGACCTCACAACGTCCGGAAGAAACACTCGATGGCGCATTCTAGCCTTAAAAAATGGTTCTGAACGGAGTACTGGTTGGTCCAATACTCATTTTTAAAAGAGAAAAAATCGAAAATGACCTCTCTTCAAAATGATTTCTTCCTGCTCAACGACGCTCCTCCAAAGCGGCTCATTCAACGCTTTATCATTCCTGCTCTATTTGATGTCACCATTCCAATCCACTTCTTACCGAACTCAACTTCAAAAGAAAACTTGCAATCGCTGCTCGACTTTTTGCAAGAATTGAAAAACGAAGCTAAGTCCCTTAAAGATCACTTTCACTTTGATATCAACCACCTCCAGGAATTGCTTTTTGAAAATCATGACAGTTTGCTCAACTGGATAAGTGAGACAGCAATTCTCTATCAGCTTTTGGTCGATAAAAACACTCGCATCGAATTGATGAAACAATTTCAAACAATCTATGAAAAACGATATTACACCTCAAGGATCGCTTTCAAATTTCTAGAAGCCGATTCAAAATCGTTTTCCGACCAGCTCGAATACGCGAGGACTCACATCAAAATTTTCACAAATGATCTTGCTCACAATTACTCGACTTACCGAATCAATCATGCAGAAACTTCACATTCGGAATCTCTACAAGTCGTAAACTCCATCCAGCACAATTCTCTACCAGAAAATGTTTGGGACTTCATTGAAGAACAATAAAAATTTCTACGCTCAACGGACGCTTCGCTTCAAAAATAAAAAGGGGAAAATATGTAGTGGTTTTCCTACTGTTTTCGCTCCGAAATATGGAATTCTAGCGCGCGTGGTCAACGTAATTATGCTCAGTGAGCCGTGACGCGCTCAACGCCAAGGCTTTCACTCCATCATACCTTGACAGCTCGCCCCTCTCTTTTCCAGCGTTGGCGATATGGCCAACGCCGAGTTCATACGACCAAGTCTAAGTCCGTGCCACCGATGGGTGGTGTCCTACACTATAAAAACGACTGTACCCCTATAATTTTATCATTCTTTTCCCTGACTTCACAGGTATAACATAAAATATAATATATATATTTTATTATTTTCTGCTCACACCTATCAGGGTTAATAAACACATTCGAGATTGATTCCCGTGTTCCAATTACTTTCAGTATAAAACCACCATAACTCTTCTGTAATCACTGTCTCGTTCCCTGATTTGGCTAGGTAGACTACTGATAGATCGGCCGAGAAACTTGGAGAAAGAGCACTTCAAGGCGGTCAACTCATTTGAAACCATTGGAATCACTGACAGTAAAGATTAGATTAGAGACAGATTCTTTATAGAAAATTTGACAAATAAATATGATGATTTGACCAAATCTGTAACAGTCGGTGTCAAGAGTGAGCAAAGCACCAGTGTCACTGCATTCAACGTTGAATAAATCACAGTTTCCATCAGATCTCTTGAGTATAAAAAGTAAAAAGACGAGCATACTTCTCTGTAGTTTCCTCTTTTAACTATTCGCGAAGTAAGAAACTTTATAACTGAAGATAATTAGGTGTTTTGAATGGTATTCAATACAATATGACTTCCGACATGTTGACAGATAATGAGCGCTCAGAGAAATAATTATCATACGACAAATCTGACCACTAAATTAACAGTCTCGAGTTGAGACTCTCAACAGCTCGTATTCTTGGATCGGAAAGGTTTCTATTTTACTAAGATTTTTATCCGATGTATTTCAATGCCCAAAAATATTGGCAAAAACGACTTCAAGCAATAAAGACACGTTACTTATTTTAACTGTCAATTTCTTACAGTAATTGGGTCAGCACTTGATGAAGCAATTTTCATCAACTTCTAAGCCCATCCATCTGTCCTGTAAGTCATTCAATTTGCGCCGTATTGATCCAAGTTGCTTATTTAGATTTATCGGTTTTCAATATGACAAAGACTGTATGAAGTTGTCGGACGGTCGCCGTCGGTCGAGCGCGAGTCTCGTTGCGTGCAGTAGCTTCTAGGCGTAGGTGTCGCAAAAACTTAGGCACAGTCCGAGAGCGAGGGCGCTACATTCGCAACTGTCAGGAGGGTGTAGCTCGTTTTTACCTTGAAACCATGAGCCCCTTCTCGGCACTAAACAGAGAATAAAGAACGCCAAAGATTCACCGCCAATAAAAATACTTTATCATCGTGCAATTAAAGTAATGCACGAGGCGCTACTAGCTGCTTTTGTCGGTATATACTCGGGTTAGAAAGAGACAGAAAAAGAGATGATAGAAGATTCATCTTCAGATGAGGAAGACGAGTTTCGCGACAGGTGGGAAAATAATCATAATTATTTAATTAAAAAATGAATCAGCATCACTGCGATTTCTAATAGTGGAAAAAAAAATACTTTCAACATAAATTCAGTAGGCGCCATATTTTCCGACAACGAGAACTGCATAAAAAATCCATTATAAATTATTATTTATAAATTATAATAAATAGTTTAAATAATAAAAAGGACAAATTTGAGACCATGGTTTATTAATTTTATAAATAAAATATTTGTTATTTTATAAAATTTTAAAAAATTACTTAATGATAGCATGCTGATTCTCCTCCATGATTGCATTTAAATGAGACTTGCCTATTATTTCTTGAAATTCGTCTTGGAAAGAATCTTGAATAATAAGTTAAGCAATAAGAAAGAGAGACATTTTTAATAATTGCATTCATGCGTCATTGACGCACTGTGCGACATGAATATATAAACTCGCTTCAAGTTGATCAATTAATCTTTCAGAGTCTTCGAGCCCGTTGGAACTCGAACAAGCAGTTCCCCGTCTCAGTCTATTACAGTCGATGGGTTTTCCATTTCTTCGTCAGGAACTGGGCTCGTTACGGTTTAAAATTAGGGTCCCTGGGGGATGTGTTGTTTCGACTTGAGAATGACACGAGATATCACATTTATTTCAATCAGAATGCAAGCAAATAGCAAAAAGGGGGAGGTGAGGGATTATAAATATTTATCTTAATTAATATCCGATCTCAATGATTCAGATTTATTGCGCAAACATTAGCAGCTGCAAAACCACATAAATATTAAAAGTAGAGGGTAGATAGGGTTAGTTTGATTGAAATTCTGTTTGATTTTTGCCCTTCAAGTCACAGTAAGAAAATTTTCTTTGGGCAGTCGTCTATGGAAATCGATGTAACAGTGAATGGATCAGTGAGATGTCAGTCAGCCCGATTTTATGCCATAATTTATCACTGCATCTAATAAAGCTGATACCCGAGCCCTTAAAAAGATCACCACTCTGATGAACCCGTTGCTAATGGATTTTCCGACTTGACTCTAAGGAAAAAGTCGACATAAGCTTATGTTGCTTGCAATGTTCAGTGATTTTGACTTTTTGAGCAGTAACACTGGGACGAACAGTAACACAACCGCCACGGATTTTTCCTCGAAAACACAGACAATCGGAAAAGAGAAAACAGAACAACTGGTAAATGGAAGAAAGAGTAGCACGCCGAGTGGGAAGATGTCAGATCAACAGCAGGAGTACCAAGCGATTTTGCAAGCTCCAGACGACGAAGAAAAACAAAGAGAGATAGCGAAGAAACGGATTCAGCTCTATGTCTTTTGTCTCAGAGCCATTGCGTATCCATTTAATGCAAAGGTAAAATAGCCGCAGTTCTAACTCATTTATCCGTTGATCTACCATTGAAAGTGCTGAATTAATTATACTTGATCCCCGCTGGCATATGCCCCGTGAGAGGTTCATCGGCTCAGCTTCTAAAAAGTAGAGCGTCTAAAAAAATCTCATTTTATTTTTCGGTCTTCGATCCAGCATAGAATCATTATTTTAGCAACCAACAGATCTGGTCCGACGGCAATGCAAGATCACCCCCCAACAACTCGAAGTCATCCGCGAGCGATTCCACTCCTTCCTCGCTGGCCATTCAAATATCGTCGCCGACGAAGCCTTTTTCAACGCGATGCAAAGTTTTTACGAAGTATTTATGCAAAGCCCTCGGATCAATCGAATGGTTGAATCTGGCGGCGCCACTGCTTCGGATTTCCGAGAAGTGTTCAAAACGAATGTGCAGAAAAGAATCAACTTGCTTCCTGAAATTGATGGAATGGGCAAAGACAACTTGATCCACAGTTGGCTGACAAAGTTCGACGCAATTTACTTTGGCGAAGATGAGTCGGCCGTCGATGGCAAGCGAAAACGTGCCAAAGAAACTGCTCAATCCGAGCTCATCCTCACCAAAGAGCAATTATACGATATGTTTCAATATATTCTCGGCATTCAACGATACGAGCATCAGCAACTTGCGCAAGGGTGTCAGGTAAGAAAAGATTACAAGAGGCTTTATAAAAGATTGTCGATTAAAAATTGAAATTGATTGTCGTAAATTATCGATTAATCATCAAAAATACGCCCCTAATTGTCAATTTTCGATTTAAAAATCGACAGTCTCATTGAAATCTTAAAAATTGACAACTTTTAGCATATTTTTCGACGAATTATCGACAATTTACGAGGCTAAATATCGATTTTTAATTAACAATCATGGAAGAGCCTGTATAAACAGAAGTAGCGTTTTTGTTATTCGAGTCGGGTAGATGATCGCTGTGGCGATTTCAGAAGATTGACGGTTTCTTCCAACTCGCTGAAGCCTCGGTCTCGGTTTTCCTTGAGCTTGGAGGAGGCTTAGCATTTGTGCGTGAATTAATGAATTATTAATGAAAAAAGTCAAGTTGGTTCCTTGCTAGCCATTCCTTGTTGAGAAGAGTTAGAGCTGATTGACTATTTATCGGGCTGTTATTTTTCTAACACCCCTTTATTCCCACCTATTGAACTCGCTCTCGCTTTAAAATTAAAATATTTTCAACTGAGGTTGATTTAAATTATTATTCACGCCCGAATGCCTTTCTGCGGGTTTCACCTGCTGTGTGGTCGTTGTTGCGTCGCCATGAATACTGAAAAATAATTAAAAGCACTGCATTCGGGCGAAAAATAAAAGCGATAAATCGAGCTAAAAAAGAAGAAGCGCGCGGGAATTGGGAGAAAATTACCTATTAATGAGGTCGTCGATCAGTTCAAGTTCGCCCTTAGTGTCGGCGACATCCTTTTCGGTTTGGAGCAGACGATTGCGGAATCGCTCGTTGTCCGCGATTAGCGCATCGTTCCGTCTAATCAGGATTTCTTTCTCGCCTCAGAAATTGCTATAGATTTGATCAATAGGGGAACATGGAAAAAATGGAATTTTCCTGGAGGAAATCAAGGAAGAGAATCGGCTTTTCTATAACATTTCCTTGAATAGCTAATTGCTTGGAATGCGCCTCCTTGAGCTCTTCTTTCACTGCCTGCGTCCTTGAAAACGTTAATCCCGTGAAATCAAGCAATTTTATTTACCTCAAATTAGCGCGCTTTACATCTTCTTTTAGCTTTTGAACTTGCTTCTCCTTGATTTCCATCATTTCTTCGGCGCAGCAGAGCTCTTCAAGTTTGCTTTTTCGCTTCTTGATCGACTCTAACATGTAATTGTCGACGACTACTATGAGCGAAAATTGCCGGTTTTCTTACCTTTGAGAGTGTCGTTTTTTCCGCACAAGGTGGCGATTTCTTTGTCTTTATTTCTTTCAAGTTCGTTCTGAGTTTGATCATGGTTAGCCGTTAAGGGAGGGGTCGACGAGAATTTTTTCAGGTGTGATCGTAATTTCGCGTATACACATGGTCTGTGCATGAATCTTATATTTTGGAATCTACAGATCCTCACGAATCTGTTGAGCCTAAAATCATTCGATAAAAATAAGATTTAGGGGTTGAAATTAAGAAAAATGTAAAAAAAATGACTATTTTTTGTGCATTTTCGCGAAAATGCCCCTACTTTGACGGCATTTTTGACCGATTTTTTCTGGCCAAAATTTTTTCTACTTCTCGCCGGTTAAATTTTTCAACCCTTTTCTATTTGCCAGTAAATTCAGATTTTGCCTATCTGATCAGGTTTTCCCGCATTTTTGGTCACGGAAATCCTGATTCTCGTCGACCCCCTCCTTAAAGATTCAACATAATAGACTTTAGGGTGAAACAGCCGTTAGAAAAACGAATCTTAGATTGATAGAGAGCCTTAATGAATGATGGAAATCGGATAAAAACTCGTTAATATTAGATTTGAAGTCAGATCTGAACGATTTCCTGAGCGTAGCCATCAGCTTGTTCACATGTTCTTGGTAAATCCTCAAATCTGAAACAAAAGAAAATGTTATTTATGAAAGACTTGGGTCAAAGGCTGACAGCGGGGCAATAAGTAGCGCTCACCTGTAGTGACAGTAGCGTGATGAGCTGCGGCATCAGCTCGCATTTCTGCTGCGATCTTCTTTGGTGAGATTCCTGACATTTGCGGCATTTCTCTGGCGTCGTTGTTGAATGTGGGGTAAATGAGGGCACGCGAGTTTGAACAGTCCGAGAGGGGAAGATATTGATAGAGTAGAAAGTTGTGTACAAATGCAATGGGATAAAAAGAATTCTAGAAATAATTTACAATTTGATTTAGCTTGAAAATGGGGATGAACAAGCTGCGGCGATAAGAAGGGAGCTGGATGGTCGACGACAATATTGTGATAAGGTAAATACAGATGCAAGAAAAAAATCAATAAAATAAGCTAAAATTTTGGTATCTGTCAATAAGAACAGTTCCATTTACGAGTCTAACGGACCAAATCTAACGTAATCGCTATCAATCAGGTAGAGGCAAAAATATACTAAAATGCAGCGCAAGATAAAATATCAAATACAGTATGAGCGAAACTCTTCAATAAAGCCCATTCACGTCGCATTTTTCTTCTTTCGTAAATATTTTTCTCGATTGGAAAAACACTGTTTTTGTGGGTCTGATTTTTTGGACTAAAATTGGATGACTGTATATTATACAGTGTATAACAAAAAAATTAAATGGCCACGTAGCTTTGATTTGAAGCCTTTGAATTTTCGACATATCCGATCTCTAAGATGATTCCGATAAGCAATGAATGGGCTCATGGAATGTAGCTCATTTTAAGAAATGATATCCAGGATATCATATCCTTCATCTGATGAAGTTTATCATACAATACGTAGTGTACAACTTTTCAATCAAGAATTTAGGTGATGCGGGATAGAAAGTTTCCCAAGTTTCTCGTTCCCGATGGGAAGAGTCAACTCGAATGGAACAAAATCTACGTCGAGGAGTTACGGCAGGCCGTCAACGTCCTCATGCAGAATTTGGAATCGATGCCAGTCACGAAACGATTGGAAAACGCAACGTACGGAGCTCGGGCACTTCAAAACATGTCCGGAGTGGTGAAGCCTTTGTCGAGAATCGACAAAGTCAGCGAAACGGACGACTCTACTTTGGCCAAGAGCCATATTAGCTTGATGTTCACGATAGAACTTGTCGTCCAGGTATGTTTCTACAAGCCTTCTTGCCAGTAATCAATTATTAAAAGGAAGTGACAAATATCAAAAACGCCGATGCCAAGCGCAAAGTGTACTGCACGATGGAAATGGACGGTGGCGAGAAAATGGCGACAGATGCGGTTCCCTCTACCGGAGCAAAATGGGATTGCCAAGCCGATTTTCGCTCGAACCAGATTCGGCCTTGTCTGAAAGTCAAATTGTTTCAAAAGTCGAAGAACAAGCTGGCGATTGAGGACAAAGAACTGGGTCGCGTTTTGATCAAGCCTTTGCCAAACACGCCGACTTGTACGGAGTGGTACACGATGTATACAGGTCAAAAGAATAAACCCGAAGCAGATTGCGCTAGAATACGACTTGGTATTCGAATCGACAAGCCTGCGAATCTGAAACACTGTGGATATCTCTACGCTCAAGGAAAACAAGCTTGGAAGAAGTGGAAGATGCGCTTTTTCGCTCTTGTCCAAGTTTCGCAGTACACATTCGCCATGTGTTCTTTTCAAGAAAGAAAGACAGAGCCTCATGAAATGGTCCAGCTGGATGGATTCACCGTAGATTACAGTCTTCCAGAGCCAGGTCTTGAAGGAGGAAATGTCTTTTTCAACGCGATGAAGGAGTCGGATTCGATTATCTTTTCTTGCCAAGGAATTGGTCTTTTTTCATTTTTTGTTCTCCATTTGTATTCAATTAAATTTCGCCAGAAATAGACCACAATCAAAGACGACGAAGACCGCAATTTATGGGTTCAAGCAATTTACCGCGCAACTGGACAGAGCTATAAACCACAAATCCCTTCCAATAATACGCCAAAGTTGAGACCCACATCGATCGAGGCAATTTCCACCTCAAACGCGGCTACAACAAATAGTTCAAGTTCAAGCAAAACGCTTCCGAAGAATCCATATCTAGACGAGTTTATTCAAATTGATCCGACTTCTTGCGATCAAACGCTGCTTTTTGAAGATCTTCTCCGGGAAACACTCAGGTAAACCCTGAGGGCGAAGCCCCTGCGTTAGGCTTAGGCTTAGGGGTTAGGGTTAGCGTTAGGGTTACGACTGGGTAACTCCGTAACAAATTCTAGACGTTTCTCTCGTTGTTACCTGCTAATAGACGATGCTATAGTAGAAAAGGATAAGCCACTGTCGCACTGGCGTCACTAATCCGGCTTTAGGCATCGGTTAAATGACCAGTATGCATGTTTGGGATGGCTCAGCCCTGGCCAACTTTTCCTCATGGACGAATACTGCGCTCGCTACGGCGTACGCGGCGTAATTCGCCAAATCCTGTATCTGAACGAGCTACTGGATCACGCGGAAAAGGGATCAATGATTGACCCAACACTGCTGCATTACTGCTACGCGTACATTTCTTCCCACAACTTTGGCAACAGCCCTGAAGGATACCAAACAGTCACGGTCAACGAAATGGCGCAGTTCTACTCTGTCAGGGAGCGACTTCAGGCATACTTGGAATCTCAACTTGCGAACATTCGATATTCATTCCCATTCGGCAGACCTGAGGGAGCACTGAAAGCGACTCTCTCCCTTCTGGAACGGGTAATTAAACCAAATTACTTTCCCCTGCAACTGACGTCGTTACTTTTTCATCAACGCCTTCAGGTTTTGATGAACGACCTTTCAACCCAAGTCCCCGTGGAAGAAATCAAAGGAATCGTGACGGCGAATTTGGAGAAAGCGGCGAAGTTGAATTTTGCCCAAGTCCAACAGGAATCACGCCTGGAGGGTAAGTCTGTCGAAAAATAGCGCCACCTATGCCGAACCAAGCAAGGTGCCGTGTGTGCCCAAAACGGCAGTCCCTGCTTTTTAGGAATCCTAATTTTCCCGGATTGGTAAAAGCAAGGTCTTGGGGAAAATTGTTTGGAAAACACCGTTTTCCCCAAAATCACCCATTTACCAATCGAGAAATGCAAGACTTTTGGAAAAACAGGGCTGTCGAAAAAGCTAATCATTCTGTTGAATTTTTGCTGTTCCTCCATCCCGTGTGCCTAGGGCTGCCACATAAAAATCGGCCCAACTCAACCTCTTAGAATTCGATTTTTCTAACCCTACCACGTTTTAGGGTAAGTCTTGAAGTTTTCCAGAAAAATAAAATTTTTCGAAATTTTAAGGGTGTAGCCCCCGAAAAATCGATTTTTTCGCATTTTTTTCGGTTTTTTTGCCTCCGGAGCCCGAATTTTCAACTTTTTTCAATTTTTATTTTGGGATCATCAAATTCAGGGCATTTAACAACCCCAGAGAGTGCAGCTCTGAAAAATTCAAATTTTTGCTTAGGAAATTTTTTTTTCAAAAAAATCGAAAATTATGATTTTCTTAAAAAAGCTTTCTTAAATAATTTAAATCATCAAAAAAGAGAGAAAACTGTTTAAAGTTTAAACAGTTTTCTCTCTTTTTTGACTTTTTTAAACTTTAAACTGAATCAGAACCTATGAAAAAGCCCGAGTCTGGCCCCTGAGATAATTTAACAATTCAGACATAAATTTAAGAAAATATCAACGAAAACCATAACAGAGCTTAAAATTTGGATAATATTGATTTTAACATCCAATGGAGGTGGGTGGGGTTGGGGACGAAACTGAGAATGATCAACTCAGATTTCCCAGCCTTTGTCAAGCCCCTTAAATTAAGAAATCAAGGAACGGGGCTAAGACGGCCCGAAGGGCCGTCAAGCCCCTTAAATTAAGAAATCAAGGAACGGGGCTGAGACGGCCCGAAGGGCCGTCAAGCCCCTTAAATTAAGAAATCAAGGAATGGGGCTGAGACGGCCCGAAGGGCCGTCAAGCCCCTTAAATTAAGAAATCAAGGAATGGGGCTGAGACGGCCCGAAGGGCCGTCAAGCCCCTTAAATTAAGAAATCAAGGAACGGGGCTGAGACGGCCCGAAAAATATTTTTTTGACCCAAAAAATAAAGTCAAAATTGTTTTAAAAAAATTTGAAAAAAAAAAATGAAATTTTTCGAAAAAATAAAATTTTCTATCCATTTTTTTAGCGACCATGGTTGATCATACTTTTAGCTGCACTCACTGTTGATGCGTTAGCTTCTGTTCTTTCAAAATCAAGAAAGAAAACAAAAAAATTCAATATCACGTGACTCCGCTGGCCATTTTGATGATTTTTGGCTATTTTGGCTATTTTTCGGACTTTTTGGCTCATTTTTCTCAAAAAAACTCCATTATGTATCATTATTTTTCTGCTTTATATGATTCTACTAATCACGTAGAATATTCCAGGGGGTTTCGGGGGTTTAGGGGGTCCGATTTTTATGTGGCAGCCCTACGTGTGCCTGAAAATTCCGTGTCAACTATTTTTTCTTTTCTTTGAAAAAGTTGTAACATTTTCACCCTCGCCGTAACATTTTCTCACGCTTCTGCCATCTTGTGCTCAAAACTAAAAAAATAATAATCTTTTTCTTGCCTAGCGCTTTACGCGAAGCTGAGCAGACTTAGAAGGACTGAGGTAGATACAGTAATGTGAGCTCTAAGGTGGCTAACGAGCATTTTTAATTCAAGGTTGATACGGGCGCTTTGGCCGAAGAGGTGCATCCAATTCATAGGGCACGGGGTGGATGAATAAGCCACGGATTACGCGAGCGAGTTTTTTTGCAGGGAGAATTGAGTTTTGTGGTCAAATTAGACACCATTTTCCAATTATCCTACCTGGCCAACTGACGCGTTCCGTTTTGCTGTCTTTGATTTTAACCTATTTTGCGTGTCTAGCAGTTCTACAAGAAGGGAACAAGATCTTAGATTATGACGTGATCCTTTCCACCCCCGAAAAACGACTAGACGAGCTTGTTCATCTTGCTGAGTTGTGTATAGAAGTTCATCAGCAAAATGAAGAGTACCATGCCGAGGTGACCAGAAATTCCTTTTCCACCAAAGTTACTTTCTTCTTTTAGGGTCGCGAAGCATTCACGTGGTTTCCGATGGCAATGCGAGACCATAATGAGCTTTTTTGGTTTCAATTTTCGGTCGAGATGGATTTGATCCTCGAAGCACAGCCTTCCGATTGCTGGGACTCGTTTCCGCTTTTCCAGCTTCTGAATGATTTCTTTGCTTCATCCGGTCACGTGCTGTTCAAAGGAAGATTTCACAAGCATCTCATGGATGTCTACGCGCCAATGGTCATTCGCTACATAGGTAAACTTGAATAAGAATGCCAAATAAATTAGTTAGTTCGTCAAAATTTGCGTCCAAGATATCTTGTTTCAAAAATGACGTTTCAAATTTAGATCTAATGGAAACTTCCATCGCCCAGGCAGTTTATCGGGGCCTTGAAAATGAAACCTGGCAGCCTTGTCAATACGGTTCTCAGACTACGGACGATGTAAGCAGCAATCTTATAAACAGAAACGTCAACGGCTTCATTTAGGTTTTATGGAAGCTCGACGCGTTGCAAACCTTCATTTTCGATTTACACTGGCCTGAAGACGTTTTCGCGACGCATTTGCAGAGTCGGCTGAAGGTCATGGCGAATGACATGATTCACTCGATTATAAATAATATTTTGGAGAAGATGGAGGTCTCTGGAAGGATCGTTTTCAATCAGCAAGATTTCAGGCCAAAATTAGAAATAATAGCTATCAAATTTGAGACATTTTTGAAAACAAAACTAAGAAATTTGTCGAAATCATCGACAATGCGAATTCCAATTTCCATCATCGTCATGTTAAATTCCGTCAACGACTGCCAAAAGCGCTTTCTCAAGCTTTGCGGCTCGACAGAAGCGATGGTCAGTAGTGGAATGAAGGGAATCGACACGGATGAAACGATGGTTGACCTTGAAAACTGCCAGAAAAATGCGGTTGGGACGATTATTGAAAGTCTGATGAGAGTGATGGAGACGACGCTGAATAAACTTGGCAGATATGATGAAGGGTCGTTGACCAAGACTTTCCTGAGCTTTACGAAGCCGAGTATGGATACGGCAAATTCATTTATTCAGGTTTATTGTTAAAATTGAACACAAAATTGATTTTTAATTTAGTTCATTCGTCAAAATCAAGACATCATCAGAGAAAAAATCAACGATGAAGATGTCGTCGAAGAGTTTTTCAGCGAATGGTAAAAATTTCCCTTTCCATCCTCTTTTCTATCGCCTCTTTAGGTACACAGCCTACCTCAAAGCCCTGAACGAGTGGCTCAAGACTCGCGCGGGCACTTCCCTAAATGTGCACCAGCTCAAGTCGCTGATAAAAATATTTAAAAAGATGACAAAAGACTTCGAGCTCCAAGGAGTCCTCAATGTTCGCGACGAGCCTTATGGAAATATTGCTGTAAGAAAATCTTTTGATTGCTGAATTATTATCAATTTTTTAGAATCGCCTGAAAGTCGAAGAAGCAACAGCTTCCGTTACCCAAGGACCTTTGGGTGAAGGAGTTTCGATGGAGGATTCTGACGGAGAAGGAAGCTAGTCTTGTTTAAAAAAGGATAAATTCGTAAACTGCCCAATTCTGCTCAAATAAATCTGCTCACAAAAGTACTTTCTCAATAACTACCATTGTCTCGTTGTTTATTACCAGAACTTCTGGTCCAGAAGGTCGTACACTATGAGTCGTTAGTTTTACTATTGCTAGTTTTATTGTTGAGTTTTTTTTGTGCAACTTAAGTAAATTTATTACCGGAAGATTATACATCCTTGAACAAAAAGACACTTTTTTCTTACACCGATCTATCTTTATCAACAGAGATGGGAATGAAGACAATGAAGAATGCATTTTATACAGGTAATTAATTGCCAAGTTTCTTGAGCACGGCGGGGGCGCTGTTAATTTCATCCATGAATAAGGATCACACCTCGCTTCTACCGCCTCTCGCCCCGCATGAATTTAACCCTCCCAAAGTATATTTTTCTAGGCCTGTCGATATGCTTTATTTTAATCTTGGTCAAAGAAAAAGAATATATTTTGAAGCTAAAAGAAGAGAGCTACTATGATCGAGCGGAACGAAAGCAGGAGATAAACTATGAAACAGAGAAGGGTTTTACGACGGCGAAGAGTCCAGCTGTAGAGAATGCCGAAGAAAATGAGATTCAAATGAAGTGGACGCCAAGTACCGAGGAGTGCAGACCAGTAGACAATTTTGTATTTCTGAAAAAGCACAAAGTCGCCAGCACCACTTTCAAAGCTATTTTTCGTAAATTTGCCAAGTACCGAGAGATTCCTCTTGAGCAAACTTTAATTGGGCCACAAGGTAGGTCTCGATGATAAACTGAAAATAAATGTAAAATTTGTCCATTTTTTTGCTTTCGTGGATTTTTTCTTTTCGAAAATTATCTCATTTTCAGGTGGATGTTATCCGGCGCGCATAAACGAGGACTGCTGGCCCAGACGTCATTATCATCCGGCAAATGGGTTGACTTATCACTTTCGTTGGAACATAGAACAAGCTCACAAGATCTTTGATTTGAAAAACACAGCGATTTTTACGACAATCAGGAACCCGATGACTTGCTTTGAATCCGTCTACAATTACTTTTACTTCAAGCGATCGAGAAAATTGGATTATTCGTGCGATTCGCCTTGCTGGAACCGCCCGTTTTACCAATTCAACGGAGATAGATTGGGAATCTCCACCGGCGAATTCTTGGATTCCCTTCCGGAAAATTTCGACCCGACAGTTTCCAGAAATTTTCGAGCAAAGAACTTTCAATCGTTCGAACTTGGGCTAGACCATTTGAATGACGACCCTGCTTATATAAAATCGCAAATGGAGCTGCTGGAGACACAATTTGATCTTGTCATTATTCTAGAGCACTACATGGAATCGATCGTCCTTCTCAAACATCGCCTCTGCGTTCCTTACGAAATTTTGTACATCAAGGCGAAAAACACGGCGAGTTATACGCCACAGCCGCTGAACGAAAGACAACAAGCCACCTTCAACGAGTTTTTCAAGCAAGATCTCGAAATGTACAAATTCTTCAACGAGACTCTTCACAAGAAAATCGACGCGTTTGGACGGGATCGAATGCGCGAGGAGATCATAATTGCAAAGAGAATATTTGAACAGTGTGCGAAGCTCTCTGACGAGCATAAAAATGCATGCAAAATTAAAAGACCTGAAAGTGAACCACCGGTATGATAACTTTTCCTGACAGTTTTATCTAAATTTCAGGCAAATATAACTAGCGAAATCGTCCAATACCCGTCCCTTGACCCGAAGATCTACCTCAAATACATGGACGAAAACTTTGGACACTGCTCTAATCCGTCTAGTTCTTATGGAAAAATCAAATCTATTCACGAAACGGGAGTTTTCCACAGTACATGTCGATCTATTGACCAACCTCTGCGATCAAACTTTGGTGATTACATTAAAAGTACTGTAGAGTTGGGAGACAAAGTCGATAACTATACGAATATAATAAATTCTTAGCATTTTTGACTATGTTTGTTCAAATTAAGAGCTTTACTGTACAAGGTTTTAAAAACATGAATATTTATTTTGATGAGTTGAAGTGATTCGCAGATTTCTCAACAAAAGAAAAAAATTGACTGATTACATGAAGATAAATTTATATTAATTGCATCTATTAGTTGTTCTCGTCTTTGGCCATTCGATAGTCTGGGTGACGTCAGTAATCCTGTTGGTCCTTATCGAGGCCCTCAACGAAAGCATTCTCCTTTGCTCGTAGCTCGTCGAGTTGAGCTCGCTCCTCATCAGTGAGTTTTTCGAGGAAGTCCTTCTCGTCCTTGATCTGGTGATAGTCTCGGTAACGCCAATAATCGCTCTGGTCCCTGAGGCTTCTCATATGATATGAGTCATATCCAGTCCACAGATTGATTTTGCCAGTTGACGACCTTCTGGCTCAAGCCTTCTCTTTCACTCGAAATCATTTTTGACAAAAATGTACTCCTTCAATTATCCTAATGTGATGCTCATAAAAAGTATTTTCTTACGAATCGCAACAAAAGAGGCTATTTACGAAGTCATTGTTGACTTTGACGACGTCAACTCATTGGATCTCGCTTTTATGGGTCAGAGTCATTAATGCCGACCGTCGTGACGAAATATCCTTATGCCAAGATATGGATAAACAACCATGAGAAATCAGTTTAAAATATTTTGTATCATCGGTAGGAGTACCAGAGAATAATTCGGCATTTTACTGGGCTAAGATAGGAGAGAGTTTAGGGAGGTTTGGTTCTTGCTGCATGGTTATCAGTCGTTTTCGTTCCTTGACCCGGCGGCCAGTCATTCAATTTCATGGATTTCCGAAATAACTGTGGTTTCTGACTTCGAGGGGGCCAAATGCCCCCAGGATACCAAATAGCTCCACAATATCAACATTGAAAATGATCCCCACGACCAAAACTTTCCAAGACTTTACTATTTATTAACTAGTAATAGTCTTACCCTAACCCTAACCAACTTTAGCCCAGTAAAATGTCGAACTATTCTCCGGTTCTCCTAATCATAGTCTTTCCACTTACATTTTTGCTCTACTACGGAAGTTTTAAATATTTGAGAGAAAATCAAGCAAATCAAGTTAGAGATGATCATTACAGAAGAAATATCGCCGATCAGAATAAAATATCAGGAAGGTTTTAAAAAACAGGAACATTTTGCCAATTTAATTGAAAGAAATCTGTTTGAAACCATACTAAGACGATTTATCATTTATTAAAAACGAGCTGATCAAAATAAAAGAAGCACAAAACATCCACCCGAAGCAAAAAGCAAAAGAAAATCAACTAAACCCGGTCGAGGACGAACAAACAGGCATGTTTTCAGCCTCTTTATAAAAAAATGTCACGCATCGACAGCCAATATATTTTCATATTTACATTGCGGGGACTCACTCAACAACGCGATTGAGCCAGGCCTGCGAGATTAGTGAAAGAAAAAAGAAAGAGTTAATGAAATTTAACAAGGGATTTTGTCTTGCTTTTTGCCTTGTTATCGTTGTGTTGTTTTTATGGTTTTCTAGCTATAAGAATTTCAAAAGCGATTTACAAGTAGCATCTTACAGAAAACTTCAAATTTCTGATGATCTTCTTAAACTTCTCGATTTCCAAGAAGAGCTCAGTAAAATTAGAGAGATTGTTGAGGATATCACAATTGAAAAGAAACAAAATTCTTTGAACCATAATTACGAGAAAAGTAATGAAAACATCAAAGTTGTCGAGAAAATTGTCGAGAAAAAAATTTTCATTTACGATGAACACCCTCATAAACCATGGAAGAATCAACAGCTCAACGAATATATTGGCGAATTTGGAAGGACGGATTCAAATTTCTGCCAGAAAAAGGAGCACATCTACTTTTTGAAAACGTCCAAAACTGGAGGAACCACCTTTGCAAATATCTTGCAACGATTTGGGTAAGTCAAATATACTTAATGATAAGAGTCCAATGACAAGACTCTTATCAATTAACAGAAGGCCCTTATGATAGGGTTCCCATTTTAATGAACAAATACTGTATTAGGGTTAGGGTTAGAGTTAGGGATATTAAATTCGCTAAAATAGCATTTGCATCTTTTAATAATACCCTTCTATTTTATTAACAACAAAAATAGATACAGAAGGCCCGGAACAAATTTTCTCATGGGTGAATGTGGCAATGGAGCGATGTTCTTCGCGAACGGCGAGTTACCATTTAACCTCGATGTATGCTTTGTCGGTCGAGATTTCAAGCAAAGACCAAAGTTCGATCTCAGTTTTGTGCACATGAAGTACAATCGCACCGCTGTGGATGAATTAATGCAGCCAGATACGTTCAAAGTGTCGATTTTGCGCGACCCGGTTGAAAATTTTATCTCTTCTTGGAGATATTACAATGGGCTTATTAAAGACTTGAGAGGCAAAGTTATGAATGATGTTCCAGGTGAGAACGGGAGAATAAAAACGGAAAATAAAGGAAATTAAAGTTGACAAAAGACCAGCGGAAGGGGAAGATCCTGACTATTTTCTTGAAATCGAACAGTTCTTGACGAAGCCCGCTGACTACCTCGAAGACTACGCGTACTCTCATGCTGGTCATCTGATGGTGATGAATCCGCAGCTGATATTCTTCGGTGTTCCTTCTTATCTATTAAAAATGAACTATCAATTTGGCCATCAACTTGTCGACACTTGGCTGCATAACATTGCCGATGATTTCGACCATATTCTGATCTTGGAAGACATTGACCGGTCGTTGGCGATTTTGATGCTCAAACTTTGCTGGTCCATTGAAGATGTCGCTCATCTCAAGGTTTTTAGGCAGAAGGAGGTGATACTAATCTATTTCAGTTAAATTCAATGAAGAAAAACGACCAAAAACTAAGTGCTGGAAGCAACAAACGACTTCGCGACTTCAACTGGGGCGATGTCCGATTATACAATTATTTCAAATCGATTCATGATCGACAGAGTAAGAAGTGCTCCTCATTGATCAATAAAGTAAACAAATTTCTAGTAAAAGAAATCGGGGAAGACCGAATCAACGAAATCGCAAAGCGTATCGAAGCAAGAGCAAATCAAATTTCTGATGAATGCCTCGAAACGGTCAAATCTGGAGACACGTGGATTCAAACGCTGAAATTGAAAGAAGAAAAGAGGAAAAATCAAACTTGTTTTATGATGACGAAAGACATGGGGCCGTATATTCACGAAGACCAGGTGACGAGATGGAAGCAGGAATATCCGACCTGGAGAATGCCGGAAAAGGACCTCGAAAAAATGCAGTTCAAAGGAAGTCAGACGCCGGATTTCTGCTCGAAAGACAGTAAGTTAATTTGAAATCGAACAATCAAATAATTTTCTTTTTCAGAATTCGCCGAATTTCTAACAAAGCGAGAGAAAAACTACAGGGCATTTCTCAACTGGGAAACGAACGAGTACGACTTTTTGCCAACGCCGCCTAAATACCTAGACGAGTTTCGCAAACCAACAGGAAAAGAAGAGTTTTTCCGAATTTTAAATTGAGCTGGTAAATATTTGGATCTGTACAAACATTGTTCTTCTGTATTTTCTGTTGCGATTTATCTTCAATATACCTAACTACTACAAAAAAATAGAGTTTTCGACATTTTTTTCTCGGTAATAAAAAGAAAGCTGTTTTATGCTTGCTCATCAAATAAATCGAATTTATTTGTATTCCAATATTTGCATTTACGTTTTATCCCGGAAAATTTAAAGAAATAAAGCTGTTGAACGGATCTAAGGTTACTTCTGAGAGAAAAGCAACTGGCCCTGCTGGGTAACAAATTAGAATGAATTCTTTCAAGGTCGATTCTGAGAATGAGCTTTGGCCGACTGATAATGAGGGGTGGTTCATGTTCACTTGGATTATAATTTCTGGGTTGATTGGCTGCATTGGTTTTCCGCTTGTGATTTGCATTCTTGGATTTACCGTGCAAGGAGTAAGGAGAAAGTCTTGCGCGTCTGGAGTACAGAGCACCTATTATCGTGGCGAAACAGGTAACAACGACCAACAAAAAAAATATTTGAAAAATATTGAAGGCGGATGCTTTAGCTGCTGCCAGTCGTTAGGGACAAGCATTTTTGTCATGGTTATAATCGGATTCGTTATTGGCGCTGTTTCTGGAGGATTTATTGCACATGGAGTTTACGAAAACCACCATCCATCGAATGAAACTCTCACATTTGAAAAATTTTCAACTTGACGAAAAAAGCTATCTGAATAAACTTGATCGAAACCGTCATTTTCCGCGTAAATTCGTAGCTTGTTATTGAGATCATCTTTTGAGCATGGTCCATGCTGCATGGACCAAGTTCTAGATCACAAGTGTTGTTGAGTAGGGAGTAAGTTGGGCTTATCAAAAAGTCAAATTACTTTCAAAATGGATCCTGCCGAGAACATAATCTTAAAAGACCTTGCACAGAATGTTGGAGAACATGCAAGGGCATGCATTGAAGGAAAACCCGTCAAGGCAAACAACCCACCGGTAAATTTATTAAAAACGGTTTTTAAAACCTTTAACTTGAGAATTCATGTCTTTTAGGCATCTGCAACATTGGCTGGAAAAGAGAACCTCCCCGAGGATAAAATAACAGAGGATTGCCAAGCTATTCCTCCTCTTGAAATTGTCCCTGTTGACAGCAACCCTACCATTAAAAGCGAGCCAGCAGAAGACTCGACAACGGGAGTCAAACAAGAGGAAACTACAGAAAAGAAAACGGCTAAAAGAACTGCAAGAACTTCCACCAATGCTCCCCCGAGAAAGAAGAGGGCATCAAGCAAGAAAAATGAAATCAATGACGAAAACCTCGATAAGAAAATCAAAGAGTTGCAGATAAAGGAAACGGTGTAATTTCTAAAACTTCTCGAAATTGTTACACCGAGGTAAACTATTTTAAAACCGACAGAAAGGTAGACAAGCAAAAGAAAGTCTTTGATGCTGCCTTGCTAGAACTGGATTCTGCAATCAAGTTAAAACAAATGAAAAAGGAAGAAGAACTCAAGATTGTCGAGAAAAGCATTCGAGAGCTTCAAAACCGACGAAAAGAACTCCAAGAAACACTTGATAAAAACTAATGATTATTTTAATACTTCCTATAAATATAATTTTGATAATAAACGACCTTTCTAGATCTCACGTGTTGTTCATCATTTCGTAAAAAATATTGCAGTTATTATTATTTTCTTAATAAAAATGGCATTTGGAGTTTACCTACGACTACTTGGCGAAGCGAAAAGTATTGAAGAATACAACAAATCAGCTCCCGTGCCGCAGTTTCATTTGCGCGAAATGAACAGTGAAGGTTGGATCGTGGAAATTCAGGGCCCTATGGATAGTGCATTCGAGGGAAGAACGGTCCAATTCGAGTTGACGTTCACGGAAGAGTATCCGTTTGTGCCACCGATGATTCGATGCCTCGACGAGATGGAGGGCACTTCTTTCCAAAAAAATGAACTGTTGCCTTTTGAAGGATTCAGGTGAAAAATATTCAAATTTCTATAAAAAAATAAAGTCTTAAGTCACGACGAGTGGTCGCACACAATAAAAGTAGTTCAAATTCTTCTGACGATTCAAGGCATAATGGGAACTACGAAAAAGAAACCGACAAAGGACGCAGAGAATCATCGAGCCGCCAGTCCCCAGCATGAGGAATCTCTTCGACCGATGCCCATTTACCAAGAAAGTACACAGTCGGAAAATGAAAATCAGGAAGTTGATGATTATCAAAACCTGGAAATTGTGGATATAAAAAGCGAACAAGAGCGAAGTCCAGAGAAAACCAAAGAAGAGCCCACGAAGCGCAGAGTCCGGAAAAGATCAGCGAAAAATGCCCTGCTTCCAGTCAAGGTCCCCGATCAAAGAAAACTGCTCCGGGCTGGAATCTCATAAAAGTCGCAGATACCGAATCTTGGGTAAAAATGGCACAAGAAAAGGAAACGGTTGAAATAAATTCTTGCTACATACATGTATTGCTAGAATATGTTAAAAACTATACCGGTATTTTAACCAACACTAAGGTAGATTTGGCGAAAATAGAATACGATCGTGCCGTCAAAGAGCTTAACGATGCTCTAGCATCGAAAAAGAAACATGATGAGCTGACAGAAATCGAAGAAAATCTTCGAGAGCTGGAAAAAAGACGAAATGAGCTGAAGAAGTCGCTTCGAAAATTGTAAGCATCTAACTTTCTATCTTTTCATCTCTGATAAAATTCTTCAATTCTTTCCTCCTTTCATGGCAAATAATCAACTGAAATTTCAAACTCTTGTTCTGAGAAAAATATATTCTCTAAATCACAAGATATATTTTTCACGGGTTTCTTTTATTTGTAGCTTTGATTCGTCAAGGAAGTAAAACATCAAGCATGTTTAGTCAGTAAAGAAAAATGGCGTAAAAGATTTAGCCAAAACATAAATGAATTGAAATGAGGGCAGTCTAAGAATTCTCATCTTGGAGATATTTTTTTCGTAAATTCTTCTAATAGTAGCCACCGCGGCCTCGACCCCGGCCGCGTCCTCGTCCGCGAGTTCCTCCTCGTTGATTTTGGTTGCCGCCGTTGTTGTAAAACTAGAAGGATAATTTGAATGATAGATGATTTATAAGGAGCTCTAACGGATGTTCCGTTTGTTTCTTCAAGTCTGTCGAGGTAGTTGTTCGCGTTACGTCTGTTTCCTTGCATTCCTTGTCTTCCAGTGCGCGAAGGCATCATCGAAGCCCCCGAATTTCCAACAAGATTGGCGTACTTGGCAGCTTCCCTGAAAGATACAAATGTAATTACCCTATCTTTCTTACAAGGATCCTACTTGATCGCAGCTTGAAGCGTTCTCTTCGCTTGTAAAAGTTTTTGGCGGGCGGCAGCTTCAGACATTCCAGCGTTGCCTCCACGCCCGCCTCCTCGGAAGGCCTTGGTAGGGCTTCCTCGCCCGTTGCTCTGACGTTTTTGAACGGCCCCTCCGCGAGATCTGGCACCGCCTCGACCTCGTCCGCCACCACGTCTGTTCTGTGGTGTGGGGTTCTTTCTTGAGGGCATGGTCTTGTTACCAGCATTGCCTGAAAAAACCGTTAGCGGAAGAAAGCTAGGGGAAGCTCGGTACCTTTGTTGAAAGGAGCTCCGCCTCTCCTTCCTCGAGAAGAGATCTGATTCTTCTTTGCGTAGTCGTCTAGGGAAGGGAGCAAAAAGCATGTTAAAAGTAGCTAAAACAGGGAAGTTTTCTTACCAAGAGACAAATCCATTCTAAATTAGACAGGGAACTTATTACTCCGAAATTTTGCGATTTGAAAAGAATTGCGCAGAACAGAAGAAACACGAATAAAATCGCAATATCCTACGCCTTTATTTATTTATTTTGTATGTTTTATACAGGGCCTTTGTTTTCTGCCAAGTGACATTTTTTGTACAAAATTCAACCACACTTCGGTCCAGAGAAAAATTTACTGCTGGACCGAATCTACATATCAAGCTCAGAGATAGATGTTTTCAGCTTCTTGTACAAAACTCTACTACTGTACTTGCAACGAGCAATACTCAGAGAGAAGGATCACGTGGAGGAAGAAGTAACTCCCTGATCTAGAAATTCAGAAGCAAAGAAAGAATCTATGAATTGTCTGTTACATGTGTTTCTGTCCGTGTGTTTGTGTTCGTTCCCGACACTCCTTTTAAGAATTAGGTAAAAGCAATTATTTCAACACGAGAGTACTTAGAATGTCATTTGGAGCGGGGGTTGATCTTTCTTAGTTATCTGGGCTATTTGACGAAAAATAGATAGATAATTAATCGAGATTGAAGCGGGAGTGTGGCGGAATCGAAGTTCCAAAATCTCTCTTCTGAAAAAAGTGATAGGAATCAACATTAGCAGTCGTAAAGTAATGATGAGCTTCCTTGGAAACAACAAGGTAAACTGACTTGTCTAGAGAATAGTCTCGGATTTTTTACAGTCTGTAAGACAGATAAAATGCCGATTACTAATCGGCGATTAGAGACCTCTCAAACTTATCAATGAACTATCCTTATTTTAGATTTTTTACCAAATAAAATTAATATTACGACTGCCTTCCGAGTATCCAGAGGGCTCGTATTGTATGAGAACATAAAGGGCCTTCAGAAAAGCCACACAGTCCTGCTTCAATCCAACTTTACTGTACTGTTTTTAAAAAATGTAGTTTGTGAGTCACAGAAATAGAAATTTGTTTGATTCACGAAAATGCACTTGAACGGGCGATATTGCAGAAATGAATGAAGCCCACCTCGTCTCAACCTTTCCTCTCTCTCTCTTTTTCTGTTTCTTGTAGGCGCGACTGTAAGAAGAGTTCAGAGCACAGGCACAAAATTCAGAAGGAATAATAACAACAAAGAATACTACAACAGAGCAAACGAATTCTTCGTTTCTTTGAGAATTTAACTTACATAAACACAAATAGAATGAATTAGAAAATAACTATAAGATCTAACGATCAGAATTTCTTTAAATTTAGTGATTGGAAAGAGAAAAAGTTGAGACTGAAAGTGAGATCGTTTGTTTAGTGAACTTTGTTTTGGCAGTGATCATTTCATTTTTCTTCTTAGGCAGTGTTCACAGCTAAACATTTTTAATAGAACAAGCTGACCGAGCTTTTGCTGACCTTGGTTATCTTTCTCTTGGATCGGCGGAGCCACTGACTGGTGGTGCGATTGATACATGTTGTAGCCCATTTGACTGAATGGATTTTAATGAAGGAGATTGCGACTGAAGCTTACCCAGGATGTTGTTGAGGGTGTTGCTGATAGTGATTGTGAGCTTGCTGCATAACCATAGGCTATAATAACGAAGGAATCATGAATAGTTAGCCCAAGAACAAATTACCGGCTGCTGCATCATCTGCTGTGGCATAATAATCGGCTGGTTAACCACCATGTTCTGGTCGACATTGTTTCCTTGTATGTAAGGCTGGTAAACCGGTCCATGGTGGTATAAATACTACAGAAAGAATAATGATAAGGTACCTACTAGCGCCTTACTTGTGGATAGACGTGCTGGTTCTGATAGTGCGGAAAGTACTGTTGGATATGATTCGTAATAGGTATCTGAAAGTATTTTTGCAGTTAGGCTTTTGAGAGAATTTAGTACCGATTGCCCATAATGACTTTTCATTATTTCTGGCGAGACGGGAGCAGTAGTGGAGCGGGCCGAGTCCGTTGCGTGTTTGATCCTTCCTGGTCCACCAGGGTGGTGTCTATCACGCGTCTTGTTCGAGATTCTCTTCTTCTCCACTCTCAATATTCTGTTGTTCACTGAATGCTGCTCCCTTGATTCCAAGCACTTATTTCTATCCTTCAAGAATACTGTTAATCGCACATGGAAAGACCGAAAAAAAGCAAACCTCCTTTGACTGAAAAGTAACGAATGCGAACCCTCTTGGCTCCTGGTTATCCTTGTTCTTGGCGACAGAGACGGCTTCGACAATTCCAAAGCGCGAAAAGTGCGAGGTAAGGTCTTGCTCAGAAGCCATGTGTGGAACTCCACCGACGTAGACGCTCAATTCGTCGTCGAATCTTGAAATGAGATATTGAATGATTAGATTAGATTTTTGTTACTTGTTAGGCGTGTTGGTTCTGGGCGTCGCGTTGTTGCGGTGGCTGTTGTTACTTTTTGTGCTCATCGAGTCTGCTTGGTGGTGGAGGTGCTCTGGGGAGTGGTGAGAATTCATATATGGCCGGCCATTATGTCCACCCCAGTGCATGTGCTGCATCGGGCCTCCTCTACCGTAATATCCACCCTGAACGTAGGAATAAATAAACATGATCTCGATCAGAGATTATCACGTGATTCTGATACTGATGATGTCCAGGGCTTCGTTGATAGTGATTCTGATAATTTGGGCTGCTGCTGTAAGAGCTGTTCTGGTAGGGTCGCCCGCCATGTCGCTCTTTTTCTTTACAATTCTGAACGGAAGGGCATGAAAGATTGTATGTTCGTCATTTCTTACCTTGACAGAGATGCTTCTTCCTTCAATAAAGTGTTGCGTTTGGTTGAGACAGGCAGAAGCGCTGTCTACTTGTTCGAATGTTACGAAGCCGTATCCCTTTGACCGCTGTGTCGCGTCCTGAAAGACAACTAGAAAAAGGGTAGTTTGAGGTTTCTACCTTGATGAGCGCAAATGAGAGCACCTTGCCCCATTTGGAGAAATACTCTTCGAGCATTTCATTCGTATGATTGAGATTCGCCAGGCCGCCGACAAAGAGCTTGTTCGAGGAGGCAACGTAATTTGAATTTGTTGTTTCCGCTTTGGTGCTATTCACAGTTGTATTTGCTTCGGGAGTTTTAGCAACTTTTGGCGGCTGAGCTGGGGCTGCCTCTTGCTCCACCGACGATGGTGGCATTGGATTAGTGCTTGCTTGAGGAGTTTTCACCTCATTGTTCGTCTGGGCGCTCTCTGTCATGTCCGATGATGGACCGACGATACGCCTTCCAGTCTACAAGACCAACGATTGACTGAGTGCCTACTGATGCCTTGCTTTGCTTTTCGAATGAAAACAATGTGTTTTGCTGTGGCAAAAATGAATTGATATATTTCATTATGAATATAAAATAATATAAAGTAAGAAGAAACAGTTTTGAAGAATAATCGAGGGAAACGATATCTATGTGGAGATGAATCTCCCATTATAACATCACCCATTTTCAACATGAGAAATTTTCAAAAATTGTGACAGACAGCCATTACCAGTTATTACAGGTTTTAATGAACTTCTTAAAGCAGTTGGGAAAAATAAAAAAAGAAACAGAACGCATGGATGAAAAAGATGAAAAAGAAAGATTCTAAGACTACTCTTTTTTATTGTTATCAATCGAAAGGGATATCATCAGCTGCTCATACAGTAGCTTCAGTCGTCGCTACAGACTGTAGCCTACAGTTATAAGAATCAGCCTCATAAGTATAAATATATAAAGAACAAGCAATAGCAGAGGAAAAATTTTATAAATACGCAATACTGTGTCAGAATCAGATAGGTTCGTTGATGATGAACTTCACAAAAATAAACTACCTAATCATCATTTGGAAGAGAGTCGATCAATTTATTCAGATCAAGGCTCGTGGAAGAGCTGGTCGTTGAGGGAGGTGCCCAAATGTCTCTGGAGCCGTAGCCAGTACCAAGAGCGGGATCCCAAAACGGACTAAAGGAATGGATTTATTAGGCATTTTCAGTCGGGCTTACCTGAGCTTTCGATCATATGAGTCAGGGTCTAAAACCGGTTTACTGGTTGAGTAACCAGAAGTTGTGGGAAAGTACAAATTAGAGCTAGCTCCAGACGGAGTCGGCGCCTTCAAGTTCACAGGGCGATTCGATCCGATCGGCTGTGTAGTACTGACTGGCTGTTCCGGGAAGGAGAATGGGCTCTCTCCTGGTGGGAAGAAATCTGTTCCCCCAGGACTTGATGGTCCTCTTCGATGAGTTTGCCAAGGCTCGCGTTGTCTGGGCTTACTCATCTCTGGTGGAGTTATGTCGCTTGTAGAGGAACTTGTTGTATGAAAGGCCGGTCGAAGCGGTTGAGAAGACGATGATGATGAAGCAGGTTGGAAAATAGTTGACGAGAATGACGGATTAAATGGATCTGACGAAGAATTGAAGGACGGGGAAATTTTTGAATATTGGCTTGAACTTGTGTGTGGGATGTTGCCTGTGTGGAAGTTGTGGCTTGGCGGAGGAGCCATTGGCGCCTTTGGTGTTTGGCCAAATGGACCGGCTAATGGTGGCTCGTGCGCTGGAGGAGCGCTCGATGCTGGTGTGCTTCCTGGTGGCGTCGGAGGAAACGATGGAGGTGGTATGTGTCTGAGGAAATCCATGATGTTGGCGGGGATATTCATGTCGCCACTTGGACTCATGTTGGACTGCATTGGCAATCGTTGCGGTGGGAGATGTGGTGGTGGCATACTCATCCGTGGCGGCGGAATCGACGGTGGTGGTCCCTTGTAAGAGCGCAGGTGAGGCGCCATTTCGGGACCGGTAGCTTGAAGCAAAGGGGTCTTGTATTCTTGGACAAGGTTTGGCGGTGGGCCAGGCGGGTAAAAAGGTGGAGGAGGCCGCGTGTCGATTGACAGATCTTGTAAACGAAAATTTCTGACTAGATTTAATGAGATTTTTACCTTTCGGACGAACAGGAGCGGGCGGCTGCCCCTGCATAAAATGCTGAGGTGGCGGCGGAGGCATCGACGGTGCAATCGGGGGAGGATTCGGAACCGTCTGCAATGTTGGTGGAGGAGGGACGGTTGGATACACTGCGACTGGAGGTGGTGGTTGAATCGGAATAGGACCGTGTTCTTGAATTCCAGGGCTCAACGGCTTGATTGGACTGACAAAAATGCAGTTTTCAAGCTTGAGAACTTGTTGATCTTTCGTGTGAGCGATTTGCCACGAAATGTAGAGAATTCTCTCAGCGCGCGCATCAGCTTGATCACTTTTAAAATAACGATAACACAGCCGATAAGCTAAACCTTACCTCTCAGAAGAAACCTGGCCGACGATCGACTCCTTTGGGGGCATGTTCCACAACGTCCAGCCCTTGAAATCAAGGTCTAAAATGTTTCTTAGCTTGAGTTCTAGAAGTTTCTTAGCTAACCTTCAGGAAGAAGTGAAATTTTCGGCTCCCAAGAAGGACCCCATTTCGGCGGCAAGGTGTTATTCAGCCGACTTGCAAGGTTAATCCATGTTCTCGACTTGAATAATTGATTGATTTCCAGGTCAAAACGCATGTTTATTACCTTGTTGTTTTCAAGAAATTGCAAGTTCTGCTGTAAAAACTGAAGAATCGCCAATACCGAGGGAAGATGACGCTGGGGATCGACGGGGAGTTGAATAAGAATGTCCAGGTATTCCAAAAGAAAATCAAGCATTTCTTCGTGAAGCTCAAAGTTGGTCGTAACCGCACGGTGATAGTTAGCGATCGTTATGAAGCTCATTTGCAAAAGTTGCCGTTTGGAGAGCGAGGAGCCCAACGACCGGTGAAATTCCAATGCTTGGACTAACCGCCTATTTTTTAAAAAATGAAATGATGAAAAATGCTTAAACAATATGCATACGTTTTGGTTTCTGAGAAATTTTCTTTTCGCTTCAAGAAGCAGAGAGCTTGGAATTTCAGGAATAGTCGCATAAGCTCAAGAATCGATATTTGCGAAGGTTTTTTGCTGACTTTTGACTTTGCCGACTTGAGAACTTTCTCCAGTTGACGGGAGAGGTTATCTTTCGAGACAGGAAAAGGGCATTTGACATACATAGCGCGGAAATAATAATAAACTAAAACAATAGTGAACAATCGAAGTTTAAACAAGTTTAAATCTTACCAGTTTGAAGATTATCAGGCGAAGTAGCGGCGAGAATAGCGAGTTGATTATACGGGTGGCCGCTGGAAGGCACAAGTTGTGAAGCTTTTCGATAGAATGAGTCGGCGATTTTTTGCTTGTGTCTGTATCGAGCGATGTCGCCGAGATGGATCAGACAATGTTGAGCGATGTACAAACTAGAGGTTGCGCGCGGAGGAGGCTGGTCCCCAGCTGGAGCAGTTTCTGAAAGAAATGAAAGGGGTTTTAATGGCTGAAAAGAACCTTGGACGCAAGGCATGAGCTTGAGCTGACGATCCGTCGCACGATTTGGCAATTGAAGAGAATACGCTTCGCAAATGTCATCGAGAAGTTGAAGATAGAAGGCATATGCAGATTCGAGCAGTTCCGTGTAGTTGAAAGCCGATTCTTGCTTGAATTCAGCTTTGGACGCGGAGGACTAAAATGAGTATGATTGTTTTGATTCAATAGGAGATTGATAGAATTACCCGCTGAGCTTCGAGAAGTTCATTGATCGGATTTTTAAAGCAATTGTTCCAAAGATCTTGTTCAATCTTTTGATCTAACGCCAGTTCCAAGTCAGCGACGAGCAATGATCGGTAGATGTCCCGCAGACGGGTTCTAGAGCCGACGATTTCGCAGTAAGGTAAGTCATTATCGATTTTTGCCTAATTTTCAATATAACATAACAGAGAAGCGGGAAAAGTACCTCTTTGATGGACAATTGTAAGTCCCTTGCTTCTTCAATAAGTTTTCTAGGACTGTCTGTTAGCCGCCACGGCTGTACCTCAACCATTCTTCATTCCTTTTCTAAAAGATAACTGATCAATAAATGTAACCATCACAATCGAAACAGGCCACAATAATTGGTCCTATTCTAGAGAGGCAAAGACTCATCAAAACTGTCACAGGTAACTAGCTAGAATTGGCCAGAATTAGCGATACAGCGTTCTTTATTGTCTATAAATTATATGCTATAAAAGAATGTTGTATCATTTTATATAAGAAGAAATATACTGTTTTTTATCTGTATTATGCAGTCTTTGAAGTTGGTATTTGATTTTAACGGGGCTCAATAAAGGTAAATCTGATTGTCTTTCTTTCAGTTCTTTCGCTTTCTCCTTCCTCTAGTACGCTTCGTGCTCGGCTCTGACGAGGAGCTTGTAGATCCCACTGTAGAAGTCGTAGCGCGCTCAAGTCGCTCATCCAGCTCAGCCAGACTTAACTCTTCAGTAGACCCAGTTTTCGCCGCGTCAGACTCTTCTTGCAAGCGAATGTTTAGCTTCGGGAATTGTCTCTTTGTTCCTGTGGTGGCAAAGTTTCTGTGGCGCAGGGACAAAGAGGACGAGGAGCTTGGAAGCTTTGTCAGCCCAGAACTTTGACCTTCTTCTCCTGAGCTGTCATAGTCTTCTTTCAGCTGAAGTTGGAGGGACGTAGCGATCAGATTTAGGTCGTTTCCTCTGATCTCTCGAATGATATCTAGTATCTTCTGATTCGCGTGTTGGAAAACACTCTTTGTCTCCGAGCAAATCTACAAAAATATAATAAAAAAGTTGATTTACCACCACGAGACAAACCTCACGCATGCGTTTGTCCGCTTCTTTTGCTATTTGCGTCATTTTGCGCAAAAGTCTGAGGGAAAAAGCAGGAGATCTTCGACCAAGGAGGACTTCGATTTCGAGCTTGGTCGTTCCGCTACTGAGCAATTGATCCATGGAAAGGAATAATCGACGGCCAAAGCCACGCAAGTCGTTGAATTTGTCGAACAAAACGAGTTCTATTCGTTGGGTTTCGAAAATTGAAATGAAAATGAAAGTAAATACCGCGGAAGTCAACGATAATCATATTACTTGTTTATATGAAAGCATAAACCCTTCCTAATAAGTCATTTGAAGCATCTTTCGCAACGATTAAAGCCGACATTGGCGGGGACATCGTTCCCCTCGTGCTCTCCTCTTGCCAAATAATCACCGACAAGTGTTCAACATCGTCCCCTTCCCAACCGCCGACGCGGTGCTGATTCAACAGTCCAACATCGACATACCAGTCTCTGTCGCCAACTCGCATCGTCTACAAGTATAATTACACTAATCCTGATCTCGTAATTATAATTACTCACTTTTGAATGCCTGGGAGACGTCTCCAGCTCGAGTTGTCTTATGTCATCAATTTTCAACACAAAGGTCGCATCATTGTCCGTCGTTTCAGACGAGTCAGCCCACTCGCCCGTCAGAAATTCGAACACTTTGTTCTTTGATGCGTCGGTCACTTCTGATGCCAGTTTCTTAGGAATCAGGACTTTGATCTCATTGAGCGCATTGGCGGTTGCGCTCATATGCTGCTGGAGGATTTTTATTTGATCGTCCAGGTTCCGCCGCAGCTTTTCAAAAGGTTCGAGGGTGACGAAATCTATTCCCGGTAGGTCATTCGAGTATTCGGGTTACCTACTTTAGGTCGATAAAAACACGGTCATCTGGGTGTGGATTTCCTGCGCGTCACATGGGACGTGCAAGCTGATTCGTTTGCATAACCTCTAGCGCTAGAATGAAGACATATATAAGGAAACTACGAATACCTCGACCATAAAATTAAAAGGCTTCTAATATGACATTCGAAAACGCATCACTGCGCATTTACAAGCTCGAGCAGACAATTTCAACAAGCGGAGATGACTGTAGCTCATGGAGCCATGAAGTACAGTCATATGAGACGAATACATAGCAGTTTTCCGACTTGGATAAAATGTTTTATGAACTGGATAAATTGAACAAGCCAATGTTTAAACAAATGAAGAAAATCAAAAAAATTGCAGCCGTAATTGACAAGAATGAGAAAAAACTCATTTTGGAGCCTGGCGAAATAATGGGCAAGAAAAGAAAGAGGAAAATATCTCGAATGATTCAAAACCGGAAAAAGAAAATGAAAAATGAGGAGGAAGAGTTATCAATACTGGTGGATATGAAAACGACACTAGAAAGCAAGCTCTACTGTATTCTAAATGGCAAAAGCCATTATGACAGAGCACAGTTCTTTCAATTTATTGAAACGATGGCAGAACATCTAAGTGAAGAAGAGAGTAGTCCCGCGAAAAAGAGAAGATATAACTAGCGAGCCTGGGAAAACAACGAAGCGTATCAAGACTTGATATGAATCGACCCAGGATTTAATTTTAATGCTCTCACAATATTTACTGCGGCCTCAAATTCCAATTTCGCCAATAACAAAATAAAAACTGTGTCATATGAGCACGAAATCAAGCCAATTTGAACAGCTGTGTGGAGGCAAGATGACTGTGATTGCCAATTGAGATAGCCCCCAGCTGTTTTGGCATTCGCTATCTTTTAAAAAGGCAGCGCTAAAGAGGGCCCAATAAATACGAAGATACGGGGCACCCTACTCGCAAAAATCAGAAAAAAATGAATTCCTTCTTTGAAATTTTTGAACTACGAAAAGTGCCGAAAAATGGCGACAGAGTTGAATGGCAAAGAACGAAAAAATTCAGCGAATTATGGACAGAAGAAGATTTCCGAAAATTTCAACAAATGATGAAATGCAAAGAAACGTCGGAAAAATACATCAAGAGTCGAGAACGCAAAATGAAAGAGCACGAAGAAAACGTCAAAAAGCTCGAGGAAGAAATCTTCGAACTCGATGAAGAATCGCGAAGTCCTGGCTCACTGGGGGAGGCCGTTTATTTCCGCAAAAAGGACGCAAAAGAGGAAATAATTTTGGCCGAAAGTACGAAAATGATCTCTTGCGAGAACCAAGTGGAAGAGAATCAAAAGAAAATTAGAACCCAGGAAAGTCGGATGTACTGTTTGCTGACGAATACGGAATGGATCGATGTAGCTGACCGATTGAAGATGATCAGGAAAAAATCAAGTAAACGAAGAAGATCATCCATAGCGCGAAATTCTATGCCTGTTGGAAGTGAATCGCCAGAACTGTACACTCGAACTGTAAAATATGTCCCAAAGCAATAAAAATGAGCTGAAAAATCCAAACTGAACAATTTTTAGGAGAATATAAGTTTGATTTTCTACGATTGAATCAACAGTCACTCAGCTTAAAAACAACTGTAATTCAGGAAATTACAGGACTCTTTTTAATTGAGTAATTTTTGAACCTTTCCTCGAGGCAAATATCCTTTTGATTTTGCGTAAAGTCGGATATTCTTCGCTTCATCTTGAGTTGATTGTTCCAGTAGTTTTGCGTCTCTTTTTCGATGTTCTTGATTTCATCGTGGATGTTTTTCTCTTTCTCCTGGGCTGCTTCGTCCAACGATCGAATCGTGTGTTTGTTGAGGTTAGATTTTGGAATTTCTGACACGCACAGCTCGCAAGCTGGCTTTTTGTTTATTGTATCAAAGTGCGTCATATACTGAACAAAAGATGAAGGAAATGATCAGGAAAGAAGGTCTTTAGTCAGGCTTCGACAACCTGTGCAGAAACCTGAGTCAGGGTCTTGTTAGGACGTGTAGCTTCGCGACCCTGAGTCAGGGCCTGGATCAAGTTTTCGCACAGTCTCCCGAACCGAAGTTTTAAATTTTCTTACTTTGTCATGATGAACTGCGCATTTTCGTAAAGATTCGCCAGCTTTTGCCGCCATTTGACAAACATCATTCAGCCACGGGCACCGGACGAGATTTTCAGTCTCTGTTCTTCACAAATTTTAGGTTCTTTTTCGGGTTTTCAAAGTGACACTTACGGGCTTCTACAATAGGGACATTTGCCGTTGTGGCTCAGGGAGACTTTGATACAGCCGTAGCAGAAGGCTTTTGAGCATTTTGGGCATTGGTGCGCGTCCCGGGGACTCTGAATTAGGACGATAAGGAGGGTTGAAAGGAGGTGGATTTAGAAATTCATAATATAAGACTGTATAAATGAGCATTACCACCCAACAAACAGGACATTTGACCAGCTCCAGCATCTCTTCTAGCGCCTTTTCAGCCATTTCAAGATGTTAAGTTGATCAAGCAGTGAGTCAATTCGATGAGGAAAGGGTGAAGCGTGTTATTACAGTAAATACACTGTATTTCAGTTTAATAAAACAGCATTTTTTGAACAGAAAATCAAAATAATTGAAAGTTTTGAAATCTTCTTTTATGGTTTTTCGAAATATTTTTTTCTCGCTTCGAAAACTTTTCTTTTCGAAGAAGGGATCAAGTATGGAAAAGGGTTTATGTTTGAAACTAGGGAGGATCGCTCGCGGCGACGTTTTTTCAATTTTAGGGAAGCGCGCGTGGTTGGTCGCGTTGAGCGCGCGACGCGGACTGGCGCGCCTACGAAACCAGCTCCGAATTGACGCTAGAGTCGATTCCAATGAACAGACTCCTTCAGGACACAGGTCATTTCCGCCAATATCTCCCATGATACCCGCTTTATGTGATAGAGAAGACTTCCACGCTGGCGCTAAGAGTCTGAATGACTGCGTTTCTCGTGTTTTACAGCTCTAGAATCGATAAAATCGCTCCATTTCTCAAAAATTATGGTTTTCTCTCTCAGTTATCTATTCACCAAGTCTTGATTTTTAAACGTAAATACGCTTTTACGTCGTTTTCCCATGAAATTTAGCGATAAATTATAGAAAAATAATAGTCAATTATTGAAAAAAAGCTGTTTTTATACCGAAATTCTCATTAATGTATTCGCACTGTAATTCGTTATAACCTGTTCCCAGAGCTCGGCAACATCCGGCTTCCTGTACTTTTGCGGCGACGTTTCAGCCAACAAAATGTCCGAAATGCATCTGGCCCGAGCACCGACGAACGGAAAGTAAAGTGCTCTAATCAGCGCAAAAACTCATCGAAAAGAGAGAGAAATGGGATCCGTGGAGAAGTTTACGTTTTTCGACAATTGGCATTTTCTGGGTTGGGCCCTACGTCAGATTTGCGCTCAATAGGATCAATTCTCTCACTAAACTTTGGCCAGTAAAGGATGGGATTCTTTTTCGATTTTTACGATTTCTCCATCGGACCATACTTCGATCGGGCCATATTTTCTGACTCATAACTTTCAATACAGTACATCCCATTGAAGATCCTCCTGGACCAGACGTTTTTGATGCCCGTAAACATGCTTGTCGTCAACACAGTTTACCCCCTCCTGTCAGGCTTCAATTTCGATGAAGCACGGGCGATTTGCTCCGAGAAAGTCTTCGGAATCATCCAGTACGGTTGGTGCTACTGGACGCCTGTTTCATTTGTCCTGTTCGTGTTGATCAAAAATGAAGTTAAACGTTTCTACCTCTTCAATTGTTTCGCCTATTTCTGGCAAATTTTTCTAGCCTTTGCTGTTAACAACCAATTTACCTAGTTCCTACATTTCCAACTATACTATCTACTATTTATGTTTTCACATTTATCCGGAACTTGAAATGTTCAGATGAATGGCTTGGACGACGAAATGGACCCACTCGTCAAACTAAAATTCACGAGCTCCAAGCGGAAGATACGCGAAAAGTCACCCGCGGACAGTGAGAAGCCAGTTTCTAAGAAGCCCGTGATTTCGTCCTCAAACCTATCTGCCGAGCAGAAGTTTGATGCCCTCTTCGGCAGTACTGGTAGCTTCAATTCTGCTCCTTCAAAAGTAGAACCGACTCCAAGAACAAGCCCACAGGACAAGAGATTTAGCCCAAAGAAAGAGACAGTAAAGCCGTTAAGTCAGAGGCCGAAACAAAGTGCTCCAGTGATAAAAGCAACGAAAAAACGCTCGAAGTTGGATAAAAATAGCCCATTTGCCCTTGCCTTCGGCTGCGTCGACTCTGATGATGATGATAATGACGACAGTACCTTCGTCGCAGACGAGAAAGAGGACGAAATGAGCGCGCAGGATCAGTGGGATACGATCATGAACGAGACGGTGAAAAATGCTTCTGATCCACCAACTCCAAAAATCAGCAGTTTACGATCTTTGGCGAGAAATTCCAAATCTCCCGAAAAGAAAGAGTCAACAGAAAAATCAAACGGACACAAAACTGAAGAGAAAAGCCTTCGTGTCTTCTCTTCAGCGACAATAGATCTTCCCGTGAAGCCAAAAGTGATGAACAAAAATACTGAATCAACAAAAGTCAAGAAAGAGAAGCTCCAAACAAAGGCGGAATTCGAAATGGGTAAAACACTGTTTTTTTTAGGTTGACCCTCGGGTTTTCCGACCCCCTTAATTTGGCTCAGGGTATGAGCTACCCCCTTATAATCAATAGTCGAAATGATCCCCGTGATCTGGCGGTTCTAAAAATGCATTATGTCAGTGTCTGCCAACACTAGAATCCAAGCAATTTTATGCTAGTTTTCCTTTAAAAATCACTATTTTCCGCTTCGCCTCTCTTCAAAGGGGTCATTTGAGGTCATATGACCTCGCCAAGGTCACAAGACCCCGTCGAGGCAACGCAGTAGAGTCTGGGCTTTCAGAAAATGTATAGAAGTATGGGGCTACCACATAAGGATTTTGAATACGGTTGGGACAAAGTCAGGGTCAACCTAAAAAAACAGTGTTTAAGGCGTAGTTAGCAAATCATTTGTTAAATTTTATTTAGAAATCTCACCTATCAAGCCTGATTCAAACGCTCCCGCTTCTGAAGCCTCCAAGCCATCTCCCTTTCCTCCGCCGTCTTTGAAAGCTCCTACTGCCAGTAAAACTAACAGTAAGGAAGATGCAGCAAAGCCAGAAGCGCCGGGAAGACCCTTCCGCGAAAAGCGATTTTTCAAGAGCAAAACGAAGATCGACTACCAAGAAGATGCGAATGACCCGTACAGTATGGATCAGAATCAATTCGACGATTTTAAGAAACCAACACTTCCGAAAGCAGGAAGGGCGAAAAAGTACAAGGCCCGGCGGAAATACGAGTTCCGATTGCAGACAAAATGAGCGACGAGCAAATTTCCAACGAGGGACTCCAAGACGATGCGAAATTCTACCTCGACGGGGTCAAACCTGGAACAAATGATATCAGTTCCCGAGCGCTCACGGCTATTAGCTTTGCGAAAAGATTGAATGATGAAGAGTTTCGCGTCTTTCTCGCGAAGAATAAGCTGCCAGCTCCGAGCAAGGCGCATAATCTTGGCCAATTGATTGTTTTGTATCTTGGGGATGCAACTGATCCTGAAAAAACTACTGGTAAAAACATCGAAACCGCTACTCATCAATTTTAATGCTTTTCAGCCTCTTATGCGCTAGCTGCTGCGATTGCTCTTCATAAAGTGTGTCTGTACAAAAATATTGGCTGTTCAAAAATCATTCTTGGTAAGTTCAAACGAAAAAGAGCTACTGAAGCATCTTATTTTAAGGACTTTCCCATCCAGCTTTATCTAGCAGTAGCAGTTGAAGTTGAGCTTCTTGAATTTAAAAGTAACTAACTTGACATTTAGCACTTATCGTAAAACTGCTCAAACTCAAGCTGCCAAGTTCCAAAGCACAAGACAAAGATTTGCCAAGAATCCAGCGCGATGCCGATTCCATCATCAAGGATTCCGCTTCTGTTAACCCCGATATTCCCTGGTAATCAGATAGCCCGATATTTTTAAATAGACTCATTTTACGCTTGGCCAGCCCAGCCGGCCTATATCATAAACTGAAGAAACTCGACTGAAATTCAATTAATCCGTCTTTGTTTAGTATCAAACCTATCTCGAGCGGGTGGACCCACAATACAGTAGCTGCCGAAACCGTCTATCTCCTTTGTATAAATACGAAAAAGCCTGTGTTCAATACAATCTGTATTATCTCAAAAATGCTCAACTTCCTTGTCGAGAAAGTGGTCGAAATCATTTCCGTCAAAAGCACAAGTGAAATTAATCGAACCGAGTTCAACAAAATCTTTGACGCGTTTGAAGCGCAAACGAAGCCTTATAAGAAAGCTCTTGGTAATTTTAAAAAAGCGAAAATGTATGGTATTAATATTGAACTAGAAGTGGTGGTGAATGAAACGGAGTACTTGGAAGCTGTGGGGAAATTTTTGAAGATCACCGGTCCAGAAAATATGAAAACGAATGGATACGCCAACAGGATAACGAGGCATCTTATCAACTTGTGCTGCGAGTCTGATCATGCTTGCTTCAAAATGGCACAGCTGGAATTTCTGCCTTATATTCTTGATATGATCGTCAAATTTCCAAAGAGCTCATTGTTGACAAGCCAAGATGAAAAGAAACATTCCTTGAAGGTACTCAATCATAAATCCTGCCCATGATTTTCGACTAAATATTCACATTTTCGCCCCTCGATTATCAATAGAACTTCGGAAATCCGGCAAAAGATCTTTCATTTTTGGGAGTGCATATTGACTCTTATCCCAACTTCTGAAGTTTTATCGACAATTCTTTAGAATTGCTTAAGCATAGTTTCTGTGGTTAAACTTCTGGTATCTATTCTCATTTTCTATAATTCAAGATCGGAGTTGCTATTCTACTGAATTTAACAATGAGATCCCCCGCTTGCCGAATGAAAATGCAAAAGGAAGAAAACTTCCGAATTATTTTGGACGTTTTGAACGACGAAATGACAGAGCTCAAGCGAATTCACGACGGCGATGTGAGCATGGCAATGTCCAAGACGACGTAATTCGATCGAGCTGTTTTTATTTTGATTATTTTTTCTGTAGGCTGGACGCGGAATTCGGTGAGGACATCAAGGGAATGTCGGAAGAGGAGCAGCAGCAACTGGGAAAGATGGTGAACAAGGCTGATGCGCATGTCAAGGGTTGTATGACCGTGGCCTACTGTGCTATTATGGTAGCCAAGCTTATTCAAGGTAAGAGTGGGCGGATGAAAACAAGGGGGAAACAGTCCATTATTCGAAAATAAATGATCGACATGGGCTCATTTGAATTTTTAGCGAATCAGTTTATTCTCGACGATGTGCGAGGCTATCTGTCAGACGGCGCAATCAAATACTCCCTCCAGTGCTTCGACGAAGTCGACAATATACTCAAGCTATCTGGAAAAGAAGACGACGTCTCAGCAGAATACATGAAGGAAGCACGAGAAATCTTCGCCGCCAACAATTTAACAAACTAATCACAAAATCGAAAAATTTTCTATCGAATTCAAGAGTCAATTGCATTTGTTCCTCTCATTTTTTTAAGTTCACTACATTTTTCATCATTCCACTGCCCATTTTATAGCTCTTACATCTCTTTTTCTAAGGTGATTCTATGATGCGTCAATTTTATTAATTCAGAATGGCTGTGAGAAAGATTGAAATTGCCGTAGAAATTCCAGAGGAAACGGAAACAGTGTTCTGTTCCATGATCAGACTTGGCCGGGCGGTGATGATTTGGGCTGGATTGAATCAGAATTTGGGGAGCATGGCAATGGCAGTTCCGGCTAGAGATGGGAAGACTGCGCTTTGGTGAGTCCTTGTTGATTTTTAGCGGAAGTCTGGTGATCTTGAGGGATCTTTTCGGACGATTTTGTATTGTGGAAACACTTTTCAATTGAAAAACTTTGCCGAAAAGATCAATTTTAGCTGATAATAAGACTTATTCTCATTTTATAAGTAATCATCCACGAATATAGTCAGTCTATTCAATATCGATTGATTATTTATAAAAATTTTTGCTATATCTAATTTTAAAATAAGCACCGCGCTGAAAGACCCTTCTGCACGTGGCTGTCAGCTGGCTACCCGGCTATCCTCTCGCGTCAAACTGCAAGTTCTCTTCTGTGGCAATCTAGACGAAGGGCAGGATATTATGTGGAAATGTCTTGAAGCGAGACTGAGCGAAGAAATCGCATGCAATCCCGATTTCTTCGCCATTTGACCATGATCATTTGATTTTTGTAACTAAATAAACATTTTCTTTCTCATTGCCCAGTTACTTCCTGTTTTGTTCTTTATTTTGTTGTTCAGACACTCAATATTCGGTTATATGACTAAAAAAGAACTCTTCATAGGCAGAATAAATGCGGCGGTGACCAACGAGCAACTGGATCACTACTTCAACAGTTTTGGCCGAGTGAACTCATTCAAGCGACCGGTCGATCGCCGTACCGGCCGCAACAGAGACTTTGCCTTTGTCAGCTTTGTTGAAAATAACGTTTTTGAAAGTAAATATATCGCATGCTCGAAATTCAATTCCTACTTATTTTTACGTTGATTGATCAATAATCAAAATTAATAATTGCATGAAAAAAACTAACAAAGAAAGAAAGTTTGACAAACGGTTAAAATCCTCGTTGATTTTTGCTGATTCTGAATGATGTTTACTCAATTTTTTTTCTTGTCTATTTCGCAACATCTGTAATTGATTTTTAAGGGGTTCGCAATTTCCAGAAACATAGCATCAACGGCTTCCCCATTGACGTGCGCGTTTCCATTCCAAAGGAAGACTTCCGAGCGAAGCGCAAAGAGGAATCTCTCGGTGTTGTCGAGCTCGATCAATCCGAAATCGGAAAAAAGTTCTACAAGAATTCTATGCTAGAGGATCCTTGGCGGAACTGCAATCCTCAACAAGTAAAAACATTTCCCTCTTTTTCTTATCCTAACCCACTTTAGTCAGATCCGTCGCGAGCAAGGCTCGATCAGAAGGTTAAACATCGCAACCGGCTCTTCCACCGAGTCGGCCAACAAGAGCACCAACAACAACTGCAACAGCAACACCAGCCAAACCACCACCATCAACAGCACCCGCATCATCAGCAGCACCACTTCCCTCCCAACCAACGACCGCCGCATCCGAAAACTTTAAGCAACCAAATTCATCATCAAAACAGTCCAAAGCAAAGCAAAACGCAATCGCCGCAAAAAGTTCCCCCCGTCGCCGTCTTCTTCCTTCTCAAGCAACTCTCAACTTCCAGTACAAAGTCCAAAAGACAGCCCTACTTCTCGCCCGGCTGTAATTCCCGCCACGCAGCCTCAAAAAGCGGTGCCGACAAGTCCCGCCAGCGAAGCCGCACGGTCCCAATCCGCCCCACAAGAGGTCTCATCTCCGCCCCAGCTCCAACGCTCCGCCATATCAGCCAGCAGTAGTCAGAATATATCGCCGGCTCCTGTTTCCGCTCCGCCCCAAGAAGAACCGAAAATCGAGAAGGCAGAGGAAGAAAGCGTGCAGAAATCTATGCCAAACATTCAATCACAAAAGCAGGCTTCTCCGGCTACAGGCCCCAAGTCGCCTCTAAGTCATGCTAAATCTGGGACAAGGCAGCAGCCTGTCTCTCCTTTCCGCCCACAAAATCCTAATTTCCACTCGAGCACGCCTCCGTCACTCAGGCCTCCGATACTAAGGTAAACCAAACACGAACATTAATTTTAAAAGCGAAAGTAAAAAGCAACTTCATTTTTTTCAAACTGTTCTTAATCAGAGCTCCTCCCGGCCAACAAGCGCAGGCATCGCCTTTGAGCAAGCAAAATCCACCGCCACCACCGCCGCTGAAAAGAGCCCCGCAACTGGCCCCGAATCGCTCGGAGCCGCCTGCACAAATGCCAAAAATCACGAGCTTCACGAGTACCACTGGTAACCCACTACAACAGCAACAACAACAGACAAACACACAACAAAAACAACCACAAACAATTCCTGCCAGCAATTCTGAAAATCACCAATCGCCCAGAATCCCGAAGAACGGGGAGCAATTTAATCTTTATTTAAACAACAAACTGCCAACGTCAAAGGTTTTTGAAGATCCCCCTTCATCCCCATTTCTATCAAACTTATTTCTAGGACGATTTCACCGTCGATAAACATCAAGGAATCAATCTCGCCTCCAACGTGGATAAAAGATTACTGGAATATTTTATTCGCATCTTTTTAAATAACACGAACAGGGATGTCATCAAGTTCAGCAAATTGACCCCCCAGCAACAGGATATTCTTGAGGCAATTGCTGATAAACACGATTTGGGCACGCGGGCTTGAAAAAAACTACATATTTTTGAAGGACTCAATAAGGGATCGTAAGATAGGGAAACAACCCCTATTATCATTTTTTGGAAAGACCTATTTCAAGCCCCGAAAACAGAAAATAGCCAAGAGAAAACTGGTTTTGTCATAAGAAAAAATTCTTAATCTTCTATTGCCTTTACAAAAAGTGTGCCAAATTCATTTTCGCTGCTTTGATACAATCTTCGTTACAACAAAAAGTGCATATCTATATCGAACGCGCCTATCCTTTTCTGAAATGAATAAACCTTCTTTTAGAAAATGGAACAAAATGAGCAGCAATTCGGCCATTCAAGAGGCCGTATGAGGCCATACCGTGGAAGGCCGCGCGGAAATCGAGGATTTCACAGAGGCGGGCCAAGAGCACCCAAACATTTTCAAAATAATGATCGCGTACAAGTTTGGGGTGATAACACCCACTTGGAGCCCGATTACAATTACATGGTAAGTCGTGGGTTCGTGGAAGTTAAAAGTTCGTTAAGCCCGAATACCGTAGATTGTTCAATAGCCAAAATCCTGGACTAAGGAAGCATCAGCCCTTATCGCCCCTCCGTTATCTAATTATTATGTTCAGAGCCAAGGACGGGGACGTGGCCGCGGTTCCGGGAATAATCGAGCTCGCTACGGCACTTATCAGCAATTCCATTATCGCCAGTCGAAGCCAAGGCTCCAGGCGCCCGTGGAGTCCTATTTTAAACCTGACATGCTTGAAGACCCCTGGAAGGACTGTACGCCCATTCAAGTGTCCGAAGTGACGAAAATACAAGCAGCAAGCTCGTTTCACAAGAATAGGCTTTATCTAAAGCTTAATCAGTTCGAGGGTGGCGAGCGCGACGGGCTAGGTACTTAATCTACTTCCGTATTAGTTGAATTTTGTCGATAGTGAAAACAAGCTCGAGTTCATACAGAAATAACCGTATTTTAAGACGATTTGGACGAAAATTCTGAGCAAAGCGCCGCGCCCGATGGTAAAAAGATTAAAGTAGAAGGGACAACTCCAAGTTGGATGAACCCACAAGAAGAGAATCCCGACGAAATCAACCTCGATTCTAGCGATGACGATGAAGAGGACGTTGAGCCAAAAGTCAAAAAGGCGAAAAAAGAGGAAACGCCCAAGGAAGAAGATCCAGAAGAAGAGGAGCTCAACGACTGGAAAGACGCAACTCTGGACCCGCAACTTATCGACCTCGATCCTTATGAAGTTCAAGAAGCAAGAGCAGCGAATGATATGGGATCTTACTAGCCATTCATCATCTTGTATTACAATAAAATCACCATCATCAACAACCAAAAAAATGAAATAAAGGATAAACTGTCAATGTATTTTACTATTATCTTTTTGATAAATAAATGAAAAAAAATTTTCTTACATTGAGAATGGTTTTGCCCAACATCCTGATTTGTGGCACCCCTGGCGTAGGAAAAAGCACAGTTGTTGAGCAATTAGTCGAGGCGACAGGCTGGAAGAGCATCAATGTAGGCCAGTTTGCGAAAGATCACGGGCACATTTGCGAGCAAGACGAGGAGCGAAATTGCGGCGTGTTAGATGAAGATCCGTTGCTTGATGATCTCGAGGAGATTCAAAAGAATGGAGGGAACATTTTTGAGTTTCACGGATCGGAAATGTTCCCAGAGCGGTGGTTCAAATTGGTGGTTGTTTTGAAGACAGGTATGTGCGATCTTTGAACTGCTGGAAGCAATCAAGGGCCTGATGCATATCAGAGCTTTCTTACCATCTGCGACACATAGTTATTCTGTAACAGCTGCGCGGCGGCGCTAGAATTTCATATAAAAGAGGCCATGAATCAGAAAGAATCACCAAATAACAAAAATGTCTAATTCAACAAATTATTTTGCCAGCGATGTACCAGCTCTTTCTCCGACCAAAAAGCGAAAATCTTCCGGTGACACTTATCAGCCCAAGAAAATGATCATGCTGGAAGATCGAAGCAGTCCACTTGATGACCGTCTCAGCGAAATCTTCAACTGCATCGCCCAACCCGCAAAAGAAGAAGAGTCTTCCGAAAACACGTCTCCAGCCACGTATAAGGAACGAATGCTTTACCGCGCGCTGTTTCAGCTTCATACTATTTTGGCACAGCATGATGATAATGGACGGCCGAACCTTGTTGTACGAAATGCGGAGGATAAAGACTGGAAGACTGATAAAAAGTTGAAGAAGTATTCCCGACAGGTCAAGGAATCGAAGAAGTTGCATCCGTTCATCAAAGCGTCGTTGAAGAGGATTGAAAAGAAACAGTCTCCAAAATGAGTCTTTATCTGTTGTGATAATTACAAAATCATCCATGTAAACACAAAATGAATAAAATATACTGAATCATGAAATATGTAATCTTTTTAAAATCTTATTCAAACGCTCACATTTACTGTCAAGATAACAAGATCCTGTACGAGCGTCTTGAAAAACGAGGCTACTCCGAGGCCAAAATCCAAGAAAACGTAACGTGCGAGATCATGGAAGTCCTTGTTGCGGAGGCGCGGCAAAGTTACAAGCCGGAGGTTGTTGAAGTGGTTGAAAGTAACACTCCGGAAGATATCGACAATATTGTCTCTGTAATTACCAACTGGATCAATCAGCAATGAAAACCTATAGAAGCTCGTCAAACTGTCGTGTTTAGAATGTGCCAGGTAGATAGATCGAAATCGTTTGAAGAAGCGCTTTCGAAATATCGAAAACTCGATGGATTGAAGAAAGACATTCTGAGAAATCGGAAGCGCTCCGCCTTGTCAAAAACGCTTCATGAAGTTACGAAGCAGCTAAATATTCTCAAACGAAAGTCGAGGAAGTGTTCTTCCGAAGATGAAGAATTTCTTGAAGAAGTTAACTGGGTTTCGCAAGAACTACTGGCGCTGAAGGCTGCTGAAGTGTCGGGAAGTCTCGCAAATGACCATCGCAATATTGCAGTGTCTACGTTGGAGGCAGCCCTAAAGGATATAGTTTCCACTTATCAGAAAAATATCACAAAGGCTAGAAGAAGGATGAAATTGTCAACAAAGCCGGCTCATCAGCATGTCAAAGTCCAGCCTGTTGTTCAAGGTAGGAGAAGAAATGATCGTACGTGAATTACTTGAAAATATAGAGTTTGACCAAAAAGATATTTCAAACGAGGAGGAAGAAAGATATCTGGCAGAAGCTCTTGCTCTCAAAGAAGGTCTGTTCTCTTTTGTAAAATGTGAATTTTACTTTGATTCTTCAGACTTTGATGAAGTGGCTTTGATCGAATCGAAGGTTACGGATATTGCTCAATTGCAACATAAAATCGCTGAGAATATTAATCTCCAAGCCGAAGTTGCCGACAATATTCAAAGCAATGTAAGTCTTTCCCAATCCGCTAATCCGCCGCATCCTCTTGCTCAATAACTTATTTTTTTAGGTTCAACAATCCAACGAAAACGTGCGGGACGGGAACGAGCAAATTCTAGAGGCAACTCGTCGCCAATCCGATTGGCGCGTGTTTTCGATGATCTTTCTTTTGGGCTGTTCTCTTACCTTACTCCTTCTGGACTCTTACAAATAATTCTATGTGCAATAAAGTGTACAATAAAGTTAAATACATTTAAACAGAGCTAAAAGTAAGCAGGTTTTATGCGGGTTTTATTCAGAGTAAATATGGCGGAAGAAAGCGGCGAGACAAAGCCATTTGAAAACAACTTCGAATTCTGGGCAGACAAGGCCAATTACGAGAAAGACACATGTTTGAAGCTCAAGAAAATCAGGAGAAAAGTGTCGATCCCACCTTCGTACATGGGAAATTTGAAATCTGCTTGCACCACGATCCTCAACAAAAGCCTAACAAAGTATATAAAATTTTACTCTATCCATTTCATCGAGATCGGTTAGATACGATGCTGATATAAGCGGAACTTTGGTTGCCTACAACGACAAGTCCTTCAAGTCTGTTGAACAAACGGTCTCCTTGAAAAATCGTCCGGGAGAGGCGTATTTGAATTTCACCTTGGAAGTTGACGTCGTTATTTTCAGCCCCGAACCTGGGTCTTTTCTCAGAGCTGTCTGTAAAGAGGTAGCTTTACCTTGTATTGAATCAAATCATATTCTTTCTCTAAGAATCGGGAGACAAACAAAAGCCACACGGCTCTCTTGGCGATGGATACATTCAACTGCGTCCTCTCGCACTTGAATGAAGAAGGAATAAAGAGCGAAGAAATAAGCGTCGATCAATGTGTACGATTTGAAGTGGAAAGCATCGAAATTGATTGGAACGGATTGCTGATGGTCAAAGGAAACTCGCAGTCGTTTATTATTTGCTGAAAACAAAAATTTGAAAGCTGACGATAATAACGTCTACTTTCTGTTAAGAATGTCGGGCGAAGATAAAGAGTATGATATTTATCGAGACTCGCTGCTTAGATACGCGGGATATGCAAATGAAGTCGGCGAGGCATTTCGAGCACAGACCGCCAAGTACACCGTAGGCGGTTTCAACGGGCCAGTTTCACTGACTTATGCAATTTCTGTTGGGTACTGCGCTGCTGATGCTTACGATAAATGTAAGTGTGATGCAAATAAAAGTATTCTTAAATTGACAAGTAAATTCATTTTTATTTCATAAAAAATAAGAAACGCAGATATTGATGTCATACATACGAGAACTTAGCTTCAATGGTATAGAATCTCATTTTATGATTTTGGTAATAATTCTAATCGAGACCTTATATTGAGCTGCTCTCTTGAAAGAGGGCGCCAAGCGTCATAGCTTCTCAGCTGGATATGCGAATGCTATTCGTAAATGATAGCAATCTTAAATAAAATCGAACCAAACTTTATTTTCAGACAAGAAAACCGGTAAGTTTACCGGTTTCGTAGACGCTCTCGGATGGCAATTAGCCGCTTCGGTCATCATTCCCGGCTTCACAATTCACCAAGTTTGCCATTACTCCGGCCTTGGTCTGGCAAAGACCCTACCCAAAGTGCCTCTTCCACGCCGTCAACTGATGGTCTCTGCCATCGGCCTCGCAACAATACCCTTCATCATTCACCCAATTGATCACGCAGTCGACTGGGCCTTCGACAAGTTTCCAAGAAAATATCTCTACACTCTTGACTAGCTTTTCTTCGCTGTTCCACCTTTTTATTTATTTTTCCTTCTGAACCTACTGAGCTTCAACTGACACATGAACAGAAAAGACCATTACTCAGAAATTCAATCCTTCCAATTTTGATTAAAAGCGTGCCATAAGCTAATAAACCATTGACCATTGTCAATATTAATTTGAAAGAACAATTTTCGCTTGTCAGGGCTTGATCGATAAATTCGCGCTATACAATATGTAAGGCAGGCCTTTTATTATTTGCATACAAAAAGAAAAAAAGAGTCATTTCTTATTATATAGATTGGAAAAGAAAAATCAAGGAATCTTTTCATTCAAAAATGTCGGATAAGAGCATTGAAGAAATGGAGCACGAGTTGTTTCTAGCACGGCAGAGAATCGTGGCAGGAAAGGAAAATGCTATCTTTGACGAGATAAATGTCCGACAAAAAGTCATGTCAAGAGCAGTTGCTGATATTCAAGCCATTGACGAGGACATTGGTGAGTCACCTAACCTTTTCTTTTTTGGCTGACAGATGCAGAATAGAGCAATAATTAAATACTGATGCAACTGTACCTGATTCTAATTGCTTTAACTCAGAGCACGCAAAAACCGACGTCAAGCAAGAATACGAAAAAAGCGTTGCAGAGCTCAAAGAAATCTCCGAGAAGGTCAAGGAACAATTGAACCGATTCAAGACCACGCAGAAAGATGCTCCCAAAGAAGAGTAAAAACAATCAACAAGGAATTTTCTTTATAGACATATCTTTTTCTACCTGCCACTTATCTCAATATATTTTTCTAAATCCTTCAAATAACCATGAAATTATTCAGAAGTGAATTAAACGCACGATGGATTTTTTCGGTGACGAAAGTGCGGCCGCCCAGCCAGCAGTCCAGGCGACTTCGGACCCAGCAGCTGATTTTCTTTCTGGTGAACAAAGTGAAATCGCAAATATTGAAGGAGCTGTTTATGACGAGCCACCAGCCCAAGCAGAAGCTTCAAATGGTACTTTCGTTTACCAATCTTTTATTTCATTGGGCAAGCTAATAAAACTTATGTTGGCTTTTATGGGGTCCAAATTTATGGAATAAAGACCCGTTTTTGATGGAAAGTACGCTTTAGAGGATATTTGGTCTCGTTTACTCCTGAAATTATCGGTTGATATTTGCAGTTATGCAGCTTTTTCCAGCTTTTATCCTCATTTTAACCTGATATAGCCCTGAATTACTCCCGGAGAAATGCTGCAGCTAGTACTCCCAAGTCGGGGTTAAATTAACCTGCTCAAGTATGCGGAGGGCATTATAAGCTCTCCGGCGTTGTGCAGAGGAGGTAAAACAATCCGCACTTTCTTATCCTTTGTTCTAGACTTTGATCCCTTTGGCGCTGGGGAAGCTCCCGCGGGGGAAGGGGCTGAAACTGAACCTGTCACCGCCGCTGCCGAAACCGCCGACGAGGAGTTTCTCTTCGAACAAGCAACTGTCCAAGCGCCCGTTGAGGAAATGTCAAATCTTGAAGTAGCCGCCGAGCCCGAGCCGAGTACGTCTCTCTGTGATTTTTAATGATTCTCTTTACACGCGCTGTTTAGTCGCGCTGAGCCAGCCAGAACCAGTTTACACAATGCCAGTCATGGAGCCAGAAAGCATCAAATTATGGAGAGAACAGTTCAAAACGAGAATCGAGGACATTGAAACAGATGCATCTGCACAGGTAATTCGCGCATTAGCACCTTTTTTGCTTGTTTAAAAATTTGAAAAATCTTGACCTAATTATGCAGGAACAAATTTGGAAGGACGAGGCCAAGGAGCAGATTAAAAAGTTCTACAAAGAAAGAGAGCAAAAACTCGCAGCAAACAAGGTAATTCGATCAGTTAGAAGTGAACCCTTTTGAACTTTATTTGATAGGCGAGAAATCGAGAAGATCCAAATGCGTTGAAGTTGGAACAGGAGAACTTTGACCCGACAGAAGGCATGACTGACCAGGAGAAGTGGGAAAAGGTCACTGCTAGAATAGATTTCAATGCCAAAGGTACAGTTCCCCGTCCTCTCCGCCTCTTATCATCGATTCAGGATCCTGTACTAAGGATACAAGCCGAATGCGCCAAGTCCTGCTCCACTGCAAATCCGGCGCTGCCGAGAATTGAATTCAATCCCTCGCTTCAAGACAATCCAGTTCCGTAATCCTGTATTTAGACAAAAATTAAACAAAAAACATCAAATTTTAAGTACTCCTTTCTAAATCTGCAATTAACTGAAACTTTCCTGAAATTTTTATTTTTATCGATAAATATTATGCTTATATTTTACCTTGCCAAGTCTTATTATTATTTTAACTTTGTAACAACTCAGTTGTCCTCGGAATTCCGAATAAATTATTCAAAACAATAATCCCGAATATGTCTTATAAGCCGAGTCATACTGTATCTACTTTAGTACGAGTATAAAACGTCTAATGTCTATAACAATAAACAGGAAAATATATATCAAATATGAACCTGTTGGCCTTTGTGTCGCAGCATCCCACGAAATATATCAAGCACTCAAATAGCTCTCATTTTCTTTTTTCGCCAGGGCAGGAAATACAAAAAAAACCTACAGTAAGCTCTTCCAATCGCGACTTTTACCATCAACCCATCAACCAATAAGAAATATTGATGGGAAAATTCGCTATCGTAAGAACTGATTGTAAGCTTATTTTCTCCCTGAATATCCCTACTAGGGATTCCCTAGCATATTTATTGTCCAATTTTTATTTTATTCAATGTTTTCAGTTTTCAGCTTTTCTTTATCTATTTTTAAGTTCTTATTTTTCAAAATATGGCCTTACCACCTAATGACATCTTGTTCCAACTTTAATCTCCCTGTATGAGATCTCTCAGTGTAAGAGATAAATACCTGGCTCTCTTAAACTCAACTCGGGCATCCTACTTGGGATTATGTGCAAATATTCTTCTTTATTTTCTTATTTATGGTGAATTTTTCGTATTTACCACAATTCAATCTCTGATGATCAAAAACTCTAATCAAACCTTATGTCTTGTCTTTTCTGGTAGTACATTTTTCTCCTCTTTCAGTCTATACTTTGCCTTCTGTAATGGCAGCTTGTTCTTACTACTATCACAGAGCAAAATCCTCTTTTAATATTATTTTTAGACTAATGACTGCTTAGTATTATGTTTACAATCTGTAATGATCCCTTCTTTCAATAATATTTCATAAAAAATGCGAGCACTTCTTTCTTATTTCTCATTTTCAGACAAAATGAAAGAGGCTAAAGAAAGTGAAGAAATACGCTTCCTGAAAAGGTACCTAGCAAAGCATGGGCGGCTCCGAACGCTCAAGGCACTGAACAAAGATCTTGAAAGAAAGAAAAAGAAAGGTAAGAAAGCAAAATGCGTTCTTGTCATATTCATAAATATTTTAGACGAAAGAAAGCCTATAGCGCTGAGTTTCACGATACTGAAAGCTCCTAAACGAAAGATAGAAGAATTAGCACCGGTCAAGCCGAAGAAGAAAGCCAAAGACGGCGAAGAAGAGAAAACTGTCACCATTCCGAAAGAATTCAAGAAGCTCGCAAAGAACTTCGGACTCCCAGAAAAACAACTTGAATTTTTCTACGAAAACAGATCGTCCTTCAACTGGGAATGTAAAGATAAAACGAAAATTTACTGTGCCGAACAAAACTGTAAATTTAAAATTAAAAACTCAAAAAGGTGCCTTGTTGATCATGTTGTTACTGAGCACAATTATGAAGACATTCCTTGTGATCACGTCGATTGTTCTTTCGTCGCTCATTCTCGGACAAATTTACTCCGTCACAAGCAACGATTCCATGGTCACGGAAAGAAAATAGCCAAGAATAACAACTTCAACTGCCCATACGAATCCTGTAAAAATTCATTTTCCACGGCTATTGCTTTGCGCAGACATCTTTGCGTCCACGAGAACAAGTTCTTTTTCTGCCAATACTGCCCGTTCAAAGTCGCAACTAAGTATAATTTCTTTGCTCATATGAGTGTTCATTTTAATATCAAAAACTTTTCGTGCGAAATTTGTTCAAAGACATTTTACTTGCGAGATACGATGGAAACCCACATCCGCGATGTCCATAGTAATGATGATTATGTTTGCGAGGACTGTGGTTTTGTAGCACAGAAACGTAATCAGTACCGCAAGCACAGAGAAACATGTGCCAAACGACTCGAATACTCAAGGATTCTTTGAATTGTGATCTTGTGCTCTACTTCTTGAATAATATTTCATAAAAATATATCCGACTTTTTCTCATTTGTCATTTTAAGACAAAATGGAAGAGGCTGAAGAAAGTGAAGAAATACGCTTCGTGAAAAAGTACCTAGCAAAGAATGGTCGATTACGAGCGCTGAAAGCACTGAACAAAGATCTTGAAAGAAAGAAAAAGAATGGTAAGAAAACGGTCAATTCTTGATGAAGAACTCCTTAGACGAACGTAAACCTGTTACGCTGAGTTTTGCGATACAGAAAGCTTCTGATGGAAAGAGAGAAAATGCGGAAGGGCGTGAAGCAAAGAAGGGAAGTACGGAAGCCAAAAAAGTCGAAGAGAAAGAAAATGCCAGCATTTCAAAAGACGCAGATCAAAATTCAAATAAGAAGAACGCAGACAATGGTATTGAGTTATTCTGCTCTTACTAATTCTCAACTTGATTGTAGTCGGCCGAAAGCCTGTATCTCTGAGTTTTACGATACTGAAGGCTCCTAAAAGAAAGATAGAAGAATTAGCGCCAGTCAAGCCAAAGAAGAGCATGGTCAAGAAAGCCAAAGATGTGGATGAAGAGAAACGTGTAACCATTCCAAAAGAATTCAAGATACTCGCCAAGAACTTTGGACTGCCGGAAGAACATCTTGAATTTTTCTATGAAAATAGATCATCGTTCAACTGGGAGTGTAAAGATACAACTGAAATTCACTGTGCTGAAAAAAACTGTAACTTTAAAATGAAAGCGTCAAAAGGTTGTTTGGTAGAGCACACTATATCTGCGCATAATTATGAAGATATTCCTTGTGATCATGTTGATTGTAAATTTGTCACATACTCACGGAAAAATTTTAATCTTCATAAAAGCCGTTTCCATAGCCATGGGAAAAAACCAACTTTATACGGCGATCACAAGTGTCCTTATCCATCATGTAAAAACTCTTTTCTGACTCCGCATATATTGCGGCTGCATCTTGATGTCCATGAAAATAACGTTTTTTCCTGCAAATATTGCCCTTACAGAGTCGTGTACAAGGACTACATATTTACTCATTTAAAGGTTCACTTCAATATAAAAAATTTCGAGTGCGATATTTGTTGTAAGAAATTTCACAGGCGTCAGCACTTGGCAGATCATATGACTATTGTTCATAGCAATGACGATTTTGAATGTATTCACTGTGGATTTAAGACTCCAAAGCGAAATAAATTGATAACCCATAGAAAAACATGCGCAAAGCGCCTTGAAAACTCTAGGATTCTTTGAGCTACTTCCTTACTGCACTTTTTCCCACAAACAAGCATTTTCGAGAGGATCTATCGTTATTTTTTATAAGCAAATTATTATTTTAGATGAGATGGGTCTTTTTATTCCTATCTCTGTCGGCTAGCTCGGAATCGGAAGATAACACCGATCCCGCCACTGATGCGAGTCCACTTCCAACATCTTCGCCGTCTAATCTGACATCAACGACCTACGGCTTCGGTGATGTTTTGGGGTAACTCAATCCAGTTAACGACGTTCGAAAGATACCCAGGAATAAAAGAACTTGTTCAGGAAAGAAAATGGAATTCTTATTCGCGGTGCTGTTACGGTCGTTGTTGTAGGGTTGATTATTCTTGCTTCAATTTTAGTCAAAAGGTGTTCTTGTAAAAAACCTACTCGAAAGTAAGCTGCTTTCATTTTAATCTATTCTAACGTTATTCGGATTCAGATACGAAATTATCGAAGCTAACCAGCTCATTGGTGACGATTCAGATAGTGATTCTGAAGTAGACATCTTTCAAAAACGTATGCCTGAAAATATATTCATTTCTTGCTAAAAATACTACGCGCATCACTGATTATTCATTAATTCAAAAGTACCACTATCGCTTTGCACGACCGATATGCTCTAGTTCTCTCAGTTTTCATCAATTTTCTTGTGTGCGCGTCTTTTCTGGCATTTTTGAGAAATGCGTCTTTTCTGGCATCGTGTTCTTTCTGGCAGTCGCGTCTTTTCTGGCACTGGAGTCTGATTCATTTTACTCTGATATTGAGTAGGGTCTACCAAATCTAATAAGCTGATATGAATAGCATAAAACCTTTACCTTCAATAGCAACTTGCCACAGGCAAAACTTTTTATTTGATTTATAAGTTTTTATCATCAAAGAAAATAGTGCTGATCATTTACATAATTTAAAAGATTTTCAGCATTTATTATGATGATCTAATAATTCTTTATTCGATTCTAGTGCCAAGAAATTGGTCCCCTCAATCATATTCAAAACTACGGGTTCTTCTTCTTGAAGATAATTTAAGAAGGAAATAACAGTTGATTAGATTTGGTAGACCCTACTTGATATTAGAATTCAATGAATCAGACTTCAATGCCAGAAAAGACGCGACTGCCAGAAAGAACGCGATGCCTGAAAAGACGCATTTCCCAAAAATGCCAGAAAAACGCGCACCCAATTTTCTTCTGTACGAATACTCCTGTATGAATACTTTGTGCTTTGTATGTTAATTAAACCTTCTTCCTTTCTGCAGAATCTTAATTATCGAGCAGTTCTGGTTCTCTTGGATTCGAACAACAGTTTCAACTTTTCACTTCTTCGCTAAAATATAATTTATAAATAACAAAAATTTCTCCCTCTTCTTTCCCAGAATGGCCAAGGGTAAGAAAGGAAAGAAGAACCAACAAGACGAAGATGCCGAGTGGGATCGTCTTGAAAAAGAAGCCGCGGCGAAAAAAGCCGCTGCGGCTAGTTCCACTGGTGGTGGCGACGCTGAGCCGCAAATGAGCAAATCACAGATGAAGAAACTAAAACGAGAGGCGAAGAAAGGCAACAAACAGCAAGGTTTTGCCCAGCTTGAAGTCGAAGACGAAGAGCCAGAAATCGAGGAAAGCGAGGAAGATATTCCAGCGCCCCTTCCAGCCAAAGGAAAGAAAAACAAGAAGAACAAGAAAAAGGGCGGCTTCGCTGCTTTGGACCTTTCAGATGAAGAAGAGGAGGAAGAAGAAGAAGAGATCGTCTCGCCTCCTCCACAAAAGAAAGGCGGAAAGAAAAATAAAGGAAAGGGGGCTAAAGGAGGTTTCGCTGCTCTGGAAATGTCAGAGGAATCAGAGGAGGAAGTCTCCGAGGCTGAATCAGAGGAAGAAGTTAAGCCGCAAAAGGACAAAAAAGGTAAAAAGGGCAAAAATCGCGAGCCCTCGCCTGAACCCGAATTGAAATCGAAAAAGAAGGGTAAAAAGGGAAAACGATCGCCGACACCTGAACCGGAACCTGAACCGGAGCCAGTTGTGGAAAGCAAATCCTCAAAGAAAAAGGATAAGAAATCGAAGAAAAAGTCAAAGTGGGAGGAACTCGCCGAGCCCGAACCGGAACCAGAGGCTGAGCCGGAACCTGAGCCAGAGCCCGAAAAGAAATCTTCGAAAAAAGACAAAAAGAAAGACAAGAAATCGAAAAAATCAGCTTTTGAACAGTTGGCGGATGAAATGGACGAGGAAGAAGTTGAAGATGTTGTTGAGGAAATGGAGGATTTGAGCATTTCAAAGAAAAAGAAGCGTGGAGGTAAGAAAAATGCAGATAACGATTCCCGGGACATTGCCGGGGACGCCGAAGATCACGATGGTCTTATCTATTTTGATGCCGAGGAGGAGAAACTGCGCAAAAAGGAAGCTGAGGCCGAAAAACGTCGAGCCGAGGCGGAGGTTATTACTGCTCTTGCTTGACTGTAATGATGCTGTTTTTAGGAAGCGATGAAAACGATGACCAGGAAGGAAAAGAAAAAATTCTTGGCTAAAATGGCATTGGAAGATGAGCTGCGGAAAATCGAGGAGAATACGGCTAACATGGGATCTTTTGCGGTCTCGCAGCAAGAATCTGCCGGAAAAGAAGTTGAGGGAGATGATATCAAGATTGATAATTTCTCTATTTCCGGTAATAAGCTTGACAGGGAATATTATTTGATAATTTGAATGGACAATTTTTACCACGAATAGGGAAAAAGATATTTCTGTTGCGTTTTCTTCTGATTCATTTTGAGTTTTTCTTTTTTCGGCGTTAGAATGTAACAAGTCATACATTTTGTATCATTTTGAAAATGGTCAAAAGCGGGTTTATGATTTTAAAGATTTTTACGCGTGAACCTTTCCCTAAATACCTCGAAATCGAACCAAGATAAGACGGTAAACCGCAGAGCGCACAGTAGGGGACCAATATTCTCGCCATGAAGTTCGATCCTTTTATCGAACCCAAAGCATAAAATTTCATCTGGATTCCATATTTGCTTGGTTGCGGTGTTGTAAAGTTAAATTTTAGCTGGTGGCCGAGAACTGTTCAAAGACGCAAAGTTGAAAATTACGGCCGGACGGCGATACGGTCTCGTTGGCCCCAACGGCCGCGGTAAGACCACCCTTCTTCGGCACATTGGCAACCGAGCTCTCAGGATCCCAAAGCATATTGACACACTCTATTGCGAACAAGAGGTCAAGGCTGATGAGACGCCAGCCATTGAAGCGGTCCTCTCTTCTGATGTCAAAAGGTAAGACTCACTACTCGACAAATAAACCAACAAAAAACAACACTAGAACGGAACTGATCGCCGAGCAAAAGCGAATTCAAGCCCGATTGGAACGAGGCGACACATCCGTTTTGGAAAGATTGCAAGAAATCGATGAGGAACTTATCGCCATTGGAGCAGAGTCGGCTGAAGGTCGCGCCAGGCGAATCTTATCCGGTCTTGGTTTTACTAAGAAAATGCAGGTAACTTTCTTTGCCTTCTTTTATCCAGGCATAAAGGTCAAAGAGTCCCAGTAAACCTTGTTTGACCCCTCTTTTGAAAGCCTGCTTATGAGAATAATATCAAAAGACACATTGTATGACGTTCAATTTATCAATCTTTTTGTAAATATTTAATACAGGTTGCGAGGGTCAAACTCTTTTTCCTAGCCAAAGGAAAGATCAACTGTATCTCTTATAAACTGGTCAGCTAAACGAACTCATGCAAATTAAACAAGCTAAGGTGGGTTTTGAATTTAATCGGGCAATCTTGGTCCTGCTCTCTCCCTGATATTGAAAACATAAACCAAACATATCATACATGTATGGATAGAGCCTTTAAAGATCTAGCAACTCTGCATTGGAATTCCAAAAATATCAAATATAATCAGTTTTATCGGAGTTTTTCCTTCAAAACTGGGTTGCATTTTTTGAAAATTGAACAGTGCGAGACATGAATTCAGATTAGATTTCAACATTTTAAACGCCTGAAAACCGGTAATTTTTGGCTGATTTGTTATTCAAATGCAGAGTTTATCAACCTGTAGGAGATCGAAAAGGATCTGATTGTCAATTTTGGTGAAAACCGGCAATTCAGATAAAAATCCGGGAGTAAAAACCGGGAATTTCTATAGATTTCGGAAATTCCAATGCAGAGTTTGTAGAGCTCAAAAAGCTCTTTCCAACCATGTGTCATATGGTTTATTAGAAATTTCGGAGCTACAGCCAAAGAAAGATTGCCCGATTAAATTCAAAACCCACCTAAGAGAAAATCATTTTGATCGTACATAAAACAACCAGACTTTGACTTTTCAAACACAAGAAAAGAGCCATTGACGACAATTTGAATTTAACAAGACTAAAGTACAATTGTAGCCACTAGACATGAACTTTGAATTATTTGCTGAACACTAGACATTTGTGAGACGCAACCAATTTACATTTCTTACAGGCCCGGGCGACCAAAGATTTCTCTGGCGGTTGGCGAATGCGAGTTTCCCTCGCACGTGCTCTTTTCATCGAGCCAACGTTGTTGCTGCTCGATGAACCTACAAACCATCTCGATTTGAACGCCGTCATTTGGCTGGACAACTATCTTTGTGGATGGAAAAAGACGCTGTTGGTCGTTTCTCACGACGCCGGCTTTTTGGACAATATCTGTACCGATATCATGCACCTGGAGAACAAGAAGCTCGTCTATTACAAGGGCAACTACAGTCAGTTCCAGTGTATGCACGAGCAGCATATGAAGGAAATGCAGAAAGCATATGAAAAGCAGCAGAAGAATATTAAAGCTAGCAAGGTTAGTTTCTCATGAAAAAAAGCACTCATGTGACCCGGGAACAATAAGATGTCAATTTTTAATGTTGAAATTGTGAAGGTGCTTAAATCGACATTAATAATTCAAAAACAATAAAATGAGGGGTATTTTTTAAGTTAAAATTCACTTTCAAAATTCTCCTTTACGATTTTTATCCTATTTGCCTCCAATGCCAAAAAGATTGCTTGAAAGCGGGCGACTGGGGCACGTGAAGGCACGTTGAAGGACACTGACCTTAAGAATGTTACTTAGGCAAAAGGCCAAAGCAAAGCCAAAGCTGAGACGAAGGCCCGCGAAGCTCTTACGAAAAAGCAAGCAAAGAATCGGGCAAAGCTCGCTGGTAATATGGAATCGTCTCAAGGACAGGGCAAGCTAAATTTTTTTCATTAAAAAAATCCTCTATTTGAAAATTTCTAATCAATAAAATTGAATTTTCTCAGTGATCGAAAAAAGTTCAAGGTCTGACCTTTGCCTTCATCCGTACTCGTCTAAAAAGCTAGCCCACGGTCAGACACACAGACAGAACTCATCGAAAGACCGAAAGAATACTCCGTCAAGTTCCGCTTTCCAGAAGTTCAAAATCTCAATCCGCCGATTCTTGGTCTCTACGACGCGTATTTTGGGTATCCAGGGCAGAAACCACTTTTCAAAAATGTCAACTTTGGTATCGACATGGGATCAAGGATATCAATCGTGGGTCCAAATGGTGTTGGCAAGTCTACATTCCTCAAACTGCTCATAGGAGAGGAGCAACCGACGGATGGTGAGTTACGATTGTTTTTATGTTTTTGTATGGTTGGAGAATCTTTTAATCTTGACAAAAAGTCAACCAGTATTTGAAATGGCGGGAAGTTAGGCTACTGTTCTAAATGCTAGAATCAAGGAAAAAAGGTTAAAAAGATATGTTGACCGATAAAAGGAGTTAGCGGAATAATATTTGAAATTTACGTTTGTCATTACGAATAAGTTTCAACTAGCAGTAAAATGGACGGTATTTTGTTTGACTAGACAGTGGCCGTCGTTCAGACCAATTTAAGTTTTTAAGCCATACCTTGAATTCATTTCTTCCCCGAAAAATTTGATCGCATTTCAAGGTGGTTTTTCACTAAACCACAAACCACCAAAGTTCTACGAATCCCAAGTACTGCCTGTTTAAATATTTTTTACTGTTTGTAAAAGAAAAACTATCTTATTTTCAATAGAAAATTGCCGCGTGTTTTTCTAATTCCAAAAGCGGGCATTTAATGCTTGCTTCTTTTCTAAGCTTATTTCGGACTGAAATTGAATTTTTATGACCCTTAACAATTTTGGATTTCACGGTAGATTTCACGATCATTGAGTTTATTTTTAGGCGAAATGAAGAAATCACATCGTGTTCGAATCGGGTACTACTCGCAGCACTCGGCGGAACAGCTCGATCTTAATAAATCGCCCGCCGAGTATCTGGTCTCAAAGGTAAGCTAATCAGAAAGTAGAGGACCTGGAGAGTACAAGAGCTGATGTTTAAATTGTTAAAATATAAGTTAAAAGCTTTGTTTATAATTTAAATGAATGCATGAATACGCCGTTGTATTCTAACGTCAAACCACTCACGTAATGCCTAAAGAATGAGTAGCAGGGTAATTGAGAATTTCAATTATAAATTGACTTCGCGGAGAAACAAAAGCTTCTTACTTGACTTTTACGCGAAGTGAATCAATATCCTAAAAGGATCGAGAAAAGATGAAGGGCTATCTACTCGCTCATCTTTCAACGATCACTTTAATGAAAGAAATAGCATGCCTAGGGGAAATCACTAATAATTGAGCTTTTTTTTAGGCTTAGTAGGGTAGGCATATAATACAGTTTTAGAAAGCCCAGAAGCTGGGGATCATTTTGACTATTGATACTGGGGGGTGATCTCGTACCCTGAGGGCATTTAGCTACCTCCAAAGTCCCAAAATCTGGCCAACTTCGGAAATTTGAATTTTTGAGTGCCTGGAGTGGCCTTTCAGAGCCAGCGCTTATGCTAGAATTGTAGCCCAGGCTCTGACGGTCATTTTGAGATATAGAAAAGTACTGAGACCCCGGGGTTCCTGAGGAGCTAGAGGCCCTTGAAGTTGGGGAACTCGACAAAAAATTAGTACTTTTTCACAAAAAGTACACCATTTGTGTCAAAAATGCCTCCCAAAGACTTTTTATAGATGTTTCTTCATGAAAAAATGTTCAAGAAATCATTTGGGGTCATCTGAGGTCACTCTAGGTCAGAAATTATCAAAAATTTAGAAAACTGTCATGAGTGACCCGATCTGACCTCAGATGACCCCAAATGATTTCTTGAACATTTTTTCATGAAGAAACATATATATAAAGTCTTTGGGAGGCATTTTTGACACAAATGGTGTACTTTTTGTGAAAAAGTACTAATTTTTTGTCGAGTTCCCCAACTTCAAGGGCCTCTAGCTCCTCAGGAACCCCGGGGTCTCAGTACTTTTCTATATCTCAAAATGACCGTCAGAGCCTGGGCTACAATTCTAGCATAAGCGCTGGCTCTGAAAGGCCACTCCAGGCACTCAAAAATTCAAATTTCCGAAGTTGGCCAGATTTTGGGACTTTGGAGGTAGCTAAATGCCCTCAGGGTACAAGATAACCCCCTGGTATCAATAGTCAAAATGATCCCCAGCTTCTGGGCTTTCTAAAAGTGTATCATATGCCTACCCTACTAAGCCCAAAAAAAAGCTCAATTATTAGTGATTTCCCCTAAGCATGCCGCGCTTCCGACAGGCTGTAAGGCTATGGTATTCTGCATATCTTGGTCAAGTCGGTCGTGCCAAGTCGTTAGTCTATCATTTTCCTTTCAGACATGTCATACGAAAGGACTGAATTGAAAAGAATGGGGTTGCATTTTTTCACAATTTCTGGATTTAATTGGTAAATTGTTTTCTAACCAATTTACGTTCTTTGAAACATTCTTTCTTTAAATTCTTCGGTCGAAGATTTTAAATAGCACTTTCCTAAAGTTCATATACGAGCCGACTAACCCCGTCCATGATCGACCATGATGATCGATCAACACTTGACGTTCGTGAAGAACTTTTCAAGTTTGTTGGCTTCGCTAGAATATGTGCGTCGTCATCTGCTCAAGTGAGGGTCACTTAGTGACTTGTACGATTTTAAACAAAGATTGATGAAGCAGTGCCTAATCTGAATTTGTTCTTTTGATCGGGGGTCGCAATTCTAACCGGAGCAATTTCAATCGAGTCATGTAGGCAAGGGTAGAAATGTTCTTAAAATTGAATTAATGAAAGCGCTGAAGTTAAAATTGTAGAAAAATTCCGCAAAGCTGTTTTGGCCAAAAACATATTTATGAGTCTAACTCTGAATCAGAAAATCCCTGATCATGAAAATGAAGCGAAAAGAAGCCCCGGACTTTTTATCATTATTTTCTTTTTTCTTAGACTCCTGAAAAGTCTTAAAGAGAAACAAATGAAGTGTTTAATTTTTATGTCAAGGATAAAAAATCCGCTCTTGTTTATGGATTTGGCGAGCACTGGTATTTTAACAACCCGATTTTGACCGACTTGTCTGACATTCTCAGAAGGTCTGTTTTCGACGTTAAAAACATGGTTCAGCTGAATTGCTTGCATAAGTGTTTTCTTGTCGCGGGCTCGTCCAGTATTGCACGTGGCGTTGCTTTGAGCTGAGGTCGATCAATATTGGTTTTATATATTCTGAACATGATCCGCTTTTGGCTTTGCGCCGAGGGCGCCTTGAAAGCCAGCCTCAGCGCCCGCGCACACAAAGAGAACTCCGCCGAGAACTCAGTCGCCAAACCAGACTGTACGTGAGCAACTACGGCACCACGGCCATTATTATAGAATTTCTGCTAGCAGCTACAGTATCTATTCGCTGTCATTGCCACTGTATAAACATTAGATCAGACGCGTCTTTTTGCTTCCATAAAAACAGCTCAAAACTAGGATTTTACCGTATATTCTATTTTAAAAATTAAAATCTTTTGATCAACAATTATTTTCAGTTTTCCGCTGATGACGATCTCAAAATTACAACTCAACAAGCTCGAAAACACCTCGGATCCGTGGGATTAGAAAGTCATGCGCATACTATTCCAAACAGAGATTTATCAGGTAATTATGTGTTACGAAAGACTACTTTACTCTTGTTTAAATCTTTATAAGATTTAAAAGGTAAAATAAGATATAGATTCTTCTAAAACTCATACATAAAAGATAATAAAAAACTTGAGTCTGAAGACTTGGCGCTTTTCCAAAATCGAACTAATTGGAATTGACGATGGAGTTTAAAAAAGCTTAAAAGATGAGATGCGGCTTAATTCTGAGAATGATAATTTAGGTGGCCAGAAATCACGAGTTGCGCTCGCTGAGCTCATTATCATGGCGCCGGACATCATTATCCTCGACGAACCGACTAACAACTTGGACTTGGAGTCGATCGACGCGCTCGGAGAAGCTATTAACGAATATGAGGTAACTTAAATTAGACACGAGTCACGGGAAGAGCTAATTACGGGGTAAACCTTACTCTGAATGACAGCTCGTTCAGAAAATAGCTCTCTCAGAGGGCTAAAGGTCAGCCAAGGTAGATATTTCGATTGGAGTTAATGGGAGACAAGATGTTCAAATTATCCCTGGGTGAAACCGGCCCACATTCATTCTCATTCGAATTTTACCGGATTATGGAAGTAGTAATATCTACCCTACCCAGCCAAAATCTACACATTTGGGTAGGGTAGATCCCGACCCCAGATGTAGGAAGCAGGTTTATACAGTATTGACCGACTTTTCGGGAAGTGCTTCAACTACTAGGATTACTAGCTAGGTATCTGTTCTTGCACCACAAATAATTCAACATGTCGCTGTGAGAGTTTTTTTGGCCCCGATCTTTTTAGTCCCATCAAATGAGTGCCAAGTTATCTGATGAATTTTTAACGCTTCGCAATAAAATATGCAGCTCGCTTTCTTTCTGATACAGTATCCTTGAACTGGGTTCTACGTAGAAATTAATAATTTATCGGATAAGAGCAAGACTTGCTTTCAACCCTGATAACAACACTTGACCCGCTCTGACTCCCGATGCTGCTGAATAATGCAGCCTTGTTTCCATCATTGATCCCTTTTCTTTCCAATATTATATTTTGATACTCACAATAATCCACGTATCTGGGCCAGCTTTCTGAAGATTTAGACAGTGGACAGATTCAAGAGGAAGACACAATAATGAGCCTATTTCGCAAAAAAACCAAATGGGCTTGCCCAAGGGCGGGCTTAATCTTGAGTCTGCTTTTGTTTTTGAAGCATCGAGCCAACACCACCAAAAATGCTCCACACCAGACTGCGAATGCTGGTACTACACCGGACCTATGAATGATGGGCACTTGTTTCTCTTGATGTAGTCTTATGATTCGATCAATCATTTTCGTGACTAAAGCATGACGTTGACAGAACTTGGACACTTTTTATAATTTCAATCCTTGGCATTTTCTACAGATGTGCTCTTAATCGCCCTTCATAGATCATGTTTTTACATATGTAAAGCATCTTTTCCGTGATGAAAGAATATAAAGTCTTTTATTCTGCTGTAAAGAATGATATAAACAAAGGCTTTCGAGTTTGGGTAGTCTATATTTTAGTAAATGAATGTTTGATTTAAAAATTGTTTATAAGAATAATGTTTTTGCTTAAAACTTGTCCTTCTTTCCCTCGCATCGTGCCTTCGTTATTTTCTGCAATAACATTTTCGTAATAATTCTTCAAAAATGCCATGTAATTTCGAAAAAGCAAGACGCTCAAAAGCAAAATGAAAAGTTGACTCAAGTTTAGTGATCACGAGGTGCCACTCCTTGGACATAAGCGTCCAGGTTTACCGACGGATTCGGTTCCCCTAGCCCGTTGCCAATATGTTCAGTAAATTTGAGGGTTAAGGTTTTGTTAATACCCGTGGTTTTGAATTTACAGAATAGAAGGTGTCGTACTCGAAGTTGGCCCCATTGTTGTTACAGACTGTAACTTACAGTACCGATGATCGTTTGGGCAAATGCCATTGTATTTTTACTGGAGTCTTAGTCAATGACCGACGATTAAAACGATGAGGTCGATGTTTATTTATTTAAGCATGGTCATCAAAACGAGGGACACTGACTCTGTTTGTGACCGCAAAATGATTTAAAAACATCCAAAATAAAGGTCTCTCTTTTTCCTTCAATGTTTGATTAATCGAACTTCGCTTTCCTTGTAGCAAACTCGCCTAACATGCAGATAGCAAGCGATAGGCAGTAAATTTGCCGACGTTAGCTGAAAGTTATTGTCCCTCTATTTACCCGTAAGCTGACCTCTTACTACGAAGTGCATGTGGACGTTCTTACTTTAGTTGAATCGTGCATCCTTCTAACGTCAGCGGATGACTTTGAAAGCACGTGATCAATAAACCCAAGAGGCGACACCGGTTGGGTACGATCGAATGTGCAACCTTTCTGTTTCGACGCATATTTTCATAATTCGAAAATTATCATTCTTCTTCCTCTCCTCCGACATACCGTACGTTCTTTCCATTACGATACGTTCAGCAGAACTAATTCGAATACTGGAAATCCAAAGAGTCAGAATTCTGCTGATAATTCAATTAATTTTAAGTTATCTTTTCAAACAAAGTTTGAAATTATTCAATTTCACGTAGTCCTTCGAAACTTTACATGGTTAATCCAATTGGTTTCAATGATGAACTTTTATGTTCAATCGAGCTTGTTTTGACTGGCTTGGAATGAAGTCTCGATGAATTTGAAACTGTCTCCAATCTGCGTCCATCGACTAGGAGCCAGGAACGCTGGCGTCACTGCCATTTGTATTGGTGAATCGACAGAGAATCTTTCTACAGTTTTTGTCGGAGAAAGACTGACATTTTGATCACTGAAAAGCCGTCCCATGCCCCTTTCGATGTAAATTGCGCTTGACTCTGCTCATTGCGCGTTTTTCTCAAGGGTAACTACTGAACCCGAGGTCGGTGAGGTAGCTGGGTAGTGTGTGGTGGCTTCACTGCACTTCAATTCTCTGAGCGGAGTCATAGGCCGTCGCGGTGGCGCTCAGCGCGATGCCGCAGCGCCACCTCCGCGCTTGAACTTGGCGATGTCTTTTATGGCGCAGGGATGTTATGATCTTGCCTCGCCAATCGGGTTCTAATTTTCTTGGCACTGCCACAACGCACTCGCCACGCGCCCAGAGAGGACCAGAAGAGCCCCACAAAAATGAGGAAAAGGACCTATATTTTTAAGCCTTGTCTGCGAACCTCACCAAGAGCGGTGAGGTAGAGAGCTGTTAACCCCACATGGCCTCATGCAGCGGGCAAGTTCCATGAGGCCCATGTGCTCCTGAACCAGCACCGCAGGGAAAGAAGCTTCTCGAGCCTGCTGAGGCCGATGACGAGAGCTTACAATTGAGTTTTTGAGAGAAGAACGCTGAAAACACTGGGGTCACCTGTCAGAGATGCTCGCTCTATTTGAACGTGGCCGGGCAGCGTGCCAGATGAGGGCGTTGGCGAGTAGCCAGCAGAGGACCGCGCACAAGTAGAACAGTAAAGAGATAAAAGCCGGGGAATAGCCGTGATATTCAATGTTCTACCAGATTTACTGTAAGTTTTGCATTTTCCTCAAGAGATTTTTTTCTTCATTGAGCTTAATACGGCCGGAAACGATTTCCTTACGTTATTTTATGAAACGGAAATGGTCCGTTGTCGATTTTTAAATTTGCTTTGAATACCTTATTCCAACGGGACGGGTACAGCCGTTGTCAGGAGGCCAGGAATTAGTCAAGTCAGAACTAGTGCAGGCCAGCATCGTAATCCCTTGTTTTGTTTGGTTTGCGCAAATGCTTACGTTCCTAGTTAAGATCTTGTTTATCAAGGACTTAAATTTCTACACTTTGTTGTTGATAAGCACAATGGATTAGATGACTATCCTCGAACCTTTTATCCACATCATGTGGATGATGTTTTTATGAAAAATATCCTTATAACGAGGCTTAAAATGTAGCTGGAAAGGGAGCTTTGTTTATTTTGGGGAAACCCTTTCTGGATCCACCGTAGAGAATAGATGTTTATGATCATTTCTGTACTAATCGTTCTTTTTAGGGAGGTGTAGTGATTGTTTCTCACGACTCCAGACTCATCTGCGAAACGGAATGCCAACTTTGGGTTGTTGAAGAACAAACCATCAACGAAATCGACGGCGACTTCGACGACTACAGAGAAGAGATCCTCAAGGAACTTGGTGAAGAGATCAACGCCCTTGGTGCTACAGGAGATAACCGAGATGATTCCGATTCCTATTCAGACTGAGCCTTCATGCTGTCAAGCGCCGGTCATTTCAGGAGCTACCAAAGTTAAACTCTGTACAAATCGATAACCAGAGCAAAAGCTCCTACCTAGGCTAATTCTAATTAAACCTATTTATTCGTAAATATATACGTTTACGCCTCGAGATCCATCTGGTGATGGGTCTATTTTTTATTTATGAAAAAGTTCAGTTTCCCAATCTTTAAAAAGAGAATCTTCTTCATAACTTCTTTCTGTTGCTCAATCCCCCTAATATAGGTTATTTTTCTTTCTATGCCATGAATCAGCCACTCAACCATGAAATATTTATTACATAAAAATCATGCTAAGTATCCAAAATTAATCCTCGTTGATTTCAGATCGTTCTCATGAACTCAAATGGAGTTATAATGGAACCAGGCGTAATCGTTCTCGGTGTCACCTCACTAGATGGGAGTAAAAAGCACAGATTCAGAATTCGAGATGTAAGTCGCCCAGGTCACATGACCCCAAAGTAAATAATGTATGTCTAACTCTCTCTTTTCAGACGGATACTATGCGAAAACTGATCGAAACATATGCTAAAATGGAAAACGTCTCTCCCGATTCAATCCAACTAATCCACAAGGGCCAGCCTGTGAACGGCTCTGATGTGCCCAAAATGCTCGACCTGCAGTCGATGGAGATACTCGAAGTCTGTCGAGTTCCCGGAGTCGACACAACCCCACCGCCGCCACCAAAGTCAGCGAGCCCCGCGGCCAATCACATGAGTGTGGAAGAAAAGTCAGGTACTACTACAACTACTACCGTCGCGCATTGGTACGATGCCAGCGCCCTTGTATGTGGTCAAAACAATGCAGGCTTGTTCGACATGTTCGATTAGCCTGCCTTGGGTTGAAATTGTCACTAGCGAGAAAAACATAGAACGAGAAAAGCGAGAGCGCGAAATAAATTGATAAATAGATTTTTAAAAAGATGTCTTCAGGAAGCAGCGCCTCGCCAGAAGAAATCAACAAGCCAATTTTAAACGGGCTCCAGGACATTGAGTCGAAGCCGCTCCTTCAGAACCTCCAGTCAGAGTACATCAACCGAATCCTGTCAAACACGCTGGCGGCGAACCAGAACGGGGTTCAACCACCCGCCCGTGCATCCCCTAAACGGCCCGCTCCGCCACCAGATCCCCCAATGAAGAACTCTCATCTCAACCTCGAGATGTTCAACTATCCCTTCCCAGCCAACGTGTCTCCAAATCAAGTAAACCCACTCCTAACCTCAAACAACAACAACAGCCGGAAGATAAACGAACTCGAGCTCGAACTCACCCAGGCCAAAGTAAAACTTATCGAAATGATGCGCCATATGCAATTTCTCCAAGCTAAGCTAATTCTCACCGAAAATGAAAACAAAGAAAAGGAGCGCCTTCTCAAGCAAAAAGACAAGACAATGGACAACTTGCGGATGGAGCTGCAGCGGAGAGAGCAGATCTTCCGCGCATATGGCCTCGCCAGCGATTCCCACCGCTCCAAAGCTAATCACAACCCAAATACTAGCTCCGCCCTGGCCTCGGTCAATCCAAAGCCGATCGCCAACGCCAGAACAAGAACTTCCAGTACAAGCCAGCCGACGCCGAATTACATGTCTGTAATTCAAACGCTCGACAGCGCAGCCCGAAACTCACCCAAAAGCGCAGGCAGCGCGGGCAGCAATGTCTCCAGGTAATAATAATGACAGTTTAACGATGACATAGCTACAGTAGAAATGACCTTGGCGAAGGCGTCCTCCGCGGAGAGCCAGAACTAATGAATTATCGCAAAAGGACCGAAATTAGCCTAGTAAAACCAATAGCCGCAGACTCGAGATAATATGCATAAAGGCCAACTCCGCAATCCCTTTCCACTTGATACGGATTTACGTTTTCGCTAATCTCACTCGTGCTCAAAAATCAGGTAGTACTTGTACTGAAACAAGTTCACCCACGCGGCCGTAGTTGGAATCACAGTCTAGTTTATTTCTCATGCTGACATTTTCGTTTTAGGCAAAGCGACATCGTGCTGAATCGCACCGCCCCGGGTCCAAGTTGGAAATGAGCCTCACCGTCAAAAATGTCTTCTCATCCGCTCCTTATTTATTTCTTCAATATCGCTTGAACGCTTTCGCTTCACTCAAGTTGTGGATGAAAAACAAGGTGACTTACAAAACAGCTAGAATGATGACCCAGGATCAGCAAGCTCTCACATCACTTCTTGTGCTACCGTATTTATTAATTTTATCATCAACAAAAACAAAACAAAAGGGAAAACACTTGTGCTTCTTAAAAAATTCTTGACTTCTACAAAAACAAAAACAACTTTCAACTTCTATTCTATATCTACTGTTCTTTCGCGGCCTAAATTATTCTTCTTTTATATATTTTTCTTTCCACCGATACACCTCGTTTTTGAAGTTATCAAATGTATTGAATTGGGAAAAGTAAAGTTACTTCCTGAAACAGATAAATTGGTGAGGCATGCTTTCACTCATCTTGTACCCAAACATAATGACAATTTTACTACTGGTGACTACTGTATTTTCTAACTGCCTCGCGCTTGGATTTCAACCACCCTATTTTTCTGAAAATGGCCATTTAATTACAATTTTGTTCTCCTATAAATATTTTTTCCTCCTCTTCTTGGCTCCAATGCGTGGCGCACAATAAATCTTCTACCGTTTGGCTCCCTTTTTTGGCAGCCGGAAAAACTTTGAAACTGCTTGAAATTTTTCATTTTCTGGACCCCTCTTTTTGAATCTGAACTGCACTCTTCTCTGTTCCATAAATGAAGTTTCAATATATTTACAATACTTCTTTTTGTTCAAAAAATATTATTCAAAAACCTTGTTTGACTTCTTTCTTTTTGAAAATGGCAAATGCAAGCAATTGAAATCAAGGAAGAGTACCTCATTATAGCTCATCAGGCTCTATTTTCTCGCTCATATTTGACAGTAGTCATTCCAATAAAATTCAACCTCAATCAGCAGATATCATTTTGCAAGCTTTTCGCTCTAAGTATCCCTGGTGCCAAAAATGATCTTTCATAGCTCCTCAAAAAGACCTGAAATATTGAACCTCAGCTCCGAAAAAGTTTCCAACACAAAATCAATTTTATGATCTCAAAGTAAATTTTTCGTTCTCGCTCTCTTTTCGTACAGTTTTTTTTCTTCCTGCACTAAATACTCCTTGTTTTCAAAAAGATAAGACTGCCCTATTATTAGCAAAGTGCTATCAGGTACTCAGTACTGTATTTTTCTTAATCATTCTTACTATTTAATTGTGACCGCAGATTCTGAATTCATCCTTTGTCGATTGTTCAATTTTATGTAATAAAAGTATATATTTATGCAAAATCAGTCGGTTTTCTAGGCCAATTTCATACCTCATCATCATGATTAGGTATTATGATAAACTCTTGGGAAAGAGACATTACTGTCAAACGGAGGACAAGTCATTATTATGATTAAAAATAGCCTAAAAAAGACTATCATAATTATAGACGATAATTAGTCTCAAAACAAAGTCCACGTTTTCATATCAAAGTTATCTCCGGAGAAAAACCTGATTTAATGATCATTAGCATAAACTGACTTAGTGACAAAGTGTCTATCATTTCTCTTTCTGTTTTCAGGCTCAACAGGAGCTCACACTATTGCGAAATCAGCCTGTTCTTTTTCAGAATTAACATGGAAGAGTTACAAGAAAATATTCACCAGGCACGCGAATTCGCCTTGAAAAATAATTACGACTCAAGGCAGGTTGTAATTCTGAAAGATCGTGTCTGTTTTGGTCCTCAAAAACAGTCGTTTCTGTACTTGAGATAAAGAGCATAATCATGTTAAAAACCGCGGACAAGATGTAGGCTGTAAAACCATGAAACAACCTAAACTCAGCGTCATCTACTATCAAGGAGCGATAACAGCCATCCCCCGCTTAGCCCGGGATCCATCAACGACGCCCTCGGATCAAAACCTCTTGTGGCAAGTCAAGGTACCGTTAATCAGTCTGTGGCTATGTTTAGTGGCCGCAAATCTCCCTTCAAATTGGTATTGATAAATTGTCTATTTCCTTGCCTCAATTTCTTAACAATTACAACCGCGGGATGTGAAAATACTTCCTGTCTATTTATCAGTCTTTCCGGTCTAATTTTCATCCCTCCGTATATTACTGAGCGGATACTGCAAAAATAAATAGCAAAAATAGCATTTGACAATTTCTTATGTTCTATTTACAGATTTTCTCAGGATATGTGTAATGAAGAATTATCGGAAGTCAAGAAAATCCAGAAAACATTACAGTCAATGCGACAACCCTCTCGGCAAGAAGCAGATTACAGTCAACAAGTTACTTCTCAATCGTCTGCGGCAAGTCAGCCCAATAGGAACAAGGCTCTTCAATATTAGCCCGATTTAATTCCAAAAGTTTACAAACAAAAGCATTTGTGTCCACAAGCTGTTTATAAACTTGTGTATATCAATATTTCAAAACGCAATAATGAACATGGCGCGTGTTGAGCCACATTCAGGCAAAAACGGGATCCGGATGTTTGGGACCCTCCACCACCACGAGCAAAACCAACGAGTCGAGCTCCACCGCGTCGTAGCGTGGCGCCAAGTTCCCGATCCGCCGCGCCATCACATGCTTCTCGTGGCCCGAGCAGTAATCCCACTCGAAGAACAGGCGCTAGCCGACCGCAGGAATCAAACAGAAGCCAAGTTAGAGCGCAAGGAAGTAAACAGACGGATGAAAAGAAATTCGACCCAGTTGGATATGACAAAGAATTGGTTGAAGCTCTTGAGCGAGACATTGTGCAGCGAAATCCAAATGTCTCTTGGGATTCCGTTGCTGGGCTTGAAGAGCCAAAGAAGTTGCTCAAAGAAGCAGTCATTCTTCCTCTGATCATGCCAGACTTCTTCAAGGGCATCCGCAGACCGTGGAAAGGCGTCCTCATGCACGGCCCTCCTGGAACTGGAAAAACCCTTCTAGCAAAAGCAGTCGCGACTGAGTGCAATACAACCTTTTTCAACGTCTCCAGCTCGACCTTAGGATCAAAGTACCGCGGAGAGTCGGAAAAACTTGTTCGTCTTTTGTTCGATATGGCACGATTTTACGCTCCTTCTACGATATTTATTGACGAAATTGACTCGATAGGAAGCAAGCGAGGCGGAAGTGACGAGCATGAATCATCGAGGAGGGTGAAGAGCGAGTTGCTTGTGCAAATGGATGGTGTTGATGGAGCAGTTGGAGGAGATGATGCGACCAAGATGGTCATGGTTTTGGCCGCTACGAACTATCCTTGGGATATTGATGAGGTCACTAGAACTATTCTCACACACATTCAAACGTTGTTAGGCTCTGAGAAGACGTCTGGAGAAGCGAATTTATATTCCTCTGCCCTGCGCAATGGCAAGGTCACAGCTGCTAAAGATTAATCTCAAAGATGTCGCTATTGCCGAAGATGTCGATTTAGGTAAAAACAATTTCAAACGACGTTTTTTCTGAGCTTATTTTCAGAGGAGATCGCAAAAAAGATGGAGAACTATTCCGGCGCTGATATCACTAATGTATCACGTGATACAGCAATGATGTCGATGAGAAGGGCTATTGAAGGCTTGGCACCAGATGAAATCAGAAAGCTTTCCAAGGTAGACTTCATCGAAGATTGCTAAGTTTAACTTTGATTTCAGGAACAGCTCAATCTTCCGATATCCAAAAAAGACTTTCTTGATGCTATCAAAAAGGTAAAGTTCACATTCACTAGACACAAGTCTCACTGTATGTATCTGTAGGTCAACAGATCAGTGTCCGACGACGACTTGGAAAAGCACAAAAAGTGGAGCGACGAGTTCGGCTCCGTTTAGTCACCATCAACAGTATTTCACTACAGTTCACAATTCTAGTACGAAAATCACCTTCATCTGCAATCGCGTGTTCACATAGTTGCCTTTTAACTATCTTCATTCCGTTTTTATACTGCATAAAATTATACTTCACTATTTTCATACATCACAGAGAATTAAATAATAAAATTGATTTTTTTACTGGTTTTGTTTTAATCGTGCCTGTTTATGATGCGGTGGTCTTCTTGAGCAGCGAGTTGTGAAGGCTTTTTTTTATATTGTGGGAAGCTGATTGAGTTGAAAATACCATGTGAATCGATCAATTAATTGTGAATCACCGTCAAAATGAACTTTTGGTTGCAAAATCTACTGATGTCAGCGTTCCCATTGCAGGTGATAATCCATGTCCCGGATTCTAACCCTAGCAAGAGCGCCAAAACTTGCGCCGTCCGCAAGTTGAACTCGTAGACTCTGCTTTTCCTCATCACTTCTCTTTTCGAAAAAGTTGAAAAAAGTCGAGAGAAATGCCACTGGCGCAGTTTGTTGCTTTGAAGCTCGAAAGTCCCGAAGATTCTGCTTGCGAATTTCAAACAAAGATTCTTCACTACGATTCCGAGCGCACAGTGTATTTTGAGTTCAGTTGTGGCTGCGTTTTCAAAGTAGATAGAACGACTTCTATTTCTCTAAGATACTATACCTTCTATGGTGAATGCCCGGTGCCTTGCGAAATTTTCCTGGAGACGTACAATGCTGCATTGGAAAAATTCTTCAAGACGACGATTATACGAAAAGAAAAATCGCTTTGGAAAAGACAAGATTTCAAAAAGACAACCCACCGATTCTGTCCTGCTGATCCGGATTTTTATGTGAAAATGCACTCTATGATGACAAACTCCGAACAAGACATCATTAAAGCATTTCCTGTGCTTCCACTTTACTGGAATGAATTGACAGTTTTCTGGAGGAGCTTATGCCATCAAAAGAAGCTTGACTTTATCTGGACCGTCTGGTGCACGATTTTTCTTAATACTTCTACGATGCCGGTAGAAATGGCTACCATTCGAAAAAGTCGACGGCTCCCGAAAAAGGCAAAGGAAGCTCTCCAAATCGTCGAAAGCCTAGATGAGAACCCAACGCAGACTGATGAACTTGTGCCCCTCTTTGCGGATGTATCTGTCAATGAGAAGAAGAAGAAGCAAAAGAAGAAGAACCCAAACAAGGGCAAGGCTCCGAATGCCATCCGGAAGTCTCAGAAGCCAGCGCGGCTCTAACTTTACAAAAGTAAGCAAAGATTTCCAAATTATCATTAAAATGCTTTCAGGGTCTAAATCGCTGTAAATACTACCAGAATATCCAGTAACCTGCCTCTCCTTTCCTTGTTAATAAGAAAACATCTTTCACTCCTATCGACGCAAGAAGAAGGTCAAAAAGTCTTTTACCAACAGCTCTCTGCTAAGGCATCATTTTCCCGCCAAAAATCTCCGTTCTTCATATATTGAAACCTCTCTCTTTCAAACTTCATATTGATCCTCTTCATTCCATTTGTTATTCATCGCGAAGCATAAAACAATAAACTTGATCTTTCAATTTTCTTTGTTTCACAAGTAGCTGACATTTATGATTATGGTTTTTATGAGTTTTGGTATTGTTTTGTTGTCAATCAGAAATTATCAAGTTTAGACGGGAGCTTGAGATGTCAGATTTGCAGGTCACTTGTTTGGGAACCGCTTCCCAGCAACCAAGGTAGATCTTAGGGATTATATCCGTCGTTGAAGCAATATTCTAGCGTAAAGAGAGCGTTGAACAGCTGCGTTTACAGAAATAAAGGAATCTCCTATCTTGTCGATTGTGGTGAAGGTACTCAGTCTCAATTAACCGCGTCAGGGGTTCGTCCGAGTTCGATTAAAACAGTCCTGATCACGCACTTACACGGGGACCATTGTTTTGGCTTACCAGGCAGCGAAGAAAAAAACATTTGAAACTTTCAAATTCAAAGGTTAAATTCAATCCTGCCCTTTTCGGGCTACGCCCTTAATTTATGACTTTTTCTCAATCGAAAAGAGGGATGATGTGTCTGCTAGACGGCTCGCATCAACCAGACACAAAGCTTGTTTCCGAAGCTAGAGATACGAATTCGTTGATGGAAGCGGTAAAGAAAGTGAAATACGAATACCCAACGATAGAAGTTTACGGCCCAGTCGGTCTTCGGAGATATCTAAGAGTAGCTCTGCAGCTTTCCCGCTCTCGTCTCGCCTGTAAATATGTCGTGCATGAACTTGTTCCAACAAAAGCTCAAGTCGAGGGATCTCATCCTTCCTTTGAATCCTGGAATCCTCCAGCAAACGACGATTTCGAACGGTATTACAACGAGCTTCCTGGTAAGTAGTCAATAAATACTGGAAAGTAACTGCTCCTTGCCAGGGCGGCAAATCTACCCAGAAAACTTCCACGGGCAAAATATCTGGAAACTGTGCAAAGATGGAAATAACGTGACAGTCACGGCAGTTGAGCTTCTCCATCACGCGCCTTCCTTCGGATTTGTCTTCGAAGAATCATCGGTGAAAGGTCTTTTAGATAAAGACAGATTAGCTGAATTTGGACTGAGAAATTCTCCGCTTTGCGGAAAACTTGCGCGAGGAATGGAGGTCGAACATGATGGGAGGATTATTAAACCATGTGATGTGCAGCGGCCGGAAGTGAAAGGAAGAAAAGTAGCAATTTTGGGCGATTCTCGTGATAGGTAAAGAGAAGATCCTCTTTCTTGGAAGATTAAGTCTTCAGTAATTTAGCGAGTAACTACTGTCATGAAGCAGATTTGATCATGCACGAGGCGACGCTAGAAAATGACCTGGAAAGTACGGCTATTGAGCATGGTCATTCAACACCAAGGTATGAATTATTGTTCCCAGTCTACCAGTTCCGCCGTTTGCTAGTATAAGCACTTATAAAAGAAATCGTAACAAAAGGCCGCAAAATAAGATTTTCTTAGATTGGCTGTAGAATTTGCTAGAAAGTGCGGCGCGAGAAAGCTCGTTTTGAACCACTTTTCACAGCGCTACAGATCGGAGAAAGATGAAAAATACGATTTAGAGGAGAGCATTACTGACCGAATTTTATTGACACAAGGTGACTTTTCAATTTGTCGAATATCAGCTTATGAATTTTTATAGCGAAACAAAGCGCGCTGGAACTTGGCGAGAGTGAAGACTTTGTTGACATTGCGAGAGACTTGAAAGTGATTGACGTGCTACGCGCAAAGTAGCTTTTGACATTTTTAGTGACGATTTTTTTCTTTTAGAATTTGATCTGTGGAAGTTGAATTTTCGGAGCTCAAAAATGATCGGTGTCAGTTTTTCGTTTTTGACCTTGTTGGCGGTGTCAAAGGCGCAGGAAGAGATCACGAGCGCGACGATAGAAGCAAAGCCGATTGAGAAGTCGAGATGTGGAAGAGAGTACTTTTGCTTCAGGTTTGTTTTACGTTGAAAATGACAATTCTATCCCTTTTAGTTTTGATTGCGAGTTTGGCGAAGAAAATTGCCCTTATGTAGCTTGGAAAGAAACAGAAGAAAATGAAGACTTCGTGACAGTCAAGCTGTTCTACAACTCTCCAAGCCCCGCCTATGTTGCTATTGGATTCAGTAGAGATAAATCAATGGGCCAAGATGATATCTTTTTCTGTCAAAGAAATGAGCAGAATCAAGTTGCCATTGTTTCGTCGTTCTCGAGAGGAATGTCGAAACCGACGAATCTGGGAAGTACAAATGTTGAACCAGAAACAAGTAAGTATTCAGTCCTTTTTTGTGTTTTTTATCTCTTTCTATTAAGGGTTGACGAATATCGGACTTGGAAGTGATGGAAATACATTTTTCTGCGAATTTGATCGACCGAAGAGCCTCGTCAAGGACAATATTGTTTACGATCTTGCTGACGGGGACTGGTTCGTTCTTCTTGCCACTGGTGCTGTTGGTGGCAGTCAAGCATACCACGGTGGAGTAAACAGAGCAGCGTCTTCAATTTCATGGAAACTTTCGGATCCTCCACTGGATTTCTTCGGCGACGCGCTTGATATTTCTGCGATGAAGATTCATGCGATTTTGATGTTCGTCGCTTGGGGCATTCTAGTCCCGTCCGGGTATGAAAAAACAAGTTTGAGGAACTTCAGTTTTGAAATTTTAGCTTGTTTATCGGTCGTTTTTTCAAACGCGGTTATCCAAAGAAAATGGTAAAATCGAAGCCAATCTGGTTTCAATTTCATCGATTATTGATGGTCCTCTCTGGTGAGAAAAAAACAGCCGCGAGCTACAAGCACTAACTTTTTGATTCTAGTGATTTTGACGATCGTGGGAATCATCCTCATTTTTGTGAATCGACAGGGTTGGTCTGAAAGCGCCGCTGAAAATGGACATGCTTTTGCTGGAATCATCGTTTTTGCTTTTGGATTGATGAATCCGATTATTGCCATGTTCCGTCCTGATCCTGACTCAGGCAAGAAACGATAATCATTTTCAAGAGAAATACTGTTTCTTAGAAAACCGAAAGTACTTCAACGTCTGCCACCATTCCATCGGCTACCTCGCTCAAGTAGGCGCCGTTGTAGCAATTTTCCTCGGATTCGATCTAGCCGTCTACGACTTGGAATTCGTCTCCACTCAAATCTACGCAGCTTTCATCGTCATTTCTGCGATCATTTCAATCTTACTCGAGCTCTTCAAGGGAAGAGTGGAAAAGGCTTCCTTCGCTGGAATCAATGTGTATTCCATTTGTTCTGCTGTTTATTTTATGATTCTTTTGCCGTTTACTATCACTCTTCTTGTTCATATCGGAAGATTTGACGGATCTACTGATGAATAAAAAATACCTATCGCTTTAATTTATTTCCCATTCCAATTACCGAAGAAATCTTCTTTCTGGAAAGATTTTTTCTCTGCGAAAGACTATTTTCACAAAGATAGAGTGCATCAAGATCGTTGATTTCCGCGGTAATCATTTTTTCTAGTAAACTAATCCTAAATCAATACTTATCCCAGCCAATACTTCATTACGAGCTTGAATCCGACCATTTTTTCCGATAACAATCACTTCTATCTTCATCTTTAATGCATGAAACATCGGGTGCTTCTTTTGCATGCATTCTATCCTTTCTTTGCGAAACTGTACATAATTTCTTTTTACTGATCTTATCCTTCAACAATCTGATGCAATAAAAATATTTCTTATTTATCTTAAAAACAAAAATCTAAAGACTTATTAAGTCTTCAAGAAAGCCGGACTCGAATATTGTAAATTATAATGAATGGCGAGGCACACAGTCTTCAAAACTAATCCCTGTGAGGCGTTGGGTCAAATTTTCAGCGCGTTATCCTACATTGGTGATATAAGGTGAGAAAATTTTCAAACTGGGGCAGCTTTTGACATATTTTAGTACGGACATAGTCGTCGCGTACTTTTACTTTACAAATGACCACTTTTACTGGGGAATTATCACTCTGCTCCTCGTCTTGGTGCCTGGATGGATCGTAGCCTTCTTCTCGCTTTACTGGCTTGTAGAAGACCAGAGAAAACCCTCCCCAATGGTTATTTTTCTCCACATCATCTGCTGCGGTCCCCTGTGGCGCTACTGGCAAGCTTTCAATGCGCTTCGTTATCAAAGACCTACCTTTACGGGGACATTCTCTGAAGCACTTTCGGATGTTTCTATGTTGAGATTGATCGAGGGAATCTTAGAGTCTGCTCCTCAGGTATTTCTCTCTTCTTGCCGTTGACTTTAGCAATTATTTAGCTGATGCTTCAAATGTATATTATTATTTCGAAAACAGGTGATGATGAAGACAAGACCTTGGTGGCGGCTCTTGTCTCCGCAACATTTTCCATGGTCTCAATTTCCTGGGGAATGGCTTCTTACGCTCGTGCTCTCCGAAAAGCAGCTCCAGAAACAACCGGGCAAATGACCAAGAAGGGCGTTTTCTTCTATTTTCTTTGGGTAAGAAAAATGTCATCTACAACTTATAAAGAAAAATTTTCAGCGTTTCTTCGAATTTACCTCTCGAATTTTGACTCTTGTGCTCTTCGCTTACGCTTATAAGCTCTTCGTCTTGGTGCCGATTTTCACCCATTGGCTCTTTATGATCATTTGGCAAATTTATCTTGGTGCGAACTTTCATGACACTCAGAATTCCTGCGTTGAAGGTAACTCAAGAAATATTCCGCTTTCCTTATCATTTTTAGGCTTTTTTCAAATGGTGATGGCGTTTCTTCAAGTATTTCTTTTCTTCCATCTTTGCGAAGGCCCCAGTCGCGAAAATATGTGCAAGGTAAGACTAGAAGGGTTCTTAGAACGGAAGGCGTAATCGATTTCTAGTATTACATTCTCGTTTTACTCGAGAATGCAGTAATGCTATGTCTGTGGTATCCGAAAGCAGGCCAACTCAGCCAAACGCATGGCAAGAATTTCAACGAACTTCTGATCACGATAATCGTGGCTTCCTTCATTCTAGCGCTGCTATTTTGCGTCTTCTACTATGTCGTTTGGCATCCAAAGGCGAAGATCAAAAAGATGGCTTCAAAATCGAAGCTGAAAGAAAAGGGAAAACGGAGGAAAGAGGAGAGTGTTTCAATGATCGAAATAGGTAAAAACTGTCGACTTTAAATTCTTCCTAGAATCTTATTTTTAGATGGACGCAGTCGACAACTAACAAGTGAGACAGAATACCCGACTCTTCGTCGCAAGATGCAGACTAAATTCGGTCTCCAAACGCTCGAAAGAAATCCTCATTTACAAAACCCAATGAATCCTGTTCCACTAAAGAAGAGCAAGAAAACTGTGCCTAACCTATCCATCGTCCGTGAATCAGAGAATCGTTCTTCAATCGTCAGCAGCGCCGCTTCATCAAAATCGTCAACGAATTGGAATCGGCCGTCTAAACAATCGCTCAAATCGTACAACAGCAAATCGAAAACGAAATACAACACAATGACGCGTGATTAAAACACTTACAACATTCAAATTGAAATTTTTATATTCTTGCCAGCTTTTACCTGCACTTGTCTCATTACCTGCATTCATTCCTACACCTCTCTGCATTCTTTCTAGATCCATTGTGACTATTTCAACGCCTTTTTGACAAACAATGCCTTCCTCAGTTCCAAAAATACAAACACCTGTTACATAACGCATTTACACCGTTCATTTACCAACTAACATGGAGGCTAACTCAGATTTGGCCCCTGACTCTTCTGAGCCAGAGGAAAACGCCCAAATGACGGAGGACAATCATGAAGTCGAAGTCACGCCAGAGCAGACAGAGCAAATCGTGACGTTTTCTATGTCGACTGGAAATGAGGATTTAGACGAGTGTGCTAGGGTTCTAAGGGTACGAAGCTTTTCACAATGACGATCTTTTCATTTAATTTTAGGAAAATAACTGGGATTTGGACAGAGCCGTTAATTCTTCATTAGCAGGGACATCTAGCCCTTCTCAAACGAATAATCCACCTCAAAATGTTGCTAGAACGAGGTAAAATTTTCTTTGTTGATTTTCGAGTAACTTTGAAATTAGCTCCAATGATAGCAATATTCTCAACCTATCCGACGATGAGGAGTACCCCGAAATCAGAAGGCGGAGACCTCCGATGGCGGTGGCTGATGATGACAGTAATATTCCACCTCCACCTCCAATCGGTCCAGAACTTGAGCCGACCGTCACATCGATGGTAATCAACTAAAAGCCATTTCTTCCTTTAATATTTATCAGAGCTCGCAAACTGTCGCAAGAAGACCCTCTGGAACTGTTGTTTCCATGATCTTCTCTTTTATGAGCCTCGCAGTGAAATCGCCTTGGACCATCGTCAAAAATACATTCTCGTTAGTTACTTCTTGGTGGCGAAATCTTGGCCCGGAGTTGACACCTGCCCAGCAAGTGGACGATTTCGCTGTTAAATTTAACAAGAAATATGATGAAGTAATTACTTTCTTTGATTTCTTTATTTACTAGTTGCTTTAAAGATAACTTGGATGAAATGTCCATACAACGCCGCTGTTAACGCTGTGAGATCAAATCTGAGACCCGTTATCGTCTATCTCGCCAATGAATTAAAAACTGAAAAGAGTACGCAAATCATTTTTTGAAAAGATGTTTGATGAGTTTAGGTGATAATTTCGCGCAACTTCTGGTGACGTTGAATACCGAATTATCTGGTAGAATCGACTTCTGGGGCTGCGATATCATGAGTCCAGAAGCGGTCAGAACAGCTGACCAAGTTCGCGCGACAATTTTTCCATGCGTTCTGATTCTCGGGCTTCACAAGGATCAGCAGTCAATTATCTGGAGAACAGCTCTTGACAATATCGATGTCGAGGACTTGAAACTTCAAGTTGAAAGAGGTAAGGCGTAATCAACGAAATATCGTCTATCATTTCCTTCAGCCGAAGCCGAACTGGTAACCGCCAGGCATGAGGCTCAAGTCCGGCAAATGGACCGTTCTCTTCGTGAACAACAAGATGCTGAATTTGAGAGAACGATGGAAGCCGATCGGTAAGAATCTCTACTCGTCAGATCTCATCCTTACCATTTTTTGTAGAAAGCGACTTGAAGAAGCGCGACTGAAAAAGGAAGCCGAAGAGCGTAAAGCTCAAGAGGCGGAAGAAAAGAAAGAACTTGCGCAACGACGATTGACCGAAACTCGAGATCGGAAGATTTCTGCAAGAAACAATCTCGCGGCAGAGCCCGAAAACGGCATTCGTCTTCAATTCAAACTTCCAAACGGCTCTAAATTCATCAGAAAGTTCGTCGAGGATGCTCCGATTTCGGATATTTTCCGTAAGTTTGTTTAAAGAGAAACTAAATCACCTCTTTCTTTAGTTTATGTCGAATCGCTGGAAGATTCGCCCGGGCAGTGCTTTATTTCTACAGTCTTTCCAGTTCGAAAAATAACGCCTTCAGAAACTCGCTCTCTTGCTGAACTAGGAATTAAAAACAATGATCAACTCATGATTCAGGAAAGGGTCTTTAATTTTCATCGTAATGGTATTTTTCTTTGAATAAAAGCAATTGACAAAACCCCCGAAAAGGCAGTGGAACTGTTCTCCTCCTCCGATGACGATGAATCAGACGAAAGTGACTAGATTGACCTTCGAAAATTATTTTCCTCTCTTTTAGAATTTTCTTAATGCTTACTGTTCTCGTGTTTGATTTTTCTTCAAGCTACCTTATTTTGTCCAAACAAGCACTTTTTAATTTTCTGTAAACATAAAATATAAAGGATAGAAAAAACAAAAGTACAAGCAAAATGTTTTCGTCCAGAATGCAGGCTGGAAATATTTTGCCCAGTTTCAAGGCGAAATTCGATGGGCACTCGACATCGGAAGAGGTGCTCAGGGATGTGGATTTGAGTGGCAAGAGGTATATTGTCACTGGAGCAACTACCGGTCTCGGCTTTTACTCGGCGAAAATGATCGCAGCTAAGGGAGGAAAAGTGACGATCACAGCTAGATCAGGCGACCGGGCGAGGGAGACAATCAAATCTTTGAGAGAGGAGCTCGGTTCGGAAATAGACGCTGATACTTTTGACTTCCTTGTCATGGATCAGATGGATCTTGCACAGGTCAAAGCTGCGGCTGAGGATTTTCTTTCAAGGAATCGCCAGCTGGATGGCTTGCTCTTGAATGCTGGTTGGTTTGGTAGTGAATACAAACTTTCTGGAACGGTTTGAAGCGGTTTATTTACAGTAGCAAGAAGAGAATAACTGGCAAGCTAAGCAAAAGAGAAGACGCATTATCATGCAGCATAAAAGCAGACACTGTTTTAATCTTGCTTATTTGATGAGGGCAGCGTTGAGTTTCAGTCGAAATTTGATCATATCTAGCTCTGCAGTGCTCTTCTTTGCTCAGTTTGCAAGCAGAGTTACCATTGAAGCTATCTGAAGTGCAAAGCCGGACATCACAAGTCACTGTAACGTTCATCGAGCCACTTCCATTTCCGCGAGGACTGAATATGTTTGGGAGAAGAAATTGTTCTCTCTTCAGCATAATCTCATTTGTAGAATAGTCAGTTCGATTCGATGTCATCTCGAAACGTTTACTGGCATACTGCCCAGACAAGACGAACTCCGGATACAAAAGGCAACCATCCTTTATAAACTCCTCGTCAATTTCTTCATATCGCCAGTAATTCGTGTTGTATGGGTCTTCCCTCGAATAAGCATATGAAGTTGTTCGACAGGAGTCCAGATGCATAATGTTATATTTTAGCTCACTTTCAGGCTCAAACTTATTCGAGATTTCCATAAAGAAGTCGCTCTCGATTTCCGGTCTCAGCAATTTTCCATCCCAATCATTAATCTCTCCAGTATTTTTGTCGCGTAGCCTTACACTGATTTCCAAATCGTAGTCTGTGTCAAAGAGAATCTTATCTTCACAATGTTCTGATGGAGCAGGTGTGATGCCTTTTGTAAATTGAAAGTCGACTTTCTTTTTGAATTCGTCAGACCGGTCATATTCTCCTCCAGTCGATCGTGACAAGAATAAATTGTCATATCTATCATCACATGATTCGACTCTTGATTCTTCTTGTGAGAGTCGGCACACTTGTCCGCCCGGGCTATCTTGAATCTGAAATGCTTCCGATGGGCAGAGAGCGTATTTGCACATATAACTCAGCTGATACGACCCGTCCGGAAAGTATGAAGGATAGAAGACAAACTGATCTTTGTTGAACATTCTATCATTCGTGGTCCATTCTGTTCGTTTCTCTTTCATCTTCAAGATATGATTCGTATCTTTCATCGGACATCCATTGTCGAGAAAGACAAACTCGTTGAATACTTCATACTCAAGAGTGGTTTCGTTGAACTTGTTTATGTAAGCCGTGCACTCAGTAATGTGCAGTAGATGATTGCCAAGCTCGTCTCCAGATGAAAGCCCGTGTTCAATTTGCACGTATAGATTCGTGAACTGGCTGCCTTCGGATAAGTCAATGGGCTGGCCACTCCATCTTTGGGTATATTCACGATCTATGTAAAGTCCAAAATCGAAGGGAATCACTGTATCATCGACGATGTGTTCATATGGAGGTCTTCCTCCAGTGCCCAAGTCCCAACCGCTATCCCAATCTTCGGCGAGCAATCGGCAGGTGTAGATGTCTGATCGACCATACGAAATTTGCCCTAGGAATGAATTGCTTAATTTTTAAGCCAATTAAGCTTCTACCTGGAACAGGCTCGCCACCAATGCTCGCAAAAAGGTCATCATATCCGATAGCAAAGTCAATGTGGACCCACTGTTTATTTTGCGAATCGCTTACATAGCTAAAGTCAAACATCTCTTTACAGTCATCGTTGAGCTGAATCTGATTCAAATTGAAATGCCAATGCCCATAAGTGTCCTCGATTCCGATGCATGAAGATTTTCCGAATCGCTTGAAAGGGGGGACGTCAATGAATTGTTGATGTTCAGATTTGGAAATGAGCGCCATGACTCGGTCATCCTACAAACTATATTTCTTGTCACTTTTAAGCTTCAAACCTTTCCGAAAGACTCATCTCTTTTGATAGGCTTTTTGGTGACGAAAAGTCCGAATCCATCTGCATCAAACTGGCATTTCAATACAGGCGACTCGCTGCAGTAATAGCCTTGGCCTGAGGAAGACGTTGCTTTATTTCGCGTCTATAAAATCTTCTTACCTTCATTTGTAACGTGATTATTATTGTTGGTCAAGTCCGATGAGGGATGAAACTCAGAGTAAATTAACCCGTGTTCAGCACATTGATCGGGCAATGAACACGCATATCCATTACAATCATTTACAGCACATGCATAATTCTCGCTACATCTCATTTCTGGGCAATTTTGAAAATCACCGAGTGGATTTTCATACTACAAGGTCTTGATTTTCGGGTTTCTCTTCAAAGTTACCTTGAGTACTTCCAAACAATCGGTTCCATTCGAGCCTTCTGCAGAATTATAAAGCAAAAAGTATTTCAACAAATGCATGATTGAGTATAGAATGTGTAAGGCCTGCTCTCGTGAATTTAAATCAAGACAGTTTGTCTTACATATTTGCATGCTCCTATCTCAGGAAATTACACTAAAGGGAAAATCTGTAAATAGTACGCAGAATTCAAACCAATGTGAAGCTCAGGGATACGAGTCGCACTTTGCTATCAACCACCTGAGTCACTGGTTATTTGCACATTTGCTAATGGATAAACTAGCGGAAAACTCAACTCGAAGGTAAGAACTCAAAGTTGAACCCTGTTAATTTCGCCATAGCAATCCTGCTCGACTGGTCATTCTTTCTTCCGAAAGCCATCGCCAACCTAAAATGGCTACGATAAATCTCTCCCAGCTTTCGTGCCCGAAGGAAAACTACTTCAGTGTTCTCCAGTATAATCGCTCAAAATACTGCAACGTTCTACACATGCATTATCTTGCGTCGAAGTTAGCCGAGCGTCATGTTGTCGTTCACTCTGTTCACCCGGGTAACATGGTTCGAACTGGTATTCAACGAAGATGGTGGGGATGGAAGCTTCTCTTTGCTCTTGCAAGTCCTTTCACGAAATCTGTCTCTCAAGGTAGCGTCTTCTTTCATTCAATCGATATCATAATTGGTAGTTCTGAAGGTGCCGCAACACAACTATACGCCCTCTGCCACCCCACCACTGCGGAATTCACTGGTGTTTATTGGAACAACTGCGCTCCTTGTGAGCCGATCGCTCCTGCAATCAACGATGACAACTCCCTTCAGCTGGAACTCCTTTCCAAAAAACTTTGCGCCGACTTTATACAAGCATGATTTTAGAACTGCAAAACCTGTGATTACCAAAATGATTCGAATTCTTCAAATAAAAAAAAATAAAAAATCGCTCATGAGATGTTATTATATTTGGCATTTTATTTATAAACAGGCGATATGCTTTTATTTGCTTTATCCCAAGATTTTCTTGATATCAGCATCCTTGACAACCCAACAGTTCTTATTTCTTGCATGTTGGTGAAATGAAACATCATATGCATCGCCATTCGCAACAAAAGTTCCGGTCTCTCCATCGGCTGAAATTACCTCGTAGGCTCCAGATCTGAGGAATCGCCCGAGAACGCCAGTTGTAGCCGGTTCATCTGCAAACTTGTGCTCCATGAGCTTGAAGTTGACGTTTCCGTGAACGCTTCCAATCTCGATCCTAGAAAGTTTTTGAATTCTGTTTTCAATAATTTTTCTTACAGGAATGTGGGACCGCCACCAAGGGTTACGAAAGACATTTTGTATCCCTTAGGAAGTTTTTGGTAATCAAAAGTGACGAAGTCGCCGTATTTCATTGCGCCAGTGAACCAGTCGAACTCGGGCTCGGCAGTTATTCTTGAGTCGAATTTCCAGCCGGTAGCGTCGATGTAAAGAGAGTTTCGCCCGTGGGTAGTGATTTTTAGGTTGCGGAAATAGATGCCTTTCTCGGCCTTAATTTTTGTCAAAAGCTGTCGATAGTGGTTGTTCCTACCTCGTTCGGCTTGAAAAGCTCTCCTCCAACTCTGAAGCTCGGGTGATCGATGAGGACCATTTCTTTTCCAGGCTCGAGATTGTAGTCGAAGCAAATGTCTGGCTGATCAGCGGAGAGTCCCTCAATATGAAAGTGGGGGTCTCCGTAAGAAGCGGATCCTCCAGAACCTCCAGATGATCCTCCACCAGGTGCATAAGGATTGTAGCCAGGAGTAGTGGTGGTTTCTGTTGTTGTTTCTGGAGCGTACGAAGTAGCTGCATATTTTGCTGCCTTCTTTTTCTTGCCTCTCTCTATCCAAGTAATGAGCACTTTTTCAACGACAAAAATACTTACCAAGAAGACCGAGACCAGTTGTCGTGGTGAAATCTTGAGCCAGGGTAGAGGCTAAAATTGCGGATGCGATTTTCATGTTTCAGAAAAAAAAATTTTGCAAATTCAAATTCTTCAAAAAATGGACAGTCCTGAACAGCAGCTCGAGTTTTTATAGTTAATAAATTATTCAAATGAGTTCATTTGAAGGCGATAAAAGCGGATTCTAACGCTGACCACTAGGTGTCACTGGTAGGACCAGGAGTTGACAAATCAGGATGAAATGGGGCGATTGATTTGGGCGAGGCGAATTGAGGATTATCCGAAAACACGTGTAGCGTAGAATCAAGAAAATGGTCTGGGGCTGCTCTCTAAATTAGAACCGAAGAAAACCGGAATCGCTGTTAATTGCATAACTACCGGATAAAGCGTGAAGGCCGTGAAATCGGGGACACTTATTTTGATGAAAATATGCATAATTCGTGGATTTTAAATGTTCATCTTTTGAAGTCTGAAGAAAGTTCATCAAGAATTTTAAAATTGAATTTAGTTCAGTAGATGATTTCCAGCCTTGTTGATTTATTGTCCGTGATATTGATCAATCTGACAGTCAAATTATGAAAGTAAATTTGAACAAGGTGAGTTTGGTGCTCGTTTTTGTTTCTTGGTAAGAACAGAATTCAAGAATTGTTCTTACTAATCCAATTACGTGCCTCCTTCCTTTATTCCAGAGAGAAAAGCAAAGGAACGACACTGAGAGAAAAAATATAGTTTTACAGAAGCACAAATATTGGGAGATTATTCTGTTTGTATAACGCCGCAAATGCGATACTGGCACTCATAACTGTAAGCTTGGTGGTTTCTAAGAGGGTTATTTTCGTTTCAAATTTTGCTAGAAAAAATTTAACTGTTTAATAAATTTTGATTTTCAAGTGTAAACTTCCTCCTGAAGATAATTTTTGTCAAGTTCACTAATTCAAGATAAAAAGAGTTTGCTTAGGGTTAGCCGTTTAGGTGGTTAAAGCATAATGCAGAGAAGGGAACGTGGCGTGTTTCTTTTGTTGTCACGATTATTTGAATGGGACAAGAAAGGCGCCCAGAAAGTCAGATTTCACAAGGTCAAGAGATTTTTTCTGACAAGTTTTGACTTTTTAGCAATTTTTTGACAATAAAGTGCATCCGGTAGAGAAGTTTTTATATTGTCCAATAAGAAGCCTGCATTTTCGATTTAGACCAATAAGAAGCTCTGAATTTCATTTTCAATATTTGACTGAAATTTGAGTCGAGAGTTTCAAGCTGATTCCATAAAAATCTACCTGCCACTCTGTCTAATCAAATCAAATCTCAAGTTCAAGTGCTCACTGCTGAAAAGAGTCTCTGTCTCAGTTCAAGAACATCTCAGCGGGACTTGAACGGCGTGAAGAGGAAAACGTTTGTTTAGATTTATTTCAGAAGAGAGTTTGATTCGTTGCCCGGACGAGTTTGCTCTTCTGAAATAATCATTATTGTCAGCTGCATGGTGCTTCCGAAGAAGCTTTAGAAGATTTGAGAGAGATCTGAGGTAGAGGAAGAAGAAGAAGAAGGAAAGATTTGAACGATGGAACATCTTCAAGGTCAATGTTGAAAAGTAAGCCTTCTAAGATGGGATTTTCTTCGGTAACTAGGTAGCAAATTTTAATCTTCTTTATGCGGTAATGATAGGAAATCAGAGATACAATGTCAAGTGACATTTGCCAATACTCCCCCTGAACGTATCAGTAGCAGATAGTCGCAAAAAAGTCAATAGTAACGAGACAAAGAACTTCATATTTCTATACAGTAGGGATTTTACTACTCACTATATTTGTCAACATTTACAAGCCGCAAGGGAAGACAAGCATTCGTCAATAAAGAACATTTTAATCGACGGTAAGTTCCGGTTTCAAGTATGCTCTCGAGGAAAAAAATCCATTCAGACGTAGAGCGTGTTTGGGCCGCCTTTTGTGAACACATCCTAAAGCAACTTACGGAACAAGTCGGAGTCAAGGTCAAAAATTTGGGAATAATCACTGTCAAAAGGTAAGACATGTTTCAGCTTATTTATGAGAGTTGGAACCCAGACGAAATATACAGTTAGGGTTAGGGTTAGAAAATTGACTATCTCGGAGTGATATTCTTAGGCGTAATTGACAGTTCATGTTAGGTCTATGTTTAATCAACTACTTTTTGGACGGGCATCTTGTTACATGTTTATAAATAGATTGTTTTGTCAAATTTAAAATCCTTTATTTGATCAAAAGTTCATCTTCTTTCTTCTTTTTTAGCTTGAATCTTGACGTTGGCAGAAGGAATTTGAGCATCACCAAACCAACTTTCATCTTGGACGAAAAACAATCCCAGCATTATGGCATCAAATACGGTCGACCGTTTACGTCTTATCAAAAGAACCAGCCAGTTAATTTCGCTGAAATCGCGTCTGAAGCGAACACAACTCGTGACATTGCGGAATGTAGGTTGCTTCGTTATTAGCATACGTAATTTGACAGTAACTGACGTTGAATTGATAAGTGGTCATCAACGAGCTAGTAATGGCTTTTTGGAAGAAGTTCGCAGAAAAACAACGTGCCAATTTCACCATCACCGATGTCCTCACGATTCATCTCAAAGACGATGTCGTGCGAGCAATTTTCACGGGAAAAGTCGTGGAACTCTTCGAATTCGCTCCGACAAAGAAAACAGTTCATTTTCGTCGTGAATACACGCTCCCAGGCAAGTACAGTTATTAACTTCAAAAGAATGTTGATTCAAGAGGAGTATAAAATAAAGTTATGTTTCTTATTTAGTCGTCTCGCAGTCAGTAGAGACAGAATTTCAGGAAAAAGTTCAAATATAAATTTTATTGCTCAGTCAGTTAGACATCGATTTTGATTATCGAAATTTCCGATAAAGCATTTTGAACCTTTTCATAAGCCACAGATGCCCCAAAAGTCCAAATCCGACCTCGACGACAAGTGGTAAGTAACTGCATTACTAGACGCTGAGAGAGTTTCCATGTGATTTTCGGTATATTTCAAGAGTTCGTGAAATGATCTTCAAATATCATCTCCCTAAAGTGGCGTCCGGTGGACGTAACTGATCGCTTCCGGGTTTTTTTGTATATGCTATGTTTTAGCTTGCAACGAAGGGGACTCCCTTTATGAGCTTTCTTCCTATGATAAGGAAATGGCAACAGTCAAAGAAGTATCATAAGCGAAGCAAGAGGTCGATAATTTTTCCGTTCTTGTAAGAAAGTAGCTAATTGCGCAGTTTGCAAAGATAAAAGGCCGCCCCGTAAATGCTTTCCAGTTCTGCAAATAGTCAAAAAAGCAGAAAGACTGTAGCTGGAAAGGCTCCACCGTGTGCTTGTGTTTTAACAGCAGCCGCGGACTACTCTTTCTGCCCTTTGATACAAGTTGATTTATTTTAACTTTTTTCTTTATTTCCTTTTTTTTATTTGGCCCGGTGGGAAACCGAGTTGAAAAGAAGAATTGAAAGTGGAACTGAATACAGTAGAACTGTACTGTAAAGAGATTTTCGATCATGGAGACAACATATCAGAGATCACATGATACAGCGTTTAATTACAAGGATAGTTCCAAAACTTTGAGTGTCAGTAATTTTGATTCTAGTGAAAATGGCCCATATAATATGGGTCAGGGCTAGGGTTATAGTTAGGGTCGAGGTTAGGGTTAGGATTAGGGGCCATCGAGCCTAATTTTTATGATTTATTTCCAAGTATTAGCATGTTGAAACCGAGATATTTAAATATGACACATAAATAAAAAATGACACTAAATCGAAAGTTATAATTTGAAGGTTTCGATTTTAATCACCGCTCATTTGATGCAAATTTGGAACTTGCGTCTAGCCCGAATTCCATAACCTGAATAAACCCGTTTTCCACAAGCGTCATCAATTCGATGAAGGGCATGCCACTCTGCGGCGTAATTATACCGATCTTCGCCATTCCAGATCATTTTGGATGCCCTCCTCCAAGCCTGTTGTGAGATACAGTGACTCTAGGTACAGGCTCTCTACAAAATCAGCAAGGTACAAGCGCTTTTCTTTGAATTGCAAAATATAACTCCATCACTTCAAATTCCACGGCCGTAAAGATTGCCATATGTTTATAGAGAGTAATAAACAGAGTTCACTTTCAGAGTATTGCATCTTTCTGTTTATTTTTCTGATTCTCAGACAGATGCACACCTGCCCATGTCATCTTTGTTTTTCGAACCCCGTGGTAAGGAAAGATATTGTATATTGCTCTCAAGAGTTCAAATACCTTTTCTCGCTCCTGAACACACCAGTTTTTTTCAAAACTCAAGTCATCGTCCTTGATTAGTAAGCGAAAATCTTCGATAGGGAAAAATAACCACTTGAGCCTCCACTTTGAGTGATGAGTTCCATAATGTGGGAGGTACAGTAGAGTCGATACAAACAGTAATTTACCCGGCCAATTGTTACTCCGTGGATTGAATTTCGCCCTTTTTGAGAAGCGTGCTTCAAGAGAGAGGAAGCTGCCGGGAGAGCAATAAATTATTGCCAATAATTACAGATAATTATTTTTTCACAATTATGATACCGACAAAGAGACTTCAATCGGCGGTGTCATTATCTATTGGAGAGGTTCCCGGGGCTCTACGTCAAGAGCAAAGACCTAATACCGACTGGAGAAAATACTGTCAAGGGCGAAGATTTGAGTTTGAGAAAATCATCTATCTAATTTGAAAAAGTTTTCGATTTTCAACTCATAATAAGAGAAATAAAAAGACTCGGTCCTATCGAAACCAGCCTCTATCTTTTCGGCCCCGAGGTTCAAGAATGCATGAGTCCAGATTTCGACCGCGACCGGCCAAGTCACATGATCAGACGACCGGTTACATCTGGTCACCTGAACAGAATAGCATCGCGCTATGGCTTGGCGAGCGCAAAAACTAGCAGAAAACAAACACCCTTTTCTTACCCACTTCTTGAATCAAGGAAGAAACAAAGATTTGACTCAGATACAATTGAAAATCCAAACAAGAAATTTACATTTTCTGAGATAAAAATAAGCCACCATCTTTTGCCGGACGACCTTTTACGTCGTTTCAATGCGGAATTGTTCTGTCTGATCCTTCAAAATTTATAAAAGAACTCCCATCAGAGGATGCCTCGGAAATTGACCAAATAACAGTTCTGAACTCTGATTTCCCTGAAAATGAAAATGAAGCAAACGAAGGGGAGAAAGAAAAGTCCGAAAATACCGAAAATCCCATTGAATCCGAAGATCCAGCTGATGCTGGAATCGACCAGGAAGTTGATGAAGATGAAAATAACGATGATAAATTAAGTGTTTCTTCTATGTCCACAACCCGGGAAAATGCGGCAGAAGTAGAAATTGAGCGACCTGCTGAGCCTCAACCACCTGTTGTCACTGAAGCGCCAAAAGAAAGCCCACCAAAGGAGTTTTCTCCACCACCGGTCGAAGAACCAGGCAAGGGTTTTTTTTGAATGAACATGGAAACAGACAATCAAGTTGATGGCCATCAACCGCAATAAAAAACCCAAAAAGCTCCTATCAAGCGCGTTTCCATCGCCCAGCCAGTTCTATCAGAGCGCCCTCAGGTTCTCGAGCGACCGCAGTTTTCCGAAGCTAAGTCAAAATGGGACTCTTCAAGATTCGTTCGATCCCTGGATTTTCGTTCACGAGAATATCCAACTCGAGTCTCTTATCACAGAATGGTCGCTCAAAAGCAAAAGGAGCTGTCAAAGCAGTGTCACGAGAAGAAATGCCAAAAGTAAAGAGATTATGCAAAAAAGCTATGAAGATAACATTTTAGGGAAATGTGCTACGTTTGCACCCAGCGAGCAGAACGTAACGTGCCCGTGTACACGCGCAAATTGGAGGAAGAGGAGGATAAAAAGATGGCAAAGATCTTGCTCGATGCGGAGCAGAAATTGGCAGAGGAGTCTATTCGGCTGGACAAAGTCAAAATGTAAAAAATCTTATTTCTATCAGCTTCTCAACTTTCCTTTCTAGGCAAGAGCAGAGGCAAATCAACAAAGAATACTCGTCATACAATTTCGAAGAGGGACAGTTTGTCAACGAAAAGCGAAAGATCGAAAACCAACATCCACTTCCTCATGTAAGCAAAAACCTAAAAGCCCTCTCGAACATATTCTAGGCGAGTTATGTGATGCGAGAACGACCTCTCACGCCACACAAATCAGTCGGCCACAAGCTCGTCGCTGGAGAACTAACCGGTCAGATTAACTTGAGGGAATCAAGGAAGAACAAAACACAGAAAGACAAGAAACTGATCGAAAAAGTCTACCAACTGCAACTTGCTGAAGAGTAAGCTAGAAATTCCCGTCAACACAAAATAATTTCCCATAGAATCGCAAGAGAAAGAGAAGAATTCTGGCGAGAAAAGCAGGAAAACAAAAACAAGCTTCATGCAACTTATCAATATCAAATTTCAACGAGAGAGCCACAACTTCCAAGAGCTTATTCTGATGGCAAAGTCTTTGGAAAACATGATCTCAACAAAGAAAAACTCGAGAAAATCAAAGAAAGAAACCGTCTTTTCGCAAGTGATAATTTCAATATTCATCAAGTAAGTTGCTCCTTTTCAAATTGTCTTCTACTTTAATTCTAGCGTCATATGACCGCGCGAAAAGCATCTATTGATAGAAGCCGTCAAGCTGAAATTATGATGCTCAAAAGAACCAAGACTGAGTAAGAAAGTCAACCGAAAGAAAATTTTCTTATCGACTCCTTTTAGTCTTGAAAATGACACCCTTAGACGAGGAAAGCACAAAGTCAGCATCAGAAAAGATCTCGAAAATAATTGGGCCGATTTGCATATGCAAAAGAGGGAGCGCGAGTTTGAAGAGAAAGTTGGAATTCCTGAAAAGATTACTGTTACCGAGCAGCTCGACCATTACAGGTACTAGACTAAAATAAGAATGCTCGTTATCAAAATATTTTCAGACGCTGTGGTCAGTGCAAAAGAGCACCTAACCAACGAGCTGGGCAAACAAACATCTGGAAAGAGTCCTACTACGTCCCAGGCTCAAGAATCGTCGTCTAGGCGCGATTTTCTAGTGCTGATGATATTTTATATTCTCTTATGCGAAATTTTCTTCACAACAACTAAATTTGTATTATTCCAAACCTAACTTTTATACATAAAACAGTATATTTTTCCAATAAAACGACAAAAGTGTGTGCATTTTCTTTTTATTTTATTGAGCATTTATGAACTTTTTTGAATAGAAACATTAGGGACCTCGGCTCCTTGATTTTGGTCTTGAAATAATTGAAGGAGAAAAGTCTTAATGCTTTCTGTAAAGAATTGACCATGATGGGCATATGAAAATTATGGGCAAAGTATTTTGTGTTCTGAAGCGATTTATGCTAGATTTTTCGGGTCTTCCTTCCAATCACCCAGCTTCGGGTTTTGGCTTACGGTTCCAATCGTGCAGGTTCCCATGAAGTCATGGATACCCGCGCCAGCTGGGTGATATCCTTTTTCTGGGCGATTCTTGGGGTGCGGAAGAGGAGTCCAGGAGCCTAAGTCGACGGTTTGAAGATTGTCGAAGCCGTCTTTGCCCATTCCGGTGGTGCGCTCGCGATCCCATGCGGGAACGTCTCCGGCAAATTTAGGCCCCTCTGAATAAAAACCGTGAGTATTCTATAAAACCATTGCTTATTTTACCGTCGGCGACTTCGTTTTTCTTTTGAATTTCTGATAGAGAAAAGTTCCAGCGCAGAGACTTGCGAGAACGAAGAGAATTAGACCAATTTGTGCAGTTGGACCGAGACCTCCTTTCGTGGCGTCACAAGTTGCCATGTCCTTAATTGCATGGATTAACAAAATTAATCTTACAAGAACATGTAAATGTTAAAAGGGCTAAGAGGTTATTTTTATAAAATTATATTTTGGGACAAAACACCGCTAAAAGTAGAGTGAACGAAATTATAGACAGAGAAACGTTGACGTATATATGCAAAAATTTGCACAACGAGCAACAATGCCTCTAAAATTAAGGGTGTCTCTCCTGTACAAAAGAGAATTACCATATTTCATAAAAGAAAAACAAATTTTTAAGAAGCAGAATTTTCAGCGGCTATCAATTCTAAAATTAACAAAAAAATTCTGAAAAGCGATCAGTTCTTTATATTGTGTAATCATTATTTCATCATGAAATTGAATAGAATGTATTCTATAAATATATCAAGCTATCAAAATGGCAAAAAAGATACACAATCTTGTACGTGCTACATCATTTAGCCCCTCTCTTATCCTCCCTTTTAGTATGTCAAAACATAACACTTACCAATTCTGTGTCCCATCCACCAGTTTGGCACGTGATAACATCTGGCGTTGCATATGCAGCAGTACAGATAATCTTGCACGTTGTTCCCGGTACGATTCCTGAAGCGTCTGCTATTCCAGTACAGATGATGTCTCCATCTGTCGGCGCAAAGAACAAATCGCCATTGCAAGGAGCCTGCTTCATCTCTTCTTTGTTATTCTCTTTTTATAAAAAACGGTTTCTGGGCTTTGTGGATCTATCAGACGAGCGCTAGAAAAATGGGTGACGAGCAGTGCGAATGGTTTCCTGCCGCGGGCGCTTTTCGAGAGATACCGTATCCTATCATTCGTCCATTTCTCCACAATTCTAGCGTGGTCCAATCCGTGGGGATATAGTACAATTTTGTACATGTAAGCACACTTTCCATAATCGCTAAATATCACTACAATATTGTACTCAACGTAGCTCAGATCCTTATCAGCTTCGGAGTACAGACGTACTTAGATAAAAATGACATGACCTGTTTATTTTTAAATTTATTTCAGGCGAATTTGCGTGAAAATTTTTCAATTTTTTCATTCAAATTTATTTTCAATGTTTTTTTCTGATAAAAATGCTTTATGAATCATAAATGACTATTATTTTTTCCAAGTTTTTTTATTGTAGAATTTCATTAATATGAAAGGTAGGTCTCACATAAATTATTAAAAATAATAATTTATATATTGGTTGTAGTTATCGTTGTCGTTGTTGTTGTTTCTGTTGGCTAAAAATGAAATGATTTGAAAGTTATAATTTGTAAGAGTCTTACAAATGTTTGGTAGAAGAAGTTGCGAACGTGATAGTTAGTAACTATTGGGCCTCCAACGTACGCATAAAGTTCTCCAGACGTTTTTGTATCACTTTGGTCATATGTGCCTACGTGTTGTTGAACACCATCGATCGAAACAATATACTGCAATCTTGAGCTAGCGTCGATTTGTCGGACTTCCACTGAGAAGGTATTCCACTCGCCTTGCGTGCACGTTGTTGGATAGAATCTATACTGATACCAAGTTCTATATGGATCAGTAACGCTGAAGTAGTACTGATTGTCGAGTGGCATGCGCCAGAGGCCAAAAGTGCGGTCGCCAACAACTTGGTTGTTTCCACCTGCAGTGACTCGGAAGATAAGGCTCCATTTTTCGGCAATTGACGCGTTGATGTCATTAGACTTGTCACAGAGAACGTCAGCAGAGAATTTGTAGTTAACTGTTGCGGAGAGAGTTGCAAGAAGATTATTCTGCGAAGGGGCAATGGCGCAGCCATCGACGATAGACACGCAGCTTTCAAGTCCAGCACATGGATTAGTTGCACAGAGAGGCGTGTCCTCAAATCTTTGAAAGTAGAAATTTCGAACACTGTACGACGATCCACTCGGCCACCAGGGGTCGGAAACCCAGGCAGAAAGCTCACCAGTTGTCTTGGCGTCACTTATGTCATATGTGCCGTCAATGATCCCTACACCATCAACGCGTACAGAATAATGAAGATTTGATGGCGAATCAACAACTTGGCGAACCTCTACAGAGTAATTATTCCAGGATCCGTCAGTGCACTCAAACTCTTTTTCCTGAGTGTGATGAGAAGCTCCAGCTAAATTGATGCCGTTTGGGTCATTGACGCCGATAATGAGATTTTTATATGGAGCCCAGCGAGTTCTATATATGGCGAATGTTCTATCGCCGGCTGAGCCGTAATCATTTCCGCCGGAAACATGAAGAATTTGCTTCCACTGACCATCCTTCGGCATGCTATGATCGCAGAAAACGTCAGCGGAAACTTTGTAGTTGATGGCAGCAGAGACTTTAGCTACTTGAGTATTTTTCACCGGGCTTACGGGGCATCCGTTAACGAAGATCTCGCAGCTTTCATGTCCAGCGCATGGGTCGACATCGCAAAGAGTTTTATCATGAATCTGTCCATTCTGGCATATTGCGTAGAACTTGTTATTACAGTCTTTGGGTCCATCTCTCCAACCGTAGCCTCGATCGATCCCGAATAACTCTTGAGCATAGCATTCGCCTTCAGTCTTTCGCCAAGAATCAAACCAAACGTTGCTCCCGATTGTTATACCTTTTATAAGACCAGCAGCTTCATCATAGTCCTTAGGATTAGCGAGCCACATATTTTTGACAAAACAGTAAGCTCGTGCTTGATCGTAAGTCATTTTGTTTTTTGAAACGTGGTAGGAAACATCTTGATCTTGGTTGATTTTTCTCCTGGAAATCTTGAACAGTGCTTGAATTGATTGTAAAATTTTCATGTAGGCTTCACCGCTAGAATCTTCCACACACGCGTATGATGTTGTCCAACGATCCAGCAAATCCGCAAAAGCATACACATTTTCTCCTACGCTGGCTGTCTTGTCAAAAACAGCATCGAAGGTCACTGCCTTGTATGTCGGAGAAGTAATCGTCGACTCACATAATCCGTCGCTTTGATAAAACTTCAAAACATTTTTGATTTCTTCGTAATGTCTCCAAAACAGTTTAAAATTTCCGGGGCGTTTTCTTGTGAAAGAGAAGCGAATTCGGTAAGCAAAAAGATTACTCTCTCTCCAAAAATCAAGAAAGTCCGCTTGAATCAAGCTGCCAAATAATGGCAGAAAAAGGTAAATTTTCATTGCCTTGTTCCCTCTATAAGTAAACTCAGTTGCTTCATTGCTCTTATATAGCAAAGATTTAATCCTTACTTCTAAAGTTCGCTTCATATTCTCAATCCTTTGAGCGCCTTATTTTCTTATAAGATTCAGATCAAATCATTTAAGAATGTAATTTGATGATCTTGAATGTACACGGGTCTAACTAGAACAAAGGGTTAAAGTGCAAACAGTCAGCTTTTCGGAAAAAAAGAATCTTCCGCCCTCGTAAAGTCTAAAGCTTTTATGATCCCTCCAATCAAGCATAAACAAAAGATAAACGTTCAGCTGAGCGAAAAACCGGCATCTCAGGCTGAAAAGATAAAAGTTAAAATTTTCAAATGAAAAGTGGCCGCTCTTATAATTGTCGAATATTTTTTCTTGTTGCTTTGATACTTTTGCTGACGCAGTTGACGAGAAATGAAGTTATTTTCAAAGCGCTGGTAGAGCATGAATTGAAGAAAGAAAGTAACTATGAAAATTATAAGGAGCAGTTGCTGAAACAAAATTCATTTGACAAAAAATCAGAAATAAAACTAGAAGAGAAAGTGGTGAAAAAGAAAGAAGAACCCAAAATCCTCAAGGAAATTATTCCAATAATTGACGGAACTCACGTGAACCAGCTCCCTCGTTTTTGGCAAAAAGATCGACCTTGGACAGTCGGATTTAGCGGGCCAAGATGTAAAGGCTCTGAGTTTCTCGTTCTCATCAATTCAGCACCAGGAAATTTCAATTTTCGTCAAGTTCACCGCCAGTATTTGAGGAGAATGATGAAGAGATTCAGCATGGAGTATAAATTTCTCATCGGAGAAGCAATTCTTGAGAAGGAATATGATAACAACAAAGACATGGTTTTTGGAAATCTCCAGGATTCTTACGTAAGTTCGAGCTTCATTGACGACCTTAATTTTTCCTCTTCAGAAAAATCTTCCTTTGAAGACCAAAGTTGCTTATGAATACCTTGCATCCTGCCATTCGCCTCCTAAATACTTCCTTCTCATCGACGACGACACTTGGTTCGCAGTAGAACCTATTCGGAAAACTCTACAAGATTCAAAAGCACTAAATCAAATCTACGGGAACATGCGGCGAGGATCTCCAAGAGGGCCCTGGTCAGAGAAGACGAAGTTAGTCGTGAACACGACGATTTGGGAGCCAGATAAATGGCCAACATGGGTTGATGGCCCATGCACGTTTATGAGGGGTGACGCTGCTATGAAAATTGCCAAAACTGCAAGGTATAAAAATCCATTGACATTTCCTTCCGAATAAGGTAATTCAGCAAAACAAACTGGCTGGAAGCAATCCCGGTCGAAGACGTTTTCTTCAGCGGAATCGTAAGACTGAAGGCCAAACTCAAAGAACCACTGACGAAGGCTAAATTCAATCCTGAAAGAATTCACTGCCGCCACTTGAAAAACAACTTGCCCCAGCTCAAAAAATTGATGAATTACAAGCCTGTTCCTAGTACCTAACAATAAACAAATGCTCGAAAGTTTTATAAGAAAATTTATTATAATTCGCACGCTAGTGACATTTAGCGATTAGTGTCGTTAGTGACTACAACTACTGATGAATAGAATAAGGAATTTCTGCTTCAAAACATGTTTTTTCGATGATTTGAAGATGTATATTTTTTACAGCTTAGTACGCACAGTTTGTATTTTTACTTTGATTAGCTGATACCAGTTACTGTGGGCTACAATGAATTGCGGGGCCAAAACAACGAATGGCCGAATAAATAAGAGTTTCAGTTTTTTTTCCTCAGACACAAAACAGGCAAAATTTTTAGTAGTTGGATTTTTAGAAAGGTTTTTTTGTTGAACGTAAGGGAAGAGAGGGAGGTTTGTGCATGTAGGTGCATTATTTTAATAAATTATTGAACAACAGGAACGGAGGTGAGAAAAGGGAACACACAAGCTTTAAGGACAACAGTTTTTCTTTGTGAAAGGAATCAGTACTTTGTAAGTGATAGAATAGGTGGCTTATTTGTACAATCGACCCTTGGCACCCTTTCGGAAAGCGTCGTTCATGAACTTGTCCTGCTCGATCTTGTGAACCTGAAACGCAAAATAGCTTTTGCAAATTTGGCTGAAATCTTACTTGTTTGGAACCAGCAGCGGCGGAGGCGGCGGAGTCTCGGCCAGCGTAGTGGACTCGGCGGGACCAGTTGGATGCAGTTCGCAGTCTAGGCTTGCAGAAGTCGTAGAAACCCATGTTCTTGTGCTCTTCCTGGACCCAGTAGACTTCAGCGTTCTTGTATTTCTCGAGCTCGGGAATGACGAGATCGTATGGGAATGGAGCGACCTATTAGAACAAGTAGCTATTGATTTATCAAAGCTAGAAATACCTGTTCAACTCGAGCAATAGCGATGTCGTTTTCGAAGCCTCGGGCAGCTCGCTCCTTGACGAGATCGTAGTAGACCTTTCCAGAGCAGAACATCAGTCGCTTGACGTTATCTGGGTTCTGAATGGCATTGAGTTAAATTACGAATTAAGGGTATTATTTTACCTTGGAGGCAGCACCTTCTTCACCGATGAGTCGTCTGTACTGTGTGCCAGGGCCCATTTCTGACCATTCAGATCGAGCTTCTGGAAGTCGAAGAAGAGATTTGGGAGTCATGAGAATGAGCGGCTTTCGGAATGGAAGAGCGATCTGTCGTCGATGGACGTGCATGACGTTGGCTAGAATTTTATTGAAGAAAGATTTTATTGGGAAGCTTTACCTGGAGTAGTTGGGTTGCAAATAATCCAGTTGGCGTCGTAAAGCTGCTTGATGCCGAAGTCAGCTTCCTTCCAGTCGCTGGGGAAAAGATCGGGATCGTCGTTCTGCATTTGCAAGAATCGTTCGATTCGGCAAGAGGAGTGCTCGGGTCCCATACCTTGTGAAATTGTTTCAAAACGGTTTAAAATGCTATTACTAACCTTCGTAACCGTGAGGAAGCTGCATGGTAAGACCACACTGTCGGACCCACTTGGTCTGTCCAGATGAAAGGAACTGATCGATGATGCACTGAGCAGTGTTGGCGAAATCACCGAACTGGGCCTCCCAGATAACGTGAGAGTTAGGGTTGACCATTGAGTAGCCGAGCTCGAATCCAAGAACACCGTACTCAGAGAGTGCAGAGTTGCAGACGGTATATTTGCCCTAGTTTATCTACTAGAAATGTAGAGTATAGATTGCGGTTTACCTGGTCCTCGGAGAGGTTGGACATCGGAAGGTAGATTCCCTTATCTTTCTTCTGGCAATGAAGAACGTGATGTCTATGAGAGAAGGTTCCTCGCTCAACATCTTGGCCAGAGAGTCGGACATGGTTTCCATCCATAAGAAGAGAGCCGTAACCGAAAGACTCGCCCATTGCCCAGTCAGCAGTCTTAGTGCTGGCAAGGCCGGCTCGTCCCTTCAAGACTCGCTTGAGACCGCCGTGAAGGGTGATATCTGCTGGTGGGACAGAGATGGCGTCGGAAATGCGCTGAAGAGTCTCCATTGGAACACCAGTATCGGGAAGCTTCTCGGCAACCCAGGTTCCCTGGTCGTCCTTGAAGAATCCCTTCCATGGGGAGTCGAGCCAGTGTCGGAACTCGAGTTTAGTTTCCGTCTTGGCTTTGGCGAGAGCATCTTCGCAGATCTTCTCATACTGAGCGATGAGCTCCTGAATGTCTCCATCGTCGACGACGCCTTGTTCCTTGAGGGAGTCGCCGTACTTGTCGAGGACGTTCTTGTGCTTCTTGATGGCCTGGTACATTCGTGGCTGGGTGAACATGGGCTCGTCGATTTCGTTGTGACCGTGTCGTCGGTAACCGATCAAATCAATGACAACGTCGGTATTGAAGGTCTGTCGGAATTCAGCGGCGACCTTGGAGACGTAGACAACGGCATCGGGATCGTCAGCGTTGACGTGGAAGATAGGGGCATTGACGACTCGGCCAACGTCGGTACAGTAAGGAGAGGCTCGGGAGTGTCGAGGATCAGTGGTGAAACCGATCTGGTTGTTGCACACGAGATGGATGGCACCACCGACGGAATAGAAAGGAAGATGGCTCAAGTGAAGAGTCTCGTAGACGACACCCTGTCCAGCGAAAGCAGCGTCACCGTGGAGAAGCATTGGAATGACAGTTTTACCCTAGTAAGGAATAAGATATTGAATGAGTATTTTTATAAATTACCTCGTCATCATTTCTGTAGAACTGTTCGGCCTTGCACTTGCCAACAACAATGGGATCGACTGCTTCAAGATGTGATGGGTTGGCACAGAGCGAGACGTTGATGAGTTCCTTGGAAGCGTGGTTGATAGTTTCGTGGGACATACCTAAACTCAAGTTAGCGGGTTTAATAAGTGCGTTAGAGCTTATTCATTGCTATTTCGCAAATTGCAATCATGATCAGGTCAATACGAGCATTAGAGCAGTTCGTGCGTAAGCAGAGCGTAAAATCTTCTTGAACATAAGTCTGCAACATATGTCCAAGATGATAAGCGAGCGATAAGCGTGAGAAATGTGCCAAAAAAGGAGATTGATAAGAATGATGATGATCAAGTTCCGGTTGGAAATTGACTCACCGGGAATGTTCACCGAGTGACAGAAAACACCAAAAATCATGATGCAATTTTAGAACACCCGTCCCAGTAAATCCCTTTCACAACAGCCAGACTAGGTAGCGTTCTATCTATCTACAGAACTGGTAGTGAAAGGTATCTACAAATACGTCACCAGTTATATCTGGTAAATATTCACCGATCATTTCTGTCATTTACCCTCTTCAGAGTTTATTTCTTGTTCGACTGATGCTCCTATTTAAATGGAAAAGGTGAATTAAGCGTTTTTTCTCCATGCATGATGATTCGTTAGACGAAGAAAATATTGGAAGAACTTACCGAGATGATATTTGACGTCGCCAGACTGGCCGACGTCGGTGGGTTCGAGCTTGGGGTCGAATTGGCAGAAGATCTGGTCGAGATCTTTTCGGATAATGTTAGCCAGAACATTGAGACGGCCTCGATGGGGCATTCCCATGACGTACGATCGTCCGCCGAGTTGAGTAAGAGTGTCGATCAAAGTCTTCATGCAAGGAATGATCATTTCGAGACCTTCAAGACCGAATCGCTTTTCAGAAACCCACTTCTTTGCCAAAAACTCTTCGAATTTCGTCGATCGGACGAGTCGCTCAAGAGTGAGCTTCTGTTCTTCTGGAGTGATTCTTCGTGCTTCGGGGTTTTCGAACTTTCGTCGGATCCATTCTTTCTGGTCCTGGCTGGTGATGTGCATGAATTCGACACCGATGGACCCGCAGTAAGCAGCTTCCAAGCGGTTTTTAATTTCGCTGAGAGGGAGGGAAGTTTCGCCTTCTCTGAAAAGAAACACTTGAGATATCAATAAAAGGTAATTTGCTTACCGTCCAACGTGACACTTTTCTGGAAGGTTGAAAACTTTATCGTCAGCTCCGGCCAAGATGTCAGGGACGGTAAGTCGAGCAGCATCTTCGGCTTCAGTGATGGCAAAAGACTTTGGACCCTCGCTGATTCCGAGAGGGTCGAGGTTGGCCTTGAAGTGACCTCTGACTTGGTAGGCTCGGATGAGGTTTTCAAGGGCGATGTACTGTTCCACATTTTTGCTGATGTCGCCAGAGGATTCGGCGGCGCCTCCGACGGATCCTTCGATTTTGTAAACAGCTCCGGTGGTGATGGAAGGGGGCGCCTGTCAGTGGGTTAGATTCTAACCGTTAGAACTTTAGAAATGCAGTAGAATTCAAGGAAGAGTACAAAAGAAAAGAAAAATATCAACCCATTCCTGATAGGCAGCGCCGAGAGGAGCACCCTTTTGAACCTGTTTGAAGTAAGCGTTCCAGCTTGGGTGAACTGAGTTGGGGTCTTCCATCCAGGTCAAGTACATTTCTTCGATGTATCCAGCGCTAGTTCCATTAGCGAAGGACTCGGACTAGAAAAAATCGATCATAAGACTGAAAGAAAGTAATCATATGTACCTTTGAAGCGACGGAGGCAGCGACATTTGTATTCGACCGGGTCAACTGCCGTATCACTTTCCCCGCTTTCCCCTTCATCATTCTAAAAACAATTTTCGTAAATTTCAAATTTCGGCGGAAAATTCTTATGAGAATAGCACATATGTGTCTGTCTGACGCAAGAATTCGTGAGTCATTTGCGCTCTCGTAAAACTGGTCTGTTACTATTTGATCGTGAAAATTCTAGTAAACAAACCCGCTGACCCGCTAAATGAAGAATAAGTTGAATTTTATTAAAAATGCACCGGTGAATTGAACACTCATGAGTGGATACAGAAATATAAGAAACTGCTCATTAGGTTGATTTCTCTAGGGAAAAAAATGATCTTTGAAAAAGAATTAGTGGCTAGAAAGATACGTAAAGGAACTGGGATCACCCGCAGGTGATAAGGCGCGATTCTTATCAGAACAAGGGATAAGGATGAAAGCAAGACTCAAACAGTTGAAAATATTAAAAGTAACTTTTATGGTTTCTGGTTAAAATTGGTTATTTCGAGCTACGTATTAGCGTTGATTACCTTTACTTGTCGATAAAAAAATAGGATGAGCACAAAAAAGAGCGATCAGCCGCTGCGTCCCTTTCTCTGATTGGGCAAAGTGACGCATTCAATCAACAAAAAATCACTGTTGATGTTCTAGAATCTACGATTACGTTACTAATGCTAGCTTAAAGTTTAGGTGATAGTAAGGTTGAGCGATTTGAGGAATGATTTGGGCAAGGAGCGAGTTGAACGGACGTTGCGGAAAGTGAATGAAATTCGCGTTTGTCGGGGGAGAATGAAGTTGTCATTTTCAGGAGGGCAGGAGAGGCAGGAGAAGTTGGAGACGGAAGAGATGTCGTCGGATAGGTTTTCTTCGATTTCATGGAGCTCGTTGTAGAGACGCCCGTGGAGGATGCTCAGTGCGCCAGGTTCAAGATAAACTAGACGCAATTGAATAGCTGCAGAAAATAGCGCCTTTGAAGGGAAAGAAAGAAACAAAAACTTACCAGAATACAGTAGCTCCTTGTTTTGCTTCTTTCTTATATTCAAAATCTGTCCAGATCCGGTCGAAATCGTCGCGACCACAGAAGAATAAGCCGGTCCATCGGTATGCGCCATGATTCCCTGCCCCGGTAAATATTCGTTGATAAGAACATGGTTCATTTCTTCCACTATTTCTATTTGAAACTTCTTTCTTTGACCTTCAAGTTGAAGAAAATCTTCGATTTTCGACTTAACTTTTTGAAGATATTCGGGAAAGGGCGTTCTGATCATCGGCCTGCCATCGTCAGGAACTGTCCCACCTCAGAAGTGGATTCATGAAGTTGAACTTGATGATGCTCCTGGTTACCGATTTTTTGAAGCCTTCGGTTTGCCAATTTTGTCCAGCGGCCTTTTGAAGCTTTTTGAAAGAGGTCTTTTTCTTCTTCAGAAGGTAGGAAATTCGGGATGTAGGAGAAACCTGGCACAGACCACTCCATTCTTGAAAGGGATTATTCATAAAGATCATGGATAATTTCAAAAAAATTCTTTCAGGCATGAAAATCCTGAAAAAACTGCGGGTGTAGGTCAATAGAGCTCGCTGAGACGAGTCGATTGCTACCTCTTGCTCCGAAAAACTCAAAGATTTTCGGCCCCTACGAGTGATAAGAAGGTCTCTTATCAAAAATTTTGATTCCAGCGCCGTTTTGTTCTAGAATAGCAGGAATCACGTGTGACCCCGGAAAATGATCCTCATGATCGGCTCTATTGACAGGCGAAGTTTCTGACCTTCATCATTTGTCCCGCCGAGTTTATCAGCAAAAACCGTTTGCGGAAAAATGGGACTGAAAATGGGCCGAAAATTAGGAACGTGCAGCTACAACAAAATGCATGGAAATTCGGTATTTTTGCTGATAAACTCGGCGGGACAAATGATGAAGGTCAGAAACTTCGCCTGTCAATAGAGCCGATCATGAGGATCATTTTCCGGGGTCACACGTGATTCCTGCTATTCTAGAACAAAAACGGCGCTGGAATCAAAATTTTTGATAAGAGACCTTCTTATCACTCGTAGGGGCCGAAAATCTTTGAGTTTTTCGGAGCAAGAGGTAGCAATCGACTCGTCTCAGCGAGCTCTATTGACCTACACCCGCAGTTTTTTCAGGATTTTCATGCCTGAAAGAATTTTTTTGAAATTATCTTGATAAGCTTCCTGTTATTCCTGAACTGTAACAGCTTGGAAATACAACACTTTCTCTCTTTCAAAATCAAAATTATAATCAATTGTACCCTCTTATTTTACCAAAAACCAAGTAAGTCCGCTGATTATTACGTAACTATTCTTCATCCCTTCGAATCTTCCCGAAATCTACAGTAAAATACTGACAACAAAGTTCTCTTTCCAAACTTTTCTCTGAACAATTGTCTATTTATCTCTCACAAAATCTAGTGACGGACATAAAGGGATGACACTGGGAAGCTCTGGTGGAGGAGGGGTAAAATCAGTTCGTTCCTCAAAAGAAGCTTGGGCTAGGAGACAGCGATTGGTGCCCAGCACCCGGACCAATGGCGCTCCATTTTTCCGGGTCGCTAAATTTTCTTTTCATAAAAAATGAAAGAAAGAAGACAATCAATGATTTACCTTTGCTAACCTTTTTTCCCGGTTACTGGGTCAACGAGCTTTTCCGCCCCTCCCACATTTTTATCAAAAAATTGAGAGCTAAAATGAAGAAAATATCAAAATAGAGATATAAATTTAAGAAGCTATTAATTATAAAATGATACTAATTCACCTGTTAGCTTTAACAGGTTACTGACTTTGCAATGAGTGTGTACCAGTAAATATTGATTTGATCTGATTATTTGACCTGAGATTATTGACTTACTGTACTGTAAAATTCGCGTTTCTGCCCGTCCCGATTCTCCAATTTCTAAATTTTCCTATTTTTTATTCAGAGAAAAGAATGGCAGCGAAAAAAGAAAAATCTGCAGCGGAAACATTTTTCATCGTAAGTTTTTTTAATGTTTTGGGAATCAACCGCTATTTTCGACTTTAGAACTTGATGCTTGGTGGAACCGCTGGAGGTATTTCAAAGACTGTCGTTGCTCCGATTGAGCGAGTCAAGCTCCTCCTCCAGGTCCAGGATGCCTCGCATCAGATGAAGGGCGCTGGTGTCAAGCCCTACACTGGAATGATGAACTGTTTCTCCCGAGTTTACGCCGTAAGTTCTCAAAAAGTGATGAAGACTTTCCAATCATTCCTCTTTCAGGAACAAGGATTGGCCTCTTTCTGGCGAGGAAACATGGCAAATGTTATCCGATACTTTCCTACACAGGCCCTCAACTTCGCCTTCAAAGAGCGATACCAGAAGTTCTTCATCCGACACGACAAGAAAACCGACTTCTGGAAGTTTTTCGCCGGTATGTTGGCCGCTGGTGGTGCCGCCGGTGCTACATCCATGGCTTTCGTTTATCCCCTCGACTTTGCCAGAACTCGATTGGGCGCTGATGTCGGAAAGGTAACCAAAAATCATGCGGCTCGGGAACTAATGCGTGATTTCAGAGCGCTTCTGAGCGACAATTCAACGGAATCGGCGACTGTATGAGAAAGATCTACAAGGCGGACGGTATCACCGGTCTCTACCAGGGCTTCACCATCTCCGTTGTCGGAATCATCATCTACAGAGCTTGCTTCTTCGGTCTCTACGACACCATCAAGGTACGATTTTTAACAAACCTTTCTCTCTATCTCTTCTTCATAGGCGATGGCCTTCGATGATCCCAAGAAATCAAACTTCATCTTCTCTTTCTGCGTTGGTTTCGCTGTCGAAACTCTGGCTGGAATTATTGCTTACCCAATCGATACTGTCAGACGTCGAATGATGATGCAGTCTGGAGAGGTACTTGCTCTTATCATATGATCAAACAAGAGCCATTTCTCTTGATTCTGACAAAAGAAAATTGTCCTAAATTTTCTCTAAACATAACTTTTTAGGGCTCTCAACGAATGTACAGCGGTTCTATCGACTGCGCTAGAAAGATCCTCGCCAACGAAGGAGGTGTCCCTGCTTTCTTCAAGGGCTGCTTCTCGAATATCCTCCGTGGTCTTGGAGGAGCCATCGTTTTGGTCATGTACGACGAGATGAAAAAATACGTCTAAGACGAGCGATTTATCCGAATCCTTGAATCCTGAAACTGAACTTCATTTACGTATTTGCTCACAACCTTACTCTCCTGAACAATTCCAGAACAAACTGTATTTTAATTCAATTTATAATGGACATTAGTTCCTCCTTCTCTGGCGAAATGCAATTATTTGAAAAGAAATTTTTGAAAGCCAAAAACTTACTCCTCCCCCTCTCTCTTTGTACTTTTCTTTCAAAAAAATACAAAACTGAACAATTGTGAAAAGACGCAACTATCGAAACTTGTTTCATTGTCCATGTGATATCCTGATATTATATCAGTGATATATAGTATCGATACTATCAATAGATAGGCCATTAGAAAAAAAAATGAATTAATAAACAAATGCTTTAAATAAATAAGCAAGAAGAATGTGTCTTGGTGTCATTTTTTGCAGGAAATCTGATCCCGGCAACTTGTATAGAAAACCTGAGCCAGGGTTTTATCTCAAATGAAAAGCCGCGTTCGAAATGGTGATCTTGTGAAGCCGCTTTGCGGCTTCGTTTTTTAAAAAACCGCATATACCGTATATGATAAACGGCTTCTCATTCATGATATTTCAGACTCTGGCTCAGGTTTTCTCCGTAGGTTTTCAACATAAAAGGATCAATAATTTTATTCATACGATTAATATGTAATGTTGTTAATGATTCCAGAGGACTTCCGCTCAACATAAAAGAAATCATTTTCCTTTGATGAATAAACAGAGTACCTGAAGAAAAAAAAACGTTTATAAACGAATTTTTGTTGGAAGAGATGATACTTAGTTGTGATTTAATTTCTTGGGCGATTTATCGATTGTTTTATTACAGTAAGTCGATGCGTAAATACCGATACGTAGTTCTTAGATTAGGAAGTCGACAAATGCCCATTTTGGTGAATTTTTTTACTCAGACATGAAAAGTGCATCAGAGAAGTTCTTGTACTTTGCATTTGGTTCGAATTTACTCGAGAGCCGAGTAAAGATCAACTCCCCCAGCGCAGAATTCATCTGCTACGCGACGCTCAAGAATTACGAGCTTGTCTTTGCTGGCTGGTCTGAAAGATGGCAAGGGGCTTCTGGCACAGTTCAAACTAAACAAAGTCTTCTGATAAGAAGTGAATAACTCATTGTTGAACTTGAAGTAAGCAACGATCATCGAAAGCCAAGAAAACGATGTGATTGGTTGTGTGTACTCAATTGATAAGGAAAATCTCGCAGAACTGGATCGTCAAGAAGGAGTTCATCAAAATATTTACGAGCCCTTGGAGATTTCTGCTTTGGGAAGTGATGGAAAGAATTATCTCTGCAGGACGTATTATAAAAAGGACGTGGCTGAAGGGAGAACGAAACAGGATCCACCAAGCAAGGTTAAAAATGCTGATAGAATATGTGACTCAAGTAATTTTTAGGCTTACGTGAGTGTGATCATTTCCGGAGCAAAAGAGCACAAATTCCCTGAGCCGTACATTTCCCAATTAGAAACAATCGAACACAACGGAATATTCGACATTCCAATGTTGAAAAATATCGAAGAAGGGAGGAAAGAAGATGATGAGCCTGATCAATGATTACCTTTCTATTTCTGTACAAATTTTTAAAATACTCTATAGATTCGAATGCTTTACTGAAATCAATAATAAAATCAAATTTTTCTTCCGAAAGTCATATTTTCTTTCTAAATTTTAGAATGGAAAATTGATTCCTATTGATTCGATATTTTACCAAAAGAAAGACGCAAAAAGCGAAATTGAAGATGGCGGATTTTTGACAAAGACAGTATCGCTGTAATATGGACGGAAATATAAAACTGGACACTGACAGTATAAGCATGACTGTTGTTAACATGACGGATCATGACAAAGAGCGTCTGGCGAAGGAAAACCACTCCGATATCGAAAGACGGCGGAGGAACAAAATGACGCAGTTTATAAACGAGTTGGCAGAACTCATCCCTGCTTGCAACAGTCAGGTACTCAGCGTTAATTTTTTCTTTCTCAAGTCAATTTTTGTAGCCAACGCAAACGAAGCCCGACAAATTGTCGATTCTTAAATGGGCGGCCGACCATGCCGAGCAACTTCCAGGCGCTTTCAACCGCGCTTATCCCTATCTAGTCACGCTGGAAATGTTCGATCACATCATGTACACGGCCACGAGAGGATGCTTTTTACTTCTCGGGAAGTTTGATCTTGAAATTATCAATCACAGCGAAACAGCGGTCGAAATCTTCGGAAAAAGCAACATGACGCAAATGAAATTCTTGGATTTCGTGCATGAAAAGGACAAAGAAATCGTCAGAAATTTGGTTAGTTAATCGGAAAAATGCTTTTATTTACGATGATTGAAGCTCTGCGCGACGATCAATTTCGACCAGAATATGCTGGATATGAAGAGTTTCACTGTTAGAACGACTTCGGCGCAGCTTCCAAGGGGGCCACCAATAGAAGGAGTTACAGCTGGCGCGAATAATAATAAAAGAGAGTGCATATGCAGGCTGAAGACTGAAAAAGCACAGGTAGAAACGCTCATATTTCCTAAGAACGAAACCAAACTTTTGCAGTTCTTAAACGCGTCGAACAGCCCTAGCTCCGCAGATGGGTATTGCGTCGCGACCATCACTGCTTCTTTGATTCCGGCAATCGAAGCTGGCCCCTACAATGAAACCTGGGCAGTGCTTATCCGCCAAGAACAACCGATCGAACCTCAAACCAGCTCTGGCCTTGTACACGTCAATGGCGGCGCAGTCAATCCTCTTTCAAAGTAACCCTCTTTTCAATTTCAAATTCATCAATTCAACTTTAGATGCACGGTGAAGATTGGCCTCGATGGCACGATAGCGTACTGCGACGATTTTATCGTGAAGTTGCTCGATCTCGAGGCCGGCGCGCAGAAAAGGATAATTGGCAAGAAGTTTTGGGAAGTGTTTTCTGAAAAACTCGGCAGCTCTCAAGCGGAGAACGATTTAAAATGTAAGTCCTAACAATTCGCCAAGATCTATCGCTCATTCTAGCGTTGATAATGGAAGGCTGCACGCGAGAAAGAGAGGCCAAGATCGTCCTCAACAAAAACGGCCAGGTGCTGATGTGCCTGCGCCCAATCGTGAACCCTTCCTCGAAGAAAACCGAATTCATCATCGCCAGTCTCAAACAAGTTCCACACTCCTGACCTAGGTCCGAAATCCCGCGTGTTTGGCTTGTGGCGTGTGAGTGGGGGCGCTATCCACGCCGCGCCAACTTTGTGAAGCAGCCCGCGCGCCGCAAAAATCGTGATGCGTATACGCCGCAAATCGAAAATGGCGCGCAACATTTTCAATGTGTAGCGTTTTTGATACTGGGCGAGCGCGCGCATTCAAAATATTCGTATATGCTACATCTGAGGACAATTATTGAACTAAACCACGTTAGGTTGATAGAACAGATTGAAGATATTCAACAGAATAAATAGACATCGATAATAGAATACTTCTGAAACTTATATATACGAAGGCAACTATAGAAAAAAGCCATACATGGTAGTCAATCATGAGAAAGTCTCATAAAAATAATATATTTATGAGATTTCTCTTTAAACAAAAATGGTCAGTTTTGCCATTACTAATATTAGTAAATTCTTATAATAACGAATAATTGGCACAGAAACTTATTGTCAATAAGACATTCACCAGTGTTAAAATTATCTGCGAAGACTGATCGAGAATTTTTTATTACTCTTGACAAAATTATGAAGCTTTACACTTCTTGAAAAATTTAGTTCAAATCACCCGGGGTTATTTGCATCAGTTTTAGCGCGGTAGGTAAAAGGAACCACTCGAATATTGGTGCGTTCCGGGGCTTTACGGGAATACAAGGCTGCCAGCACAAGCTTAGGGCCTACGCCTTGAGCGCTTGGCGCTAGTAATCAACCCTGGAAGCGAGAGCGGAAAATTGGGCCTCAATCGAGCCTGGCGTAAAATTTACGCCGCAAAATTTTTGCTGCGTGAAGAGCGCCCCCACTCACGCGCCACAAGCCAAACACGCGGGATTTCGGACCTAGCTCCTGACCAGTCTTCTTCTCAAACTACTGTTCTATAATATTTTAAATATTCTTGCTCCTCATTGTTCCTGCTTTCAAATATAAATATTTCTTGAAATCTGTCATATTCAAAAAGCTGTCTGAATAGAAGAGCTTTTTTTAGAGAAGTGTTTACAAAAATAAATCTTTATTTATAAATAACTTATTTATATAAAGCCAGAAATATGTGCAGGAATATCGTTTTACAGCTTGAGAATATTGGTTATAAACTGGTGCGGGTCAAAGGTCTCATCCTCGCTAATGTTCGCCATTCCGCACAGCTTTTCGATGCATTTGCTGATCTCGCTTGAGCTCATCTTTTCGCCGAAATTCTGAAGAAGGCGTTTTCAAAGGGGATTTTCAAAGAAGACGCAAGTACCTCTAAATTATGACGGAACTCTTTGTACGTCATTGAATCGCCCTTTTCGGACTCTAAGAGAGTTTCGAAAGCTTGCTGCACGTCATCCATATTAATTTGATCCACTGAAGATAAAGTTAAAAATGCTCTTATGAAAACAGCTCTATCTTAAAAAAATGTAAATATAAAATAAGCTCCTTCTACAATTATCATTCACTCACGATCACTTGAGAATTTAAAGTCGACTGAAATTGATTTGAATTATTTCAAAGCCTAATTCTGGGGATGAAAAACAGCCTACCTGGTTTGTGATTGACATAAAACTTGATGAAGTCGTCCATTTCGATTTCCTTGACTTGTTTCTGCGTCTTGTGGAACTGGGAGAACTTGATTTCCGTTAGAAGCTCCTCGATTTGCTGCTCGGTCGGGAACCAGCCCAGAGCGCGGACTGCTTCGGCGATTCTATTCAGCGGGATAGTTCGGGCTACATCACGGGTTACTTCGGCGTTGAGGCCCTGCTCCTCCAGTCGGCAAAAGTAGAATACGTCTTTCAACAGCTCAAACTCGTCCGGCTTCAGCATGTTGTAGAAAGGAGTCATTCCGACGCCGCCGCGAAGTTTTTGCTCTTCCAAACTGTCCAAGTCGATGTCCCAAGCAGTGACGATTCCCTCGCCACAGGAAATGATTTTCGACTTTCAAGAGTTTTCAAGTTTTCTTTGTTGCTTTTGATCTTGGCAAAAGCTGATGCAATATTTATGCGGTACATATTATCAGAGTCAAGTTAAAACTCTTTCCTTGATGGCTGTAATTGATGAGACGCCAGCGGGATTGGCGACAACTGCATATTCCTTGTTTGGGTTTCCATCAAGTGGCAACAAAACGACGCCAAGACAGGTCTCTGTCGAGAAAACAATTGAATCCGTTCCGCAAGGTCGCGAAATGAGTTCTGTGATCGGCGAGTCGTACTTGCTGATGCTGATCATTCGTCGAGGAAGCTTGGTGCTCTGATTGTAGAATCGAAATTTATATCTGTCGTTTGTCGTAAGCTAGGAATATCTTTATGAAAACAACGAAGAACCGAAATTTGTTTTACCAAGAATTCTTCTTCGTCTTTATTTCCTGGATATTTAATAAAATTCGTTGGCGTCGCTTCGGACTCAATTCTGTACTGCGAGTGAATCTTCAATTTATCCTCGATAGCGTATTCCACCAGCTTCCGGTCGCGGCTGATTGACAATAATCGGTCAGTTCCATATTCTTGGATGAAGAGTAGACACTTGACTTCTTCCGAGTGAGGGCGGAATCTTCCCATGCATCTCCAGCCGTCTTTTGGACTTAAAAATTGATAGATATTTCGCTTGTAACTTGCTTTAATCTTACTTGGAAGCATCATCCCTTTCCCAGAGATTGACAGCATGGCTAGCATCAGAAGCGGCAAAGTAATTTCCATCGTCGTTGAAAGTTGTCGCCACAATCGCGTGATCAGAGCCTTGAAGTCGAGTGAACTCTTTCAGGGAGAACGCGTCGTAAATGATAGCTTTTGAATGGTTTTATATCTATAAAGGATTTAATTGCCTCCGTCTTAAAATTTTTTCAAACATTTGATTTCGCGAATGTTTAAAACCAATTCCTTGACCCTTGCTGCTTCCAACGGCGACTTCGTTACCATTGCTCGAATATTCGATGCTTTGGATCTTCTCGCTTGTAAGTTTGACCTTCGATAAACACTTGAAGGAGCCATCTTCCAATGACATGAGTCTGAGCTCATGATCTCCGCTGATAATCACAAGATCGCGATGAGGATGAGCCTTGATCCTGACGTGACCTTTTGGTGGGCCTTCGAACACCATTGTAGGAACGCCCTTGACCATTTGATGCACGATGCCTTCGTTTGTGCAGGTGATAAATGGTGGAGCTTCGAAAACAGGCTGATCAAGCGTCGCTTCTCTCATTTCTGCCCCAGCGCCAACGGTGACTGCAGGCAAGTCCGCGAAAGTTAGCGAAACACAGCCGGCAAGCTTGGGCTTTTTCACCCAGTACAGCAATTTCAGCTCGCTCGACAAAAATCGGATATGGCCAGACAAATCGGCAATCGTAACAACTGTGCCTTCTTTGCTCTCATACTTGTCAATCGTAGTGATGGGCCGCTCACTGAATCGGATGAGCTTCTGGCACCGCCAATGCCACTTTGGTCGCGCTTCCGAGGGTGGAGCGCGTTTGCACATGAGAACAGCGCCGTAACCGGCCCCGAGAGATGTGGCGATCTCGGTGTTTGAAACAAAGACAGATTGACCGAGAGCCCAGCCCTCGCGCATCGCTCCGACGTCGTTTTCTTCATCATCTAAAGATTCTTGTAATTGCTGAAATCGATCGCAATTAAAGATTTAGATGCTTTGGTGCTTTGATTCATTACTTCGTGAAATTCTAAGGCCCCACGTGACATGTAGTCTAACTTATAAAGAATGTGAATGGTAAAGAGTTTCGCTCTTCTTATTGATTCAAAAATAGCTTACTTTCAAAATTTTCTTCGAAAAAATCGGCTTGAAACTTTTTATGAAAACCATCAAGGTCTTTTTATCAATCATTTACCTGGAAGAAGAGTCTCCATATCATAAGTACAAATCTGTTTCTTGAGCAAATCTCCATCTTGATTGACAGTTTCTACTCTACTGTGGTACGTCAGGATTACGATTTTCTGAGGAAATGTGATGACCGCGCTTTGGTGATCGGCTTCGATGGCTTTGTTGACTGTGATTTTAGGAAGAAATCCATAAGGAATGACGGCGTTTAGTTGAATTTCTTCGTATTTCAAGGGGATGTCATCCGCCCAGCGCCACATGGTAAGTCGCGAGTCGCCATAAAGGACGAGCTAAAAATCTGTCATTTTAAAGTTCTCATAAATGTTAATAGCTCATTCCAAATTGGAAGTCCCAATTCAAGTACAGCAAAAAAGCCAAAAGAAAGGATTTACGACCAATATATTAATGATTTATCGACGGCACTGCCCAAAGGGTCGACGTGTAGTTATTGAAAAATAGATGAAGAGAGTCAAGATCTAATTAGAAATGATGATCACTACCAATTTCAAAGTCTCAGACACAGATGATTTTCTTCATGATACACTTTCATAAAAATGTAATTACCAAGGTCGCTGAGTCGGTCGAGAAGCTGAGAGAAACGACATCAGATGAAGCTCGAGTGTCGATAGTTTGGAGACCTTGTTTTTGCTCCACATCCCAGATGATGATCGAAGCGCTGTTGCCGATTTCTGAGGAGGCGAGCCAGCGTTTGCAGGGCGAGACGGCGAGATTTTGGACGATATTTCGATGACCGACGAGCGGGTAGTGTTTTTCGCTATTTATTGTCTTACGAAGGGACGAATATATCAAAAAGTTGTTGGTTTCTTGGGCACAGAATTGCCACAAAGAAAGCCTTGGGCTATGACCCAGAAACTGGTGATTGGATTAAGGGTTTAAAGAAGGGTTAAGAAATAAGATTCTTATTTTTGTAGAATGATGAATTACTTCCAAAAGGATTGGCTGTTAGACAAACCACAGTTCTCGTTGTTGTACTGTAGGACGAGTCTCAGGACGTTGAGATCATGTTGAAGCAAATTGATGCGGTTAGTTTGTGTGAATAATCGAGTATTTGGCCCTTTCCTGTATTACGACGATGTGGTTATTTGCGTATGCCACAGTATGTTCTCCATCTTGTGTCAAATCCACGAAACCAAGTCTCGGATTCACTCCGCAAACCCATGATAGCTCTGGTTTTTCAGTTCATTATCAAAATTATCTATTAACATAACTGTCAAATCTCGGGTTTTAAACAGGAGTTCTCCTAACTTACTTTCTCAGCAAATTCAAGTGCGAACTGTTCCTAACGGTCTTCTACTTACTTCGGGAGATTCTTGCTGTGCCGTCTTTGCATCGTTTTTCTCTGGCATTTTGAAAAAACAATATTCACAGCGCAGCGTTGACTAATTTTTCCCACTGTCGTCGGGGCAACCGTAGATTTGATAAATAATCATTCTAGAGAATTTTCGAAAAAAATGAGTATTGAAGAACATTTACGGTAAAAACATAGGCTAGTTTGAGAATCCTTGATTCAGCATTTTAGGATATCCCGGATAGGCTATCCGGGAACAGTTCCTTGATGAATTTGGTTATAAATTATAGCTAAAGTTCAGCCTGAACTATCAAGGAACTAAGAGCGAAAGTAGTTATAGTAGTGACTGTTGTTCAGGCGTTTTTCTCTGTCGCTCATTGGCTGATGAAAATGGATCACTGTTCCCTGGCACTCACGGCCCGAGGCGGCTCTCTGGCCTGGTTTTGCTCTTCAGACTGCAATGTACTCATGGTGGGGATGACCCAAAAGGGATGAACCCAAAAAATGGATGAACCCAAAAAAGGGATGAACCCAAAAAGGGATGAATCATAATTAGTGTTAGTTCGATTTTTCCATACTAAATTGATAAAATATTAAAATTCAATTTATTTACATATTTACATATTTATACATTCAACTAATCATATTTTAGGTTTATGGTTCTTCGACTCAACAAAAATAAAGAAAAAAGAAGTTGCTGTGCTTTCAAAAGTGAAAAAGTCCAAACTGATCTGTTGGCTTGGAGCGAGTGACGGCGGTGGACCAGTGCTACAAAGCTGCGGATTAACCTTCACGATGTGTTCACGCTGTGTTCACGCTGTGTTCACGTGAGCGCTCGTTTCTAGAACATTCGCTCCGCTGCATGGTTACATAAGTTGGAAACAGTAAGTTGCTTTTCTCTCATCCTTTTAAAAAGTATGAAAAAAAGGGTTTAGCTAGATACCATAACGTGATGCGCAATTCAACCTCAGCTACAGTCATCCTTCGTCCTCGCTAATTGCACAAATGAAGCGCAGTTTTTCTCCGTCCAGGCAACTGGATCTTGAGAGCGAAAAGGTACTCAACCCTTAAACCATAATTTGCATATTTCTCTATTTTATAAATAGTTTATAACGAAAAAGGGCTTGACACACAAAAGTGTGCTCTACCAAAACTAATCGGAGATGCAGTAGCTAATATGCAATTTAGATAAACTTCAACCCAACCTCAATTCCAGCCAAGTTCACCCCTCGCCGCCGAAATCGCCTCAATGATTCGTCTCTTGCGCAAACTGTATTTTGAACGCCATAATTTGCATTTCTCTCAATTTTTTAATAATTTATAATGAAAAAAAGCGTTCGACACACAGTTACTTGCTCAAGAGTCAAATCAACCTCAGCCAGTTTCATCCCTCGCCTCCAAAGATCGTCTTCTAACAAACGTCATCTGTGCAAATAGTATCGCCAACGCCATAACACCTTTTCTCATCTCAGACCAACTCAAAAATAAAACGAAAAAGAGAATGTTAAAATGAAGCACTATTGCAAGATTGAGTATAACACATGTCGTGGAAAAGCAATTAATTTATTTCTCTCTCAATAGAACATAAAATAAAACATAATAAGACTGAATCATCGCAAAACGAAAATTATGAAATAAAGTCGTTTTCTTCGTTGTCTTCAATATTATAATTTATATGAAAGGCTTCAAGGCGCCGGGCAAGTTCTTCCATAATTCTATCAAAATAAAGGGGATTCTGCATTTTCTGTTATTAAAAATAATCGAATAATCAGGACGCAAGAGATTAGCAGCTTTTATATGATTATACAGTATTTATTTCAGATAACAGTAGGTAGGAAGTTTTTTTCCATCAAATGACTATTGACAGTTTCGCTTCATTTTAAAATCATCAATAATTAATCAAATACTCTAAATTTTGTGTGCCTATCGCTGTTTTTGCTCATCATTTTATCAAATTAAAAAGTCATCAATTTTGTGATTTTCCTTCATTCATATTTTGCTTCATTTTTTTTTATAAAAAAGCTTGTTTCAAGCCTGTTTTATACTCTCTGCTAGTGCGCCGCAAAGTATTGATATATTGACGGTCAATTTTCCAGTTTGGATTTTTCGGAAGTGACCTGAAGAAACTGTCGATTATAAGGTCAATCCCATAAAAGGACTCAACGAGCAAACGAGACTTCTCGAACTCGATTTGTCTTTAAGACCTTCTATAAAATTGATCCTATGCTTTGTCAAGAAATCGTCGTCGTCGAATGGGATGCATGAGCTTAGGAATTGAGCCATAGTACTGCTAGATTCATTTTACTTCCGTCTAACAGTCCTCGTGGTATTCCTTGACTCCAAAAGCATCATTACAAGATTGTGTCGAAATGACTCTCCTCTCTCTCGCATATATCTCTTGGCAAACGAGTGTGGTGGAGCGCTGATTCTAGTTGCTAGTAGATGATGGCGCGTTTTCTCGACTCTTGAAAAGGCAAGTTTTCACTCAGCTAATTACTTTGTACAGGTACAAATCCAACGATCAGTATCTTTATTTTTGGCTTTGTGCCTTATCTGAAATCGAGGAATGAGTACAATCATAAATTAATGATTTTTGATCGAATGAGTGCAGTGGTTGATTTACTAACGCGGTATGAAAGTTACGATCGGCGACAACAACGACGACAGACGAGGAAGGATAACTCGAGCGCAGCCCGTTTGGGCGTACAAAGTCTTTTCTTTTGTTAGGCATTCTTAGTGTTAAGTGTTAGCTGTTAGTTACAAACATAAAACTTTTTGGTAAATTCGTTTACTTAGTTTTTATGTTTGGGGAATCTTTGGTTAGGGCCTCTATGTGGTTCAATTAGTCAACTTAACAACTAAAAGACTGATTTCTGTATTTGTTAATTTTTTGATTTTTATCCTTTGCTGGGTCCTGCTACATGGTCCAGTGAAATGCTCGAATGAACTTTTGTCCAAATTATTAAATGTGTATTTTCAATTTACTTCATGATGAAGCTGTAGCTCAATGTTCTCTCGTTACTTTCCGTGTTAAATGTTCAATGTTAAATGAGTTTACTTCTTTGATCTATTGCATACTTTATGAAAAGATCAGTTTTTATTTGAGAAAAATCTATATGAAAAAGACCATTTTTAAAAAAGATACTGAAGAAAATATGTAAATGATTTCTTTGAATTCTTCCTCCTGTTATTTTACCAGTGCGCAGTTTTCAAAACTTGTAGATTAGCAAATTTCTTCGTTGATTTTCTACAAGTTTTTTCTGTACAGACTATTCGAATAAACCTTTCAAATATTCTAGAACGTCGTGTTTATTTCTCCACAAAGTCTATATAAGCGGTTGAAAATCGCATTTCAATCAGTTTTTGTTTAACAAGCGAAGTAGCAAGAGCAAAAAACGTCAATTTTCAATGGCAAGAAAGGCTGCTAAAAAGGTAGATTTCGTGCATTTATTCTCATTTATTCTATTTTATACAGTCAACCGCGCCGATCAAGCGATGCGGCAATGCTGGCCGAGTTGAAAAGCCCCGTGCCGACGTCAACGAAACCATTTTGGACTCTCCAGATGCCCTTCCGCCGATGGTCGATGATGAACCTCGCCGCTTTCGCCGCCATCTCGATTTCGATGCCCCACCTCAAGATGTTGGCTCTGATGAAACTATTTTAGTTTCAGGCAATGTCGACGGGGACGAAACGCTGATCGACATGGATGCTTGCCTTGACGAAGACGCCATACTCCACACCCAGGCTCTTCTCAACGACGCCGAGGAAGAGGAACGCGAAACTCAAACCGAGTTCGCAGCTGGCGTTACTGCCAATCAACGGCGCGAGGGCAACTTCCTCGAAGAGTCCCGCTTCCACCGACCTGGCGACAACCCGGAGCGAGACGAATTCTACCATCGAATCGACGATATTGCGTCTGTTTCGATTGCTGGCTCCGAGGTCGCCGATCCCGAACTGTCCAAGCGAAAAGCCACTCAGGTCGATGTCACTTATGGGGTCTTTTCAAAAGATCCTGAAAAGGCCAACACCGAAGTCCTTCGCTACAAGGACTGGAAAAACAACACGGCCACTCGCTGGCTTTTCGCTCCGATCAGTAACCGCATGGGTCGCACGACCTATGGTTACATGCACTACGATAGTTGCAGTAAGTTTTTATTTTAAAATTTTCAAAGATTTTTGATTAAAAAACCTTTTTAGTTAATCGAGTGCCCGACAAGCTCACCCGAGCCGTCAACATCTTGGAACAAGTGATGGCGAACAGAAACAAGGAGTTAGCGGCGCTTATTGCGGAACTCGAGTTCCAAGAAACCGCCGTTTTCATGGAGACGACCGAGTTCATCTTCTCCCTCAAAAATGGCGAATATGGACATGCGCGGGTTTCTGACTCCCCTCTTCGAGTCACTGGACGACGGCCTGACGATTTGCCCCCTCTCTTCAAGGTCAAGAAGACTGGTGCTCCTGCTTTTCAATAAAGAAACACCTTCTTTTCCTTTTACAAGCTGTCAGAGATAATCGCTTGTTAAATAAAAACTTTTTGTATTCTAGAAATTTAAAAGATTCTATGTAAAATAGATTCTTTGTGTTTACGTGTCACAATTTATAAATCGTGATTTATCGCATTTGGCAGGTCAAAATCTCGAAATCAAAATAGTCGAGTAGCAGGTTTAGTGTGAAGTCTAGAAGGAACGGCGGCGCACGCACGCGTCTGGAAAAAGGAAAATCGACTTTCGAGATTTTCAAATTCGCTCCTCGCCACTCATAAATACTCACACTTTGCATTTTTCGAAGCCGGCTTTTTCAATTTCGGAAAGAGAGAATCGCTGCTCATGAGAGAAAAACCTGCTGATTCTGTTTCTTTTATTGCCGATAATCAGTTTTTTAATTCTCAGCTCTCTGTAAATCGAATCTTTACGGTAGTAACAGATTCATTCTTTCAGATAATCGGCCAAGGGTATGTTTTTGATGGATCCGCCTACCGCTCGTTCCCAACAATCGCTATCGGCGCGAGCAGATTCTCGGCCATCAACCCCTCGACACCAGCGCCATCGCCGTAATTCTGGTGGCAGCCGACGGGCGGATAGCCCAACTTCTTCCCTTCGGTCCATTCCTCCCTGGAGAGAAGAGAGTGTTACCGCTCCTGACGATTTTCAATTCGCTCGCCCTCGGACTCCACGGTAATTGATTTTTAAAAATCCGTTTTTACGGCAATAATTAGAACTTCTATGCCCTTGCACCCTTCGTTCTCGCGAATGTCCTCCACCACCGCCGCTCCTAACGAGGAGCACCATCTCGATGCAGCCTTTTCTTCCGAGGAGCTCGGTGTTGAGCCCACTGCGCCGGGAACAACAACTACAACGGCGTCTCAAGTACCACCGCTGCAGGAACCGACTCATTTTGAGTCTCCAATGGGCCAGCATTCTCGACGAGTGCTCACTGAAAGACCGAGCGCTTTTGTCGCTCCTCACACTAGCAACGGTGCTGGTGGAGCCGTCCTTGTTACGACTCCTGCACCAACTCGAGCGCCTACTCATGCCCCCTGTGCATCCTCCGAAATCGTAAGTGAAAGAGCAATATTTCAAATTTTGAAATAATTTTCAAGAAAACGATGTTTGGATGCACTCCGCGCTTCGATATTGGGTGCTTGGCGGTCGCCTGTGCTACAGCTGCAGTCGCTGCCGTAGCGATTTATATTCTCATTGCCGCTAGTCGCTCCTGCTTGCCGTCTACTTATGGCATCGTCGGGGCTGGAAAGAGTTCTGGGTAAGTTTTTTAAAAACTTTAAGAATCAATTTTTCTTTAAAACAGCGGTCAATCATCTCCTACTCCGCCGCCAAACGACGACCTTATTCGCACCCGACGATCCTATCCTGTCGATGAAGGGCGAGTTCGACGATCCCTTACTCACGAGTGCAAGGAAGTTGGCAATATCTGCGATTGCCAGTGTGCTTTCTCCGTCGACAACGCTCGATGGAGCATTTCCCTGTCTCAATCGCCTCCCTCACCAACTGGCAAGGATGATGCCAACGAGGAAGGCGCCAACGCGGACGATGCTATCTCCAACCCCTCCACCAAATGGGCTAGTAACAGCGACTTTACTAGCTACTCCAAGCTTCTAGGTAAATTTTAAAAATTTTGAAAATGCAATTACTATTGCATTTCATAGATCGCGCAGAAGCTAATCGCCGAATCGCAGAGGACTTTGGTAGCGACCAGGTGGACACTGGTTTCCACGAGCGTGCCTGGAGCTCCTACGAACTTGTGGCCGACCCGGAGGAGATCACCGACGAGCTCGCTGACGCCGTAAACAACTCCGATCCCGTCGTAACCGCAGCGCCAAATGCTCAAGACGCACCAGTTCTCATCGCGGGCGAAGAGGCTGCAGTTGACGCTATGACGGGCTCCAACGACACTGTTGCTGGCCCCACTGACGCTGATGCTGACCTCGTCGACGCTGTTGTCGAATACATCGACGATAACGACCAGGCGCCAGAAGAAGGTTCCGGAGAGAACAAGACTGGCTCGGACCCCACACCTCGACAAGGTCCGAATTTGAAACTTATTGTAGCAATATTAATTTTGTTTTATATCTAGAGCCTGCCGCCGCATTTGTTACTCTCTGAGTGACTGTTCAAAGCCTTCTAAGTTCCTGACTAGTGTATACCGTTGCAACCAAATTCGCTTCAGTAAATTCCGCTGCTTATCAGCCACTTTTTATCATTTATCCCTTTAACATCTACTGACCTAAATCACTCGTTTTGCCCCTCTCACGCGCCTTTATCTCTACAATTTATTAAAATGATCTCAACTGACTGAAAAAATGATCTAATTTTCGCTCCTTGCGTTCCAACGTCCCTTTCCAAACTCACCTTTCGACTGACAACCAATTACGGCCTTTATCTGTCAATGAAGCGCATCTTATCCTTCAGCTGAAATGCAAATTCTCCATTTTAGCATGTCCTGGAGCTGTGATGATTATCGAGTATCGGGAACAGAGGTAGAGGAATCTCTGTCAGCGCAACGGCAGGAGCAACAAAGAGGACTTGTTTTCACTTCGGCCGACAATGTAAACCATTTCAAATTGGTAAGTTCCAAGCGTCCCAAAAACAACCATAAAAATCTTTTAGTTTGGCAAAACATCGTTCCTTCCCGTCAAATTCTCAAAAGGAATTTTTCATTATCGAAAACTCATGCTAAATGACTGGCTCCGGCAACAAATTATCTTCACAATCTCCAATCACAAGGTAAATTCGCTTGCTTATAAAGAAGGAGTTAACTTTGAATCAAGGAAGACGACCTGGACCTTCCGTTGGAAATGATGGGCCTTGCAAAAATGTGTGATTGCGAGTTCCAATACTGGCGTATCGAAAGTTGGCTCTATTTCAATTGTTTCTACAATTCCCCAGTGTAAATTCGCTTTGTAATTTGTGCGCTTACTAACCCTTTTGCATTTATGTTTTCATCCTTTACCGTTACTAATCATCTGCTTGTAATTAAATGCAAAATTATTCGTAAATACTTGTCAATTTGTTTTACTAATAGACGTCGTAGCGGATAATGAATCGATTAATCAAGGCTAAGAAACCGCGGCCGGATACTCCGATTTTCCGTTCCAAAAAGCGAGGGGTTCTCGCCGATGCTTTGGAAATGGCTTCCCAATCGCCTATCGCCGCTAAACTGTTCCAAAAGGCTACAGAGCAAGGCGAAAAGTAAGTTAACTGAATCAAAAAGAAATTATGCCTTTTGTAGTTTGCTTGGCAAGGTGATTGGATCAGCGCGAAAGGCCACGCGAGGCGCGCCATTGCAAACACTGCCACGCTGTTCTCCTATCTTCGAATATCGAGGTAAGCGGCAATTTAAAACGATTAAGAATAATAACTTGTTTTCTAGCCGGAAAACGTAAACGAACCTCTTCTGGCCGGAAATCACCAAGCTCCGCCTCGCCTCGGTACTCGCCCGAAAAGAAGAAGAAAAGAGGGCTTATCAAGCGAGCCAAAAAGCGCGCTACGCTTTATGGAAAATCTGCGCTCCAGATTGCTAATGGTAAATCTTTAACGCCACGTTTAATTTGAATAACCGGGTTTTTAGCGGTCCGAAAAACCCACCCACATTGATGACTACGATGCTGTGTGGGTATTATACGGCCGAGTTCAAGCTTACGCCGACAAAATTTGCGGCAATCGAGCAAGCGGCGAAGAAGCAAATTCGGCAAAAACTCCTTCGCCAAAAAACAAAAAGCGTTGGCCATTCTTGGCATCGATCAAAAGCCAGCCGCCACTGCTGACGAGTATCCCAAAGTCGTCGCAAATGAGGGGCTGCTTTTTCCCTTCCATTACTTCGATCCAGCGCAAAAAGGTTTTTCAAATATTAACTTTCAATTTTTACAGTTTTTTATAGAAGGCAGTGCAATGATGGGCGCTCTCCCAGCTGATCACGTCTTCAAGCCAGGTCCGGAGATTTGCCACGCGCAAATGATCGATGAGCTCAAGAAGAATTTTGGTGAGAAATAATTCTCTCTCCGTCATTTACTGCACCTTTATCACTCAATCAGTTACACATTTAACTGTTCATTTGAGCTTGATTAGAACTACACGCCCACTGACACAGTGTCAAAAAATAACACTTTAAGGATGTTTACGTTCCCCAACTATCGACGGCGTCGGTCGCCACCGCGCAAAGATGCTGACACGAAATCCCGCAACAAGACAAAGAGTTGCTCTGATGACGGTGCCGATGAAAACCGAAATCCCGCCATTCAGGTAAAAGAAAAGAAGTCGCGTTAATTTAATTTATTATAGGGTGGACGCACGGCAGCCATTGTTCACCCAAAGGCAACGCCTAAACGTACTCTGAAGGAGTATATCAACCCCGAGTCCCCTCCACAGCTGTCGCCGCTATCGGACAAAGGAAGTTGCAGAAAGTGATAATGATATTTTACATTTTCGAGATCATTTTCGCATCCTTTAGAAACCAAAACGTCGAGCAAGTCCAACTTTACTCGTCGACCCGGTTTTGACGATTTGCCAGTGGTTATCAAGCCCTCTTCTCGCCGGAACAGCCGACGTCGTCGGCGTGTCACTCCTGAAGCCATCCGCGCCCTTCTGGTTGGCAAATCGTCCCAGGGACAATCGCAGAAATCGTCTCAAGAAGAGCAGAAAGAACGATCGCCTTCGCCGCCGCGAAATTGCATTGTGAGAAGAGCGTCGACTGTCGCAGGTGTTCACGAACGGCGATTTCGCCGAGAATTGTCGCCAACATCCGAGCGCTATTTTGGTGACATGCTCGACGATGCTGTTGCTGGAGTCGGGCCTTGCATTTCTCTTGGTCATGTTTGGACCGAGAAGGAACAAGAAGAGGCTCGCCGTATTCGACGCGAAGAAGAAGCGGAAAAAGAGCGCGCCAAAAATAGCAAAGAGCGAGCTAAACGTGCCCGGGAAAATGCAAAAAAAGCTGCTGCTTCCTCCGACGAGTCGCTGCCAGAACAATTTGGTCAAATGGGCTTTCAACAGTCCATGGTTGATGGACCAAAAGAACCAATTCCTACTCCGAGTGCGCAAGTTGTTGTTGGTGGTCGACGCGCTCCTTTTGAGCTAAACTGGACTGACGATTGCGACGCGGCGTGCCCCGTCGATGGCAAGCCAAAACGATGGCAATTGACGCTCAAGGATCTTCAGCGAATTTTTGCAACTGCGGTGGATACCTGCGATGGCATTCCTGCGTCGCTGGCGGATACACGACTTGGCTGGTATCTTCAGCAACTCGGCAAGATCGCTAAGGTCTCTGACGATGTCTCCGAACAGCGCAAACAACTTCGGGCGCTGCTCGCGAGCCTCAACCGCAATTCGCCCCGATTTATCTGTGGCTACCCTTCGTATGGCATTCTGGAGCCTAGCAAGCCTTGGCATACATTGGGAAGTTTTTATCCTGTATTTGCCCAGGATCTTTTTGGCCGATACATTGTCCGACAACTCTACGTTTGGGCGTTCTTTGGAGACGACGATTGGCGTTTGATCAATATCGACCAAAGCGGAGTGCTTGGCCATATCAGCAAACTTGTCGATGTGATCAACGCTCTCGGAGTCAAAACGGTCTTTCCTTGGCCGTCGAAGGAGACGACGTCGTTTGCTGCTTACAAAGCAATGTTTTTGCTCGCTGCTGGCTTCATCCCAACAACTATGAAACAGCCATACGCTCTCGAAGCTTCAATGGCAAATGAGCAGGTTATATTCCCCCAAAAATAAATTCCATTTTAATTTAATTTAGACCTTCAAAATTCTTTGCCTTGGCGACGAAATCAAGCAGCCTCCTTGCGCAAAACAACTTCGCGCTATCGAACGATCCCTTGAACTCCGAATTTGGCGATCGGTTCCGGAGTGTATGAATGCTGTTTACCATCTCGAAGCAAAGAAGCAGCATGCGACCGACTCTTCGGAGGAGCTCTGGACGTTGACCTTCGGAGAGCTTCAAAAGCGTCTCAATCGGTCAATTGGGATCAACGCGTTGTCTCGTCAACGCAACCTCACAAAAGCGCAAGTCGGAGAGCTTGCGCTTATTCGCGCAATGGATGCAGTCTACGATGCTCTGCCTCCCATTTTCACCAACTTCAAATTTGGTGTCACGGATGAATTGGTGGCCATGTTTCTGTTTGGCAATACGATTTTGCCGCCGACCGAGGATCCAAATTTCCTCCATTTAGTACGTAAAATTTAATTATTTAATAGTAATTAATTTTATTTTAAAGTTTGGCGTTGTGGATCCGATTACTGCTGGTCTCGCGGATTTCTACATGCGTGGCGAGGTCAGATGCGAGGATTATATCGCAGCAGTGGACTCTGCAAAGAAAACGCGAGAGGCCGTCTTGGATGAGCTCTTTCAGAATATGCTCGACATGGACGTCTTTGGGATCAAAGAAAACGATCTCATTGACACTAACGTTCGCAACGCTGGACCCGATGAAGACTCATCTTTGTCTTCGGAAGCAGAACGCCGTCGAGATCTTGCAGTCATTGAGCCATTTTCGACTTCCATGTCTTCGTCCGCGACTCAGGCCCGGGGCGAAAAGAAAAAGAAGGACAAAAAAGCTGACAAGAATGGCCCTCGATCGTCCTTTGGAGCGTCCCAGCTTGGTGCGCAAACTCTTGATACGGTTAGCGAAAGCTCCTTCCCCACCTGTGACCCCTTCAAAGAAGCCGTCATTTCTTTGGTCAGCAGCGACAGCAGCTCTTCCGAATCCGACGCCGGCTAAAAATAAAAATTTCCGCTTTATGATGTAAACTTGCACAAGTTTTTTCCATAAAAGGAAATTTAAAAAATGTTATTGTTTTGTTATTTTTTAGACAATTAATGGGATCGAGTCAAAGGCTTTTTATTTTCGCAGCTGCTGTCGCAGTTGTCGGACCGTATGATATCTCGGATTGTTTACAAGTTCATGGCTCGCCGTGGGTAGCGCATGAAATTTATTGCGATCCAGAGTTAGGACATGCGTACAGCGATCATTGCAGAGATACACCGGATTCGACAACACCTGTGAGTACTACGAGCAGTACTACAACGTCAAGCGAGTCTACTACTACTACTTCGACGACTACGCCAGAGCCGACTACAACGAGCACAAGTGAAAAAACGAACACTGCTACGATAAAACCTCCACCTCCAGTGCCTTCATCCACTTCCAAGACCTCTTCTTCCACGAATTCGCCGATTCCATTGCCGGAGCCAACAATTTCCCCGGAAGAAAAGCAAAATGACTCAATGTATGTTAAGATATAAGGGTATACTTGAGAACAATGTCATATTTTTTTGCATGGTATAAGTAAATTTTTTGTTAAATAACTTTTTATGTGTTCAAGTTTTAAAACTTGCTAGGTGCCACATGGCAATTTTAGTATACCATGCGATCAAAGTACACCTAGCAACTTTTGATACCATGCAATTCTAATTTTTATTTTTGAGTTTAAAATTTGGGAAATGAGGAGAACTCCATGGGCCATTAGTTTAAATAGTGACGAAAATTATGGAAACGTTAATCCTTTTGAACTTTTTCTTTGTGCTAGAATTAAAGTTTCCATCATTCTCGGAAATTAGCATTTATTATTCCATGGAATATTTTCATAATCCCAAAACACGTGATTTTGCCTTATGGAATTTTAAGTTTTCTACGAATTCTATGGATTTTTGCCGCTATTATTGTTGGTCTTGGATTTTGTCCTGTGATGTGCTTGAAGTACAAGTACCGACACGAATCAATACCAAAGATCATTCGTGTTTGGAGCCGTCAACTGCGTGACTTTATGTTGGATTTGATATTTTTCCCCTTTGATTTTGTTGCATACTACTGTTGCAACAAGCAAAGCGGTCAAGAAAATCAAATCATTTGGGGAGCGCGAAGAGCAGAACGTCTTTTGTACTTTTGCCCCCCGTGCTGCCGAGAAGAACGACGTCCAGGCGAGATTTTGGAAGAAATCGTTCAATTTAGCCGCAACAGTAGTCGATACGGAAGTGGCAGCCGTATTTACCACGGAGAATTCAGCGGCGGTCGATATGCAGGTATTTTCTTTTAATGTTTTCAAAGACTAAATTACGCTTTAGCAAACCGATCTACGCGGCACATGCGACGGGACGATCGGTACTTTCAAGCGCAGCAGCAGCGGAATGCCGCAAGTACTCTTCAATATCAGCGTTTGGTGAATGAGCAGGAAAGAACTCGACGGGAAGCGACTCGTCAACGGGAAGAACAAACCCTACAACATCAAGATCAGCAGAGGCTTCAACAACGACTCGAAGAGCTTGAAATGGAAGAGCGACGGCAGCAGCAGCAGCAGCCAAGCACTTCTCAAGCTCAGTCTCAACAAAAACCACCGCGACCTGTTAGACCAAAGCAATGTGCGCCTCCTCGTCGTTTCAGCTGGCTCCCCAATCGCTCGAGAGACAATGATGATGACGAAAGCGATAATCCTGGTAACTGGTCAACTGCCAGTTCTAATAACAGAAGCGCATCTCGTGGCAGCTCTTTGTTCCGCTTGTTTTCCTTTAGGAAAAAAAAATCTTCGGGCGGTCCAAACGATTCTCCAGAGGGGTCAATTGTCCGTGAAACGACAACACTCTCAGAGCAAACTCCGCCGGAGCGACGACCGTCTATTCCAGACGAAAGCCCACCAACGTATGCATCAATTAATTTCGATGGACCTGCAACGCGAGATCGTCACCACCGACAAGAAGAATTTCAACTCTCAATTACAACTGATGAGTCCGATGTCGAAGAATACGAATCGCCGAAAATGACAGGTGCTCAAGCAGCCGCGGAAATGGACAAGCAGTGGAAGCGATCGACACTCTCAATTTGTAGTGAAAAAAGCAGCTCTAGCAGCGATATTTCAGCAACTACAATGAGCGAGTTGGAGCGTCTTAATCCAATCTCTTCCGAGAAAAATAACGAAGATGGTAAACAAGAAAAGGAAGAACCTGCTTCGCCTTCACAAGAAGACAACACCGATCAAAAGAAGGAAGTAAAAGCAGAGGCGGAAGAAGGGGATAAGCACGAATCGACATTTGAGGCTCCAGTCAATACATCTACTCCAATCTCAGCTGTCCGTGTAAATCCTCGATTGAACCATCTAAAACGCCGCGAGATGCCAGTACCTCCGAGTCCACTTGCTTCAAACAGCTTCGATGGTCGTCTGAATACAATCATCGAAGATTCTTCCGATGAGGCAAGTGTAGTAAAAAACGCGCTGGATCGACTAGACATTACAGTGTCAGTGCGCTTTTTCCGTCGGGCTTTTCCACTTGGCTTGACGCACGGTTAGTGATTCGACCGGATGGCTTAGGGTGAGCTGTTGCGGTTACCCCACAGATGCTGTGGCAATCCTTAAATATCCGTTTCCATTCAAACCAGGGTGGTTTTTTCCATCACATATGGTCCCCTGACCTTTCCGTCGAGGCTTACTTTTTCCGTCGGGCTAGTGACTGGACAAGATGGCTCCGTGGTTTCCATACAGATGCAGTGACGATCCGGAAAGTTATATTTCCATCCTAACCAGTGCATTCGTTCACTACACTTGTACTTTCCGTTTTACTAGACTAGAATCTTAAAATCGCAATTGCAGCTTTGAAATTAGAATACACACCTAAACCCTTGTAAAACTTTCCACTTGAAAGGCTATCAGATCGCCCGCACCTAATATCGATCAAAATCGCGCGCGAAATTTGTACTTGAAACATCAAATGTTTTTACCGGATATTGATATTGTTTTATGGTTAGATTGATCTCGCGGGAGTACCTAGTGGGCACAACTGCCATAAACCCTTTTTATATAGCAGATCAATTTAGAGTAGAGTCAAACAAAAATGATTGTCCCTGTTGAGCAAATCAAACCACAAAAAAAGGGCGTCGCCAAAAAAGTTGCGAGATTTTTTAAACGCCAATTTGCTACATATCAATACCCGGTGAAGGAAATCAATCGAAAAGCACTCTGGATCGACACTCATGCCAATACAAACCTCGGAGCCATGACTAAAGCGTCCGTCAAAGCAGTCACGAATGTTCCACCATCAAGCCCTCAAGTTAACCCAAAAGCGTTCGGACTGACCCCGCTCGTGACCAAAGAGGAGCCGCCAATGTATTCCCATTTCTCCGACGAAACGCTAAAATATGCCACAATAAGAAGGTCCTATTCTGTTCGATGCCGCACGGCTTCTCGATTCTACTAACAAGCGTTTCACTTGCTCTCATTTTTCTTATTTTACAGCCATTTGCCCTAACTATGCTTGCGATTTCCCTCAATAAATTATTCTGAAAAACCCAAGTGTTTTGTTAAGGAAAGCGATGTTAAAGATTCACCAACTTTGACCAAGCTGCTCGACGAGACCCGTGCAAGATACAAGGCGATGAAGGAAGACACGGTCAAGGGCGAGACAAAGCCGTATGCCAGCCTTACTGCGGATAGCCCTATGACGCTTAAATTCAAAAGTGCAGCTGCGGATAAACTGTTGGGGGCGGCCAATGAAAAAAACCCGGTTTTAATGTCACAAGCTGCGTCAGTTTCCGTCAGTCACCAAAAAGACAACGTGGCGGACAAGGAAAATATGAAGCCGCTTCGCCAAGATCTGAACTCGAACTACACTGAAAGCCTTATGCATGTGACCCCGAGCGATGATGAGTTTTTCAGCTTTGATAGCATCACCTCGCCCGCCGAATTTTCTAAAAGGTACTGTTTGGTTTCTGTTGTAATGTTATTTACATTACTTTTAATTAGTCTTATGGCGCCTTCTCGATTCACGCCGCGGGATTTCAAGATCGCTGACTGTTCGAAATCTGCCCCGAAAAAAGAGGCAGCGGAGGAAGAGAGCGATGATAGCGATGTGGACGTGGTCACCGACGCTCAAGTAAAACATGAGCCACAGGATAAAGATGAGTCGTCCAGCCAAGGCTCGTCGCAGTTTGGCTCTGTTGAAACACGTTCGACTGAATCGAGCGGAGCGCCTTCGAATTTGTCGTTTATTACTTCGACGGCTTCGGTTAATACTGCTTCTACAACGTCGACCACGAGCACAAAAACCACGACCACGTCAAAAAGCTCCGCGTCGTCGATTTCGACTCTGTATTCAGATGACTCATCGTCATCGAAACCAAAACGGTAATTCTTTCTTTAAATACCCAATTCTAAATTATTTTAGCCGACGCTCTCCACTTGAACGGCAAAATTCAATTCGAAAATCGCGACGCACAACTGCCGGACAGCCCCCAAATCGTTTTGGCTACACTCACGCGGATCATTTTGCAAAATAATTTTTACCACATTTTCTCTGTGCAGTAGCTGTTAGGTTTTTAAAAATTGTTATTTTCTATGTAGCTCCCAGTGCCTAATTGTTACAGAAGTAGCAGCAGCAGCTTCATCTGATGATAGCTCCATCTAACGCCTCGTCTCACTTTCCCCCTCTTCCAAAATGATTAAAATGCTTTAGTCTCGCAACTTTTCACTGCACACTCACATACTTTACCGGAAATAAAGCCGAAAATGTGTCAATGAATCGTCATAATGCAAAACACTCATTTTTTCAAGAAGCAGCAAGAGGACCCATTGTCAGCAGTAACGACTACTATGACAAAAGCCAACGTAGTAACAACCGCCAACAACGGTCAGCAACACCGTGCCAGCAGCAATTTTTCACGGGCAGTCGGAACGGTACCAATTTACCAATTACCAACGCCCCATCAATCGCGAACTTCGATTCTCCCGTCACGTCCGGTACGATACCCAGTTCCGGCGTTCCAATCCCCAAATTCGCAAATCCCTCCGGCGAAAATCGCATGCCAAGCTCGCCCAATAAGAGCACGACCGGAGCTAGTCAGCATGGACCCCGTAATTCGTTTATTAAGTCGAAAATTAAAACAAGACTCCATCGTTCAGAAAAGAACCATTCAAGCGATATCTTCCTTGAGACAGGTCATTCAATCACCACCAAAACACCACGACCAGATATCCCTGCAGACAATTCAACCGCCGTCGACACCTCCTTTCAGCGAAGAATCCGACGACGGAAAGAACATTCCACTTTCTCCCGTTCCGGTCATTCAGATGAAACTCTCGTCCAGTCCATTACAGGTAATTTTCGATTATGTAAAAAATTTTTAACGCTATTTAGAGTTGTCTCGACAGCGAAACGCTCAACAACAGTTCCGAAACAATCAACAGTCGCCACAGCAACGACCATCAAACAGAGTTGCTAGTAGAACCGAAATTACCGAGCGATCGCCTGCAGGAGGAGGAGGACAGAGAGGAGTCTCGCTGCCATCAATCGCCAATATGTTGCCCGCTATTAACAAAAATCCGAAGTTTTCCACTATCGTATCAAGTCGTTCTTCTCATAGTGAGCACAACGATTTTTCTTTGCTTCGCCATGCTTCTGATGGGTTACGCTCTGGGAAAATTAATAATTCCACAGTCGATTCCGGAGCCTCCACCTCAACTACCAGACAGAGCTCCCGACGGCTCGATACTTATCCCCAGCAAGTATACGGAAGTGCTGATAAATCTTTTGAATACACTTCAAAGCGGTAAAATTACTTTAAATGCCACTATCTATCTTCAAATTTAGACTACGAATTTGCGTTTCCGAGAAAATAAACATGGAAAGTGATCGTTATGATCGTGAAATGCGCAATGCTATTTATGGCGAAGTTTTAAATGGTCAAGGATTCTTTACTCGAAATGCAATGGATTTTTCTACAGTTGCTGACTCTTTAACCTCTCCACAAACAATATTACAGAATCCATGGCGAAGAGAGTTGTTCCTTAAGACCACCGCTTCCGACTGGCAAATAATCAAGAATCGAGTATTTGTAGATCCTGTTGCAATGGGTTTCGTTCTTCAATACGAAGACTCATCGGTTGAAAGTGTGCTCAAGAAACAAACGTCTTTAAATGGGAATAACGCTCTTGAATCTCGCCTAGTCCCAACACTGAGCAATGATAATTGTTATCTTTCGACAAAAAAATCAAATTTGACAACTGCTGACGAAGTAAACGACACTGACGATTATTGTCTTCAATCGGAATATCCTGATAAATTTGACACCTACTTGATATCCATAGACTCACTGCTTGGAAATATTAAGTGGGAAACTGCATCAGGGGCGTTATCATATCTGGAATTCTACTATGCGCTTCTGGACCCGACGTATCGAACTTTTATCGAAAATGGCGAAGTATGTTCAACCTTGGTGTCAAACACATTGACAAATATCAATCCATCGCTGCCGACGAGTTTCTACAATTTGTCAAAGACACCTCCAAGAACCGTTCCAAAGCAGTCTCATCCGCGCAACGATTTGGGCTACGATTTTCATCATGGAATGACCATTACTCGTGAATTGGTTTCGCTTATTGCTTCATTTTCAACGCAGAGTTACTGTATTGCTAAAAAGCACTTAGCTGATGCGGCTTTTGATGCTTTTAAATCAGCAAAATTTGAAAAGGACATACTAAACTTTCAAAACGAAAACAATGCTGACGATATTGATGATGTTAGCAAAGGAAGCACGAACACCACTGCTGGGGATGATGAAAAATCGTCAAAAACGCAGATGCGTAAAAGTGCGCGTCTTGATGAAAAGCGTCGCGATAATCAAGTTAAAGAAATGAAACGACTGGCTTTTGAAGCTTATTTCGACATGTGCAACGATTCAAAAAGATCCACTGTTGATGAAGGGGAAATAGAAGAGCCAACTGTTCCCATCAACGAGAAAAACTACGATTACGATTCAAGCCCTTTCTTTTTAACGTCAAAGTATTTTGAAGAAACCGATCTTTTCAAGTATCTTTCGCTGTTGGGCAAAACCGCATCCTGTGTCTTTTCGTTTTATAAACCGTGTCCATTGTTGCGTCCCGATGATGCAGACAGCCAAGAGCTTATGAAAAACTTCCGCATGCGTTACTAAACGACTGGCGAATTGGAATGACCGCGTCAAACAAAGTTAGCAATAAAAGAAGACAGGATACAAGCTACAGTTCTGCAAAAGCATCGATGCAAGGATCATGCTGTTTAAATGATGAAAGTTTAAAAAAGGCGAAATTGTTCAATCAAGACGTGTTCCGAATTCATTTGCTTAAAAACCATGTCGAGAACGCTGCCTTTCATTTACTTGTTTCCATGCGACGGGAATTCGAAAATTTTTGCCAGGAATTAAGAGCACGCGCTCATCAAATTCTTAAATTTACAAAAGAAGAAGAGGAAATCATCTCTTCGTATATCCTGGGCGAGAATGAAACACAAGAGCAAAAGGTCAATCGCTTGAGGACAATGAAAATGCATTTGCGATCCCGAAAGCAGCTTCTACTCTGTCAAAGGCGTCAAATTAAGAGTTTTCTTTCAAAATTGCTGGTTGTTTATTGCAACTTCGTTTCAAGCTGTACGACGTCAAGTGAAAAAGCGTATCCTGTTAAAACCGCTTGCTCCCACGAAGAATATGCATTTATGCAACCATCATTTATTACTCCATTGAGCGCTGAAAATGGAAATAAGAAGTGTTCCCGATGTGGGAGCAAAGTCAACAGCGCGACCAAAAGAATTCAACAGCTGAATGATTTTCACCGGCGATAACCGCAACAAATTATGCAATTTTCTACTTTACAGATGGAAGATGTTTTTGACTTTTCCAAACGCCGCTACTGTCTTCCAAAGGATTCTTTTATTATTTTCGACATTTCAAAATGGCCCGATAGTAATAAAGCTCCACTGCTTCCTCCACAAATTATCGATGACCAAGGCAAAATCAACAATGAAGCGGAACAAATAGGTAACGATTTTACGCATGTTCATAGGATAAAATATGTTTAGCCGCATTACACCAGTCGATACAACAACCGGAAGGATCAACAGAAACAACCCAAATTTCTTATGATACAAACAGTGCTTCTATAAAGGTAAGGGCCCCACCTTTGACGATGGTGCCCCAACACTTTTAGGAGTATAAAACGAAAGACATGTTATTGGACAAAGCACAAAACCATCAACAAAGAGTGTCTTCGAGTCCAACATCCATAATTCCGTCATCATTATCCCCTTCGACCGCCTCATCCGCGTCCACCGCTCCGGTAAATCTTACGAATGTTGCCCAAGGTAAACGTTGTAAGTTTATAAGGAAAATTTGACACTTTTTTAAGAAGCTCAATCTGCCAGAAGAACCAGCAGTTTCCCAAGTGGCTCCACCATCACAGCTACCGAGCGCTCTATCTACAACGGTTCGTCTGTCTCAGGATCGACATATGACCACGGTACTTACCCAAACGAATTCGCCTTCACCCGTTCATCTGGTATCCCCGACGGGAACCGAGAAGTCAACTCCAACGAGGACCACGTCCTTGCTAATTCCGATTTCGCCTTCGACAATCCCGCCTCCTCCTCCCGTGATTCCACTGAACCCAGTAGATATTCACCCGACGACGTCCAACTGCTGCTTAGACTCGGAAATGCAGAACTCTCCAATGTTAACTCGACCAACGCAACTGCAGTTCGATCCACCATTGAATTTCCCTCTGCCGCAGCCCCTGAGCGCCGCAATAACAACAACGTCGCAAGCGCCTCAAACGACGAAAACAGAACTTCAACCACCTCTGATGCCCCAACCTCTCCCGTTTTATACTCCTTGGAGCCCGTCGTCTCTACACACAATGTACTCTCAGCTTTACAACCCCCATCTTCCTCTTCACCAAATGCCACCGATTCAATCGCCTTTACAACCAGTCGCTTCGCAATGGATTCACCAACACCCTCAGCCCTCGTATCCGGGCCCACTTTCCATGCCACAACCAGTACCGTCCCTGCCACCGCAAATCACTCATCCCGCGTATTGGGCCCAGTATCAACAAATACCCTCAAAGCAAGAGTCGCTTCCACAAACAACAGCAATCGCTCCAACAGTGCCCACGACCATCGTTCAACCGTCACAACAACTGTCACAACCACCGCTACTGGAACCACAGCGGTCCCTCGTCCCGATTCAAACAGCTCCATCCAACGAAGTACCGCCGCCAACAACGCTTATGGTCGATATCCAAGAACCACTCTCGAACGTCATCTTCAACTCGCGAGATATCTTCCTCATTATCTCCGACGGAATGCTGAAAATCTTTCCACAGCCCTGTCAAACGTGTCGAGGCGAGGACCGATTGTTTACCCCGATCTCGAAGCAAGTGGGAGTATACACAGCAAACGAAGGAAGCTCGACCCAAGAACGACAAATCATCCGAATAGAACCACTGAATAAGCTTCTTACTGGTCACAAGGGCATGATCACCGCAAATCTGAAACGTCCTTCTTTTGCCACTGACGATGCCAATACATCAACTGCGAAAACTCGAAAATGGTAATTTTTATTAGCGCATCTACAGCAAATAATATTTTTATAGCTTTACACTTACGTCGACGACTTCAACTCCGGTGAAGACAACAACGACTACGCTGCCAACTTCTTAAACAACTTTCGATTTCTACCTGCTCGTTCTCTCTTTACTGTCCTTTTTCTGACTGTCTACTTGTTAAATGTCAAGAATAAAACCGTTTATTAAAATTTAAAAGATTTTCATTTATTTAAATAGCCATGCAGCAGGATATTGACGCAGTACAATCTGATAAGCAAGAATTCGATGCACTCTAACATTACTTTCCGCGAACACGTCGCGTGTGTGAAACGTGTTTTTTAAAACTGCATCCGCAAAGTCGGCGGGCGACAACTCTGCACACAAATCGTCCAAGTCTTTTTGACTCCGGACAAATTCGGTGTTGTTAACTGATCCCCAAATATTTGGGTATATGAGGCCAGTTTTTGTTTGCGTTTCGACTTGGCCGGTTTGTGGGTTAAGAATTGTTGCCGTCGACTTTGTACTATAAAAAGCATCGACACTTACTCTTAATAAACCAGAAAAATTGTGTACAAGATCTCGTACCAATTGCACAACATCGCGAGTTCGTAGAATCGTAATAATATATTTATTGCATATCCCTGCATAACGGCCAAATCTGTCAGCTCCAACACGTAATTGATAATGCCTCCAAGACTGATCTAAGAGAGCGTAATTAAAATCAAAACCTTTTTCTCACTTATGTAGTGTTTGATAGGGTATTGTAAAGTACTATCAAGACCAAGTAACGCATGAACTTCTTCAGGCTCGAAATAATCATCATCAGGCAGCTCGTATGGAACAATTTTTTTCAAAAATTCTTGTTCAGCGCGGACATTAGGTTGAAGTGCTTCGTCAATAATGTTGAAATCAGGCTCGAGCCGTGCACGAGGATAAAACCACTCGATTTGGTCAGGTGTCAAAGAATATTCTTGAATTTGCGAAGCAAAGGCGTCCATAAAAGTAGTCAAAGGCTCGCCCGATCGAGGATTATCATCATCAATATTTCGCGCAAAACGGCGAGTTTGTCGACGCAGCTGTTTTATTGTTTCAAAAATACTCTCCGTTTCCTCGCCATAAGGACCGATATAAACTCGACTGTCAGAACTTATTGGTTGTGACGGTTCCTCTGCTTCTACAAATGGATCAACATCCGACAAATTGTTATGTAAGCTACGAGAATCCATTCTAAATAACTAAGCATCAGACTAGGTGTAACATTAACAACATTTATTTACAATAAAGTTCCGTCAGATGTACGTAAAGGATATGTTCTAATCTTATCAGAGTCAATGATGCGTTTCTTGAGAGCTGCGTTGATAACTCGCTTTTTAAGCACTTTGGTTTTGATTTGACGTTCCCGTTGATCGAACTGAAAAAGTGGCACTCCCTTAATTACGCTTTGCTCCATATCGTCAGAAAACAATGCTGCCAGATAATCCAGATATCTTAACTTTGAGTTAGCTTTGACTACGTGGAATTCAAACCTCAGTTTGATTTTATGACTGCATCCTTTTGACGATCTTTTTATACATTTGTCGCCCAACAGAGTTTCCTCATACTCTTCCAACAATTCGTAAACACGGTGGCGATTTTCAGGAGCAGCAATCAACTCATCAATTTCATGATGATCGGTTTCAGCCATAATATAACATTTTGCGGATAATCCGCAAAACCACCCTTTTGTAATTCTTGCCTCGACTTTAAGCAAGCCAGGCTCTTTTTGAGAGGCAGGGTCACCATCTTTTGCGAACCATTTCTTTTTGATCGGACCGTTCCAATCGTCGAGCATCTCCGATTTAATACAAGAATCCAGAGTGGGACCTGCCAACGCTAGTAAAAACGAATCTGTGTCGCAATAACACAACTTTACTTTCCCTGGGATTGTGTACTCCATCAGAACATCGCGAAATTCGAAAAACATCAGTTTACTATTTTGATAGACCATTAGCTGGATTTGAAGAGCAGTGGTATGAGCGACACTCTTTTTCGTAAATAATGCTTCATGCAAGGGGTCACATCGTTGATTTTCATATTGAAGATTATTGAGAGCTTTAAGACGTGGGTTTCGCAACGAGGTAAACAAATCGCCAGCAGAGACGATTTTTGTGCTCATAAATTTCGTTCTGTTAATTGCAAAGTAGCCTACTGCAGAATTGAGCACAAATTTTATCCAATTTTGTAATGCATTATCACCCTTGATAAGAGCTTTAACTCTATCAGCAACCAGCGTATTGACAAAATTTTTAAAAGGCGCTCCTCTGTAATAAGACGTAAAATAAATCACATCATATTCGAGTCCGATTTTGTCGTAATAATGCAAAACTTCAGATGAGATTATATAATTGTCGACATTGTAGCAGAATATGTTTTCTTCGCAGGGATACATTCGCTTTTTTTGTTGGTCAGAAAGAGTGTTTGCCAAATCGCCTTGTATATCATCAGATTCTAGTTTTTTACGAGCAAAGATTGGAGGAATATATTTATATTTTTCCACAACGTGCGGTGGACTTCGCAGATTCACTTTTGCAAATCCAAAGAACTTACTTTTACCATCTTTATTTGTTTCTCGTACAAGTCGCTTAAATTCTTCTGCAGTAACTCCTTCCATGCCAGATGCGTAGCCAGTGTTTTTACGCGCTCCCTTGTAAAGAAATGGATACAAAGGCGAATACGGCTCTTTGCCAGCCAACACAAGTCCGCGCCATTTCTTTGCCCAACGACATGCAGGCATAATGATAATTTCATGAGGAAAATTTTGTGGACCTTCAACGTCAAGAAATTTGAACGTCGTATCGTCATAAATCTTCTCGGGCTTACCATAATCCTCTATGTTGTCTAATTTCCGAATGGTCTCCACAATTGACTCAATACGATCATCCTCGCGCTTAAGCAACTCATCAATTGTAAAATCTCGATAGCGTTTAGTTCCATCAACATCGTAAAAGACAGTTTTGTCAACGTTGTTAGCGCGTCGTCTATTGCAATTTGTGCAAGGATGAAAAGCACAGCCTCGATACTCGAATAAATAGCGCTTTTTTATTTTCGTATACGGCGTTATTTGAGCGATTTCCTTCTCACTTTCTGCGTATCCGTCGATATAATACTGACCAACTTTCTTTTCCTCCAAATTATAAGAATGTTGAATACTTCCGTTAAAATCATAATCGGACGACCAATTCAAGTATTCAAGCCATCGTATCGATTCCAAACTTGTATTCTCACGCTGCTTGAACATTCCCTTGTTGAAAAAACGCTCGTCGGATGCCTGACTATTTGAAGAACTGTACCCCATTTTGTCAGATTTGTACATTATACCAGGGCCACACGGTAAATCGCCGCGAAAACATTGAGGATACATGCTATTGAAATCTAAAACTTCTGCAGCTTCATAAACAGATCCGTCGTCACTCTTCCAACAAGCTTCTGGTAGCTTTGGATTTGGGCCATTTAAGTTGATTGCACGATGAAGCACTTGTACAATTCCGCCTGTCAGGTTTTGTCGCATATCTTTGAGATATTCAGGAAAGTCAGGTGATATCGAAAAAATCGGCGGACATGTTTTGTCGTACATTAGAAATGCAATTTTATGCGCCAATTGGGAGATTGAAAGTTCAGAGTGAATTCCTAGTCCGAACTTTTCCTTGTTGCTTTTTGCAAAAGAGCTTATGGAGCCTTCCAACAATTTGCAATCATTAAAATTATAATTGATCAAAAATTTCATCATTGTTGGTTGCTCACATGTGCGCGGATTAGCCGAATACTCTTTCCACATTTGGTCCCATAATTGAACACTGGCGGCATATTGCTTTGGAGAAAATCGAAAAAACTCTTAGGTTGCGGCATCATTTTCGTCGAAATGCCATCGTCGTTTTTCATTACTCCAAACCAACAATTTCCAAATCGTACCCGTCCACTCACTGTAAAGAGCATATGGATCATTACCTTCTTCGGCACTTCTTGTCGCATAATGTTCAATTGTACTTGGATCGTCGGTTATATTGTATAATTTTAGAAATACGGAAATTTTCGTGCACAGGACCTCCTTGTCGTTCCTCCAATTTCCCCAGTCGATTTCCGCTTCAATAATTTTATCCATTTCCGCAACAAAGCAAGCGTTCCGCAAAGTCATTGACGAATAAAAGCATGGATACGAAAGCATTGTCTTTGCCTCGCTTAGATGTTTAACATTACTGTACCATTCATAAGGAAAAGCTCCTTTTACAAAGAGCTTCTCATCCAGACCACACGAGCGCGCCAATTTCTCCAGGGACATAGGACACGTATAATTTTTAAAATCTCGAAAACTGAGATTATTTGCTTCGACTAACATGTACCCATTTGCGCGTTTGATGAAATTTATAAGTTTTGTATCGCCGCCAACGAAGTGATACAAAACTGACACCAATGTCGGAAAGAGCACAACAATATCGTACCTCTCTCCAACCCAAGAATAGATTTTTAGCTTGAAAAAATCTTTCAAATATTTGAGCTTTTTTCGTAGACGCGCAGTGTCGTGAATACTTGCTCCTTCTTTCTTGTTTTCGAATTCGATTTTTTCTTCGTAATGAGCAATACCGTCGACAATGCATTGTGGAATAGTGCGCGCCATGTCTTGCTGTCTGCAGATCAAGTAATTTATAAACTCGGTAACCATCACTTCGCATGCTTCGTGTTCCATACCTCGGCGGACAAAGCATTGACGTTCACCTTTACTGGAATAAGTCGCTACCGATGTAAGACGATGAAACTTTACTCCCTCGGAATAGGGGCCATGCTGCATTAAACACTCAATATCAAAAGTGAGAAAGTATTCTTGAACATAATCAAAAGCCGGCAAAAATCCTTCTGCCACCAGTTCGTGTACATGATCCATAATTCCAGGCCCTTCTACAGTTTGACGAATAAAATCAATGGGTTCTGTTCGGCAAACACTCTCATGTTTTCGCATTTTTTGTTTATCAGAATGAGTAAACAAGCAGTTCTTTGTCTTGCACATCGCCAACTCTTTCACTTGTCGATCGGGGAGAATTCTAACAAGTGTTTCATCGTCGAATACATTTGGCGTCAAGCTCAACACATTACGAATAGGCTTATACTCCGCATACAAACTTGCTTCGACACTAGAATCAGGTTCTAAAAATGGTGCATCGTCTTGTCGTTCTGCTGCCTCTTGCGCAGCATCATTTTCGTCGATCTCTGCTTCGTTCTCATTGTAATCATTGTTGTCATCACCAGCGCAACACTCATTATCCAGAAAAGGATTTCGATTAAAACTCTTTTCGGAAGTAGCATTTTCCGTCAATTTATCAAAATCAAGAAACGAAACATCTGAGCTTTTTTCAGTATCTTGAGAATCAGTATCCATCGGTCGTGGAGCAAAACGTTCCATATCATGAATATCTTCGTGACACGGTTCCGTTGCGTCGTGCAAATTGTGTTCCTCGTTTCCAGCCCACCGTAAAATTTGTGCCGCTTTCTTTTCAGTCATATATTGACTACAACGAGCGATGCGTCTCTGATAATCCATATTCGCCGAGTAAACAGGATAAATGCCTGGGTAATTTTCGAATTCGCGATATGAAATGTCCGTTAACTTTTTAAATTCGAGCGCAAACTCATCTTCTTGCATTGGGCCAACGAGTAAATTTAATATGATGCAATCAGGTGCACACTCTTTGGCGTAAATGCACGTTTTTAAATTTACATTGTCGTTAATAATTTTGCCAACAAATAAACGTATATTCACTTTATAACGCTGAGAGATTTTGTGCAAAACACCATCGGCAATAGTAAATTTTGTATTGAAAGCCATTTCGCCAAAGAGCTCCTTTTTCATCTCAATTATTTTTTCCATACAAGCATTTTCGTTGTCGCAAATTGCTGGCCATTTTACACTTATGATTGCCCGCCAAAAACTCGTCCAGTTTTTCTGACGATCTTGAAATGTTCTGCGAGTTGGTAACAAGTGATAAGTTCCTAGGCGATAGAAGTATGGCCGTGCAGATTGAATACAAATACACGGACGTACAGTCATAGGCGATGCATTTTCAAGACGAGTAATAATTTGTTGCACGTTTTCTCGTTCATCCATGGGCAAACGATGCGGCCGATAACTAATTCCAAGAGGACTAAAAGCTCCTCCGTACAGTGCATAAATGTCGATTCCAAGTTTACGCTCCAATTTAGGCAGGACTGCGCGAGTAGGGCACGCCCCGAATTCTGCAACCAATTCTGCAGTGTCGACAGAGCTCAGTTGCTGACGTAACGCGCGGTTCATGGTAGTTGGCACTTTTGGGTAAATCGCTTTTAGATGATTCCACCAATTTATACCCACAAGAATAACGTGGTAAATATTCGAGTGATTGCGTTCATCACAAGGATCTGCTGGCGAGTACTCAGGCTCATCATTTCCATCATCATCCTCCTCCTTAAAGATATTGCTACCTGTTTCTTCATCACTGCTGCAAACACTACTATCAAGGGGGTTTCTTTTTGGCTTAAAATTAGAAACGCCCTCTTCGTCCTCGCTACTACTATTACGAATAACAATTGGATCTTTTGCGTTTTCTACAATCCGCTGATGGTTGGCATCAGATTGTAGATGTCTCCTTTTTTTTACGATTTCCTTCTTTGATAGACCTTTTGGCCTATTTGGCAAAAAACGTTTCATAAAAATTATAAAAAGTTACAACATTTATTTGAAACAGTTATTTAAAGAGTCAGTACAGAGTTACCACTAACGCCGCCGAGTGTTTCTGTCCATATGCGCAGTGCGCCCCCCTTTGCTGTATTCTTGCCTTCTTGAGAGCGCTGTATTAGTCCTGTCGGGGTCTCTTGACTCCAACTTGAACTTTTGATTCAACAGAACCAGAAATGTTTCCAACCGATACATCTGGCTTGGAAATACATCCAAGTACGGATTTTGAGACCACTGTGGCTTCTTAAAACTTTATAAGAATAAAGTAATTTACAAAAAGAATGTTACCGTTTCTTGACGCATCCAATATCAAATTGTCCACTGGGAATTTCATCGCAAACGGGCACCAATTGTCCTCCAATCGATTTTTGAATGTTATTCGAACTTCAACAGTGCCCATCATATTCTGACGATCACCAAAATACATCGGCACAAACCAGTTTTGTTCGCAAAACTGGAAGAAATCTAAACCCTCCCCTATTGACTTATTTGCATAACGACCATTATGCTGAAGAAAATTCAGATAATGATCTTGTGCGCTATTCCAAGGAGTACCATGAACATGTTGATTATCTACTAAAATTTCAAATTGTTGAATTTCAAAACCTGGTTCAAAAAGAGTTGTCCTTGTAATGCACCTATCATAAGAAGGCTCTTTACGACGTTCACTCATTCCCGTGAACATAATCATATCCGGAAAAAGGCCTCTTGAAACCTCAATCACATAAGATGTATAACCTTTTGACCATGCTCCAACGCACAATCTCGGATTATAAAATGGTATTTTAGCTTGATGTTTACCAACGGAATACGGTTTTTCCTCTTTCTTGGGAGTGCAGAATACACTTTCAATCTGGACGTGCCTCAAGGTATCACTATCCAGTACAACTTCATTTCCTGTCTTCCTCCAGAAGCACGTATACTTGACATTGTCCTCCACTAAAGGTTCAAGTTTAGGGACCATGCGACATACCTTGTGAGCTCGCCATGTAGATTCTATTTTTGTTATATTCTTAGCCGAATCTGCTGCTCTCCCTCTGTAGTAAAGTTCGTGTTCCCTCGTTTTTGGGAGATAATCGCCGCCGATCCGTTCAATTGCAATAAACTCACCGCTTGTAAATTTTGATTTTTTACAGTCACAGTCATTCTGTGTCAAATGTTCCTTCCACTCTGGAATAAGCTGCAGATCCTTGGCGTAAGGATATTTCATTAAATCCTCGTCCGGTTTATTATCCGCATCATACGAATAAAAATATTTTTCCAATGCGCGACATTTTTGATAGTCACCCCACTTCATTGTTGATCGCGCTCCAACAGTTTCCTTTGTGTTGGTTAATTCAACTTCGAACTTGACTCTTGATCCAGATGGAAGCACTCGTGGTTGACGCGCCAAACCATGACTTATAGGAGCTCTTACCAAGTAACGATGATACAAAGTCTCATATGGAATCGTAGCTTGTGACGTTCCAATTGAACACTTGGTCGGCGAAGCAATCCAGTCCTCCAATGCGTATTGTTGCCGATTTTCAACCAAGTTTTTATTGTTGTGTTTACACATTAACGTTAGCAATTGAGAAGCATCTGCATCGTAAGAATCAAAATGCCCTTCCGGAAATAATTCAACTTCCTGAGCTTTTGGTGAATAATTTAATTTTTTAACAAAGTTGTTAAAAAACAAATATTCAAGCCCATCTGTCCACGTTTGAAAAATACAATCATCCAATATGTAAAAATTGAATTTTTCAATAATCTTTGTAGAAAAGCCATTATCTGGAACGAAGTTGGAAGGCATGCTCATTTGAAATAGGATCATGCATCGATCAAGTTTAATTGGAAGTTTATCCGGAGGCATTGAGAACATAATTTTACTACCGGTATGGTTACCCACTGCCGACGTGTGTAGAATTTTGTACCCCGCATAAGGGTCCGAAGTTTTCTTTGATTTTTTCAAATAAAGTAGATTTCCGTAATTTTCATCCATATTTCTAAAATACAAAATAAAAGTTAGTTTACCCTACAAACTTATTTCTTAAGAACATTGACAAAAATGGGCGGTAACGATTAAATTCCTTGACTAAAACACTTATATGAGCGTAGATGAGAGAGAAAATTATTAATTGCGATAACAACAAAACAACAATCACAATACAAAAATAAAAGAGTTGTCTATCGACCGTATCAAAACAGTTGCACGACCTTCCCTCTAATAGCGGGCTCGTCGGCGCCGTCGTCGACGTCGACGTGGACGTCGTCGATGTCCTGCTCCTCTTGGTCGTCGAGTTTTCCTTCGCCGTCTGCGACGTTTCCGCGGTCGTTTGCGTAACGGTCGTTTTTTTGAAAAAAGATTTTGCAATCTGCTCAATCTTGGTTTTACAAGATATGAGCCAACTGCCATCTAAAATTAAGAAACTTTAAAATATACGCACATTTAAACTGTTATTGGTGGGAAAGTTCAGAAAACGGTATAACAAGGTTAAGTTCCGATTCGTAGTAACGCCGATCTAATCTTACGCCTTTAGAGTTAAGTATTGAAAATGTATAGACATAAGCCCCGTGATGAATTTGAGCGATTTGAAAAAGTTCTCGTGTCCACTTGGCAACCCCTCCTTTTTCAAATCGTTTTCGTTTTTTACGTGGAAGTCTTACGATATCTCCTACATGAAATTTGGTTTTTGTTTGGCGCTTATGGTTTCGTCGTTTACTCTCAAGGTATTGAAATAGTAGTCGTGCATTACCACGATGAACATCAGCAGGTTTCATATTTATCGCAGTGTGAACAGTATTATTAATGGCACTATTGACATCTTGTAAAATCGGAACCCAACGTTTAACATTTCCTTGCGCTGTAAAAGCTCTTTCCAAACGCTCCTCCAACGTACGACTAAATAAAAGTTGAGTAAAAATAAAGTATTCAAAAATACTTACTTGAATCGTTCCACCATTGACGCTTTGTGAGGGCCCGTCATGTAAACACGTGTCATTCCCCATTCGAAAAGTAACTTTGAAACGGCTCCCTGAAATTCACCTCCCTGATCAGTACAAAAAAATGTATGACCAGGTAAGTCAAGAGTTTCGAAAATAGATCGCAAATTTTTTGCCGTTTCTGTTGAATCATTAGTGATCATCTTACGCACAAAACTCTGCCGTGACAGAGCATCAACAACACACAAAATATACTTGTAATTATTATTAATCGGCCCATAATTTTTGTAAGCAACTATTGTATCTGCAAAAAGACTTGAATACAAATCCGGCGCAACTATAGGATTTCGAGTAAACCGAGTCCGAAGAGGTCGATGGAGTGAAATCGGTTCGTTCATGCGTTTAAACTTTTGTAAATCAAATCCGCTATAAAGTGTGGGCTGCGCTTTATTGTAAAATAAATCTATTGCAAATGGTGGGTTTTGTTGATTCTTACTGTTAATATCTTGACCAGAAGTTTGTTGCGGTATCGATGACTGGGGAGTCGCTGTCTGCGCTTGCGGATTGAGCGCCGGGCGAGGGGCTCCGAGATACGTCTCTATTTCGACGCCGTTTTCGGCCCCGTTTAGTTCGTTTAGCTGTGACAGGGGCTGGCTTTGGCTTGGGTTTAGGTACGGTAATGACGCTTCCAACGGGGCCCTGAAAGCCCTCGCGTCGTCGTTTAAATTTGTGCGCCGGGTTCTCGACAATGACGGACTGTTCTCGGATGCGCTTTCGATTTCTTGTATTTTGTTTGCTAGGCTCGGCGAGCTGTTGGTCATAAGAATCGGCTGTTGATCCCTCATCGGTAAACGGTTCACCATCATCCGGCTGTTCACTAAATTCGGATTCGTGTTCGTTTGCCGGGGAAATCTGGTAACGATTAGCTCTTTTGGAAATTTTAGCTCGTTCGTTTGCGGATTTCTTGCCCCTATTAGCTGAGTTACGAATTGAATCCCGGAATTTTCGGAAATCATCGCTGGTGATAGTATAACCATCGGTTCCGGATCTTTTTGTCTTTTAAGTGGTCGCTGGTAACTCCTCGCATTTGATTGACCTTCTTGCTTACTGTACTTGTCCACTGATCGAGTGTCCCTCCGCCTTTTTCTACTATTTGTCGATCGTCGGTTGTATTGAGCTGCGTCGTCGTTGGCACTTTCGGCATCGTCACTGTCGTTGTCTTCGTTGTTTTCATATTCGTCATCCGAGGCGACTTCGACGTCTCTGTAGTTTGCAACTTCGTCGTCGTAGTTGTCGACAAATTCGCTGCCGGTTTTGAGTTTCTTGCGTTGCGTGATTTCGCCTTCATCAGAGCTGCCTCTTTCTTCTTCCTCTGGGTCTCTTCCTTTTCTTTTTCTTGCCACTTTCTTTCCATTGCCGATAGGAATGGTTCTGTTGCATAGTCCCGCAACCAGCCTGGCTGTCCCCTCTTCCTCGGTATCATAATCTGGATACGGTTCTGCCTTCGTTTTCGGAGCCCTCACCCGTACTCTACTAGTCAAGGGATTAATCTCCCAAAATGAGCAAATATTTGACATTTGCGAAAGTGAAAAATAACAGCCGCCATTTAAAGGAGCTTTACGCAAATCAATCGATTGCATCTTTAATCAAATTATATATACCAAAGTAATTAATCATAATGCATAAAATATAAATTAAATTAAATTAAAACTTACCTTTTTTAATCTTCTGTTGTTTTTGTGAAAAGGTGTTTTTTCATCAATTTAAAAAGATTAACTAAAAGAAAAGGACTACAGTAGCTGTTTTTATGCGCGGCTTACTAGCGCTCCAAGTGAGCTCAAGAATTTTGACTATAAATACGCCGTATTCGCTCGCCAAACCGCAAAATAGCAATGCAGGCTCTTGAAGAGGAAGCAAAAAAAGAATTCACTGGATTGAAGCTTGAAGTAAAGTGCGTGACATCTTTTTCCCCTGAAAAGTACAATCTATTTGGAATTTTGCGACAGCACAAACTTGGCGACAAAAACTTTGTAGGCCAGGAACGGTTGGCGGATAATCACGAGATACAAATCGCATTCAGTCAGTTTCGCTGGAATTTGCAGGACACTGAGATCCGAGAGTATTTCCATTCGCCGACAGGACTTGCAAAAGACCTGAAAGATAAAACGATCGTCGTCTACGTGGACTCTTATTCTCCACCGACAAACGCTGAACGAAAGAAGCCAGACTCTGTCTACGAAAGCGTTCCGAAAATCGAAGGAACCTACAACGGCCGATTCGTACGATGCATCAACATTTAACTAAATTTCTGCCCGATGTCCGGTTCAAGCACCCCTGTTCTCTTTTCATTGCTGGTTCAACCGGCACCGGTAAGTCTAACTTCATAAAAAATTTAATTGAATGCGACGGGATAAAGGGAGGCATAGATGTTATTTACTACTTCATGCCCCGGCTTGAACCGATTCAAATTAGTCCGCTGCAAAATCAACAATTATTTCTAATGGAAGGGCTCCCCACTCGTCAGTGGGTTGACGATACATTTAAAATCGGCTCCGAGATAAATAATCTTATAATTGTTGACGACCAATGGTCTGCATGTATTGAAAGCGATGTTGTTGAGTATTTACTAACATACGGTCGTAGGCATCTCGGGCTGAGCCTCATCTTCGTGGGGCAACATTTTTACGAAAAATCTAAGAAAGCTATCACCCTCAGGTATTTATTAACATGTTGTTTTAAATTTAAAATGGTTAAAATCAAGAAATTGTATGACTGCCTTTGTGCTTATGCAGAATAATACCGACTGCGGTATTAATAAAACAGTTGCAACAAAGTGCGGGGAAGTCGAAGGTTACAATGCTGCAGTGAAATTATTCTCTCAAAGACGAATCCCCAACTATTTCTACGTAATAATCCTAAGGGACATTCAATACGCGGAACAACCGCGAGTAATGTCAAACTGCTTTGGAGAAGTACCTGGACTTGGTGGAGCACCGTGGATATTTGGCCTGTCACAATAAAAATTTATTACACAACTGTAATTTATTACAAAACTGTAATTTATTACAAAACTGTAATTTATTTTATGACATGAAACAGAAAAGAATAAAAAAAACAGCAAATCACATAAATTGGCATGGTCCTTCTTTAGGAAGTCTTCGTTTCTTGCAGACATTTTGCCCAGGACAGCAGATGCAACGTCTTTCAACCATGAAGGAGCGCAGTTTGAGATGAGAACAACGATGATCGAAAAGCGGCACCACTTCTCCTAAACACACATTAGAAATAAATTTTTTAAAATGACTTACGTTTTCGCTCAAGCGGTCGAAACCAATACTCTTTCAGCAAGTCTTCATATTCTCCGAAAATTTTTCCACATTCTGGCGCTCTGTACAAGAACATTTCTGTGGAAATGTGTTGAAAATTAACCATCGAGTCAGTCATTTTAGAAATATTGTACTCATTTGCTGGAATATTGGAGAAGTCGAGAATGGCTGCAATCTCCTTGTTGATTGCACTTGTACGTACAGTAGGATCGTCAATTGTTGAGAATCGGACATTTTTGAGCAAAAGTCCGCGAACCCAGCTTTGCGCATAAGCAATAAACAAGGCACGTTCACAAGCAAACGAAACCTCAAATAGATTCAGCCGTTGAAAAAAGTAGCGAAGGTTTGGATACTGAACGCATTGCAGAGTGCACTTTAGGGAATTTTTCTTCTCGTGAGTAGGTGTCCAGATAAATTCGCGGAAAACAGTGCCACCATTCATCCGCTTGAATCCAAAGTTAAAAGACCCATTGCGCGTTTGTGCCTGCATGTATTCATGAAATGGAAACATCTTTTGCGAATCGTTCTGACTGCCGTGAAACACACAATTTGGACCTTCAGCGACTAAAACTCACCTAAGACAGCTAAACAAAAAGCAAGAAAACTTACCGTTGTCCTCAACCGTGCGAATAACTACAGAAGATGTTTTCTTGCCTGTCTCTTTATCGACGGTTTCTTTGATGAAAAACGAAATTTTTGATTTGACATAATCAAAGGCGGAACAAGGATAAAGGTATAAAACTGGCTGCTCTTTTTTAAATGTATTACGACAGGTTTGAACAAGCGGAAATGAATACGAATGCCTGTGTTGATCTCTTTCAATTTCAAAGATTTTTTTCATCTTTTATTTTGATTTTAGAGAGCAGTGAGTTGACAGCGAAAATTTAACTGTTGATGCTATGAACTTGTGGCGTCGCTGAAGAGTCACTAAATAAAAGTTTTAGAAATAAGAAAATTATAATGGCGCCACCGTGGAATCGTTACTGATCGAACAGGAGTGTAGCGGAATGGAGTGTTTACAACTTCGCCAGGAAGTCGAATTGGATTGTCTTGATTTCGGGCAGAAATATCAAGATCCTTTACCTCCTTCAGTGGATTATAGAATCGGTTGAATAATGGCAATTGATCATCCGCGTTGTTTTCCAAGAAGAAAGGCTGAAACTACAAAAATAAATTTTATTTTGTTCGAGAAACTTTTCATCTTACACAAACGTAATTGTTTTTCCTTGCATGTTCCTCAAGCTTCTTCATGTAATTCACCAACGCTTTCTTGCTACCGAAGAAAGGCATTTCCTCGAAAATAGCACCGTAATACTTGTTGAAAACGTGTGAGCTCAATCGTCGAACTTTTTCATTAAAACCAACGTAAATGGCTCGACACGTGGCCAAATGATAAAGAAAAAGATCTTTTGGAGCCTTAAAAATATTGATTTCATCATCCGGCACTCCGATCGAACGTAGCACATCATGAATATATGAATCGATCGCTTCGTGGTTGATCGCAAAGTTTGAAGTCCTGAATCGTGGGTTCTTTTCCAAGCGAGATCGTGCCCACAGTTGTGCGTACAATACAAATAACACTCGGAATGGTAGCTCAGAATGATTGTGGGGCGCGAATTCTCGAAAAAGTTTTTTCAGATTCGGGTATTTGATTTTTTGATTACAAATCGGTTGAGGGTCAATTGCACGATTGTACGTTATTTCTCGCACCGTCTCCTCCCAAAAGATATAATGTCGAAAACCCACATAAAGGGAGTCCCTATTGATCTCTTCGTTGATTGTCATTCCGGCCAAATACGGAATATAAGCGTCTAAACGGCAGTTGTACATTGAATGAAAATCGCAGTACGGCCCTTGATCAAGTGTCTGTTCTTCTTGAGTAACTCGTACAGATTGCTCAAACTCTTTGGTTTCAGAATTGAAGACTGTCTCGACATGAAATTTGATTTTGACTCGGCGTCGGATTTTTCCACGGCATCTTACAATCTGCAAAATTCGATTTCCACGAGGAGGATAGCAAATCTCAAAAAAAGGAAAGGTGACCTCGCTAGTGTCAACAAAATCAAGCTCTTTAATCAACATTTTACAAAGTAAGTGAAACTATTTTACGTTCAATCAAGACCCACTCGCCTCGGGGGCGCCGTCAAGTGACATGACGTTTAGTCAAGTTTTTCTAGAACACGGACGATGATCATTGTTGTTTTTGGCGCTCAATATTATCGCAAAAGAGGATGATAAATCTTGAATATTTTGGGACATGTATAAAAGGCGCGTTTGATGCTAGTTTAGTTAGATTTTTATAAATCCCGACAGGATAAAATGGCCGGTCAAATACACGTCCATTCACTTGGCATGCTTCAGGAATTTGTACTTGAAATAAACGAATTCTCGCAGCAGGTTTACCAAGCTGCAAATGACGAATTCGATCTTACGGTGGAAGAAGTTTTGCCCAGAATTACTCCGGTAATATTGAAAATAAAAGCGCTAATTAAATATGATAGATAATGACACGAGTAGCCGTAATTGAGCACTGTTTTACTCACTGCAGCTACTGGGCGAATCTCACCCAAAATCCAACGGTAACAAATTTGAAAGAAAAAGTAACCCAACTTTGCGACAACGTACGAATCATTATCAACGACCATTTGCTCGATGGCGATTCATCATCTTCCGACGGCTCCGAACACTCAATTTAGCATCAAGACTTCTACTCGACCACTCACTTATCTCTCTCACTTTCCTATCTCTCACAACCCATTATCTCACCGCATGTACTCACTCTCACAATAAAGACAAAGATAAATGTACAAATTATAAGAAATTTTATTTGCAGCTATTTTCAGCGCAGGAATAAATGAAAAAAAAGCTTTCTCGCGAGAGAAAGCTTGAGTCCATTAGTTGTCCTTCCATCCATCCCCCTTGAAACTGAAAGCGCGACCGTTCTTGGTCAAAAACATAAATTTGACCTTGGACTCGACGAGATCGCGCCAGAGGTTGTTGAAGCGACGGTTGTAGGTGTCCTCGATCTCCCAGGCGCGACGCTTGATGATTTCCTTGTCGCGGGCGCAGAGGTCCTGGGTGAGCATCCGAACGATCAGCTCAGTGGTGGGCTCCCCCTTGAAGTCCTTTTGATACACCGGCTCCGGTGCCTCAACGGGGACGGTTCGTGCTAAAATATAAATAAATAAATAAAAATCAACATAAGAAAAATGAACTTACAGGTACCAGGCGGGGGCGCCTGCTCCTCTTCGGTGCCGGATCGGCGAGTGTTCTTGGCGGCGGGGGTCTTTTTCCAGATCTTCATCTTGTCGACCAGTTTTTCGCCGCCGCCTCGTGAAGTTTCCACAGATTCGATGGATGACGTTTCGGAGAGCCCATCGGACGAGGAGGACGAGAAGAGCTCGGTCGAAGAGGTGGCTTCGGCGAGAGCGTGCTTGGCCTCCTTCAAGTGCGCCTCGGTCTCCCGGATTGCCTTTTGAAGGGTGGTTAGCCGAGCGGCAGCGCTTCGTGTTCTCTAGAATTATTTGTTTGATCATTTCAATTTCTTATAGAATTACTCTAACTCTATTAATTATTATCTATTAATCAAATTATTTATGCGAGAACCCAAGTACTTACAGTCATGCCGAAAAAAAGCCGTTTGCGTCTTCTCCCTTCGGTGAACAACTCAAGACTGACAAATTTTTAATTTTTGCAAGTCATAAACATGTGTTCTAGAGATTTCGAATTCCTGGAAAAAGGACGTTCGAGAGAGAAAATGCATGTTCGAGAGAGAAAATGCATGTTCGAGAGAGAAAAATAAAATGTTCTCGAGAAACTACTGTTTAGCCCAAGATCTAATCCAAAGTATGAAAAATCATACTGCCTGGCATTAAGCACACGTGGAGACGGAGGAAATAAAAAAGAGGCCGGATTAATTTTAAATCATTCTTTTCCGTAAATCGGGAGAAAATGGGAGATCGTTCAACTGAGCCCCCAATAGAAACTAAACGAGCGATTGAAAAGGAAGCTAAGGAAGGTCCAATAGCTCCTATTGAAACTTACTATGAATATCTCGATTTTGTCGAAGATAGCATCGGCAAAGAGCCGCGGCGATTTATTCCAAATGAAAACAATCGGCTGTGGCAAGCCGAGGGTGACCCATATCTTTACCCAGCAGCTTCGCTGAATGAGGCGATTACACGCGCAAATCTTCCATATAGTCGCAAAATGAAAGAAAAGCTAAAACACGGTATGGAATATGATCGTGGACTTATAATTTTTAATAAACATCATTATAATTATATTTCCTACAACATCAACAACGATCCTCTGCTAATTGGTGTTATTCGCGAGCTGCGGACAACTACAGAAATGCGGATGCAAGAAGAAAAACGCCGCGCTCTATCATCTGCAGAATCGGAATCGAACTGCAGCAACTCAAGCTCAGACGACGACGAGAAAAACAAGACGCGAATTACGTGTCCAAATACTCCTGGTACTGAGAAAACAACAAAACATGAATAAATGTGTCTGTACTCTTTATTGCTTGTCTTTTGCGCCGAAACAAGTTTATCAAGAGGCAGATTATCGGGATGGAAAGAGGCAAGAAGGTCGTAGATTTTGCGTTTGAGTCGGGTGAGTCCTCGCTGTACTTGATCGCGTTGCTGCAAGCATTTTCCCATTTTGGTGCGAATCATTTGCAACATTTGCGGTCGTTTGTAGTTGCATGGGTGAGCAGGCGAGTGGTGACGGTAACTGTCCCATTTGAGAAATCGCTTTTTCCACTTTTTCAGCGTGATTTCGTTTTCTTTGAGGACCGCTTCAAGAATTTCAACTTGACGTAAAAAGAGACTAAGGGTTGGAGACGATGGACAGCACCACGAATCGCCCTTGCAAAAATTTTGAGTATTTTCAAAAGTGATTTTCATTCTTATTTTTGAAGAGCGAGAGCGTAATATAAATACGGACGCTCAGCATGTGCATTTACGTTTTTCGATTAACGATCAATCTGCAAAAGTCAATTATGAAAGGCAGCTCCCACAGAGAGAAAAATCAATTTTCAAATTTATTTTTTATCAGGCAGAAGAATGCTTGGGGTCGCATCAAGTGCATTGAAAATGTAGAGCTTTGAATTGTCAGGCCAGATGCACTCGTTGAAGCCCATGATCTCGAGTTCCTTGATGTAGTGTCGTTGAAGAGCGCAGATCGGATTTGGGCAGAAACAGTTGCCCAGTATTTTGACCACATCGTAGCCCGATTGAGTGATCCAACCTTGACCTCCAGAGGGTGGGCGAACAAAGCCAGTAGAATCTAAAACAGTGGCAAAATCACGAGGATGCTGGAGCCATTCTCGTGCCAAGACAGCCAACTCAGGGTGACTTTTATCGACGATTTTTTTGACCGGAGGCCAGTAGGACAGTTTAGGTTTTTTACGTTGATTCATTCTGAATAATTTTTCTATTTTATTTACGAGAAAAGAGTTTATTTTTGGAGCTCTTTTGGAACTCGCTTGTTATCAGTGCATTGAGTAGCGTAGAAAATGTACAGTTCTTGTGGATAATCAGGAGAGTGCACATTTTTGTCACAGCTAAAAGAAACGCCTTGAATCCATTGATGTTTGAGCTCGCATATTGGATCGCCGCATGAGCCATCTTCGAGAATTTGAATAATGTCGAGGCCTTCTTGGGTGACTGTAGGAATGCCATTTTTATCCAATGTAAAGCCCTTTTCATGAATGACTCCTTCGTAATCTTCGTAATTGCTACTGTAGTGATCGGCAAGGACTCGTAGCTCATCGTGGTTTCTTTCGAGGAGAAGATTGTCATCTATAATGCGCATTGGGCTCTGGGGAGGCTCGCCCGCAGTAGAATTGGCGTCCTCCTCGACACCATTGTCGTTGTTGTTTTCATCGCGAGGATTCATTTCCAAAGACTGGCTGCCTGGCTGCTCGTCTTTGGTTAGAGCTGGAAGTTTTGGCTGCTGCTGCTGCTTTTCGATTGGTATATGATCGCTCATGCCAATGAAATTGAATTCTAGCGATTCAAACGTCGCTTTTTATACAGTATCATCATCCATCTAGTGGCCGGCTTATTGAAAGGCCCAAGTTATACTACACCAGTATTTTATATATACTGAAAATGTTCTTGAACTTAGAATCCCGGGCGGCAGCGGCGGCTGCGCATAATAACATGTGCAGCTCATCATCATCATCATTATGGTCAATTAAGCGCTAATTAACAGCAACCCTCTCAAAATCAGCTTGCACCCTGCTCGCCGCGGCGCTGTTCTTATCACCTGTTACACCGTATTTATGCGCGAAAGAAACGCTACCTGTCATCAAAATCAAATCAACAAAACAAGAAGAAAAGAAGAAGATGTTCAAAAAGATGCTCAAGAAGATGTTCAAGAAGATGCTCAAGAATATTTTCAAGAAGCTGCTCAAGAAAATGTTTAAGAACATCCTCAAGAAGATGTTCAAGAAGATGCTCAAGAAAATGTTCAAGAAAATAATGACAGCAATTCTTTTTGTTGCTGCTGTTTGGCTTGGACTTTTTCTTAAAAACGTTGTAATCTATCTGTTTATAGCTTTTTGGGTAGTTGTAACTTTTTTCATGATTACTGCCCTTATGTAAATTAGAAAAAAAACTCACTGTACATTTTTGAACATATGCATTTTTGAACATTTTAATCACTGTACATTTTTTCACTGTAAATATTTTATTCATCTCATTAAATCATCAGAATTGTATTTTAATAATTTCCTTCTCAAAGCATTTTTTGATATGAATTTTGAATTCATTTTAGCACAGTAATAAAAATTTTGTTTGACAACCTTATAAGCTTTATCATTTACATTCATTTTGCCTCATTTTATTTATTTATTTATTTATTTATTTATTTTAACGCTTGATTTTCAAAGGACTTTCTGACGTTACTCTCGATTTCATTTTAAAACAGTAATAATTTTGTAAAAACAGTTTTATTTCAGAGAATGCTGGCTTCACTGGTTATTCGACTTGTCGCTCTTCATTTTAAAAAGAATATTTTTCGTATGGCTACAGGAACTTGCTCATCAACATGCATCTCGTTTCATTTTGGAAATGAGGAAAAAGTAAGTGAGAAAGTTGATTCAAAAACTATTGCTTACGAGCGCTTTTAGTGGAAAATAGTATTTTCGATTTTCTAAGCCAGAAAGTATTGACGTAATGATTGATTAAATTTTACTTTTTCAACCGTAAATTTTGGTTGACCTAAAAGTTTTCTTATCGCATCTCAATAACCCTAATTAGCAGCGTGATATGCTGATTGCATGCACCTTGTTAATGAAGATTGCTAGAACCTGGAGTGAGGGTAGCGGCGGCGCGTTTCGATCACCTGCTCAACCATATTTATGCGAAGCAAAAACGGTACTCTTCATCAAATTCAATTAACTGTTTTTAGCAAAGAAGAAAAAGAAGCCCAAAGAAGAAAGAAGAAGATGATCAAGTTTATTGAAGGTTTTTGTCATCATATCATCTACTTGTATATTACCATGGCAATTGCATATATTTTTGCCTTTTTTATTGCTTGCACATTGATTACCACTTCACTGTATACTCTTGTAAATATAGTTTCATTTTTATAAATTTTTTAGTTTACTTTTTAGTTTTCTTTTTAGTTTTCTTTTATGATTTCACTAGTGAAAATATGCTACTGGAATTGCTAGTGCGGTGTGGATAGTAAACTTGAGTTGCTCAAAAGCAACTCAATTAAAAAACTTGTTAAACATTTAACAACTTTTATTTTTATGGTTTTTTAAAATTTTTTGTAGAAGTAGCAGCAGCGAGTTTTAAAGAGAGACAGATTACTGATTTGGCAAAGTCCACTCCGCAGGAAGTCGTTCTTTTGGCGTTCGATCAAGCAACTTGAAAATGGTCATATCCTCCGGGTAGTGGTATTCTTCGCAGGGTTGGTAAGCGTTGCAATCAATCAAGTCCATCAAGTATTTGTGCTTGAAGCGGCAAAAGTCGCTTGAGCAAGAATTGTCGGTGACTATTTGAATTATGTCAAAGCCCGGCTGAGTGACTCCCTCGTTGACGCCAGAGTATTTGAATCCAGTTTTTGTCAGAATCTCATCACGAGCGTTTTCATCAGCTAAAAGAGCTTGAGCAATTTTGTTGAGCTCTTGGCGACTCTTGAGAACGTTCACTTGGACATCTTTGTCATCGTGTCCATAACAGCAGGAGAAGCCAGGACACATGATCTTAAAACGGAATAAAAATCGAAAATGGCACATGGAACTTACGGTAACGTAAAAATAGACAGCTCAAATGTCAGAGCAGCGGTGGAATATATAGTCGAGATAATCCCCTCCGGGCGCGGTGGCGGCGGGGCCCAGATGTGTGGCGGAGCACTGGCACATCCGCGACTCTCGCTTCAAGCCAACAGATCAGTTTGGACTTTTTCACTTTTGAAAGCACAGCAACTTCTTTTTTCTTTATTTTTGTTGAGTCGAAGAACCATAAACCTAAAATATGATTAGTTGAATGTATAAATATGTAAATATGTAAATAAATTGAATTTTAATATTTTATCAATTTAGTATGGAAAAATCGAACTAACACTAATTATGATTCATCCCTTTTTGGGTTCATCCCTTTTTTGGGATCATCCATTTTTTGGGTTCATCCCTTTTGGGTCATCCCCACCATGAGTACATTGCAGTCTGAAGAGCAAAACCAGGCCAGAGAGCCGCCTCGGGCCGTGAGTGCCAGGGAACAGTGATCCATTTTCATCAGCCAATGAGCGACAGAGAAAAACGCCTGAACAACAGTCACTACTATAACTACTAGCGAATCCCTTATCTTGACAAGAAGATTAATCATAAAACTGCTGACGATCTTCAAAGATGGAATGGATGAGAGTAGATTTAGCGCCTCGGTCGTCTGAGGCGCGCTCCACCAGGTGTCGAGCCGAGGCTTTAAATTCGCGAAGGGGTCAGCTTGAAATGCATTCAAACAAATCGAGCTAGTATAAAATATGAACATTCAAACTGCGATTTCTTTCCTTTTTGTTCTTGTTTGCACATTCGCGGTTGTTTCCGGCGCTCGAGCAGTTCCATTTCTTTTCAAGGTATGGCTTTATAATAACAACTGATTTTTGAAGAGATATTATTAAAAAAATAGCTTTTATTTGAAGAAATTGAATTAGTTAACGGAAGAAAATTCTTGCTTCTATATTTTTGGCCATTGTTACAAAGTTCACGCCAAAACTAAATGATCGTTATTACTGTAAGATTGCGGAAGGCGGTCCCATCTAAGCTTGCTTGAGCCTCAGATTAGACGGAAAACTCTCCACAAATCCACTTCGATACCAATCTTTACAGTTTTAACCCGCTTTAAAGCATAAGAGAGTGTTTCGAACTCAGCAGAACTCGAAAAATCTGGCTGGCCGGAACTCAGAATAATCTCACTGACCTTTTAAAAGTCGTTTTTGCATTTGTTTTGCGCCTGTAAAGAGCCACAAACTCGATTTTAAACGTCATTGAGCAATATTTTTAACCTGACAAGAATGGATCACATGATTATGAAGGAAAATCTACAGGTTGCTACATATCTAGACATCAAGATGGAACATATTCTTAGGAATTAAATGCTGAGCCGAATATGATATCTTATCTGCTAGATTTCATTTGCTTATTTTAACTATATTCCTCGATATAGATAGATATGTGTTCGAACTTTACCCCTTCAATTTTAATCTAGATCACTGTCTTATTTTGACAGCCCGTTCATATATTGTCAAATATAGCCTTGAATAGTTAATAACATGAATTTTCAGAGAAGCCCGAATTCGGCATTCACTGGAGAAACTGAAGACGGCAGCTACCTCCCATTTCTCCTCAATCGACCTCGCTTCGAAACCCGCGGAAGAGCTGTTCCCTTCCTTTTTTAATTCATCATCTGAAGAGCTTCACATCCAGAGTTTTTAATATTTTGACACTTTCTTGTTATCATGCGGCTCTCAAAATAAATAAACAAAAAATGAAACAAAAAAAGGACACTTTGAAAAATAGCTGAATTTACGAGTTTTGGAGACAAGCAAGAGTAGTGATTTACGCTATCGTATTAATGCTGAGCATAATGTAAATTTGCTTGAATTTGGGGAAGAGATAAGGAAGACCGCGCGCGTCAGAAATTCATCATTCATTTCTCAAGGAGAAAGAGAGAGACTGAGAAATGAAGATTTTCGGATGCTGTCTTCTTTTGGACCTTGTTCACGCCAGCTTGAATTTTCATCGGAAACCGGGATTAGTCGCTGAAGGAAATCGGTTTAATCGTTGTATCCGAGTCATAAGTAGATTTAAAACTTATAAATTTTTAAGGATACTAATGGCTTTCTTTATTATTAAGGTCTAATTTGAGTCTTGCCACTTTTTAAATCTATCTTCGAAGCTACTAGTAGAATGAACCTTTGGCTGCTATATCATTCGAGAAGATTCTGCATGAGACTCAATGAAAAATATACTTTATTTAATGACGCACGTGTTTTTTTTAATCGATATTAAACCGATCAAAGGAGCTAACTTTACGCTTGATGGTGAGCCAATTAGTTTCGGATTTTATAAGGATAGACTAGCCTTAGCTTGAAGGTGGAATTCCTGCTCTGGACATGTGAAGCTTTGAGTAAGGATGAGACTAGCGGCGAGTGTCAGATCAAAGCTTTAATATGATTTTTCTTTCCTTTGACCATGCAGTGTTTTCCTTTCTTAAACTCATACTCAAATGATATCAGCCTTTATTAACAACGTATAATTGAAAATAACATGCTTAGCTCATAAATTATGAGTCATAATGTTAACGCTGATGTAAACATGTTTAAACATCGGTATATTCTATAGACTATAGTTATACCATGTTTTAACTCATACTTTAACCATGATATCAACAAGGAAAACTTAGAAAATCCAAGTACAGGATCTTATCTGGATCGCTTCATTATTTCCGCGTCCCAAAAGAGTATTGGCGGGATCGACTTGAGAAACTGAAAGGTAAGACTCTTACTGTAGGAGTTTTGACAGATCGTGCATACTGTATGCAGCATATAGTATAATCAGGGTATTGCTGCTCACTCCAAGTTGGAATTTACAATATTGACATAAATCGTTATTGGCATAAAAACTTTTGGAGAGTTCAATATTCTTTATATCAATGAAATTGCTCATTGGGTATGGAATCACTGAACTGATCTACAGCAAAGTCAAATTAACATTCATTTAGGTGCTGGCTTGAATACTGTACAAACGTACATTGCATGGGTCAGTGGTGTCGACTTTTTATAGTTGAATAAGGCATTATAAAAATAGTTTTACACCGCTTATTAGAATCTCCACGAGCCCAGAGAAGGCGAATACATATTTGAAGATGAACTTGACATCTCAGGTTTAATAAACGCCGCGAAATTAAGTCGTCCAGTATTTTATTAGAGTTCCTGTCGATTGCGAAAGACGTTGGGTTGTATGTTATTATGCGACCGGGGCCGTACATTTGCGCTGAATGGGAATGGGGTGGCTTTCCAGCCTGGCTTCTGACAAAAGAAAATATGATAGTGAGACAAACCAAAAGCCAAGCCTACCTAACTGCAGTGGAAAATTGGTTCGCAGTGCTCTTCAGCCAACTTCGAGATCATCAGTGGTCACGAAACGGGCCAATAATTTCGATTCAAGTAGAAAATGAATATGCTAGCTATAATAAAGACCCTGAATATCTTCCATGGGTAAAGAATTTATTACTGGATGTAGGAAACGGTTTTTGCTCTCGTTAAAATCCTCGTTCATTGAACTCATTTGAAAGAAAAAGGGAAAACCTAATATGAGGGGCAACAGAACTTCTTTTTACTTCAGATGGACCGTATCAAATGTCAAGACCCGGTGCACACCTACTTCCTGACACCTTCCTCACAGCAAACTTTCAGTCTGTAGGAGACGCGTTTCAAGTCCTCGAAAAACTCCAGCCGAATCGACCCAAAATGGTCTCTGAATTCTGGGCAGGCTGGTTTGATCATTGGGGACAACAAGGACACTCCACACTGGCTCCGGCGACGTTTAACAAAACAATGCGCGAAATTCTTAATGCCGGAAGTTCTGTTAACCAGTATATGTTCCACGGAGGCACTTCTTTTGGATGGATGGCTGGGTCGAACTGGCTTTCAAAGAAACAACGAGGGACGAGTGATACGACTAGTTATGATTACGATGCTCCGTTGAGCGAAAGCGGCGATATTACTGAAAAATGGAACATTACCCGAGAAATAATCAAGGAATATTTCCCCAGTTATGTCAACGATTCTTTCGTATTCAAACGGCCAGAGATCAAAAAATATGACAACGTTTCTGCTGGTTTCATGGCGGATATCTGGAATTTTCTGTCTCACAATGAGGAGATCCTGCGGTAGGGAAATAAAACTTTCAGCAACTGAATCAGAATTCAGCGATCTTGAATACGAGCAGCCGGCAGCATCTCAAGTCTCGTCGATGGAGTTTTTCAACGGTAAGAAAATCAGTGAACTTTACCTGATCAACAGTTGATTAGGGCAATATAGTTTGCCGTACGGTTACGCAATTTACCAAACGCTTGTCAATTGTGATCGCGAAAACGACATGAGCATTTACAATATACAGTCGGCGCTGAGTCCAAACATGACGCGTGTGACTATCTTCGTCGACAAGTTTAATATTTCCACCATCAATCTCCTTGACGATATCATCCCCGACGAGATCAAGTTCGACTGTCAAAACGGAGAGCAGAAGCAAATCAGCTTTCTTGCTGAAAACGCTGGCCGGGTGAATTTTGGTCAACTTGATGGCAATTTTGCTGGACTAACTGATACTCCGAAATTTACTACGTATTTTCCACTGTCGCATACTTGGACGCAAACATCTTTACCTCTTAATGCACAGCAAATTAGAATGGTCAAGGCTCAAGAGTAATTATCATCTTTTTCGAAGTTTTTTTTATGAAAAATAGTGACGAAAACGCAAGTCTCCCAGGATTCTTCGAAGCGATTCTTTATATAAATGAAACTCAATCAGGTACATTTTGAACGGATCAGTAAGTTGAGATTTCATAGGGTTTGACTTTCCACACGACACGTACATTGATTTCGGCAAATCTGGTTGGGGCAAAGGCGCTGTCTTTATAAATGGAAGAAATCTCGGAAGATATTGGCCATCTGCTGGTCCTCAGCAAACTCTATATTTGGTCAGTTGAGATGGTGTTTGTTAGATTTGACTGCTAGTTTAGCCTGGTCCGTGGCTGAAGGTTGGATACAATGACATCATGATTTTTGAAGAAGAGAAGATCGGTGGAAAGCTTGTTTTTTCGACTGAGCCCAGATGGTCGAAATGAATAAACCGATTCAATAAAAATACCAAACTCTTCCAATGATTAGAATAATTGCACTTCTATTTCAGTTATTCAAGTGAACTAGTATATTTAGGTGTTTAAAAAACCGTCCTCGAAATAACCTCTCATTCTTTATAAACGTGATGCATCAACGAATTGATCATAAAGATGAGAATCAAAAATTTCCTTTTTTCAGCCGTTTTTGCATATCAAGTTGACCAACAAGGTCAGCAAGGTGGTCAGCGAGGCCAACAAATCGAACAGAGAGGACAAGAAGGTGGTCAGCAGCCTCAACACTCTCAACAACCTCCACAACATTCCCAGCAGCCCCCACAGCATTCTCTACAACGCCCACAGCTTCATCACCAGCCTCGGCAACAAGAAAATCGTCATTATCATCACCACCATCAACACCAACAAGGACAACCTGGTCAATACGGTCATCAAGGAGGCCAAGGAGGTCAACATGGTCCAAATCAGCAGCAACACCACAGACATCAACACGATCATCAAAATGAACAACAGCGACAGAAGCAACAGTGGAACCAACATGGGCAACCTGGTCAACATGGTCATCAAGGTGGCCAAGGAGGCCAAAGAGGACGACATGGTAATAATCATCAGCAGCAGCAAAAACATCAACATGATCGCCAAAACGATCACCAGCGACATCAGCAGAACTCACAAAGACCCCAGCAACAGAATCAACAGCCACAACAAAATCACGGAGGAAAATGATTTTTGTCAGGTCAATTTTATCAAAAACTTGTTCTTGCATCTGAATAACACAACTTTTGTGTTGGAGACAACAACGACTTTTCTTCTCTATTTTATTACAGGACATAAAAATTTCAGCGAAAACAGCGAATAATTATAATTTTGCATCAGCTCTAATATTTTACAAGTAAACAGATCTTATTATTGAAATTTTGAAGTGAATAAAAAATAAATATTTTAAAAACAGCTTTTGTTGGTTGAAAATACAGCTCGTTCAGCCAGCCATTATGGTCGTGAAAGTCTTTGAAGCACCAGTGAGAAAATCAATCGAGAAAGGAAAGCAGAACCCCTCTCAAGTTGTAATTTGCATGGTCAGGAAGCATCTGTTCGCGCTGGTCGTTGGATTCTGCCCAAAATACACCTGAAACAAGTCGTTTTAGATTTAGAACGCGGACACTTTCACTTTCGCTCGAACCCGCGGGCCATCCGCTGGGAACATCCGAAACTAGCGGTAAAAAGCAGCTGGCTGCTTACTTGTGTTAGATTACTTGTTGAAAAAATGAGTCAGAAAGTACCTGAATGTTTCGTTTCTTTTTCAAATCGAGCGCTAGAACTTCAAGCTGCGACAGTTTGAGAACCTCTCCATCATCAACAATGAAGATGCGGCATTTGGAAAGGCGATAAAGGAGCAAGCTGAATAAAATTGATTAATTTCAAAAGGCGGCGCATGAGAACTGACTTTTCATTCTCTCGCTTGAATATGAGCCCGTAGGTCATTGCTTTTAAAATTGCATTCGCAGCGTTGTTGAGTTGGGGTTGCTGGTTGTTTTTCATCGCAGGCAACACCATCTTAATTTTTCATGAAAAAGATTGATGGAAGTCTTCTTACCCGAGTAATCGCCTTTTCGCAAAACTCCTTGTTTGGATATTTGACCTTTAGTGGGTCTTTACTCGAGGTCAATCTGCACATGGCTCGTTCCCTTGCATCCCAGGAAAAGACTTCCTTGCCGAAGTATTTGACAGAGAATCGAATATGCCTCGTCTGTTGCTGAAAAAGCTTCGCGACACAAGGGCGGATTGAGATCTTCTCAGTGTTGCCAATTTTCACCCCTTGTGGCAAAAGAGCCTTGACGATTATTTTCTGTCCGTTGACGGATTTGAGTGTTCTTGACACTGGTGGGGAGGACTGAATCGTCGATGGAGGATTAAACGCGCTCCCACAGAACTCAGAAAGGGTAGGGCGAGGAGAAGGGGTGGAGAATTCCATCTCAGAGTCGAGGGGTGACTCTGGCCGGAAATTTTCTGTGTTGGTGGATGTGGGAGAGTTTGTCGCGTAGCCATGGTCGAGTCGCTCGTCTATTTCGTTTTCCTTTGCCTCCTGAAAACGGAGGATGAGGGCTTCCTTTCCTTTGTTGAAAAGAATCTTACCTTTGACCAAAGATGCCTTGGATAGATTTCATCCGTATCATTCTTTACAAGTTCCGGCAAGAGTTCATAAACCCTAAACGCTTCCGCTCCGTCGAGTTTCGACAAGTCTTTTCTCTCCAAAACGTCTGGCAGTTTATTCAACGCGCATCGAAGCCGAGTCTTCCACGTAGCCGGGTCGAACTTGTCAACTCCTTCGATGTACTTGCCACGGTGTTCGGCCCAGGCCTAGAAAGAAGCGCGTTTTAATCGATGGGATCGACGGGTGCTTAGATTTCTGAAGTGGGCCTTTCAATTCCCGGACATGATCATTTCGGTTTCAGTTTGACAGAATCAGCCCCCGGCACTCCCGCTCATGTCAAGCAGATGAGCACCCTTTTCAACAGCTCATTAGAGGGGACCGTAAAAATCAAATCATCCTTCTGATTTTTGATTCTTGATTTGAAATTTGAGATCTTCTTTCTGATCCTTTTTGCTCTTGCTGTCCCAAAATTGACCAACCAATATGGAAATTCTATTGAAGAATTAGAAGTTTTGCCAAGGAAGCTAACTGTAACCAATTTCACGGGCTGTTAGTTTCCGTATATGTCAGTGCTACCGCGATCTTTTTGCGAAACTGGCCCGGAAAAAGAGCCAGCCACAAACTGATTTTGAAGTGAAAAATTAATCAACAAAGCATGTCTATCCGCCCCAAGCCTTTGACTTTTTGCAATGTTTGCAAATTAATTATTTTGTTTATTCTTTGTCGGTTACGGTTGGAGCAGCCCAAATAACCAACTTAGCGTGTGTGACATTTTCGGGCCTTCGTGAGCCGCCGCCTCGCCGAAACCGACCGTGGTAAAATGCAAAATATCACCAAAACTGCCCGGAGAAGTACGAAATGTTAAGAGTATCTTCCCTGCCCAAGGCGTTGGCCAGAGACCTTTACAGCTTTGAGAAGCACATTTCCGTTAGCTGGTATTTTAAACCGTGCCAAGAAGTCGAAAACGGACCGACTAAAGGGGGTCTTTCGTGACGAGATCTTGAAAATAGGGTGTCAAAATACCTGACCGACTTTATACTCGATATCATTTCGCTTGGAGGCCCCTTAATTCTAGCGTGACATGAAGATATAAAGCCGTTTTCGGGTTGGGCATGCAGATGGGATTCTAATCAGTGCTACACGATGTGGTTTGGTTGTTTATCGGTGGCGCGGAACATGAACCGTCTTTTATTGCCTAAATGCTCCGCCGTTATTCCGAAAGATCTATTCGTTTTAAGCTTTGTCCTTTTCAAGCCAAATCCGAGACACTCGGTGCCGAAACGACTAACTGAAAGTAAAACTGTCGGCTTTCCGCCGAGAAAGTAATCCGCAGCGGCTCAAGCGTAATCCAAGTCGACGGTGGAGTTACAATAAGAAACACTATCCGTCGAGAGGATTATTAGATGATGAAAAACTAGATCATATGTAGCATAAAAGGGGAGAAGAGAATGTTCTTGAACGAGTATTTTCTTCTAAATAAATACCCCTTTTGGCTTGTATTAGGTTCAGTCTTCGCGTTCTATTGAATTTTTCTATAGAGTCCATTGAGTAAGAACACCTTGAATGTCCCTAACCGATCATTTTCCAAAGTATTTTGGAAGGTATACGTTTTGCGGAACCTTTCGCGTCTAATTAAACCGGGCAATCGAATATTCTTCGGATAAACGGGCCTCCCGAGACTGCCCGCGGCAATAACTATTTCCCGTCAGAACCGGTTAATTCAATCGGCAAATTTACCTTGAAGATGAGACAATCTTCCTCTTTCCAGCTAAACTTGCCAGCATGCTTCCATGGGATTCTGAAGACCGTCTTTTCTGTATTCACCCAGTAAAGACCTGGATACTTTCCGCTGAAAAACACCTTTTGAACAACGGCTTTCGCTTGCTATCTTACCTATCGATCATCTTCTCAAGCCAAGGGCGAAGTTTTCGAGGGTGTCTCTCATCGTCTGACATTCTCTCTTGCAACCAAAAATACGAGAGGAGAAAAATCTGCCACCGGCGGCAGTTAATTATGGAGTGAGATCGAGTGGATTAGTGTTCGAGGGGCTTCACGGAGAGAGAGAGCCCGCGGCGGATCACCGACTTCTCCACCACCAAGTGGTCGCCACCGACGCCACTTGCCGAAACCACCCAAAGAACAGCGCTCTAACGCCGCAGGAGCTAACTAACTACCGATTCTTTCAACCTTTCGAAGTCTATTTGATCTTGAACTCCGCCTAAAGGATCTTGTTTGATGATTTTAATACTTAGATCTCACGTATTGTATTAATTTTGCCCAGTGATATGAAAGATTTGGAAGAACAGCATTAAAGAAAGCATATTTTTTAAATAGAAAGATACCTTTTCGTTATCACTCCTCATAAAATCGTACGTAAATCTGCATTTTTAGTTGATCTATCAATTTATCATGTTGTTCCTTTCCCTAATTTTCAAGTGCAGTGGTGCTTCAAAAGTCCACCTCCTTTTGATCACCATTATTCGCGCCCTCCAAGGAAAAAATCACGCGCTAACTGCTCCTGCAAATTTGTTGGTAAATTCTTTGTTCCTGATCTGATAATGATCTTTTTTGCTATAAAAGAGAACTCACAGCTTCAAAACGCACCAAACAGGATATGCTTTGAATTTATTGTTGTCTATAACATGTAACGGTTATCTATTGCTTCTGTTTGTTTCGAGAGTGGCATCCACTGGCAGGAGAGATTAATTTTCCGCTTGCTCGCTCTTGGGAACGACCAGTTGTTCCAGCTTGTGGCCCTTAGCTTCCAGCTCGGCTCGGAGCTAGACAAAATGCTGATGACTTTTTTGATTTCCGTTAGTTGATCAAACCTGAATGGAGAAGTCGTCTTCAATATTGTCATCTTCCCAGTTCTCTTCCCAGACTTCATCGACCTTCTCGTCTGAATAAAAATTAACAACAGATCTAAAAAGATCATCTCACCATCGTTGACTTGCTTCCAGTCTTCAGCAGGGAATTCCTCGAATTCGTCATCCTCTTCGAGAACTCCGAGATCGTGTTGCTTCTCAACCTTGAGCTTCGAATCGGCCATGATGATTTTTTGCTAGTCTCTGAATACAAAACTCGCTGTTACTTTTTTTTTAAATATTATCATTCGTGTAAGGGAGGGAATCTTGCTGAAGCCAAGAAGTGAACAAATGTTGTTTTCGATAAAAACGCACACAAAGCATATTTCAAAGTTTTATAATACAGCGACGAAGAAAGGCGAAGGGAGGGAGAACGCATTTTCCAAGCGAGAAGAATTTTTTATTGGTGACGGGTGGTGGATAGGCTCTTTATTCTTCTTGACGGCCGAATTTGAATGCGATCGAGCCGAGAAAGATGAAGAAGTTCTAGAAAATAAACAGTAAACGACGAACTCGGGATGAAACGGACGTGTCAATCATACTGTATGATTCATACCTGGAGAAAGATGGCTAGGCCTGGGTAGACTCGAGTCGGGCAGTAGCCCATCTTGTCATCAGGGACTTGTGGCGGGTGGGCAACATATGCTGCAAACAGGACACACATTGATGCTATGACGGCCCCAAACGCACCAAGGAAGCCCACGAGAAGCCAGACACGCGCACCCACAGCTCCCAGACAGCCCTGTGTTATTCATGAAAATGTAACTCATTTCGGATGTGAGGTAAGTAAAACTTGAGCATCGAGAGGAAAAATAAAAAAGTCTGCCTGACTTTCCTGTCTGAAAACGAAGCTGTCTTTCTCCAGCTGGTCGGAAATGAAAGTTACTATCGCTTGCGGAAATTTTCTATAGAAGTACTATAGAAGAATTATGAAAAAGAATTTTCCTTATAGCTTCGTAACCAGACATCTAAGGCAGACGTTTTCAAGTCTCTTTTCAATGCTCAAGAACTGTCAATACTTACGTCTTCATACATGCTGCCGTCAGTGAGATGAGAGTTTGAAACCATATTGATCATGAAAAATGCGAGGGTTCCGATAACTCCGCAGATGTGATAGTAATTGTACATTTCAAGCTAGAAACATTAGCCATGAATTAACCAAAAGCACGCTCATACCTCGGGATTGGCAGTGACGTTGCATCGAACTGCGGCATCGATGGCGATCCACCAGCCAGTGAAAAAGAGCAGTCCAGACACGACAGAAGCGATGGCATTTCGGAGGCCGCCGCCGCCTCCTAATCCGTCCATATCAAATCCGACCATTTCTGAAAATAAAAACTCATCAATTTATATAGTAGGTGACAATAGCGGGATAGAATTCTGTTGATCATTCAATCGCAGTTTTACTCTTCCATTTCTTGTGTGTCATAAAATGAGCCACGCACATGAGCAGTGTAAGGCTCAGAAACATCTAAACACGGATGTTATTGACAAATTATTTCTGACTGAGGTTTTACCAAAAGGGTGATGGAAAAGTAAGAGATAGATAGGCCAACATCCATCCAGCTACCGTCGTCTCTCACTTGGAAGAAGAATATGAACGCCAAGAGGTCCGAAAAGATAACAAGGAAGTGAAATATTGCTGTGAATGGAATGTTGAGAAGTCTAAACGAATTTCCGCTTGGAGACATAGAAGAGTAGTGTTTCTTACCTGATAATGATAAGAAATGCAACACAAACAGGAAGAAATGGCAGAATGACTTTGAAGAAGAGCAGGAATCCCATAAGAAACGGATTAAAGACATGAACAAAAGGTAAAATTGAGCTGGGCGAGAAACTATTCAGATTGGCTACATTTCCACAGCCAAAGAAGGCCATCATAATAAAGTAGATAAATGTGAGCGAGCGCCGAACATCGTCTTTTTTGAACTTGCCAATTTCTGAAAACAGCGACGATTTTTCTTTGAAAGAAGCTTATTTGAGTTCAACTTCCGAACATTGCTTATGTTATGTTGGCATATGGTCCAGATATGACCAAATGTCTAAGGAGCACTTATCATTTAATCTCTAAACTCATTTCCTGAGTCGAACGTGGCTAGTGGAATTTCGACTCTCATCCACTCGCTAAGCGACCAGACCAAAATCATGTGAAACAGTCCTTCGTAAAATGTCGAAAGGAGACAATATAGGGAAAAGCAGCTGATGGAAATCGCCTGGAATCTAGCAACCATATCGAATGTCTCCAGGAATGGAAAGATCCATGAGAGGGTGAAGACCATCCATGAGATATAGATTGGGAGGTCTTTTCGAGGATAAGAGTTTCATGACATGACGAAATCGAGAGAGACCGGATCCCGGATACTGGACAGATTCCGTCATGATCTGGCCTCGGAATTCTGACCTGTCTAAAAACCTGAAACAGGTCCTGTTTCCTGTTTTTTGGACCCTGTCCTGTTTCCTGTCTTGCATTTCGAGACCAAAATAAACCTGTTAACAGGCCTGTTAACAGGAAATACAGGAAATACAGGAAAACACGCCTGTATACAGGAACAGCCCTGTAAAAGTGAAACAGGCCTGTAAAAAAATTGCAGGAAAACAGGCGAGAAATGGGGAAGATCAGGTATTTTTCGTAAAAATTTTCTTGGAATTTCTTTCAAATATGTTATAAAGAACCTTTTATAGTTGAAAATGTCTATAGACATGATTATAACGAGAAAAAAAATCTTAATTTTGATTCTTCAAGGAAAAATTAAAACCCTGAAATTTGAGTTTACGGGCCTGCAAAGCCTGTGTAACCTGTAAAACAGGACCTGTTCCTGTGTTTTTTATCCTGTCCTGTTTCCTGTCTTGCAAATGGGCCAAAAAATAAAATCCCTGTTCCTGTCCCTGTTCCTAATTACAGGATTCCGAGGCCAGGTCATGATTACTTTTCCCTATCCTGGAGGCTGAAGAGAGAAAAGATCTGCAACACATATGAGTGTTTGGCTGAGTAAGCTCAACCAAAGCAAAAGATTCAATAATCCTTTTGTGCGCAATTTGCTCGTGAATGTTGAAAATTGAAGCAGAACGGCTCCGATAATTAGGGAAACAACAACGACCCATCGGTGGATTCCGGAGTCAGTAATAGACTATTACTAATAGTCGGCAGCATCGGGAAAATCGAAAGACTTCCAAAAGATATGTACAAAGAGGGTCGGACATATTTTGAAGTAAGAAGTGAATATAAGAAGGGAAAGGAGACGAATACTAAAAATTGGCAATCATCGAGCTTTTTTCATTAATCTTACTGAGAGACAAGAACCATCTGTAGTTGAAAATAAGCGTCGTTATAAATGCAAGGAAGCTGGTAGTGAAAATAAGTTTGATAAGATTTAGCGGTCTTGCTGACAGAATTAACTTTTGTCTGGTTTCTAAAAAGAATTTCTCTGAAAAACGAATCAACTCTAAGAACCAGTTCCTGGAGAATGACTTTGGAATAAAACGAGAAGAAATAGATTGATATCAACGCTGCAAAACTCCAAAATGAGTTTCGAAGGCTCAGTTTATAGACGATAGGAATGAGAATAAACGGCAACGCTGTAAAAACAAAGATTGGCAAGCTAAAATGTCGCATAAGAATATAACTAAATGCTTATGATAAACCTGAATTTTGGTCGGCGCACGTCATCAGTCAGAAATCGCCCACAAAGGCCTACTGAAGTTAGCTGCCATGCGACCATCATCGAGATTACTAACGTAGACAAAACCGGTCTCAATGCTCTGTGGTGAAAGAAAATCCCTTCCACCACATCCTTCAAGGTCTCTGTCTCTAAAAGACCCGAATTTTCCGCTTCAATAATCTTCTCAATCGAAAGCTTTTTGTAGGGGATCCCAGAGGATCTCGACTTTGCCTCGTACTGATGCCAGAGCTGCCTCAAATTCGTCGCTTTGAGCATTGCTAGATTTTCTTTTGACGCATTGAATATGGAAAACGGAGCAATGCCGATGGAGTTTGCTGGCAGTGAAGTTCCCAGAAGGAGAGAAATCGTCGGAGAAATGTCGATTTGTCTGATATCATCATGGGCAGGAGTGTGAAAAGATTCGCATGATTCGAGATCCTGGAAATGACGTATTCCAGAACCCCAAGCAATAAATGGAGTGACTGTTTCGTCCTCTGAGCCTGAACCATGTGAGCCCCATTCCGTCATGCCATGGTCAGATGTAACAACAAACGCTGTTTCATCATCTTGGAAAAAATCATTGACGATGCGTTCGACGTTCTTGACGATTTTGTCAACAACATCGACATTGTTGACGTATTGTGGGGATTGTGGACGATGTGCATGTCCGTTAGTGTCTGTTCCAAGAAGATGAAGGAAAAATATGACACCATCTTGGTGCACCGAAGCTGGTGGATCCTCCATAAACGCTTGAAACTGATCTTCCACCCAAGTATCGAGGTAGTCTGCGTTCGATGCCGAGAAGTCCTCTAACTCTTCAGAATAAGTGACGCCATGGACGTGGCTAGGCTCGGAAAATATATCGACGATGTCTGGGCTGCCAAAGGCCCAAGCTTCCGTGCTTAATAAAGTCGTGAGTATTCGAGAATAACGTTGTTTTTACCTCTTATTCAAGACTGTGTCGAATGGAACTGGATTTTTCTTCCACCCTGCCATGACAGCGGAAACGTCCTCGCCGAACCCACCGAGGAACGCCACGTGGCCAGGTCTAGACTCTGTCGGCAGCTGGATAGGAAAATTTCACAAAGTTACAGGTTTCCTTCAGCTCAAACCTGTGTTATAGACCTAGCATAGACTCCTTGATTACAAGCTCTTCCCAAGATATGCTTCGCTCGGAATTCGCCTTCTTCATTTTTGAGCACAAAGGTTCTATGTCGCATACCATCGATGGACACAATAACAACTCGCTTTGCAAGAGGCTTATTTTTCGGCGGAAGGGATTCCAAACCGGTAATGATCGGGGAAGTCAGAAAAATTTCGAAAATCGAGAAAAAGAAAAGAGCATGAAGAATAAAAGTTACGATTACGTATTGTCCAAACTTCATTCTATAAATATGATTTTATTAAATTCAGCTGAATTATCTGTATTGAATTGCACTAGAAGAATAAAATTTTGAACAGCAAAATTTTTAAGGCTACAACTCGTCTTTCATATTCTTTCGTATCTCATTTAGGTTTTCCATTCGACGAAGCAAGGGGCAAAAAATCTGCGTATCCGGGTCTTCATCTCTTTCCTCCTCACAATTTCCAACGAGATGAGTTTTGAGCTTGAGCAAAGAATCATCGATGATTTCTGCTTCCTCTTCTGTGCACTTTCCATAAACGGATTCCACGACCGCAAGATACGCATCAATAAAGCTGACGGATTTGCCCAGCTTCAATTGTTCCGGTATGATTGAGCAAATCCCCTCTCTCAGAAATCTTGATTTAGTATTGAGTGAGCTGTACTGTTCTCTTCTGTCTTTGTCGGTCTCTTCGTCGGACAATGCTTCTTTTTCTTCGCGCAGTAAATCTGCCAGTAATTGGACGCTCTTCAGGGCTGATTCTTTTTGTTTTGAAAGCTCAAGCAAAATCTATATCAGGATAGTAATTATATGTGTTGATATTGACGTTCGTAGATATATGTTTTGTGGTGTTTTATTCCGAGTACTTTCGTCCATAAGGACATCATCAGGGCTAAGAAAACAGTAAAATAGAGAAAAATTAGAAGGTGCTTACTTACTTATGGGGCGATTTGCTGGCTCCCTTTCCACCTGCAAAACTTGCGTGAACTTGGTGTTGTTTTTGTCTTGTTTTCGACTGTTATTTTATTTTCAAATCAGTCTGACCCTGCGGAGTGGTCTCCGTTTGCCCAAGTCGCCGTTTGCCCAAGTCGCCGTCTGCCCAAGATCGCCGTTTGCCCAACTTGGGCAGACGGAGACTTGGGCAAACGGCGATCAAATTGAAAATATAATCATAATTCAATTCAAAGAAATTAAATGCAGTCCTCACAAGCGCTAATCCCCAACTTGGTTGAATTGGTTTCCCATATAATATGGGCCATATTGCTGTTTCTTGTGATTCATTTTAGGTTTGTTCTATTTTTGGAGTTGTTTCTGATTGAAACTGAGGGAATACAGGCATTGTGAGAAGTGAGAAAAAGGGGAAAACTGATGGAACTCTTCCCAAAACCTCCTCCCAGCGAAGAGGAGTACTCAGGCTTGTTTTACAAATATCAAATGCACAATCTAATGACAATCGAATTACGATCCCGTCTCAGTAAAGCGGAGCCTTTTTTCTTCTTTTTTCTCTTCCGAGAATAGTTTATTAGGAGTCCTAATCAAACCTAACCAGGGTTAGTCCTAATTTAGGACTTTTATTGAGAATTAAGCGACTCTCATAATTAAACCATCGATTACGAAGGCTCTTCGTTATCAATGTAAACGATGTCATACTTCGGAAAGCATCCGTAGAGTCCACGATACTGTTTTTTTTCATTTCGTCTCTTATTAATGTGTTTATACTAAAGAATTTATTCGAAAATCGGTTCATACTATTGAAAACCAATATAAGAAAATTGTGGTGGTCTTGTCAAGAATCCACGGTTAATAACCGTTCAAAAGACATCACAGGACAACCTTTGTTTTCACCTGAAAGTTGCAAATCAGACCGCAATCAGCAGACTCAGTGATGATAATGAAATTCTCGCCTTACTTCTATCATTTTATGATGAATCAATTAAAAAAAATTCACATCGCCGTTTGCCTAAGATCTCCGTCTGCCCAAGTTGGGCAAACGGCGACTTGGGCAGACGGCGACTTGGGCAAACGGCGACTTGGGCAAACGGAGACCACTCGACCCTGCGCCTTTCTCAGTAAGCACCTTCTAATTTTTCTCTATTTTACTGTTTTCTTAGCCCTGATGATGTCCTTATGGACGAAAGTACTCGGAATAAAACACCACAAAACATATATAGGATAGTAATTATCTTTTCCACCGGTATCGACGCGATGAGAACATGTTCTATCCTACCCTGTGCTCCGCCATGACGAAAGAAAATACCCTGCGCGTATGGAAAATCGCGGATAATCGCTCCCAATGGATAGAGGATCTTCTTGGACCAGTCATGGCTTTTTGCGGTGACGATTTGCGTCAGCAATCGAGAAACAGAGCGCCCATTGATGAATTCGACTTTTACTTTTGCGTTTCCTTGCGCTGCGGCAGCGATGGTTTCTGCTGAGAGTCGCTTAATCGTTTCACTTTCTCCGTCTTCAAGATGATCGAGGAGGATCGACACGCCATCGAGCTGCATCAAGTCAGCAGCATTGTCGATTTGATGAACTTAAAGAATAAATACCTGATTAAAACAAGCTTAAATACCTAAGAATTCTAGCTCTTCCAGCGCTCTTTCTTTCACATCAACGCTTTCTGCTGATTTTAGCGCGTTCGTGATGTTTTTCATCAAATCAAAGTCTGCAACAAGTTCAACTCCCAGTTCATCAAAGTTCCTTTGCTCGCTACTATTATGCTTTAAAATTTAGTTAATATCCATCAAGAGGCAAGAGAAATTACCAATTCCTGCTCATCGAGATAGTCGTTTATTTTCTTGATTGAAGCCTTCTGAGCCTCTGTTAGTTCTGGTTTCTCCTCTTTTTCAAAGGCTTCGTCTTCAGGCATGACAACGACACTGGTTCTTTCGGCATCAGGATTTGGCAGCGCGTCGTCCGGATCTAGGAGTTTTGCTTTTCGCTCGCCGGTAGTAAAATCGATGGAATAGTGAAGCCCGGGCGGAAGGGGCTCATTTTCTCGATCGCGTTTTCATAAACTTGACTTACGTAGCATGAATCGATTGAAATAAAAAAAACGCTTCCCTGGTACGATTTGCCATTCATGAGTAGCAACAAACTCAGATTTTATCGCCCCAATACCGATTAGAATCGACAAACGCATAATGATCTGAAAATATTTTCGCCTTTTCGTCCGTGAAATTTAAACAATTCCAGTTTTAACTTGAACTCGAAGCATCATAGGATGAAGGAACGACATTGTGGAAATTTTTATCAATGTTGGACTGGGCCATGTGACTTCCATATCCTTGAACGGTGTTACGTAAATCTTTGGCGGATTTTATCACATCGACCATCTGCTGGAGAACGTAATTTACGGATAAGGAGGACTCGTCATTGCATGGAATAGGATACGAGATCATGGAAGGATTTATATCCGTGTCAACCAGACCAATCTGAAATTTATTAGTCCTCGTTGTTGTCAATGGGGAATCTTACAATTGGAATATTTCTTTCGCAGCATCCAGAAATATGTTTTGGGAGGACACCTGGCGTTTTACCCAGACAGTTTAATAAAATGACAATATCAGGCTCCACTCGTGCTGCCTTCTCGCTCAGGAAAATTGGCTCGTTGACGGAAGTATCGCAATATTCGCCAGCTTCCTTCGCAGCTTGGAATTTCGTTAGTTTATTTCCAGACAAAGGTCATATGACCAATAGTGCCCTATATTTGATTCTACATAGCTTTTTGATATTACAGTCTATTACATAATACAGAGTTGTTTATTTTTCTCTTTGGCTGATTCGCGTGATCTGAATATACCTTTTAAAGCTGCTCTTGAATTACTCCCTTCGCTATTTGGCATGAATAGGATCGTTCCACCCCGTAAAGCCACGTGTCCAACAAAATTTAATGCGATCATGAGTTGTGCTCGACTCTACAGACGTGTCCTTATTCATGACGAAAAGTTACACCTTGTACCTGATCGAGGTCGATGATGTCGGTTCCATTTCGACAGCCGAGAATATATGGCTCCATGAAAGGATTTCGCATGACAACATTGTGTCCCAGATGCATTCTTGCTTTGTACATCTGAATTTATTTTTGTAAAAATCAAAAGATATTTGACTTACATCTTGCCATTTGATTTTGTTTTTCAAATTGAAGCAGTCCTTTTGCTCCAATAACTTCTGAAAAGCGATGTTGTCCTTTGCTCGATTTTTCATAACGCTACTGGATGACTGCAGCTGAACAGCGCTTGACTGCTGTCTCAATCCAACTCGCCACATTCTACAAAATCGACTGAGTTTTAGATCAAAATGATCGCACGAGTAAATGACGGATTTTGTTAAAGGATTTGATAACTGATTTATTTAGCTTTTATTGAAGTACAGTAGGGCAGCATTCATCTCTTTATCTTTTATTGAACTTCTAAACATGTCTAGATAGTTAATGTACAGTTTTTACAGAATCATTCACCCCGAGAAGTAAATTTTATACTCCGCTGCGATTGGTTTGATGAGTTCGAACATAGATTCAAAACTCATATTAGGATCGAATTCATCGTGACTTCTTGAGGAATTCGGACGGTTTGCGGCTTCACGGCGCTAGAAAGGAAAGTCTTTATAAAGGGATCTTTCTTTATCAATCCGAACCTGATCCTTCCAATCTCCAAGAAGAAAGACATACTGTTGGTGTTTCTCTTCGTCGCCGAGGTTAAGATACACATTTATCAAACCTTAGCACAAAATTTGTTAGCCTTTCGATGGTGAGTTGATTTCTACCTGTATAATCGTACTCAAGACCAGAGTACAGCCCGCCATGGTGTTTCTTGCAAATTTCTATTCCCTTGAGATAAAGTTTTTCCGCCATTTTGTATTTCTAAGAGAAAATAACAAAGAAATAAACAAATGGATTTGGAACCTTCATGTCATAGTTATACAGCGATGCGAGGTGGCCAAGACTGACAGCTACTTCCGGATCATCATCGCCAAGGATCTTGGTTTTGATTTCTATCGCTTTCTTATGAAGAGATTCTGCGTCTTCGAAATGCTTCATCGATTGGTAGAGACGGCCGAGATTCCCAAGATGCTTGGCGGTTAGCTGGAGAAAGATTAATGACGAAAGCGAAAGTTTTAATCTGTAATAACTTACGACAGAGTATTCCCCGAAAGTCCTCCTAGCAACTTCTAAACTCTCCTTTTGAAGTTTATGCGCTTCCTCAAGCCTTTCTGTTTTCAAGATTTTCAATTTTTGCTCTTCGATCTGCAGGTGATGAAGGACGGGAATATCGAGAGCTTCTTCTTCGATGATAAGCGCTAGAACTCGCTTCGCCGAGCTGAGTTGCAAGTGATCTTTAGGCAAGATGTCTTGATAGATCGACATCGATTTTCGTATGTAATGTCTTGCTTCAATGAAGTTGCCAACGCGGTATTTCTTTACATAACAGGAGTAGCTAAAATATAATAACTGACGTTTTTGTTGAAAATGTTACCTTAGATCTTCATAAACTGATGCTAACTGGACACTGTTATAACGGCCAAACTGTCTTTCCCGAAGAACTTTTGCTTTTTGATAAAACTAAGAGGAATTAACAAGGATAATGGAAGTTGGCGCAAATAATTACCAAATTTGCTTCATGATTTCTATCGTCCTGCATCAAGCAATAAGCATGATTCAGCAAAGCATCAGCAAATTTATGCTCGAACTGGGCCGCATGATAGAGGCATAATCGCGAGAAAACAAGCGCTTTGGAAAAATTTCTAGTGACAGCAAGGGAACGCGACAGGTATCGCAAAACTTCGATGTATGTCCGTCTTGAGACTGAGCCTTCTCCAACTGAATAAATGCTTCGCAAAAAGTTTTTATAGAGCGAATACTATGTGCTACGCAGAATGCAGTGATGGCGAACTTCAGGGCTTGTTGAAAGTTTCCCTCGGCGTAGAAAATCCCAGAGATATTCCCATAGTATTCAGCGCGCAGATCAGCCGGAAAGTTTCTTGCCAAGACGATAAGTGAGAGCATTGTTTTGGCTTCTTTTATGTCTCCCTCCATGACGTAGGAGTAAACGAGTCGGTTTTGAACCCGAACCCAGAGATGATGGACGGAGTCGGTCATCGTTCTGAGACATTTGACTACGACGCTGAGACCTTTACTTTGGGGAAGACGCATGAGAATTTCATTTAACAGCATTGCCGACTAAATTTTCGAATTTGAGTTCGAAGGGAAGGAAAATTGCGAATAAGCTACCTGTCTGTACCACCCTGCTTCAGCCATAAAATCAGCCACATCCAAGATATATCGAAGGTGTTCTTGGTCCCTCGGTGGGATACCATTTCTACAGCCAGTTTCGACAACTGATTTGGTGATCAAAAAATCGACTCTGGAAAAGAAGATGTATGCATTGAAGAACTCCTGAACGATCGTATGAAGCTTGAAACGATCTATGAAGAGAATGATTAGCGGAATGTTCAATGCAGGATCAAACATACCGTATTCTCTCAGGAGGCGTTGAAAGATGTCTTTTTGGGTAAACGCGGCGTATGAATAAAATGTGAAAGTACTTGTTGCACCGGGAAGGTCCGTTCTGCTGCTCCCAATACGAATTCCATCGTGAGAGCAAACGCATGATTTTCGCGCTTCATCCAAAATGTCGCCAACTACTTTCGTGGGCATCGATTTCATGACCGCAGTAATGGTGTCAATCTTTGTAAGGCCCTGGTCGAGGTGTTTCCGAATCGCTAGAGTGTACAAAGAAGGCGGAGAATCTCTTGGCTCTTGGTAGAAGACTTCTTCGATGATCTCGACTTCCATCTGGTCGTCTTCGAACTCGTCATCGTCTTCGTCGAACTCATGGGCATTCATCTTTATCATTTCAATTGTAACTGAAGAGATGAAAAAGGTACCTGGAGAATGGCCTCGTCGAGGATTTCGTCGAGCATCCGAACTGCTGGAGGGCCAACGTATTCGTCTTCAATCATCAGGTCCATTCGATTCTGAACAATTTTCTCCAATAAAAGCACTTGCATGTACATTTTTAAAAAGAGATACAAGGATCAACTTTTCTCGGCAGTATGAATATGTTCAAAGTCAAGCTCTTCAAAATGCTCTGGCGGGGCTTGGGTCAGCAGTTTTTCTCCTATAACAAGTTTTGCGAGGCCTCGCTGTTTCCCGAGAGGAGCCATGGTATCACCATACCAGGAAGATGTTATGTAATCGACATTATAAGCAATATTCGAATAGTGACGATCCATTGCATGCAGCGCTAGAAATTGATATTAATCTCGCTTGAGGAGGAGACAAACCTAAATCTTTTTCCACCTCAAATCCTCTAACTCCGGCCATATGTGATTTTTCTGATCTGCCAAAGCACATGCCCCAGGCAAAAAGTTGTGTCGCCACTTTTCCCATCTCAGAAACAATCCACTGCTGCTCAGGTAAATACGATCCGTACTGCTCGCAATGGAGTACTACATTCTGGGCGAAATCTCGACATGCAAACTCGTAGTAGATTTTGTTCCAACGGGTGGCGGTATTTCCTTCGTCGGCGAATAATCCAGTGCCGTCCTTTTTCGTGCGGTCGAGAAGATTTTCGACCATTCTTTTTGTCCACCGACGGTTAACAGAATTGCCTTTTTATAGAAGGAATATCTGAGGAAAGGATTTTCATAGTCTTATTTATTAGTCCTTGTTGTCATCAAAATCGACTGATTCGAATCACAAATCTTCGAAGAAAAAGAAAACCCGTGTCCAAAAGAAACAAGCTCAGGATGTGTCTTCCTCCAGTTAGCTTTCCAACCCATGATTCTTCGGAATTCCCTCGATAAGGGCACTGCCTCAAAGATGCGTTTCTCCATGTTTGCAGATTGAGCAAGTGCCGCTTGAAAACCACGAAGTCCTGTTTATAAGGGTCTTCTAATCGTTTTCAGATGTGACTTTCCATAATTCAAACGTTGACGATTTTACTTTTTATATATCAATTCTAGTTTTGAAATGATACTACGAGGAAGCCACTCGTGATCCGCCAGATGGGCGATATCACCTGGCTTGAAATCTACTAAGAAAATGACACAAGATATGACCCAATTTTCCTATCGTCATTTCCAAGTCATTATTTGGTATTTTTGCGCAAAAAGCAGCAAGTTCTTCTCTGTGAGTTTTCCAAGGCTGCTCAAACTGAATCGGCCCGAGAAAACTGACCAATTCATCATACCAACGGACGGACGAATTAGCGAGTAGTCTAGCAGCTGCTATTTCCGCCGCGAGTGATTCGGAACTCCACGGCCTTTTTCCGCAGATACAGGTGATGATTGATTCAAGAGAATAAATTTCGGACATCAGGTTCGTCAGACTAAGTGACACAAGATCCGTTTTGAGAAGAGTTCTACCGGGATGAAAAAAGTTAAAAAGGCTCAAAAACTATGAAAATAAATTATTTTTCATCCTTGCCTTCCAGTATTATCCTTGAGATATGAGTATGAATGGCAAGCAGCATCAAAACGCTCTCTCATGCAACCAAGAATGGCAGAAGACTCAAGTAGATGTATTGTGTCTTGAAGGTACTGCGTCACGTCTGAAAATGAGTTGATATACAAGCAAAATAAAAAATAATTATATAATTTTGTATCATATGTTTATGTATCATAGAATTTAATTAAAAAAAAAAAAGAATTTTTATCGCATCTAAAAGACAGACTGTCTGATTAGGATAATGAGGGGCATACATTCATAATCCTGCATTTCCTCATAATGAACACAATACGGTATTCTCAATACCTTGCGAAATAATCTCTTCTCCTGAGATGAATTTAGTCGGAATAAGCGCATCGAGTGGAATATCAACATCCGACAGAGTAAATTCTCCGCATGGTTTAATTTCCACGCCCCTCGCGTTCTTCGGAATGAGCGCATAAGTTTCCCCACCACTTTCCAGCTGAACCTTTGCCAGGATGTTCGTCACTCTCCCGGATGTGAGGAACCGGAGCGAACCTGATCCAGATACTTTTCCATTTTCGGAGTAAAAGAGACCACTTTCGAAATATGGAACTGTTGTGAATCCGCTTTGCTTTGTTGGATAAAAATTAGCGAACATTTTTATGCCGTGAAAAATAGGCTTCGATCAAAACAAATCGGAGTTTTAAACAACTTTCCTGACAGCATCAATGGATACAATATCAATTTGCTTCTTCGTTCCATACTTTAAAATCGTATCAATCGCAGAAGAATGAGCAGCGAACAGAAAAGCAAAAGGAAGATTCGTGCCTAGTCCTTGAATCAGCGCTGATTTGAGCATCAGCGTCGTGCCAGGAGGACCAGGATCTCCACCGAAATCGACGGGGACGCCATGTAATGGGGCGATAAATCATGATTCTTGAATGAAAACAATCATGGTAGACTTGGTTTCCGGCATGTTTCCGTATGTCTGTCTTATTTTTTGTCAATTTAGCGGATAATTTGCACAAATTAACATTGAATTAGAATAGACCTAGAATCATCGCCCCAAGCCTATGTCAAACAAAGAGGAATCTTTCAGTCCCAGAAAACATTCATCCAGACCATCAGCCTGGCTAATATGAATTTTAAATGAAGCGGCTTCGGCAAGGATGCGCTCGGCTAGCCGGTTTGTGGGAAGTGTTGGGTAGGGTGCAAGCCAGTCTAGATCCATTTGTTGACAGAAAAGCGAGTTGATGTAGGAGCGGGCGGGGAGGGAATCGGAGTTGAGCTCTTGCATGTTGTTGTATTGACGCAACGGAAGTCGGATTCTTGATTGAGGGAGACATGATTTTGAGAGCCGATTTATACGAAACATTGTCCGATCTGATAGAGCTATCATTTATTTGATATTCTATTAGCACGAGAATAGCAGTAGTTATCAACCTTTTTTATCAAAAAAATTCGATGGTCTGATGAGTAGTTTTGCCAGTTAAAAAGATTCTAATATGATCTAATTAACATGATATTATATCATTGATATAACGAACCAAGTATTCTCGTAGAAACGCTCAGAAAGCTAGATTCTTCCTTTTTTATGTAAAGTCAAAAGTCTATTTTCGGAAGACAAATGCTTTTATTCATTTGAAAATGGAAGTCATGGAGAAAGAGCTAAAAGTAGAAGGTGCAAACGAAATATTGGTCATGTCAGTAGGAAACAGTCAAGAAAATCAAATTCGTAAATAGATAAAACTTTAGACAACAGTAGGAGGCCTGATCGAGTTGGTGCTTGAGGAAGCTGCGGATCGTTTGGAAGCGTCGCAGAGATGGGCCAGGTAAGGAAGGATGCGATCTGTTCGCAACTCGAGCACGTCCCTCGCGGTAAGATGAAATCCACTTTCTCTTGCCGTGTTCGCGAAGCGCTCAGCATTCCGGCTTAGAATCGATGAACCGGTGGCTTTAATGAATTCATACCTTGCTTTTTGCGATGATAAAGTATCATCATTTGGCCCGGGGAGCTCGACGAGCAGGGCCTCCGATGTTTTCTTTCTCCTTGCGTTGTAGGCGCGGATAAAGATGATACCATCCATCAGAGGCGTTGACGGGGGAAGCTGCTTGCGAAGACATTCGGAAAGAGCTTCCAAAAGTTGATGCTCCGTTCTTGAGCTGAACGAACATTTTAGAAATGGATGGGTCAAGAGTTGGAGATTTCACGATCAAATGAATCGAAGGTCCTTTGATTCCGCGTCTTGGGTTAAAACTGAGATTTCCTTATCATATCCTGAAGAATCGGAATAAAACGACCTATGAGTCACAGTAAGTTTGTTAATGCTGATGATGATGACGTACTTTTTGTTACACGAGTTTGAGTACAACGGTTTAGTTCTGTTTTGCGCTCGGACAGAGGTTGGCTTCCGATTGCTGTCAGTAACAATCAGTCGATTAAGTGAGGAGACATGCTGATCAAACCTTGACCCGTTCTCTTTCTCTGACTGTATTCTTCGATAGTTTTGAAGAGCCGTTTTTCGAGCTGTTTCTGTTTTCTTCGAAGAAGGTTAAATTCGTGGTTCTTTGAAAAGACGAACCTGAATCTGTAGCTTTTTTGTCTCTTCAGAGAGTGAAGAGATAGAAGACCCATTTGAAGAGATGCTGCTCTTTGAAGATTGCTTCGAGAGCGGCCTTGGTTTCGGCGGTATTTTGTCGGGCCTCTTTGCGATTGGCGGAGGCTGCACTGAGCTGGTGGGAAGATTGTGCTTGACGGGCGGTCGCTCGCGCTTTATCAGGGGACAGACACTGGTCTAACTTCGGCATTAAACTTGTGGTCGCGGAGCAAGAACTCCGTGCCCAAATACGGTCCGGGGATGGTGGAAAAGTTGCCATCTATCAGGAAGTCAGTGATTCCCTCCCAAACACGCGGAAGTCTCGCGAGACGGTTGTTGCGGATGTCCAGAGACTCGAGCTCAAGCTGGAAAATTTAAAAGTCAAGACATCATTTCAAATGTTACATTTCTTGTCAAAGGAAAACTCACATTGTCCAAATTTGGAAGGGAGCAGAGTTTGTTATCGTTGAGTTGTAGGTTTTGAAGATTCGAGAATTCTACGATGTTTTCGGGAACGCTGTCGAGGAGGTTGTTTGAAGCTTTCAGCGATTGGAGATGTTTCAGCGGTTTTTGGAACTGAAGAAGAGGATGGAAAGTGAGTAAGGATAAGGGGCTTACTGTTAAGTTATCAATTTTGTTAAAAGAAATGTCGAGTAGCTTGAGCTGAGGCGGCAGTTCAGGGAGTTTTCGAAGCTGATTGAAGGAGATATTCAGCGTTGAGAGACGACGCAAGCTGACGAAGTGGTCGTGCGTAAATTGAACGATGTCACTGTTGAGATTGTTAGCAAAAGAGAAGAGGAGTTAGTGGAACTGACCTTTCTGTCCATTTGATTTCGAGAATGCGGCTGGGCAACTTGAAGTTGATGTTCGATGCACGGAGGGAAATGCGACGCAGTTGATGGTAGTTTTCGTACTTTTTTGGATCAAAGTTGCGTTCGGCGAAATCTGAAAAGGGTTGATAAGAAAGGTCGGCAAGAAATTCGCGTCGGACAAAAACCAGCGCGTCCTTGGAAAGATTGGCCTTCCCAAGAGTGGCTTTTTTACGACAGAATTCGAGGTTTCAATGGTTACTGCCCCGTGTGGGGCTACAGAAAAATTCAAATACTCATAAGAGTGTCCCTCTCCACGGAATTCTTTAGTAAAAGGCGAAAGAATTATACGTTTTGAAGAGAGACCAGAGCTGAGAGCTAAGAGTGCGGTTGGAACCCCATATCGACCGGTAAAACTGAGTGTTATGGTTTCTTGATTTCGCTATTTTCAACAATCGAGACAGGAGATTCAGGGCGAAACGAGTCCTTTTTACAAGTTTTCTGATTTACGGTGCCTCAAATCAGACAAATAAATAGGTAAATACTCAAAAATTTGTTAAATAATCAATATTTTCGTTAATCTTGGAGAAAAGCATCTTTTTCTAAGAATTTTTATTTAATTTTTCGTAAATTCTGAGAAGAAATTCTGTAAAATTACCATTTGCAAGTCGCGGAAAAACAGCACAATATTCAGGCAGATGCGAAGGCAACTCTTCCAAAATCATTGTTTTCGACTAGTCCTAAATAGTCCTTTCTTCAGTCACAGTAGCTGCATCCAGTATCGTCTGTATTCTTGATCGGAATCCGAAGTTCACTCTCCCATTCTACAGAACTCTCTGCTTGAGGTTTTCGTTTGTAAAAGAGCTAAAAGAAACAGAGGGGAAATAATAAAAGGCGGGCGACGAAAGAGAGAAAGAGCTCGACCGGCGAAAACAATAATCAAATCTATTTATCTTGTATGGCAGCGCTGCAAATTACTCCTCTGGCTAATGAGCCCGGAAAATAAATGCAGAAAACGAAGGAAAAGAAAATACAGAATAAAGACAGCTTCTGAAGGGACTGTGGGCCACAGTCTGTGGCTCGTATGAAAAGGCAGATCAGTGATCACTTTAAATTAATAATTATTATAATAATAATTTGCTGATTTTATCGGTTATTCGTAGCGGATTTTTTTTTGGTACGATACTCAATTATAGTTATAGTTAATTTAGTCGTTTATGTGATTAAATGTAGCAATTAGATAAAAATCCTATAAAAAACCTCTAATTGTTGAAAAAGAAAGAAATAATTTGTAGCGATAAGACACTTCTATCAAGATTTTTAGAAGGTATCTGAAAATCGTAATGAAAAAATCAGGTGATTAGATGTATATATGCCTTAGAGTAATTATTTTTAATTTTTTTTCAGTATATTAATGAAATTCAAGTAAAAAAGCAGGAAGAACGGACGAATTTTGATAATTTTTTCGCAGAATGAGTCATTTCTCTTTCCGGAATTCTTGAAATCTTCGAGTAAAAATTTCTCGATTCTCTGGATTTTCTGGATTTTCTTGATTTCCAAATTTTCAAATCTTCATCAAATCTTCTGGACGCGTTTGATTGGCTAGCCGGGCGCCTTTTCCTCTCTCTCCTCGGGGGCCTTCGCAATAAAAAATTCTCGTTGCTTTCTTTCTTCCCCTTTAGGTTTCCTTTAATTTAGGTTTTTTCTTTCAATCGCTTTTTAATTTGAACTTGCTGGATGGCCGCCAGCCGCCTTTTCTGGCGGTTAGAGAAGGTTTCTGCTGGAAAACGATTTGCCACTCATTTCACCACGCCGCTAGACGCCTCAAGAAATACCATTACAGTAACTGCCCCTCAACCACCTCCAAAAGTGCTCTACAATGCTAAAGTAAGTAAGACCGAATGTTGATCGAATTTATATCTTTTTATAATTTTCCAACAATAGATGTTCTTCCGGGTCAATTTGCAGAAGAAATTTTTAAATACACTTCTCAAATAAATCTTTTGTATAAAATCAGGCCCCGTGATCCCGAAGGGTCAAGAGATATAGACAGATACTTTCGATACCTTTCAAGTAAGCTTTGAATTCCTCTAGAATGTCTTTTCTATGAGTTTTCTTCTGTTAAAAAAAATTAGTTTGTTTTCAACCTAAGGAGCTTGCACAAGGACAGGGCCAAGGACTCGAAACAGGTTAAAGTCCCATTAACCTATTTTGGTAAAACTTTTACCTTAAAAGAGTACGTCATTCTTTCTGCCTGAACTGAGCTCGGCGACCTGTGTAGAAAACCTGAGTCAAGATTTGAAAAAGTAAAATGGATATTTTGGCGATTTTCAAATCCTGACTCAGGTTTTCTACACAGGTTGACGAGCCTAGTGCATGAGTCCGTCGATCCCTAAGTTCATTTTGTTTCTTGGGAAGTTCGTTTATCGGAACCCCAAGATTCTCCTTATCGCTTTTTTCGCTTGCATATAAAGACGAGGGTTTGCGATTGTTTGACAGTCAGAAAGAGATAGATTTTTAAGGTATCACTTTGTTTTATCATTTTTAGGTCAATTTTGCCTCATAGTGCCGGAAAAGCATGAAAAGCAAATATCGAACTTGGACCAAGTTACGAAAGTTGCACTTTGGATTATGCATTTATCACAATTTCGCCCGACGTCGATTTATTTTCAAGTTCATATTTGCGATTTGCAATTCTCAGGGCTGCAAATTGCAAAGTACAGACGTTTTTCTAACGCCTTTGGACATTGCTCGGCAAATAATCGTAGTTTATAAGCAAGATCTTCTTCTGATCTTCCTGTCTAGCAATAAAGAATTTCTTTATAGCCTTTTTCTACAAACAAAGGGCCTTTGTAGCTTTTTTTTTAACAATGGTTGATTTGCGGAGGAAAAAGAGAAAGGTAGCAGATTCTTGTGTTTTTTCACAGAATAAGCAATAAGGTTTACAAAGAAGGAGCTTCCTTTAATTCAAGCACGAAGCGCACACTTGTTCAATGATTTTGAGTTTTAGTTTTTTTAACGGCGTTACAGTTTCTTGACGTAGCCGCCATACACCCTGTTAAACATGTTATCTAAACCATCTGAGCAGAAAAAAACACTCTCTTTTTATTAACATGATTATTCTGAGTTTTCTTCTGTTTGAAGTTATCACTCTGATCTCTTACTAGAGATCAAAGAACAATCCTGTAATCAAAAAGAATTTTTTTTTCTGCTCAGATGGTTTAGATAATTTTCTGCTTGAAGATACCATGACTATCATTTCTAAATGTGTGTTTAATCTGGACTCCAAACAGAAAATTATTAATAAAAGTTTTTTTGATCCACTATGATGACTACCATTTTATTCATGTGCGTCGCATTATGTAACGTATGCCATACTGTATGAAGAATATTTTGCTTTGATTTCAATGCTATCTGATGCGCAATAAAAGCTGTTGTTATATTGAAATTGAATTTAATCACATCCGTCTTATGATCTTTACATAATCGTGACATTGCATAATCTTCCTCGTCATGGTTCCATTTTTTCAAATATCCTTTTGACTGTTTAATATTACTATTCCGCTGATTTTATATTGTCACTCGGGAGGGATTTAAACATGGGGCGTTTGAGTTGCATTCTACTGCATCCAGCATTGACATTCTAGCTCGGTAAAAAGATTTTTCGGGCCTCAGGGTGCTCCACCCTCCCTTTTTTATTACCCCTTATTGGACAAAAGTCGGTCCTGATTTTCGTTAAAATCAATGTTTTAGGCTATCCGAAGTCAGAGAAACCTCTCCATCCCCAAAATACACCCCAGGTCCGTACTATAAGAAAAAGCTTGGCTTGTCTACCGGACAACTTGTAAAGCTGACTTTTAGAGACATGACAGTTTCTTCTGAAGACCAATTTGTTGGAGCAATCGACCAGGGTACCTCTTCGACAAGATTCCTTATCTTCAACCTCAAGACTCAGCAAATCGTTGCTTCAAAGCAGGTATTGATTGTTTAAGAACAAACACAATTTATATAAGACCTTCTGTTATCTGGGTCAGATATAGAAATCGCTCTGAGGCAATGCTAAAAGGGGCGTTTTTCTTATCCCTTTTGATAATAAATTACGTGTTATTATACAATTGGAATCATAGACGATTGGGGAAAATGTAAAATAGCTTATTGATATGCTTATTTTTCTGAAAATATGGAAACTTCGGAATTTCATATCTCTTGAGACTCCAAGGGAAAAATGATCAGTAGCTACAATTTTATAGATCGAGATCACCCAGAATTTCCCGAAAGAAGGATGGGTGGAAGAATGCCCCGACGAAATCCTTGAGTCCTGCCTCCGATGTATCGATGCTACTGCCTCTATTTTCGCCGAACTTGGTTTGGAGCCAGAGCAATTGAAATGCATCGGAATCACTAACCAGCGCGAAACAACGATTGTTTGGGATCCCAGAACTGGCAAAGCTCTTCACAATGCCATCGTCTGGTGTGACAGTCGTGCTTCGGAGACGGTTGAGAAGCTTATTGCCAGTGCTCCTGGAGGAAAAGATGCGCTCCGGGAAAAGTGCGGCCTTCCAATTGCCCAATATTTTTCTGCGCTAAAGATTCGCTGGCTTATGGACAACTATCCGGATATCGCGGACAAGCTAAAGAATGGAGACGCTTTGGTCGGGACTGTGGATAGCTGGCTTGTCTGGAAGGTAACTAAGATAACACTATTTTTTCCCTTCATTCATCTGTTTAGATGACCGGTCAGCATGTTACCGATGTTACAAATGCCTCGCGAACAATGCTCTTCAATATTAACACGCTTAGGATCGGCTAAAAATGTCGTTGTCTTTTTCTCAAAAGTTACAATATTCTCATGTCATTTGCGTATAAACTGTTATAAATAGCTGTCAACTCGACTTAGTTTGGTCGACTGCTTTCGTCATAGGAGAATTTGGATTCATCGTAAATCATGACATCCGAGTAGTTTTCCTTACATTATCGAGTAAACATGACTAGCCGAAATACAGCTGGGATCAGGAACTTTGTGACTTCTTCGGCATTCCTCTCAACTGTCTCCCCGTGTCTGCTCGTCTGCTGAGAAATACGGCACACTTACCCTCTCGGGTTTTGCCGGCACGCCCATTTCCGGGATCCTCGGGGATCAACAAGCTGCTCTCGTCGGTCAAGGTTGTCTCAAACCCGGAACTGCGAAGAACACGTATGGAACTGGCTGTTTTTTGCTTCAAAATACCGGCGAGAAACCTGTCCAATCTGAGTGTGGTCTTCTTACAACAGTTGCCTATCAACTTGGAAAAGACGCTCCAGGAAAGAGTTCGAATTTCATTTTTCTCGTTGAAATCAAGGAAGAGAATCGACCCTCGTTCAGCTCACTTTGCACTTGAAGGATCCATCGCTGCTGCTGGCTCTGTTATCCGCTGGCTCCGAGACAACTTGGGTCTTATCAAGACGTCATCGGACGCAGAGGCTCTCGCATCCCAAGTTCCAGATTCTGGATCTTTTGTCTTTGTGCCAGCCTTCAACGGTCTCTTCGCCCCGCGCTGGAGACCAGATGCTCGTGGCACGATGACTGGCATAACACAGGTACGAAAAGAGAATACAAGGATGAGGTCACAAGACCATTTTTTCAGTTTACGACCAAACAGCACATCGTCTACGGCGCTCTTGAATCCTGTTGTTTCCAAACCAGGGACCTTTTTGACGCTATTGCTCAAGGTTGTTTTGGTAGATATCGATAATATTTATGTTCTTTTCATAGAATCTGGTTCTATGCCGCTCTCAATGCTCCGAGTCGATGGTGGAATGACGAGCAATAAACTTCTTCTTCAAAGACAAGCTGACTTACTTCAGGTGTGTTATCAACTTAAGTTTATCATTAAGAACGTACCAGTTTTTACGCTTTTTATAGTAGGATTATAAAGATACAATAAAAAAAATAAAGTTGTGCTTTACTTTTTATGACACGTGTCTTTCCCTAGGTGCCCGTTGAACGACCACAGATGAGCGAGACAACGGCCCTTGGGGCTGCCCTCGCAGCTGCTGTTGGATCCGGCTTCCTGAACAAGGACGATATCAGGTAGATAGGTCTTCCACACAGCATTTGTTGATTACCATATCTTAGTAATCTTTCTCCTGTGGAGAGATTCGATCCCGTTCTGGGCGAAAAAGATGCTGCTCGGAGGATGCACCTGTGGCACTGCGCCGTGGAAAAATCGCTCAACTCTGTGTGAAAACTCTAAGTCCGTGATGATCCTGATCCATGATCGATTCCTGGCTGAATGATTCAAATTCATGTTTCTGTATGTTTGTTGACCAGTTTCCCGCTTCCAACATTCTCCCAACTGTGCATTACTTACATGTGGATCGAAGGAAAGTGGCCGTCCTTATTACCGCTTGTCCGCGACCTGTGCAAAATGAAAACAACCTCTCAATTTTATTTTACCTTATTCCACGTCTTTCAATGGCTCACAAAGATGAAACATCTTGCAATACAAAAATTCTTAATAATAAACATATGAAAGTTCTATTACATGAATTGTTGTTTTACGAAGACAAAGAAAATATTCTAGGGCTTCGAGTCTAATGGTTAGGCCCTAACCGTTAGGGTTAAACTTCAACCCCAGTATATTGACCATATTATATTGATGCTTGTATAGACAATTCTGTTTGATTATGATGCTTATTTATTGGTTGAAAGAATCAAAGTCAGATATTCAATGATAAATTGTGGCTGTATTTTAAACATAATAGTCGCAGCTAATAGTGTGTTGTCTAACAATTACTTTGCAGTCAGAAAATTGTCGGAAGTTTCCGTTGAAAATATATTTCATATCCCAAAGAAGATCGCGGCATTCTTGGTAGCGTTCAAAGTTGCGATTTCTTCCGCACCAGTAGAGCGCGTTTTTGTAGCTTGAGAGTTTGTAGCGAAGCTCCATCGGTTCAGCTTCGAGAAGATCGACTGTTCGGGGGTGTCTGGGTGTGAGTTCGGCTGAGTGAAATGCAGCGGCAAATGCGCTGGAGAAGAGAGCGAGAAAGATGGTTGTGTGCATTTTGCGTTTGGATTGTTTAGTGTTGGATATTTAACTGAAATTGATGCTCGACGACAGACGAAGTTAATTTTTATACTATCAGACGATCCACAAGAGCGCCATCATCCGATCGGCGCTCGTCTTCCTGGGTCAGGAGAATTTAAGTTCATGAAAATGCAGTAGCACGAAATGGCGCTAGTGCTCCAGAAACAGCTGGCTGCCGAAGTAGCTACACGCCACGTCATAACGAAGGTCTACCAAGCAGCTTTACGCTGATAATCTAATAAGAGTCTGATAATACTATAGTCTAAAATAAAAGTGTACGATTATAATTTATAAATCAGAAATATACGAATAAATGAACCATCATTTAATAAATAATCTGTTGGATGATTCAAAGCTGTTTGAAAAGGGATGAATAATTCGTTATCATATTGAACTTCTAGTGCTCTTGCCCCGAGGCAGGTGGAGTAGCACCACCGCGCTCATTCATAAAATTCTCACAAGAGAAATTTATATTTTGAAAATATAAGACAGATGATGTAACCAAGAGAAATTTAAATATGAAGCGAGTGAAATATCTCCAATATTTCATTTTTAGCATTTTTGCTAATGCACAAGGTTTGATACAGTGAAATGTAGCCGGCTTTTGATTATGTATTAGAGCTTGGATTTTCGAATCTTCCGAGTCTTGGAATTTCCGTCTCAGGGACCAATTCACGAGGACCGTCACGTGGAGGGTCTTCTGCAGACGATTCTAATAGTTATGTCCTTCCTGTGGAAGACATTAATGGCTTTGCTGTTGCTCCAGCAGTTAACAATGTCACGAGCGATATCAATCCCAGAGATATTCAAAGTAGAACCCAGGCAAAGAGTTACAAAGAAAATATTCTAATTGAAAAACTGACGTAGAGAGGGCGCTAGCTATCTGAAGCGAGTCCGCACGCTGTTACTAAATGATGTTAATACATATCATTATGTAGCTTATGATTTCAAAAATGGCTAAACTCTCTTGAAAGGACCGTAACATGCCAATGCCCCTGGAGTTGGAAAAGCACTCTGCTACTGCTCGATCTTTGGTGCTCCGATTTCGCGAACCCGATAAAACTGGCTCTTACAGTCATTATAAAATCTCAATCGAGAACAATGTCAGTCGCCTCGACAAAAACATCAACCGCATTGTTCGAAAGGACAAATTGACATCGACGGACGCAGGAGGCATCAAATACTACTTCATTGAGGTCAATTCGAAAGACTTTCTGCCAGGGGTAAAATACATGGTGACGGTTCAAACAATGAGGATCGAGGGCAATCGCTATTTCAATTCGGCGTATGAGATGCAGAAGAATCGGATCCAAATGAGAACACTGCCGGATTCTATCACAAATCTTCAGATTTCGCAGACAGAAATGCTTGCCAGATCGATGACTGTTGATTTTCTTGGCAAATCGACACGGCAAGACATGGCAATGTACGACTACTTCCGGATCCGACTCATTGAAATGGACGGAGAGGATCAAATCCAAAAAGATTACCTGACTATTCCACATGAGACGAAGAGCGTCAGCAATTGGTCGCCAATGCCTGTTCCATATTCGCATACGTTTGAAGGACTCAATTTCGGGACCCAGTATCTTGTTCAAATTTCGACAATCTCCGACGGCGGCTATTTTAAGAGTAACGAAGAAGAAGCTTCTCCGGCGAAAATGAAGGAGCTAGATATTACCGAGTCTGAAATCAGATCCGAGTTTTACACGGTTTCTTTTGACGGACCCAAGAACGTCACGAAGCTTGACTTCACTAAGAACTCAATTACGCTCGGCTGGGAAGCGATTGAAATGGATGGAATCACGCAGTACCAAATCACCTATTCTCAAATCAATTCGAACAATACAATGGGCGATGATGTAACGCTCAACATTCCTGCAGAGCATATTGGCGGCGGCGATCAGGAAATTTACACATTAGAAAATCTCCTTCCTGGGTTTCAATACATGATCTCTATCTATTCCATCCGCGAGGGTTTTCCTAACGGGAATAGATCAGAAGCTTCCCTCGAGTATTTTCAAACGATGCCGGACGCGCCAAGGCCCGAGCAAATCAATATTACATTGGCAGAGGACGAAATCACCCTCAACTCGTCGCCTGAGTTTCGAGAAGCGAATGTAACTTGGCCAGAACCTCTCGGTCACGTGTCTTATTACTGCGTGGAATACTTTGATGTGGACAGAGAAGGCGAAGAAGACCAAGTTGTTGATGAAAATGACCCAGCTGCGGACTCTGCGGAAAGAAAACCGAGTTGTCTGAAAGCTGAAGGAAATTCTCGAAACTTTCCACTGAAAAATCTCACTCCAGGTGGTTTGTACAATGTGACCCTGACCGTAGGGTCGCGACTGAACAACGACGCCGATCCAACTCGAAATATTGTCAGCCGTCTCTATCGAGTAAAGCCGAATCCTCCCGAACGAGCTGTTGCTGATTCCACCCGTGGAACAATTCACCTCGCCTGGCTTCGACCACAGGGCATGAGTCAAGTTTCCGGCTGGAGGTACAGGCTTAGATACGTCTTGAGCGACGTGTCACTCGATGATCCAGAGCAACCGGAAGAAATGGTCAAGTTTATTTCTGCAGGAACGTCTTCTGATTCCAAATCTTCAATCCCCCGCCGAGACGATTTCTTATCTCGTCTTCTTTCTGGTCGAAAATATATGATTCACATTGAGACAATTTCCGGCACTGGAAACGAGACAGTCGTTTCTAACCCACTCGGGCCGCTTTACGTCTATACTCAGCCAGAGCAGCCTACTGTCATTGAATGGTTGCAAGTCACCACTGATCATATTAAAATTATTTGGGCGCCACCTGAGAACCCCGAAGGTAAATTCAACAACTATTATCTCAACGTTACAAGACGACGGGCACGGCGTCAGGAAGTCAATTATAAGGACCGGTTCAAGCTAGTTTACAGTGATTAGATTGATGCTTATACCAATATCACGAGAAAGGTAGTCACCTTGGAGAATCAGTTCCTTTTCTTATTCGAATTATTTCTTCGATTTTTTTACTGAACTTTTATTTGAACTGAAAAAAGGCTGAAAGCTACCATTTCAAATTCGACAAGAACGAAACCAACCATGTCATGAAAATAACAACTGGTGCCTTGTACAATCTAACTCTAACAACCATTGTCGGCCTGGAGAAGGGGCAAAAGATGCTTGAATCGATCGTTACCAACGAGAACAAAATTCTGGAGCTGGAAACATGGAGCCCATATGTGATGCACTCGCCATTTAAGCGGCTCGAATGGAAATTTTCTTCCTGTGGCAAGATAGGACGATTCGGCCCTAACCAGGTATTTTTTCCATTTTTATCCGCGTAGATGTTGCGGAAATCGCTTGAATTATAATTTATAAAAAGTGTTTGAATTTCGAATACTTTTTCCTTCAGTCAGTACAAAAAAATTACAGAGTAGTAATTGACGTATTCATAGGATCAATGTGACGCAGCATATTCCGGTAGCAATCTCCAAAACCTTGTCAGGCTAAACGACGGAGTTCAGGAAAGATTAAAAAAAAACGATGATAAAGTTTGTAGTGGTGGCGCTTTTCGGATTTAGAGCGAAAATCATCGGTATTTGACTGAATCAATCAGTTTTTGAAAATTTTTGGGAGACATCATCTTTGAACTTTCGTTTTATTTTTTTCAGGTTCATTGTGAAAATAGACACGCTAACCTAGATAACATATAAATAATTCAGTCTGTTCGCCAGAGATTCTGGGAACACCTACACATGGAACAATTCCATGTCATTTATGATAATACTTGTTATATAACCTTATTTGTGATTCAAATGAGCTCTCAGAGAATCATCATTGTCTATTTTCGTATCTACAATAGTACCTCAGCAATAAATTTTAATCGATCAAACAGGAATGGCTCGCTCCTATTCGCGGCCTATACAGAATCATCGCTGCTGGAGCAGGATACGATGTTACTGGCGGGCTGGGCGCAGTTGTTTCAGCAACGTTTCATTTTGACGAAGGTGAAGTGCTGAGGATTCTCGTTGGGCAGCGCGGGGACCAACGTGGCGGAAACATGGTTGTAGGAATAGATGTTTGAAACAAAATAAAATCTCAAGGGAATATTTTTTATGATGGAAAAACACAAGTTTTTCTATATTCGCCCAAAAAGATGAAATAAGTAACATCCTAAAAAGGCGGAGCTGGAGGATCTTTCGTCTTTGCTAACGATTCCACCCCGCTAGTCGTAGCTGGCGGAGCAGGAAGTAGCTCCCCACGAGTCCCACCCGACGAGGCTAGCAACGCTATTTTGTCACAAGTCGGCCGCGACGCTTCCGAAACTGGCATCAACTTCGGCTTTGGTGGCATCCGCGGACAGTCCGGTCGACGAGGATCAATCGGGACTGGAGGAGGTGCTGGGCTTCTTGAACATGGGGACAAGCCGTTGCCTAAAGGTGCTACTGATATTGTCTCTGAAGCTGTTGCGCTTTTCGGAAACGCAACATTTGATATAAATGGAAAGGTGCTTCCAGCCGGATGTGGCGGAAGATATATGACAGGAGAGGATATATTTTTATGTAATACATTTATGTAACTTGTATGATTTTATAGAATTGATTAAATTCTCATGGCCTATCTATGCACTGAAGTCACATATCTTATGTGTATTTTTTCTCGTTTAGAAGTGTTAAATACATAGTTGAATGACTTTAGGATAGCCTAAATTGTTCAATAAAAACATTCCAAAAGTGTTTATATATCTTACAAAAGGAACGGGCGAATTTTCCGAAGGTGGTTTTGGAGGCGGCGGAGCTGGTTATGTTGGTGCTTCTGGTGGTGGTGGCGGATACTCTGGCGGAGCAGGAGGACCCGAAGGAGGATATTCCGGCGGTGGAGGTTGCTTTCTCAAGTTCTCTGGTGGAGTGCAGCATGCCGCCCTTGACAACTCTGGAGAGGGTTTTATCGTCATTTCTCTGATTGGCCTTAAAAATGATCCACCGATTCCGATCAATCTCTACATGGGTCTTTCCGGGATCTTCGGAGTGGGAGTTGCTGCTTGGTGCACTTGCTTGATGACGTGGATCAGTAAATGCCTCGATTGGATCATTGGAGAAGACAAGGAGCTTGTTCAAATGAAAGCGAATAGAGCAACTCAACTCCGACAAAAGCAGCTCCGTCAGCAGGCCGAGTACGAACAAGCTCTTCAAGATGCCGTGCTCAAACGATTCGTCGACGACAATTTTGAATCAGGCTTCTCCTCCGAAATATCTTATCCAGTAAGAAGCGAAGTTCGCCGCAGATCTCGAAAGAGCGAGGAACTCATCCGTCGTGGCAGGAGCCCGACTGTGCGCGGCAGGAAGATAAAGCAGGGGCCTGCTCAGAATATTCCGTACAGAATGGCGGACGCTGGAAGCCCACCACCCAGCACAAAGCCTCCTAAATCGACGAAAACATCCTTCAGAAGTATGATCTCTTCCGTCGCATCGGCCTTGAGCATGGCAGAACAGCCCAAAGACGAAGAGGAAATTCAACTGGACGACATTGTGGAAATCGAAGATCCGGATTATGCTGTGAATCGTGAAGGATATCGAATTCCAAAAGTGAGAACGATCGACGATCCAGACGATGTTGTCGTCGCTTACAAACGAAATTTTGTCACTCCAGAAGAGTTACAAGATCCCGACCGAGCGAAAAAATTCGAGCAGCAAAAAAAAGACTTCAAAAAAGCCGCAGATAGATTCGGAACTGCCATGTTTCAACAACGCAACAATGCAAAGGCGCCAATAGTTCCAGTGGCCAAGTTGGGCGAAAATACAAGACTGAATCCGGCCGAAATTCGTGATGGATACGCTGCTGCGCTCGTGCAATCACGTGCTCATCATCGTCAAGAGACTCCGAAAGTCACACAGCCAGCAGTCATAGGAACAGGTCACACTTATCGTTTATTATTTTTCAAAACGAAATTAGATTATGCAAAGTCCCCGTAACGTTCTTGCTCAAAATGAATTAATTGGCTGGGTCCGCATTGCCAAGGATCCAATATGGTCCATACTCTCGGTGGGTGAAGGCGCCAAGCCGTGGCAGGGAGATGCAACGTGGCCACCGCCAAGTGCTAACTCCCGCAGAGGCAGCACCTCGGCACAACTCGAGGGTGGTGAGGCCACTCTCAGCATGTGATGGCTGAGCTGATGGTCAAACATAATGAGCGAGTTGAGCAGATTAAGCTCAACCCCCGGATGAGCCGCAAGTTTGGAGATAAGGAGGCCAAAAAATTAAATACTCTTAAAACATCGCATGTGGGGTTTTTTGATGCGAGGAGTCCGAATCTGATGTCAAAAATGATTTCTAATGTCCAGTTTTCAAAGGGCAGTGATTTACGCTAGATTTCCTGCCCTTATAAAGGTATTTTCTCGATCCTGTAATTAACTACATGGGACAGATCCGCTCTCGGACAGCAGGTGAGTTTCGCCGCGGGTGATCGGATAAATGTAAAAGTTTCAGTAAATACTAATTTTGTAGAGCAGATTTCATATCTGTGGTCAAAATTTGAAATGACTTCTCCTTATATCATTAAAATTGACTTGAAAAATCCATAAGTGCAGTCGAATACATCTTCTGTTCCATGTTAATAAATCCTGGAGGGCTTTTCTACTTTGGACAGGAATCTCGCTTACATTACTGCCCTGTTAAAACTAGACATTTTTGACATCAGATTCGGATTCGTCGCATCAAAAAACCCTACTAGAGAAACTTTCAGTCAATTCAATTTTTTCCCTCCATATCTCCAAATTTGCAGCTCATCCGGGGGTCGAGCTTGATCTGATTAATCAGCTCACTTCGCTCATTATGTTTGCACACAGCTCAGCCATCACACGCTTAGAGTAGCCTCGCCAGCGTCGAGTTGGGCCGAGGTGCTGCCCCTGCGGGAGTTAGCACTTGGCGGTGGTCACGTTGCATCTCCCTGCCTCGGCTTGGCGCCTTCACCCACCGAGAGTATGGACCATATTGGATCCTTGGCAATGCGGACTACCCCAATTAATTGTCGAAATCGTCATAGATATCTGTCGCAAACCAGTGCTTATATTTTTTTGTTTCCAAAGAGGAATTTCTCCTAAAAGCACTCATTTTCAGCGTAAACCGTTCCGCCGAGTATGCCTGGGCAGTGCTGCAAATAGCCTGCTTTCGAGGCTTTTTTTTCATCGAAAGTGTTTCCTTTACATTATATAAGCTCGACATAAATGCGACAAAGATACATCTTTACCCTTCGTTCTGTATTCGAACCAATTGATGAGAACAGCTAGTAGATCTATCATTTGAAATGCTTAAAAACACGATGGAACCAATGGCATGTTTTGATTGATTTCATCGGCCTAAATTCTGGTAAAAAATGACCTTCAACAAAGATTTCCCTTGCGAGCGCGCACCAACTCCTCCCGAGACAGATTACGATGATCCGGACTATGATTCGGAAGTGGAAGCCGAGAAAAAGCGAAAGAGGGAAGAAGAGGCAATAAAACTGAAGATGCGGCCGAAATCATCGAACCAGACAAAAGCTGCCTTCGGGACCGGAAAACAGATTCTCAACAAGATGCAGCAGAATGGCTGGACTGTGGCGCCTGGCGGACAGCTCATCAAGCCAAAGCCCAAACCAAAGCCAAGGACGATGGGGGATAAAGCGATTCTCGTGAGAACGCAGGATGGAGTCGTCGCACTTGGAGGAAAAGAACCCATCGATACAGATACAGCAGAGCCAGTGCGAAAATCGCCAAAACTCGAGCCCAAAGTCATCCGTTCTCTTCAAAAAGAAGCTCCAGCGGCTTCTGCCGGTCCTCCTGCACCTCCCAAGGCCCCGGAAATGGATGATTCGCAAGTTCCTGGTTCTAATCCATCTGCTGATGGAGGTATAATCCAGGTAATAAGACCATGCTAGTGGAAACTTGCCCTTTTTAGTCACTGAGCGGATCTTAACGTGCGACATTTTAGTTCTCCATCGAGGGTGAAATTGCGAAAATGAAGAAGGAGAATGAGGCGAAAAAAGCACTGAAAAAGAGTCAACTGGAGGAGCTTGAGGATTTGCCCACACATTTAAATACCAATGCACCGGTATTTGACAGGATTAGAGATCGTGTGGCTCAAGAAAAGGCAGATGCCCGGAAACAGAATGCTTTTGCTTCCGCTACGGAAACAGAAACGGAAGTAGAATTTGAAGATATACCGCAGGTCAGTAAATCTGAAAAGATGAGTTTAACCGAGTTTATAGCAATCTACTCATGATGATGAAGCAACAACGACTGACTTTGACGAAGACGACTTCAAGCCTATCAAGCCCAAGACGGTTTCTGCGTCTTCTAGTCAAAAGAAACCATTGACGAGACAGGAGTCAGAGCTTTCTGAAATGTCTGACTTATCCGACATTCCCACATTGTCTGATCTTGGAGAATCGGAGATCGACGAAGATATGAGAACTGTGAAGGAACTTGTCGGCGCGACAAACGACAGTCCGAGCAAGGGAATAGACATACGACTGTCTACAGATGACGAAAGTCAGTCAGAACTTCATCTGACTGACATTGACCCATCAGAAAAGCTCGATTCAAACTCAGACAATGAGTATGCAGCCTCACTTGTTTCGCGAATGACCGGAGGTACCATCCGACCCGGGCCAGGATACAACACGGGTACAATCAAATCAAATATCTCCGGCTTTACGGTGGCTTTAAATTCCTCCGATCAAGACGAAATCCGACCAGAGGACATTTTCTCGGACGCAACTGCTACCGAAACCGACTCTGATGACTTGCCACTGCCAACGCCTATCAAACCAAAGTCGCAAACTTCTGGATCGAGGCCAGTTTCACCAACGAAATCGATCCTTTCTAGGTCGACTCCTCCTATTCCAGAAAAGCCCCCAAGCATCAGACCATCAATTAATAATGCAGGAGTGGCTTTATAATTACCACGAACAGCTCAAATCTGACTACTCATAAAATAATTTCTAAGTTTATACTGGAATATAATTGTTCACTTATCTGTTTTTAATAACTTTGTTTTCAATCCAATTAGAAAGAGTTAATCCGTCAAATAAAATCAAATTATTCTTCTGAAAAGGATCAAATAAAACATCAAATCGCTATGTACCTAGTAACCTAATAGGTTGGTAGTATCAATTAACTCATACAAAGCCTTCCATAAGTACCTATCAACAATCCTTCTCCAACCGCCCAGAACTTCACTCCCTTCAACGAGGTAAAACTGAAACCAATCGGAGCTGGGCAGAACTCGAACAAACGCCCAGTAGATCTGAAACCTGTTCTCAAAACATCTTCACCGCCGAAACCAGTTGTTGCTCAAAAACAAACTCTTCTAACAACCGATGATGATGATGATCACCTTGTTCTCCCTGATGCCTCCGCAACAGAGGACGAGACTGATCTCGAGCTTCCAAAGATAGACACAAACATCATTACAGATACCGACTCAGATTGGCCGGAACCAACGCCAATAAAGCCAATGCAAGTCGTCACTGACACCGATTCCGACTGGCCTGAGCCACAAGCGATCAAGCCCAAACCAGCGCAGTTGTCAAAAGCTCCACTCAATTCCCAGCCAATTAGACAATCAAATACACTTTCCGCAGTACTAACTCAGAAGAACAATTCGACTTTTGACAAGGCAAATTTCCAACAGCAAGCAAACTAATCGATTAAATAAAAATTCAGCTAAAACCAGTTTCACCTAAAAAGCCACCGATGCCCGAACCAGTAGAAAGTTGCCTCTCCGACGGATCCAGCGGATCAGATGCCGACGTTCTTTCTGACGGAATCACTACTGAGCACGACTCAGACTTTGTCGTCTGAAATTTCCACCTTTGACCTAACTAACATTAATCTGTACACATGACACTGAAAACATCCCGTCCAAACTTTTTTCCAAAAAAAATACTCTTGCACCCTTGAAAAAAATTGTAAATTTACTAATAAATATTCCACTTGTCCTCTGATGTTTTCTTCGTTGATTGCAAAAGAAAGGAAGAAAGGCCTGAAAATGAAGATTGACGTCACAAAAAAGCTCTCGACTAATTAAAAAAGGCGGCTGGCGGCGAGTTGATTGTGTTTTTATGCCCTGTGGCGTGAGCCTACCATAGCTTGCCCGGCTTTCATTGGTTCATTGATTATATGAAATATCGGCCATGACGTTAAATTGTCTCTTTGACGCGTAACTGCGGCTCTCTGGATCATTAATCTGCCTCGATCAGAGCGTATTTTCGCCAGACAAATTCTGCTCTTGCCAAAGTAAGCTTTTTATCTAGGATAAGATTTAGTCCGCTGGGAAATTTGGAAGAAACACACAACCTAGACATATTGAAGGAGAGAGACAGATATAAAGAGAGATAAGAAACGAACAAAAAGACTCAGTCTGAAGAGAGAAGAAAAAATAGAAAATATCGACAGAATTCGTGAAACCAAACAAGTCCGACAACGAGAGAGATGCTAAAAGGCCTGGGAAACTTGTCTTACTTTTTATTTGCATAAAGTAATCATTAATTGATATGATCGTGAAAAAGGCCTTTTTATCTTTTTTCTGTTTGTCGGCTTCTTCTTGTTTTACCGGTCTTGAGATAATGCTCTGTCTTTGATCATGATACAGATTGTTAACTGCGATGATAAACATAATTGAATTTTTTATTCAAAAAATTGCTTTAATTAGATCGGTAACTGATGTTGAAAGCAGCTTCCACTCAATTCTGTCTAAATTCAGTCAACTCCAGTCGACTCATCCTGTTGAAGCCGCTTTTTTCCGTCCAGGGGCTTGGCCCTGCTAATAACCTTTTCTCATTAATTTGCAAATCGTTTTCACCATAATCGATAATTTGAGTGGTAATCTGCTGAGCCTCCTCTACTCGTTTTGTGCATTGTTTCTTTTGTGAGAGAACACTTCTTTCGTCAGAATTTTAATAACGACCGCTTTCTTCATTTTTACGGGCTAAAGGAATCGGGGTACTTTGCTTTAGATATTATCATAATATGAAGAAATTGGTCGTTAAAAATTACATAAAGGATAATTATTTGCCGCAAAAGTAAATCTGAAAGAAATTTACCGCTACTAAAATACTTAAGTACGTAGATGAAGATCTTTAATATTGCTGAATTACAAAGAAAAGCTGTTCTTATCTAAGTTTTATTACTATTTAGAACTTTTATTAGGATGATAAGCACCTGATAAGTATGATAATATCGATGATTACTTCTGATTTGCTTTTTCTTTTACGTAAGGTTGGATAAGATAAAGGATTCCCAAGAACCGTTAGACACCTAAAATGCCGGCAAAACTTTGGTATCATCGTTGAAGACACCCTTAATTTGTCAATTAATCTCTTCGCTACTCTTTTTTGCGTAAGTTTATGTACGTCATAAAGCAAATGCGCATTTGGGCACGCTTACTAAGCGTCGCTTAGAGTGGGCTTGGGCGTCGTTTAGCTATTTGAGGTGGTCTTCTTTCGCCGCGTCGTTTGACGGGGCGTAAAGACTACGGTCAATAAAGACAAGAAGATTTGTATTTGGCACTGAGAGGCCACTGTCATCGGGATCCCACCCGTGGTTTTTTTTTACTTACTGAGCGAGAATTTTTTTGAGAAAAAAAAAGAAGAAAAGAAGGAGAAAAGTTTTGAAGACAAAAGAAAACTCATAAAACAGCTAGAACGGAGCAAAGAATAGAGAATTAGTTTTGAAAAGACAAGAGAGTAACCCATCTGACAGTAGAAATGGACGTCGACGAAAACGGCAACCAGTCTGGCGATGACGCGATGGACATTGACGATTTGCGTGAGTTACAGTCTTAAGAATTTATAAATTGAAATTATCAAAATTGAAATTTCATATTACTAAATTGTATTTTCTCCATTAATACACCTTATTTTTGACGTAAATGCAGAAAATACATGTAGCTAATCTTGAATAAAGAATCTCGGATACAAATATGAAAATTGAGATCTCACATCTTGACCCCAGCTGACAAGGAGCTAATTAAAAGATATTTTCGGCGATAAACGTAAATTTTATACTATTTTATATAGGCACCTTGTCTGACGCTTGTCAGATAGGCATCAAGAATCAATTGAACTGTGAATAGAAAAATGAACTTTCCTTTCAAGAAGAGGAGTTTTCCGTCTTACGCTTCTTCTCGATTCTGATAGAAAAAGTTAACAAGCCGATAACATTTTCATAAATTTGGAAAAAGTTCCGAAGTGGCCGGAATCCGAAATTCTGAGCAAGTTCAAGATCGAGGCGCCACTAGAGGGTCGAAAAAGGCGCTCATCAAAGGAGGAGCCGGCGGCGCGTGTGCCCAAGGGCGTGTGAGACACCTTCAGGCGGATTCGAATGATTTTAGCCTTAGGCGTCGTCTTTCTTTTTGCTAAAACCGCCTTTTATGGGAGAGTAAATGACGTCCCTCGCAACTGCCAAGGGCCTGCTCGAACTACATTTTCATAAGGCACACAGAGACGACCAGAAAAAATAAATTCACCATTTTAAAATCAAGAGTGTCTCTAGAACGCCGATTATTTATTGTTGAAGACAAGGAGGAAAAATAAGAGAGATTCAGTTGAGAAGCGGCAAAATAGGAAAAGGGCGCATTTTTGATTGATTACTTTTTTTGTAAGAAAATTTTTTATATAAGCCATAAAAATGATAATCGTTGTTAATTATTGACCAAGAAAAAAATTGGGGTTTATTGAAAATCCAGCAAAAATTTATTGAATTTTTCGAAAGTTTTTTTTTGAAAAAAGTGTTCTGAAAATTGATTTTTTTAGCTGGATTCTATTTACTTTCCACGGTCATAATCTCGAGTAATTGATTATTTTAACTCTTAGAGCTTAGAGCGGAGGCGATTTAGTTTTTACACTGAAGCAAGCCTTTTTTGAAAGAGATGAATTTTAAAAAGCTCCTGCCTTGTTGGAACAAGGACAAGGCTGCTCAGGCGGAGCAGGAGCCGGCCACTGAGCCGGAGATCAAGCAGAGCGAGGAAAACGCCCCAACTCTTAAAAACTCGAAAATCTCGAACTCACAGTCAAACGCCAGCTCGGTCGATGACGAGCCAGATGAAGGTAGATATTTATTGGCTTGACCTTACTCCCCTCGCACACTCGCCGCATTATTTATCTTCGACTCTAATGGGTTCAAAACTGATCACTTTTCAAACCAGTTTATCTTCGTTTTCTTTAAATTATCAATCTTTCGGGTAAAAGTGGAGGTTTACAATTGTCAATCAAGAGCCGGCTTTTCAGGCGGATTATGCTCATTTTTGAGTTGTCAAATATTATTTAATCCGTTGAAAACACATTAAAAATTGCGTTTTCTTTGAGTAAAAACACACTTTAACAAGCTTTTAATCATTAAAAATTGCTATAATTTTACAAAATAGACGTCTATAGTCCCAAAATAGACGTCTTACAAAACAGCCATAAACTAAAATGCATTTTTGCGATATATTTTAGTAATTTACAATTGTTTAAATTTAATTTTCATCAAACGTAGTACGTAAATCAAGGCCCGTTTCTTACTTTTTATGTGAATATTAGTTTGATTTATTGAATTAAATTACTCTTATCGAGTGAAAAGTCCAATTAACTATTGCGTTTTACAAGAGAAAATTAGGCGCATCAGTTCCAATTTTCGGATCATAAATCAAATTAATTGTATTTTTCAGAGGAGCTTGAAATGCTGAGAAAATACCAAGCGAGAACTGGTGGTGGGCGAAAGTCCGTCGCTGCCGAACGATACAATCCCGACGAAGACGACGATGAGCCACTCAAGGTCGTGCCAAAGACAGACTCTCAGCGCGAGCGATTAAAAGAAGTTTCCAACAAAATTATGCTCTTGAATAGACTAGATGAGGTATTCCCACCATTCAAAGTACGAAAACAAGCGCCATTTAGGAACAACTGACGAACGTTATCAACGCAATGGAAGAACGTAAAATCAACGTCGACGACATCGTCATCCAACAGGGCGCCGACGGCGACAACTTTTACGTGATCGACAGGTGGTTTTACCCATTTTTGCATTTATCCAACCATTTTTCAGTGGAAAATACGATGTTTATATTAATAAAGAAAACGGGCCGGAGCAAGTGTTTACGTATAACGACTCTGGTTTCTTCGGCGAGCTTGCTCTGATGTACAACACCCCGCGAGCTGCAACTGTCAAGTGTAGCAAAGCTGGAGTCATTTGGAGTCTTGTAAGTTGTCCTAAGCTGATTAAGGTTTTCTTGCTGTTCCGTCATCCTGGGCTCGGAAGCCTGTGTAGAAAATCTGAGTCAGGGTCTGAAAGCACGGAAATGAAAAGCCGCGTAGCGGCTTTTTTAAAAACGAAGTCGCGAAGCGGCTTCGCCAACATTACCATTACGATCTTTTAAAAATTCTGGCGAAGCCGCTTTGCGGCTTCGTTTTAAAAAAAGCCGCTACGCGGCTTTTCATTTCAGTGCTTTCAGACCCTGACTCAGGTTTTCTACACAGGTTGCCGAGCCCAGCCGTCATCGGACCGGAACTTTTCTTTTGAATAAATTAACAGATGTTTGAGAAAAAAAGAGCGGCTAAATAATTAAAAAAGCGTCGTGAGAAAACGGCGATTCCGCTTCGGATTAATCTTCATTGAATTGAAATTAATGCTGCTATTTAGGATCGAAAAACATTCCGTCAGATCATCGTCAAAGCAAATGCCAAGAAGCGATCACAGTACGAGGCCTTCCTTCAAACAGTCGAAATTCTGCAAAACCTTGATGTAAGACCACTTTAGTTTTTGGCTAATTTTGACTTTGATTTTGTAGGAAAATGAGATCTCGAAAGTGGCCGACGTCATGGAAGAAAAGAAATACAAATCTGGAGAAGCAATTATCAGACAGGCGAGTACAGTTATAGATTCATTTATAGTATAAATTTTATACAGTGACTGTATACGGTATATAATTTCGCCCGTGCATTTTGATCGTTTCGTCCCGTAGCCACTCGCAGCAAATCACCCCTAGCTCGTTGGCTGCCTGGCTAAATATTGATTCGCCGCGTAATCAATTCAAACTTATACAGTCAGCTTTACCAATTATTCCAATTTAACGTCGCGCATCTTCAGGGAGACGAAATCGATGCTGGCTCCTTTGTCTACTTCCTCATCTCTGGAACTTGTAAAATCCATCTCAACATCGATGTAAGTCTACCATTTCAATTAAGCTTTATCAATTTTAAAAGCTGTAAATTGATAAGAGAAAATTAACATTTCTTCCAGGAGAAGCAAGGAAAACAGGTTTGTTGGTTTTCATCTTGTGTGGTTTCAATCAATTGCGAATCAGAAAATCTAACCAAAAATTAACTCACTATTTTGGACAAATCAAAATTTAGATTTTTTCATTTCTAACTAAAAATTTCTACTAGCACGAGTGGTCGCTTTCTTTTCTGAAAAATGAATCCAGAGCACTAAAATTTGAAAATTCCTTTGGATTCATTTTTCGAACTTGAACTTTCTACCAGTAGTTGCAAAGAATAGACTTTCACGTAAACACTTCAGGGAGAGGAAAAGGTGCTTGACAAAGTTCTCCAATCCGGCCAATGCTTTGGCGAAGTGGCACTCATCACAAAGGCTCCTCGAAACGCGACGATCATTGCCTCCGAAGATGTCAAATGCGGAGGTAAGCGGGTCTGAAATCGCTAGAAAATGGGGCCTATTAGGGGGCATCTCCTCATCTTGAGAAAAAAACACCTTATTTTTTCATCTCAAGGAGGTGTTCCTTTTTAGGAATGTCAGGTGATTGAAATATGTCACAAAATTTATTCAACAAAAAATAATTAATTTTCTTTTCCAGAATATATTAACACTCCGTAATTTTTATGGGCAATAAATTAACTTTTCATTAATATTTGTGAATGTTTTATAGCCAAAAATGGTCTTTTTTAAATCATTGCTATTCATTCATTTCTAGTTTTGGATGTATCTGCTTTTGAACGACTGCTTGGCCCTTGCAAAGAAATCATGAACCGAAACATCGACAAGTACGAAGAAGAGCTTGCGGCGCTGAAGGAACTCAAGATCAGCGACTAAGCGTACTGACCGTTGACTGTATCTCTCTTCATTCTGAGTACCGATGACCTCCTTCTTCAACTCTTCCTTGAACAACTCCAAAAACACTTGTTCGTTTGCCCGATAATTTTTGACAAGAATGTACAAGTCCACCTTCAAACAATATTATACGCTTCCTGATACCAACTAAGCTTTTGCGAAAAAGAACAGACAAAAAACAACAATCAGTCGAACGGCTGATTTTCGTGTGTAAATATTCTTTTCAAGAGTTATATTTAATTTCCTATCAATAAATCTACAGAATAAAAGTATTCATTGAATAGTCGTCAGATTGTCAGGGCAGGTGTTTGCGGTGGATATCTAATTGGCTGTAATATGGTCTTATGATGTCATATTGTTAAATAAAATCGACATAATAATGATAGCTCAATTTTTTAGTGTTTAGGGTTCGAGAAAAAGCCTGAAAGTAAAGCTGCTTACATGAAAAAGTGTAAGGCCAAATGTGCCGCCAAATTTTAAATAATTATGATCATCAGATAGGATTTCAAAAGATTGTTAGATAGACAATCTATCAATGACACCTTGTATGATACCATCAGTACTATCAGTAGTACTCATTCAGTTCAAAAGATTATTTTTGACTAATTAAGCTTATAGCTTTCTCTGTAACCTTTCTGTAAAGATTTTTCTCGAACCCTTATATTACAAAAAATAAACGCTAGAAAAAAAACCACATATCATACCGTATACCGTATACATAATATTCTGTATATTAAAGACGGTATATTATTTACAGTTTATAAAATGTAGGTAATTGATGAATCATCGACCATTTCCTGATCGAGAACATCCGCAACCACAATTTCCACAGCAGTCTCCCATGCACCCACCAGTTGGAATCCAGTTGGTTGATCCACAGGAAGAGCACTCGGAAACCCAGCTATCGTCAGACATTCTGAAAGGTCCAGTTCATTTTTCTCAAAGTCAAAACTCAAGCAAGCAAATAAAACTGAACAAAATCTTTCTCTTGTATGGTCTCTTAACTTCATAATTAAAAATCTGAGTGAAAATATTTTGCAAACGGACTTTTGCGGCGGAAAAGAGCATGTTTTTCGACCAGAGTTCACCCAAGTTCTAACCGTCAAAATTGAAATTTCAGAAAAATAGAATGTTTATTAGAAAAAGAAAAACTGAAATGCACAGAAAAACGAAAATGCACAGCATACAAGCTCTTGTGTTCCCTCAATCGTACTGCAAGACACAGTTTATGGTTCGAAAGCATCATTTTCTTCGCCTTCGAGTTTCGGGGACACAGTGCCACTACGGCGGCTTCTGACGCTTGCTCGACTTCGTACACTAGCCGCAGCTGAGCTTACTCGGCTTCGGATGCTTTCTGCTCTTTACAAGGGATGCAAAGAACTCTAGATAAAATCTTTCAATGAGCAAACTCAAGAATCATTTACATTTTGATCCCTTTTCCTGCTAGAGCGCATAGAAGCTGCTCTCGTCAATTGTGGAGACGCAGGTGGTGGAGGAGCAGGAGCTCGTTTCTTCTTCTTTTCAACTGATTTTGGCTTTCTAGGGTAGCAATTAGACCAAGAACTAAACTCAAGAAGTACTTACCGAACGGCTGCTTCTTCATAATTGTTCTGCTTCCTCATCACAGCAACCTTGACATCGGGCAAAAGCTTCGCGTTGGAAATATCACCAAACACCTCAATAATGGCGCCACTTGGCAATCTCAGAAACTGCCGGTAGATTTCGCGCAGCCCGTCGAGATGCACGGTAAAGATTGCCACGTGTACGGTGACCTCGCGTTTGAAATCTTCAAATCTCTCGTCGAACGACTTTCTGCTCGTTCCGTCCTCGCTTTCGTCGTCTTCTTCTTCCCAAATAAAGTCGTTGACGACTGTTTTGCGAGTTTCACCTTCGTTACCGCGCCAATTTTCGCTCTTTCGGCAAATGTGAGCGAGTTCTTTAGCTGAAATTTCCAAGTCGAAAGGAATGACATAATCTTCATCTTCTCCATGCAGCCGGTGATAGGTATCCAAGAGTCTCCCATTATTATGAAGTTTAAGGAAGTAAACATAGAGGACCGTAGAAGCAAGAAGCATCAAAACAAGATAGACAAAGATCGTAATCGGAATTCCTACCACGCCATTTCCAGAGACGCCCTTAAAGTGCCAGTAGATTTTGAACGCATCTCCAATCGGAATATCATCGTTTGAATAAGCATCGTCGGTGCCGAAACGGCCAAGAATGCAGTCAACGATGAGAATGGCGGCCGGGTCCAAAATGCACCAGATGCCGTAGATCAAGATCGTTTTTGAGAGGATTCCAGGAAATGCGCCAGATAGGCGAATGAAGAGAAAGGCGAAGAATGCGAGGAGGGAGAAGACGAGTATATTGAACAAGGGGCCCATAAGAACTACGCCGACTGTCATGCCTGTTGATAGACGATCTTCTTGGTACGATAATTCGACTGAAAAAGAGTTTTTCTTCAGAAGAGAATCAATTGACCTTACCTGTCCAGGGAAGAAACTCAAACTTCGCAGGTGGAAATCCCGCAGCATTGACCATCATCCACTGGCCAATATAATGAATGTAAACCCGTGGGAAGAAAATCAACACAACGAGCAGCATAAAAGTCCAGAATTCGATCGTGCGCACCTTGCATGGAAATATTAATATGGAAACAGAGCGTTGTTTCTGTCCAGGAAGAATATGTTTTCTCATTTTTCCCAAATTAGTAAAAACATGTTCGCACACGTGTTTACCTGAGAGATGCCGAGCTCGGACCGGAACATTCTTGAACAGTACGTTAGGCGTTCGCGACCGACCCCTACAAGAAGAGAGTAATAATTCCAGTGCTTCGTCAAAAATAATTACTATTAAAAGTTCACGAGAATTTTCTCTGATGACGTACCGATAACCTCACGAGTTGATTTCATATACTCGTTCATGACAGAAAATCGATGCTGCTCAAGTGTTTCCAGGTGATTGTATTTTTTCGGCTAGGAACACAGTAATTTTCTTGATAGTGGACTCAAAAACCTGGGAGCGCTCCAAAATCTTATTGATAGCTTCATTCTTTGGCAAAAGTGCAGTGACTTGATCCGAATATTTCAAAGCAGGAGATGTGTAGTGATGCTTGTAGTAAAGACCATCAGCACCTTCTACCGCTTCCCAGTCTTCCTCGTCATCTGTATCGTAGTCCGACCCTTCAGCTTTTTGCATCTTAGAAATTGCCATGCGACTTCCGATCGTCATTGTCTTTATTGTCTTTGAATTCTCGACCTCCTTGTCTTCAAACGATGCCTTTGATAGATATGTTGCCGCACGGGATAATCCAAGCTGACTTTTCTCCTTCTTCAGAAGTTCCTAAGAGCGTTCTAATATGACTCGATTATCAGAGATTTTGAAAACCTGTGGTTTCGATTGCGCCAAACTGCTATAGTTATCCTTTTCATCCAACACCTTCAAAACTGGTTCTCCGTCAACGGACACCGGCTCGTTTGTTTTAAGTCGATCTTAAGAGTGGTTCAAGCATTTATGTTGAAATAACGAAACATAGTCTTTGCTGATCCTTCCCTGGCGAGTTCAAAAGCCCAGACGTAAATTGCAGTTCTACTTCATATTCTTTCTGGCCAGCCAAAAACCTTGGAAGACGAACAATCTCAAAGTAGATATTTGCCAGCCAATGGTCTAAATCAGCGGAGATAAGCTGTTCTATGCGCTCATGCCGATCAACCTGCGAATCCATGTGGCCACGGAGCAAGGGAGCCTTGAATTTGCCAGAAATGATGTCAAAATTTGCGTCGCAGATTGGAAACGCGCCCCAAGCCACTGCCACATCTGTTGGCGACTGTGAACCTCGTAGGAGAAAAAGCTCGAAGGTCAGGATCATCCCAGGCTTGAGATCGACTTTTGCTGGAGCCACAGTGTAGACGGACTGATCAACTTTCATTTCTTGGGCAAAAAACTTTCCAGTATGCGCGACAGGAAGTGTCGAGTTGCCCCAACGCTTCGACTCTATGGAAAGGCATGATTATTATCCGGCTTACAAATCATCATGACGCCTGATGAAGTCGAAGAGAGGGGTTATCATTCGGGCCTATGATTCGAGCCATCCAATATCTCTAGAATCTGAGCTAATGGTTAGGGTTAGGGACCGGGAACTCTTAAAGGGAGTCTGGGGGGCGAAGCCCCCTGGTTAAGGTCTTAGGTGGGGGGTCCCGGGGGCGTAGCCCCCTGGGTTAGGTTTAGGCTTAGGGGCAGGCCGAATGATAACCCCCTACTACCGATGAAGTTCATATCCTTTTTCCTAGTTTACTCCACTGCATGGGATGGCCACCAAGCCGGTCGTAGAGTGAGACCATTATTCCATATTTTCCGATTGGGATCTTTTTTCAGGCTCAACAGGAAAACGAACATGTGCGGGTTTTTTCCGACATGAGAAAAAGTCAAATGACTGTGCACTAGGATGGAAAGACACTTCCTCAACAGATTGAGCCTCTCCTTGTCTTTCAGCCCTCTGACGCAATCGATCTTGATCTGAATAGGCTGGGGCGTTCTTGTCCATTCTACTCGCCATCGCCGATCACGTGCACCGCCATATTGCTCGGAAGCGATACGTAGATCTCCATATAAGGTCTTCACTTCCGCTTGTCGTTCCTCTATGGCTTTGTTAAGCTGGGACTCAGCCTGGCTGAACGCCTTCCCCATTTTTTCCTGCTCGAGCCTTGCTTTCAGAAGCAGCAGCTTCTTCTTTTCTGAAATCAACGCAATCTTCTTCTTTGTCTCGTCGTTAAGCTCTTTCCTCGCTTCTGCAGCACGCTCCTCCAGGATCTGCTCTCTTCTTCTTTGGATTTCCGCCTCATGACGCGCCCTTTCAAGTTCCGAGTCCATCCTGCGCTTTTCCTCCTGCAAGAGATCTTCTGCATTCACAGAGCTCACGTGAAGCATATCCTCTTCAATCTCAATGTGAAAGTCTTTGAGAACTTCTTCGACATTGACGCCAGTAGATTCAAGCGCGACGCGGACTTCTTCGAGTTGCCCTGCGACTCGTTCAGCTTCTTCGTTGGTGTATTGAACCGACTCATCATCGAGTGCCTACAATTTCATAAAACTCCAATAAATTGCGTTCGAAAAAGTGACAATATCCGCAGTAAAACGTGCCAAAAAACTACCATGAAACGTGCCAAAAAACAAGGTTATAAAAAAAAAAACAAATAAAAATAAGTCAGAAAATTTGAATATATTCATGAGATTTCTAAAACAATTTACACCATAAAACGAAGATTGTAAAAGTCACCTTTTCTAAGTCTTTAAAATCGGCTTCAAAGTTCCATTCTTTCTCCTCAAAAGAGTGTCTCTGGTTCAGTTCTTTTTCCAAATCTTCGATATTAAATTGCTCCTTCGGCACTTCATTCTCATGCTGTTCGTTAATAATCTCTGGCTGAGGAAGGTCTGGCGGTTGAATCGGAACCGCTTCCTCCATTTTCTCGTTACTTTTTGAGAAAAGAAGCGATTTGTAAAATTATCGTCCTTAGAAGATCGAAATGTAAATAGAAATGAATTGCGCTGCGTGCTGCGTAGTCATAGCGAAAAACGATTGTTTGAACGTCGATCGACAATGGACTTCTAATTGTCTTTCCTTCTTTCGCTTTTTCAGACAGAACTTTATTTCGCGTTATCCGAACAAGCAATTTTCCTTCGAAAAAACTATGATGCCTAACATTAGTAACCAGGGAGAGGTCAGACTGATAAGAATCAAGTTCGATCTGCTCCCCCGCTGAGAATTTTTCGCACCGTGCGCCCTCTTTTAGAACCTGTTTGAGATATAAAACTGGGAATGCAAAATGATATCCATCCAAACAGATGAACATTATTTTTTTTTCTAAAATGAAGCGAAAAAGTTAAAAAGAGATGAAGAAGAAAGAAAAAAATGATGAAAGAAAAAAAGACAATAATTTCAACTGTAAAATGAATCATTATTTCTTTTAACATTGTCGCCATCATTGCCTTCAGAATTAATATCAAATAAATTTCAAAAGTGAATAAAGAAGGATATAATTATTATTTTTCCCACAAAAGCAAATTCGGTCGAGGACAATTCATGCGTAAACTGAATGAAAAAGGATGATAATGGAGGAGGTGCAGCGCTCCTGGCCTCCGGGCGATGCTGGTGTAACTGAAACCAAATTCTCAGCGCTTCAACTTTTGCGCGGCTTTTATTTACCGACAAAATCATCGGACATTTGTCTTTTTCAACCGACCGCTTTGGTCCCTCGAGTGCACTGCTCCATCGATCGATTTTCAATTTCGAGAGATTCTTGCTTCGCGAAGAATAAATTTATTATGATAAGATGTATTCGCAGAGAAATATTACTGGCGACGAAAACAGAAAGAATGATTATGCTCGGGGTGCTGATGAATATATTTATTTTGGCTCTTGTTTACGCTGGAAATGATAATTTAAGAAGTCATTTGCCGCGTTCAATTCAAAATATAATAGGTACTACCAGCTCTTTTTGGGAAAAAATCTTAAAAATGATCAATTTTAGGCTCTCAAAGCAACAATAAGCAACAAAAATACCAGCTCAACCTGGACTGGATGAACGAAACCCCAAATCTGAAGCGTTTCTTGAGCAAAGTATCGACCGAAGAACTCTCAAAGCCAGACAGAGCGGAAGTCATACGAGTCTCGCTCTTCGAAGCACTGATAAACCTAGCAAAGGCGGAACATGAAAAGGGAAATGAGTTCCCTAATTTGCTCAAAATGAGTTCTGTCAGAAGAGCAATTTCGATCCTGAAGAAATTAAATGCAGATTTGAACTTGCTGCAGATGAAGATGGAGGCGGCGTATGGCCTCTGTAAAGGTAATTAAAATTCTTCCATTATATGTTCGTTCTAAATGACTTTTCAAGGCTGTCTTCAAGAAAAATACGGCAAGAAGAAGAAGCGATTACCCCAGGTTATCTGTATAGGAGCAAAGAAATGCGGAACAGGTAAGATTCTTTTTAAGAATCTTTTAATTAAATTACCATTTTAGGGGCATTCCAAAACTTCCTTGCGCACCATCCGCATCTGTTCAAGCCACCAGGATACGACGAGGTCCACTTCTTCGACAAGGAAGAGGATTATGCGAAAGGAATCGAATACTACCACTCGTTGATGCCAGAAACGTCCGCTGGAGAAATTACTTATGAAAAGACGCCGAAATACATGGTTATTCCAGAAGTGCCTGGGAGAATCTACGCGATGAACAGTACTGTTAAACTGATCGCAATCGTCTGTAATCCAGTCAACAGAGCCTTTTCCGACTTCACTCATGTAGTAAAATCCGGCTATTTTAAATCGGTAAGCGTTCGTTTTCCGGCCATCTCGGTGGAAACCGCGCGAATCTATACCTATTCTACTATTTCCATTCAGGAAACGTCAAAATACATGAATCTGGAGGAAACAGATGAAGAGAGCCGGCTGAAAGGATTTGAAGGATTTTCCGAAGCTTACATCACAAAATCGAATGAAATCAAGGAGGAGAAGGGTGATGCACAGTGGCGGAAATGGATCCAGAATGTTCATAAAGAACAAGGAAAGGCTGAGACTCTTGTATGTCTCGGGAGCTACAGGATCTCAAACCCTAGCTGAGCGGCTGTTTCCATCGTCGTCTTTCCACAGCTTGTCGCAACATCTCGTGGAAAATATATATACACACATGTTCTCACCAGGGCTCTAAATCTGAGGCGAAAATCAAGAGTTTCTCAGCCTTAAAAAAGTTGAAGCATCGATCTTGACGAACGGGCTGTACTCAGTTCACCTCCAAAACTGGCTGGACGCTGGATTCAAGCGAGAGCAAATGCTCATTTTGAATGGGGAGGAGCTGATCTCGAATCCGGCCAAGGTATCAATTAGTGGCATAATGTGAAGCGCAGCGTTTTATCTTCAGATCATCCTCCGGGCTCAAGAGTTCATGGGACTAGAACCTATCATCAAGGAGAGCCACTTCGTATTTGACAAAGATAAAGGTACTGACATTGTGTAATAGAGTATTTTTGATGAAAACGATTAAAAGGAGGCACATTCGAGATAATTTCTTTGATAAAAAGCCAATTAAAATGACTGAACAATTCAAGTTTTTGAGCCTTGGCTCAGTACTTATTTGAATAATCATCACAAGATTAAAATCGATAAAACTCATCAAATTTATTCTAATCTTGCTTTTATAATCATCTTCGATCTTCTATCTTTTGCGCAACTTCAAGAGTACGGTTACTTCTATGATCATAATCTGAATGAACCTATCAATCAAACATAACCAAATCACTCAAAACCGAATGCGCCTAGAAACAGAGTTGCAAATTTGCTGGGTTGAGTGAGCTGAGCAGTCGCTCAGCTTAGCTCAGCTCACTGATTTTCGAAAATGAATTTATCAGCTCAGCTCAGCTCAGCTCAGTTATTCTCGAATATGATCTGTTCTGCTCGGCTCAGCTCAGCTCAGACAAGTATCATTCAGCTCAGCTCAGCTCAATGATTTTAACACAATTTCACTACTAAAAACAGTAAATTATAGCTCAACTCAGCTCACTCAGCTCAGCTCAGCTCTAATTAGGGTCTGCTCAGCTCAGCTCAGCTCAATGACCTCTGAAAAGGGCCAACTCAGCTCAGCTCAGCTCAGTGAGCTCCGAAATAGGCCAGCTCAGCTCAGCTCAGAGAATTTCTCACTCAGCTCAGCTCAGCGAAAATAAAGCCAAATTTGCAACTCTGCCTAGGAAAAGAATCTTTAAAGCTATTATAATTACTTTCAGGCTTCTACTGCTTCAAAAATCTCAAAACTGGCGAGCCTTCATGTCTGGGTGATGGAAAGGGTCGAACGCGCGCAGGTGGCGGGCCGAACTTTTCCCCGAAACTGAAAGAGGACCTCGTTTCGTACTTCAAACCGTACAACTCGGAACTCTACAAAATCATCGGCGAAGACTTCCACTGGAACGAAGCTTAGACTCTGTAAATATTTATGAAAGAAGAAGAAGAATTAGGAACCAATTAAACACAACATAGAATTCGTGCCTTACAAAACCTACTGTATCGAACTGTATCTGCGAAATTACTTCACCAAAGCCTTATTGCAGCTTCTCCTGCTTCCAATTCGTCTAATACTTCAAGTATGGCGATTTTGATTAACTGGAAATAAAATTATATATCTGAATCAAAATATGCTAAATAGCAGAAAACCGGTACTTATCCGACACGCTCCATTCATCGAAAATAGCATTTTCTCCCGAAGATTTCAAAGAAAAGACCATCGATTTAATCTTTTTATCCACGGTATTAATCGTGTAATTCTCATGTAATTAAAACATAATCACATTTTAGAAGGTCTCGTTGCAGAGTAATTTGTAATGAATCTTTTCTCGAAGAAGTTTCTTACGCCGGTTCATATAATGAGGATAAAACAGCAGCATTCTAAACTGCTTCTAAGTCTCACTGAATTCATATGCTAAGGTATATATAGGTAAATGTGGGTAATTGAAGGATAATGAAGGATGTTTAAAATTTCTCATAGTATCTATCGTCACATACTCTTCTGTATATTATTCAGTATACATACTTTCTTATATCGTCTACATACGGTAGGTTTGGAGAGTCTTAAGGAGGGGGTCGACGAGAATCGGGATTTCAGTGACCGAAAATGCGGGAAAACCTGATAAGATAGGCAAAATCTGATTTTACTGGTGGATAGAAAAGGGTTGTAAAAATCAGGCGGCGAAAAATAGAAAAAATTTTGGCCAGAAAAAATCGTTCAAAAACCTCCTCAAAGTAGGGCCATTTTCGCGAAAATGCACCACAAATGGTCAATTTTTTACAATTTTGTTCATTTCGACCCCTAAATCTAATTTTTATCAAATGATTTTAGGCTCAACAGATTCGGGAGAATCTGTAGATTCCAAAAATATAAGTTTCATATGCAGACTATGTGTATAAGCGAAATTACGATCACCCCTGAAAAAATTCTCGTCCACCCCCCCCCCCTTAATTACAGTTTTCATGAAACGATCGTTATGAAAAGATTCGTTTTTCTGCTGAAAATATGAAGAAGCAAACTAATAAACTAATTGAATTTTTCATGTAACAAACTAAAAGAGCTCTATTAATACAGTAGTTCAGGTTCAATTTTCACATTTCTTCAAATCCCGTCAGGAAACCGAGGAGCCATTAGTGTAACGAGAGAATTTTATCTTCTTAAATTTTAGGAAAAAGACTCGCGAACGCTCACGCTTCGCCAAAGTGCGCCACCTAGGACCGCGCTCCAAGATTTTCATCGCTCTTCTCGACCGACCGTTCGTATAGTAAAAAAAACTTTGACAAAGGTATTAATTTTCATAATTTTTTATTGAAAGATGATTTTAATTAATGTTTTGAGAGAAAGGAGAATTTGAAAAAGAGAGATTTTTTTTTGAAGAAAACGGAGAGGATGCCCTTAATCGAAGCTATTAGGAACATTTCTGCGGTCGAAATAATGATTTCGATTAGTCCGAAATCGACTCTAGCGCGATAGAAATAGATTGAATTCCAAGAGCGAAGTGATAATTTAACGTTCAATTAGCGCTGATTTTCTACGAACATGAATAATCTCAGCGTCGTATTTTGTGTTTAATGCTTTGGGTTGACTCCGGCGGGCTCTTTTTTGGGAATGATGCAAGCCTGTTTGTTTTGCCTTCAACTAAAAATATTAGCTTTTTTATCGTTCTTGACGTGCTGGGTTAATTATAAATTTAACCGGTTAACGCCGAAACGCATAGCGACCAATTAATTGGTTCAAGGCCTTTTAATGCCTCATAACTCAACTTTTACAAAACGTTAGAATAATATGAACCCCCACTTATGGAGCTACTTTTTATCGAGGAATTCGATTCCGGTGTCAAGAAAAATTTTTTTCGAAAATTTTAGATTTTAGCTATTGAACGAAATTTTGGACTCAGGTATTTTTTCCCTTTTGAAAAGTTATTTCTCTATTTACATTAAAATCGACACATTTAGAAATATGCATATTTACTCATATTTTTGTAATGATATCGGTATAATATCGGGATGAAATTGAAGCTAAGCGTCTGAGAATTATTTATCTGTAGCGTTTATACAGTCAACTAATTAGTTTCATTGCCAAAAAGGGGTAAAAAGGGCATACCAATTAATTGGTACGATCTGCGTTCAACGTTGAAAAAATTTTATGCGTTCCGGCGTTAAGTTACCTTTTTTCTTTCTTTTTTTTAAATGACACGTGGAAAACTCAGAAAGCGACAAAAAATCGCAAGAATTTTGACCAAAATTTGGTCAATTTTTAGACCAATCAGATTCTCGCATTTGGCCGGTAGGCCAATCAGATTTCTGAAAAAAAATGTCGCTCGAAGAATCGATTTTTTGTCCCTATTTTTGATTGAAATACTAAAATTGAAGAAAAAGCAAAAATTTGAAATGTAAAATTCAAAGCCATCTTGAGCCTGGAAAAAATACGCGGACTCTACCGCAGTTTGAATTAATCTTGTTTTCCGCGCACAGTCCAAAGCCACAAAGTTCGCTGAAATTTAAAGCAATCCGGGATTTACGTGTTTTCCGCTTTTTTGGTTCAACCAAAGTTGAGTAATTTTTCTTTCGATCGGAAAAGGGAGGGGTTAATTTCGGAATTTTCGGTGGTGGACTCGCTAAGTGCTCCATGTATCGTCAATTTGTAAGGTACTCAAAATGCATAATAGCTCGTTTCTTCAAGCTTACTCAACTAAGAAGCCCGAGGAGTCAATGCGGCCACCGTAATCCGCCACTGGAACTATGTAAAGATCCAAAAAGCGCGTTTTCAACCGCAACTTTTTAAGTTTTCAACTTTTTTTTCCCCAAAGTTATTCATCTCCAACTGTAGTTTCCCAGCATCTTTTTTTTAAGAAATGCAAATTGCCCTTTAAAAAAACAAGTTTCCAAATTTTACGTGAACTCGCGCTACTACCTTGCTGACGCTAATAAATTTAATTTGTCGAAATTTTTCACACCCTTGACTTGACACTAGAAGTTTCATCCACTTTTCCCGAAATTCGAATTACACGACGACCGCAGCGGAAGTCCTCGTGAAATTCCCGTGAGGACGGCATTTCAGATTTCTCACAATCCTCGGGAGACATTGAAACGGGCAAGAAGATAGAGTAAGAACTAAACATTTTTTCTTCCTATGATCTCCAGCCAACATTTGTCAAAGAGCTCGTTCGTAGCCTGGGCTCAGCTCTTGCTTTTTCTTCAAAACCTGAGTCAGGAAAGCTAAAATGAAAAAGCCGCAAAGCGGCTTTAAAAAAAGGAAGCCGCAAAGCGGCTTCGCCAAAATTTATATTTTAACCTATTTTAACCCTAACCTTTACCCTACGCGGCTTTTTATTTGAGCTTTCTTGAATCCTGACTCAGGTTTTCAACAAATATTGCCTGGCCAAATTCGTAACTTTTTTGTAATCTTTCTTGCAGATTTTGGACTTATTGCCGCGTAAGTGAGTTAATCCACCCCCGCGTCAGATTCAGAAGTCAGAGAGTAGTCGGATAATTTCAACCCCTGATGCAACAGGTTAAGCAATTATAAACGACATTTCAAGTGGGGTTAAGCCCAACCGCGCGCTCATTACGTCATTTTTTTTTGCTCCAAGTTTTCAAGTGTTCACAAAACAAGCTTATCTTTTCCTCTTTCAAAATTTGTGATTCTGTCGGATTAAATTTTCTGCCTTGTCCACTTATCTGTCAGTTTTTCAAGCTTGTCGATATAAATTATACATTTTGCGTTTTACGTTTTTTACGCAAGACGATAAGGAATATTTTTCACTTATCAAAATGGAGATATGGCGGCGCTTTATCGCTCAGCGGGTGCTCCGTCAAAAAATTTATCACGTGTTCCGGTTTTCTTCCTCTAGAAAAAGGGTTGATGAATTATTTTTATCATGTTTTTGAAGAGTGTTTTTTATCTAATAAATTCGTAAATTTCACGTTAACTTTTTTATGGGAATCTTGAAATTTCGAAGCGCGATTTTTTGCGGGAGATTCTTGCTTTTTGGCGGGTTGTTTTTGGCGTGGCTGGTGGGTGTACTGAGTGATTCTACGACATGGATTTGTGGTGCGATGGATATCTTTGTCCGAGGCAGCCGATAACACTGTTGCAAAAACAAAAATTTGTGTCCTCTCCGTTACCAACTCTACGATTACACAATTTTTACTCATTTTCAAAGAATTCTTTCTCCAAAATTTTTCAATATTTTTATTGAAATATTTCAATATTTCAATATTTTTGATAAAAAATTAATTTCGATCAATTAAAAAAATTTAATTTTTAATTCCTTAAAAAAATAAATTCTTAATTTTTAATTCAATTTATAAAAAAAGTAATGTTTAAAATTTTTTATCAAATAACAATTTTCAGGGAACTTCCCGACTTTTGCTGCTTCGATTGAAGAAATCGTCAGCTGGCTTTCTCGTGACGATCGTTTTTTAATTTTAAAAACTGATCAGGGTGAAACAATCCCTAGAAAAACCACGAGCAAAAACACCGACCCGGTCAACTCAACACGTGACTAGTACAAAGACTGAAACTCAAGTCCACTTACTGTCACTTTTTGACTAGAAGAACACACACTACAGTTGATACTGGAAAAGTTTTACATCAACTACAAGCAACTATCTACAATCTACTCAATATACACATTTATTCTCAAGAACATATTTAATCACAAAAGAAAGCAAGAAAAAAATGGACTCGTTAGCAATCAAGAAGATGGTGCTGCTGGCAATTTTTATTTTATCGGAAAGGGGTTCACTTTTATCACTTTTCTATTGTAGAACACAGCGGGTGATAAATTTGTGTTTTCGTTGTGATAAAGCGTCTTTATCGCCACGTGCGAAATAATCCCCCGCTGCGAAGTCGTCACTTTCCTTTTTTTGACAAAAACATTCATTTCCGAATATCAAAAATGAATCGAAAGTGAACAGAAACTTATTGAACAAGGGCGAGATTAGGTGTTAGGGTTAGGATTAAGTTATGGCTAGGGTTAGGGACCCTAACTTAGGGTGGTTGAAATTTTTTAAAATAATTTTTGGTGAACCCCTTGAAAAGACAACTGCTTTTCTCTCAGCTTGGATTTCTTATAAACCAGAGTAAGTTTTTCCCTCTTTTCTGTAGCTCGTATTTCGCGGTTCATTAAAATCAACTCCGGCCCAGCTCAAAACCGGAAGACTTAGTTGTAATCACGGACGAGTATATGCGGAAGCTCCCATGTAAACTTTGCATCTAATCTTCCAGCTAGTCGCCAGATAGGCATCTAGTAGCTCTGATACGTAATTTTTATTTTTATTTCCAGTGACGTCGTAGCTGCTGTGGACGAAGTGGTGGATGCTGTTATTGATGAAACATTGAATTTTAATAGACCAATTCAATTTTCTGATGATTTGGAGCATGTTTACCCAATACCTGTAAGTTTTGTTCAGATAGGTTAGAGGTAGTTTTAGGGTTAGGGTTAGGGTTTTTTTCTAATATTTATTCCAAGTTCCGCAAAAAAGAACGCTCTCTGGTTCCAGCAAAGTACCTGAATAGTCAACAATCAAAAACAGGATCAAACTATCTCGCGTATATTGTTGAACAACCGGAAGAATGTGACGCGAAAATTGTTATTACTGTCAAGTCAAGCGCTGATCATTTTGGTAAGACAGCTATTTCTTACTTTCAATTATCCCATTTTTTACAGAGCATCGAGAAGCAATTAGACAATCTTGGGCGCCAAGAGAAGCAAGGAAAGAAGATGTCCAAGTAGTCTTTCTCGTTGGACAAGGAAGTGATGTAATCAACGATGAAATCAAAGAAGAGTTCTTCAAACACAAAGATCTGGTGATCGGAAACTATGTCGACTCGTACCAGAACCTGACGATAAAAGCCATGACCGGAATCGATTGGAGAGCAAGAAACTGTCACAATGCAGAGTTTGTGCTCGCCGTTGACGATGATACTTTCGTCAATTTGGACGACATGATGACTCATTTGCAGCGACTCCCGGAAGAGGAAAACTTCATTGAGTGCTCTGAAAGAACAGTGACTAAAGGAAAAGTCTGGCGGGAAGGACAATGGGCAGTTTCCGAGGATCAATACGAGTTTGACGTCTATCCGAATTACTGCAACGGACCTTGCTATCTCATGCCAGTGGAAACGGCTGATCTTCTCCTAGGGTAAATTTGAAGCACCATCTGATCAGTGATCATCAGCTTCCGATTCGGAAGATTTAATGGAAAATAATGATAATTTCTCAAAACAACGTCAGAAATAATGCTATTTTTTGTAAAAACCATCATATGCTAGACCTGGCTTAGACAGAAAATTATCATTTTGACGTGATTTTTAAAGATTTCCTTTCAGATCATAAGATAGAGAAATGTAAAATCAGAATATTTCTTATCATGAGTAGGGCATTTTCGTTGAAGCAAGAAACGACGTCAATACGTAAGACAAAGAAGTCATGGGTTATGGACCATAACTTATGGTCGAGCAGCCAATACCCCTACAGTAGGGGCCCTACCACTAAGTTAGGGAGCTACGACCGCGAACCGCCCTAAATCGTTTGGGTTAGGTTTAGGGTTAGGGAGAGCTCGAATGATAACCCCTTACCACCGAAAAAACAGCTCGAAAGAAGTATACTAGGTTATACTGTATAACCCGTCTATACAGTTGATTTTGGTTCATACATAATAGGCGATGGCAGAATCTACCAACAACGGAAAAAAGCATATTTTTGAATAAAATGAGTCGAATTATATTTCCAAAGATCCGTTTTGTATAGGAGCCGTGAATAAATAAACAGCTTCAGGGAATATTAACGAATTTTTTCATCATCAGAATTCAGAGATTAGAATTTTGAGGCTTCTGGTGTGATCTTACAGAATTATTAAGAGCGTCGAGAACGACTCCATCTGATCATCCAGCCGACGACGTCTTCATCAGTGGCATTCTTCGCGTAAAAACGGAAGTGCCCCTGATTCAGTACACCCGCACTGGCGCTCCTGGTTGGTGCCAAGAACTCAACAACAGAAAACCACGACTTCCACAGCGAATGGTCAAAGAACATCTCAAGAAATCGCAGCTCTAAATATCCAGCCACCAAAGCCGGCAAACTCTCGTAGCTGGAAATTTCTTGCGATTTCGAAATGAAAGCTGTAAAACGATAATTCAAAAAACTACCTCTCAAAAACCATGCTTCAATAAAAATGACAACGAGACCTATTTTAATGTTGCTGATGAATTTATTTACAAGCATTGATTATTGATTATTACTGTCTTTGGCGAAGAGATACAGGGTTTGGAATATACGATTTTGTCCAGGAGAAGATATTTGGAATGTGTTGCTTTGAAGGGGATTTCAAAGAGCTCACTTTCGATTTCATCAAAATTATTTCTAAAAATAAAGCTCGTATAGCCGGTATACGAATAGACTGATGATAATAGGGGGGCTTTAATTAAGATATCAGGAGATAAAAATAATTCTTATTATCGATCGAAAAGATGAAAACAAATTGAAATCACGTTCCTCGCCCGGCTTCATCGAAACCAGTGATGCAGTTACTTTCCTATCTTCGCTGGTCGAGTTCTTTTTCGAAGAATTTTCAAGCAGTCGCTTGAATTTCTTCATCTTCCGCCCGAGCTTATTCTGAAAGGAAAGTCAGAATCATCACCTATTCAGAGAAGATGCGGTACGGCGCCTACCATTTTGAGTTTGTTGGTGGAAATTTTGTGGAACTTGTCCACGTGAAGAGCGAACTTGTGATTCTCGGGCACACTTCTGTCGTTGAAAGTTTTCAGCGCTGTGTCGCTGGTTTCTGTACAAAGTGGTTGAGTAAAATCAACATCGACGAGAGAAGATTTGAGAATTCTATACTGAGATCAACAAGGATTCTTGTAGATTTTGGAAAAGAGGGGAATCTTCTCGTAGTCAGCAATAATAAAAAGTATCCCCGATTTCAAACTGCTCTTAATAAAAGCCTCTTATCAAAGAGAACTTGATCATCAAAGATGCCATAAATTCAAATTTTTATGTCAGTTATCATATTCTCATTCTTTGATCTCAAGGCTTGAAGTTTTCAAAATCTCAAGGTGTGTTTCTTTTGATGCTCGTAAATCACCTTCGATACTCCTCAGATTCTTTTTTGAACTTTGAATGTCGGTATAAAACTGCGATACGGCCGACGATACTTTAAAACTGTACGCTTTCGCTTCTTTTATTTATTGGAAAACAATATTTTTCGGAGTGAACCAACCTTTTATTCTTCGCCTTGTTTCTTCTAGTTCTTCTCTGTCTATTTCCAGCTGCTCCTGCGAGTAAGGCATTCCTCAATCAACTCAGAAGGCGCGATTTAATTTCGTTAGCTTCCAGTGGACTAATCTCTTTAGGGAAATCGGAGGGGCGGGCAATTCCTAGTCCAGCCCGCTGTAATTAATGCGACAATGAGGCTGGATTTCCGTTGTTTTCTCGCTCTAAAGGTGATTATCCACTGCTCTGACTTAGATTGACACACACTTGCTAAATAAGCCTAACCTAATTACACTCTGCCTTGCCTCAATCGACCGCGATAAGCCCTGCAATAAAAACTGTACTCAAAGTCAGGACTTCTTTAATGAACTTGACTGTTGAAAGCTGACAACTGAAATTGTCGAGAATTGTTTTTTTTTATTTATATTGCACAAGTGATAACTGCTGTAAAATTCAAAGCTGATAAGACAACTAAAAACTCGATACAAGTTTAAGGGTACTACTGTAAGATGATGGAAAATAACGCGCAGTTTATTTTATAAAAAAAATTTACGGAAATCAACTTTCACAATGAAAAAATATTGCACGAAAGGTGAAAATCGAAGAGCTAAAAATGGGCACCATTTGGCGAAGTGACAATAATTTAAAAATATGATCGAGAAAAAAGGACCGAATTTAGTTTTTTCATCGTTCTGTTTAAGTAATTACAAGTAAAGAAATGGATAGCGAAATAGATAGCACCAAATTGCAGTAGTCAGTAATTGTATCATGGTGTAAGTGAAGGCACTAATAAATAAGTTAATTTTCACGCGGATTCGTGTGTTTTTCCTCCGCCTTGATCAAGAATAAGCTCGAGCTTTTTTTTTAAATAAATGAAGTGGGTGAGTGTGGGGATTCGTGAGGACAGCGTATTTGAAAAATAATAGTACAGCAAAAATGTCGCCTACCTCAAAAATCGGAAAATTGAACTGGTTCCGCGGAAAATACGCGTTTAAAAATACCGCGCATTTCCGATTGGATAAAAAAAGCAGCATCTGGTCTGTAAGCCGGGCTGATAGAAATTTTAACAATTGCTAAAATGATGATCGGGAGCGAACAAAAATAATGGACAGAAAAAGAGGCGACAGAAATAAGGGAAGAGGAATAAATTTGAAAAGAATAAATCCGGCATATAATTTCGTAAATGCCTTAATTTTTATTACGATTCTTGGCGTTTGTCCAGTTGTTTATGCGTCGCCGCTGGCCTGAAATATAAAATCGTTAATAAAAAGTCTTTTGGTGGATAAGTTTGTGAATAAATTTCCAAAAAGGGCCATAAATGCGCTGGTCCCTTTTGGGCACACCGGTTCGAGGGGGCGTTGGGTCGAGGCGAATGGTCCTTGACCCAAGGCTCCACTCGAGGTGAGTGACTGAACTGTGACTAAATGTGTTCTGTTTTTAAAGCTGTGTGATCGAGTTGAAATTATATTCCATGCATTAATAGTTTAGTAGCATTGTCTCATGCGGTTTGGTTTCGGACACGTGACTGAACTGTCTCTGGTGGTGTTCGTAGCGGTGGTGTTATTTTACCTGCGCCGGATTTGATTCACGGACAGAGTCAGTCTCGGTATCGCCGGACTCGCAAAGATCTCGGCCCGCTATTATCTCATCATCGGGCACAATGTCCCAACTGTCCAAACGCGCTTTCAAGCATGAAGAAGGACCAGCTTCTTGCGTTGATTGGGAAAGCTGAGACAATGTGTCAGAAGAAGAAGTAGAACAACTGGCGGCCTCAGAAACAATGTCCCAGCTATCGGAGCTAGGGACAGATATCTGCAATCAAGGAGGAAAACGGTTTTTAAATATACGGTGTAACGATTTTTTGCTGGTGAGCAGTAATCAAGGAAAAAAAAGATTCCAGAGCTCATGACTTCCGTCGTACCATATTGAGTGGTTCGCTAATCCGAAGGTCAGCGTGACTAGAAATCATCGTCTTCCGCAATGCGATTGTGGTTAGCATGATTATTAATCTAATGGAATTGAAGATATCTGTCCCTAGTCAAAGCGAGTCTGGCGTGAGCCGATCTCAGACGCTGACGTTTCCCCCGATTTCACATTTGTCGAGAGCTGAGACAGTGTGTCAGACGCTCAAAGTGCCAATTGTAAATTTAGTTTTAACAAGAGGTTAGTTAATTTACACCAGAATAAATAACGAGAAAATTAAAAGAGAATCAAAGATAAATTAATTGAAACCGATAATTGTAAATGAAAGGATTAGTTAATTTGAGTAGATTTGTTGAGGTCCTTATCAAGAAGAACGGAGTCAGTGTTACGGACCTGATTGGCCGTCAGTTCTTTAACTTTCTCTTTCTCCGCCTGTAGCGACTTATAAGAGCCCTGCAGGAGCTTTTGAAGTTTAGTGTTTTGCTCGGCGAGCTTTTTGGCGGATTCGCGCTCTTCTTCGAGCGCCTTTTCTGCTTCTGATACTTGTTTTGTTAGGCTTTCGCTGGATTTCGCGCTGGAACTCAGTTCCTAGTGAAGATGAGGGTTAGTTGATGATGAGTATTAAAAAAGATGAGAATGGTTGAACACTTGAGACCCTCCCCAAGACTAGAACAAATTGCAGGTTTTAGGGAGGGTCCATGCTATCTGAAAAGTTGGATAGTTACCTCTAGTTGGGATTCTAAAACGGTTTTCTGGGCGGCTAATGTATTGATTTCATTCTTGTGCTCTTCCTCAGCTTTTTCCACGGCCGTTTGAAGCTCGCTTAGCATCTTTTCCTGGAAACGCGACTGTAAGAGCACCGTCATGGCGTGGTAGACTTACTGTATCTTTGAGGACATTAGTGAGTCTCTCGTTTTCTTGCTGGGCGTGATCGGCGCTGCTCTGGAGAGCAGTTATCTGTTCCTGCTGCAGTTTTATTTAGTTAAGTCGGTAGTTAGCGGTAATTAACTCCAAAATTATCACAAATCACACGTTCCAATCAAAAGAAGGGATCACTCTTCTCTTATTCGACCCTGAGAGGATGCCGAAAAGAATCGCATTTAGATCAGTTCATAAAATTTTGGGAAATTGTACTTTTCTTGTTTTCTAGTTGGAATTTACCTTGGCATCTTCTGAGGCTTTTGAAGATGATGATTGGGCTTCTAGCTCGGCGATTTTCTTTGTCGCCTCCTGAACATAAGAATGAAGATGACTGATAATTATTTTTTGTTTTCAGAGACCTCAAGTTCGCTCGTCTTTTTAGTGACCATGTTTTCAACAGAATTAAGGGCGTCCATGGTCTTCCAGCTGCGCTCGCGCAATTGCTAAGACGCAACATTTGGGACCTCGTTTTAATCACCACTAATCACTTACCTCATTCTTTTCTTTGAGTGATTTCACCTCTCCTTCCAAATCAGCGACCTTCTGTGCGGCTTCGCTCTCTTTTTGAACATCAACGACCTTGATAATTGAATTATGGTTAGAATGGGAGCATTTGATAGTCACCTGGAGTTGGTCCTCGTTGTTTTTCACCTTTTCTTGAAGCTCGGAAATTTCTGCTTCGAATTTGGCCTGGGCGGCGACCAGGGAGTCGTTGGTGTTGTTCAATTCAGTGTTGGTCTCTAGAAATAGGTTGTTTCAAGTAGTTTTTTGATGACTTGATTACCTTCGAGTGTCTTAACCTTGGCGACATATTGGTCGATGTTCTCGTTCATGTTGGAGAGCTTATCGGAGAGTTCTGAAAATAGAAGTTATTCAAAGAATATAAATTGGAAACGAACCTTTGGAAGCAGTTTCGAATCGCTCGCTTTCGGCGTTTTTGGCTTCCAATTCGGTTGATTTGGCATCAAGTTCGGCTTTGGTGCTTGCGAGCTCAGCGGAGACGGAGTCAAATTTGCTGCACTTCTCGGTAAGCTGTGCGAGTTGGGCGCTCAAGCCATCAATTTCCGCGTTTTTGTCGTTGAGGGCGGAATCTCGGGCGGAAACCTGGATAAATGTATCAGAAGGGATTTGAAGAGGGAATTCGAGAACTTACAGAGTCAAGGGCTTCTTGTTTGTTGTTGGCAATAGCGTTCTCGGATTCAGCAAGTTTAACTCGGAGATCGGCGACTTGTCCTTCGAGATCAGCGACCTTGGCGCTTTCAGCGGCGTCGGAAGACTCCTTCAAAGTGGCGAGAGCGGCGTTTGCTTCGGCGGCGGCGGATTCGGAAGTGGCGAGTTTAGCGGTCAAGTCGGCGACGGTAGCTTTTTCGGCGGCAAGTGATGCTAAAAGAATGGGTATCTGAGTCAAATTAAAGTTTCTTACCTTCAACCTGCTTGAGAGATTCGGTGGCAGCAGCGGATTCTTGAACCTGTTCAGATTGTTTCTTGGAAGCAGCGAGATCTTCACCGAGTTTGGCGACTTCAGCGTTGAGCTTGACGTTCTCGTTCTGGGCGGATAGTCGGAGCTGTCGTTCGACCTGGAGCTGGCTCTTCAATTCTTCAGCGTCGCCAACAGCGGCGGATCGAGCAATGGCGGAGCTGAGAGCGGCCTGGATGTGAACATTGGTAGCTTCGGCGTTCTTCAACTTGCTCTCGAGATCAGCAACTTTCTTGGCGGATTCATCGCGGACTGAGTCGGAAACTTTCTTGGCAGCATCGGAGATTTTCTTGGCGTCGGAAGCTTCTTTTTTGGCGACTTGGATTTGAGATTCGAGGTCGAAGATCTTGGAGAGTTGTTTGTTCAATTCGGCCTGGGTCTTGTCATTCTGCTGCTTGAGCTCGTCGTTCTTCTTCTTCAAGTTCTCGGCATTCGAAGCAAGAGTGACCTTGGATCCTTTGGGCACGCGTCCGCCGAGTCCTTTCAAAATCTGTCCGATGAGTTTTTCGCCTTTTTCTTCGGTGAGCTTTCCAGCTGGGATGACAGATCCTTCAGAAGCTTGCTTCTTTGCCTGGGCTTTGGGCTGGGATTTAGTCGCTTTAGGCTGGGGTCGGCATCGGTGCACGGTGCCCGGGGCACGTGCCCCGCTGCCCCGAATGTCCCGTTTTTTACAGCGGGGCGGGGCGGGGCACCGGTTGTCGGTGCCCCGTTGTGCCCCGCTTAACTATTTATGGCGAAATGAACGTTCTAGAAAGGGATTTAACACTCACTTTTGAAAAATCTTCTCCAAATTTAAAAAAATTTTTCTTTAAAATAATGATTTCTATAATCGAGACCGTTTATGAACCCTTGAAAACTGTCAAAAAACTTCTTGAATCCTTTTGATTATCGAAAATCCGAAAAATTTGCTTAAAACTATGGTTAAAACGGGGCACTCGGGGCACACGGGGCAAACGGGGCACGCGGGGCGGGGCGGGGCACGAGCCTCGAGAAAAAACAACGGGGCGGGGCGGGGCGGGGCACCATGATTCGAGGCACCGATGCCGACCCCAGGCTTTAGGGGCAGCTGCTTCTTGCTTGGGGGCTTCTTTGGGCTCAGGGGTTTTGGCTTTAGGTTTTTGGGTCTCCTTTTTCTCGACAACGGGCTGCTTCTTTTCCTTGACTGGAGCTGGCGCTTCTGCTTTCGCGGTGGTTTCAGCGGCCTCGGTTGTCACACTTTCGGAATCTCGGTCAGTTCGTGCGCGCGATTTCTTGTCTTTCTTTCCGTTCTTGCTCTTGGAGCCTTTTTTGGGCGCCTTGATGTTCAAAATTTCACGACGTTCCTGGGCAAGTGCCTCGTAGCCAGAATCAGACTCATTTCCAAAGAAGGAAACGAAGCCGAATGCGGCACATCCGAGAATCGCCACAATGGCTCCTACCAAAAGAACCGGATCCATCTAAAAACATGTCTGTTAAAATATTATTTCCGTGAATAAATTAAAATCGTGTCGGTATCTTTGAAAGGGCAAAAATAGACAAGTCCAAATAAAGACGGGCAGTTACAGGAAAATTTTCAATATTTCTTAAAAGGCGTATTCAGCAATTCCAGCAGCGCGGAGGCTTTTTTCTCTCCAATACCAGAAATGCACGCGATTTCGGTTTGATTAGATTTTGCGATTTGCGCGAGTGACCCAGTTTGACGCAGGAGACTGGCGCTGTCTGGGAAAACAAAGTCAGAATATCGTCTCTCTAGAAATTATTACCCGAACTGTTGAAGCCATCGGCGTGAGTGAGGAGCTTCGTGATTCGGTCGGTCTCGTCAAACTTTTGCTTTAACGAGTCGGGGCCCTTGTTGGCGAAGCGTTTGAAGTTTTCAATGTGCGTCGCTGCTTCTTGGAGGTTAAAGGCGATCAGCAGCGTAAAGCCGATTTGAACGCTCAAGACTGAAAGAGTTCTACCGGCTTCCTCCGCGTTAGCAGCGTCAATGTACAGTAACACGACGATGAGTTTCAAGCTCGTTTCTCGCAGCTTGGCGACTGTTTCTTCAATATACGAGCGGCGGTAGTTGTAGTACTTGAGCGAGAGCCACAGAATCCCGACATCGGGGGAGGTCTGAAAGTCGACAGGGATTTCGGAGATTTGATACGGGACTTTCGAGAAGCGCTCTAACACTGGATTCAAGGTTTGCTTCTGGGACACTTGAATGTTCATCCATGAAACGGGTTTTGGTGCGCTTTTCTGTCTTTCCGCCTCGTCGACGTCTCTCAAGGCGTCTTCAAAATCGTCATCTTCGAAGTCATCGTCCGCCATCTCGTTTTACTCCCATCGATTCTCTGAAAGGAGAAAGTTGAAAAAAATCGAGAAAGTTATAAAAATAGAATATGTTTTTGAGTAGAAAAGAATAGGGATAAATGAAAGTTGAACTTCAAAAATCATCGAAGACAAAGTCGATTGAACAGAAGGATCTTTGAAGAAAGACCATAACGAGAATGGGAACAGAAACAACCGGATATTTTGAGGAACGATGAAAGAACAAGTTGATGATGTTAACAAATAGATATTTCCTTAGATGCTCATGATTTCATGTGATTAGAAAACTATCTGCCTTCCTTCTGAAACTAACTTTCTCCAGGGAAATGGATCACCAGAAATGTGCGTCCCTGGTCACTGCAAAAAGCAGTCCACAAAAAAACAAGAACATGAAAATCACGAAGCATGAGGATATCATCTGAAGAGTGAGTTAGTTTCTGAAAGGAGGCCGGTCGGACAGAGATGTCTTTGGAAGCTCAAAGGGGACTTTTCGTTTTTTGATTGATTTGAGATAGTCAACTTCTGCACGTATTTTTCTTTGATGCTCTTCGAGCTCTGTACGCTCCTTTGCTATAAATTGGTTCTCTTTTATGCTTTAATTTAATTTCATTCAGTGAATGATCAAGGAATATGATTTATAATCTTTGAAATCTACCGCAACAAATTGTAGCTTACAGTATACAATGGTAGATCAAATAAATATTATTATCAATCAAACTTCCAAAGAAAACCCGTTCCTAACGATTTGCCTTCTTCAATCAACTCAGTCAGGCGTCTTCTGAGCTCTTGGTTTTCTCTTTTCGCAGCAGTGGTTCTCTCCACGACCATCTTTTTCGCCTCCATGTTGAGCTTCTGCTGCTCTTCTTTCGAGGTAGAAACGGCGTATGCTTGGTATTCTCGTTGTTTTTCGAGGCACTCGATTTTCATTTTCTGCAGCATTTCTGCGTCTTCCACTTGCATCCGCGCGTACTGCTCTTTTAGCTCCTGAAATTATGGTTGAAATATAATTGGAAAAAACAGAGAAGTTTTTACTGCGCTAGATGAATTCCAATCTACTCGCCTCGATTTTACGATCGTTTTGCTCCTTCAAAAGCACAAGATCAGCCATCGACTGAAGCTCGTCCTGAAGCTTGATTCTTTTAAACTCTTCGTCGCGGATGAGTCCGTTGATTCGGTTGATTTCGGCTTCGTGAGCTGCCTGAAGCCGAGCTTCTTCGTCGTCCAGCTCTTTTAGTTGGCGGGCTTGATCGTCGTGGATTGAGACGATTTGCTGATGTCTTGAAGAAAATTTATTTTTAAGGAACTTTCGCATGGAACTGACCTCTTTTCGCGCTTTGCTTCTATGTAATTAGCGAATTCGCGCGCCTCTTCGTGCGTCTCTGCCGTTTTCTGCTTGACTTCGTCATGCTTCTTACGCAGCTCGTTAACTTTCGCCCGCGTTATCGTGTATTTCTCCTCGATCTATTCCATGGGTTCACGATTTTTTACAAAAGGGGTCTCGATTTTATCGGACAACTTCCTCTAGAATGCCTCTATTTTGCCCGTTCTGATGGTGTCCCGCTTTTTCACAAACAAAAAACTGAACTTGTATCTTGAGAAAAGTGACCCCATTTTCCTTTTTCAATTCCTCTTCAAGCAAACATTCTTGCGAAGTGACCACTCCTGGATCGGGTGCTAAAATATTTTTTCATTTTTGCTTGGTCATGTTTGGCGGAACGATAAAAGTTCGCGATTGCATGATTTTGTAAACAAGTGACGCAACGTTTAGGCGAAATAGATCCTTCTCGGTGAATTTGGCGGTCTTTTCGAGGACCACTTCGAAATCGCTAATTGCACTTGAAAAATGGTTCTTGAAAATACCGGATATTTTCATATGAAAAATCAGAAAATTCAAAAAAGGCACAAGCATATGATCATTGTCTTCTTATCACTCAATTTTACTATCGTCACCAAACTAATTTTCTCTGAAAAAATAAATTTTTCACAAAAATGACGAAAAGTGGCTCGAATCGTCAAAAAATTGCAAGAATTTTGACCAATTCTAAGACCAATCAGATTTTTACATTCTTGCCAATCATTCAAGCATTAAAATAATTCAAAAAAAGTAATGATGAAAACCACTGTTTTTCATTATTCAAGCAACGAAACAAATTTTAAGATAAAATTTTAAAAGAAGAATTCATTACTAAATAATTACCGGTTTCTTCTCCTTTCTTTCCCTTCTCTTCCTTTTCGCCCTTCTTCTTAGCCATGTTCAAATTCTGAGTGTCCTCTTCTGAAGTTCCTTTGTCGACAATGATGAAGATCTGCGTCCGTCTTGCCACGCAGAGGACCGGGCTCGGCGCTTTTTGATTGGTGGAGGAGGGAGCGCCGCCGCCAATTGGCTTCGATTCGCGCAGCCGCGAACATTTCGCGCGCGCTCGTCCTCGACGATCCTGCGCTAGTCGCGGAACTGACCCCGGATGACCTCAAATGACCCCCGCCGCGCCGCCCGACCCTCCCGCTCCTCCCGCGGTCACCCCGCTCGACGGGAGGAGCACCCTCTTCGCTCCGTTAATTCTTCCAGCGCCACCCGCCCAGGGGCCACCAACGAAAAAATAAGAATCCCTGAACACTAATGCCGAAAATGCTCAGCCTACTGTCAAAAAAGTGATAATGATCGAGCATAAACTGTGTTGAGAACTGTACTAACAAGAGTTTGAGCCTGTCAGTTGAGCTGAAAAGCTGAAAGAAACTGAAAAATTTGAAGATTAGACGATCATGGAGAACAGTGGGAGACAAGCTTCTACTCAAGTAAATGGTAAAGTTGTTGTGGAATGAAAAAGTCGACTATCTGCGGCCCAACTTTGAAAATTTCTTTGAGAATCTTGAGCAGAAAGTCAGACCAAGCTTAGAATATTTTTGATAAATCATTAATGTTAAGTCCTATTCTTATATTGTTCTTTATTCACACGTGAGCCAATAAAGCACTAAAAAAGCGCGATTATTCTGATGGAGGACAAATTTGGAAAAACTCCAAAGAATGAAAGAATGACATCATAGGGGCGCGCGTAACGCATGTTTTTTCACTTCAGAGATTTCCTTTATTAGTTTCTTTTTTCTTTTTGTTCTTAAATAAGAGATCAGCAGATGACTGGAGAATATTCAGATGTGGACCAAGAAGTTCTACAGAGTTCTCTACGGCGACCAGGGCAGAGGAGAAGACAGAGGCCTGGCGTTTCTGTTTCTTTTAGGGAACCAGAGGTACGAGTTCTTGCTATTCAAATATTTAGTCAGTCATTTGTGCTCTGATAAAGGCTAGAATCTTTTTATTCTAGCGTTTGCCGATCCGCCGCTATCAGCTGATCGTCCTTTCCATGTGCTGCTACATAAACTTCACTTCCAACATGTCATTCACAATCCTCGCCTCCTTTTTCGACGAAAACGCAACAAAACATGGCCTGTCGAAAACGCAAATTGGCTTTATCGTCGCGATTTATGCAGGCATTGCTACAGTGGGCTGCCCTATCTTTGGAATTTACCTGGCAAAGCTTGGGAAGAAATTCACGCTTATCGCCGGCCTCATGTGTGCCAGCGTCTGTGCCGGCCTCTTTGCCTTTTAGACGACTTGGCTGACCCGAGGATGTATTTGGGAATGGGAATACTCCTCAGAGGAGTCCAAGCCGTCGGGGTATCAGCTTACTTCACCGCGACATATGCTTTTCTAGTGGAAGAATGGCGAGGATCGCGACTTTCCTTGGCCTTAGGCGTGTACGAGGCTTTCACTGGTCTGGGGATGATTCTTGGGCCGATCACAGGATCAATTCTTTACAGGAAGGATTTTCCATTTTCCATTTTCGTCAATGTCAGTGTCAGTGATTCACTGAAATCATGGAATAATACGATCACAGAAGGCGCTGATTCCAATGGCAGTGATTTTTCGTAATAATAATGATTCAAATATTGTCTGAAAACGACTAATTTATACAATTTCTTTACCTCCTCAGATTATTTTACGACGATATGTATTCGATGGAAAATTTTATCGAAGCATTGGGGGCTACCGGCTACCGTTTTTAGTCGTCAGCGGAATGCTCTTTCTTGCTGCGAGCATTAATCTCGTCGCCCTTGATTCCACTGATGCATTCGGGAGCGACGATTACCGTCAACTCTCGGAAAATGATGACGACGAGGATCAGCAGCTACTTGACTCTGAACGCCCTGCTGATTCAACGAGCTATGGAATCAAGATCCTGCTCTCGAGTGGGCTCTTTCTCATCCCGAACATACTAATGATCCCAGTCTGGTCCTGCATGGACTTTGCGATTCCATTCGTAGGCCCCTACCTTGAAGAATGCGAACCAGGGAGGGCTTTTTCATTAAAAGTGAATCTAATGATTCAACAACGCCAACTGTTTCTTCTTTTCGTGGCATTAGCTCACTTCCGTCGCTGTCTGGTTTTTCTCCTTAAATTCATCAAGTTGCACTGAATTTCAGACAATTATACCAAATTTGAGACTCTCAAATTTAGAGGCTCAACATGTGTTTTCGAGGAAAAGAGTATGAAGGTTTATTCCTTAGTTATATTCAGTTATTGAATTTCCATGAAAGGATTACATAATATCATATTATTATATTATTAATATGATAATGAGCCCGTTTGACAGGAACAACAAAGATCCAAATCGGCCTTCTCTTCGTCATTTTTGCCGTTGCATACATGTTCACCTCCCCTCTTTGGGGCTACCTTTGCGGTCGATTCTCCGTCTCAAGATCATTGATGTTCTGGGGCTCGTTTTTCGCGGCGATGAGCTACCTATTTCTTGGTCCAAGTCCATGGCTCCAACATTTCGGCATGCACTTCGGATGCTCTTTTAAAAACGTAGCTATTGCCATGGCGATTCTAGGGCTGAGCCTGTCCGCGGCCATCATCCCCAGTTGCAACGAAATGGTAGAAGTTGCGAGAAAAGAAGGAGTGGAAGAACAAAGTATGAGAATTTGAATAAACAAAACGAAAATCAAATTTTAGCATCGAATTTCATCGCTGGACTGAGCAACTCGCTAATCTTCTTTGGAGAATTTGTTGGGCCAACATTCGGAGGATTCATGCTCGATTTTGCAGAGGGAGACTTTTCCGTGGGTTGCTCTTATTTTTCCGTCGTGTGCCTTGTTATCGTCTCGTTCTGTAAGGATCAAGTATAAAATGTTAATCTGAATTTCTTTCCGAGGTGGAATATGGTGGATTGCGCTTCTTACAAAGAGGAAATGCAGACAGATGGACGAGACTGTTCAAGAAAGGAGGCTGAGGAGAACGATCGAAGAGAGGAGCAATAGAAGAAGGAGAAGAAGACTTCATTCCTTATCAAATGTAAGAGTCTCTTACTAAGAGATTCAAAATGATTGATTGATAATTGGAGTATGAAGGCTAAAATTTCTTTTTAGTCTATTTCTACTGGTCCTATGTCACTCACAGAGTCACTCGGAAGCTCTATGAGAATGCAGTATCATGACTTGATGGATTCAACAGAAATAGAAGACGAAGAATAACTCGCAATTGAGCTTTTTCTTCTTTAGTATTTATGAAATTGAGCCGATTCTCAACCCTGATATTAGAGAATATCAACCTGCTGCCCTACTAACTTGAAACCTACGTCGTACTTCTTAACCTAAATAAAGATTAATTTAACGAAAAGTATTTTGGCGAAGGTTTTTATTTCTAAATCTGAAGAGAAAAGAGAGAGATCTTGATTGTTGAGTAAAGTCTAGTTTGGCAGTGCACATGTTTATCAGTCTTTTGTTGTCGTTTAGGTCGGTGCAAAAGGTCTCAATATACAGAAATTTATCTGAAAGTACAGGAATAGTTCAACGATAGGTTTGATCAAACATAGCCGGAATGTAGGGAGCTGTAAGGAGGTGGCGGCTCGACGAAATCATCGCCAATTGTCACCACTGAATTTTGTTATGAATGAATAACATACTCTTCCTAGAGGCAGGAATTTAGTCATACCCGAGTCAATTCGACGATTCGGAGGTCTCCAAGATGCGGAGCTGCTGGACATGCTGACATTCCTAAGGGGAGGAACCGGCGTCGCCCCATCCGTGCACGATGAATCCTGGGAGGCTGGAGTCATTTCCATCAGCAGCGCTTCGAACTCCGCCTTGATCCCGTTGAAATTTTTTCGCTTCCATTTATCCTCGCTAAAAAAGGAACAATAAGGAAGGGAGATTAATGTTGAGACTCTCTTACTCAAGGCACTTTTTCATTATCGCATGAACTTTGTCGGGCATGTCTTGAGGCTTTTTGGGGCGATTTCCCTTTTCAAGGTACTGCAGGAAAATTGTCGGTTCTGTAGGCGCTTTTGGAAACGGAACTAAATGGGATAAAGAAGGAAGCAAAAAGTGATGGAATTTTACCCGCTCCATAGGAGAAGATCTCCCAGATGACGATTCCAAAGCTCCAAACATCGGATCTTTCATCGTAGAAGTGAAATTTAAGGGATTCTGGCGACATCCACTTCACTGGAATCGGTAAATTACGAAGTATCGAGTTTCGCTTTGAAAAATGGCCTCCTTGAGCGTGCGATCGAGAAAGTCCGAAATCAGCGACTAATTTAAAAGATGAAAATAGGGTTTTAGTAAGCGAGCTTCTGCTGAAAATTCTGCTGAGAAGCGATTATTACCTTTGACGCGCATTTTATCGTCGAGGAGACAATTACGGGCGGCTAAATCACGATGGATGAGATTATTGCCGGCCAAATACTCCATTCCATCGGCAATATCCCGACAGAAATTGATCATCAATCCTGGGGTCAGCGAGTTGCGATTCTTTTTCACGTACAAATTCAGCGACCCATGTTCCATCCACTAAAGACCAATAATAAGGGCTTCAAAACTGTATTGAAATTTACCTTGAAAACGAGGCAAAAGTTGTTGTCAATTTCCACAATGCCCTTGAGAGACAGGACATGTTTGTGATCCAAACCTCTCATCTTGACGCCTTCACGCTGAATAAATCAACTGTAATTCAACATTAGAGAGTCTTGAGCTGGCTTTCACTTGTATCTACTGAATGATTCAAGAGCACCACTCTACACAATGCCCGCAAGAACAGACATTCTACGGTGTCTTCTACGGAGAAGTCGATCAAAAATTGACGACCATTTTGAACGGTACTTTGCCAGGTTAAATTTTGAATCTTTGAAGGCTCCGATTTCAGATTTATTACCTTGAGTAGATCAATCAGCTCCTTATCCTTTTCGCGGCTCGTGTCTTCGTCCACTTTTATCGTCTTAATCGCGATCTCGTAATTGAGTCCATTGGATCTTCTGAAACTTCCTTTCCAAATTGTACCAAACGCGCCTTCCGCTATTTTTCGCTGCGTTGTGATTCGACTCTGGTCCAAGAATAGCTCTTCCGGGAACACCTGAAAATTATGATTATGATCGTCAAATTTTAACAACAAAAAGTGAGGGCAATGCACAAACTTTAGTTCGGCACTTTTTCGATTCTTATGAAAAAGAAAAGACTAACCTTGTCAATCTTGACCTCCCTCGCCTTTCTGTAGCACTTCCTGAGACTGAAGGTGGGACAAAGACATCCCTTGATCCAGGGACCAAGAACAATCAAGGTCAAAATCAGAATAATCGAGCCACAAACGATGCCAAAGACGATTCCCGTTACATCGCTGCTGCGCGCCATTTCGTTTTCGTACTTCTTCCACATTCCAGGTGTGATAATGTTACTACCAGCATCGGAGGCCTCAGCTGCGATTTTCTCGATCCACGAGCGCTCGCAACGATCTCCTAAAAATAATTTTAGCAGAGGTCAGTATTTTTTAATTCCATGATCATAAATCATTTTAATGAACTATCAATTTTTATATCGCAACAACATGAGTTCTTTTCGCAATAAAAGGTGTTTCTCTATTCCGACTTTCGGACAGAAGACTAACCCTAGGCTCGGCAACCGGAATCAGGTTCTGAAGAGTTTAATGAAATGCCGCGTGGCGGCTTTTTTTTATATAAAAGAAGCCGCTAGGCTTGACGCTCACGATGAAATCGATGGAAATGTCGGGTGGAATGGTCGACAATCTTGGCAAAGACGTCTGTAAATTAGAATTACCGCCATGGTTTGCCTAAAAATGAGCTGGTTCACATAAGTTTGAGTAATTTTACACAATTTTTTGTCATAAACATCGGAAAATTGACCATTGTACGATCCTAAATGATAAAAATTCCTCGCAGACTGTCTGTTCTATGACGCTGATAAAGGTATTGACCAAAAAATGTTAACAATAATAGTGTAATATTTACGACATATCTCATAAGAATAGATTCTTTACAATGACGTGCTTTTTTTAAGGTTAACGAAGTTTTCCAGCCCACTTCCGCCTTAAAGACCCCCTAACACCATACCTTTATAGAATCAGCAGAAAATTCTAAGAATTTTGACCATTTAAAATTCTAGAAAACTCCACTTCCGGTCGATTCTAGCGCCGGAAGTTGACGACATTTAGGTGTTAGGGCGAAGTGTGACCTATCAAATTGATGCTCAAACGATTTCCTAGCATTTAAGAAAAGAATCAACACCAACGAGGATCAAACCAACCGGAAAAAACTGAAAAAAATTTGATCATTTTCTGCCTTTTTTACATAATTTTACCGGTCGGTTTGACCACTTTTGGGACTGGTTCTTCTGATATATTGATTATAGGATGAATCAAAATCTTCTGGGCATCAATTTGATAGGTCACACTCTAATATTACTCCCAAATTTCTTCGACTTCCGGCTCTAGAATCGACCGGAAGTGGAGTTTTCTAGAATTTTAAATGGTCAAAATTCTTAGAATTTTCTGCTGATTCTATAAAGGTATGGTGTTAGGGGGTCTTTAAGGCGGAAGTGGGCTGGAAAACTTCGTTAACCTTAAAAAAAGCACGTCAATGTAAAATTTACATTGATAGCTACTCCTTGATCATATTAGAAGGGTAGGGATGTAACATCATTCGCGCGCTCTTTTTGAAAAAAGAGAGAAAGACTGTAGTAAAACGTCGTCGAAAACATGTTTGAAAAACGACTTTTTAACCCGTTAACAGGCGCGTGGCTGTCTCACGGCCACGCAGCCTTTCGAGAGCGATTATATAGGAATAACTCTAGTTTTTATCAAAAATTTTTGTATTTCTTAAAAATTCAATCGATTCTCTATCTGTTTGTGTGAATTTGAAAAAAAAACGGCATAAAATTCTGGTCGGGAGAAGCGAAAGAAAAACTTCAGTCAGCGAGAAAAAGGGAAAACATAATACAAATCGCCCGCCTTTTCCCTTCTTTCCCTTTTCTCCAATCTCAGCGTCGAAAAATGACGTAACTTTGACCTCAATTTTCAACCCCTAAACGAATCACAAAAACAAAACAAAAAGATGTAGGAGAATGAGAAGACGCTTCTGAATCATTTTTTACCCTTGGAATTAGTTTTTCTCGTCCCTATTTCTCAGAAAACACCGTAAGGTGCGTGGACTTTAGACTGCCACGCGCCCGTTAACGCATAAGATCGGATGCCCAGTTAACGGGTTAATAAAACGCGTCATGAATGTTTCTGTCAGAGTCGATAGTAATAACCGGCAATTTCAATTTCGACAGAAATATATATATTCGCGGGTGGCATCTTTGACCTGTCAAAAAGTAGACAACTTTAACGGTTGGCAAGCCTCTTTTCTTAACGATCGAAAGTTTCGAAAATAGATTATTAAAAAAAACTTTCTTCTTCTTTATTTATTTATTCCTAGTCATTTTACCGGTAGATAACCGCCTTAAATATCAATCCTAAGTCGTCTCGCTCCCACTTCAAGCAGCGAAAAAATGTCAAGAGGCGACGCAAAAATCTCCTAAGTCGGTGCTAAGCCAAGTGTCAGGATTTCCGAGCGGTTTCCGAGATGTCAGCAGCTTCAGGAAATCAACGAAGACAAGAATCATATCTCTCAATACAGTACAGTCAGGGCTTTCAATTCCACTGAACCATGTCATTGGAAGGCCCCTGAGTGTTATAACACTCATAACGTCGATTCTTTCAGACTGTCAAAATTATCAAGACTAAATGAACATCCGATTTGACTCATCGATGGCCAAATTAATGGACAAAAAAACGATTTCTTCGGATAAATTTTTGGATATCGCTGGATTAAAAATACTTTCCTGTCAGTAAATCACGATGAAAAGGAGTAAACTTAACTATTATAAATCGACAAAATCATAAAGAGTGAAGTCTTAGAAACACTTCTATAAATGACCTTTTGATCTCTATTTATTGAACACTAAACAGCTTCACATGGTAATATCGTTAAATTAACGAGAACAAATCGTTTTTGATTTCGTAAAAATCAAAGAAACTCAATATTTTTGTCCTGAAAGAAAACTTACGAATACAGTCATTGAATCTGTTTCTCCACTTTTCTTCTTCCGAAATTCTCATTCTTCTTTTCTTCGTCTGAGTTTCTTCTTTTCAAATTTCAAAAATCATGAATTTTTTTGAAAAATTTAATTTTTCTCGATCTTGTTTTTCGAAAATAAAAAAGTTGGAATTGGCGAAGACGGAGCGAGCTGCGTCGGGATCCCAGTGAACCGCAAGATGTTTTCTTTTTATTGCTGCTCAGCTCTGCCTCGGCTCTGGCTCTCGCTTTTTTCTGAGCGCCCGCTCAAAGTTCGCGCATTTTTCGCGTCTAAGCCAATCAGCGCGCGCTGGCTCCAAGCGCTGAGGAAGGGAGAGAAAGAAGCCAGAGTCGTCATTATTGATGAAGAAGCATTCCATTTTTTAAGTTACAAATTTTTAAAGAATTTTTTTAATTTTCAAGCGTAGTTTGCGTTTTCAAAATTTCAGATTTTATTGACACTGTAAATTTAGTCATTTTGTTACATTCGATCGATAATTTATAAATTATAAGTTTCCCTGATGTCTTGGCGATGATATTGTCTAGAAAATCCGAAAATAAGAATTTCCGACACTGTCGTTTAGTCAAAACGGTGAAAGGTTTACACCAGATTTACATAAGGTGTTGTTAATTGTCTGCGAGCATTTCCAGTGGAATATTTACCATCTCTTGATTCGCCTATTCCATGACGCTAATGATGCTTATGGGATATGTTCCGATTCTTTCCTTGGCGATCCGCAATCTGTTGAGAAAGATGTTGGCCAAAAAGGTTACCCCTGAATATGTAACATTTTGCAACACTCTTTTGTACAATCATAGCTCTTGTTAGCATATGACATTATTAGCATTTAGATCTGCTTTCTGTTTAGACAGATAATGAATTTTTAACATTAATTTTTTCGATAATGTCATATGATAATAAGAGCTATCAATGTATAAAAGAGTGTTGCGAAAGGTTACATATTCATTGGTAAGATTTTTGGCCAACATCTTCATCAACAAATTCAGGATCGTCGTGTGAGAGATAGCAAAGCGTCATAGGTAGAATAAATGCTTAGAAAGATGCTCTCAGGACATATTCCAATTCTTTACACATGGCGATGTAGAATTTATTTACATCGATGCTTCCATGTGTTTCAATATTTTTGTGATCATAAAGTGAATTTTTTAATATAAATTTTATTGCTCTTCGTGTTTTCTACATTTGAACCTCTCATTCTGTCAGTCTGATACTTAATTATTTATTTATTCCGGAGCGACATTCCATGATGATGTTTAAATTTCAGACTCAGTTTCTGGCAAAATGAATCGGCTAACCAGAACAGTTCTTTCCCGCCTACCCCTCAAAATCGCCCCAGTTCGGCCTTTGTCAGTAACGATTCCGAAAAAACACGGCGATTTCGAATGGGAAGATCCAAAGTCGCCGGAAGATGTTGTAAATGTAGGCACGAGTTGGAAAATCAGTTCAACGGGGCAATAAAGAAATTGCCGAATTGGATAGTATTTACGGAATGAGCGTTTTATTAGTCTGATCATGATCGCTCAAAATGACGAATGGACAAGTTATCGATCAGGAGGCCTTTCGTTTTAGCGGCTTTTCCGTAAAGTATGACTCGCGTAATTTCGATTTGAGCGATTGCTAATTTGAAAATGATCAATCTGGAATCAGATTTCAATTTCCGGGCTTTAGACTTCAAATCGTAACTTCTTTCTTTTTTCGTAATTTATTATTTCGTAGTTCATTGAACATAAAACCTCTTTTGCTGATGAGTACATGTAGGTCACTCATGACTAGGAGCTGAGCAGGTCAGCCTCAGCTTGGTGGCCTGTGTAGAAAACCTGAGACAGATAAAACAGTAGATTGAAATGGTTATTTTGCGAAGCCGGTGCGAGTCTTTTCATTAATGATCTTTCAGATCCTGTCTCAGGTTTTCTACACAGATGGCCGAGCCCAGATTCTTGGCCTTAGACTAAGAGCGGTTTTGCCTAACTCATGAGAAAGTATACCAAGATCGTGACGGAATCGAGCACAAGATCGCTGGAAAAGTCGGGGACAATCTTATGTTTTTGGCTCACAGACATGACATCGACATTGAAGGAGCTTGCGAGGCTGCTTTGGTAAGAATCTTAAACTTGAGCTGATTCAAGAGGCTCAAACAAGGAAATATCCGTGTCACTCCTTTTTCTTCAGCTTGACTTTTTACCTTGAGAAGTGTTGTTATCCTATCTTCCTCTAGGCCTGTTGTACATGCCATGTGTATGTGGAAACAGAAGATGAGCACTGGGACTTGCTCGAGGAGCCAACAGAAGACGAAGAAGATATGCTCGATATGGCCCCTTATTTACAAGAAAATTCTAGACTTGGCTGCCAAATAACACTAACTAAAGGACAGCGCTCAAAAATCTTTAACGAACAGCAATTTTTACAACACATTTTAGAGTAAAATATCCGTAACCCATCCATATTATTTTGAGCCCTTGCAGAACTTGAAGGATTGATAGTTAGACTCCCTTCGGCAACAAGAAATTTCTGGGTTGATGGCGCGAAGCCCGAACATCACTAAATCTGTCTGACTCAACGACTGTTTATGACATCGATTTCTGACATCTTGTTTGTCTTACTGATAATTAACACGTGTTTCTATATTCTATTGCATTAGAATTTTCGAAAAAATACGTCAACATAATTCTTTCAGAAAATAATGACTAGAATCAGATGAAAAACTCCAAAGTACCAATCAAGCTGAAGAAATGTTGCATTCGGAATATAGAACTGATCATCAGCTGAAGCCTGACGAAAGAGTCATCTTTCCATTGAAAGAAATACATATAAAAGTCGAACCTTATGACAAAGATGACGATGTGGACCTTGAGACCAAATTAAAGGAGCAAGAAGCAGAAGAAATAGAAATATTCATAAAGGAGGAAAGAATCGAAGACGAAGAAGAGATCTGCATCAAAAGTGAAATCATAGAAGACCCTCATCCCAATAGTATCACGATCAAAGAAGAATCACTTGAAGATAACAGCCCTGCTATACACCCTGCTCAATATCATAAAGAAATCTTCCTCAGAAAGGACTTTTACGCAAGCTCTTCTCAAGAACAACGAGTTCTTTCATCAACGGTAAAATTTTCTTTTTGTGAATTCTCTATTCTTTCTAGTTTCTTCGCGAGAAGGGCTTGGTCATGAATGTAAAAGAAAGACGAAACGCATGCTCAGACCCATCTCGTGAATTTCACTGTGATCTCTGCCCCAAAGAAAAGCCTCGAACCTTCACTTCAATGGAAAATCTTTGGCGGCACTTTTGCCAGCATCTTGGTCATTATATTTTTCACTGCGATCATTGCGAAAAAGGATTCTATAGAAAGGACAAACTGGATATTCATTTAAAGGTACGATCTTATGATATCTAAAAGAGGGAAAAATATTCTTCAGAACAATCATCCTGAAGTTTCCCGACCTCCAAAACGATACAGAGCTCCGAATAAAAGCAGGGCGTTTCCTGATAAGAGGAAACTAAGGGAAATTTTACCAAAAATAAACAAAGTCGATTAATTTAAAACTTTCATTTGCTCGTTTTTTCTGTCAGACAACTAATAATTTATTAGTAATAAACAACCTTGGTACAAACTTTTATCTCAATTGCTATTAGTTAATAACCTTTAGTTTATTTGGTTAAGCAATCTCTCGGGAAGAATAATTGATTCCATTTTCTATTCATTTCTTTTTGTAGAATCATGGGTAAACGAAAGTCGGCTCAACGAAGAAACAAAAAGTTCAAAGCAGCAGATCCCTTTGCTCGTGGAAAGTCGCAAGCTAATCTTGGTCAGGTAAAATCACAAGTTTCATTTCTTATATTTTAATATAAGTCTTTTTCTGCATTAATCTTTCTGTCTTTGAAAATACTCTTTTCACAAGGGAAGTATTGAAAATTGAACAGAGAATCATAGAAAAATCGAGCTGCGCGATTTGAGATCATTCGGCAAGAACTAAAAGATGATATGAACAAAAACAGTGATGATGCACTAGAATTAGCGCTCGATTCCGATGAAGATGCTTCTCAGCACGACCGTTCATCTTTCGAACCGTTTCTTCAGACTAAAATCGCGGCAGAACCTGGCGAAGATGAGTCAGATCACGAGGAGTTCGTGAAACGAAATGCCGAACAACCTCAAAAATTGGGGAGAAAAGCGCTGTTAGAAAAGACGCATTTCTGTGGCGAGTGTGGTGCTGGATTTACTCGTCTGGGACGTATGAAAGCACATATCTGGAAATTTCACTGCGATCCTGACACTATGGACAAATCGAAAGAGGCTGCCATGTCAATTTGCGTCTTCTGCGGGAAAGACTGCGGAACACCAGCTGCCACAAAGGAGCACGTACAAATGCTACACAAGAATGCGAGAATCAATCAACGAGTTGGATTTAAGTGTGCATTTTGTGCACTCCATTTCCGTGGATATCAGCAGTTGACCAACCATCTCATGAAAACTCATAAAACTCGATTCAACTGGGTGTGTAAAATTTGTGGCGAAAAACGAATATCAAAAGAGTCTGTCGAAGATCACATTGAAGATGAACACGGATCAGCTACTATTGGGCCCCAACTCGAAACTTACGAATGTGAGCTTTGTTCGTATGGTTTTCCAGAAATACGACGATTTTCATCGAGAGCCTATTTTTTGGCCCATGTGTCGCAGAATCATGCTGGTCACCCAGAGGTTTATAAAACGATCTGTAAAATTATCGTCGGAGGAAATCATATTGAAGCAGAGATTTTGGAAGTGGATGACCCCGTTGAAAAAATACCTGCAGTGCCGGTACAAGAGACTGCTGAAGATGAGGAGATCTGTCTCAAAGAAGAGGACGAGGGAGAAAAAATATCAGTATCAAAATCAAGGAAAAAAGTGTTCGCAGAAAAGAAGTTTTTCTGTGAAGATTGTGGTGCTGGATTTACAGAGCGCGGAGGTTTGCGAAGGCATATGAAGAATATTCACGGAAAGGCTCTTCCACATCTACGCATTAGTTCGAATCCTAAACATTATCCTTGCCCGGAATGCAACAAGATGTTCGCACGTAAATGGCACATGAAACGACACGCGAGAAGTGTTCATTGCATTTTCCTTGGGGAGCAGCATGTAAAGGAGATTTTGGAAGAAGATCAGCCCATTGATGAAATGACTCCAGTGTTGGCGCAAGAGAATTCTGAAGACGAAGAAATCTGTCTCAAAGAAGAAGACGAGGAAGAAGAAATGGCAGTCAAAAATGAAAGAGATGAGACCTGTTTTAAGCAGGAGCTACAGACATGTGATGAAGCAGACATTGTGCCTGCACCTTTTCTTTGCGAGCTTTTGCCTGATTCGGTAAAAGACGAGGTTGTCGACGAAGCAATGATCAAAGAAGAACCAAAAGACGAAGAAAACAATCCTGTTCTTACCTCCTTTCTCCCTCGAAAACCTTCGCGACCTATTCCAACCCTGCCGATAAAGCCGATGCCTTCACTCTTCAATGGTCCGCGAAAGTTCAGCTTGAAAATTAACTACAGTTCTCTAAAGTTCAAGCTTCCACAAAAGCGAAACTTTCAAGAGAACGCTTCCTACGAAAATCAGGATGATGATCTTTCACAGAAGACTGCTAAAGAAGAAGTCAAGGAAGAATACCTTATAGAATAGAAGATGAAGATAACGAAAGACGTCTACTTATCACATGACTTTAGATTTTTTTCTTCACTGAAATTGCAACAGCAATGCTTCACTTGCCACTTGAAAATGTTTTAAAAGCTGAATAAAGAATAGCTTCAAAATATTGTCATAGTTTTCTCATGATCAATTTTGAAAACAACGGAATTGAATCGGGCTACGATCTAAACATTTTCCACTCAGGATGTTGGCTTCGGTTACTCTGGTGGCATGGAAGAAATGCCAAAGAACTTAAAACGCATCCTGAAGAAAGAAAAGTCTGCGTCAACGGAAACGAATCCTAAGAAAAGGACAGAGAAGGAAAAGAAAAAGTCTGCCGTCTATAGGATGCTTTCCGAAGGTCAGTCTACTTCCCGCGTTGGCTACTTGAGTAGAAGTGTTCTTTCCGGGACTAGTCAGGAGTATTGGCTCATGATGCCATTTTTACCATAGTTGAAATCCTCAAAGACTAAAATCGATAATCACCCTAGATTTAAAACTTTCTTTCAGGAGGCTTTGATGACGAACGACCGAAGATTAAATTCGTAAAGAAAAGTTACGAAACAATGGCTGAATTCAAAGATCGAATGCATGCAGAATGTCAGAATGCGATCACAATTGCGAACGGAACGAAAGCTAGAAATGTCGTCAAGGAATTCAAGAAGGCGACGAAATTGGACAAGAATAATGGCAAGATTCCGGAGGAGCAGAAGCCAAAGCAAAAAGCGATCAATAGAAAGAGATTGGAAAAGAAACAAATAGAAAAAGAGAAAAAGTCCGACAAGGTTGTCCAATTTTAATTATCAGAGATTTATCGTTTTTTAGGAATTGGAAAGGCTGGAGAAAGAAATGCTAAAGGACCGCGTCGAGTTTGGAGAACGAGTTGATGCGCCACCAGAATTCAAGTCGCTCCCCCGCGGCGCACAGAAGAAAACTACCGGTCGCTTCAGCAATCTTCTACTGTTGGAGAAACTGCAGCTGCCAGAGCATCAAGTCGAGCAAAAACAACAACAAAAGACCAGAGAGGAAGAGCTTGCAGAAGAAAGAAAGCGAGCAATTGAAGAGTATCGTAAACTGCGCACTATTCGAACTTGATGAAAAAACTGGTTTTGTGAAAATTTCTCTAAAGAGCATTTACGATTGACAAAGCTGTCTAGCTCGCTCATGAAGATAACGAGCTTTATTTTGCCTTACGGCCGCGTTTTCTCACCAAATATGCGGTTTTAAAATTCCATTGTAAATGCTCGCGATCGCGTTTTATCTCTCAAATTATAAGTGCCCGCCGTGCTTTATCAGGGGTCCGTCTTTTAGACTCAGCATATAAGAAATAACTGCAGGATAAAGCGGGAAAAGTATACCGTAGTACAGAACGCTTGGAATATTTTTATACATCTAGCGAGACCAAATGGAAGGCATCTTGCCAGGCCTACTTGTGTCTGTAGTAAATGTCAATTCCGAGTGCAGAGGATTATCTGAGGAATTTTATCATGATCAAATTGGCAATCGTTCGTAAAGTCGGGCATCTCAGATGCCGCATCTGGAAGATTTTATCTCCGAGCTATCTTACGGTACATCCTACTTAAAAAGACAGTGCTCCACTCAGGTGGAGGATTTCTTAACTTGTGCAGGATGCGACTCATCATTCGAGTTGCATCTGAAATATAACGTTAGCAGTGAAGGTCAAACCAAAGGTCCCGGAAGGATTTTGTATCCATGATTGTATCCGCACCGTCCTACTTGCCTGGAAACTTGAAGCAATCTGGGAGATATGAGCCATCATTAGGATACCGTTGACGTTATAGAGAGGTCAGTCACCAGCCTTGCGATTTTGTCAGGCCGACAGTTTCGGCTTCTGTTCATTCGCAGATGCCGCATGACATGATTAGGAGAGCTAGAATCTTTTCAGTTTTAGGTAGCTTTCAGCAGATTTATCATTTCGTTTTTGCAAATTCAAGGCGATATTCAAGCAGGAAAGCCCAGCTGAGGATAAAGATAAGGCTAAAGGTCATTAAGGGTGGTGGAATCCATTCGTACGTGCTTGTTCTGATTCTCTGATGTATGCAGAAGTGGTGATAGCACCGCCGCGGGTGCTCTCGGCTTGTTATCCTGGGCCAATTGCTTCCCTCCGCGGGGTAATGAACTTGCCTCTGAAGAACTTTCCGTCCTCGACGGCATGTGGATGCAATCAGTCTCTGTCCAGCACTCCTGCCTCTCAGAACTCCTTCTTTTTCTTCCCTTTTTTCTTCCTCCACCAAAGGCTTCAAAATGAGCGGTATGAACAAACAAAAACCATCGTTGATGCTTCTAAGTTTTCTTTTTCGAGAGAAATAGAAGAGAATAAAGAGATTTTCATTTTCATATAGAATGTCAGTCATATTCACTGTTATTATCCACCAACGACTTGGACGCTTTCTGCGGTCAATAAATAATTTCATGGTCGATAAAAAAACGCCCTTATTTTGCGGTAAAACAGTTCCATTTGTCGATTGTTACTGTTGATAAAGGGCGGTTTTATAAGGCGACATGGGTTGATTGGTTTCCGGTGCAAAATTTTTTTTACCTTATCTGAATTCAGGGAGCCCTCCAATCACGTCGGCTTTAGTGGCTGATAAACCAAGTGGAGTTGGCTCCAAGCGGAGTTAGCGCATTCTGACTTCAAGGTTGTAAACTGGCGCCCCGTCTAAATATAAGCGACCGGTACCACTTCCATTCCACAAGCGTAATCAAACAAAGCAAAAAAAAAGAGAGAAAAAGCGTTCTTGCAATTTTCTTCAACTAAAAAATTAACACACAGCCTTTTCGACCAAAACCTAAAAACAACATGACCCCTCAGCCAATTCAAGATGACGGTACTAAGAACAGTGAATATGGTGAAAATTACGTGGTGCTAGAAAAGCCAAAAGGCTACTCCGATTTCAATGAATCCGTTGAAATCAAAAGGGTGATAGAAAACACGGCTTCGAAGTCGAAAAGCGACTCAGAAGACTCCGCGGATGAGCGACCAGACTCCTCCAGCGAAGGATATTTATCTGGTGATGGTAATTACTTTATTTATTATGTAGCGATGTTAAATTAAGAGGGCCCAAAACGCCGGTATAGTAAGTGCTCGAGAGTAAACTAAGAGTCTGAAACTCAGAGTCTCAATATTTATGGTCAAAACGAACGGAGAATATGCGTCTATTTTTACCGTATTTATCGTAAAATAGCATTTTCTAGATAATGTTATGTAAATGAATCTCCTAATAGCATGAGATTAACTCAAGTTCAGTTTATTCTCAATTAAAAACTTATGCCATTTACTTCAATTTCTTCAGGATAGGTTTCCAAATGGGGACACAAGTCTTAGAATTTGTACTCTTCCTCTAACCCTAACCCTAACTAGACTACTACTATAGCCAGCAACAACAGTAATAAGCAGTTTCATCTGTTGATTTCGCGAAAATTAAGAACTTGTCCAAAAGTTCAAAGGTGTATTAGTAATCTCTTTTATGTATTCATGACGTGCTCTCGTCTGAGACTCTCCCAATTGCGAGCCCAGCCCACGATTTTCTCGTGTGACTGGCTCCGCTCCGAAGAGAGAAATTATATAATTGCCCCTTGTCTACTGATCCTTAGGTAACTTGTGGTGTGTGGTGTTACTGACAGTATAAAAGCGAATATTTCATAAAAATCACTGTCTTTTTTATATTTCGAAAAGGACTTTCAGTAAGAAGTCGTTTTTTTCTAGGCTTCCAGCGAAGCACTAGCGAAAGAGTCGCTGTCGATTGGGAAACTCTCTTTGAAGCAGCACCAGCAACTACTCCAGACGGCATGCAGAGATCCAAGGTAGGAAATGTGAAGATCCGATTTTTCGTTATCCTAATTTTTAGGGTTTTGGAAAGAACTTTTATTCATAAAAATACAAATCGAGTTGAAAAATCGCCTAAAAATTGACAATATATTAATCTTATTATTCAAGAAAATGATTTTTTAAACATTACATTATGTAATAGTTTTCGCCCCATAAATAATTTTTACGCTTTCCTCCGTCATTTTCATAACAACGGCCCATCTCTTGCGTAGAAATCAGCATCATCTACTCGCTGTAAAAAGTTCGCGCTACGTCTCAAAAAACCTACTTCCTCCAGCTTTATATTTTGAGAGAAAATACACAGATTTACTTTGGCCTTGAGAGAGTAGCCGATTTTGAATTGGAGATAAATATAAACAAACGTTTCGGGTTGTGCTTTTGTGCTAGATGTTTCAGCCGGTGGACATGAATAAGGTGCGATTCTGAGAGATTTAACGGTTGGAGAAACTTATTCCTAGTAGGATAATCGCCCGTAATCGTAAAATTCGCCTCTTTGAATTCGCAAAGAGAAAGTTGCGCGCAGAATAGAGATTTTTATTCCTCGAAAAACTTGTTTTTTTTTTCTGAATTGGCTTTTCAGTCAATCGTCGAATTCCAACAACTGATGCGGCAAGACGCTCAGGCTGCCCTCCGATCCGAGCTCGACAAGCTCATCGATGCCGCGGATGAGAATGACAAGGAATTCTTCAACAACGAGTTCAACGCATTCGCCAATCTCTTCGAGCGATTCCTCCAAGAACGAGGACCATCTGTCGAGTGGGAGAAGATCCGACCCCCACGGGAAGGAATGGTAAGAACATGATCCCCTGTCTAGTTCTAGGGCGCTAAGTAAGACCACTTTCAAATTACATCAGCAACTTTTTGCGCAAGCCATCACGCGTACACTCCTTCTTTTTTATTACATAATCGTCCACGCTTTCTTTCATAACAGGTCATTAAATTTCTCTTTTCAGATCAAGCCATACTCTGACATGGTCTCCGCCTGCCCCAAGGGCCAGGAAAAAGCCTTCCTCGACAAGTTGGTCGTCATCAAGCTCAATGGTGGTCTCGGTACTTCCATGGGCTGCACTGGTCCCAAGTCGATGATTTCCGTCCGATCTGGATTGAACTTTTTGGATTTGACTGTTCAGCAAATCGAGCACTTGAACAAGACCTACGAGACCAACGTCCCCTTGGTTTTGATGAACTCCTTCAACACCGAAGAAGACACCCGAAAGATTCTCCGAAAGTACAACAACTGCCAGGTCGACATCAAAATGTTCAACCAGCACCGCTTCCCACGAATCAACAAAGAAACCCTCCTCCCTGTCGCCACCAAGGATCCCTACAACCCCAAGGACGGATGGTACCCACCAGGACACGGTGACTTCTACATGGCCCTTTACGACTCCGGCTTGATTGAAGAGTTCAAGAAGCAGGGCAAAGAAATCGTAAGCGACAGCAATATCAGCCTCAGAACTTATCGTAAATCTTAGATCTTCCTTTCCAACATCGACAACCTCGGCGCCACCGTCGACATGAACATCCTCGCCCACATGTCAACCAACCCAGACAACGAGTATTGCATGGAAGTCACTGACAAAACCCGAGCTGATGTCAAGGTAATCCTCAAATTTAAAAACTTTTCTCTCATCAAACTCTTTAGGGAGGTACCTTGATTGACTACGAAGGAAAAGCCCGACTTTTGGAAATCGCCCAAGTCCCAAAAGAACACGTTGACGAATTCAAATCTGTTTCCAAGTTCAAGGTAAGATCAAATCTTCCTGTAATCATCCACTCTCTTCTCCATTAGATCTTCAACACTAACAACTTGTGGATGAGACTTGACGCTGTCGACCGACTCTGCAAAAACGGCAAGATCGAAGACATGGAAATCATCATCAACGAGAAATCACTCTCCAACGGAACAAATGTCATCCAGCTCGAAACTGCTTCTGGAGCTGCTATCAAGGTAAAACCAATTTTCGATGCGAGAAACTAAATTATCCTCAAGAACTTCGACAATGCCATCGGTGTCAACGTCCCCCGAAGCCGATTCCTTCCCGTCAAAAAGACCTCCGATCTGATGCTTGTCATGTCCAACCTTTACGAACTCAAGTCTGGATCCCTCGTCATGTCCTCCAAGCGACAATTCAAAACCACTCCTCTCGTCAAACTCGGAGACGAGCACTTCAAAAAGGTAAAAAACTCCAAACGAAATCATCTTTCTACAATTTTGTCTTCAGGTCGCTAAGTACTTGAGCCGATTCAAGACCATTCCCGACATGCTTGAAGCCGATCACCTTACTGTCTCTGGTGATGTCTCATTCGGCAAGGACGTCAGTCTGAAGGTAGAACGATAATTTTGTATCAAATAATGATGTCTTCCAATAGGGCACTGTCATCATCATCGCAAATCACGGGGACCGAATCGACATTCCATCCGGCGCTGTGTTAGAAAACAAAATCGTCTCCGGCAACTTGCGCATTCTCGACCATTAGAAGCGCTCCCTGCCCCGACATTTCTCCCTCTGGTGAAATCAAGGAAGACTCACCTGACTTTTTTTATAACATGAAAGAAAATTTAGGTGAAACTTACTTGAAGCTATTTTCTAATTCGTGAAGCTCCCAATTTGAAATTGTTGGAGTTTCACTCGTATCAGTTCTATACCGTTAGTGCCAAAAACACCTTTCCCTGTCCTGTTTGTTGATGTCTGACTCTTAGTATATATTTTATTTAATATTAGTTAAGTTAATAATTACACAATCTGTCGAAAAACCAAAAGTGCAATAGTCTAATCTCAGTTATACTATTAGTCACTCTCAACTCTGTTTTCTTCTATGCAACTGTTGCCTAAATATATTTTAAAATAACGACGACGATTTCGTGTGTTTTATTTTATTGCGAAAATTCTCAGAGGTCAGAAGAAGTAGAGCTTGCGTAAAGAACTAGGCAGAATCCAAGATGAGGCATCAGAAGCCACCCTCCGTTGGCAATGAAGAGCAGCAGTGCGCAGCAGAGAAAGTAGAGTTTGCATTCTTCTGAAGGCAAAATTCGATCAAGCATTTTTTATGAGTTCTCTTGTGGTCTCTTTGAGTGTTTTTGTTTTGATTTATTCTTGCGAGCCCCCCGCCCCTTATGTAAGAGAAAAACAGATGTCTTGAGATTGAATTGGATCTGAAGGGCGCTAGAACTGATTGATAACACCTGTTGTTTACAGATGATTTGATGAAATCGAGATTTTTTAAGAGATTCGTTCAAAGATTGTAAAAGATCGAACCAGTGGTAATTCAAAAATGTAAAAAGTAAGTGTTGTTTTAGATTTTGTTTATTCCAGAAGAATGAGTAATGAATATTTCAGAAGAGAGATCGTTTAGCTTTTTTGACAGCAGTATTTTCATTGTCTTCCGATTTTCGTTTTCGCCCTTGTTGATTTTCTTCGACTTGCGGGATGTTTTCACCGATGACAGTGTAAGGCGGGGTGAGGGGAGAATTAGGCCATTCAAACGAAACTGAAGATGAAGCATATGTCGACGGCGACGCTGGAGGCGACTCCATCGGTGCTTTTCTAGGAGAAGATGTGGCAAAGGGGGGCATGTCTGGTTCAATCACTTCGAAGCTGTTGAACTCAACGCTTTCCAAGGATTCATTTGCGTTGTTGTCCTGAGGATCGTACTCAGCAGGAAAAGATTCATCAAAAAGAAACTCATTCTTGATGTCGTATTCTTCTTCTCCAGGAGCAAGATGATCTTGAGTGGAAATGAAGGGTTGGTAATCTTCTTCGTCGAAAGTTGTGAATCGTGGGACGATTTGATCGCTAGAAGACATTCTTTTCTCGTTTTTGTCAATTTATGATGAAAATAATTTCAACTGAGCTTTTATTCTAGGAAACAGCTGAAGGAAATCGAGGTATTTTTTCGGCGGCGCATGTTCAATGCGGCAGTAATCGAATAATGGCTTTCTTTGATGATGCGAAATTGATGCTTCAAAGAGGAAATAATTTTTATTTCTAGTATCGACAGTTCCGAAAATATTAAATTGACCAGGCTCATTTTAGTTTTTATCTGAGTAAGTTCAACATCACTGCGCGGATTTGAGTAAACAGACGATCAGAAGAATGCGCTCGGAGCAGCGCAGAATTCATCCTCCAAAAAGAGATGGAAAACAAAGGATTCAGCGACGGCGAAAGTGAAAAAAGAGAAAGCCTGGCTTCTCGACCGAGCAAAGAAATCGGACAGCTTTCGAGAACAACAATTTTTCTCGAAGCTCATCGTGACTCGAAGACATCTGCTGCTTCAAATGATTCAAAAGTCATCTCGATTGTCAGGAGCATCAAATCTTCGCATACCGTTGCTTCGGGAAAACCAAGGCTTGTTCTGGACACGCAGTTGTACTTTTGCTTGATGTTTTTGGGAGCTTTGAGTCTGCTCCCTTTTCAGGCATAAATTTACGCTGATTTCAAGAAAATCTAATTTTATGCTAGTTTATGGCAGTTCCAGAAGTCTACTGGCAGCGAATGCTTTACGAAGGCGAGAACATAACCGAATTCCGAGCTACGCCCTTTGATTTGACTCTCAATCCAAAGCAACACTACTGGCAAAACTGTTTGGTCTTTTTAGTCGGCCTTTCACTCACAGCTTCATCTTTTCTCGGCCTCGCACTTGGGACCAAGTTCAAGTTTGCCCGACTAATGACCTACACGAGCCACCTTGGAATTATGGCTCCTATGTTTCTTTTAGCTTCGTTAACTTGGCTCCACTTTCCATCATCCGCCTTTTTCGTCATTGCCCTCGTTGTTGTCCTCGTTATGTCCCTCGCCGGCGGGTTACTCCAACTTCTTGCGATCGAGCTTTGTTCTTACCTCCCACCGGGTTATCCGACTGGATTGATGAATGGAATGGCGCTTTCTGGAATCACAGCGGCCATCGTCAACATCATAACTGTTTGTGCCTGTCCATCGGCGGAATCTGCTACTTTTGCGATGTTTATTGTTGGTGGCACCCTGCCGATTTTATTCAAGGTGTTCAAATATAATTTATCAGACGCTTGAAAATATGAATATTATATATGACATATTATATAAGCTTATTATACCGTAGGTCAGTTTGTTTCGGAATCATAAAATATTCTATCATCATATTTGAGCTATGAGCAGCAATGATACTGTATGCAAAAGTACGATCCAATCCTCTTTTTATATTCTACAAATCCAATCCTTTTTCTTATGATCAAGACATGGTCTGTGAGCGAAATTTCGACAGGATTTCGGTCTCTGGTAGCGTCTCTCAGGGTCGTTGCAATCAGAACATGATGCTGGAGATCTGTAGGCTGATGAAAACCGACTTTTTGTGTGCATTCTTGCTGTCTACTGTCACTTACAGGTTGAACTCAATATTCAAAAAATCAAATAACGTCTACAATTTATAGCGTTTTTCCTGGACTACTTGCACAAATTCGATCAGTTTCACAAGATCAGTGGGGAATAGACACGCATCGATTCTTCGTTCCCACAGTGACATTCTTCAGTTTCAGCTGCTCCGAGTACCTCGGCCGTTGGTTTAGCTCTTACTGTACTTTCTCCGTGACAGAAGGGCCTGTAGCGCGAGCTTGTTGGGCAGGAGCTAGAATCGCGTTTATCCCACTTTTCATGCTTTGTAACGTCGATGCGAATGGTGAATTCATTGAAGTTCTCATCAAAAATGATACAGGTAAAATATTGTAAGTAAGGGCAATAAGATGACTTTTGAAGCGTACTGTGCTCTTGTCATCATTTTTGGCTGGAGCCATGGTTACCTAGCGAATTTGAACCTGAAGGAAACGACCGCCAGATTGAAAAAGCGTCGACGATCAGCCGAAGAAGTCAGCTACGGCAGTTTCTTTGTCTTTGCAGTTATGGATTTTGGTATTGCTGTTGGAGCAATCTTCTCGTTTTTCATCAAATATATTGTTATTTCTTGAGTCACAGAGAATCTGACGAACGTAAATAAATTTCCTTGAGTGTTCATGAATAACCATTTGCGTCAAATGCTAAAATGGGAAAAGATGGAAATGGAGAATGATTAAAAATCAATTTTTATTTCTTGTAATCATCCAAAAAAATGATTTCTCGGTCACACCAAAATCGTTACAACAATGCCTCTTTTATTGATTTAAGACGAAATCGCACAAGAATTCTTGAAATTTCAATCACAGCATCATGTGCGAGGCGGAAAGAAATCTTTATTTTTGGAGAGCTTTGTACAAATTTTCCTTCAAAAGAGTCGAGGATGAAATTATCGAGTTGTCTCCAGCTAGATATCTTCTTTACGATGCGATTCTGCAGAAACAATCGACGGAGAGGATCTTTGCCGCTCTCGATTTGTACAAGAAAGTAAATAAGAAGATCGACTCGTACAGAGGAATTCGTTCGATGCTTTCTGGAGAAACAAAAGAACTTTTTGAAGAGTTCGAAGAGCTCGAAGCAGAAATCTACAATCTCAAAAACGTTCAGGATTCGACATTTGTTCTTGGTGGATATGCAGGGCTATATCTTGCCATGAATATGCGCAATAAGCCAACGGAATACTCTCGCGAAGAAGTTGATGAGCGACTTTTCGAAGAGCTGCTTAATCTGGACATAGCCAGAGGAACTCCAGTCAGCCACTTCTTCGTTGTCGCCGCTTTGACAGTTCATCTCGATCTTCTAACAAGTCCACTTTGGAATAAATGTACGTTTTTTGATTTCTTGAGGTTTTTTAGCTAGATTCTCTTTTAGACGACATTGACTGGAGCTATTGCATTGGGCAGCACAATGTTTTTAATGCTCACCACGAGTTCATACGTTTCGTTTTGATGAGAAACCCGTACTCAAAGGAAGACAGTTATTACGTGGTTCACAAGATGGACGATACGTTCTGCCACCTGATGGACCGCATGCTCAAATGTATTTCTCAAACAGAAGCCTGCGAGGTTGTTTCAAGACCAAATTACATGGGAATCACCTACGTTTTCTTTGCATCAAGACTGTGCTACCGCGCTACAAGAATGCTCCTCGACCGTTTTCCCGATCTTCAGTTTAATCAAAACTGTTTCTTTGGAAACACCGTTGGGCTCATTTTTACCCCTCTGATCGGCCGTATTCTAGAGCGAGGAATGAATCCTTTTATCAAGCCAAGATACAGTTGCGTAGTGCCGAATTTCAACTTCGAAATGAAAAGACTGATGTTTCAAAAATACCCCGAACTGACTTGGAAAAAATCGACTGAAGAAAACTACTTTTGCTGAGCATGCACGACATGTTCAAAAAAGAAATCAATGAGCAAGTAGACATGAAGGCGCTTGAGAAAAAATGGGTAACGGGTTATGATAGTAACGGTCAACCGATGACAGCGTTTTACACTTCTTGGTACGATATCAAAGGAAAAGAAGAGTCGCAAAACATTAAATCAATGCGATACTTCCCCGGAAAACTCATAAAGAAAGAGAACAAGCTTGGGGAAGGAGGACAAGGCTCAGTATTCGAATGTCTTTGGCATGGAAAGCCCTCAGCAGCAAAGTTCATCAAAAGCAAAGACGTGGATTTCAAGAAGTACATCACCTCGAAAGGAAGAAAAGGCGAAAAAGACATGCGAAAATTTCTCACAAGTCAAGCATCGGAGTTCTACATCGGCCTCAACACTGAGAACCCAAATGTTCTGAAGATGTACGACTTTTTCCTCCAGCACGAAAACGGTGCGAATGAATTTGTCATCGTCAGTGAGCTCTGTGAGAAAACATTGCTGGAAGAAAAATTCTCGATGACAAATCATGTAAAATATCTCAGACAGGTTCGCTTTTTTTGCTTTTTCTTCGTTGATTTCAATAATTGAAACTAGGTGAATGCGGCTATCAAAGCATTTGGAGAAAAGGGACTTTGTCACAGAGACATAAAACCGCAGAACATTTTGCTGAAACGAGACAATAATGGCGTCCTCTCAGTCAGAGTTGCTGACTTTGGCTTGAGCGGTTTCTCCGGAGGAACTCCTCTTTACAATCCTCCAGAAGCGTTGACAACGTCGTATCCCTACGCTTCAGATATTTATTCTCTTGGAATAACGGCTCTTTTTACGCTTTTTGAGACAGAGCTGGCATTCAAGCTATATCTCATGCCTGGTTAGCGACAAAGATTGAGATTATCATCGAATTCATTTTAGGAATCGATCTTGATCTGAGTAAAAAACTGAGAAAGCAAGGAAAAGACACATGTTTGTCAGTAATTTCTCGAATGATCGCCGACGATTATAGATCTCGACCAACTGTGGACGAGATTGATCATTTCTTCAGCACGACAGAGCTGTGGAGAGTCTCTTCTAGGATCGGTCAGTAAGAGTTATCTAACGATTTCGTGTCTTGGTACACTTACTGACCAAAAAAAAACAGCGACTCTTCGAAAATCACCGCCAAAGATCTTGGCATATCCGACGAATTGAATGAAGCCGCACTCTCATCTGTAAGAAAAAGCGACTCAATTCATGGAAACTTTATGCTTTTTAGATCGGGAGCGATATTCAGCGACGAGCAGCAAAGTACGAAGACAACCCTTTCTCTCGATTTTTCTTCTCGGAGAGAGTGACAAAAGTAACCGACTTCGAAGGAATAAATCAGCTTTCCAAGATGATAAGTCATACGATTCATGATCAGGTATATTGGTTTTATTTTTTTGTTAATATATTACACTAGGGTGATTCGTTCAAATGTTGGGCATTCGCGACAGCTAGCATGATTCGAGCATCTCTTCGAGAAGCAATCTCTAAGTCAAAGAAGATACTCCAAGCGGAGAAGGAAACGCTTTACGAGGATATTAAGTCGATCAATCATAAGGTTGGTATTGAAGCTTTTTATCGAAATTAATCATATTCTAGCTTTTACGAACGGAGTTGATGATGAATGTCATCCCAACAAAAGTAAGCGCTAACTCCGACGATATCCAGTCAGCGATGCTTCATCATGTAATGAGAAGACTCACTGAGCCGACATTTCTTCAGCGAGAAGGTTCATCGTTGGTCTTGCCCGATGTTTACTGAATTTTAGGAATCTACATGCTTGGAACTTTGAGACCAGTCCTCGAAAAAATGAAGAATTTCGAGGTGAAGCTTGAAATGTTTGCTCATCCGACTGATTACGACAAATGCCCGGTTAGTTTTTCTAATTCTTGAAAATACTCAAATATTTTTTAGAAAAACTTATCGTCAATTCCACTAGTTGGCGACTTTATCCATGCGCTGGATGCCAAGAAAGTTATCGTTTGCCCTGTCAGGTAAAGACAAACTGACTGGATTAAAAATTCCTGGTGAAATTCAGAATGGGTGCATCTTCCATAAAACACGCCATGTGCTTATTTGGATTCAACGAGAATGATGAGTTTCTGTTCAAAAATACATCAAACGAGACAAAAACAGTTGCAATCCCTCTGACTGCTACCGAACCTAGAATCGGCTTCCACATAAGCTTTCAAGAAAATTACCAATAAATTGCTCTCGTATGTTGATTTATCTCAGCATTATTCAGGAAGAAAGGTTGATCACATGTTTTGAATCGTAAATTGAGTACAGACGTTTTTGAGCTTGAAAGTAAAATTCCCGCAGTCTTCAATAGAACCAACAAACTCCATTGTTTTATCAGGTGCCGGTCTCGAAAGGTTCAATTTTTAGAATGCTTATTTCGCCTTTCAATTAAATTAAACCTCTTCCTGATGAAATTTCGAATAGTGACGGGATAGTCCAATGACTTCCTGAAGAGATCATCGAAAATTTTATTGAGATTTCCGGTGAGTTTATTTTCCGAAGTGAATTCTTCTGGAGAATTGATGAGCGCTTGGAAGATATTTTCAGACCTAATATTTTTCCTTCGTTATAGAATAAAAGTAAAAGAACTTACAGTTTTGTGACAATATCCAAATCAGGTTTGGGGAAATGATCTCTTCTGGAAACAAACTCCTCAAGTTCTTTTATCATTTTATCTAAGGAATTTGTTTTCAAATCTTTTAATTTCAATCCAGTGAAAACACTCAAGTTAGGTTTTTTGAAGTGCTCATTTTTAAAAAGAAACCCCTCAAATTTTTTTCTTATAGTTTCAAAGAATCCTGTTTTTAAATTTTTCGTCGATTCTTTTGGCATTTTTGGGATCTTCTGAATCTTCGAAATTCTCTGAATATCAAAAATCCCGAGCGAGTAATGTTGCAGCCATATTTTATATCGCCAGACGAGTATTTTTTCGAAAATTTCAGAAGATTCGTATAATTCCCGCTTTGATGATTTGTCATTCTTAGGAAAAGATACTTGAAGTGCGCTTTCATAGGCTTCATTACTAGCTCATCTCTTTTTTATGTGAAAAAATAAAGCCCAAAACAGACTCCTTCTGATGGATACGGGATCGAAGCATTATTTTTCACCACAGCAGTGCTAAAATTTTTTTACAATAAATGGCTTAAAAATATTCAATAACCATGAATCATCACATGTATTCGTTTCTTCTAGCTCCCATTTTTGCAAATAATTCTTCGGGATTGTGAATGAGGTCTCTGAACAAGTTTCTTTTGTCAAAATTGAACTCCCGAGAACGTCGAAGCCTCCGATGGGTAAGATCTCTTTTGCTCCGATCATTGGTCGTTGGACACATGCACGAGCGATTGCTGCATACAAAAATAAAACATAAAATAAATTCATATAAGAACGATTTAACATCGGTTTCTCTGATGCAATTTATTTTTGCCGCCTGCGTTGGTCTGTTCTGAATAATTGCAAAATGTCATATAAGCTCTATGAATATGAAAGTTAAGAAATTAAAGCATAAATTATGATTCATAAAAAATTGATTTTATTAAGGTCCCAAAATCAGATAGAAAATGAATTATAAAAAGTTCGGCGCCATCGTTTTCATGAGCATGAGTTGAAGAAGTTTATCGGGTGCGTATTTCGTCCCTGCGCGCATCACGTTTCTTGCAATGTTGCCAAAGAAGCTGTCAACAATTCTGAGATAGCCAAAGCCATCGCTGGCCATGACGAGTCTTTTCACTGTCGGGTGGCGAACGTCGTAGAAGGCCTGGAATGCTTGTTCGTACGGCATCTCGTCCAGGAACTCGGCCAGGAGGTACGCGTCCTGGATCGCTTGATTCGCGCCTAATTGACGTTTTTTGACGCAGGTAAAAGTCAAGAATAAGGGTTTTCATCTTCTCTTAAAATCTAACCTTGTCCAAGAAAAGGCGACATAGCATGACAAGCATCCCCGATCATGCAAATCCTCCCCTTTTTGATTCGTTTTCAAAATGCCCTCTTTGATGAGAAAATAACGATCGGATTATACAATAACAATTTTCATTTCGTTCCCAGATGATTCACTTTGAAAATCGCGGCATGTCAGTTTCTAAAATTTAAAACGAATTTTCCTTGTGCCACTTTGGCAAGTCTTGTTTTTCAAAAACGCCGAGGTGGAGCAGCCGATATGTGTTCATAACCATCTCCGGGGTGATGATAGATTGGCGGTTGTAGAAGTCGTGCTCGGTGAACACTTCGTGCAACTCGCCATCGTGCACTTTGAAGGACCATTTCCGGCAGTCAGAATGCCAGTCGTCGTTGCCTGGGTGACAGACGGCAATCATTGCTTCTCGGTTTGGCAGAGGCATGGTCATAATTGTGCATCCCCCGCCAACGTCGATTTCATAACCAGTCTTGTCCGGCATGTCCCTGCCAATATCCGGAATAATCCCGTAATAGACGCAATGTCCAGTGTGCTTTGCCGCAGCAAGCTCTTCATCCCTAATGATGTAATCGATCCCGGCCGAGTGAATTCCATCTGCGCAGACGATGACTTCGGCGCTGTCTTTGATTCCACTTTCGAAGCTGACAAGAGCTTCGTCCTTCGTTTGGTCGAAATTGACGGCTTTTTCGCCGATATGAATATTCACATCGGGATTTTCTTCCATCGCCTAACGCAATTGAAAATGAGATTCAGGAACAAAAATTTACTTTGAAAAGATTTCTGATGAACAAATCCCGTCGCGCGCAAATGAAATGCCCTTCCATCGGCGTATTCTTCAGCAGGTCGAGTGGAAACATTCTTTCTTGAGCTACGTAACAAGTGCTTTGAAAATTGCTCTTTTTGTCGCCACCTTTGTGTTCATTTTTTTAACTCTGCCTTGAAATATTACCGCTAGGGCTGACTTGATTAACGTGGTGAATTTGCTCGGCCACATCTTCCCAAACATGACGGTAACCCAATTTTGACAGGCAAAGGGCACCGCCGTTGAGGCCAATTCCGGCGCCGACCGGGCCGAGCAACTCTTTGAACTGCTCGTAGACTGAATGTTTCAAATAATTACTTGCTCTAGAGTTTTGGCTGACGTACTATTAACCTGAAAAGAGTTCTACTCTAGGTGTTTTGCTTGACACTCCCGTCAGGGGATTAGATGACATTCTCGTTCACCCTGATGATTAAAATTAAGAGGTAAAAACAACCGTTGAATTCATTTAAGGGATCCCCCCCGATTTCGCCAACTTTGACCTCTATCTACTTTTTTTTGAGCTTACGTAGGAAGCTGGTTTTGGGCGCATTAGAATGCCCGCTTTGAAAGGAGAAAATTCTGGTAGAATCAGCTTGCCAGCAAAACATTTGCTTATGTATTACAGGCCGTCAAAGTGATTAACATTTTGAAAAATGGCCATTTTAGGCCATTTTCAAATCGTATCTACTTTTTTTTGGGCTTAAGGATTCAAAATCTTTTTCGTTTATCTAAAAGTATAGACGCTCATCTTTATTTTTTGGTAGAATCAGCATGATCGGATAAGTTAATAAAAAAATTCTTGTTGTAAAACTTTTTGATACCATTTTTGCCGTTTTTTGGGTGTTTAAATGCTCTCTAGCGCCAACAATTGGCCGAAAATTCAAGTGCGGTTATTATTTTCGTAATCTACACATTCTAAGCTTTCAATAGACCCCTTATTTGTCCTATTTCGATGACAATGAAAAATCGAAAAAAATTGCGATTTTCACGCTAAGTACAATTTACATGCATTTTCCCGAACTTTGGGAGCCAAAATTTCGGGGATGCATTTATGTAAAGGGGTACTATCATATATCAAAATGATTCTCAGAACACGAGGAATCTTATCATAGGCAATAATGGCCGGTGCCAAGGTTTTGAAAAATCGGGGGGTGATCCCTTAAATGTTCTTTGAAATCATCGATTTCTAAATTAATATAATAATTTTATTTATCAAAACCAAAATTAGGTTAGGGTTTGGTCACATTTTTCTCAATTAAAACTTGATATGATTTATTTCATCCCGAATTGCCCTGGAAAATAGAGATTTACAAATTTACGTCTAATCTCGTTGAACCATTTCATAATCGCATCCGGATATTTTGGCCACAACGCGTAACTTTAGAACTCTTTCTTGAATCCATGTCTCGTAAGAGCCAACGCGGCCGATTGACCTCCGATTCCTGCTCCAATTACGATCGCTTTTCTAAAATTTTACTTCTCAGCTTTTTACAGTTGTTTTTCGGTACCTCTGAGCCATTTTTCTCTGCGTGTTTTGGTTTTATTTGAAAAGGAAGTTATGACTCAATGTTGAAATATTTCACAAAAGGGGCGAAATTAAACATGTGACTCAGTAGATCGATACTGTTGGCAGAAGGCCATGTTCAGGTGCAACCTCTACAAGCATTAAAGTCTGGGCTCGGCAACCTGAGTCAGGTTTTGGAAGAGCTAAATAAATCATCTAAATTTTCTTCAAACTCCTGGCGAAGCCGCTTTGCGGCTTCGTTTTAAAAAGCCGCTTCGCGGCTTTTCATTTTAGCTCTTCTAGAGCCTGACTCAGGTTTTCTCAGGTTGCCGAGCCCAGATTAAAGATATTCGTGCATTATGTAATTGCTATATTTTATTGGGATAACGATGAACCCAATTATGAATGCGAATTTGTCCGCTGAAATTTCAAATCAGATCATAGTGAAAATTAGTTCAAACAAGATGAGGGGAGCGGTTGTTCTAGGGAACCGTTATTATTTCATGCTCGCTCGCGTAAATTGAAAGACGCCCGGAGCAGAATTATCTTCTCGTGGCGCTAGAGAGCCCACATCAGGACAACTCATTATTGACATGTGCACGGGGAAGAATAAGGTCGGACGAAAATTACAGAAAAGAAAGGGCGAGTTTTAAATTTTCGATAAGAGGATTCGCAGAAAAGAAGACAGAGATTGAAAACAGAAGAATGACGAAGGGAAGCTTCAACCTTGGAGTTGTGTGTGGAATTCTTCTAGTTTTCGTAGTTTCGGCGTATTTTACGATGATAAATCAAGAGAGCTTTTTAAGAAGTCCAGAATATGTTCAAAAACGTAAGTCTTTAGGCAAAATTTAATTGGATATTTTTCGAAATATTTACCAAAATTAATTTGGTATATGTGAATTGAAAATTTCTTGATTATAAGTGGAAATTAGTAAAGAAATTTTCTTGGGACTCATCAAAATTACGAATAATAATTAAAATTAAATTGGTACTTTGACGGTTTTTCTTCGATCATTATTGATGATAAGAGGGTCTAATTGAATGATATTTAATCAATGATCAATTAGTAATTGACAATTACCAGTCATAAAATACTGAGTTTTTCTCTGAAAACGATTTCCAGGATCCAAATAGTGTAAAAGGAAATGTCACTCAAAACACGTGTAACGTGAATTATGTTTTTCCTAAAAACATTGCACTCAAGCTCTTTTATTACGTGCTTACCACAATGCATGATGTACCAGGTAGATCAGCGAACGACTGTAGTTTTGGCTAGAAAAACAAACTTTCAATATTTGAAAAATTGAAATATTGAAAAAAAATGACGGATGCTTTAGGAGATATTGAAATGGAAGCGAGCAGAACAAATTCTAGCGATTTTCTCAGCCGGAGAAATGACGAGCGAGTGAATCTGCTTAGAAAAGGTTGCAACTTGGACCAAAGGCGGCGTTAACCTATCCAAAAATGGCAAGCCAGCTCAAGAGCTTGTTTAATTGAACGGAAAATATTGCGGTCAGGGTTCTAAGTTCGCTTTGAACCAGTTCAATTGGTTGGTTAGCGTTTTGAAAGCATTTTCCGGGAATCGAAAAACATGGACTTCGATGAACTGCGAAAAATTCAGGTGGAACTGCTCGCCACGTCAGAGAAAATTGAAAGCGGCGCTAAACTGACGTTCGTTGAAAACAGAAAACAGCTTTACGACCTTTTTGACTTGAAGAACAACGATCTCCTTACTTGTCTACCCCCGAAGGTAATTATTCATAATTGCATTTCTGAAATCAGCGAAATATGCAGGCAGATGTTTTGCTCGAATTCATCAATGATTTCATCGTTGTACTTTAAAAAGAACGGTGCTCAGTTTTTCGCCAGCAAGATTTCAATTTAACCCCTTTGAATCAAGATATTCAATCCTTAACTATTTTCTCGAAAAATGATCTTTGATTATTTTAACGAAATCAATCAACTGACGGCCTCGAAATTTAAACTGTCCAAAATCTTGTTTCTTCAATTTTTTAAAAATAACTTTTTTCATAATCGAAAAAAAACATTCTTTTTAACCAGCATTGCGTCTTCTTGAAAAGGGCTTATCTCGCAAGTGCTGAGAGCTGACGAGTTTTCAAAGGATTGACAAAATCCGCCAACACTATAAAATCGCGCGTGTTTGACTTTGCAACAACAATTTGTCAAGTTCTTCATTTTAGACCGGCACCACAAACTGGCAACGATACTTTGCCGCGCTGCTCTATCCGGAACGCGAGCCGGAGAGTTTTGGAACTGACGAAATCTTCAAAGTTTTGCCTCGCTTCAAGACGAAAAATGAAATAGTCGACCAGGTATTTTTTTACAAAAATTATCACTTTTCTAGAGCGCCTGATTCAGTCTTTCAGGGTGGGAAAGAACTGAAATGAAAAGCCGCAAAGCGGCTTTTTAAAAACGAAGCCGCAAAGCGGCTTCGCAAATATTACCATGACAATCTATCAAAAATTCTGGCGAAGCCGCTTCGCGGCTTCGTTTTTTAAAAAGCCGCTGCGCGGCTTTTCATCTCAATTTTTCAGAGCCTAGTAGAGCGCTCTAAGTTAGAGCCCTCTAACTAAAAACCACTTTGAAATGTTTTTTTCAGGCGAAAATCCACAGCGTAGAAATGCGAATGATCAACGTTCGCCACCCATTTGCCCGAATTCTTTCCGCCTGGCGACAAAAATTTGGAAAGGATTTTTGGAACTTGGACATGTACGTCAGAAAATATGGAAAGAGCATTTCGAAGTTCGAGGAGATCAATTACGAGAATGAAAATGTCTTTTCTTTCCGAGCGTTTTTGGAGTACATCGTCGCTGTCGCCGAAATCAATCAGTTTGACTATCACTGGAAAACGATGGACTTTGAGGTTTGCGAAATTGAAATTGTTTATGTTCTTCTGAACGACCAAACACGTTTTTACGCGGCCAAAGAAATCCTAGAGGCGCGTTTTCTCAAAACCGCAGCGGCTGCCCTCCTCGGTCACCGGAGTTGATAATCTCGTGTTTTTGAACTTTCTGAATTATTTATTGCTTGCTTTCTAAACTTGTCGATTTTAGTGCTCGCCTTGCTTCGTGGACTACACGATCGTGACGAAGCAGGAGACTTCTGCGACGGACGCCAAATTCGTTACCGAACGCGCTCATGTAAGAAACTTATTTAATTTATATGACAACTTTGATACCGAGCGATTTAAAATTTATCAACCTTTACTACGAAAATTTCGCATTTACGGAATCGTATTTCTGGGCTCGGCAACCTGAGTCAGGTTCTGAAGATCTTAAACGAAAAGCCGCGCGGCGGCTTTTTTTATTTACGAAGCCGCAAATATATAACCATTACAATCTATCGAAAATTCTGCCAAAGCCGCATTGCGGCATTGTTTTTAAAAAAGCCGCGTTGCGGCTTTTCATTTTAGCTTTTCAAAACCTGACTCAGATTTTCTACACAGGTTCTAGAGCCCAGTATAGGGGACTTTATTTACTGTTATTTTTTACAATATTTTTCCAATGAAATAATCTTCCAAAATTCGACACTATTTTGATTTCCGCGGTATTTTCAATTTTAATTTAGAAAATAAATTTTCCCCAGTCTGAGACTTTCTCAAATTAGAAATCGCTGCAGCACAAAAATTCTTGCTAACTGGATTAATTCAGCTCCAAGGGCTGACCCACTTGCCGGGGCAGTATTCTGACTCGCCACTTCTGAGCTCTGGCCTGATCGACTTCTACCGAGACATCCCAGAAGATATCATCAAGAAGCTTTACAAAATCTACTTTGTGGACTTTTTATTATTTGGCTATTCGATCGACGAGTTTCTAAGTCATTAATAAGTACGTTTTTGTTTATGCCTTCAATTATGTCTTCAATGTGCTATTTAAAAAATAAGCTTTGTACAAAAAATATCTAAAAAAAATTAATTTTCTTAAAGAAATTGAGCACTATTGGGAAGAAAAATGGATTTTTTCTTGTCGATTTCGCTAAAAAATTCTTTTGCGAAAATAAAATTTATACTCTTCTTTGATCTTTTCGCTAGAAAATATCACCTGTAAATGTACATCATCACTGGCCCAAGTATTCTTTGAGAATAAAAGAAACTTTAAAAAACGTTCCAGCGGCTTTCTTACGTGTCAGTAAAAGTCAACCGCCGTTCGAAATTGAGTCAATTACAGTCATTAGGAAACCAATTATTGAGAAAGCATCCGCTTTAAGCGTTGAGGCGACACTTGCATGATGCCCTAATGCATGAGAAAATAGGAGGAGGCCGAAAAAGAGAGGGTCTGTTTTGATTCCCTGATTTTTGTGGTTTTTGATTGATGTTTCTACAGAGAGACATAATTCACGGCGAGCGCGTTCCTGATTTACAGGTCAGTTGACAAATGCGCACAAGCTGAATTATTAAGAAGCTTTAATTGAGTTGAACACGCATTTTGCCTAACACCGCCACTCAAAGAACAGAGAAAAGAAAATAACAGACGACAACAACTTTCAAAAATGCTGGACAATCCTCATCAGGGCTTATCTAGGGCTCAAAGATGTCAACAAATCTGAAATATTAAGGACACTCCAAAAGTTCTAATTTAGGAAACATGAATTTTATTCAAGAGTCGACTTGAAACTTTTTTTGTTTTTGATAATTTTCGAGCTTATCAAAAAGTCTGCTTCAATTTATCCCCTCAAGTCGCCAGTTCACGAGTAAAGGTATGACTAGAGCTTTCTCAGGAGCTACGCAAGCATTCATAATCCAATCTCAAACGCGTGTTTAGCGATTTCGTGAGGAGCTTCCTTATTGGGGATGGTTCGACTCGTCGTTGCTCTGTTGCCTGGGATGGGAATCTGACGAAGATGATGAGGACTATGACAGTGGTGAGCTTTTTGCGTTTTTCCGGTATTGAAAATTCATTTCAGACGAGTCACCTGATGATTTCGAAGAAGTCTACCAAATGCTCCCAACAATTTCAGAAACAGTCGCCTGATCAGTGGTCACCTTGTTTTTCCCATTATTTCTGTCGATCTGTAAATACTTAAAACTCGTTTAAATTCGAACTCAATGAATAGATAATGCCCAAAAATTGACGGCTCGAAACTAATAATTCGCCTTCGACAGCTTCGAAAAGCACTTTGAAAAGCAGAAATAAAAAAAATTGCGATGGTGTATTTAGCAGTCTTGATTTTCAGTTGGTAAACCGCGGCAGCAAAAGGGTTGGCTTCTTGTTTTCAGATGGAAATCTGGAGCGTTTCCACAACACTTATCGCCGGTTGGTGGTGGTCTTGGTTTTCCTCCGCCGCTTCCGTTGGAGTTTCCTCCACCGCCGTGGTGGGGACAGGATTTTGCTCGGTCGAAACCAGCTCTTCCTATGGAAAATTATTGTTATTCGTCAATTGGATCGTCTAGGGTTAGGGTTGGGCCCCTAATGGTTAGGGTTGATCCCCTAGACTTTAGGGAATTTGATCACTACCGGCATGATATTTGACGTCCCAGCTCATTTCGTGTTCTTTGAGTTCTAGAGCCAAGCGCTTGTCACATTCGCAAATGTCTCTTCTGCAAGGATTCTTATTCTGTGAACAGTCTAGTGTCTTTGACTCGGTGTCGACTATCAATTTGTAGATGTTGTCTTCTGGCAGACACGTGCTGCTCTTGGTCTGAAATTTGAAATTTGAGACGCTTTTTAAAGCTCGTTTAACGCGCAAAACTGGGTGCACGATATTAGCACGGCTTTAGAGTTTATACCTTGTGTTTATCTGATAAGCAGGTAGTGCACACGTGATGTTGCCGGCAGGCTCTGTCAATATCGTCCACTGGGTTTCCGCCCGGCGCCACTTCGTCCATAATGATGTGTTCGTGGACGGCTAAGCACCAACAACCATAGCCGCAGTATCGACCGAAGCCGGTGCCGACCGTTGTATTAAGCTTCTTGATTGAGTCTGCCATTACACCGACGATTGCGACCTTAAGGGTGTCTACATCGATTTTGGTTATCCCAGTTAGGGTTAGGGTTAGGGGATACAATACAAATGCCTTACAAATTTTTTTTCTTGACGGCACCCCTTATTTGTTAATTGAAACTTGGACAAGAGGGTTCAAAAAATGCCAATTTTCTCTCAAGCTCAGTCATGAAAGTCAAGTTGGTTCCAGTGACAGAGATGACATTTTAGAACCGAGGGTAATTTGGCATCATCTCTCACCTTTAGCTGTTTCATCTTTCTGGACGCTAGAAGTCCCTTTTCCGACCGTTCCAAAAGTCCACCAAACTGGCTGAAAAACTCATCGTCTTCAGACTCGATCCCTACCGCCTTGAAGTAAGTGTCTACCGCCCGATCGTAAGAAAGATCATCCGGATCTAGGATCACTTTCAGGCTCTCAACGGGGCTCAAAAGAGCTGCTAAAAAGTAAAAAAGCATCATTTTAATTTTTTTTCTAGCGCTATCGAGTTATTCCCTTAGCGAAAGAAGTGAATGAAGACTTTCCCGAGCGGGTGGTGCTATTTATGTGCGAAAAACTAAATCAAATTAGATGTTCCGTTTTAATGCGAGTTCTGCTCAATTTTCCCAAGAATCTTTGATCATTCTACCGTACTTTCGCTTCTTATTTAATAACAACGGCGGCGAATTTCGATCAAAGTTGACAAAAATTGCATTTATCAATTCAAAAATCATCTTGTGTATTTTATTATGAACAGTTGTTTCAGTCAGTTGTCGTTTTTGGTCGCGACCCAATCGAATGGTTTTTGAACTTTTCTCTTCTTCTCAGTTTCAGAATTCTTCTCGGCAGAAATGAGTCCAACATCCAACAGCATTCCTTCTTTTTTGAATTGAAGATTTTTCGAATTCCTTCATTCAAAAATCAAAAAATCGAAATCGAATTTTCAAATCATTCCTGGAAATTCGGATATTTCTTCCGCCTCTTCGCTTTGTACTTCAACAACACCAACTGGCCCCTGCACATCTTCATATTTGTCGACAAAGTCGTTGACTCTTAGTCTCTTCGCTCTCTGAGCAAGTGTTCTTGGCCTTCCAAAAACATTGCCGCTGACGGAAGAAAGCTGAAGAAAAATCAGATTCAAAAGCAGCTTCATTTTTCCTCTTTTCAAATGAGAGAATGAAGAGAAGAACTGTTGATGTATTTGCAGTTTTGGCATTCTAAATAAAAGGACATGAAATAAGCTTTTCAAAACACATTCTTTCTAAAGGACAAAACATGTTCCCAGTCTTCTGGGCTTGGAAACCTGTGTAGAAGTTCTGAGTCAGGTTCTGAGCGGTTTCCTCCTTTTTATTTTCATCCAAAAGTGACCCTTTTTTTTAATAATTTAACTGCGATGAACTTGTCCTGTCGGTGTTATAAAATCAATAACGAGCGATTCAAAATCATGTTAAGAACAATATAATAAAGGCAATAAAATTCTAGTGGTTATGATTCAAGAGCGATAATGACTCAGGCGAGCATAAAATTTTGAAAATCGAAACGGGAAAATCGCCAGTTTACTTGACTTTAAGAGTAGAGATGGAGCTCAGCATCGCGGAAGGACAAATTATTAATATCAGAAGATCTACCAGCAAAGAAAAGGTGCCAATGTTTCTTATCAAGGATATGCTGGCACATGGGTAGGATTTTTTTTAATATTAGTTAGAAACATTCAGGGGCTTTGGTGGAATCTACGTTGCTAGAGATCTGACCCGGGATAGAGAAATCGTGTTGAAAATGGAAAGTCACAAAGCAAAGCATCCACAGCTAGAAATCGAGAAAGAAATTTACTCGTAAGCAATTTTGAACCCAAAAAGAACCCTTTTTACATTAAAATTGCCAATTTTAACCTCCAAATTAGATTGATTTACGATAGAAAAACCCAATTTATTCCGCATTTTCCGATGTTTCACCGATTCCAGCAAAAGGTCAAGCTGGATTTCCTCGGAGAAAACGAAAAGAAAGAATCAAATCTCTTCAACCTTTTGGCGATAGAAAGACTCGGCCCGAATCTGTATCATATTCTGAGGCGGAGCAAAAAAAGAAAATTTCATTTGGAAGAAAACAGGGGAAAATTTAAAGAAGGAATCAGTCTCAAAGCTGTCATGGAAATTGCTGTGCAGTGTTTTGAGTGCATCGAATTTCTTCACGAAAAGAAAGTCGTCCATCGTGATATAAAGCCGGATAACTTCGTTGTCGGGCTTATTGGCACTTCCAAACGCTCGGTGGTTCATTTGGTCGATTTTGGGCTAGCAAAAAAGGTATTCAAAAAAGGGGCAACTGTTAGGGTTAGGGTTTCATAAGAAATCAAAATTTCTTTATTTATGAAAAACCGAAAGGAAAAAAATATCTTTCCAGTATGAATCAAAAAATGTATTTATGCCGAAAGAAGCAAAGTACTGTACCGGTACTGATAGTTACATGTCCCTCCATGTTCAAGCTTCCCGCCGAAACCCCTCGTTGAGAGATGACTGTATTTCTCTTTGGAAAGTGGCTAAAAATTTATCTTTCCACTATTTTTTTTTTGGATGAGATTAGCCACTATGAAGCTACACGCTTTTTGAATTATACCGCGGCGTTCTTTGGTGGAGCAAGCTCAAAATTGAAAACAAGAAAGAAAAAGTCAAAAAGATCATCGAGCTGAAACACGCGCAACTCAAGCAAGGTGTCCAAGAAGAATTCCCAGAGATGAAGCAAATTCAAAATATTTTAGGTACTTTTGAATTTGAATTCTGACTGATATATTTTAAGAAAATTGTTATGCAATGGCCTTCACTGAGTTTCCGAACTACGAAATGTTTCGTACGCAATTAAGGGGGTGCACAACGGATTACAGTTAACTGAAAACTTGTTTTTTTTTCGATCGAAAAACATCAAATTACCAAAAAATGAACGAAATTGGTCATTCTTGGGAATTTTATTTGAATTTTATATTGAATTTTTAATTCGTTGTGACCCCCCAAAAGCCAGATGCAAGAAGCGAATGCTGCTCATTGTGGGCACGCACTGGACTGGCTTACGCCAGAGTTTTCCGATTTGTAGCTTCTGCCTTTTTCTGTTTATCGAAAATATATCAACTGACGAAATTATCCTGTTACTTATTTAATGTATTCAGACGGAATCGTAGCAACGAGATACAGTATAATTTTTAATAAAGCGGAAGTCTTGGTTAATTTCGCAAGAGTCTAAAAGGCTATTTAGAAACACTTCAATTTGAGAAATTATAAATTTTTTGCGATAAGAGCTCTTGATGAGAAACCATTTTTAGATAATAGAAAGCAAATAAAAATGCTTGTGGCCTGTCAGAAAAAACCAATAGAATGATCGTTCGATGCGCCCGCTCTCTGCCAATATAAAAAGACACTGCGCAAAGTTTTCCACTCAGACAAGTTCGAGAGATAAAAAAATAGATTTTCGTTCGAAAATTTATGTTTCATTTTTTAGAGAATGCGATCGTTGAAATTGAACACAGGAAACTCCATTCCAGAGCTTGGATTTGGCACTTGGCTCGCCGCTCCTGGCGTCGTCCAGACATCTGTAGAAGCTGCGATCAAAACCGGTTTCCGACACATTGACTGCGCCGCCATTTACGGAAACGAGAAAGAAGTTGGTGCGGCGTTCAAAAATGCTTTTGCCAGCGTAAGTTTTTTCAGAGAGAAAAATTTTTATAGAAGAGTGGATTTTAGGGTGTGAAGAGAAGCGATCTTTTCGTCACCTCAAAACTGTGGAATACATTCCACAAGCCAGCGGAAGTCAGGCCCGCTTTGGAGAGAACTCTCGCTGACTTGGGTCTTGAATATCTCGATCTGTACTTGATTCACTGGCCGATGGGTTACGACAACGGCGGGGACGTGAGCAACACGTTTCCGCGAAACGAAGATGGAACCATTATCGCCAGCGATTCGGACTACCTCGACGCCTGGAAAGAAATGGAAAAGCTAGTTGCGGCTGGACTGGTCAAAGCGATCGGAGTTTCGAATTTTTCCAAAAGCCAGATCCAGCGCTGCATCGACAACAGCAACACTGTTCCGGCGGTGAACCAGGTCGAATGCCACCCGTATTTTAATCAAAGCGATTTGGCGAGCTTCTGCAAGGAAAGAGGAATTCTTCTTACCGCTTACTCGCCCTTTTGCAATCCTGGCAGACCCTGGGCCGGAACTGAAAAAGGTAAAAAAAATACCAAAAACCCGTTTTGATCTTGCTTTATTATTAAGACGGAAAGAATAACGAACAAGTTCCTCTTCTGCAAAATGAAGTCGTCGCCTCTGTGGCGGCAAAATACAAGAAAAATAATGGACACGTTCTCCTCCGATATCAACTTGACAGAGGGTAAGTGCCCAAAACAAGGACAAACTTTTCATAATTTTACAGAATCGTGTGCCTGACGAAGTCCGTGAATCCGGAACGAATCGCCTCGAACTTCGACATTTTCTCGTTCGAGCTCAACGGCGACGATTTGAAAAAGCTCGATGGGCTCCAGACTGGAGTGCGAATGCTCCCACTCGACTGGGACGGACTCAAAAACGTAAGAATGAATTTAGAATTCCCAGAGTCTTCATAAATTTTCTAGCACAAAGACTACCCCTTCCACGAGTAAAATGAAAATCATTTCCTGTGACAAGTTAACAAGAAGAATATACAAATCAAGTGAGAAAGTGTCTCATTTATTGATATTTTGGCTGACTTTGGCTTTGCAGCTTCTCAATTCGTTCTTTGAGCGTCATGGCATTCTGAAATTATAATTACCCGATGATACCGGTTTTATCATGTCTTACCCCTTTCTCATGGGTTGGCAGTGAAAATGAGCTTTTTTGTGCATTTGTGACTCGTCCAGGTCGACTTGGAGCTGGCTTCATTTCGGTCTTGAATGGAATCGGTTTTTGAGACAATACTCTTGACTCCTTAAATTTTTTATCAGCCGAAATTCGTGATTCAAGCATAAAGATCTATATCGAAAACGATACCTCTTGTTTCGGAGCGTTATCAATAGGAGAAGAGAATCTCTTCGCCAGGCCTTGAACAGATACTTTTCCAGGGCTTGAATTTTCTTCTTTATCATTCTTTTGAGTAGTGTTTCTAATTTGATTTGAGACTGCTACATAAGTTGTTGGATTCACGACAGGACTGGTTGTTCTTTTTAGACTAGGAATGACAGGTTTGGGGGGAATTGGCGTTTTTCGAGGTTGAAAATGTCGTCTGAAAATGATCAACTTTTGATTTAAAACTTTGAAGCGTTAATAGATTGATCACGTGCCTAGAAGAAAGTGGAGAAAGCTGCGACTCTCTGTTAGCCGTCTCGTTGAGATTCATTCTGTTGATTCTATCTTTGACGGACATACTCTCCTCAACTGGAAAATGAGGCCGGATTCTATCCGGATCTGACTCTAATTTCGCGGCAATCGGTGTTTCAAGTTTTCTAATTGGCGGGCTCAGTCTACTGGGCACTTGATATTCGGCTAATTTTGGCTCATCAACCTTTTTTTCAACGTTTTTTGACTCGGATGCGTTGGTTTTTTGGTAAATTTGTCGACGCGCCCACTTTTCTGTTTCATTTTGGGTGTGGACTCACAGTCCTTTTACAACGAAAAATGCTGAGAAAAGTGGTTTCGATTGATGAGCCATAAACTGAATGGCTAGCAGACGGAAAGGACTTGTTCATCTTCGTCTGGCTTCTGGCGCCATCGTCTGACACCGGCAAACTTATGTCTTCCTTTGTGTAGTAAGCTAAACTACCTGTTGAGCTTTCTTCGGGTTTTGATGGCTCTGATCTTGGCAAGGTTTGAAAACAAGTTACAATGATTGTTTTATGATTCCCAAATTACTGGTTATGTTAGATGATTTAAAACCACGTGGCTTAGCGTGACGTATTCATAATTTTTAATTGCTTCAAGAGCGGAGTTGTCGATTTCAACTTTTTACAGGTTATTCAATTTGCTTTAGGAGACGATTTTTAAGAATTTTCGTCAAAGAAAAAAGGTTTAAAATGTTTAATTGACGTCAATTTTATTCTGACTCCAACTGTTTGATTTGATGACTGTTAGTATGAGGAGATTTGGGGGTTATTGAACAATGCTTACATTTTCTACGAAGACTAGAATGAACAACATTGAAATAACCTGACGCTGAGTGGTCTTTAGGCGGAGCTGGAGGTCTTCTTTTCGGCCGCGAATAATTGACGTTCTTCGCCAAGTTACTCGGCAGCGATTGGGTTCCGCCGTAGTAAATTGCCGGCGGAGTAGGTTGCCCAGAAGAACTCGAGTGAGAGCGAGACAATGCTCCTTCTGAACCCTGGTGTAAGAATCGCTCGTCGTCGATGCTTTCGTAAATTGCCGAATCGTCAAGTCGACTTTTCGGCCTTTCTTTTGGCTTTTTCGGAAAGAGCTTCCAAACTTTATCGAGCGCTTTTTGCATCGACTTCACTTTCGGCTTGTGTAATTCTTCAAGTTCCGCGTAATTCAAGTCTTCGTAAACATTTTCTTCATATTCCGCGCAGAGCGGTTTCAGAATGCCCGCAGTGCTCAATCGCATCAAAAACTTCATCCCTTCTGCTTTTTCCGCGAATTTGAATCGAATACTGTCATTCAGCGCCAAATTCGACCAGCGCGTTTTGCTCACGACTTCGAAAATGTCACAATCGTCAAAATGAAAGCAGCAGTATTCATTGTTCGAGGACGGCCACAGTTCAAGGTAAAAATTCCCAATTTCCAGCTCGAAGAACTGGTCCCTCGGCGAGAGTTTTAAACTCACAAACTCGTCCTCGCCATCCTAAATTGAAAGCTTTAAAGCTCAAGGACTCGACCTTACTTTTTACTATCAAAAAGTTTATGGCGATTTTTTACGATTAGTTTCGCGGGAAGATTTGGGTAAAAGTAATGAATAAACTGGATTTATAAGCTCAAAATGACATCTTAACAAAAAGCTCTATTTAATGCTAAAAAATATCTGTTTTGGCTTTTGTAAAAAAAAATTAACCGAAACTTACAATAGTGACAAGAGCAGTGAGTGTTTCCAAATCGTTGTAATCGAAGTTTTCGTTCATTTGCTCTCTAATTCTTCGCGTTGGAGGCTAGGAGGTTCTCTGACACTGAGGCTGCTAAAATTTGATTGAGTCATAAAATTCAGAAGAACAGAATTATACGAAGATCAGTTCGTTCTCAAAAACAAATATTGGCGGAAAAGCGAGCGAGCTCGAACCTCGGGCGCTCACAAGCTCATTCATCTCTCTCTCGTCTGCAGATAGTCACGAGCTTAGCCTTTTTTGATTATTCACGTACCGACTGGAAACTTTAAGTGAAACATTGCTTAACTCAATTTTTTCAAGTTGGCTTTTTCAAAGAAGTAGTTAATTTTTAAGAAAAATAAGCGTAAATTAATCAATTAAAAATACATTATCCTCATTAAAATTAATTCTCTGTCTTCCATGATTTCAAAAACGAAAAGTATTCGCTTGTTGCCTAGCTACCTTTTTCCGCTCCTCCCTTTTTTGTTTTGGTTTTCTTTCACCAAATACAAATGTTTATGCGTCTCACCTTTTTCGTCCGCCGCGGCAATCAATATCCCGTTTTTCTCCTTTTGAAAATAGATCAAATGCAAGAAAACGATTCTTGTTAGAAAAAAATAGCAAATTTTCCGTTGATTCTTTATCCTCGTAATGAAAGAAAAAGCATTTGAGCCGCGGAAAGTTCATCCCGGGGGAGCGCGCTAATTAATGAATACATTAATTGATTGATTGAAATCGAAAATTTAAGAAAGACATTTGTCACAGCCTTCTGTCATCCTCTTTGATTTCGGCTTGCCGAGATGACCCATCTTTCAAATGCTGCTTTAACTGAATCAACCATCTCATCTCAGGATAAATCAATTCTTTGTATTGGCCACTCAGTTGTTCCAGTTTGTCCAGCAAAAACGTAAATTGACCTTCCGACCAAAACCATCATCGAGACCGACCGCGGAATGCTTCTTGTGCGGAATGAGGTCTCTTTGTTGATTTCACCATCATGTCTCGTCACTGCAGCGCAATTTTGCGCAAAAATTAAAAGTAATTTCCACATTATGAAAAAAGTCGCACTGTTAGAAAGAGACAGGAAAAGTAAATATTTCTTCTTCAACGTTGTTAATTTAATGTCGATAAATTGATTATGTAAGTTACAGTAATGCTGCGACTGACTTTTGAACTAACAGAAAATCAACCGAAGCCTTGTCTCTAGAATAAAATTGTTTCCAGGAGCTGAATCGAGACAATGTCCAGTTTATCGCTTGAAACATGTGCTGCAATTCTACCGCCTATCGCGACTCTTTCAATTCTGCTCGGATAAAATCTTCAAAAGAAAATCATCGTCCGATAAAATTTGTTCGCTTTCAAGTTCCTCCAGAAACGTTAGTGTCTCTAGACTCGAGTTTGTCATTACAGTCGTGTTTACCAGTTAAATCAGTTGTATTTCCTGCGAAGAGCTCACGAAGAGAGCGAGAAAATCGAGGCGAAAGCTGACGAAAATGTATCCAAGCTCGGCGGCTGAGTATAGCGAGCCATACGAACAAGCGCCAAAGTCAATTCTCCTGAACTCGTCGGAAAATCAGCCTCAAGACCTGAATCAAGGGCGCAAGAGCATCAGAGTAAGCAAATACGTCACAGATGGAGAAGTGACGAGGATGAAAGTCAAGTACAAAAAACAACGATCAAATAAGCTTTTAGAGCTCACGAACAAGGTAGATAAGTAAAAAGGGCAGTACAGTTTAAACTTATTTCAGGCGCTAGAAGAAGGAGCAAAAGCGGAGAAAAATGCAGTTGAAAATACAGATCGAGCGCGGAAAATTCATGAGAAGCAGGAACAAATTTATGATGAGTTTGTCAAAGCAGAAACTCGAAGCAAAGAGATCAACAGGGGGATGATGTTCTCGCTCATTTGTGTGGTTAGTGCCCATTTATGATTAAATTAATTTAACTATATTTCGAAGCCTCTTCGAAAAATAACCCGTTGCTTCCGGAAAGAAAAGAAGCGCGAGCGGGCATACTACGAAGAAAGCGAAAAAGAAAAGCTTCGTCGAGAACGGGTTGAAAGAGTCGAAAGAAATCATCAACGTCGCGTCAGTTCTGTCGATCCACCGAGAAAATCCGTCCAGCTTCGACAAGCGCGAGCCGGAGTAGCCACGGGTTTTTGATATTTCATTTTTCATCATTAAAATTTGATATTTTTCTTGAGTCAATGTCGAAAACCATGAAAAAGCGAATTTGAAGTCTATGGCACTAAATATCAACTCGGAAACAAAGAAGCAAAATGAACACATTGATGCATCGATGAAGCTTGCGGAAAAAAATAAGAAGCGAATTTCGCGTGTGAATAGAAATCTCAATGAAAACTTGGAAGGCAAACACGATGGATGGGGATTCTAGCTCTACTCTGCCACCTGTATCATTTTCAAGCTGTTATTTTAAAACTCAGGCGTCGACCTCTCTCTCTCTATGCGTTCTTGATCAATCTATCAAATAAGGCATTAACAAAACAAAATTTATTTTCCTTTTCTGCATATTCACATAAAATTTCCAAAATGACATTTTCGGCATCAATTTCAGAATGTCCAGTTGTACCAGTAGAAAGTGACATTTTTAAAGAATGTGACGGTTTTAGACAGCGCCTATGTTAGCCAGGCAATTCGCGAATGAAAAATAGACGAAAAGACAGGTCATCTTTGGTTTAATCTAGGTTAACCAAGAGGCCGGGGATATGAAGGAAAAAGTTAAATGGCTGTAAAACTTAAAGACCCTTATCTTCAAAAACAAACATCAAAGAAATTCCTTGATGGGTTGTTTTGCTCTCACAAAAAACAGACATATAAAAAGAGAGAAGAGATATTTTGACCCTTATATTAACGGCCTCTTCGTTAACCCTAGGAGACAGAGTTCTTTCGTCTTTTTTAAATTCGCGAATTCCTTGAGTCTTACTTAGAGGCCATCCCGTGCAGTTGTAAGACGTGCTGCCCAAAACGTCTTCTTGGTCATTTCATGTTAATCCAAATTCTAACTAAACGAAAATTAAAGACACTAGCTTTCATTTAAATCGGAAAGACTTTTATTTGTCAGCCTCATCGGACAAATTTTTGTCGAATTCTTCTTTTTTTCTCGCAGAGATGTCTTCTTTTGTAGAAGCACCCTTTTTCAATTATAATCTATAATTCATAGAAACCAAACCAGCGAAAATTTCGGCCTAGAAATACAAGGATAGCTCAAATGACCGCCGGTTTTAAGGGGATAGAACTAGGTTTTTCGAAAATAGCCGATTCTAGCCCGGCGCTCAAAGCCAGGAGAACTTAGATTTTCAAATTTTCTCTTCGGCTAAAGATAGAACAAACCTAGATCTAACAACATTTTTCTTAAATTTTTTTTTCGTCAACTCATTTTGACGTTAGAGAGCAAAACTTCGACACACCTCTTCGAAAGTCGCAATTTTAGCGTATTCGCGTCCTCAAATTTCTCGAGTCACGTGACTAGCCAAATTTTTCAAATCTCATTTTAAGATAGTTTAACCCTTTATCTAGCAACATTTTTGATGAAATTGCGTTAGCAAAAGTAAAAACAAGTTTTTCTTATTAAAGGGTGCCTCCCGAAAATCACGGTTTTTCGAAAATCTAGTTCTACCTCCTTAAGGTCCGAAATCGGATAAAAAGCGGCAGTATTTCGAGTTTTATACAAAGGTGACGAGATACAGCTATTTGCAAACAATATACGTCGACCGGGTTGTCGGGGAACCAGGGGACAAATTTTAATGAAACATAATTGTCTTCGCACTTGAGCGCCTTCTGAGGGCAAGCAATTTCGGCTCCATAAAATCAAGGTTCCAACAAGAAAAATCAGCAGAATAAACAAACTGAAAATGAGTAACCAGTGAGTAAAATTTTATTTGATTAGCCAAAATCTCTCCTCTCTATTTAGATCAAAGCTCCAAGCTGAAATCAAACCTCTCCAAGATGAGCTTCTCTCGCATAAAATTTATGAGAGCATCAACAGCGTTCAAGCCGTGCAGCATTTCATGCGTCTTCATGTTTTTTCCGTTTGGGACTTCATGAGCCTTGTCAAACGACTCCAGCGCGATCTGACATGCACGAAAACCCCCTGGACGCCACCAAAAACCGACCTGCTGCATATATCATCAATCAGGTATTTGTTTGTTGGAATCCGAAAATCGCCGAAATCCGAATTATTTGTCGCAAATTTTTCGTTTATCTGAGCGACCGCCCTTTTTTAAGGACCCCCCGTCAGCTTTTTACTCCGAAAAATTAAAATTTTTAAAAACGCCATATTTTTGGTTCTTAACTTCTCAATACACGTGGTCGGTTCAACCGACCACGGCGACTTTGCGCCGCCGTAATTTCTCTTGTGATAATCCATTTGACCTGATTTTTGAAATGTGAGCTAAGATGACTAAAACGAACCACTTCGTGAAATTTCGGAAGTTTTCTCAAAAGTGGTGGCGTTTTGCACTGGATTTATCTTTCACTCTCCAGCTGTAAATCCAAAAAGTGTTTTGCAAAATTAATTGTAAATCTTGATAGGTGAGTGTTCAAGCTTTCCAGCGATATGTATTGTAACTTTTTTGCTTGCCGGAAACGCAAGTTAGAGCTAAAAGTCTTGAGCGCTCTTTATCACACTCCGAACTTTGCGCGCCGCGCGGGCTGAATAATGCATTGTGGTCCCCTCACCCGACCCCGTGTTTTGAGCGCTTAGTCGCGCGCCCGTGTATTGAGAAGTTAATGCGTACTCAGGTTAAACTTGCTTTAAAAACTAGATAATAAGAATATTTGACCAAGAAAGATCAATATTTTTGCCAGAATTAGGGCAAATACGTCAGTTTTCGACGAAAAGTCCAATTTTCATATGCGATTTTGGGGGTGAAGGAGTCGTGATAGACCCCCAAAAAATGAAGCCTCAAAATCGTTTTTTGACCCGTAGAATTCATTTCCGGGGTCAAAATTTTAAAAATCCGAAATTTGATTTTTCGAAAAAAGCTGACGGGGGGGGGGTCCTTAAAGACTTTTTGTCAATACTTTTCGAAATATCTATTTTCGGAGTTTCACAATTTTGGATTCTACAGGTCAAAAAACGATTTTGAGGCTTCATTTTTTTTTGGGGTCTATCTCGACTCTAACACCCTCAAAATCGCGTTTGAAAATTGGATTTTTCGAAAAAAAACGCAGAAAAAGATCAAATTTAGGTAAAATTTCAGATTTTTATGGTTAAAATTTTTGTGTCACAGAGAAGCTTAAGGGGGAGGTCGACGAGAATAAGAATTTTCAAAACAAATTTCCCGAAAAACCCGATTGTGTAAGTATATTTTGACTTCTCGGTTGGGAATAGAAGGGTATTTAGAATCTATCGGCAAAGAGTTTCGGGAGTCTTCGCAGAAATTTCGTGCACTTCTTTACCAAAAGTGTCCGAAAAAAAATGACGAAAAAATCAGAAAATTGCCAAAATGACAATTTGGGGTCCACTTTGAGATAAGTTTTTGACCATTTTTTCTCGTTAAAATTTTTTCTTCTTTTCGCCGATAGATTTTTTCAACCCTTTTCTTTTCACCCAAAACGTCCAAATTTTTCCAGCCAATCAGGTTTTCTCGGAATTTTGTTTCTAAAAATCCCGATTCTCGTCGACCCCCCCCCCTTAAATATGGCTGTCTCGAATTTTTTGACTTTTTGAGGAAAAGTGGGGGGGTCCTTAAAATTGCCTATTTTACCACAGTATTACTGTAGATTGTTCTTGGAGAAGAATCAGACGATTTTGATACAGCTCAAGTGCAAAAAGCAATTTCACACTACGAGCTCTATGTGAAAGCCATGATCGAAGTTGGCACAGGAACGTTTTAAAACAACTTAATTTTTTCATTACTTTCACAGCGACCATCGTAAAACGCAAAAAAAGATCCGATAGAGGTCACCAAGCTTGTTTCGATGATTGAGCGCGGGATGTCCTACGAAGACGCGTTAAACTTCCATGAGCGCGTTTTCGGAGAAACGATCCCAGAAGCAGTTTACGAGTTTGTGCGCGACACGCTCAGAACAGCCGACAAAGCAAGCACCCATGAGGTCATGGCTGCCTTTCTTTTTGGTCGAGAGGATCCAATTCCAAAAATGTTCCAGTCAATCATCGACAACAAAATTCTCTCTGACGACAAGAAATTAGAATGCTTCCGATTGTATCTCCAGAGACACATCGATGTCGACGGCGATGATCATGGCCCTCTGGCTTTTGCGGCTTTGAGGTAAAATTTAATCTCTTTCAAAGTATTGGATTCTTATTATAGTGAAATCTGTGGAGACGATGAAACGAAATGGGAGGAGGCAACGGCTGCTGCGAAAAATGCGATTGAGAGACGAATCGACTTTTGGACGGCAATCTTGGAAACATCGTCACAAGAGTTTTACTCGAGAGCCACCACAAAGGTTGAGCAACGACTTGAGAGACGTTTGACTAAGGCAGCGTTGGAACATCTTACCATTGACAAAGACGTAGCAGCAGCTTGAAAATCAACAACGAATGAAAGTGATTAATACCATTTAAATGTTATTTTCTTCCTGATCCGACGAATGAATCTATAAGCATGCAATAAACTGACCTTATACTTTATGCTTTTTCCTTCAAAAATTTGAATTTTTTAAAAACGCCATATTTTTGGTTTTTAATTCGTTCTCAGGTTAGACTTGCGAAGAAAAACGCGTTGCTTTTGCGGAAAGAGAGAAAACAGAAACGAGAGCGGGGGTCTTACGGAGAAAGCGATAAAGAAAAGCTTCGTCGAGAGCGGGTAGAAAGAGTCGAAAGAAATCATCAATGATGAAGCTTGCGGAGAAATCTCAATGAAAATCTGGAAGGCAAACACGATGGATGGGGATTCTAGCTCTAATCTGTAACCTGAATCATCTTTTCACGCTCTCGTTTCTCATACTGATTTTTTCAAATAAAATGATTTTTATGAAAAATAAACATATTTTCTTTGAACGCCAAACATTTTTGGTTGAACGATTATTGAGCAAGATAATTTTAGTTTTTACTAAACATAGATTTCGCCCAACAAACGTAGCGATGCAAATCAAAAATAGAAGTGACGTGAAGTATTTTTAACATCCGAATTACCGCTTCTTCTCGCTCTGGAATATTGAAGCCAAGGTTATGCAATTTGAGAAAGTTTGATTGAACAAGATGCGCTATCGTAGCAGAAGTGACCTTGTCCGAATTTTCAGCTTGACCATGTTTTATGATTTTTTCATCAAAAATTATCATCCACGTTGACTTGATATCCTTTATTTTTCTGATTTTTTATATCAAAAACTTAGGCAAAGTTCGATTCAGAGAATCAATCGGCGAATTCAAGATCATTGATTCGATTATTTGTCGAAGAAAATGATGACCAGCTGACGCCTATTCTCGACAACTGACGATTTACGGTATAAAGAGCTCCAGCCAGAGAATAATTGCAAAATGAAAATACAGTGATTTGCAAAAAGATTTAAAATGAAATTCTCAACATGCCTTTCGAAAATGACGTGGTGGGTATCCTCTTGAAATTTCGAAGTATAAATATTGCTTTCTTTTTTTATATTGTCTTTAAAATAAAAATCTGCTACTTTATCCTATACTTATTAGATGTACCCATCAAATGATGTGAGTGACGGACCTTATGGAGCTTACAAAGTGCTAGGGATTGACAATTACTGACTGATCGAAATTCAAAATTATTTTGCCTATCCGTCACTTTCGAAGAAATTTCGCAAAACCGACTCGATTATTTTTAATTATGTTAGCTTTTTGTGATCCGCTGCGGCATTTCTCACAATTTCGGCTATTTTAATCATTGCTGTCTTCTATCTGGGTCATTGGTGGCGTTGTTTGGTGCTGCTAAAAGCGCTCCGCCGCGCTAGATTTTCAACGAAGGCACAATTTTTTTTTATTTTTCGATAAGGAGAGAAAACGAAGATGAGGACGTTACTTTTCCAAGCGCTGATTTTTGGTAAATTTTTTCAAGAAACAATTTTCTTTATTTTTATTTCCCTTTATAACTGCAAATTCAGGCGCATTTGCCGACTACTGGGTGAACTTGCGGCTGTGCTCGGACAAGAATCGGAAAACCGGCGTTCTCCAAGACGCGATTGTTACTGGCGGTAAACTCTTTCTCATCAACGACGTGGTCAAAGGCGCAGCAACTTGGAAAATGAAAAATATGGGCGCGACAGAGTGTTCTCCAAAATACTGCAAATGGCAACTCAACGGAAAGTACAACGTCAATTTCAAAGAAATGATGAAGATCGGCCCTTTTCCGGGAAACATCAAAGACGCCTCCTTCATGGCGATCGACTACAGAAGCATGGACATTCTCTGCGTAGAGGAGTTTACGATCGACGGAGGAAACGGCAAGAAACTCGACATTCTGGAAAACTACATTTCTTGGGCGTGGGATCCTTCTCAAGGGCGCCAGAACTGGGAATCGAGAACCAATCGCAAACTCGCTTACTGGTCGACCATGTGTTCAGACAAGTCCGTAACTGACGACGAACACGTGATCAAATCATCGCCGAATGCAAAGGTCGCTGAACTGGTAAAGACGGGATTTCTTTCACACAAGATCGTCCCGCCAAATGGAAACCCTCTCGTCCTCACCGCGCCTTTTCACCAGTCTTGCCGGCAACACATCGTGATTCAGACGCGTCTGGTCAACGAGTGTCGCGAAGGAACTCACAATTGCCACGAACACGCAATTTGTTCGGATACGAAGAACGCATTCAGCTGCAAATGCAAACCTGGCTACGTCGGAAACGGATTCATGGTCAACGCGCTCCTCAGCCAGGAATTGGTCGACGAGATCGGCTGCAAGGTAGATAATGTGAGTACTAACACCAACGCTTGGAGAGCAAAACGCTTCGATTTTCCCGGAAAAATGTAGGAAAATCAAGAATACGAAAATTCCAAGCTATTTTCGCTGTGCACTACTAACACCGGTGAAACTGAATGAACACTTTTAACAACAAATAATTAACACAATTACACTTGTTTAACACTTTTACCAAAAATAGCCCCCTCCACCGACGATTGTCTCCATAAAGTCGCAAAACGATGAGTTTATCATTTCTGGAAGAAACTTTAAAAACTTGGACGGAAGCAGCGGAGTCGCTCTCATCGATGGAAAACCAATCGACGCTGAGTTCTTCAAGGACCGAGTGATTTTGAGCGAATTGGAAAGATACCTAGACGAAACTGATTTTTACGGGATAGAAATTGAAACTGAAGGAGGAATTTCCAACAGAAAGACTTTCAAGTTTGTTGCTCCAGAAACGACAACAGAAATTGTCACGACAACAACAACAACCACAACTACTACAACGACAACAACTACTACTACATCAACCACGACGACGACGACGACGACAACAACGACTACTACTACAACAACCACGACGACAACATCAACAACTACAACGACAACGACAACTACGACTTCGATTCCCGAAACAACTGAGATGGAATGGACCACCACGTAAGTCCCAATAGAATTTTGACGCTGATTTTTAATTCTGAAAATGCAAATAAAATTAAGAACGGCAAGCAAATCTCCTTACCGCCCGCATATTGTCCGCGTGATTAACGCTGAAGAAACTCTCAATATTCGAGGTAAGACTTTACTGATAAGCTTTTCCTTACCATCCCTTTATTAAGGAGAGAGATTTGAAAATTCTGATTACACTGAAGGGCGTGTGTTAATAAACGGCAAGACGGTTCCAGCAGTCTTCAATGGCAAACGATACGCTGTTAATCACGCTGCTGTTCCTTACGAAGAAGGAGAGCTAGAAATCGTTATCCAAACTGATTTCGGAAGATCAGATGCCTTCGTTATCGCCAGCGAGGAAGAAACAACGACGACGACCACAACTACAACCACGACAACGTCAACAACGACCCCGACAACCACAACCACAAAAAACAAGCGACCATTCATTCAATACGTCGCCGAAGACGAAGAAGATTCGCTGTTCATCGCCGGAGAAAATCTCTCATCATCAACCCGCGTGTTTATCAACAACAGACTTGTTGAGTCAGACTTTTCTCACGGCGAGGGAGTCGCAACCATCGGTCACTTGCCGACGGGATACTACACGATGCACGTAGAAACAAAAATGGGGTTTCAAATATGGTCACTTTTCTCCGATCGAAAGAAGAAACCACAACTGATGTTCAAACAACGACTAGGACAACAACACAGACTACTGTTTCACCACCGGAAATTTATGGAATCATGTACCTAAGCGATGATATAACACTTATCCGCGCTGGAAACCATCAACTTCCCGAATTCGGATACCTCTTCGTCGATGACAAAGAAATCTACAATTACTCAGTGGAGGAAACTGGCAACATCAGCCTCGACGTCTCCAACATGGAAAATGGAGAGCATACGGTGCAAATTCACACCGTCTATGGCGCCTCGAACAAGAAAATCTTCACAACTTATCATCAGGTTTTTGAAATAATTCATAACAGAAGAAAAAACTGTTTTTAGGAGCCAGAAATCACCGCGGTTTTCCCGATCGAAGAAGGATTCAGAATCATCGGTCGGTTTTTCGGAAGTCAAAGTGTAGGTGATCACGTGGTCGCCATCGACGGAGAAAATAAGCAACACAAATTGAGGATCACCTCTTGGAATAACACGATCATCGAGGTCGAATCTGATCCAACTCTTTCCACAGGAACAGTTCATCAAAATCATATTTCTTAGATTTTATTCAATTAATCACATTCAATCAATTCATAAAACATCTTTACTGAACTGTAATCAGGCATCTATAATTTCCGAATCAACTTACACAACGGGCGTCTTTCCAACGAGTCACCTGTTGGAATCGTTTCTCAGACATTCGAAGAGCCAGTTGAAGAATCTCAAGCATCCAACAAGAAATCAGTCTTTCCCGAAATGCTAATGGACTTTGCTGAAATCGAGTATGAATCAGAAGAAGAGGAAGAAGTTGAAGAACAAGAGGAAGATGATAACGAAGGAAACGCTCCCTGCAACGATGGAAACGCCTACTGGCCAGTGGCGAAGAAGATCGACAATTTGCGAATTCTGCAGCAATTTGTTGTAGAGAGAAACAACAAGCAACTTACTGAGCGTTTTACATCTTTTGCCGAAAGAGTAGGCGCAAGACTGGAGAAGGAGCTTCTGAGAAAATTAAAGCACTACTAAAATATCTTCTGTACATAAAATTATCACCTCAGCAACTGATTAACTATAATCAAAAATAATAAATAACTAAAAGCTTCTAAAAGTTAGCATTCAGTATTTCTCTAATAGAAAGTTGCAAACTTTCTAAAAAATCATTCGGCCGAAATTCTCATTGTAAGTTCAAATTTTGAACAATAATTCCTTGCTGAATTCTCAGATAATTTTTCTTGGGTATTCGCTCTGCCCCAGGCGGTGGGAGCACCAGTCTGCGGTGCAAGAATATTTTTGATTTGACCTTACTAAAATAAAATTTCCTTTTTCGTAACTAAAGAGACTTGAAATGATAAGAAATAATCCTTGGAGAAGAATAAGAAGAGCCCCAGAGAATTTATGGAGAAAAATTTTTGATGGAATAACACTATTCGTTCTGCTCGTTATTTTGTATAATATTCCGGGAAACTATAGTTATAACTCGTATGTTTCGATTAATATAGGGAATGGTCAGATGAAATTCAAAGAAGATGATTTTCGAAAAATGTTTTCAGGCCAAAAATCACTTTTTAACTGTTAGTGCCATCTTCACCGCCGTCTCAAACCGAGTCGAACGGTATATGTATCGCTTGAAAATTCTAGAGTTTCGGGTACTTCCGGTCAAATTTACGAAATTCTAGTATTCCACTGCCGTTTTTGATACAGAAATGGTACTATGGCATATAGCATGTCAAAATGACCGCTAGGATGTGAGGAGTGCAGGGGTCTCAAGAAATAAGTACTTTTGCAAAGAAAAGTACCTAAAAATAATTATTTTGTGATTTTTTAGCACTAAAAATATCAATTATTAATTTTTTCGGGCAGAAAGCAGATGGATAATCAAGTTTTATCTCTTATAAATAAATCTACAAAGAAAACTACATTTAAATCGAAAATTCCGTGAAATTTGATATTTTTGGTGCTAAAAAATCACAAAATAATTATTTTTAGGTACTTTTCTTTGCAAAAGTACTTATTTCTTGAGACCCCTGCACTCCTCACATCCTAGCGGTCATTTTGACATGCTATATGCCATAGTACCATTTCTGTATCAAAAACGGCAGTGGAATACTAGAATTTCGTAAATTTGACCGGAAGTACCCGAAACTCTAGAATTTTCAAGCGATACATATACCGTTCGACTCGGTTTGAGACGGCGGTGAAGATGGCACTAACAGTTAAAAAGTGATTTTTTGGCCTGAAAACATTTTTCGAAACTTATCAGAAGTAAAAACGATTTTTATCCATTTCTGACCCTAAAAATAGAAAAATTCGGGCAATTCGGATTTGGAAGTTCTTCAGCAACTCTTCGAGCTCACGCTTTCCAGCCGAAGAAAATGAAAACAGCTGGCAAAGTCTTCATCTCAGGCCCTCTCAATCCAAACCATCGATCAATCGGCAACTCGACTAGTTCTGTCAGCGGAAACAAGTTTTTACTGCCACTTCAATCGGTTGGAATGAAAATTCATCAAGTCGTGGATATGCTGAAAGACTCCATTATTTTGGCCGAGAAGCTGAATAGAACTCTTGTTTTGCCTCCGCTTTTGCATGTGACGACGAAGAAGCACTCGAATGATTTTGAAGGTAAGAATTCTCGAAGCAAATTGATTATATTTCAATTAAATTTCAGTCAATCAAACAACGATAACAGCTTGGGATTCGTGGCGAACAATCGACACCTCTCTCGTCTCCCAAAAAATCAACATCGTCGGTGTCCACCAATTCCGCGACATTTGCGGCAAACAAGATCTCCAAGTGATCATGTCTTGCTCAAAAATGTCCAACGTCAAAACCAACCATTATCGATACCAAGACGTTTTTCACGAAATCTGGGGCTTCGAGCCATTGAAATTGATGGAGATCAACGGAACCGTGAAAATGCAAGATCCTGCAGCGGTTGTTTCGATTCCAACGACTGCTGGGGGGCCTGTTCAGTTAGATACTGCAGCAGAGGCGTTTAAATCGGATAGTAAATGCGCGACAGTGATCAATCCTCACGCCTGCTTTTCTTACAGAGCGATGGAATGGATGAACTTTGCCAAGCATATTAGTTTGCATCCGAGAGTCAGGTCAGTCGTCATTACTCAAGGAGGGGCCCTTTGTCAACAAAACATTTTAGATCGATCGCTGACGGGTTTCATAAGCGTTCTCTCCACGGAAAACAATTCGCCGTTTTTCGAATGGACGAGTTTGAGTACTGCGCCAAAAATTCCCCTCCTCTTCCCCTGGCGACGAAATTCATGCGACATGTGATGCTTTGTCCAATATGTCGCCTGAATACGTTTCATTTGCGATAAAATCGTTCCTGGAAGAGCAAGAAATAGAATTTGTCTACTTGACAGTCCCAGTCGGAGCTGGAGCCGTCAAAGTTGAGAAAATCAGAAGCTTTATTGAAGATAAAGCTCGCGTCTTCAGCGACCTCAAGGTACCTCATTTTCTTCCTGTTTCAAATAAGCATATTTTCAGTCCTTCATCACAACATTCAAACCCGGCTTGGTGAACTCAACAGTCGACTTTTCCCTCGCCGAAATCGACCTTGCTTCTCGCGCTTCAATTTTCGTCGGTTCTGAGCATTCTGAATGGGCAAGAGCGGCTGTTGCTGATCGAAGAGGAAAAGATCCAGAGTCGAGAGATTTCTCCTTCTTGGCGATGCTCGTTTCTGGTGTCAAAAGGCCGGTTGAATTGAGAAAAATCAGACCACTGAATCGTGAAACACTCGAAACTCATGCTGTTGAAAGATCAGAAGAAAAATAGAAGAAAATATTGGAAAATTGATTCCAGAAAATGCTGAAAATTTATAGTCAGATAATATTTTTCTTAAAATTCTGTAAATATACTTACTGAAAGTAGTTTCTTATACAAACAAAACAAATATATCATTCCACAAGAAAATCCGTATTCAATCAGTTTATAATTAATAAAAGGAATTATATAATTATTTTTTCAACTCAAAGCTAAAAAATAGACTTGGCGTCAAAGTTCAGTGGGCGGAAAAGAACACAATTTAATCCACATTTTGTCATTTTGATCGTAGCACTAAAGGTTGTCTCAGCACTAAAATGTCGTCTGTATTAGCATTTTCATTTGTGATCTCAGTCCTTGTTCGTTGCCGAACGGTAAATATGAAAAAGAAAGAGACCTTCGTAATCAATGCTCAGGTATAAGCATCATTTCGGCTAATGATTATAGCTGATAAAAAACAAAATAAGATCGAATCTTTAAAGTGCTTGCAATTTGATTCCATTGGCTGTCTTCGTCTTCAGAACGGCCAAGTTGTGCTAATTTCTCAGTTCAAACGACAGTATATTGAATATAATGAGGAGGGAATTCTAAAGAAACAGTAAGTTTTAAAGATCAATTTTGATGAAAACGAGTTTTCAAGCGGGTTTTCAACGAATCCGCAGAAAGCTTTCTATTTGATCGTTGGGATTCTCTTTTGGGGTTCCATCATCTTAGCAACGAATTTCCAAAGCCTGAAGAAAATTTATGTTCAAAAGACGATTTTGACTGCTCATTGCTTTCCGCAGTATAAGTTATGCGTCAAGGTATTCGAACATATATTATATAACTGGAGCAGTTCTCTAGGATTATGACTTTGATGACTGCACTAAAGAAATGGACTGGTGCCGAGGAAACGGCAACTTTACGATGCCAGAACGAGATCTGACTCTTACGTTCATTGAAAGCTCCAGGAACAGTATTGCTAATTTGGATTTTTGCTGAGCTGAGCTGACCTGAGTGAAAAATTCTCTGAGCTGAGCCGGCTTATTTCGGAGCTCACTGAGCTGAGCTGGTCTTTTCAGGGGTCGTTGAGCAGAGCTGAGCTGAGCAAGCCTTTTTGAGCTGAGCTGAGCAGACCCTCGTTAGAGCTGAGCTGAGTGAGCTGTCAGCTCAGAGCTGAGTTGGTAATTACTGTATTTTAGTAGTAAAATAGTATTAAAATCATTGAGCTGAGCTGAGCTGATTGATACTTGTCTGAGCTGCGCTGAGGTGAGCAGAACAGATCATGTTTGAAAATAATTGAGCTGAGCAGATCCGTCCATTTTCGAACAATACCAACTGCTCAGCTCACTCAGCTCAGCTCACTCAGCTCAGCTCACTCAGCTCAGCTCACTCAGCTCAGCAAATTTGCAACTCTGTCCAGGAATGAATTGAACTTTACGGAAATCGAGCAAATAACAAATCAAAAGAGATGTGAACGCATAAGATTTATGGACAGAAGAATTTGCGAGGGACTCTGCACAAATCAAGCAGAACACAAAGAAAAAGTCAAAGAGGACTCACAGTGCGTCTTCATCTGCAGATCCTTGCTGCAAGACGCCGGGCATCATGTAGACATTTGTCCTTTCGAGCCTCTTTGTCCAAACGGCTGTCCTTGCAGATTTTTTCGCTGTGTGAATGTCGACACAAGTGAGTATCAAGTCAGCTGGTACAACTCCAATGATTGGAACAATTGGTTTTACTGGTTTGACTATTATTACGGTTATTATGGCTATGATGAGCCGCTTGTTTATGGAGATTCGGCATTTTCTGATATGTTCTGGACATCTTATGTATCCGCTTTCTCTTACTTTGGAAGTCATCGCGAAAACTCGGCTATTTTAGCTCTTTTCAATCTAAAAATGAAGAGTCCGTTTTATTCCCAGAAATTGGTTTTGATGATGATAACATTGGATTTGATTGTAAGACTCAAATACGTTTCAAAATAAGTTTATTTCATTTTCAGTTAGTATGTTCGCAAAAACTCACAGTTTCATTTATGAAGGACTAAATTATATCATCGATATCCGCGCTGACGTTCACAAACTGCTTCCAAATGGCGATGTGTTGGCTCTCAACCTCGACAGCAGAGCAATTAGAAGGATCAAATCCTCAAAAAACATCTTTAGGCTGAGAAATGGTCTCCTCAACAAATACACAACGACCGGAGTCTACAAAGATAATTTATTCATATGTAGCATCGCTTACTATGGCCGAGAAGTTTGCTTTCACTCAGAAATCAAAGTTGGAGCACGAATTTTTAGAGCTAGAGGTAACTTTTTCTATTAGCCTTGCTCTTTATTCATTTAAGGAATTATCACTCAGACGCACTCAAGAAGATCTCACATGGCTTCTTGGGATGATCAGCTTCATATCTTCAGCGTTGATCATGAATTCGGAGAAAAGAAGATCCGTTTCAGCACGACCGACAATCCAAAATTTGACTGGGAAAAATGGTCGATAGAACCCAGAGATCTTCATAAATATGCCTTTGCACATGATCTTCTGGCGATTCCAGATCAGTCCGGGGTTGTTTTTGCTATGTTTGTTGAGCGCAATTACATTGACGTCAGTGACTATGAAACACCAGAAAGATACAGACTTGGTTTTATATGAAAAAGATAAGATCAATCTTACATACTGTAGATAATCTTCTAGTGGGTCGGTCACTTTCGCTGTCGCTACCCATAGTAGGATTCGGTGCTCACCGCGCCCCTTCTGCAAAATAGGGATCCGCTACCTACTCAAGGATTCGGTGCGCATTATCCAGTAGAGAATTATCGACAGTACGTCTGTAAATTACGTATAAGTAGTTAAATGTCTAAGTGTTCATGATAAAATTCATAAATTCCATGAAAAGCCTCTTTGTTTACCGATACTTTCATCGTGAATTCGTTAAAATGGCAGAGATTCATGAGGTGGAAGCAATGGTTCTCAAGAGTTGGATGCTTGAGCTAATGAAAATCATGAGAGGATTCGAATATTACGGGTAAGAATTTAACCACTTCTGATCACCAAGCGAACTGTAGCGATATCAATTTCAATACGAACCGTGATCAGGGCTATTACCAGCTAGTCTTTGACGAAAAAGAAGACAAAATCTGGCTCAATAGAACAAAATTATTGAGATACGAATTTCACATGTGAAATTTTTCATTTCTGCACCTTCTTTTCGATTAACTACTCATCCGCGAGAATGACCGGTTTTCAGAACAAGTTCAACAGTATAAATGGCAATGTTAAATTACTTAGCTGAATCTTGCAAAATTTATAATAAATGCTTGCACTCACAAAATTTGCAACTCTGCCCTCACCACCAGCGATTGCTGGAGCCATAGAGTACTGGAGGCAGAGAGTTAAGAGAAACTACTTTGATCCGTATGGTAAACCCCGATGAAGTTTGTCCTTTCACTCCAAATTTGAACAATCAGTCGTCATCAAGGCAAAAAATAAAGTTGAAATGAAGATAAAAGAGATTTCTCAAATCAAAGCTCAGGTGCAAAAATTGATTCTTATGTAACATAAGTTATGTTTTCGAATAAAAAAGTATATTTATTAATATTTGTTATATTTCTATTTTCCATATAATACGGATTGGGCTCTTTTTTGAGATGTAATTTCGGCGGAGGAAAATTTATTTTTTTTTTTTGCATTGATTTATATGCTATTTTGCGGTACTATACCGGTAACTGTCAGAAGTAACCAATAATTAAGTGTTTGGATTGCCACTGCGTTGGTGTTCTCAATCAAAGGAAAGGAAAAGTCTATTTGTTTCCGGAAGAAGTACTATCAACCCGTAGTATTCATACTCAAGAAAGGGATTTGAAAAACAAGAAAACATGGAAGAAAAAAGTCACCGGCAAAGTAAGCTTTGCTCAGCATGGATTCTCGACTATTCCTCAAATGAGTTCGTATCTTGTAATTGGCTCAATTTTTTGGATTACGATCATGCTTATTGGTATTTTTTCTTCTAAAAATCTTTAATTAAAAAATAATTTTAGCGAATATTCACTCTTTGGAAAAATCCCGCGGCGTTTCAACATTTCTGACATTTGAGTGTCACCGTAATTACAAAAAATGCGTACAGATTGCAACTATGGATTACTGCGGACATCTAATGAAGCAATGTTATACAACAGAAAAGTTCATTTTTCCAGAACCAGTTTTAAAAATCCATGGACTCAACGAAAGCTCTTGGAATGATATGAATTTTACAGAAATCGAGCAAATAACAAATCAAAAGAGATGCCAACGTATCAGGTTTATGGACAGAAGAATTTGCATCGGGCTCTGCACGAACCAAGCGGAATACGAAAGTAAAATTGCAGAGGACTCTCAATGTGTCTTTATTTGCAGATCCTTGCTGCAAGACGCCGGAAATCATGTTGGCATTTGTCCTTTCGAGCCTCTTTGTCCAAACGGCTGTCCTTGCAGATTTTTTCGCTGTGTGAATGTCGACACAAGTGAGTATCAAGTCAGCTGGTACAACTCCAATAATCGGAACAATTTGTTTTACTGGTTCGACTACTTTTACGGCAACTATGGCTATGAAGATCCGCTTGTTTATGGAGATACGGCATTTTTATCTATGTTAAGTGCATCAAGTGTATCTGCGTTTTCTTACTTTGGAAGTCACCGCGAAAACTCAGCTATTATAGCTCTTTTCGATCTAAAAAATGAAGAGTCCGTATTATTCCCAAAAATTGGTTTTAATGATGATAAGATTGGCTTTGATTGTGAGACAAAACACACTAAATGGATACTTTAATTCACTTTTAGTCAGTGCCTTCGCGAAGACTCACAGTTTTATTTATCAAGGACTTAATTATATCATCGATATCCGCGCTGACGTTCACAAACTACTTCCAAATGGCGATGTATTGGCTCTCAACCTCGACAGCAGAGCAATTCGAAGGATCAAATCCTCGAAAAACCTTTTTAGGATGAGAATTGGTCTTGTTAACAAATACACAACGACCGGAGTCTACAAAGATAATTTATTCATATGTAGCATCGCTTACTATGGCCGAGAAGTTTGCTTCCACTCAGAAATCAAAGTTGGAGCAAGAATTTTTAGAGCAAGAGGTAAATTCTGCCATGAGCTCCTTTTGTTTATGCTTTTTAGGAATGATCACGCAGGCGCACTCAAGAAGATCTCACATGGCGTCTTGGGATGATCAGCTTCATATCTTCAGTGTCGATCATGAATTCGGAGAAAAGAAGATCCGTTTCAGCACGACCGACAATCCAAAATTTGACTGGTAAAAATGGTCGATAGAACCCAGAGAGCTTCATAAATATGCCTTTGCACATGATCTTTTGGCGATTCCAGATCAGTCCGGGGTTGTTTTTGCTATGTTTGTTGAGCGGAATTACATAGACGTTAGCGACTACGAAAGACAAGAAAGATACAGACTTGGTTTTACAAAAAATATTTGATATTAACCTTTCTTATCACAGTACTCATAAAATCCGCGAAAAGCCTTTTCGTCTACCGATATTTTCACCGCGAATTTGTAAAAATGGCTGAAATTCATGAGGTGGAAGCAATGGTCCTCAAGAGTTGGATGCTTGAACTAATGAAAATCATGAGAGGATTCGAATATTACGGGTAGGCACCGTCCAATTTTTCCAAAATCAAGAGGATTTTAAGCGACATTAGCTTCAACACAAACCGAGATCGCGGCTACTATCAGTTAGTTTTTGACGAAGAGGAAGACAAAATCTGGCTCAATAGAACGAAATTATTAAAATATGAATTTCACATGTAATGCTTTGAAAATGCTAAGCGACAAAAATAAAAAATACATTGAGTTCCATAGACTCAGTGACCTCTAGACCAGTCATTTTTACCCTTCCGTTTTACAAGAAGGAAATTAAATCTAGCCGGCTTGATATTTGCTGATTTCATACTTGAACCAAACCACGGACTATATAAACGAGCGCAAACTATTGCAATTGCTATTAGAGATGAAGGCGAAGTGCATTTTTGCCATTTTCCTCGCGCAGTCAAGCGCCCAGAGCAATTGCCCGGACTTAGATCTACAGGCAAAATGTGAAGGAATTTGTGGTACAAAGTACTTTGAGTGTGTGGGGGACTGCAGTGGAGATCATAATTGCGAGCTTCTTTGCTTGAATGATCTGCCTATTTGTGCACTTGATTGTCCCTGCGCTATCAATTGTCCTAACGGATGCGACGGTTGTCCTAACGAAGGTACTTTAGACGAGATCATCATGTTTAAAAATGCCTTCAAGTTTGCTCCTGCTACCAGCCTCAGATTGACAGTCCTTTCTACAAAACTTGCATCTCAGAAGCAAGTTCCACCTTTGACGGATGTGTCAAAGGCTGCCCACTGAATACAACATGTCATGAGGATTGCTTCTCGGACTTTCAAGACGAAGCTGAGCGCTGCCCTTGTGCTGACTTGTGCCCCGACGGCTGTCCATGCGAAAATGGTTTCAAGGTATAATCTCAAATTCAAAATGAAATATTAATAACGAGATAAGTGCCAAGATTATGTGATGATTTTGGGCGACAGCGGGCTCAACAGAGTCAGCACTTTAGTCGCCAGTGATGGAGAGCTTTCTGATAACAGATTTTACGAAACCCCTGCTGGAAATACCAACTATGGATATTTGTACCGAGCTGGCTATGAAATGCTAAAAGGAAATCTCTACATTTTTGGCGGATCCGTGTCTGTTAATCAGATCAGCATCCTTGTTGATTGTGAGATTAAACCCCTCACTGCTACTCTTCAATATGGCTTTCAATCAGATTCTGGTGCTATCGCTACGCTTCCTGGAGTCAAAAACGAAAGTAAAAATCCTTTTAGTTGCAAAAACTTAAATTCTTTAGTTTTTCTTTGCTTCTATGCTAGCCCGTATACAAAGTGTGAAGAGTTTGACGGTGAGGCGTCAGAGCTCAATCCAGCAATCGCTCAAAATAGCCATCGATATGGAGCTCTTGCCGTCTATGGAACTGGTCTTCTAGCCGTCGGGTCTAATACTGCAAACGCGAGAAATAAGGTCGAATTACTGAACATTGGTGGCGGATGGCAAGAAGTTGCCGACCATCCTCGAAGCATTCAAAATCCCGGCATCGTAGCTGTTGATGAAGGAGTCCTGACTTTGGGAGGTTACCAATATGACACGAGTCCAAATGGAGCGATAACTGAGGTCTATCTTTTCAAAGATTTGGAATGGACAATGGTTGGACGGCTCTCTCATGTAAATAGCTTTTAACCCTAGCCGGCCAAAAATGATTTTTCTCGGGTACCGGTCAAGATACTCCATATTTGGCTTATATATACTCCATAAATGGCTTTCTATATTTGTTTTAGGCATCGCACTACAACTCTGTCATTCGTAACGGCAAATCGATAATCAACGTTCCTGGAATCGGGTACATTCACAGCTTCAAATAGGCAGCAAGATATAAAATTTCAGATCCCGAGTTGTTGAATCTTTGGACTGGGATGGTTACACTCTTGGTTTGTCTCAAGACATCCTGGAGCTCCAGTTCAACATCAACTACCCGATTTTGTTCAATGCAGCGCCTGATGCCTGTGTCGACTCTTGCGAGAACTATTGTTTCGTCTGATTACAAAATATCTGAATAATTTTTCGATGATTTTCCTGACAATCAAATAATAAATTAATCTCTAAATTTGAATAAATATATTTTGCAATCAAAGAAAGTTATGAGTCGGAATTGAAACCATCCGAAGAGCCAAAAGGATTGAATTTTAATAAAACTAAAAATAAGGTTGATTAGAAATTTAATTATTCTTACAAGTTTCTTATATGACGGTACTCGGCGACGAGGGACTCGTTCGAACAAGTATTATGATGACATTCGCCGGCCTTTTTGTGGATAATCCAAAATATATAATTCCAGATGGAAATGATAGTCACAACTTCCTTTCTCGTGCAGGTCACGCGAAGCTTTATGATCATTTTTACTTTTTTGGTGGAAACGCCGACGGCAAACAAATAAGTTTCCTCACTGGTTGTGTTATTCAAGAGACCAGTTTTCGTCTTCCTGCTAACTATTTTTCCTATTATAGTTCGGCAATTTTTCATTTTGAGACAAGTATGTTAATAGTATTACATGTATGTACTTCAATGATATAAATATTTTCAGTTTATTTGTGCTTTTTGAGTGGACAAGACAATCGATGCTATGACTTTGATGGTGTAAAGATACTATCAAGATTCACAACGACTTATCATCATCATTATGCTAGCTTGGCCACTCATGGCAGTGAATTTTTAATAATTGGCGGCAATTATAATGGTCAGCGTAAAACAGTTGAATCTTTCCGTCAAACTCTTGCTTCTGGAACGCTAACAACACGAACCAGTCATCCTATTGAGTTCGCTTATGGCGGGGCTGTAACTGTTCCGGGTGGAGTGATAACTGTTGGGGCCTACAGCAGCTCTTACTACAATCGTGTTTACTTCTATAATGGAAGCTGGAAATATCTTGGTGAACTTACTTATCAGTATCGCTACCAAACATTATTCTTGAAAGGATCGACAATTTACTCTTTTGGATACATGTAAAATATTAAAGTATAATTGTATTATTTAACCCTTTTTAGGACTCAAGTTGAGAGCTTTGATTTTAATGGGCAATCCATGTTGAATAAGAAGAAAATATATGACCTACCATCAGCAATTCAGTATCCTTTCGTTTATAGTCCAGATCCACTTTGTGTTTGATTGTTAATTGTAAATGCGTTCCCATTATTCAAAAGAGCCAGTCTTTAATAAACACATATTGTTACGATGTTACCACTATCATACAGTTATTTTCCTCTTTTGTGGACATTTTTTGTCCCAAATTTTCGGAAAAATGTCCACAAAAGTGGGCAAGGGTTCCCAAAAAATGTCCCGCCGTAGTATATTTAAATTTTTTCAAATATAAGTTTTTATGGAAAAATGGCGAATTTCATCCTCGAAACGCCTTTCTCTTGCTTATGTTTATCTTTTTTCGACAAATTTAAATGCTTTAGTCCTTCATTTCTTGAAAATAACCCTTGATTTTTGAAAAGAATAAGCCATTTTTGCCTCTAAAATTTTCTTATCAGGGAAAATGTCCACAAAATTGGAACATTATCTTTGCAATAGTGTCCCACGGAAACCCCTTAAAATGAAGAAAATGTCCACAAACTTGGGGTCCACAAAAGAGGAAAAAAACTGTATGTTTTCGTTAATGTAAGGTAGAGACTGAATTCTTATCACGAAGAATAAACACTAATGGCCGTTGTCGCGCCTAAAAAATATGAGCAGTTTTGCACTTCGTTCAGCAGTTTAGTAAGCATGAAATTTTCAGAGTAAATTTTGCTCGATTCCGCATAGAAAAAAATTCTGGAGAATCCCCAGTGATATAATTAACACTTGATTAAACCATTTATACCGTTGTATAAACTAACACAGCTTATCAGGGCAAGAAGGTTTGTTATGTGTTTTCAATGCCAACATTTTGTGCTCATATTAAATTGCGTTTTCAAACGGTTACCAGTTTATTTTCTACTTTGATCAAACCCAGTTCTCGAAAAAATCGAGAAAACTTCCAAATCTAAGAGAAAAAAACGTTCTGGTATTCAAACGAAGAAATGAAGATTATCTTATCATTATTAATAATTCTATTGTTTGTCGTCTCTGTCTTTGCAGGTAGGTTTTTAGTCGATGATTTCTTATGGTTAGGGTAGGCCCCGGTAGGGGGAGCATTTTATGTTTTAATAAACGACTTCATTTTTAGAAGAAAACTTTTCAACACAGAAGACTGGCCAAGACTTTTCTCTTTTTGTGGAATCCCGTGAAAATTGTCCGGATCATGAGACGTCCTTTTGCGAGGAAGAAAACTCTTCGAGGGCTTGTGGTGAATGGAATTGTCCAGATGGCATTTCAGAGTTTTCCTATTGCACGGTTGTCGTTGAAAACAATTCAGGGAGTCAAGAATACCACAGGAACAGGTTTTAGCTAGCTTTTTCCTCGAGAAATCAATGACTTTTGTCTTTACCATTCAATTTCAATCGTAAATTTAAATAACCTGGAGTAGAGCTTGCAGTTGCCATACAAACGTAGGACCGTTTAACGTCTTCACGGGATGCAAGTGGGAAATGCAAGAGACAATTACAATATCCACAACAACCTCAACAACAACCTCAACAACAACATCAACAACAACATCAACGACAACATCATCGACAACATCATCGACAACAGCAACGACAACGACCACGACATCAAGGACCACGGCAGCTGCATTCCCTCTAAAATCAGAAGCCTCCGAAAAAATGCTTCTTGATGCTGAGCTTCTCGGAAGCCTTAAAAATTACGAAGAAGAGCCTGAAAAAGTAGAGGAATATTACGAACCCTATCGACCCTATCCGATCTCAAGCAGGCGGAGTCATCAAAGAGAGTGGGAAGGAGGAATGGGGAAGACAATTATAGGAGAAGGTAAATTTGCAGCAAAGTCGAAAATATAAAAAAAGCGTTTTAGATGGAACTTACGTTCATGCTTTCGAACTGATGCAGAGAATTCAGCGAATGATGTTCGAAGAAGGTCTATTTTCACTTTATCATTGACATATAAATATGCAAGATAATATTTGATTACCTCATTGCATCATAATATAGAGTTTTTGGGGGTTTTCATTTATTGTATAAACTTCATCAGCATGTTTTGTGTTGAGATTCAAATTGTAAACAGTTTTCATGAAATTGATGCAATAAACAAAAGCGCTCTCAAACTCAATTATCTTCAATTTTGTTAGTCAATTCAAATAGTATTTTTTACTCTTTTTTACTGCAAACACCTCATTTTTTATACAATTTTACACCACTAATAAACATACAACTTGAAAATAAATTCAGATTTTGAAGTGTTAAAACTGGCCTTTAGCTCTTTTTTCTTCCTTGATTCCAACATTAATTTCGATAGAGTACCTCTTTGTATATCTCTTTGTATAATAGTATTAATTTCGATAGTAATACCTCTTTGAACATCTTCTCTTCCCATAAACCCTTATCAGAACATAAGATGAGCTCGACAGCTGCATCAATTTATTTTTTCGGAGGCAGATACGTCAGATAGAAACAGAAAAAGAAGAAGGATATGGAAGGATTGGGCACATTCGGTCAGAGTCCAGTCAGACTGATAAAATGCATCAAATTTATAGAAAAAGTATAAAGAATTGTATGTTCAGGCAGTGAGGTAGTTACTGTTTCCGTTTTTTCAATCATTCGTTTGCGAAGTAGGAAATAAAAAACAAGAAAGACTATTGTCGCGTTCCAAAATTAAGCTCTTTTATCGACGCTTGCAGAAAGATTGGATCCTCTGTGTTCGACAAATTCTTCTTGCTCCGCGACGTTTTCTTCGTTTCTTCAATTACTGTCATTCTCCTGCGATGAACTGTCTCTTCGTCCGAGTGGCTTGAAAACGTTCTGGACGAGTGGCTCTTGCTTCGGCTGTGACTGGAGTCGGATTTGTAGCCAGATGAAGGGATGTTTGGGTTCCTGAATAAGCAAAAGTAAGGGTTGAGAAAAGGTCTATATTTTTTCGCACCAATGGTCAACATCAATATCAACAGATCATTCAATTAAACATCTAGGTCGGAGCCGGGGCCCGGCGAACCGAAGCGACGAAAATTTACCGATTTTTTTGAAAAAAGGATGTGGATGGTTCAAGGCTTATTGACTCTTATTTGACCTTCATTCACACTTTTGTGCCTTTTTGGTGGCCTTTTTGAACTTGATGAGGAGTTGCGAGTGCAGTGACGAAGACTGTGACTGTACCTTGGATGGGATTTCGCAGAAGATTCTCTGTGAGTTCTCCTTTTTCTTCGCTTTCGCTGGTCCCTTTTTTCTCTTGATTTTCGACCATCTTCCGTTTCCGTTGTATAATTACAGGACTTTCCGGGATATTCTAGCGCTCGCATGGAATCGCCAGTTTTCTTCGTACTGCTGTAGTATTTCATTGTGTTTGATGATTTTATCGTCCCCATTTTCGAGACTTGGCTGTGCTCCAGGACCTCCATGAGATCTCCCTGAAATCATTATGAGTTTTGAATTACTTGATGAGTTCTCAATTTCTAAATTTGACATAAGCAAAGCTTGACTCAATTTTTTGGATCGATATAAACCCGACTTAGCTGGTCAATTAGCTTGACCCATGAAATTTGCTTTACCTGGGGGATGAACATTCCGACTTCTCCCGAGGGTAGAGTACAGTATTGAATCGACGCGGGCATCATCACACTGTGTCCGTCCACTTGGTTGCCGCCGGATTTCACGCTCTAAATGACGCGGTCAGTAAATTTTCATTTAGACCAGAAGCCGTGCTTGTTCGTTGCTTTTTGATTACCTTGAATATCGAAGCTGCTACTGAGGGTGCGCGGTTTATTGAGGGCGCGTAGCTGGGCGATACCGTCGGCGCGACCTGCGATCCGCAGCTTGGACAGCCGGTGTGATGGTTTTGGCGCTCTTCGTAGGGGAGGATCGACATTGTCGGGTTTATGGTGCCGGAATAGTCCGCTCCGTATTGACCATCTCGCATCGTTAGATCCTAAAAAATCCAAGGTCAATTTTGAAGGATCGCTGCTCGGTGAAGCGTGAACAGCCAAAATTTCCAAAAACTTTCAGATGATGATGGATTATATTTACCTTTTTGAGCCTGTTCTGGCCGCGCCCTTGAAAGCACAAATTGTCGCAACAGTTACAACAATACTTCGAGCACAGCGCTATTACCAGGATAATTACTATCACTAGGACGACAATGACTGCGACGACGATTCCAATTGCACCGGAATCAACATTGAGATTGATGTCTAAAAGCGGGTTAGGGGTCGGCCAAAAATGAAAGAGTCAAGTACCGGAATCGAGCGTGACTTCAGCTGATTCGATGCCAAGCAGGCCCGCGTCGGAGAATCCCTTTTGAACGGCGCGCTCCAGGTTTTGTCCCATTTCTAAGCAGCAAAGGTTAGATAGGTTAATATCGGTAATCCCCATACACTCATCCACTGGATCGATCCGCGCGTCCTCAATAGGCCCCCAGCCGCGCTTACGAACAATAAAATGCCAATCAAGTGTTTAGCGAAAAAATACCCCTTAGACTGAAGACGGGACTGTTTTTGTTACTAAGTAATACTGGCGAGGACCCAAGGGGTAAACAGATAATGCCTCTTTCAATAAACGATTCGCTCTTTTTCTCCTTGTTGTGGGAAGACGAAAAAAGTTTGGACAGTTTCCTTTCTCATCTAATAAGAATTGTAAACATTGAAAACGAGCATTTCTGAATAGTACCAGTACCAAAGAATTGCCCAAGATTGTCGGTTAAAATCAACATCTTAGGTCTAAAATTGTCGGTAAAATAAAAACAACGAAAATCTTCCGCTCAATTTTCACAGTTTTATCGATAATCTTGGCCCTAAAAAGTCGATGTCTAATCAAAAATCTTGGTAAAAGCAAATTATCATACCTAGAGCTTAGTTTCCTTCAGAAATATCTCTTTCCAAAAACTTAAAAAAGGAAAGCTAGAAATGCATCTTTTGTACGGTTGATTGCACAAAAATCCGCGGCCACTAATCATCCAAATGTAGAGTCGATGTGCCTCCTGGCCACATGGCTCTCTCGATAAGGGCCAAAAAAGGTGCATGGTGAGTTGAAAATGTCAAAATTTTCGTTGGCGAGTTTCCAGCCCTCCCCCTCCGGAATCGAGTTTTATAAAGAAAAATAAAATACCTTTCTTTTTTGGCAACGATTTCTTTATTTTTCTTCTAAAAGCTCATTCTATCTCTTTTTTCAATCAATCTCTTTTTGAAAAAGAAAAAAGCGACGAAAAAAAAATGATTTTTTTGATTATTTTTCAGTCCGATCTCGATCGGGTTTAGGGCTGGCCCCCCACCGCTGGACACTGCTCGTCCTCAAAAAAAAAATACGCTGTCCGCTCGTTGGCGCCACGCGGGATATTTTTTTTCTGCTTTTGATTTTTTGATGAAAATCAGTCCCCATCTTTTCAAGCAATAAAGTTTTAGGGATTATCGCTCCTGGAGAGTTTGCTTGATCAAAATGACCTTACACGGGTGGGGAAAGGCAGGTCTGTTTGAAGTCAGATTGTCGTTCTGAGAGTTGGTATTTACAGAACTCTGAAAAGAGAGAGAGGGAATTTTTTACTACCCAAAAAGGAAAGCTCAAGACATTCAAATTTACGACGGTGGAATGATCTCGATTACGTCTGCTTCCAAAGCTGATACCCTTATCTTACTTTGCCAACTGAGAAATAAGGGGGTCACCTTTATAAATTTAGCAGAAAAATGAAAATGATGATGTCTTCCTTTTAAATTCATGGAGCTAGAATCACAAAAGCACGAATTTCACGAATATTTGAAAAGCGTGCTTCAACTCATATTTGCCCAGCAAAGTTACTGCTATTCATTTTGCTCAATCAACTCTCAATTTTGTAAATCTACAAAAAAAATTCCCCTGGCCATCATTTTTGCTCCATCTTATTCACACCTGATTTTACGTTTTGCTCTGGGTCCAGTAAGGGACACGGAATCGCGTTTTTCGTCATGGAAAAAATTAAAAATGTCTGAGACGAATTTTAAGGTCTCGTGAGTTACTGACCGAAGCAGCTTGGAAAATGCTCAAACTGGAAATTTGAGCAAATAGACTTGGAACTTTGGCAAATAGTGAAGATTGCCATTCCGGCAGGAATACAGTCCTATCGACTTTCGCGGTCGATTTCTGATAAATCATCTGTATTTCTGTTTAAGGATATAGCCGTTCTCAAGGCACTTTCGTAGCGCCGAAATGGGGCGATAAAAGTTTTTCATTTAAAGACAGCTCCTACCTAAAATTATGTCTAGAATTCGATTCCGATGTTTTTGAAATTTATTTCAAAGAAAATTTCTCTCTGGAGCGATTTGAAATCTTACGATCACTTTTTCTCGAAATTTTTCAATTAAATCGCTAAAACTAAACCGTGTTTTATTGTAAATAACTGCTAATCTATCTTCCTAGGGCCTCAAAATTTCAAAACCCGAGCAAATTTTGATTCTAGCGTCTTCTTCTTTTTTGCTTTTCTTTTTCATAAATGCTGCGTTCAGGGCGCTCGACCAATCAGCGCGCTCTTTCACATGCGCGCCTCACCGCGCGATGGAGGAGGGCGCCCAGCGCAGCAAACCAGAGCGCTGTCTGACGCTTGGGCTCACTCAAGTAAGCCTCATAAAAATGGCTCTAGAATCATAAATATTTGGAATCTACTAAAACTTAGGCCCTAGGAATGTAGAGAAAGGTCCAAATTTTTAATTTATCAAAAAAACTCGACCGATTTAATGGAAAATTCTCGAGAAAAAGTGATCGTAAGATTTAAAATTGCTCTAAAGAAAAATTCTTCCATTAAAAAATTAAAAAAAACACTAGAATCGGGTTTCTTAGGCAATTTTAGGTAGGGCTCTTTTTGAAATGAAAAAATTTTATCGTCCCCTTTTGGCGGTACGAAAGTGCCTTGAGAACGGCTATATCCTTAACAGTTCTCAAGAGGGGGTCTCCTTAAGCGGTTTCTTGAAGCTTTGACGGGTTCAAATTCATAAAAAAGGACGGAAAGTTTTAATACCTGTTTTTGACCTTTTCGCAGCTAATTTTTTATTTGCTTGTAAATATTTTCTCTTTTTTGTTTCACGAATTTTTCGAAATGAAATAATAATTTCGCGGGCCCGCGGCGCTCATCGTCCTATTCATCAAGTTTGTTAGTAACAAGAAGTTCCATTATTACGCCACTTCCACTATTCATCATTGAATTCAGCAAGTACAGTCACGTGAGCTTTCTTTATTAGGCAAATATTGACTGTTTCTAGGAGTACATCCGATTCCTTTCACGATCAAAGGGAACATGAATTTGAACTTTGAAATTTGCTTTTTGAAAGTTCGGAACCCGCGGAAAGATGAAAGAAATAACGGGGCATTTATCATAATTGTTCAAATAAAAAGCCAGGAGCAGGTGGTGCTGATTTTTATCGCGAAAAAGGGGGATCATCAATGATATGAAAAACGGGTTTATGATCCCCTGGGATAGGAATAAATCCCCGCTTTCGCACCTGAAACTACCGATTGCCCTCAAATAATTTTGTTCACAAAAAAACGGGGCGAAAAGGGGGCTAAAATGAGGGAGAAAAATTTTTGAAGAAACTCATTTTATTTTCTGTATTTATTTTACCTGTTTTTTTTTCTGTAGTCTTCTTTTGCTTGTAACTCTCTTTGGTTTCAGTACTGTCTCTCTCTGTCAAATTTGTTTCTCGCTAATTGCGCTAATGAAATTTTCTTCTTGAGCCTCAATTCATTGATATTATTTCATCTGGATAAGGCGCGGAATGAAAAACAACTGCGCTGGAGCGCTCTTCAGCTCAGCACTTGAATTGAAAATGTCCCAAAAATGTCAGCGGTAACTTTTTACTTCTGTTTCTCTTTTTTCCTCAACGATCCGACGATCCGGCTTTTTGCACGTTTATCGCGTTTTCCGCCAATATTTAGGAAATTTATAAACAGCGAAGAAAAAAGCGCCGCCAGGATGATCGCTTGTTGAATTGAATTGAATTGAGCCCAACTTGGTCGACACTGATGGCGGTAACAGGTAGCCGGGGCGCCAAGTGATAAGAATGCCTTTGATAACGTGAGAGAATTGAGTCGAAAGAATGCTTTTTTATGAGATCAGGCAATAAGTATGCAATTGATTTGAAAAATCACGGAGATGGAGAATTGAATCAAAAGCTATCAAGATTTCTCGGTGACATTTTTACTTGACAGCCTGAGTATCCTACCGTACTACTCATTATTTGAATCAGCATTCAGGAATCTTTAGTCGACTAAGAAAGATATTTTGGATAGACTAGGAATTTTCCTCGAAGGTTTTCATTGTCAAAGTTTCTTTCGCATCCTCAGGTTAGGGTTAGGGTTAAGTTTAGAGACCCTTATTAGGGTCGTAGAAAAAACTTGTTCGGGCGTTTTTTCTATTAAAATTTTCCTCTTTTGGAATGAATGTTTCGATTAAAAAAAAAAACAGAAAAAAATCTTAAATAAATGATAACCCTAACCCAAACCTGGTAGGCTAACCCTAACTGTTAGGGTCTAACATCATTTGTTATGAGAATTTCTTTTAATTTTCGTATAGAACGATTTTCAATTATTTGCTGTAGGAAATGCCTGCCCTCAAGAGGTGGTGAGACAAAGCTCCTGTCTAGCATAACAAAAAAAATTATCGAATGACTGTACTTGCGCGTGAGCAATACGTGAGTTTATTTAACATTTATTCAATAAACGCGTTATCCGATTAGCAGTTGTCGAATCACTGCTTTCTAGGAAGAGGAGAGCTTAAACGCGATTGAGATAGCGAAGCATGTTCTTCACGGTCGCGTCATTCTTCTCAGCTGGACGGAATGCGTTTTCGTAGCCGCTGTAGATATCTTCCAAATCGTTTAGGCTATCCTGAACGGGAATAGCGGCTTTTTATTTTGCTTTTTGAAAAGGGATCATCGCAAATAAAGCCGATCCGGATTCAATGAATAGGATCAGGTCGACGATATCAACTGATGTTAGGAGATAGTCTATGTTTAGACTCTACAGCAGAGTCTACAGGGAAGACTTGAGACTGTAGCTATATAAAAATAAGAATAATTTTCACGGGATGATAATATGAAAGCCAATAAGAAGAAGGAGACTTTTGACAGTTAATTTTGAATAGAAAATTTATTCATGTTACTCTATTAATAAAAGACTATTATGGCAAAATTAAAAATAAGCGTATAAAGCCCTAGAAAAGTCCTCAAAAAGATGCTACAGACAGATTTTCAATACCATAATAGTCAAAAACTATTTTATTTATATAATTTTTTTGAATGCTTTTGTTTCTGATTTAGGACAAAAAACATTTCTCAGGCTAACATATAAGAATCTTCGTGACAACAATTTAAATTGGAAATTTCATCAGATAGTTTGGTCGAAAAAATGACTTTGAATGCTTACATGGAAAGTTTTGAGTCTGTACTGCAAGTCTTCGCATTTCTTCGGATCTGAGCACTTTATTTTCGTCCAGTCAATACAACTCACAACCATCCCTAAATCTCAATTCAATCAACCCCTCTTCTAAGAAACAAATTACAATTAATAACAAACGTCAGCTTCATTCGTCTTTTTTTATCGAAAAAAAATGAGAAAATCAAAATTTGCGCGTTGGAATTGTGAAAAAAGGAGCCAGCGCTTTCCTTTTATCCCGACATCGATTTTGGTGGTGCTCTTTGCAATCGGATTGCTTCCAGATTTGGCAGATTGCTCAAAGTCAGGGAAAATCATTTCTCAGTGCTGTATTACTGTCATCAAACGAGCAAATGCATGAGATATCTCATGACTCGGCGATTTCGTAGTTCAAAGCTCATTTCGCTATTATCCGCATCAAACAACTGGATATGAAACCATTGATTAGAACGCAAGCGTCTATCGAAAATGGAAATCAACAAATATTAGAAGGATTAAGCATTGTTTAGCGACCTTCTGAGACGACCGCAACCCGGCGGTCGGTAACGCCGTCGGCTTTTTGAACCGGACTCTGAAGCGGCTCCGTTCAACCGAGTGATTTAACTCAATCTCGGGAGAAAAAACACCGTGAAATCGAGCTCCGGAATCATCACTACTTACCCAACTAGAGCGAATCGTTGTTTATTCCGTTCTGCGTTTTTTAGAAGTGAATGTTTTTTATTTCCTGAAATTTCACGATTTCATGACCCATAATTTTCGTTTCAAACATTAATTCATAAGTGTAAAGCTAGGGGTTTCTTCCATGTCTTCATTGAAATTTCAGTCAGTTATGAATCTGTCTTCATATGAGGAAGAACTAATCTCGGGTTGTTTTCATAGTAGTAGTCCTTCATTTCTTCTACAGTAACATGCGTTGTATCAGCATACTGGATCTTTTTAGAGCTATTATTTCTCCACTAAAAACTTGACTGAACTAAAACTAACTGTATTTGTACGTATGGTCACCGAAAAACTTGAAAGTTGAGTTTCAATCGTTGAATTTTTAATGCTTTTCGGGTCGCGCTGGTGCAAATTTATTAATAACTCTTAGCTGTTTTATCATTCGCAGCTTTTTCTTCTTAGAAGTAGTCGGGTTTTGGAAGCGCTCATTCATAGAAAGCGCGGTCTAAAATATAATAATGATAATATAAAAAAGGGATTACCTTCTTATCAATGGATAAGAGTCCATAAAGCGTATCTATTTTATAAGAAAGCGGCGATCGCGAAAAGCTGCGTTTCTGAGCTCTGAGCATTTTTCGAATGTGTCCATCGCGATAATTTCTCTTGCCTGAGGCGAGTGCTAGAAAAATGAGCAGAAATCGCATTGAAAGAGGATTTCCGAGAAAGAGAGATTAGGTTTCCATTCAATTTATACAATGTTTCTATCCAGCGCGTTTTTGTTAGTAAATATTTTTAGGATTTTATTCGATTTTGAACTTTGAGGTTTTGAAACTCCAGGAAATATATAAAAAAAAGATAACAGAAGTAGAAAATAATAATTAGAAGTTTTTCACCAATCTTTATGTACAATACCGGTCTGGTGTCAAAGATACAGTAAGAATCGTGGTCAAACAGGCGTACCAGGCGTATCCGAAGTGCTAGAGTACTCGGGAACCTTGTTGATACTCAACGAACTGTAACTAGGAGGTAGCATGACTGTGCAGTATTTCGGCGGATCATCGGAAACGCCAGGGACTTGACACTCTGATTCAGCCGAAGCAGCTCGCTGGGCTTCCTGGTGCCGTCTGAGTAACCAGTAAAGAGCACGTTCTTCTGCTGGAATTGGCGATGGAGGCGGATGTGTTTGAATTTGAAATCCTAAAGTTGCTTTACGAGCTGTCTACAAGTAAATTCTGAATCGAGTTTTTCTTTGAATAGTCAAAGTTTACGACGAAGTTAAAACATATCCAGGTCGTTCATTACGTAATCTATCCAAAGTTTACCAAGTTTTGCGAAGAAAAGGTTGGAGCTGAAAGCCAGGACTGAAACAATAAATAACTGTACAAAGCTCGTCTGCTCATCCGGTGTCATGTTAACCCTCTGTCCAGCAGATTTATCTCCGATGAGCACGATAAAGCCATGAAGCAAATTGAGTGAGGCTATTCTGAGTTGGTGGATTCAAATCTTGTCGCTTTATTAAAGATTAGAATATCTTTCTATCCTTCTGAATTGAACCCGTCCGTAGTAATGACGATAGAAATGAAGGTCTTGGACTTGATTTTCTGCGCCGGATTAACAAAATACAGCAGCCAATAAGTCGATAAGCAGAAGGACAGAAGCAGGACCATAATGAGACACTTCAAATACAGCTCGCGAAAATTAAGATTGATTTGTTCCTCAGTATAAGCAACAGTTATCTCTTCGCCAAGTTTAGAGCCGTTGTTGTACGAGCCAAGAAGCACTATCGATTTGTAACTGCCAAAACTGGCGACTAATGCAAGCCAAAATGCATTCAGAAAAATCTAGAGGGAGTTTGTTAGCTTTATTGACCGGCGAGGAAATACCATTTTTTGAAGCTCGCTCATTCTTTTCGAGGTTGTCCCGGTTCTTTTTGAATTTATTTTTCTCGTGTCCTTATTTAAGGATATAGCCTTGAATATTGAACTTTCGTAGCGCCGAATCCCTGTTACGAATTTTATTCATTTTTCAAAGAAACCCTACCTAAAATACAGCGTAGATTTCGAAAATTCCTTTATTTTTAGTACTTTCTATAGTGTTTTTACCTAAAAATCGACTTCAAAATAAAACAGACCATTGTTCTCTAAAAATTCCCATTAAAAAGGTAAATCTGGATTGATGATATGAAAGATTGAAGCCTTCTCTCCAATCTAGCGGAGGATTTTGTAAAAATATTAAAAATTACGGCTTCTAGTAACTGGTTTATGATTGTACTTCGAAATGGAGAGTGGCGCGCGCAGCCAATTAAAGCGAGGGGAAAATCTCACTCAGCCCATCGCTCATCCTATTTTACACGAGAAATTTTGTCGACAGCTTGGAGGAAATCTAACTAGGATTCTCCCCTCGCTCTAATTGGCTGCACGCGCCACTCTCCATTTCGAAGTACAATCATAAACCAGTTACTAGAAGCCGTAATTTTTAATATTTTTACAAAATCCTCCGCTAGATTGGAGAGAAGGCTTCAATCTTTCATATCATCAATCCAGATTTACCTTTTTAATGGGAATTTTTAGAGAACAATGGTCTGTTTTATTTTGAAGTCGATTTTTAGGTAAAAACACTATAGAAAGTACTAAAAATAAAGGAATTTTCGAAATCTACGCTGTATTTTAGGTAGGGTTTCTTTGAAAAATGAATAAATTCGTAACAGGGATTCGGCGCTACGAAAGTTCAATATTCAAGGCTATATCCTTAAAAAAATAATTATCTGTTAACGTTTTTTGACAGGGCAACCCGTGACTGAGTTCACTATCTCGATACACAAGGCCTCTTGAGTCATTCATCTTGTTTTCAGAGTTTTTTTATTATGGTCTATTTTCCCCGCTTCTTCGCTTATTCTCTCTCGCTAGGGGATCATAAAAACATCATTTTGATTATATTGCGCGTTCAATTCTCTCGATTTCTGTACTCAGGAGAAATGATGACCTTTTTTCTATTAGACAGTTAAACAGTAGATTGGTAGACCCCGCCCCAACCTTAAATTTGACTTTTCACTTTTCCCCACAAATAATAAATTAGGGAAGGTAGACAATGTTTATTGATACAGGAGCTTCAGTCAGTAGAAAAATGGAAAACTTTCAAAACGAGGCGATCAGCAATTTCGAACTTTGCAGGAAGACTTTCGTCTGGGAGGCTTGCCATTCTCCAATTTACAGTAGCCTTTGACTGGGCAGCGTTTGGTCAGGGTTACTACGCCCCGGCCGCACGACTTTGAGCATTTCGTCAGAGGGACCCACTTGTCACTCCATTCGCATGGGATTTTGCACTTTAGAAAGGTGAGTTAGCGTCTGATCATACAGAAGACCACTTACAGAGATAGCATCTTCTCCTTTTGTCCTTAGACCTGGTCCACAACCAGCTTTAGATTCGTTTGGAATACAGTCGGACCATTCTAATGAGCTTCCTTTGTGCTCAGAATCACTGGTTGATGGGCTAAAAATTGTTTTATTATCGAAAAAAATGTTTATCTTACCCAGATCTGGCACCATTAGTAGAGTCAACAACAGTGGCAACGATTCTACCAGATCCTTGGCCAAAGTTATTGTAAGTTTGCTGATCATAGGCAGGTTTGAGCTCAACATAGGTCGGTTTTTGAGTCGTGTAAACTTGAGCGGGTCGAACATTACTGTACGAATTATTATCATACGCAGGTTGAAGGGGTTGATAAGCTGATTGGTCGGGGATTTGGACGTTTTGGACTGGATATCCTTGTGGCTGTTGGGGAGGGACTGGCCGCATTCCTGACTGGCTTAGATATTGATTTGCTGGTTGGAACTGTTGTGGATTCTGATAGGTAGGATATGTTCTGACAGTCGTACGAGTCGTCGTTGTTGTGGTAGTGCGAGTAGTCGTGGTTGGTCGAGTGGATGGTGGCGGTGTTCTGGCGAAGTTGTTTGAATTTTGGAATTGATTGCTTTGAAACTGATTAGTTTGGAATTGACTTGTTTGTGGTTGGATTGGCTGAAATTGATTTGTCTGAGGTTGAGCATTCTGGAAGGGAGCATTCTCAAATTTTGGAGCAGTTTGAGAAGAGTACGCTGCTTGTCTCACATTCATCTGAGGATCGACTGGCTTTGGCGGGATCGTTCTGCATGGATGTTGGCGGCAACAACCTTCCATAGAAGTATCAAGAGTCGGAAGACCCCATCGCTCCCCGGCAATCGGTACTTTCCACATGCAAAGTCGCTCAAGAACGTCTTTCGAAAGTAAGACTCCTCTGTTGATGTCATTATCCCAACAACAACCCTTTGCTGCGCAGGCCATCTTATCTTGCCCAAGCTCTTCAAAAGTCGGAGTTGTATCAGCGCTGTACGGAGCCAGACATGATTGCATATCGCTGTGGTCCGTTTCGTCGTGAGCGGGACATTGCTGACTCTGAATGCTTCCAAACTGACTGTACATGGATGAAATAGAAGGAGCTCTGTAAGAGCTACCAGTAAATTGGCTGCCTGACCCGGTTTCCGTCAAGCTATTTGGAGTGGATTGGATTGCTTGTGGACTGTATTGGCCGTTTATTTGGTTGAATGGGCCGTATTGGGTCTGCTGCTGATTTTTCCAAGTGTTGTATGCATTTGTCTGTGGTCTCATATTTGGCATCATCATTTGCATCAACGATAGTCTGTTCACAAGACTTTGATCCTGGCTACTATCTAAAAGAGACGCATAGTCAAGTCCGCTAGTGCCAGCAGAATTAGCCATCATCTGGTTCAATCCACCAAAGCTAGGGCCAATCATCATATCCATCAAGCCCTGTCGAGAGCCGTCTTTACTCCCAGATTTCTTGTCAGAAGATTTACCTGACAATCCTGTTTTGAAAACGTTCAACATGTCAATTTTAGTGCACATCGTGCTCATACTGGGGATCATTTGAATCATCGGATTCGCGCAAAGAGTCGACAGTTTTGACGATGTTGACCGTCTGTTTCTCGACTTTGCTGCGGATCGACGTCGACGACGGCCGGATAAATTCAAGAAATTGTTGTTTCCACCAGATGGAGGCATGCTCCAATCTGGCATCAAAAGATTTCCATTTTTGTCCCGATACTCGCCCATTCCAAGTCGCTCGAATTCGTTCTTCGGTTTTTTGAACAGTGCTTGGACTTCCATTCCAGTAGCGCTTGATCTGCCACCGTTGACGATTTGGCCGTATCTTGATCCTCCAGGTTGTTCACTTTCTTTGCCAAATTTGAGCAGAACGGCCATGGCTGCTTGGGATACAGTCTCTCTATTGTGGAATCCAGAGCTTAGATCAACCGGCCTCAAGCAGCTATTTGTCGTTTCCGACCAGCAGCAGCCAACAAGCATGCACTGGCCTTTTGTTACACCAGTCCATCCACAAAACGGCGCAAGGGAGTAAAGAAGATCGTCCATTATTTGTGATCCCTTGAATCTAAGCGTCGTATACATTGGCCAAATCTGCGAAAGTTGCTGCTCGAATCGAAGCGTTGCTGAAGTCAATTGCCCCTTCATCGGACACTGGTGCATTTCCATCATTAGTCTGTATCCCTGGTCCGTATCGGCGAAGTCGTTGATTTTGTTGACAATGGGTTGCATGAACCAAGGGTGTTGGAAAGTCATTGCTCCGGAGAATACTTTGTACATGGGAGTACTGATGGCTTGGTAGCAAACAGGAGTTCCTCGCATGAAAGTTTGGCCAAATGACATTCTGTAGAGTTGCAAATTATGATCAAAGCAACATCCGGGGATGGAGAAACACTCTCCTGCTGTAAGAGGATCTTGGCCATACATGTTCGTGCATTTCTTACGATTGCAGAAAGGGATATTTACGGGACAGGATAAATAATCATTGAGGGGTCCTGATCCACTGAGTAAACTCATTCTGCTGTCGAACATATCCATTCCGCCGTTGAAACCAGTGAGAAAGGCGGACCGAGCTTCGAGAGAAACAGCGTCGTTGTCTTGTTTCTCGAAGTTTGGCAAGGCATCTGAAAGTGTATTTCTGACAAAACTCTGCTCCTCGAACGATTTTGGCTTCTTCGCATCTCCTGCCACTGCTTGAAAATCTGGTGAGTCGACGATCATTTGGGCGACGTTTCCTGCGTTTTGGCTTTTTCCTATGCATTTGACCCCATTCCAACAACAGAGTTTCGCCATATTGCACGAGTTTTTTGAATTGTTATCAGAACAGAGTTTGTCAAAATCGCTTCCAACTGAGTTTGAGCATGTAGTTCCCGCGAGTCGACTTTCTCTCAGCTGTAAAAGCCAGTCTCTGTTCTGTTGAATTCCTTGGTCATTGTCGAAAAACTGAAAAGACCGTTCTCTTCCATGATTTCATTGATGAAAAATACCTGTGCCCTAACTGTGGTGCCATAGAATACAGGCGCAAAGAGACGCATAATTCCGATCTCTTTCGCTTTGAAGCGGCTACTCTAAACTGGCCAGGATTGCTCAACCCTTCAAACGAGGCTTCATCGAAATTTACTCTAATTAGCCCAATCATTGTTGAGCCGATGTTCTAATTCCACTTAAAGTCAATTGCCATCCACGTGGTGTTATACAGTCGTGAGATAACTTTTTCTGCTGAATTTATTTATGTTACTTCTATCTCAGCAAGAATTTGAAGGCGTTTCCGGAACATGGCGTTCATTTTCTTCGTCAATTCTCATAACTACGCCTGCTGATAGATTATCTTTCTAGAAATACCTTACAGTGAGTCATACTTATTCAACGACCCCTAAAATATGAGCATTGATCGGTGCATTTTTCGGTTACCTTTTTCGCTGACGAATCAGAAAGACTTGTTGATATCAGATCACTCCGAAAATCAAATTCGACTCAAATGAATTCTTCTTTTTTTAGAGAAAACAAAAATTTACGAAGAGCTTGTTTTACCATTTTATTTTCATATAATCTGTCTTTGCGTTATTTACTGTTTATCAATCAATTTAGAAAAATTTACAATGGGCTTCGATGCAAGAATCGACGAGTCCAGAGACAAGATTGGCGAAAAGCTTAAGCGCAGAATCACTTGTCCAGTTTGTACCTTTATTTTGGAGGTAAATTCGTGAATTTTTCGTATTTTTATAAAGACCCTTTAGGATCCTGTTTCCCTGTTTTGCTGCGGTGGCCACGTATGTTCCGAATGCTACGAAGATGTTTCAACCTGTCCGCGTTGCCGAAAAGCAAACTTTAAAGCGATAAAGGGGCGACTGATGATGGACGTATTAAGCACTATCAAGCTCATTTGTCCGAATTCCGCCTGCCGAACTTCTCTCCTATACGACAATTTCCAGGAGCACAAGAAGAATTGTTTCGCACTCCGTGACGAGAGATGCCCGGAATGCGATCGGGCTATTTCGATGAGCAAGTTCCACCTGCATTTCAAGTGTTTTCAGAAAATGGCAGAGGACAAAAAAGCTCTGGTGACTCAACTCGCCCAAGCGGAGGAACGAATCACAATGTTGACAACGGAACTAGAAGAGCAAGCACCATCTTCTGGAACTCGGTCAAAGAAGAGAAAGACGAAGGAAGTGGAGAGAACGATAGAAAAACGACGAAAAGAAAGAGCTGAGGATGATGAGAGACAACTTGAATTGGAGAAGATGAGAAAAGAATTGAAGACTGTTGGCGGGGCTGGGCATTTTTATCGGAACGACAAATGGGTCGGTGAAGGCGGAGAAAGAAATTCTATGAAAGAAGAAGAAACACGAAACATACTGAAGTTACTTTCCTTGGGCGAAACAAAGTTCAACGTGAAGGAACGGGAGTTCATATTGAAAAGGCAAAGAGATAATTTCGAAAACTCTCCACGAAGTTTTCGGGTGGTAATAGGATTGAGGTTACCGAAAATGGGTGGAGCATCAAATACAGGGGTGGTCGAATGTATTATGGAGGAGATGGTTGGCATTATTTATGGATAGGGAGAACAGGTAACTAACTTTTAAAATAGGATTATTGAAAAAAATATTTTTTTAATAATTTATTAAATTAAAAAAATTAATTTAAGATGGACGAGTGCCTTTCAAAGCGGTATTGGATGAAGTTCACGAAAGCACTGGAGCCGTGAGGAACAGAGCAGTGATCACAAGTGAGTTCGATGGAGAGAAAGAAATAATCAAATACAAAACAAACAACAAAGCTGCCGGGTGTTCTGTAAGATACAACATCACCTTACTGTAAATATACAGGTACTAGTTTTGCACACACTCTTTAGAATTCTCTGCCTATGTTCTTTGCCATAAGGCCCACTGATTAATAAATTATTTTTTGAAAGTTCATTAAAACACAACTATCAAATATCATACGAAACTCGTGTTTCTTGTTTCGGTGATGACATACTTTATTAAATATCCGTTAGAAAATAAACAGTTAATACATTAATGAGAGGCGATGACGTTGAAAAAGTGAACGACTTCATCATGATCGAATACTCCGACTTCAGTGTCGCAGACATTGCATTTCACTAGGAGCATTTTTCTCATAACGAATAAAGAAAACAATCAACCTGGATGATAAAGATCCTCTGCTTCAGAGTCTGTAGCATCGCTGGCACGATTGAGACTTTTGGATCTGCTTCGTCTTCTTGCCTTTTCTTTAGCTGCTCTCTTCTTTCTACCGCGTTTCTTAACAGTCTTCTTCTTATATTTGAGAACATTTTCGGAGTCTACAGTGCAGTTCATCGTGAACATGGCTCTGTATTGATGCTGGTACGTGGCGTGTCTTTGACAGTCGACGCAGATTACTGTCATGCATGCTGGGCAGTTCAAAACGGCATCAGACATCTTCGCTTTCTTGTGACTTTTCGACTGGCTTGCCATCCACTTCTCGTCTTCCTCGTCAGCATCTGGGTTGTAGAGGAGCTCATCGTTGCTCAGCTTTCTTCTATTGCGACTTGGCTCCTCTTCATCGGAGGAATCGAAATAATCTTTGTCGTAATGTGTTTCGGAGCCATTTGGCTTTGCCTTACTGGTGGAGGGGGTGTCGTTTGGGGAGGCAAGATCTAGTCAAAATAATTCATTTCAAATAGATGAAATGTGCATAAAAAACCGTTGGCCCAAGTTTTGCTAGCATGCGATACAATATCATCTAACTCGGCCTCCATTTCCGCTTCAAAGTCGTCAATGATATCCTCCGCTTCATCTCGTTGCAACACCTCTCCAGTAACTTCGCAATCATGTCTGAGTTCGTCGTCGTAATCCATTTTGAAATCTTGAAAGATAAGGAATTAAAATCGAGATATCTGAAGGACAATGGTCATAAATTGGCAGGAAAGTGGACAACAATTTTGATTATTTCTCGTCGGAGTAAGCAGAGCGATAGACAACTTTTTCCTGTTCCGCCGGCGCGGAACCGTCGGCAGCTTGTTCAGTCGATTCTTGCTGATCTTCGTCATCTTCATCAGAACTAGATTCGACGGCTAAAATGTGTGAAAAGATTACATCCTCTGGGAAAACAGACCTTGAGCTTTAGCCTTGAGACGATCATATTTTCGCTTGTTCATCGATCTGAGGGCTCTGGCCTTCAAGTCATCTTGAAGTTCTTCCTGGAGCTCCTCAGTTGTTTTCTCGGGCTCCTACAATTATCATTCAAACTGTTCCGCAATTAAATATTTCTTACCTCGATCGCTTCAGGAGATCTTGATTTGTAGGTAACATCTTCCATTCCAGGGGCAACACCAGTGGCGTACTCGAATTCAGGTGCCTTGATTTGCATTTAAAAAGCATTTCATTCAAAACCGAAGATCTACCTCTGGTTCTTTTTCCTCTTTCTCAACAGCAACAAGCGCGGTCGACGGATCTTCGTCAGGCTGCTGATTTTCTTGATTGTCATCCTGTTCCATGGGCTCATCGCGATCAACAGAAACGTCAGAGTCATCATCGTCTTCTTGAAGTTGACGAAGCCTCTCCTGAGAGATACGATTATACTCTGCTGAAAGCAAGAAAGTACCTGTCGAGCTGCTTCTTCGGCAGCTTTCTTTTCTTCAAGCGCCGCCTTTGCTTTTTTGGCGGCGAGAACTTTCGCCTTTGCCAGGGCCAGTGCCTTCGCTCTAAGTTTAAGTTGTATCTCTGACATCTCTTCATCTGAGGATTCATCGTCGCTTTCTTCTTCAGAAGATGACTCTTCTTTAGCGGGTGGTGGCGGCGGAGGACCCATATCTTCATCTTCTTCATCTTTTCGGGCGTCTTTTTCTTCGGCCCACTGATACTCGTATTCCTCGTCTAAAAATGTCTGTCTAAAAATCGATGCTGGTCGTCTCCGGTTTACCTTCGTCCATTTTCTTCGCTTGACTTGTAAGTTCCTCTTCGTGAACTTGCTGGACCTTCATCTTGATTTTCTCACGCAAAACGGTAATATCTTCTAAACTCATTTTCTCCAGCTCCTCTGGCGGTGGCACCACCAAATCTTCAGTAGAATCGACGACGTCAGATTGGATCGGTTTCTGGAGAAGCTTCTGACGCCGTTTTTGTTCGGCACGCAATTTTTCTTGAGTAGGATCAAAGAACTTTATCTACTTTCAAAGCAAAAATTGACGGCTTTAAAATAACCGAAACTCTCAAAAGCCGAGTTTATCCCTAGCCTTACAAACACACATCATTAAATCCTTTCCTAGTTCTTCCTCAGAATCTACATCCGACTCTCCCGAAGAGTAATCCATATCTACACCATGTTGAATAACATGGTTGAGTCGTTTCCTGCTCATTCCCTGCACAGTCTCCTGCAGGTGTTCTTTTATTTCTTTGAGCGGCTTGTGGCGAAACTTCTCTGGCACCATTTTGATCATCACATCATCGTTGACGATTTTGAAAACATTCTCCATGATCTCATTTCGAGTTGCGTACGCAGCAAGCGGTCGGAGATCTTTGGACAAATCGAGACCGTCAGGTTCCATGTCGGAATCGTAGTCCTCCGAGCCTGAAGAGGACGAATCATCAGATGATGAGCTTGATTCCTCGCCACGGGCCTTCTTTCGCGCTTTTCTTGCCTTCTTGCGCGCCTCCTTTTTCTTTTCTTTTTCCTTTTGCTTTTGGATCTTGGCGAGCTTTTGCGTGTGATCTCTGTAGAACGTCGCAATATCTTATCATTAAATAAACACCCTGGTTACTTTATAAGACTGTACCTTCTACTGGCATATCAAGATCAGGATTATGCCACCAGGGCCTGGCAGCAGCCCCACCTTGCACTCTCGATGCCATTTTCTACGACGAATAATAATTATCACTGTCCTTTAGAACGTGGTTGATTAGTGTATTGAATGGATTTTGAATCACAGCTTGAAAGGAAAGCGCTGCTGGTTAGGTTTTTGAATAGATGAAGAATAAACGGAATATGAAGACATAAAACGTACGATTTTAGATATAAATCTGGGTGAACTGGTAAACTAACGATATTTCTGTGTTTCTGAGGAATAGACTGTTAGCTTGAAAACTGAATAGAAAGAGCTTGAAAACGAAAGAGAAAGATTTTAGTCCAATACATTTGTATATTTATAAAACTAGCACAAGATATGTTGTAACTCATGGAACTGCATAGGAAAATAATTTGTCCGAAGAAATCTTCGTGATTTTGATTTGGCTCTTATTTTAGCGAAGTCGGCTCCTTGACTTGGTAATGCACGAGAAAGCCGCTGACGAATGCACCACAAACGGCGCAAATTGAGCAGATTAGAAATATGACGCTTGGAGAGGAGTAAGCGGCGATTATAGGCCCTGCAATCAGGGACATTATTAGCTGGCCGAGGTAAGTCTGCGAGATAAGGATGGCACAGTCGAGCCCGTAGCTTCTTTTGGTTCCAGGCGGCGACTGAAATTCAGTAAGTAATAAAGATGGAAAGAAGCAAGTGTCTACCTTTCTGAGATATGTCTTAGACTGGAAGTATCTTGATAATATTTGAAAAGGAAGCGTGTACAAAACGGCGAATCCGGAACCGATGACGAATGTCAACGAAAGAATCACGAACTTCAATGGGTAAAGAAACATCACGAAGCTGGAAATCGCAATGAGTGTGTAGACCAAGACGTACATGAACTTCATCCCGAGTCTGTTGAACATGTCGTATCTTTCTATTAGAGCAGAGAAGATCGACATGGATATTGAGTAAACGACGAGACCGTAGCAGCCCATTGTAAATCCCTCCTTGTAGTTTTGGTAATCTGTTGAGTTTTCTGGCTCATCGACATTTCCTTCGTAAACGACGAATCCGAAGACATCTTTAACGAAGTTTGAATGGGGTAGGATCAAACTGTCCTTACCTGTATAATAAATGATAATCGTGAGAATCATGATCCAGTTAAAAAGGTCGCAAAGGCACAAAGTGGCAAGCTCAATAGGCATATTATAGATCGATCGCATCATGTTTCTAAAGGTGATTTCTTGCTCAACGAGTATGGGCTTCTTTTTCTTTTCTTTCTTCTTCTTCTTTGCGCCGATAGGAGGAGTTACTTCGAGAATGGAGCTGACGTTGTTGTTCAGTTCTTGCTCGTAGGCAACGACGTCCTGAAAATTGAAGATAAGTTATTAGCTGGCGAGATAAAACCTCACTACCTGTGCTAGACAAGGTGTTGAAGTTGTGCAGGAAAGCTTGTCATCGTCACTCGTGGATTTATTCAACAGCTTCTGCTGTATGATCATGAAACCGTCTGTCCGACTATCGTCGGAATCGCTTTCGTCCTCTGATAAGTCGAATTCGGGGTCAGACCAGTCATCTAAGAATACAATAGCATTGGAAACGAAGCGAATTTCTCACCTTTATCAAGCCCACCAGGCATCGAGTTAGTATCGTTAAGTCGATAGACGGAGCCGCTGGTCCAGCGGGTCGTCGACATCACGAAACCACGCGCCATCGTAATCGGCCTGATGTACTGACTTCGATGAATAAAGCCTTCCGAGTGCGTTACGTTCGTCACTTTGCCACCACTTGTAAGTTCCGCCTTGACTCGTTTCATTTTGCTTGCGAATTTCGTATCGTCGGAAAACTTCACAGCTGAAATTGCGCGATCACGTAGAATTGTTGCCGTGGGATCAGAATTGCTTTCCAGTGGGGGAATCTTTGGTAAGTTCTTCTTCGGACGATACCTTCGCTCTTTGAAAGAAATCATCGTTGAGAAGAGAGACACGGCGAAAAACGCTAGCGCGAGAAAGTAGAGTTTCTGGTTGCCATCCATTCCGAAGATTCCTGCGCAGAGGTAGCCAATTCCTCCGCCGACGCCAATAAATAAAGTTTGAATGTTCAGCGCGGAATCCTGAAATTTAGTATTTTAAAACACGACAGTTGCAACTTCGAAAAAGTACCTGATCAGCTAGATTTTGAATGCAATCCAGTGTGTAAGCTTTTGCAGGCGTTTCAGTAGAGTCCAAGCCCCAGTCCATTAGTTGCGAACCGGTAATAGCGACGATGAGGCCGATAAGATTTCTTTGCTCCATTCCATCGAATAAATCTCCGATTTCAACTGCAAAGGATAGAAGTGTCATGCCAATCATGGCAAGAACGGAAAGAGCGAGAATGAATGGCCGCCGGCGACCGAGTTTTGACTGGCATCTATAAAAGGAAGAAGCGATGAGGATCTACTGTAACGCACGAATACATACGAGACACGAACTGTACCTGTCGGACCAGGAGCCAATCCAAGGGCCGATTGTGAGTCCCAAAATGGGCGAAATAATCCACACCCAACTGGTTCCCTCGTCGGTGACACCGAGTTTTCGCAGAATCGGAGTTACAGAAACAAGCTAACAATCGATTTTTCTCAGTTGATCATTCAAAAATTACCTCAATCGAGTAGCAAAATTCTCTTCCGGCCATCAGTGCCGCATGTTGATACAGTTTCTTTTTCGGGACCTCATGTTGCATGAACCAGCGAGGTGGTACCTCTCTAAACGTTCACAAAAAGCGTTAAAACGAGTCTTTCAGAAAAGATTTTGAAATTTTCTCTGATGAGAAGAATTATTTGCTTATCACGTGGGACAGAGAGTGTTCAAATAACTGACACGTCAACAGAAAAACATCAAAGAGAAAGAAAGACAGGCAATCACTCGTGAGGAAAATTATCTACAATTTCGTGCAAATTGGGCAAACTTTCCCCGCGGCCGGGCCAAAAAATTGAAAGAAGACGTAAAATCATTTATCAGTTGCCAAGTTAAAAATCTAAGAGACTAAAAATCGTATCTGTAAAAGTGACGAAATCTGGTTTGACATTTTTAAATGCTCCAGGAGCGAGCTATAAAACAAGAAGAAAAACTACGAGGGTTTTTTAAACAAGAAAAATAATACTTTATTGAGGTCATTGGAAATCAGCCAAACATCGTCGAGGAGAAATCATCAGCTCTCTTTTCTCTCGCTTGCTGCTCTTGTTGAAGACGAACGTATCTGAAGAAAAAAGGGTAAAAATGCTCATATCTTGGTCTCCACCTTTTCAGCTTTCAAGCGCTCTTAAATTTTCTCCAAATTTCATCTTGGAACGATATTCATTCATCTCTTTCTTTTACTGTAGCAAATCAAAGTTACAAAAGCTCGCAATTAAAAAGGAAGTAAATCGAGCCCATTGAATTTCAAAAAGAAGAATCTTGAGACGTCTCAATTGTGGAAAATTACCGTCTTCGATGAAAAAACCTCTCGTGGCGATTTTTCAATGAGAAAAGAAAAAGTTTATCAGTTTAGCAAATCGTCTCATGTGATTTTCTCTACATTTCCCAGCACATTGGATTACTTTTAGCGAAGGAAAAAGAATCAATCAATACAGCATTGAACTGAATTTAATACCTCTCTTCCATTTGTTTGAGCTCCTCTTCTCGATCGTCTTCGGGGAGCTTTTCTCGGCACAGCGGGCAGACATTTGCCTGTTTCAGCCAGTTCTCGCAGCAGGACTTGTGGAAGACATGGGCGCAGCCATAAGATTCTCCATCTTTGATAACTCGAAGTTTGAGACAGTCTTTTTCGATTAGTTTGTCTTTAGTCAAGCTCAAATACGGATTCTTTCTTAAATGTAACGCGCAAAATTTGACCCCTTCCTAAACAAATGGCACAGTCGTCAGTGTCGTTGACTGGAAAATCATCATACTCGAGAACTTGCTCCAGAAACCAAGGAGCAGTCGATTTCGGGCGATCAGTGCTATTGAAGAGCATTCTGATGATTTCCACTGGGAGCGAGAAATCGCCGAACGAATCAAAATGCCAATGGGCTGGGAGCTGACCAGTGTTCAATCTTTTTCAAGTTCAAAAGTGTGATATTCCAAAAGCAACGATTTCATAAAATTAAACCTGCACCTTCTCACGAAATCAAGCATATCCTCGATCTGATTCTCCGAATTCGATGTATCATGCTCATCCCAGTACGAAGACATAATCTAAGCCACTATTATGTAACAAACGATTCTATACAGATATTTCATGATATACTTTTTATTCTAGAAAAATGCTTGTCAGTGTAAGTGGCAGGGAAACGATGTTCATTTTTGGGCTCCTCTTGGTCCTCGAACTCGATGAAGTCGGGGCTTAAAAAATTTGGGCGGAGTTCTTCTTTCAGCTTGAAGTGTTGTCTTAAGTTTTAATATTTGTTCTCGTGTTGGTCGGTTCATTTTCGATGCTCCATCTTCTTCTTCATCCCAATTATCGGCAAATTGAATATTGTCCCTGAAAAATAAACTAGATATTAAAAAGCTCAAATAACTTACGAATCAGTTTTTTCGCGGCGGGGGAGTCCAGCGAATCGATCACGAAAAGGCGCACTAGAATAAATTTATTAATACTGATCAGTCAAGAAGGCTCGTTACCGGTTTCTGTCGGGGCACTCTTTTAGATGGTTTTCCATTTCCTCGCCCTTTCTGAACCAGTGCATCGCGTTCCATTTGCACTTATCGAATTGGGCGGCTTTTTCCGGATTCTGCTGTCGACATCGAAGGATATGTCGCTGGTAACGGTACGCTAAAATATTTTTTAAAATCGATTAATTCTTAAAAAGCTTACCTTGGATAACATGCACTGGGTCAAATGGGCATTGACGGAGAAATTCTGGATCTGCGAACTTCTCACTTGCATTTCTTGTCACCAAGTTCCCCTGTGCCGACATGATGCTTGGCGTCATGGATGCGACCGACATTTCATCGAAATCTCGGACACTTCCAGTATATCGTGACGATCGGCCATCATGACTCACGAGGTCGTCCATCACTACAGCTCTTTTCTAAAAATAATCAAAATTTTTAATCAAATAAAAATAAAAGAAACATAATTTTAGGTCAGTAAATTTTGTAATAATTGAAAAAACTGTTTCTGATATGTTTAACAAGAAATAGTAAAATAGCCATTTCTAGAAAAATTTTATCTGTCGAAAAAACTTCTCTCGTCGTTTTGTGAGCAGCCGCCGCGCTGCCACGCAAAACGCTTCCCCTTGTCCGAGCGGAGGACTCATCTCACGCGAGAAATGGAAGAGCGCCAGATTGAAAACAATCTTTTAACCTTCTCATCGGTTGAGTGGCTTGTAATTAAGTAAAATTATGATATCTCTTATCTTCATGGACGTTCATTCTGTCTAGTAGAAGCATTGAAATTTGTTTATAATTAATGCAAGTACTTTCTCATCATTATGGTCAAGGTAGGATCCTTTTTCGATAATGCTTGTGATGGACGATTTGATGAACATCCAAAAAGAGAATTAGCGAAATTTCATAAATGCGGCTGCTTTCAATTCCATAACCATACGGCCTTTTTTAATCATGATAATCGAGCATGCAGAAACATTGTCTCATTCTTGATTGAAGTGCGTCTCTTGAATATTTAACTTTCCAAACCAACGGCCCTAAGGACACATATCGTCCGATGAGAACCCTTTTATAAAGAGATGAAGTCAGTGAAGGAAACAGCCGGGTATTCAAAAATCAACCAAAATGACAACGAAAGGATTCGTATGAAGATTAAGTCGCTTCTAAGATCGTACCATTATCATTAATCCCTCTTCTATGTCTTCCAAATTAAAACATTGATTGACGCGGGTAGTCAAATTAGCCTCAGACTATTGAACACTGTAATATCTCCACTAAATCCACAAAATAGAAAAGAGGTGCATTTCGGCCCGCAACGAAAAGCCGAGTTACCAGCAGTTAGCGAGATTTACAAGGCTTCCCTAAAAGCCGGCCTTGCCCCGCTACAGCTCGCCGAGGCTCATGAGCTCTTGATGAAAATGCCCGAGAATGAAGAAGACGTCGACTCAGATATTGGCTTGGATCAGCCACAAGCAAGCCAATGCAAGGCCGTTGTTATCGCGATCATTGTCATTTGCATTGTTTTTGCAAGCATAGCTTTTAGCGCTTTCATTTCGCTTAGAACAGGTTTGGAAAATAATGTCTTCACTTCCACAGCCATTATTCAATTCAGGAATCGCGACTATGTCTTCCACATCGCCAACTGAAAATTGCACTGTAGTGTCTGAGAAAAACGAAACTATTTGCTGATGCCATGTTGCTGTCTAATAATAAATATGTTCCTTAATAAATAATAAGTTATCAGTGCAGCATAAATTATAATAAGCTCATTCCAATATTGTCCTTCCTGTCTAAAAGTTACTGTTAGAGAGCCATTTCCTTTTCGTAAGATAGAGAGCTTATTTGTTGTTTCTGTCCCTTTTTTGAGACTAGAGAAGAAATGTGAAAATACTTGGTACCACTTTGAGTTTAATTATAGTAGACTTAGTACTATGTATTTTGACTTGTGTACCAGGAAGTTTATGCTACAAACTAATTTCATTGTCAGCTAATTTTGTATAGGGAGCAAATATTTCTTTACAGGCCTCCGGCCAGAGGAATGCCTATTTTAATGCTTCGAAAATGCTCAAAAGAAAATTCAATTACGAGAGAAAAGGTTTACAGTTGATGCTGGGCTCGGAAGCCTGTGTTGAAAACCTAACTCAAAGTGAAAACAAAGTATTTCTTAACATTTCTGGATACAGCCCTTTTACGAGAATAAAGATGAATCAACCAACTTTTCACATGGAGAATCGAAGAGAGAAGTTTTGTATCATCATAGGAACACTGCTCGAAAGAATCGCCAGTAGTTACAGTAGCATTCATTAGAAGAGAGGAAGCTTTCAGAGCAGTTCTAGTCGTCATTCTCGTCATATTCATTTTCTACATTTTATACCTCGAACATGCAGATGCAGTCATGGGGAGAAAGCTGGAAGATGAAGGGCCAGGACTCAACTATGGTAAGAAGAAAAACGTCTGTGTTAATCGGTTTCAGGAAAATTCTCATCAAGGAGCTGGAAATCATCATCTAAAGAAGATTGAGATCTCGTATTCAGAGCACCAACGAATTCAAGGGAGGTTGCCTTATTTTGATGAACTTTTCAATTTTCAATAATTGAATAACAAAGTCGATATTTACCGATGCGTTTAAAATTAAGGGCACCCGCTAAAGACCGCATCAACAATTTAAACATAAGCGAGACATGAAAATTGCGTTTGATTCAATCATTTCAATTACTGTTACTATGTATCAAATGACGAAAAATTCCGAGTGATACTTCTTACACAACTTGCTGCCTCTTACTGCTCATTTGATTTGGGAATAAATATAATTTGATGATTTATCTAATTCTAGTGCGTGGCGTCCCCTCCAAAGACAGAGACAAAAGGCCAAGTGTCCTAGCGATTCCCTGAGGGCTCTTTTCGATTGGTCGAATAGAACTTGTATAAAAATTTGACATGGAGGAGTTCTAGAGACATATAAAACTTGTGCAAATAGAAAATGAATGTGCGACAACAAGTGAAACGTGATTTGGCACTAGAAAAAAATCGATGGCGATTTTTTACAGACTCGGCTCAAAGGGCCCACGCGAGTGAGCGAGCGCCCCGCTACCACACCGCGTTTTTACCACACCGGGCGCCACATGAGTACCGCACCTACCGATCCGCCGCATCGAGACTTCGGCTCGAGATTGCTCCGGATTGGTTGGTTTTTATTTCCCTTTTTTCGAAGAGAAAATTTGTCAATTTTTTAATGTTCAAAGAAACTCGTTGAAATAATCATGGATTCTGATGATGACACGCCCCTAGGATTGGTCGAAAAGAAAAATGCTCAAAACGTGTGGGCACGAAATTTCTTGAATAGTAGATTTTTGATTGGCTCATCAATTTCTCAACACTCCCGATTTTCTAGTTTCACACCGAATTCTCATTGCGTGCCTAAGATTTACCCCCGGGCCAGATTTTTGTTTGCTCAAGAGAAAAAATAGCGATCGATGAATATCATTTCTGACCAAAAAAAGATTCCCTCCTCAACCGAAAACCTAAAGCACAGTCACAGCCAAAGTCCCTTTTCACACGATGGCAATCAATCACCGACAAAGTTTACGCGATCAAAGTTCAAAATACAACTCAATCCGAGCTTACCCCAGCTAATCGTGCTTTACTTGAAGGTATTTTCCTCTTTTTTGGTTTTCGCTAACTTTGTTTTTTTTTAGAAAATCTGGAGTATGACGAATCCAAATATTTTGTCAGTTTGACAAATGTCATCCTAGTCCAGCTCGTCGAAAAGCCAAAAGAAAAGAGTGAGTGCGACGAAAACAAAGAGAATCAGCCAGTGGCCACCCAGAATGGCGAGAACAGTGAAGCTCCAGAAAACACCGTAGAAGAAAATGGAATTCATGAAAACGGAATCCAGGAAATCGAAGATTCAGATGACGAAGAGAATAAGAAAGATTATGTTGAAGAATGCGACGATGATAGTGACGAAGACAACTTCGTTTTCGGCGAAATCGAAACAGTCACAACTGAAACTTTTAATAAATTCGTAAATGATTCTGAATTGACTGTCAAACGCGTTGTGGATGATACGAATGAAACGAGAAGTGTTGGAGGAAAATCAAAATCAGCTTCTGAGCGATCAACGCCAGTGATAACACACGAGGAAAACGGCATTACAACTATCGACAGCTCGGACGATGAAGACTCCAACCAAAAGAAGACCAACGAAGACAGGCCCGTGCTACTGAAAAGCGAGCACGACAGTAATGTTTCGAGCCCCTTGCTGTTGAGTGAGAAAGAAAACTCCGACCTCGTCGCCGCTTGCGAAAAAGTTGCTGGGAACAAAGAGAAACGAGCGGAAACACCATTCGATAGCAGTAAGCCAGATTCAGCACAAGAAGAAAGCGATGATGATTTGATCGAAGTTGTTCAAACCAGGCAGCCGGAAATCGACACGTTTTGGTGCATCGAAAACGGGAAAATCTACGCGTCCAAAGCTGTTCCTCCTTCTTTCCAGCTAAAGTCGAGCCCTCCCAATCCCGATGTCGACCTAAGCGTTGGCGGTTTGTACTACAAGATCTACGCGGCCATCCAAGAGCGTCGCCAAGCCCAGGAATACAGAATCAAGCCAATTTACATCGCTCATCGACGGCTTTACCTCGCTGCTGATCAGAAAAACTACTCAACTACGATTGCCTTCATGGAGGCTGCGAAAGAAGCTTACCTTGACAAACTGGTTGATGAAGATATCGACCTGAGCGCCAATACTTTCTGTCGCGATTGTTTCCGTGTCTTTCCTACCGGCTTCGATCTTCAAGTCCACCGCGAACTCGTTCACAGTGTTCAGCACGCAGCTACTTGCCGCGTTTGCGAGTTCAACTTTGGCCAGCCCGCGACGTTACTAAAGCACATGGCCGCCGTTCACTCCAAGAAGCCGACCAGCCATCAGCCCGGACTGAGGGAAGTAATGGGAGCTTACAAATGTCACGTGTGCAAGTTCTGCTCCCCTTTGTATTCTGAATTGATTCGCCACTTCAAGGAGTACCATTCTAAATCCGGCTGGCTTTTGTGTCCCTTCTGCATTCGCTGCTTCTCCAGCGACGTCCAGTATGAAAATCATCTACAAGTGCATATCAACAAGGCGAAGTTCTACAGATGTCAAAGTTGCCGGCTTGTCTTTGAATCAGAGCAAACTCGATCGCGGCACGAAATGGAAATGCATGGTAGAGAGAAGTGGATGCAGGTAGAGCCTAATCCACATGTTCCGATTGGAACAAAAGTTTGGGTTAGAGGAGAGCCCGATTGTCGATCAAAATTGGTTGATACGGAAGGTCTGGAAGATAACCAAGCTGTGCGGGCCTTGTGCCTTCGAGATTGCAGTAAAGAAAGCAGCAAGCAGAATATCTCTGGCGGAAAGAGAAAAGCACTTCCTAAGGGAGTCGAGAAACTCGTACCGAAACATCTCGTTGTGGCGAAAAAGGCATTCAGAGAAGAAGTCTTGTCGACGAAAAGAAGGTCGCAGGCTGTCTTAACGACGACGGAGAAGTCGGACGAAGAAATCGTCCGGAAAGAAATTGAGAAAAATGATAAAATAAAGTTGATCCCGGTTGAAGAAGGTGGACAGGGATGGAAAGTCCCCCAGCCCAACAGGAATAATTTCCCGCACATGATGAGCGAACTATTTTATTTCTGCTCTGAAGCAACTGATGAGACACCTGCATTTCCATTGATGCCTTCAATGGAAGAGACCAACGCGATCAAAGTAGAAATTCTGGCAGAAGAAGAGAAAATGGACGCGACAGGCGAATCGGATGAATCTCCAGTCAATCAATTCGAGGGAAGCGGTTTCGCAGACGTCAAGACCGATCCGATGTTCTCGCTTTCAGATGTGAAGAAAGAAAAGTCGATTTTCGACATTGAACAAGAAAACGAGATACTGAAGAAACAAGGCGTCAGAGATACAGCTCTCGAAGACATAAATATGGACGGAAAATATCACGAATGCGTTGAGTGCAAGACAAAATTCGCTTCCGGAGCAGAGCTGATAGCTCATTTTCTCCTCAAGCCGATAAAGACAGCCGCCGGTTCTTGGGATACGCACTGCCCTGTGCTCGGTGCTGATCGAAAAAGTGAGCAGTCTAAAGGTGTTTTCAAAGTCTTACTGAAACTTTTTCTAGGTTTGGAATTACGTGAAGACGCCCCCTCAATGCTAAAATACTTGACGGCGGCCTTGGAGCCAGTTTGGAACAACGAACCACGAAATGACATCAAGAAGAGTTACCCCGAAGGGATCCTCTGCTCGTGTGGTTTTCACGACAAAGACTACACGGATGCAACAGCAGTAGTCAAGCACATCCAGCGCTATCCAAAACACACCTTGATCGTAAGCGACGATATCTTTCTCCGTCAATCATTTGCCTATTTTTAGATCCCGGAAAGTCAGGCTCACAAGGATTCTATCTTTGAAAACCAGCAAAGAAAACGGCTGAAGCAAATGATCCAAGGTAAAAATCTGAATTTCCTTGACCAATTGTAAACTTTCTCTTTCAGCACATGCTACGAAAAATCAACTCGTTGCCGATCTTGATCTGTCTATAACAGACAAACTAACGATGAAGCAGAAGTATCTCGAGGATCAAGACGACATGGAGGAGCTCATGGAAACTCTGCCTGAAGAAATGAAAAAACTTCAGGGAACGATTCAGTTCAAAAGGAGAGTTGACAAGTCGACTTTGGAAGACAGGCCGTTGCATAAAGAGGAGAGGAGTATTGTCCTTGCCGCGGACGGTCCTAACTTAGAGTCCGTCATTCAATCGAGACTGGTAAATCTTCTTTTATTTACAATTTCATAAAATGCTTATTTTTCAAGGTATCATCCGTGAAAATTCCGAGAAAGCTCGACCGCTCTATCCAATCTATTTTCAAGAAGAGAGTCTCGGACATCGAGACGCAGAAACAACTTGAGGCCCAGCAGAAAAAACTCGCTCAGAGCCAAAGCACCCAAAAACTCGCGCTCGGGTTGCAGAATCATGCTCCTATCAAGCCAAATTATCTGCCTGTCGGTAGGCCGGCGAAGACTGTTTCATACACGCCTGTTTCGCAGGAGTATATTCTGCAGCATAGTTCTAGCAGAAGCAATGCGGTAACGAATGTGACGCAAACCTACAGAACAGTGAACAGCTACCAAAACAGCACCACTTCAACGAATTCTGCTCAAAGGGTCGAGTTTACTCAACTCAACAGACCGCCGAGTCAACAGAAAAGCTACAACTACACTCCATCCAATTACAGTAGAAATCAGAGCCCAGTGAATCAGAGATCCCCTATCAACCAGAATACAGGTCCCAAAGCAAGAGCGGAAACCCTCTGCGGCAGATTGCCAAGAAGTGCTACAACACATCGTGGCCCGGTAACGCCAGCAGATTGTAAATTTCCCATGGTTTCTCATAAATGCATTCACGTCGAGATTATTCCTTCTGACGATGCCAAGAGTAAGGTCAAGCTTCTTATCCTATATTTATGATTACTTTAGAATTTGCAAACATAGACCAGTACGAAATCATGTTCAAAGGAAAGAAGCAACCCAACATCTACAAAGTTCGGCCAAGCATCAAAGTCGTGAAGCTGATCGGTCTCCAGTCGGATACGCTGTATGAAATTAAAGTTTATGCCACTCGACATGGAGGTATCAAACTTCAAACTGTCTCTTGAAATTACTTTGTATTTAGTTCGTTCGCCGCCGCTTATCAGAAACGTTCGAACGCCGAAAAAGCCCAGAGGTGATTACTTGCAAGCGCTAATTTCTTAATAATTTATTTATGATTCGTTTGTTATCCGATCTACCGATCGATAAAAGATTCTAAAAAGAGAGAAACTACCTCAATTCCTGTGGGAAGAAAAAATAACGCGTATTTTGAAGAGAAAATCATAACATTTGATATTTAGGTGTTGTTGCCTCGGGCGAAATCATCGAGCTGGATTAGGTTGTCATGAAAAGCCTTCAGTCTTTCCTATTTAAATTCTGATACTCCCGTATTGCTTACTATACTCTTTTCTTGCCAATTTACAGAGAAATCTAAGAATAGTAGTATTTATCTACATTTAAACTAGTTGATGGTCATTAAAATGGCCATCTAGCGCCTTGTTTCATTTTTGTCAATTCTGTATTTTAAATTATTCTTTCTTGTAAAAATTATTTAAAATTTAAACATTTAAGTTTATTCTAGTTATTTCACCATTTATCATTTACCACTGCCATGTTAATTAAAAACATTGCTCAAAATACAAAATCAGAAAGGATGTTTTGTCTATTGTTTTCTTCTTTTAGAGTGTTGAGAGAAAAAAAGCGCTATTCAAGAAGAGGTTTGTTCAAAATAAAAGAAAAATGTCGACCTCACTTGAAGCGAGCAAAGTATTCCTCCTCTCGCTGCCCCAAGAGCTGACGCAAATCCGCGAGAAACTTCAAGAGCAAGAGCGCGAGCTCAAACAAATTGTCGAAAACCTATCGCTGAATACTTCCCTGAACAACTCAAGTCCTAATCTATCGAAGAATGAAATTTCTCTCATCAAGGTTTCTTTCACTCCATCCATCTATTCCCACTCATGATCCTTTTTGCAGGAAAAATCCGAAAACTGCCGCGTGGTTGACATTGGTGCCCCCAAACTGCGCCCAATGAAGAAGCCAGAAGACATCAAGATATCCCCCAAGAAGAAGATCAATTCTCAAAGTACACAAAAGCCGAAGATGTATGAAACATCAACAAAGTCGCATCCCGCCCCACCTCCTCCATCCTCAGTAATGCGTGAGAACTCAGTGAAGAAATACTCAATTAAAAAGCGAAATGACGGAGGAGTCTATGTCGAAACCAAATATCTGCACAATGTACTGAGATCTTTCAAAAGTACCATCAAAAAATCAATTTCAGAACGGGTCCAGCGGATCCAACGAAAACTCGCCCCGAAACTTCCGTCCTCCCAATCGCGTACCTTCTTCGAAACTGTCGCAAGGCCAAGTGCAAAAAGAAGATATCACCGAGCGAAAATGCCCCGTGTGCTCTTACTACTTCCCAAACCTATCTGTTCAAGAGTTTCAAGAGCACGTTGAAACTCACTTCGAAGATGATCCCACCGATTTCTTCGAGTTGACACATGTTGAATGATTTTCCTTCCAATCTCTTCCATTTTCTTCTGTTTGATTCTCTTTGAAATTTCAATTCCTTGAACAATTCTTAATTTCACGATTTGGAGCGTCTCGCTGATAGTTTATTTCGTAGAAGATGAAATTGTTATCGTTGTTGTTCCCTCTTTCGATGGGAATGTATTTCCACATGCCTCCTGGCCACAAAAAGTGTATCAAGGAAGAGATTCACAAGGACGTCGTCGTTACTGGTGAATTTGAGGCGAAAGAATCCCCCGGCCACAGGGTTAGTTATCGCTAATTCGAACGCCTCCCCATTTATTTATTCGATTTTCAGGTCGACCTGAAAGTTACTGATTCGAAAGACCACATTCTCTACCAAAAAGAAAACGCCGAAAATGGCAAATTCGCCTTCACTACCGACGATCAAGATCTTTTCGAAGTCTGCTTCACTTCTGTTCGACTAGGCGGCTTCTCTAATGGTAAAAATACGATCGTTCATGCATCATTATCGACATTTTTTAGATCCCAAATCGCACGAAATCAAGCTTGTGATCAAGAAAGGCGTTGAAGCAAAAAGCTACGATGAACAGGTAATTCCGGCGGTTCCGTTTAATTACTGATTTTACGGAATTGTCTAGGCGAAGACTGAGAAATTGAAGCCACTCGAGGTCGAGCTGAGAAGACTTGAGGATCTGTCCGAGTCTATTGTCAACGGTAAGATTTCAGCCCAAGCTCCTTTTTGACATATGGGCTGCGTGAAAATCAATGTTGATTACCGTTTTCGTCTTCAGATTTCCAGTACATGAAGACCCGGGAAGAGCAAATGCGAGACACCAACGAATCTACGAACTCACGAGTCCTCTACTTTTCCATCTTTTCCATGTGCTGCCTCATCGGCCTCGCAACCTGGCAAGTTCTTTACCTTCGAAAGTTCTTCCAATCGAAGAAGCTCATCGATTAACCAACGAAAACCAACTCTGTCATGTCATCTCTACCCTGTGCTATTTTGGGCTGGTTAGAAAATTTTTAGAAAAAGAAACTACTGCTGCGAGTTCCAAAATCGTCATAACTCGTGCAAATATTGTGCAATACCGTATACTAAACAAAACTATTTCTGAATTATTGCTTATATAGGATATTATTTCTTGCATCAATAAATAGACGTCCGTTCAAAAGTTCTTTTTGTGAGAAGTTTTTGCTTTCCACAAATGTTTGTTTCGTATCTTTTTCTGTTGTTTTTTATTTATTTATCAATAGTGGTGTTTGAAAAAGATGGCAGAAGGCATGAAGGTGTCTTTTTGAAGTACAAAGAGTAGCGTCTATAATCGGTTATTAAATAATCGTACATGTGAGTAAGCAAGTGAGGAAACGAGTCTCCGTGTGGATAAGCTAGGCTTGTGCTGGAATGAACTGGACCTCGGCAGAGTCATCGGCTTTGCAGAGAGTTTTCGGAGCAGTCCAGGGGGTGTAGCCGCTGAGGAAGGCTTCGGCGTATCGATCTTCCCAGTCAGGCAGTCCGTCGTCCTTATTTGGCATTGGAAAGCACTTCTTCCGCCTCAAGCTCCTTTCGATCAGCTCCCGGTCAACGCCAACAAGATTACCTAGAATCGATTGAAAACGGGAAATGGGCAAATCTGAATTACCTTGAACTTCAGCCGACCAGAGGGAACCGTTGTCGCGGAAAGGGTCTTTCCATTTGATCCAAATTCGCAGCTCAGATTCGGGCTTCAGGACCCACTTCTCTTTGATCACCACTCTTTCACCAACCCTTCTTCGGCTCTTGGTTTTCTCCCATTCGAGGCAGAGGCCACCGACGTGCTAAAAAAAGTTCGTTATCGTATACTTGTTTAATTGGCGTTAATTGTTATAATAACAAAATTAGCGATAAGATTATCTCACCTCGACCTCCCATTCTCTATCGGGGTCGTTGTAGCTTTGATCTGAAGTAGACGCTTCCTCTTCCTGAATCGCCTTGGCAGCTTTTTCATTTCTTCTTCGCTTCGAGAGGATAGAAGGATCATTCATGAAGCCCTTGGTGGTAGTCTTTCCAGTCTTTTGCTTCTTTTTTGAAGGCTTCTGATCATCTTCGGCGGCGCGTTTCTTCTGCTGAGTTCGGCGATCCTTTGCTCTAGGATTGATGACCTCGACGGGTTGAGGTTCTGCTTGCATTCGGACGGCTTTTATCGAATTACGCTTCGCGGATTTTGGTCGTTTGGCGGAGCGTGGCGCGTCCGAGGTGTTAAAAATAGGAGTAGCCGCTGATGTTGAAGGCTCATTGATTGATGCATTCCTTTCGGCTACCGGAGTTTCGTTCCCAGCGAATTTGACCGTCTTTTCTTCCTTCTCTCGAGATGTCTTATTCTTCTGAATTATTCGTTATCTTTACTGGATGAATAGTCGACTTACCGTCAATTTTGGCTTCGGTAACACAGAAGCAGGTTTTGGAGAAGCGGACGTCCGTCTTGTCTCATCAGTTTTCTTGTCTGTCTTTGAAGATTTTGTAGCCTGAGAACAATCGTAACATTCGGTTTATTGACACAAATTATTACCTTTTTAGCTGCTGGAGTTGTTTCGGCGTCTTCTTGGAGAAGAGCTTGAGCCTTGAAAAAAAAATAAAAAGCTTGCTTTGGTAGACAAACTTACCATTCCATAGAGTCTCCTAGCGCCAGTTGCGAAAGAGACGTCATTAAGAACTCCATTCAGGGTGGAAGTTGTTGATTGCTCTCTTGGGATGGGGGTTGTTGAGCGAGAAGGTCCTGGAGAATCGTCGACGGTCAGATCAATGACTGGCTCCTTCTTGACAATGGGTGCTCGGTCGTATGTTGGTTTTAGCGGAGCATTGTCTTTCGGTGGTTCTGTGACTGCTTTACGAAGCATCTTCGTCACACATTTGTTCCCGGTTTTCCTCGCTTTTGGCATCTCTGAAGTTCTCTTATCAAAAACTATTTCCGTTTATGACAGATTATGTGGTAATGATTCTGTCGAGCTGGAGCGGCTGCTTTTATAGTAGAATGGGTGCTCGCGAGCGCCATCCTTTGATTTCCGATGGCGCTGATTTTAAAATAACTAGTGTGGGCGTGATTATTCATCTCTGATTTCGAAATTTTAAAATTATGCCTCGACGAAAATTCGATCAAATTTGCTTACCTTCTCGATTTTTCTATTGCAAAATATTCTAAAATTCTAAAAATAGTTCGTACCTGAGTCCTTGAATGAGTAGTCTGAGAATCGATAAATGCGATAGTGGGCAAGGTTGAGCGCACTGGCTCCCCCATTTTCCCTTCTGACTTTCCCTTTCTCATGAACCTAGCTGCATGGAGCGAATAACAACCGTGCATACAAATGACTCATCCATTCCAAATGATTCATAGTGGCTATTCATCAAACCTTATGCATATTGATTGGGTATCAGTTACTGAATCTGCTCACGTGAGGTGTGAAACGAAATTCATAACCGGAAAAATCATAACCTGATCTATCATTTATTGGTTCGTTATTAGTTTTCGGTCATTTTTATTGCAAAAGAGATGCAGGATCAGAGATGTGCCTCGATCAAGTCAAACAGAAACTGATACGATTCTTGACACCCTTGTTCAATCAGAAAGAATCGCGACCGGATAATGCTTCAATTAGTCTTGCTGGGATCTGTTTGCTGGCCAAACTTGTTATGAAATCCGGTATTGTTTTTACTGTCAAAGTTTATTAATGACGTCAGTAAGATTCTATCAGTGGAATATTCAAATCTGCCCTTGGAAATAATGAGCAATAAATACTTGGTGGTGCAGTCAGGATAGCCCGCGGCCGAGTCCACTCACTTTTTTCTCCACCAAAGCCACAAGCAGCTGAATTCGCATACACTGCACGAGAATCCTTCAAATCAACTATGCAAAAGTTAGATGAGATTTTTCCATTGTAATTGAAGTGTTTCTCGTACTCAGTAGAACTGAGCCAGTGAAATTATGGCCGATGATTTTAAGAGCATTCCAGATGACCAACAGACAAACGATGATCAAGGTAAAATCATTACTTATTTTAGTAATAAATAGAAGCTTTTATAAGGGCCGATTATTCCTTACAACTACACGGAAATCCGACGCCAGAAAACAAAGAGAATCGCCCGATCTTTACGGACAATTCTTGTTATAACAAACATCGTCTTCTGGTTTGCTGGATGTGGAATGCTCGGAGTTTCTATTTGGCTTCGATTTTCAAATGATTTTGTGCAACTTTTATCCAACTTCAACACGCTGAATATCATTCTTTTGGCGATGTTGGCGGTTGGTGTTTTGTTCTTGGTTATTGCTCTGATTGGAACTTGTGGTGCTAATATGAAGAATAAGATTTTACTCATAGGAAGGGATTTTTAATTTTGTAAAAAGTAAACTCATAAATTTTTAATTATGGTGAACGATCTCTAAATACCCAGGGAACACCGAGGGAACCAAATTTGGCTCTTCTCAGCGGGATATCAGCAGGATACCGGATGCACTCTTATCGAAGTTCTCGATCTACCTTGACTTTTCTTATCTTATGTAAAATCTCGCAAAGCCTATCTCTGCGCAACTTCAACCGCAGCCATGGTGGAAGTCATCGTTGTTCTAGTCTGGGCAAGTTTTCGCGAGAGTTTCAAAGACCACTTTGCCGACTGGTACGAATCTGTCTTTCATCTTTTCGGTACGGAAAGTGAAGCTAATAATCGTGATATCGTCGAGTCATTTCAAATTTACTTGAAATGCTGTGGATTGAACTCAAAAGAAGATTTCATGAACCTTGGCTTTGCTGTTCCAGCGAGTTGTTCCTGGAAGTCAAAGAATGAAGTGGGCGTAATTATAACGACCGACTTTGAGCAAGGATGCATCGAAGCTCTTTCTGATCTGATTGGAGAATATCAAAATGTTCCGTACTACGTTCTTCCTTCTTTATGCGGATTACAGCTTATTGGAATTATTTCTGGAATAATCCTGCTTTTATTTTTGGTAAAACACGACGATTTAGCACAAGAAGATTCCGAACTCGACTCGGAGCTTGATGACCATGATAGAAATGCTCCCATTGAGCTCCCTAAACCAAAACTTTACAGGATTCTAAAACGCTCAATCGACACATTCGGACTTGACATGGAATACGACGAAGAACGCAGAGGTCACGTGGTTCGAGGAATCAATGAGAAATCAAACACGCACTACTCGGGATTAACACTTGGTTCGCGAGTCATCGAAATCGGCGGGGTTATCGCTCAAAATGTGTCTATCGGCGAAATAAAAAATCACATGAAAGCAATTGGCAACGAATTGAAAATCCTGGTTGTTGAAGAAGCGGCTGATATGGTTTACAAAGAATACAAAGTTGCTGTTAATCTCAGAAACGTCGCTGGTGTAACGGCTGAAGAAGTTGATTACTTCCCAAAATATTGCACGCTAAAGAAATCGGGCAATTTTGGTCTTGGATTTCATTTGCTTTATTTGGAAGATCGAAAAGGCATTTTGATCCAAGAAGTTGCGCCACGTGGAGCAGCCGCCAAAGCCGGGCTCAAGATAGGCGATCGTATCGTAGAAGTCAACCATGAAAATATTGAGACTCTCAAGCCATCAGAAGTCATTAGCAAGATTCGGGACTCCGGAGACGAAGTCGCCCTCGTTTTAGTCGATCCAAGAACAGATGGCTACTTCCGAAAAAAGGCCGTTACAGTGACAGCTAGTCTGGCGGAAAACTATTTTGATGGAAGACCAGGGATAACCAAGCAGCGGCGAAAAAATACGGAAGCAGCCCAAATCCGACCAAGGTACTGCAGATTGACAAAGGTGCCACAGGAAGATTACGGTCTCTACGTTGTTATTGATAACAACCGAATTGGCCAAGTCATTCGATGGGTGGATCCTGGAGGACCAGCTGATCGAGCAGGTCTGAGAATCGGTGACAGAATTATTGAAATCAACGGTCTCAATGTGGAGTACGAAACTCACAAGCGTCTTCTCGCCACAATCAAGGCCGGAAGAAATCTTGCCCATTTCATTGTCGTCGATGAAGATTACGACAAAAAATTCACAAGGAACAAACCAAGACTTATTCGAGTCACACGAGGTCAAGCGAACGGATTTGAAGGACTTGGGTTCAAAATAAGATTGGACGAAGAAAAGGATGGGCATTATATCGACCAAGTGTTTCCGAATGGACCAGCAAGCGAGGCCAATCTGCAAGTTGGTGACCGTATCATTCAGTTGAATGGTCACACCACTGAAGGTATTGAATTCGAAGAAATCTATCAACGACTTGAGAATTTTTCATCATCGCAGTGTATTATGCTGGTCACTGATACTACGGCGAACGCGCATTACAAGTCTATTGTTGAGTTTAAAACTCAAGGAATTGAAGAGAACGACTGGGACTCCCAGTCGATCCCTGATCAGCCACTCTTCTTGCCGACTGATTTTGAGTCGTCTGATACCGAAACTGACTACACTGATGAAGATCAAAGTACTGTCCATGGTGGTGACACCTACTCCCTTTCAAATGCAGACACTCAAAGTTACTTGTCTGATAGTACTATCGCCAGCTCTAGAAGAATCGCACAAAAGCTAGGGGCTCCAAGAGTTTGCCACATTCAAAAGAGTGATTATGAAGAGCTCGGATTCTTCTTGGCCATTGACCGTGATCGAGATGGAAACATTATCCGACGAATCGAGCGAAACGGTCCAGCTGACCGAGCTGGTCTTCGCGATGGAGACAGAATTCTCAAGATTGATGGAATAAATGCCGAAAAATGGTCCCACGAAAAGGTTGTCGAAACAATTGTCAGCGCGAGGAATGACTTTACTCTGACTGTAATCGATGAGCGATCTGATGATGCCAGACTAAAGAACCGTCCTTACATCTTCAAAATCATGAAGGGCAAGGGAGGTTATGGTTTCTGCATGTGGCACGATACTGATGGCCATTTTGTTGAAAGCGTTACTGCCAAATCGCCTGCTGACAAAGCTGGTCTGAGAACTGGCGATCGAATTATTGAAATCAACTCTGTCAACATCGAAAAAGAAAACGTAGAAGACGTCTTTTATCGAATCAAAGCCTGTCATAATATGGTAACACTTCTCGCCGTGGACTCAAAGACGTTTGGTCTGATGAAGAAGAACAGGATTTCGCTCGACAAAATGAAAGCAGAACTCGGTTTTTCCGGATACAAGGACTGGGTCGGGCTCCGAAACAAGCGCCAAGCAGTTGACAAAGATGGCAAAAAGGTCAATGTTGTTTACAAAAAGCCGAAATTTACGTTGTCAAAAATGAGAAAATTGGCGATGAAAGTTGGGGCTTCCACATTGCGAATCAGTTCTCTTTCATGGGTAACGAAGATGAAGAGGGTGACAAGAGCAACGGACATGTTGTTCATTGGGTTGAAAAGGGAGGACCTGCTGATTATGCTGGCTTGAGAGATGGCGACAAAGTTCTTCAAATTAACGATACAGAAGTCGGCTCCCTTCCATACGAAGAAATGATGGAGATTTTCAAAAAGGTTGAAGGAGACGAACTCAAGCTTGAAATCGAGTACGAAGATATGGCAGACGAAGAGCAAGCACGCGACGTAGAGATCGTAAAAACAGATGCGGAAGAGCTCGGTTTCGTCCTTTGGTTCGATGAGAACGGACATTACATCGAAGACGTCACCATTGGCAGTCCTGCTTATAAAGCTGGTCTCAGAGGAGGTGACCGGCTGCTGGAAGTTAGCCATCATAATGTAGAGTTGGATGATCACGAGGCTGTTGTACAGCTCGTGAAAGAATCTGGAAATATGGTCAGCCTCAACGTTCAGTCAGTCAAATCAAAAACGGCTGGTACAGGAAAGGTTTAAAACGCTCCGGAATTAATCTGAATTTCTACAAGAGTATTACAGTAAAAAATTTTATTGCATCTTAAAACCTTCCAAAGCTACTGTTGAGCGAATGGTTCACGTTCAAAAAGAAAACGGGTCTTTCGGCTTCAGTATCAATCACGACGAAATCAACGAAGGATATTACATCAAAATGATTGCTGAGGATGGCGCGGCTGCTAAAGAAGGCATCAACGTCGGAGATAGAGTTCTCGAAATCGACCGGGATCCCATCAATGAGCTTTCATTTGACGATGTCGTCGCAAAGATCAAGGGAGCAGAAGTGTTGACACTTACAATCTTGTCCCAGCATAGAACTGATAAGACAACAGCGAGGCCAAAGGCGAAGGATGGCGATGCTAAAGATAAAGGTAAGAAAAATCTTTGATGACGATTTAACGGTGTACTGTAGTTGACAACAACATCATCAAAACTCTCATGGGCGAGGAGAAGATCGACTACGTCGTCAAGCCTCGATTCCTCCAGCAGAAGCGCGATGAAAAGCGCGGTAGTGACTTCAGAAAGAAGACGAAGATCAACGAAGATCTCAAGAAAGAATTGACCCCAGAAGAGATCGCCGAAAAGAAAGCGAAGAAAAAGAAATCTGTAAAGAAGGGGGTTGCTTTTGGAGGAACTGAAGTTGCTATTATCGGTAATTTTAGCTTTACCATTGACATCTTTTAATTGCTAATTCAAGGTGATGATGGAGGAGTGGAGAAACCAAAGACTGGTCTTCTCAAGCATAAAAAGAATAAAACTGCCCCTGAATCCGCAGAAATGAAAGCCAGGAAGCGTGAGCGAACTATGGCCGACATGACCAAAGGTAACGGCTGATGAGAAGTCTTCATTGACCATGTTTTTTTCTAGCAATGCGAAAACGTACTCTTGAATCGCGAGAACGCGTGATTGAAAAGCAAGATGCGAAGGCTGAGCGTTCGGCAGAGAAGAAGTCGAAGCGCTCTGGCAAGAGTTCACGATCTTCGAGAGCTAAAGAAGGCGATTCCGAAAAGTGGGATTGGGAAGATGAAACTGCTGCTGCCATGAATTCCATCCCAGAAGGTTTGCTATTCCTTTTGCCTTAGAAATAACTGTATGTTTAGACGTCAATTCGGAAAATGCCTACATGGAGATGTAAAACTAACAAAATTAAAAAATGTGCCCAAAAATGCTTTGCCAGTTTCAACGGTAGTACAAATGCACCAACAAAATGCTTCTTCTTCAGCGACTCAACAATTATACAAACTTCTGTTCAATACTTTCCATTATTCTTTAAAAATAACACTGATATAAGATGAATAAATGCAATACTAATAAATAAATATAAATCCCTCCTCGTTATTTTATGGGAATAATCTTTTGCTTAGTCATCTGGTCGTCAAATAATGAAGACCAAAATGAATGCCCAAAATAAAAAGCAATTACTGAAAAGCCTTTTTAGAAATAGAAAATAGAGAAGATAAATGCCGTTCTATGGAATTTTGCTTCACTCGCGTAAGTTCGGCGGCGGAGATTCTAGATATGCGTGGGCTAGAGAGATCACCTGAATTGCAGGTTCTAACCCAATCAGTCCGATTGAAGACTAAGAGAGCTGATAATTTTTCGGCTAAATTGCCAGTGAGAGAGCTGGACTTTTAATAATTGATTAAAAATTAACAGGTATTGAAATGCTCAATTAAACATAAGGATAAACTCAATAAGAGTTCTAGTGAACTACTATATGAGTGTGTTTCCTCAGAAAAATGCTCATCATTCGTTAGGATACTTTCGTAGGAGTGGCTTATCTAGTTAGATTATCATTTATGATGAAGAATACGTTTTTTTGGTTACTCTTATGCATTCTTCTCCAAAAATGTTATTTTAACGGGATGGGCCACTCCTACGAAAGTCAAGTTGAGTCTGGTTCAAATTCTGAAAACTACTGATCGCGCGAGGCCAATTTTTAACCTACGCAGCGCATCCAAACTCGTCCAATCTTGCGCGCTGCTTCACCTTCCACAATATTCTCGTCAACTTCTCGTCGGATTTTCTTTTTCTATCGGACTTACAGTCAGTTACAGTACTAACGATGATTCTTGAGAGAGATTGTTTTTGAGAAGAAAAGCGCGGCTGCTTGAACGGAATTCGCGCCTCGAAATCGAGCCTTGAATTTTATGAGCTACTTGAGCGTTTTTGTTTGACACCGGCTCATTTTGAGATGTTTTTGATTGGATGTTAATTTGCAAGAGAAAAGTGATTTTATTTGGTCCTTTGACAGAAAAAACTCAATTATTTTTTCCACTTTTTTACTTTTGAAACCCATTTTATCCACCTTTTCGATGATCAAATTTGAAATTCATGAAATTTATCGACATCGTTTTAGACATGAAAGATGCATCTTCGAGCGGAAGTGCTGACGACGGAGCGATACTTGCAGATGGAAAGAAATTGGACGATTTGCGAAATGCGCTGGAAAGCGGAAAAGACCAGCAGCAAATTGATGCGATGAAAAAAGTCATCGGCTACATTGCAAAAGGTAAACTTAAATTTCCAGCGAAAGATATTTTTATTTATTTTTCAAGCAAAATTTAAATATTGATCCGCGCCTTCTCTTTTTGTATTGATCGCGTTTAGGCCGAAATGCGTCTGCCCTCTTTCCCAATATCGTCAAACTTGTCGCCTCCTCTCAGCCCGAACTCAAGAAGCTCGTCTATGTCTACCTCGAGCGCTATGCTGAGGAGCAGCAAGATCTTGCTCTTCTCAGTATTTCGACTTTTCAGCGAGGTCTCAAGGATCACAATCAGGTTAGAATCAACGCCAATGATCGAGTCCATTTATTACTCTTTTCTAGTTGATTCGAGGCTGTGCCCTCCGAGTTATGTCATCGATTCGACTTCCCATCATTTCCCCCATCCTTCTCCAGGGAATATCCGAAGCATCAACGGACATGTCTCCTTACGTTCGAAAAACCGCGGCTCATGCGATCCCCAAGCTCGCCTCAATCGATCCAGCGACGCGGGAGCAACTGATCGAAATCATCTCACGATTACTTGGTGATCGGGCGCCCTTGGTGGCCGGATCTGCTGTGCTAGCTTATCTCAGAGTGTGCCCAGATAGGGTCGATCTCTTGCACAAGAATTACCGCAAACTCTGCCAAATGCTCATCGATGTTGACGAATGGGGTCAACTCAGGTTCGCGAAAACCCGTAAATACGCGACAATAAAACAATGCCATTTAGGTTTCTCGAAGTACTCACTCGTTACGCGCGAACTCAGTTCACTGCGCCTAAAGCGGGCAAACTTGACTTCGACCATCAACTTCTTTTAACAGCCTGTCAGCCGTTGCTTCTGAGCAGAAACGCAGCGGTCGTTCTCAAAGTCGTCGCAACTTGCCAAGAGCTCGGAACTGACGAAGACATTGCAAAGACCATCGGCCCTCTGATGAATCTTGCGAGCGGTGATCGCCGAGAGACAAAGTTTCTAGCGCTTGAAGTCGTCTATCGACTGGCTTGTAGCTCTCCTCATCTGGTTTCTCCGTATCTCAAGAACTTTACGATCTTCTGGGCAGAGTCGGAGCAGATCGCGCTTTTGAAAATAAAGAGTAAGAAAAGTTTCTCGACTGAATATTTATTAACTCTATTCATCAATTAAGTCCTCACAAAACTCGCCGTTGGCTCCCCAGGCACCGCTCATCAAGTCAATCGCGAGCTGGAGACGATCTCATTTTGGGACAAAGAAAAACTTGCGACAGAAGCAGTCCGCTCGTTGGGCGAGATCGCTACCGTGCCTGAGTTAACTCAGACCACGCTCGTCAAGCTGATGACCTTAATCAACGACAAGAGAGAAGTCGTCTCTGGGGAGGCCGTTGTGTCCATCCAAAAGTTAATTCAAATCAACCCGGAGCGAAACGAGCCCGTCATCAAAAAACTCGCCCGTCTTTATATAAGAGAAACTGTTGGAACCAGCAACGCCAAGTGTTCTATCCTCTGGCTCGTTGGTGAATACGCTCATTTCATCTCAAAGGTCGCTCCAGATGTTCTCCGCGTCGCCGCCAAAGCTTTCATCAAGGAAGTCGACGAGGTCAAAATGCACACGCTTACACTCGCTGCCAAGATGAGCGTCCAAAGTGAAATCCCAGAGCAAGTTGCGCTCGCCACGACTTATGTTTTCAACTTGGCCAGGTACGATCAGTCCTACGACTTGCGAGATAGAGCGCGCTTCCTCAAGAATCTCATCTTTGGCGAATTGGAGTTGTCCAAATTTTCGAAGGCGATTTTGACAGCTCCAAAGCCTGTTCCGACTAAAGTGGAGGTCGACGAGCGATTCCGTTGTGGAACACTCTCTAGCAGCCTGGGAATCGAAGCGCGAATGTACTCAGCGTTACCAGACTTCGCTCTTGAAGCGTCACCCTCATCACTTCGAGAGCTTCCGAAGCCAATCAAGAAGGCCCCTGCCAAAACAACAGTTGCGAGAAAAGCGAGCAAATCAGTGAGCTCGAGTGAGTCTGAGAGCGAATCCGAAAGCGAGTCTGAATCCGAAGATTGTACGTCTGGACCAGATGCTGAGAGCCAATCTGAAAGTGAATCAGAGTCCGAAAGCGAATCGGAATCATCTGAAGGCGAACCAGAGTTGTCAGAAGAATCGGCGTTGGTAAAAACTGCGATCACGAATGCTGCAGAGGCTGTAGCTGCCGAGCGAGCTCCTTCCGAGTCCGGAGATCATGCTGTTGCAATCATTGAAGACTCATCAGACCCAGAAGCGCCGCCTATCGCTGAAATTATCATTAATCCGGACAGACAAGCATCGAATGATTCCTCGCCCGAACCCAAGTCCACTGTATCGTCGTAGCGAAAAAGTTTCCACTGATACTTCATCTCTAGAACATATTCTAAGTCATTTGTTTCTTATCAAACTCATTTGTGCAATATTTACTACAGTGCATGTTTCTCCTACTTTTCTTTCCACTTATTATGTCTTCAACGTCGCCCTTTCTTCAGAAATTTAACTAAAATCAACCTTTTAGAGCCGGGATATGCGCGAAAAATGAGCGAATGTACTGCCTTCTGTTCTTGATACCGCTACTATTAGTTCCAAAGCCAGACAACGAGATTTTATCTTTTGAAATAGCTATTTTTCGATGTAAGTTTGATTATTATTGCAATTTGGAGAGCCTAGCAACGCTTGATCCTTTGGATCACGTGATAGAATTCGAGATTTTCTAGAACATGGGTTGGGATGGGTGTTGTTTTCAAAATTTAGTCAGTTGCGAAAACAGCATCCAACAGGTAAGATGTCCGGATTTTCGTTCTTTTTACTCTATTTTTTCACGAAAAAGCTTGCTTGGGTTATTTATTAATTGTTTTTACAATAAGTCTCAAACTAAAGAAACTTCTAGCGCTGTGCCTATTATGCACATTCGTTGAGCTGCGCCCATGCTTCCTGTGCGCCCTCATCTTTCTGGCATTATTGAGCGGCTTTTGTATCAACAACCAGAAGGAATGTATTTTCTTGACCTAGTATTTGGATAAATTTTATTCAATAACCATTTTCGAAACTGTCTCTTTTTGTGATACAATCAGAAACTGCCATCAACTGCCGCGGGCTCACTTCGCCGTTCAAAACTTGTTCACTTGAGTTTTTGTTTTCGAGCGAAAGTGCCAGCCCCAGCGGTTTTCTCGATTTTCCTTGTAAATTGCTGTCCAGAGATCACCACTAGATGCCTTTAAAATGTCCCTGTTCAGAGAATAATCGTTGTTTTTATTTAGAAAAAGTCGAACAACATGGTTCACGCCGCTGATATCGGTAAGGCCTCCAAGGACTTTTTGAAGAAGGACTTCTTCAAGGGAAATGAGTTCAAGGTGACTCAGGTAATTTTTCAATCTTTTCTACCCTTCGTCAGCTGTATGTTTAGGGCTGCTGCAAGGGTACCAAGCAGACCACCACCTTCAAGCTTGGTGATGCCGTCAACGCCACTCACAAGATCGAAGTTGGATCCGTAAGTTACAGTCTTTTTTCCTGGACTAAAACAGCTTTAGTGTACTTACACCAAGCTTCCAACGACGATCAACCTCGGCTCTACCACCGATGCTTCCACCGAGTGGACCATCAAGTCTGGCGCCACCAAGACCAAGTTGACCCTCGGCACCAACTTAGCCTCTGCTTGCGATATCTCCAAGCTCTCCCTCAAGAAATCCTTTGAGTTCAACAAGTAAGCTCTTTTTCTCAGCCACAGATACTAATTTATCATCTTCAGGGATATCTCCGGCATCCAGACCGCCTTGAAGTTGGAAACTTCCGCCAAGGGCACTGACTTTATCCAGCCAATCAACGTTGGCCTCGGCTTCGAAAAGAAGGGCTACCAGTTCGGTGTCACTGGAACTGTTCCCTCTATCACCGCTCCCGCCTTCAACGACGCCAAGTTCGCCGTTGCCTTCGCTGGCTGCCCCCACTTCCAGGTTAGAAGAAGCTTGAAAGACCTCGATTAAAAATGATCTCAGGTCTCTGGAACCACCACCAAGGGTACTGACTGGGCCCTGAACGCTCTCATCAAGCGAGACGGTCGAACTTACGCCGTTGATTTCGACACCACTTCCATGGCCGCCTCCATCGCTACTGAGGTAAATTCCTGAAGTAACCGACCGGTGCTAACTCCAATTTAGCTTCCCAACGGAAAGGTCAAGGTTGGCTGCGATGGCGTTCTTTCGTCCTACCAGAAGTTCCCAGTCTCCGAGACCGTCGCCGCCCGATTCGGTTCCTCTTTCAACCTCACCAACGGAAAGATCACCAACATCGGCATCGGTGTTGACTTCTCCCTCTAAGAATTATTTATTATCGAAATTAATATTAATTTATTAAATTGTCCCATTACATTCACTCTTTCCATCGAGTTCAATACAAGAATTTACATGTGCTTTCGTAGACAGTGAGAGGAGTCAGGTTATCATTCAAAATCCAGTACATTCCTCTTACTTTCAGACGTCGTACTCTAATCTATTCCTGTGACACAAATGCATGCTCTGAAAGAGGCGTGACCTTTCTGGATTATCGCCCCTTATAAGCCCATGCCCTGATGCTAACCTCCATACTATTCAGATTGAATATTTGAAAACATGGTCGTTGCATTCGCCGATGTTGCCAAGGCCCCCAAGGATCTTTTCAAGAAGGTAAGAGACTCAGAGATAATCATGCCTCTACTTCCCATGTTTAGCCCTTCAATGCTGGCAAGACCGATATTGACATTAAATCGGGTATCTTCACCTTGAAGAACTCCGTTGCCGGCGACAAGCTCAAGAGCGAGCTTGAATTCAAAGCTGAAGATGCCCTCCTCGGACTTGGCAAGGGTTTCACTCTTCCTTTGACCAAGAAATACGACGGCAAGGTAAAGATAATTTATGACTTCGCCGATTTTTAAGGATTTTTTAGACTGTCAAGCTTGAGTTCAAGAAGGCCTTTGATAGCAATGGCAACAAGCTCAATGTGGACTTCAATACTAACATCGTCCCTGAGTCTGGTAAAGAGAACATTCTCTTTCTTTAATTCAAAATATTTTAGCTGCCTACAGCCACACGCTCAAGACGAAGATCACTGGTGCCAACTTCGTCGCTGGTGTCGACCTCTCTGTCGACAACCCAGCCGGCGCTACCTTCCACGCTTGCACTGCATTGAAGAACAACACCATCGGTGTCTCTGGCTCCCTCTCCGACCCCACTGCGCTCAATTACATCTATAGCCCATGTGGAGGTCTTTTCTTCGAGACCAACTTGAAGAACCACACTCTTCACCTTTACAAGAAGGTATGCTTTGACACTCATTATCGTGCCAAATGATAATAATTATTTAGAGCGGTGATACCGCTGTTGCCACCCGAGTCGGATTTGCCTGTGGTTCCGCTGACTCTTCTTTCGCCCTTGCCGTCAAGAAGTCCTTGGCTTCCGGCGCAGACCTCTCCATCAAGGCCGACCAGTCTGGTTCCATCGATGTCGCTCACGTTTCCGTAAGACCAAACAACGAAAATGTACCAACTTACTAACAAATTTCTTTCAGAACCTGAGCGATGGCGTTAAGATGACCCTTGGAGCGAACTTCAACTCGCTCAACCTCGCCGCTGCTCCCAAGTTCGGCGCTGGCTTCGAGTTCAACTTCTAAGTTGCCGTCTGTCCAACATGAAATACCCTTTGGGTTATTTTTGCGAGATTCGCTTAATGTTGGCACATTTACCTTCCGTTCTATTTCATGTTATTCCATAAACTACTGTTAATAAAACAAGTTAAAATTTGATGCTTTCCTTTATTTTCGATTATGAGAACATGAGATCTTATTCTTACCTACTACTAGCCATTCACACCTGCAATCTGCAAAATTTCCCTCAAGTGCAACATCAACTCTATTTATTAAACCAAGCTCCAAATTCAACCAGTCTCTCGGACATCCTAAAATCCTGTCAAACAGACTTGTTCTCAAATTCTGGCCAATAAACATAAGAAATTAGAGATTGAATATGTGTTGGACTACTTGCATTCATGATTCCGATTTCTGGGTCACGCAGGATTCCAAACATGCCTTTTCTGGCTGAGTATATTTATTTTGAGTCCAACCTTGCCGCCAGCAATCAACGGTTACGGTGTGTGGGAGGCCTGATTTACTGTTTGAGCAAAAGGGATGGGGATTATTCTGCCTCCCGCTGTGATGGATGACTCCCACAGCTGACCTGAAATGTTAAAAAATCACCACAAAAGGCATCTCGCGGCGATAAAAATAGCGCCAAAGTGCGTCGTCACGCATTGTTGCCCCCTTGTTGTTTCATTCCGCCATCAGAAACACAAAAAGTCAATTCTCCGAATTTAGAAAAAACAAGAAAGGTAGCGATTGAAAGACTCGAGAATGTCAGCCGCGGCAGGAAGTTCCACGGTAAGCAACAAGAAAGAAATTGTACGTACTAACAAGTGTGAGTTGTGGTGTTTTCGAGGTGATTTTCTTGCTCTTTTCTTCGTGCTTATCCTTTCATAGTTCTGGTGATCCATATTTCTCTGAGATTTCTGGTAATTTCGGACGGCTTTTATGATCGAGGAATAGACAGATTTCTCCAAATTGCCAGAAATATCGACCTTGATTCAAACAGATTCCACGAAACTGTTGTTTTCCATCATCATTCTCATCTTGAAAGTAATCTTCAGCCAACATCAGTCGCCGCCCAGAAAGCATACGACTATCTCTTCAAACTGTTGCTAATTGGCGATTCTGGCGTCGGGAAGACCTGCTTACTATTCCGTTTCGCAGAGAACTCGTTCAATCCGACATTCATTTCCACCATCGGGATTGATTTCAAAATTCAAACGGTTGAAATTGACGGGAAGGTACGTTTATCTTTATTGAGGCTGTAAAGTGGATTGAAAATTTTCATTTGCAATTTTAAAGAGGATAAAGCTGCAAGTTTGGGACACTGCTGGACAGGAACGATTCCGAACAATCACTACTGCTTATTACCGAGGAGCAATGGGCATCCTCTTGGTGTACGATGTCACATCAAAGAAGACTTTTGACAATATAACGAATTGGCTCAAGAACATTGAAGAACATGCAGCTGAAGGTGTTGAGCAGCTTCTTGTTGCAAACAAGGTAGAAAAAAGAACACATCCATCATCTGGTTGTTAAAAATGATCAATGATTGGTATAGTTAATCGTTAACCGGAAGGCAGTTAAAATCAGTGACTGTTGATCAAGAATTTAATGAGATCTTCAATGAGAAAGTCAGAGTTTTATTACAGACTAATCTTTGATCATAAAATCAATCCGTACTTTCACGATTTCCAGATGTTTATTGATGAATCCGATTTAAAAGGATATCAGGCTCTTTTAAAAAGAGGTTGCTTTCAGGGTCCCTAAAGTCTATTTTCAGTGTGACCAGGAAGATAAGCGCGTTATCAGCGAGGAGCAAGGGCAGCTGCTGGCGGTGCACCACGGTATCGATTTTATCGAATGCTCAGCGATGAGCGGGGAGAACGTTCGCGAGGCATTTTACCGAATGGCCCGACGCGTGAAAACGAAGCATGAGTCGAAAGAATCGGCGCAAAGGGCGGACGGCAGCAAATCGGTGAAGATCCTCTCTGATCCCGGATCGCCATCGCCCCTGGGCAAAAGCCTTGGCAATTGCTGCTGACAATGATTTGGCGCTGCTTTCCAATCCTATCTCTGTGCGAACCAAAAACACACACACTCTCCTCCCGTGTAAAAATTATTTTCACCAAGAAAAATATACAGATAATTTCTTTTATTTCTTGAGATTAAGTTCGTATTTTCAAATACCTGCAACAAGTAACATGTGTAGAAACGTGCCTTTGCGAGAATATACAGTTTAAATGACCTGTTTTTTTATTTTCTTTGCTGTTTATTTATGCTAATGACCTAGAGTTTTATGTACTAAACTGATCTCAATACTATAAATTCCTCATGACGGCAGCCTATCCAAGCATGCCTTTTTCCCTATCTTACCTTATCAAATCCCAAAGATCTGAAAATACAGTTACTCAACAGTTATAAAATTTATTTTCGATCTTAGCATGTCAAATTTACTATTTTTTCCTTCATCTAGTTCCATCCGTTTTTTCTTCTTTTGTAAAAGACCTGAATAGACAACAGCCCAACAGTTGGATTGCAAAGGTTTTGTAAGAATGATTCTAAGGAGACTTTCAAGAATGGTACAGAAGAAGATAGGAACGCACAACGGTCATTTTCACGCTGATGAAGTTTTAGCTTGTGTTTTATTGGTGAGAAATCAAGAAGCAATGGGAGATATTAATTGTTGAATTCTAGCGTCAATTGCCAGAGTACAAGGATGCCGAAATCGTCCGTAGTCGTAACCCAGCCGATCTCGAGCCCTGCGACATCGTCGTCGACGTCGGAGCAGTATTTGACCCCGAAAGACAACGATTCGATCACCATCAACGAGAATTCACCGAAACAATGAAGTCGTTGAAGATTCTCGACTACGAAACAAAGCTCAGTTCCGCCGGCCTCGTCTATGCTTACTACGGAAAGGCTGTGATAAGCGCCATCACTGGGATCCCGAAAGAATCGCAAGATATGGCCGTTTTGTACGAAAAGGTGAGAAGCGAAAGCTCAATAGTCGAGGTGATAGTTTTATTCCTTATTTTTGGGGCAAATACAGCCCGTCGTCGATTGAGGACAAAAACAACAGGTCATAAAACGTGATTTGCCTTATGCGAGTTTCATTTATGCTCCCCGATCTTAACGAGAGTAAATATTTACACCGGTTGAGGATTGTAGAGCAGAATTTCCTATCTCTATCCTTATCGTTTTAGATGTACGCCAAATTCGTTGAAGAGTACGACGGCATTGACAATGGTGTGAATCAATTTGACGGGGAACCGCGGTACCACATTACTTCTACCGTTAGTGCCCGGGTCGGGCGATGCAACCCTAGATGGAATGAAGATCAGGAAAGTGTTGCTCAATTATTTTTTATGAACAAACAATTTTGAACGAAAAATTTTCGAACTTAAAGTTCAGTTTGATAAATTGAGAATAAAAATTGCAACACCGGGAAACAGTCGCCAGCGGCGGAGCGCGCGGGCTTCGGTTTGTCAAATATTTTGATTTCATCCCTTTTAAATCAAATATCTCTTCAATAGAGAAGGCGATGCAAATAGTAGAGGGCGAGTTGCGCGACGCGCTGGACGGGTACGTCAAGTCGTGGATGCCTGCGCGGGCGATCGTCAAGGAAGCGATAGAAGAGCGTAAAAAGCACGACCCCGAGGGGAGATTGTTGAAATTCCCCAAGGGAGGACTCCCCTGGAAGTCACACTTGTTTGAGATGGAGAAAGGAAACGGGTCATTGTTTATTTCACCCTGAGAACAGCGAAAAAGGAAAGAGAAATTTAACAAAATTGGGAAGAAATGATTGTCTGGCAAAAATGACCTGTCCAAAGAAATGAAGATCGAAGGTCAAATTCTTTACGTAGTTTATCAAAGCAAGCCCGAGGACTGGCGAATCCAGTGCGTATCAGAATCAGAGGGTAGCTTCAAAAACCGAAAGACACTGCCCGAAGCCTGGCTTGGAGTGCGCGATCAAGCTCTAAATGAGCTCACCGGATTATCCGACTGTACATTTGTGCACGCAAACGGTTTCATTGGCGGTGCCAAATCCGAAGCTTCTGTTATGAAGATGGCCGAAATGGCTCTTCAGTGAAGACATATTTTTAGGTTAATTCTTTTTGTTCAGGACTGATAAAATACACTCAGATCACTGCCTGCAGGCGAGAAAGAGCAGCCAACTTAAATTGTAAATTTAGACTGTGCCAAAACATGGCCTATTTGTAAATATATCGGTGAACACAATCGGATTGTAAATAAAAATTGGTCACCATGGTGAGTGGTCCGCTTCAAGGACTAACGCAGCAGCTTGCATCAACCACACTCCAGGTAGAAAAAGAATTAGTAAAAATGAAAATTTATGAATGCTAATTTAGGATGAGAACGAAGAGACTCCGGGAGGAGGAGCGGCAGGCATCTGGAGCAGTAATGACGGAACAGGACCATCGGCGCCTGTTGGCATGAACAATACGCCACGATTGTCGATAGGTGGACGGGAGCACTGGCCTGCTCCTTCTGTCGACCCATCGGCAATCGCGCCAGGCGGCAGTGCTTGGGCAACAGATCAGCCAACAACGTCCACTGGACCCTGGGCCACGCCGGGCGGTCAGATTGGGGCACTTGGAGAGGGGAGACTCAATCCAGACCTAGCTGCCGCTTGGAATACAAGTCTTAATCAGATCTCTGGTAATAAAAAATCCCCTACCCATTTCCTAAAAGAATTTAGGTTCTGACGATAAATTTGCCGATAATCAGAATCCACTTCCATCCACTCTAACGAGTACGCCGATGATTTCGACACCTCTCAGCGTCGCTGACCCTACTCTGCAGCTTCTTCAACAGCAGCAGATGCTACAGAATGGGATGAACGATCCATTGAGTGTAAATCAGATGGCTCTAGCGCAGCAAATGGCCAGTCTTCAGATGCAGCAACAACTTTTGCAGCAGCAGTTCACTTATCCGGTAAGACAAAAGGAAAGAAAACATCCGCTCAAAAGCAATTCTAGAATGCAGCCGGTCTTCAAGGAGGCATGAGCCTTCCGCAAATGCAAGTTCCACAGGGATTCCCGAACCTTGGCAATCAACTCAGTGGTCTTGCCGGCCAAAACAACCTCCTGGACGCGGGTAGAAGTGGTCTAGGTTCAGGCGATGACGATCTGCTAGCAAGATACAATGAAAAGCTGCGCGCACAAGCTCTCATGCAGACGCAAGCACTGCAAAATCAAGCGCTTATGGGTGCTGGAGGTAAGCTTTCAACAGAAAAGACATGTAATTACGTCTTTTGAAGGACTGTACAATCCGATGAGCGGTCTCGGTGCATTCACCAACGATCTTGGTGGAGCACTCACGCGCCGCGACTCCCTCGCCTCTGACTACAAGAACATCCTTGGTCAACCGCTGCGTACGCCCGGCAATTATCAGGGAATGAACCCTCTTCAGGGTCTCAACAACGCTCTGGGCACTGTTTCCCCGCCAGGAATGGGAAACAACGGTCTTCTTGGCCCTTCATTTGGTCGAAACACATCATTCAACTCGTCAGCCTCAAGTCTTGGTATGAACGCAAATGGTGCACTTGGTAAGATAAGCTAGAACTTGGCGTTAAAACTTTCCTTTAGCTGGCAACTTTGGACTTGGTGCATTCCAAAGCTCCTCGCGGATCTCGTTCGAATCAATGTCTGATCGCTCCAAGCTACTTGAAGACTTCCGAAACAATAAACTGCCCAATCCACAGCTTCGCGACTTGGTCAACCACATGGTTGAGTTTTCTCAGGACCAGCATGGCTCGCGCTTCATTCAGCAGAAGCTAGAACGGTGCACACCAGCTGATCGCGAGCTCGTTTTCAATGAAATCCTTTCCTCTTCCTATAACTTGATAATCGATGTGTTTGGCAATTATGTAATCCAAAAATTCTTGGAATTCGGCTCCGTCGAGCAGCGCGTGCAGCTCCTCAACTCGATAAAAGGACATGTTCTGCAGCTATCGTTGCAAATGTATGGCTGCAGAGTTATTCAGAAGGGATTAGAAGCGTTTTCGCATCTACCGGAACATCAGATCGAAATTGTAAAGGAGCTTGAAGGCCATGTTCTCAAGGTAAAGTGCAAGGAATTTTCTTGTTTTGAGAGTGTTTAGTGCGTGAAAGATCAAAATGGTAACCACGTCGTGCAAAAAGTGATTGAGTGTGTTCCTCCTGAGCATCTAAATTTCATTGTCGACGCGTTCGCTGGTCAAGTCTACCAGTTGAGCACCCACCCTTATGGCTGCAGAGTTATCCAAAGGATTTTGGAGCACTGTGATCAGGATCAAACCGCTCAGATTCTGGATGAAATTCATCCACAAACGGAGCAACTAACGATGGATCAGTATGGAAACTACGTTGTCCAGCACATTCTTGAACATGGCCGCGTAGACGACAAGACGAAGATCACGTCAGAGATGCGAGGACGAGTGGTTCAGCTGGCGCAGCACAAATTTGCTTCAAATGTCATCGAGAAGTGCGTCACATCAAGCTCAAGAACGACTAGAGCGTTGATGATTGATGAAGTGTGCGGCTCTAGCGAGGCGTTGTTTACGATGATGAAGGACCAATACGCCAACTATGTCGTCCAGAAAATGCTTGACATTGCCGATATGCCACAAAAACGCAAACTTATCAGGTAAATAAGACCAACTTTGATCCATATCTAACATTCAATAGCCAAATGAAGCCTCACATCAATAACCTGAAGCGATACACGTACGGCAAGCACATCATCACCAAGTTGGACAAGCTCGTCAACGAGCAAAACATGAAGAACATGAATGGGATGAACTAACAGCTCCCTGGTAGTCGACAAGCAATGCCCGTCCTGCGCGAAAATATACAACTTTTGAATTCATTCCGAATGTAAATTGTACATACCATTATACATATGGTCATTTACCGCTAGTAATCTTCTTACCGCTGGCCACGTAAGGAATTCAAAAACGAACTACGTATCCGACCCAATCTCCCTTGAAAACATCACTGTTGTATATTTTTTGTCACTTAAATTTACACTAGTTCTATAAAGTACTAAAACGTTATTCCAACCCTGATAATCGACGTTCTTTTATATACTACCGAAATGTCATTTCAACTTGTATTTATCAGATAGCCGAGAAAGTCCAGAACTGACCATAAAACACCAAACGGTTAATCTCTTTCCTTTCAATCCGTTTTGGCGGATCAATTCATATATCGCTCATTATCGAACTCTTGACGTTCTTTTCAAGCAATGCACAGTTCGATTACTGTATTGCTATACTGATCTAAATCTCTTTTTCTAATCTCTTGATATATACGATACATATATTATATCCATGCATATCAACTATGAATCTATAGTAGTCTGCTATTTGTACTCTAAAAGGGGGTGCAGTTTCCTCTCGATTTGCTGGACAGCGAACTTCTCTGTCCCATCCGGGATATGGTCCCATTTCCCGACCCTTTGTAAACTTGTAGAATTGAATCAGCTGGCAGCCACCTCACACGCTGTCCTGCAAAATTTCACCGAGGAAACGACACCCTTTCTGTTTCTGTTTTATTTTATTCATATTTTTGTTATTTACCAATCTTGTTTCTACAAAGTATATAAAACCCATCGGATTGATTCCTTCTTTAGTGCAATTTAAAATCGCGCCAAAAACAGGCAATCCCGCCAATCCCTTCCATGGTCGGAATAAATAATTCATGTCGAATCTATATCGCTGTGTTTAAATATCATACTCTTCCATATTTTTAAATATGACATTTGCTTAAAATTCATTTTGAAAAAAAAACAGTATTTACATTTTTTAAAGCAACTTCTTACAAATCCTTACTTACGAATACCTGTAGTCAATATCAGTATCACCCGACACGTTTAGGCACGCACCGCCAGGCTTTTTCTATCTTTTCACCTTTATCGCTTTTAATTTCACAGTTACACCAGGGTTGCCCAATCGGACAAAAAATCTTGGTCTCGGCGATCCGATTCCGATCCGATCCGATTCGAACCTCGTCCGATCCGACCGATTTCCGATCCGATTTTTCGGATTCCGATTAAAGTTCAAGTCCGATCGGACAATTTTCCGATCGGAAAAATATTCGAAAATTTTCAAGTTAAAATTTCAATTTAAACTATTGAGTATGAAGAAAAAACTCGAAAATATCAAGTTCTTTCGCTAAAAACGCCCCTCTAACCATTTAACGTCTTATTTCTATGAAAATTTATGGATAATTTTGGGTTTTCGGGGGCGTGGATCGGCAACATGTGTACAAAACCTTTAAGGGTCCTGAAAGAGCTTTCATAATAGCCGCCTAGGCGCTAGAGTTTCCAAGAAACGAAGCAACAAATGGCTTTCGCAAAAATAACCATCTCAATGGTTGACATTCTCAATCTAACACTAAATCACTGTGACCAAGGTTTTATTTATAGATACTATTCAGAGATAATATTGAGTTTTCGCTGGCTTGGATCAGCAACCTAAGTTCATAACTTTTCAAATAGCCTTCGCAGAAATAACCAATGGTAGTTTTGAGATGTCCCAATGATTGAGATTCTCAGTCAACGTGATGATTACCCGTGATGGAGGTTTTGGTCGCAGTTTGCCGGGCCCGGGGATCAAAGACGTAATTAAGTTCTTTTTGAGATAAAAATGCCTAAAAATTGGTGAATTTACAGAAATATTACTTTTTATAAGTATATATTAGTGGTTTTTGAATGAATGGACCCGACTTTTTTACCTATTTTCCGATCGGATTATCGGATCCGATTTTACCGATCGAAACCGATTTTACCGATCGGACAAGACCAAATTTTCGTTGCCTCGTCCGACCGATTACCGATCCGATCCGATCGGAATCGGATTTCCGATCGGATTCCTATCCGTTTGGGCAACCCTGGTTACACCTACATACATTCAGTATACTCCTTATCAAACTCCTGGCAACTAAGGATCTTCCTTGTTCATTTTAATTTCGCAGTTGAAGTTTAACTCGACAAGAAATGTCTTTTTGCCGCATTTACTTAACTAAGACAGGAAACAGCACAATGTAAATTTCACACTTACAAATTATCTGCCAGGACATTACTGCCAATAACTGAAAAGAACTGCCCAAATGTATAAATCACTATCAATTAATTAAAGTCGACAAAACTCGAATGCGCCCACCAACGACCTCGCGTATAATTCTTTGAACATTTCTCTCTGAACAATACTAGCACGACTTTAGCGTCTCCTACACATACTGTAATGTTTCCTGTAAATTCTGGCCGTCGGATTTTCGCTTATATATACTTAACTGTAACATATTGAAAATCGTCGGCATCACTTAATAGCACTTAACAAAGACCCCTAATTAGCAATAGGAAAGAGCCTCCTATTCGGCCTTTTGTATAACTGACGAGATTGGCAAGTTATTGATAAAACTTATTATTCAATAATAAGTTTTATTCCAATAACCCATTTTCTTCAGTAATTCTCATTTCAATTGTCGGCTGTAAATTTCAGTCCATTTTTGCTTTACATCTACTGCTATTTGTACGCATACAGTAGTATGGCAATACTACTGTATTAAGTTACGCTACCGTTACAAATAGCAAATGAGGTGTAAGAAAAAGCGGACTCCGACACACTACCACCCTCGCTTTGTAAACTTGTGGGACCCTGGGGAAAGATAAAATTTTGGTTAAATTCTTGCTACTTTAATATTAGCACCTGCGAGGCTCTCTTTTGTAAATTTTGTATTAAAATCATCTTCCAGCTGCTGCTCGATCGGAGAAATCTGTCGGAGCAGAACTCGCTGCGAGGAACTACTGTCCTTTATCCCTCTTCTAACGCTGGTCGGTGCGTTTAAGCCAGCAAAGATCGGGAAAATCACCAAAAAAGTTACTTTTCTCCTATATAACCTTCCTTCGACGTCTATTCCTTTCATTATTTTCGTCATTGATTTCAACTCCTATTCAACTTACCTTACCCTCTCCATGACTTTAATACCTTTACGACGTCCACTTGTAAATCAAGCAGCCTTTTTATCATAAACGAATGGTGATGAAACCTATTAGAAATAAACTGTTGCAAAACAAACAAAAAAAAAGAATCAATTCGATTGTTAACAATGTTCCTTTTTGTTCAGCATGTCGCAGCCGAATCATTCGAATCCGAATCCACAAGTGTCGCAGGGTAATATTCAGTACGTTTCACAAAATCAGGTACTAAAGATCACTCTTTCCATGCATGTGTTGATTAAATAATCAGGTGAACACGACAATCCGCAATGTGCAGCCGGTTACGTCGATGACAACTCCTAGCACTGGGCCGACACAAATGGTGTACATGACGAATCCGACAAACGCGCGGCTAGTGCAGCCAGGCGGCCAAATGGTCCGAATCGTGCGCCCGAACTACCCGATGAGCCGCCCGATTCAACGCCCCTATACTTCACAAGGTTCGCACCATTCCCTAGCTAAATAAAAGTACGCGAATAATCAAAGGACAATCAATCGTCAACAGCGAGGAAACCACCAAGCTAATGCCCAAATCAAAGATGCAGGCGCTCGCACGCGACGTTGAGCAAAACTCAATCCTGGAAGACGACGTCATGGAGCTGCTCCATCGCCTGGCAGAAGACTTCGTCGAAAACGTCGTTTCCGGATCGTGCACTTTGGCCAAGCATAGACGCTGCACTACACTAGGTTCAATAATAAACAATCGAACTTCTTCTAATGCCGATTTTCAGATGTTCAAGACGTAAAATTAGCTTTGTACAAAAACTGGCAAATGCAAATCCCAGGCTTCACAGTCGAGGATTCCAAAAATCGAAAGAGCACCGGCGAGGCGCACAAGCAACGCATGCAGCTCATCCGCAAGACTCTGAAAAGATGAGAAGCTCTCCTGTCCATAATTAACTACTCTTCGCTTCACTATCACATTGGCTAAAACTTCAATCTGGTAGTCCATTATTATTTCCTTATTTTCGCTGCCACTTTTTGTTCAATAAATTTTAAAAGCAAAATCACCTTTTACGAAAAGTTATTAGCGATTTAATCTGTCGCTAATGATTTTTCGTCCAAATAATACAAACAGCAGTCACTCGTTTTTTACTTGCAGGTTGCAAAAATTTGAATGAATGGAAAGAACGATTCTGATATAAAAATGCGCGATTATAGAATGCGTTTTACTTTGATAAATCGAGTTCGGTTTTCGCCAAGATTGCTCTCTGAAGGAACTCAGAGGGTGTGGACGACGGCAGAGATGCATACGATTTTAGGCTCGTCGCCGAAAACGACGCCAGAAGAGTTGAGAGAATTGTACCTCGCTCGTGTTAGAGAAATTCACCCCGATACGGCTACAGAAACCCCTACTATTGCCCTGAATGAGCTTAGAGGTTCACTTTACTTGCGTTCTTTGTTGAATCAAAATTTATGTAGATATTTACGATAAACTCTTGGAAGCAAAAATCGAAGCGGACGAGAAATCGCCAACTTTGACCATTGAAGACTATCGCGCTGAAAAGCACTTGCAAAAGCCGACAATGCAGAAGTTTTTATATTCCAACGCCTTTCGCTTTATCATTTTCATCCCCTTGTTTGTGATTTTGACGGAGAATGCGTGGGACGTTGCTACAGGTAAATTTCTTGCGCTGTGAAATTCTAACTGGGAAAATAATAGATCGAGAAGGAAGAAATCAACGGGCAGTAGCCGAGCGTGAAAATATTCTTTATGCCAGAGCGCTTCAAGAGTATAAAACGGAGCTAGCTATGCGAGAAGCTGCGGAAACTCAAGCTGCGTAATTCTTATTTTGTGAACAATTCGATCTTTCAGATTTGAAAAGGAGAGATTTGATTTTCAGAATGGGGCGGAAGAAAAAGGCTGAAAACGGGGAATTGAATGTTGGTACGAGTGGAAGTGCGGCTGTTGCTGAAGTTAAGCCGCTGTCGACTGACTCGGATGACGACCAAACTTATGAGGTTCATTCTATTTTCGAACTTGTCTTCAATAAATGAAAAACTAGGTGCACTCAATCATTGCTTCGCGCATGACTGAAGCAGGTAGACTCTTTCTGGTGAAATGGGAGGGTTTTACAGACGAAGACAACTCATGGGAGCCCGAAGACAATCTTACTGGATCGATTGACAAAGTAAAGGACTACATGGCCTTGCGCAAAAGTGACAACTTCAATCAAAATTATTACTAAACGGAAATTCAGGTTGGATGTCAAAAATGCCTGCATCGAAGAAGATTAGCTAAAGCTTCAAGCTGATAAATGAACGAGAAAAACTGTTGAACATTGGATGAGCTTTGTTCCAGTTCAGTTATAATTTATCGTAATAACCTGCCATTTTGAAAATAAAGTCACTCAAAAAGCAAAGAGCCGAAGCGCGCCTTAGTTAAGCCACGTGGCCCTGACTTGCAAAGTGCTGGAAAAAAGGCGTTCCAAGAGTATGATGTCTGCCTGAGTCGAGACTTTTTAGAGCATGAACAATCGGCGATTCAATTTGCAAGATGAAGTTAATGGGGAGGAGAATCGTGAAAGAATGGGAGCTGGAGTTTTTATGCTGATTTTATTAGGAAAGGGTTTTTCATTTTTCAGACCTTTCTTCGTCAAATTTGATGAATTTTCCTTGTTTTGAAAGAATTTATAAGAAAATTTCTCAAAAACTGAAAGACCCTCAATTCGAAGCGATCCCACTACAATATCTTATGTCGGAAAATTATGGCGTTGCGGTGAATCAACGGAACATGCAATCGCTACAACTCGTCACGGGCGCGACGCATTTTGCCAAAACATGGCTAGATCCATCAAAATGGGAAAAGCGCTTCGCAGAGTTTCAAGATTACATTGACAAGCTGGCCGATGAGTTGGAGGAGAAACAGAAAAAGATCAAAAACGCAAAGAAGAGCTTTAGTAAAGGTTGTTTATAATCCTCTTTGAACAAAATTTTAAGGGGAATTTCAGAGGGGGAAACACCAGCACATGAAGTCATTTCATATCTTGGTCAGAATATGGGATACTATGCGCATTCCACGAGAGTGAGAGAGAGAAAACAACTGATTCGATATCGAGTGGGGCAAACTTTCCAACACAAGAATCTGGGCTATTATGGCGTAATTGTCGGCTGGGATGAGACCTGCAGAGCGCCACCAACATGGCAGCAACAAATGCTTGGATCAAAGTAACGAGAAACTCTCCAAAACTTTCCTTTGTAATTAAATTTAGCTGGAAAGAAAAGTGCAAACAACCGTTTTACGCGGTGCTCACCAGCTCGGGTGACTCACGATATGTCATGGAAGAAAACATCAAATTGATTAGTGGTACGGCTCCCATCCACTCGTAAAAATATTGATCACATTTCAGGCAACACAAAGATGACAAATTCACAGCAGTTGTTCGAGTTCCTAGTGGAGAGAAATAAAAGAATCGAAGACTACATGGACGCGTATGATGTTGCTGGTAGCAGATTTATGCCAAGACCGGCAGTTGACGCGCTGTATCCTGACGACTAGACCAAGTTACGAAGTTACTCTTCGTTTTTACTTTTATTACCTGCCGCGAGTTTAAAATTGGTTTTGTGCAATAATAGTGATCCCTATCATTTTCGAATGTCTTCTCTCCAACCGCAATGCTTCAATCTACAGTTCAACTATCTGTATTAAAGATTCCCTCTGACCTTATTCAAGTTCAACTTTTTCAGATGGGATGTTACTATCGTTCTTCCTCACCTACGTTTCGGCATCTCTAGCCGTGCGCAGTAACCACTGCTGCGAAATAAAAGGCATTGACTGCAATGATCCCGACTATTGTGAGATTCTATCCGACATGGCGCCGGAAAATCTCGAATCCTGTGCCCGCGAGTTTCATAAAAATGGATATATTCCTTACAACATGGATCTGAATAAGCACAGTCTCGTCATCGCTGAATCGCTCGTTCTGGCTAATGAACATTGTCTTAAACAGAGCTTCGCGAAAGTAAATTTACTCATCCAGCAAATTGGTATGGAAAATCATCAAAATGTTTATATTAACCAACACTCAAAGAAACGAAGAAAGATTTCCGAGTAGAATATCGCGGAGCTCTTTGGACAAAAGGACGTGTCGCCGCTGCTCTTGCTCCAAAAGATGGGCGTTACTACGAAGCAGCTCTTGACGTTTATGCTACGATGGAGCGCTTAGACGGTGGTGATTTTGAACCTGGTCTTCGAATGTCTGAACTTTTGATTATGATGGGTCGATATAGCGAGGCACTTTATCCCATCAACAAAGCGATTAACAACGACCCCAAGTATGGAAGCGTGTGAAACCTTCGCTTACCCATGATTTTAGAAATACAGAATGCTTGCGCGTTCGTGGAACCCTTCACTTTCTCGATAATAACTTCGACGAAGCAATAAAAGACTTCAAACTTGCTGTCGATACCGATCCGACCCCAGAACTCTACTACTACTACGCTCTTTCGCTCTATCACGAAGGGCATCTTGGTGCTGCTCTCCACGCAATCGGTTCTGCTCTAGAAGTGCGCGCTGATCAACCCGACGTACTCCGCCTCCAAGCCCAGCTCTTCAAAGAAACAGGCCAGTTCGACAAGGCGCTGAAATCTCTCAACGAAGCTCTAAGGTTCCAAAGAGACCTTTTCGATTATAGCCCTGTACTTACTTCTGTATTTAAGTTTGGATTACAAAAGCGCAGAATCTATAATAGCAAAAGGAGAGTTGTACTTTGATGCAGGGCGGCCTCAACAGGCGAGTCGCTGGTTCCAAAATGCACAAAAGTTGAACCTTGGAATATCAAGTGTGAAGTTTATAAAGGTCTCTGTCTGGTGAATAGTGGCAAGTTTTACGACGGCATTAAAGAGTTAACTACCAGAGGTATTTTTGTTCGTTACGATTGATATTGACCTCGTTAACTAGTTCTGCGGAATTATCCTTTGCCCGGTCAAACGCCCACAAATGGACAAATTCGCTCGTTTTATATTCGAGAATGGGCTCGTTACCTTTCGATGGCTGCAGATAAAGCGCACCTTGGAACTTATCCGGAAAATGAGCTTCCTCGAAAATTTACCCTGTCTTGGTTGGCGAACGAAAACTGGCTTATAAACGATATCCCAGAGTTCAATGATGGGAAAGGTCTTTCTAATACGCTTGATGTTGAAACAACGCCGTGGGAAAATATGGACGAGGGAAAGAAGAAACTCGCCTGTCTGGCATTGAAGATCGGACAGCATCATCGTTCAATTACTGATCTTGAAAATCCGCGAAAAGAAATGGCAATCGGTCTTGCAGCCATCGAAATCTTCCAGCGCTTCAAAAACGAAGACAGAGATAGTCAAAAAGTAAGCGCAATGCAGCTTAGTTGGAAAGAAGCTGCGGCAGTAGCAAATAAATGGATTCGAATGGTTGATCTGAATGAGCCTTCTTTTTGGATCGACGATCTTTACACGGGAAAGATCACTGGCATTCCGCCTGAAGTTCTCTATCACCAAGTCGGGACTGCGATACCATACCAGTACCAAAAATATCACGAATTCTTCTTCAAATATTGCAAAGCGGCAAAGCCCGATCTTCTTGGGAAAACTGGCGCCGACAATATGTCAGATTTGGTTGCAAGAGCAGTTGAACCAGGCGAGAAGGTGATGATCCCCCTTCTCGCTGGATCTGTTCATTATTCCACGGGAACTTTCAGGGCTTCGTCGATGCCGCCTCAAAGAGTTACTACAGAACAGGTTGATGCTTCTACAAAATTAAGTGTTAAGGGGGAGGTCGACGAGAATCGGGATTTTTTCAACCAAAATTCCGGAAAAACTAGCTTTGAATGAAAAATTCTGATTGGTCAGGTGAGTAGGAAAGGGTTTGAAAAATACAGCGGCGAAAACTAGAAAAAATTTTGTCCAGAAAAAATGGGCGTAATCGTGTCTCAAAGTGGACCCCAAATCGCAATTTTGGCAATTTTGCGATTTTTTCGCTATTTTTTTTATGCCACATTTGGTAATGAAGTGCACGAAATTCCTGCAAAAACTCGTGAAACTCGTTGCCGCTGTCTTCTAAATACCCTTCTGTTCTCACCTGATAAGTCAAAATATGTTTACAGAATCGGGTTTTTCGGGAAAATTGGTTTAAAAATTCCGATTCTCGTCGACCCGCCCCTTAACAAACTTTTAGTTGCTACCGCGAAAATTGAGCGCAACAAAGCTCAATTCGAACAATTCAGGCAAGAACTTGACACTGTCTGGAGCAGGCTCTATCTTGACAAAGACGGCAACGACGACAGTTTGGAGTACGCCTGGCTGCTCTACTTCTACTTCACTCTTCTCGCTCCAACAAACGAAAATACTTCTGAAATCGCTTTCGGTACGTATTACTCCTTTTAATCTTTCGCTTTAATATATTTAAGCTGTGACGTTTGGTACTTTATTGTCACTCAGACAACATGTCTTCCCGAATGGAGCCCATAGTCCTTTTCTTCCTCCTCAAATGATCCTGAAGCTTGAAGTCATGCAAGCTCAATCGTAAGAATTCGACTTGAAATCAAGGAAGATTCTAACTTCTAATGTTTAGTCCCGAAGAGTGGGTGCGCATGATGAAGCAATATTACAACTACAACGAGAATCGTTTCACTCACGACGAGTGGCACAAATCCGTGTGGTTCCAAATTCCAGAAGTGAAAAACAAATTCAAACTTCTACGCGATATGACGGAAATCTTAAACATCGATACTTATCAATACTGCGACAGTTCCAGCTCCGACAAAACTGATAGAATAAAATTGTGAATGGCTTCAAAATGGCTTGATCGTTGAACATTTATTGTCTTGAACCAGTCGCTTGAACAGGTTTTATGCTGGATTAGAAAAAAATATCACAATAATTAGAAAATCCGGTGTCAAAGTAGAATAGCTGAACAGAAAGAAAGCAGGGCTTCTTAGAATAAAATTATTTATGGCAGGAAAGAAGGGTCAGTTCCGTATCGACTTGTTACTCATTCTTGGCGTCTTTTTCAGGCGGCGGAATGAGATACAGTTCCTCACTCATTGGATTTGCTGGTTTTGATGGCAATGTTAGAGGCGTTAGAGGAGCTGTTGCAAGACCCGGTTCTTTCGGTGGATATCTAGCGAGAGGTTGATATGCTGTTGATTCATAAAAAAATTCTTACCCATAGTTTGGCTGAGGGGGATGTCTTTGACACATTCGAGATACTCTTTTTGTTGCTTCAAATAAGAGCTCCGCTACTGTTAGGAAGATAGAGACGAGTTGAATTCCGAACATGTACTTGAAGATTGAGATTGTAGAAAAGTATGAGAGTATCAAAGCTTACCTTGACAGCAAGAGACTTTTCTCGAGGTCTAGCGATCCAACACGTTACAGTTTCATCTGCCCAGCATGGCGATAGTTTAGGATCATCGGCTTTACTTGCATGCTCGCAGACGAATCGCTCGGGAACTTCCCAAACATCCCAAAAATTTGTTTTTTGAGTTTGTTGCACCTTTTTGCGGGCTTTGATTCTGCGGAACGCGTTTCAAACTTTGGCAGTTTAAGCCTTTCCTGAATCCAATATGCGAATGCGATAAACAGTAATTCTAGTATCAGCCGAATAATGAGGTGGAAAATGTAACAAATTCTTTCTTCTCGCGTCCAGTAATAACTGTCTTCCTTGTAATCTTTGCCATCAAAATAACTTTTCTGAATTCGATGATTCTTATTTATTGATCATAGCTTGTCTACCTTTTGCTTGGCTCCAAATTGACTCTTCAGGTTGATCGCATATTCTTTGTCGTCCATGTCTTCAGGTTTTCCTTTCTTTCCAATTGCAGCTGTCAGCCTTGTGTTTGTGAAACTAGCAAAACATAAAGAGACAAATTTCTAAAGAAACAACTTACGCAGCATATGCACCAAAGAATATGGTTGGCGAGCAGATAAATATGAATTCTATATTCCAAAATCTGTCCAGAACTTAAACACATCATGACGAGAAGTTCTTACGGACAATTTTTACCTATAGGGAGGAATAAATTATGGCAGACGTTTTCACAGCCCGGCATTCTTGTATCACACTATGAGTCTATTAATAAATTGACTACGTAGGAGACCGACCGTAAACTCTTTGAGCCCATCAGAATAGACATTTTTGGCAATTCCATTTACAGCTACCAAATGGCGAAAGACGAAATTAACGAAAAACCAAAGAGTTCCAATCGGAGTACAATATCTTCTTATCGCCCTTGCCGATTCTTTCAAGTGGTTATTTCACTGTTTTTCTCTTTGATAAAGTTTTCAGAGTAGTGTGGACCATTCCTTCAATAATTTTCCAATGTGTCATGTTGTCTCGATTTCAGACTTTCTCGTTTTTGAAATAGAGGTTGATGTTTATTTTGGTTGTTTCATTCAGGATCCGCTTCGTCAAGGATGTCTCGATTGTTGAGGAAATCAGCCTTTCCTTAGCCGATGAAAGAGCCTCGGGGCCAACGTCGGTATCGTCTTCCGTGCTCCTTTGATCTTAATCCGAGATTAAGTCTTGTTTAGCCGGACAAGGTTGCTAATTTTCTCTACAGGAAACTTGGCACTAAATTCTATAATTGCCAAAGTCGGGCCTGTGGATTCTCGGGGTCCGAGACTCGGAAAACTAAGAATGGGACCGAACAATTGACTTAAAATCATAGATCAAAAAATGGTTCCAGAAAAAGACATTTGTGAAAGGCCTAAGCCGGAGGTGGCATAAAATTGAATAATGAGAAATGTGTGCTTCATAAATTTCTTTAATATCTAAATCATCATTTTTATGACTAGGTTTCTGTACCTCGTTTAGAAGAGCTTGACGCCCTTATGTTCAAACAAAACGGCCAATTTTCTCTACAAGCAGCGCTCTGATGATTCCCGGCTCGTTTACTTTGAGCCAACCGGGTGGTTGAAAAACGATTTGAGGCGTCAATTGTTGAAAATTTTTAAAATTGACGACTCGAGTCGACTCCTATCTGAATCAACCCTACACCACCGCCGGACATACTATCTTGACGAATGAGCTAAACACCGAACGCTATAATAGATAATAACAATTTCTCACAAATAAAGTTACGGTGTTTTTACAACTAAACAACGGCCTTTCATTTTGAGGTTCTGCCTGGGCTGGAGATGGTATGAATATTAAACTAATCATCTGGTGCAAAAACATAAGGCGCCAAAGACACGATACATTCTGGGCAGATAAACTTACGTAAAGAAATTCTTCTCTTGGGCGACTTTAACGGCTCTAGCGTAAGGTCCAGTTAACAGGTGCAGCTCAGAGCACCTCACATAAAGTAATCAACAATAAAAAAATGCTATTTTAGTAATTATTTTATTGTCCGTTGTTTAGCGGAGCAAACTTTTTCAATCAGTCAACTTTTATTTCGTCTAGCTCAGCGACTCGAGCCCACATGAATAACCGCAACAAACGGGGATTGAGCAAACTGCTCAGCCGAAGATTTGGCCGGAAAACAAGGAGTTTTTACCTTTTTTAATATCTCTTGATGCCTCTAGCTTATGATAAAAAATCGTGAGCTGACGAATTTCGATCGCCAGGGTGTCTAAATCGAAACGAATAAAATCGATAGTTACGCTTTTCACCACAAGCATAACAATTTTACAAAATGTGTAATGGTAATATATGGAGATTTCGGAATGTGGAAATCATCTCAGGTAGATTCAAGGAAAGAAATCGGCGCATCGGCGATGAGATATTTATTGATCGTAACTGTCAGTCACTATCATTTTCCAGCGCTACTCGCTCTTAATTTGAGCCATGTACTTTATCTTCAAGTTTCGTTCATTATTGACCGTGAAAAACAGCGATTTCAGGCGATCTTTTTAAGCCAACAATCTTCTGAAGCACTTGAAGCAATTTGACAACTGGAATCGTCGGCAATTTTACACTATTACCGATTTGTTTCAAAGACGGTTTTTGACATCTTATTTATTCAAGGCATTTTTTCTCGAAGATGATAATGAAAAAATATGATGATTTGAATGAGCATGTATTTATTTCTCTTCAACAAAGTATAAATAATACAAGTTATGTACAAATGTTTTATAAAAATATAAAATGTCAGTAATCATATGATGAAAAGTCGCTATTTAGATCGTAGTCAACGTTGCCATCGTCCGGCGCCAGCGTTGCAATTTCAACGTCGGCCGACTTGTAGTTTTCTTTGACGAGTCGGTTCGGCGGTCGACTCGTAGCGCCGCTTTCACGTCGTTTGCGGCCGATGTTGTCGTCGAACTTGCCCGCATCTTTATCCTCAGTCGGACACTGGTAGGCTAAGCCTTTGATGTCTCCGTTACAACACTGAAATCAACGATGAACTAAGCTCATGAGAAGGATGATTTACCTGTCGAATATTTCTGTCGAATGGAAATCGTTGAGGAAATTCTCCACAGCAGCCAGTGTCACATCCTCCTCGCTCCTTGCATTTTGGCTTCACTTTTTCGCACTTGTCAAACCTCCAGCCGCCGTAAAAATGGTGATAGGTCTCGTTGTACGCAGTGATCAGCAAATTGTCATTCTTACAGGAGTACTTAACTTGTATACAGGAAATTCTACTGTATCTAGGTTAAAGTACCCTTCTTGAGCTTGTTGACTTGCGCCTTGTCGCATTCGCAAACAGCTCGTCGACAGCCGGGGACTTCGCCTGGTCCATATCCTTCAACCCAGGATGGATTGTCGGCTGGTGCTTCGAAATACGGATCTAAACGCAATATTGGATATTCATTTTTAAAAATCTTCAAACCAAGGCAAGTTATTTCTCCCGTTCTTCGATCAACTTTGTAGGAGTATTTGGTGATTTCAGCAAGACATGTCGGTCCATAATCGTTCAAAACGCAACGATTGCATTTTGTCCACTGAAAACAAGTCCTTTCCAGTAAAATAAATGAATCTCTCAATGAAGCATTACTTGTCTATCAAGTCGGTCGGTTTAAATCCAGCAAGAATGCCCGTAAGTGGCCTATCGCCAAGATTCAAGCAGTAACAGCCATACGAGTAGAATTTAAGAAGAGTGTCTCGGTTATTATCAAAAGCAGAATTAAACAAGAACTCAAACTCTCAAAGCGCTAGAGAACCATCGAAATCAAGGAAGAGAACGCGGGAAAGCATCTGTTCAGCGCTACTGGTAATTAGTTTCTCTAACACTATCCTGAGCATATCTTCTTGAAGTCAATTTCTTTGCCGAAAGAAGCCTGTCCAATCTTGCAGATATTTCACTTCTCTGTTGCAAGCTCAGTGCCTGTGTTTCTTCAGCTTCTATACAAGGACGCAGAATGCTCAAGAAAATAAATATTTTATACATGATGAGTGCTAAACTTCGCTAATGGAGGAAAAATTACACTGATATTGATATTGATAAATTAATGTGTGCGTGACGGCTGATTATTGCTCACAGCGCCACCAATTTAGAGCTGAGCGGAGCATGAGCGCAGAACGTGCTGCTTACACCTGCATTTCCTGAATTTAAAAATCGGCCGACCTTTAATTAGATGGGGTTGACACGGAAATTCTTGAACTTTTGAAGACTCAGCAATATTTCGAATGAGTATTTATTACAGTAATTATACAGATAATGATGGATTCCCGTAACAAGGCTTGTTTTTATGAGTTTCTTTATTCATCAATCGGGACACGAACACTTCTGGATATTTTTGCAAGACATTCAAAATAATTACCTTGATCCACATTTGAAAAATGGAGCTGAGTATCTGAGAGAGTCAAAGCAGTTCTGAATGATGTTCTTCTGCTCAACCCGCAAATCTTGATTTTCGTAGAATTTATCGTCTTTAAAAAGGCTCAATTAGATCTACTCGAAAAGATAATTGCATAATTTTGAGCATTCCCTTTGAGAATTTTGCTGAAAACACCAAGAGTCTGTGCCTGGGTTTCACAAATCTCTGCATACGTTCTCTGATAGTACTCCTTATAAGCTGTCATTGACTGTGAATCAGGTAATCTTCTTTCGCTAGAATTGATTCTACGTCGCGTTTCGGACTCTAAAGCACTTCTTGCTGAATGATTACATTCGATCAAATTCTCAAGTAAAATGTAAGAAAATTTTATGCTTTCGTCATTGTCGCTCATTTTACGATTGTGAAGCCATCTTTCCTACTCCTCTTGGTTAGAGGCTCTAGCCATTTTCCTTTTGGACGAGGTAAATATTTTGATCTTGACCTCATAAAAGGGAAAAGCCTCACTCATACAAAGATTTGCTAACGAACCTGCATCTTCAATAAGTTTTTCTGCAAAAAAAACAACTAAGACGGATTTCCTTTCTTTATTTTTTATCCCCTTTATAATGATGGTGGTGAACAATGGTAACTTTTCCAGCATTGACAGGCCCGTTGTTATTTACAGGTCCTGCAAAATTCTTCGAGCCTTTGTGAGTGCTGCATCCTCCTTGATTTTTCTGGTAGTTTTTGTTCCCATTGTTGTTTCCTCCCTTGCTGTTGTTCGACTGGGGCTTCGAGTTGTAGCCGCTGGAGCTAAAAATTTGAGATGTGAATGGCGGAACAAATATAGACTAACTGAATAAATTTCAAGCAAGCAGTATTTACCTGTTGGATTTTCCGCTTTTGGGTGGCTGGTTGATGCTCTTTTGTTGCGGCTTGTGATGAGTATTGTTGTTTTTCTGATTGTTGTTCTTGAGATTGTTCAGCTGGAAGTTTTGCTTCTGTGGTGGCTTGGAGTTGTTATTTTGCTTCTTTTGCTGGTTGTTCTGCTGGTTGTTTGGCTTCGAGTTTTGGTGGTTGGATTTAGGCGGTCCCTTTGGTCGACCCTGGCTCTGGTTAACATTCACGTTGAGAACTTGAGGGGCTTGTTGCTGTTGTTGCTGGACCTGAGACTGCATCACACCCTGCATCATTCCCGACATCATTCCTTGCATCATCTTCGCCATCATTTCAGTCTGATCAACCTGCGATTGCTTGTTGTTGTTTTGGCGATTTTGATTATTCTGGCGATTTTGGTTGTTTTGATTCTTGTTTCCGTGTTGGTTGTTGTTCTTGGACTGATTGGGCTTTCTCTGGTTGTTCCCTCGTTGATTGCTAGATGAAGTTTTACGGACAGGTTTTCTCATGATTATCGGTTAGGAAGGCATATTTTGATTGAATACGCTCACACGGGAAGGGAAAAAATGACAAGTTAAATCCCAAAATGGACCTCAAGAATCGCCTTACCGCGGTCAAGTTTAGAATGAGCGTTTGAAGTGAATTCAATTCAAAAGACCAATAAAAATTTATATAAAAGAGAGATCAGCTCAAATGAAAAAAAACATGCTTACTTGTTCATCTTCGATACAGATGTAAAATCCGAGTTTGACGCCCATTTTGTGTGTTCACTCGACATTGATGCGTTGTCAAAGTCCTGATTGTTCACCCAATTCGCCGCTCTCTCGTTCATGAATGAAGTGTTCTCTCAAACTTTTCGTGAGTTAGCCAGTTTGTTTGAGATGCAATGCAGTAATGTTTGTTTCATTAGTCCTCTGATGAAAGGGAAAATTACGCAAGTCCCCGAGAAATCTAGGGATTCACTGCGGTCCCTCGTCTTCGCTAAATCTCAGAGAACTCTTTTTGAATCCTCTGAAACTCCGAACAACCGATAGGGAACGTTTAAGTCACTTACGTAGAAGATTTGTTCTAACTCTTTCCTGCTGAAATGTGAAAAAATATACACGCGCCTATGCTTGCTCTCACTGAGATCCTTACAGCCGGTCCGTCAGCAAATCACTACACGATAAATGCTGCAATGAAGGCAAAATGAATGAGTAACGACTTCGATATTTGCTCGACTGACGGAGCATTCATCGAGTGCTTTAAATGGGCAGTATGAGTTTTATATTTTGTTTGAATGGTGCAAAACAGTGAAAACATTAGCTCAGCGTGGAGTGTCAAGTCGAACCTGGTGCCACTGCGGTTCGTCAAGATCGAGGACTTCAAGTTGTTTGAGGTACTTTGGAGGTGGCCCTAAAGCTGTCAAGCAAGAGAGTTCGATCGGTAAATCGTGGTCAGGGCCGATCTAAAATGACGATGAATTTTTCAGCTAGAATTCAAATGACTAACCTCCCATGTCTTCTTTGGGCCCGGTAAAAGCCATCTAATGATCACTCCAGGCATTGAAAGTCGACTGAGAACAACGGCTCTAATCTGCGCGACGTATTCCTCATTGTCTTCAACCACCATCACTAAATCGCCTCGTTTCCAAAGAATGTCACGATGATAAACTTGCGAAACAAGACGCAATCCAGGCGATGGAGATCGTAGCCGCTGTGGACTTGATTTTCTGGTCTTCGCACGTGGCATCGTACCGATTTATCTGTCTAAATATATCCAACTAGAACTGATCTGACCGACGGTAGTTGAGTGGTCGGACGAGAGACTCTCCCAGGTTTAAAATCATACCACTTGAGTTTACCACTGAAGTTTTTCCGATCGTGTTTTGCGGCTGGAATCACTCTTGACGTTGCAAATGCCAATTCTTGCTAGGCCAAGTACTAATTATGTCTGCTTTTTTCAAAGATCTAACAAGAGCAACAGATGCATTTAATAAATAGTTTATATTTTTGAAATTTACAGAATAAGGAATCGTTGAAGACAGTGGTGAATTAATGCCGAGCGAAGGCAGATAGTACATTGAATTGAATTTTTAATTGCTACTTTTAAATCAAGAAAATAAGCTTTCAATCAGTGGAGTTGTCACGTCAATAATTGAGAATAAGGCACCATTAGCAGGAATAGTACGAATGAGCATTGGAGTTAAGCCGGCGTAGAATCCTCGGAGACCGGATATCCTTAATCATCGTTAACTGAGAATCTGGGTTAATTTCGGAGAATAATTTTCATTCAAAGTCGTAAAAACTCAAGGATAGAGAAACATAGTCTACCAGGGGTGTTCGCGCTTCAGAGCGATTCCATGATCAAATAGACATTCAAGCTTTGTCGGTCTCGCAGCATTTTATTTAAAGACACATAAACGAAAAGTACAGACTAAATGAGCAACTGCATCGCTTTATTATCCTCAACTGCATTCCTAGTATTTTTCATTTTATACGGAATCGCTCAAGAAGACATTGTTAAAAGAGAGTTTGGAGACAAAAGAGAAAAATGGAAATTCATGGTGACCTTAACCTGGATTACATGCCTCACAAACTGCTTCATATCTATTGTTCTAATCGAATTTTTAACGAAGGTAAAGAAGAGAGATGCGAGTCCACTATCATGGAATCATTTATTCGCTGGCCTCATTAACTCCTTTGGCCTCATTCTGACGAACATTTCAATGGGTAATTGAGAATATTCAAATATTTTACAAGCAATAAAATTTCAGAATACGTTTCATATCCTGCCAAAGTTTTAAGCAAATCTTGTAAGCCAATATCTGTTATTATCTTCACTACTATTTTCACGTCGATGTCGTATTCAATTACCAGATGGATTTCCGTGATTCTTATAACCATTGGAATCTTGGGATTCTCGATTGATGAGGTCGAGCATAACGAAACATTTGGGAAGAGCAAAAGCATGATATTAATTGGCGATCTGATGCTTCTGATTTCGATATTTTGTGATGGACTAACGTCAACATTTCAAGAAAAACTCCGCAAATCGGGTGAAAAACCAAACTTCACCGATTGTATTCAGTTGATGTTCGTTATGAACTCTGTGGGAATGGTTGTTAGCTTTTCAATATCGTATTTGACCGGAGAGTTTAATGATTCAATGAACTTTGTCTTTGCGAATCCGTCAATGCTCAAATTACTGCTTGCAATCGCCATTCTACAGGGGATCGGTCAAATATTTTTATTCTTCATTATTATCAGCTACGGAACTTTGTCTGCCTCTATTCTCCAGACGTTGCGCAAGCTTGTTACTATTTTTGGCGCGATTCTGATTTTTAATGACCAATTTGACGTTTTCAAGGTAAATATGAAAGCTGACCAAAAGACTTATTACGTAAATTGATTGACCATAACATAAACGTTAGATTATTGGCTCTGCTTTGGTTTTTCTTGGAGTCGCACTACATATCAGTGGAAAAGAAGAAGTGAAGAAAACGGCGGTCATGGATGCAGAAAACACGATAGAGCTAAATGAAAACAAATGCATGAAATCATTGACTGAATCCAGCCCAATACCCGTTTAAAATGGTTCATCTAAAATGTGCTAAATTAATCCGATAAATCTACCTTCACCAAATGCAAACTCTTCAAGCTCAAACAGATAATTCGAAATAATATATCAAAAACCTAAAATGATGCCTACCTTTTGATGTCTTTAACACAGTCGACAAAGCGTATTGGATCCTTCGACCCAATAGACAGAACTTGTTGTCTCGACTTTACCACGTCGATAGGAAGCATGCATAGCCAGTAAGCTCCTCCAGCAAGTCCGCCACTGAGCGCAGCATTGAATCCTGATGAAAGACTAGTTTGTTGAGCGATAAGATTTTGGCAAAAAGCGAAGCTGTAGAAGAGAACCAAATATCCAGGCATTTCTCGGCCCCAGGTTCCGACCAAGCCACGGAAAGGCGCTGTATATCCTTCTGATAAAATCTGGCGCACTGTTGATGTGACGGAAATGCGGCCCTGGAAGTCGAATTTTCCGGATTTTTGCAGCTCGGCAGTTGCTTGCATTCTGTTTTTAATCATTTCCGTTGGACAGACGGCGATTGACGAGAAAAACGCTGCGCCGGAGCCAGCAATTGCCATCTCAACATTTGACAGATCATTTTTGTTCTTTTTCTGGAGAAACGCGACTCCTGCAATCGTCGAGTTGCGGGCTGAGAAGAGAATCGAGTTTTCGGCGCAGTTTGTCAAAAGTGCTCCAACAGATCCTGCGTAGAGTCCTCTTAGACCTTCTGTTTTGTAAATAGAAACCATGCACCGAGCAAAACCTCCTTTCTGATACAATTCCGGAAAGGTCTGCATTTTCGTCTTGACTGAATTAGGAAATTTTAGTCTTTGTTGATTTCAGTCTTGCAAAAACCTGTATCAAACGGCTGACCACACGCAACACAGCCAGCTCCACCAAGAGCACCGGCTATGAATGTACTGGCAAACTCCGTAGCAGACATATCTAAATGAAAAAAATATAAAGAAGTCATTGTCAGCAGTAGCAGCATCTATAGGCTTACCGGACTAAATTTCAGCCATTTTTTCTAGCTTAATTTAGCAGTAATATGGCCTATCTTTGGAAAGCCCAAGACCTGGGCTTTCATTTGGTACCCATATCGAGGGGGTTAGGTTATGCCCGCAAGGCAATTTTTGAGGCTGGAAGTACAAAAATAGGCACTAGAACTCTTGCATCAAATTTTTCGATGCATTTAGGCGATCTAGAACATTCGACAGTCGGTTTGTTAGAAAGCTCAAACTCTGAGCTTTCTATAGAGCCCAAGAAATCTAGCTGCCAACGGGTTTATGAAAATCAATAATCAATTTTAATACCTATTTCCCCCCATTTTTGCCACTTTTTTGTGGAATTGTCTCTAATTTTAGCGAAATTTTGGCAACAAAATTGGACGTCTAGCGCTCGCTGGAGGCCACAGACCGACTGGCAGCTAGATTTTTTGGGCTCTATAGAAAGCTCAGAGTATGAGCTTTCTTATTATTTGACTGTCGAATGCTCTTGATCTCCTAAATGCATCGAAAAATTTGATGCAAGAGTTCTAGTGCCTATTTTTGTACTTCCAGCCTCAAAAATTGCCTTGCGGGCATAACCTAACCCCCTCGATATGGGTACCAAATGAAAGCCCAGGTCTTGGGCTTTCCAAAAATAGGCCATATTACTGCTAAATTAAGCTAGAAAAAATGGCTGAAATTTAGTCCGGTAAGCCTAAGCATCTATCTTTTGAGTGATAATTTGAAGACGGAAAAGACAGGAGCGAATAGTTTAAGGTTGATCAGCACAATTTTGTTTCTACAAATTGAAGAGCGAATTCTAGGAGGTAAGGTGACTTCTTATGTGAAGGAATTTTTCAAGAGGCTGAAATTTCAATGAAAAAATGATAAAAAAGAAGGATAACTCACTTTGTCTGGTGGAAAAATTTGAGGACAATGGGCGCACATGTCGAAACTTCTGCCGGCGCAGGAAACTGCGTGAAGAAGGAGGGCGCTTTCGTCCTTGAAGGTTGCACTGCATTTCATGCAATTGTACTCTGGATAACAATGTTCTATTTCGTAGTGATCTACTAATTGTCCTAAAAAACGGTTGATCCATCAATAGAAATAGTTTCGAAAACCTTTAGCTGGAAATCGTTTTATACAAATACCACACTGGTAAGGGTTAGCATTGAGCGATAATGAAATTTCTCTCAATTTTTGAAGTTGAAAGGCGCTAATTTGTTTCAAGTACTCTTCGACCTAAAGACGCAAGATTGTTTCAACGAAGATAAACAAAATGTTTTATTTACAATGTCGCTTTGTAAATTTGATTTTGCTCGCTTTTCATCTGGCGAATTCGATCGAGAGCTACTTGAATAGGGTCGTTTCATTGAATTTGTATCTGGCGTTGAGCAGCCTGATCCGATGCTTGTTCTGCTATCGTTTACCTAGCGAGCTAATAAGAATAGAGATTGCGGAAGAGTTGCTTACAGATTCGTCTAGCGGCTCCTTTTTGATCTTTTCTTCCGTTGATTTGAAGGCGTTGGAGACTTCGAAATTGAACTCGTGGCGACGCTCGTAATGCTCCGAGTTTATATGTTTCCGATAAGAAGATGGATGGACGTAGACTTTCTAAAGTAAAAAGCTCTTTGATGAAAGAGAAAAGAAAATTTATTAATAAAGATATTTATCGAACCTGGCAGTTCTCTACAGGACAGTGAAAGGTGCCGATATTATGCGCATGAGCGTGCTTCTTTCTATCGGACGAGTTCGTGAAGCGCTTGCCACAACCGTTGTATTTGCACAAGAACGGTTTGTCGCCCGTGTGGATGCGCGTGTGAATTCGCATGTTCTCAACGCGCGCAAATCGCTTTCTACAGTCGCCGATTTCGCAGCGAAAGGGCCGCTCGCCAGTGTGCGTTCTGTAATGATTGACGAGCTTGTAGCCGGCGCCGAAGCCGCTTTTGAAGCGAGAGCATCCGGCCCAGGAGCAATTGTTCGTTTCAGTTGCATCTCTTCAAAGGCGGTCAATAAATCAGGACGGGAAAAAGGAGCTTACCTTTCCAAATGTGATTTGCTGTGTTCCACGAACGCAGACATCAGGGAATGCTCTTCGTTACAAATAAGATCTTCCGGAACATTCTTATGATCAACAACAGCCGATCTATCCTTTACCCACTTGCACACAAAGTATCCATGTTCATAATCATGCTCTTCTTTTGCCCAGTCGATAAAGTCTTCTTCAGTTATTTCTTCGCCAGCGTCGTATTCCGTTTTTTCGGTAGCCGATTTGGAATTTTCATTTTGAAAGAAATCGCTGTTTGTCAATTGCTGCGGCACGCTTTCCATCTTTCCGTTATTCTTTACTACGATTCAGAATTTCATTTCTGCAGATTCAAAATCGACCGTTCACTTTCTCTGAAAAAGAAAGGCATGTCAACTTCTTTTGAAAAATAGAAAAAATTCTTTACAAAGAATAATAATAAAATAAAAAGTAAGAAAAGATTGAGAGATTCGATTTTTTTTGCTTGCATGAGGTAAGAGGCAGTTGGACAATTACAAAAACAGAGGTTATTTGATGCCGAAAATGGCGGCGAGACGCCGGGTTTGGGTTGAATTCAGTGGCTTCGTCATCGTTCTTGGTGGTCTATCGATAGCGCGTTCGTACGAAAGAGCTTCGATTTCTTCTTGCGCAGTTGCCAGGGCTCGTTCAGCAATAGAAGGCATTCCTGAAAACGATTTAGTCAAGGGTTTCTCTAAAAATATACCTGAAGCCGTTGGAATAACGTCAGAATCGCCACTTCTCCCACTCAACGGTTGTGTTAAAGGATCCGACTGCGTTTGCGATTTTTGCGACAGGTTGGAAATATTTCCAAGATTTTCCACAAAAGTGTCTTCGATGTCCGTATCTTGAAGATGTGTTGGATCCAGTTCGATTCTGGAATCAACGCAGTCTTCTGAAGTCGACTTCGGCTCAGTGGTTTCATCCTGCGAGTGGTTGAAATTTATCGAACTGTTCTTTGATGAATCCAGTGAGCGGGAATCACTATCTCGTCGCTTGGAATCTTCTCTTGGCGAATCTTCAAGATCCTTTGACTTTCGTAGCCATTTGATATCCAGGGGAGCATCCAAATCGTCGATTTCGTCCACCTCTTCAACACTTTTAACAGATTGAGAATCGAACGTGATCTTTTCCGCCTGAGAATTTCGACTTTGGCTCAACTCTCCATCGACTGTCGTTAGACTACGTTCTTCATCCTCGTTTTCACTGGCGGACCAGATCGAAGTCTGGTCAGGATTCTTGCCCATGGACTCGTTCAGTTCTGAACGGAGCTTTCTCGATGCATCGATATTCTCTTGCACGGAGGTCATAGAAGCGGAGAATTCGCGAACCATAGCTTCGATCTTTGCATCAGACTCTCCATCATCGTCTCCAAGAGTTGAAACATCGTCAATCGGTGAGTTTTCATCTTCATCGTCGATTCTCGTCGAGCTACAAAATTTTTGACATAGAATTTTTGAACGCTAAACCTGAGTGGATTCGATGTTGATTTTGACGCCTCTGAAATCTCTTTCGCCGAGTTGAGAATAAGCGGCTCGACGAAATTCTCCTCGTCGGAACAATCCAAGTCCGAAAGTTTTTCCGAGGAACTAGCTTCTTCATTAACATGTTGATCCAATGCTAAGCTGACTTTTCTGACTGAGATGTCGATCTGTTGACTTTTGAATTCTGCAATTCTGAGCATATGATCCTGATCGTGAGCTTGTTCATTGTCAAATGCGCTCGCGGTCGGGGTTATTTGCGTGCCGACATTTTCTGTCACAGTTTGTGCTGTTTGAGATCTCAAAGTACTGAACAGTTTGATTTTAGATTTATTTATTCAATTTTGCAGTGATCTAAACCTTTGTTTAGATTTTACAGTATTGACGAGGTCTTCAAGGGCTTTGAGCTGGTCTTGGAGCGCTTTGGAAGTTGATGACATTTTTTCAGGAGCACATTGAAGCTTTTGTTCGAGGGAGATCGACTTTTTGGGTTGCACGAAAACTCGCGGACTAGTAGCAGGAGCAATACCGAGCTTCATTTGGCCGATCGACTCCCCTGATACAGAGCGAACAGTGTACCAACCATTGACGCATGGAAAACCGCATTTCAAAGTGTGCATATGGACTTCGATCCATCCAAATTCTCGGCTCTTTAGAAGAATATTAACCCCTTCGAAAGCAAAGAAAATTACCTGGATATCCTTCAAATCGGTACTTTCAGTAATACTGGCTGCGCAGCTGTAAAGCTTGAACATTATCGATTCCGGAAGATTTTCATCCAAATAGCAAGCTTGTTGAAAATTCCAGACCCCATCACTCGACCATTCTGTTGTCAGATTTCCCTCGACAGTGTCCACTGAGACGCTCAATAATCGATCTCCACCGATTGCAAGATTAGTGACTTTTTCAATAGAAATAAGGCACTGAAGACCTGGAATTGGCCGCTGAAAAGCCTGACTCTCCGAAGGTTGTGGCTCGATCGGTGGTGGAGGGAGCTCTTCTTGCTCTTGCTCTGCTGATTCTGATGAGATACTTTCAGCTATCAGTGTCTGGTGAAAACTCTCTTGCTTGGCGATTTCCGATTTCAAATCTGATCGCACATTTTTTAGTTGGTCAAGCTGGACAGAAGTTCCCGCAGCAAGAAGAACCGACAAGTAGCCTCGTATTTGTTCGGATGAAATGTCACGTAAAGGGATCTTTCCATCGGCCATTATCATTGGATATTTTGGAGAACAGAGTTGAGCATAGCCTCCAGTTAGAATGCTAGACAATCCACTTGTTGTTATCCGGCCAAGACCGAGGAATTTATCACCCTAAAAAGAAATCCTAACAAATATCCAAAGAGAAAAACTACCTGTTCAGCTGTAGCACACCAGCACTCAAATGCAAACATAGAGGACTGCAGTAGCTGAAGTTCAGAGCCAAGAACGGGCCGTGTCCACTCAGCCAAGTGATTAAATTGAGGATTATTTGTGCGCTCGCCAACGCGGCAGCTGATCTGTTCTTCAAGCAATGGAGAGCGAACGCGGATTTCTGGCAAAGGAGCAGTCGGCTCCCCAGGTCCTTCGCGAACATCGGGAATACTGTCGGCAAATTTGACCCAAAGAAGGAATGAAATAGGGAAGGAAGTTTCGATGGAATGTGATTGAACGCTAGGCGCAGGGTCGGAGTACAGCTGAAGTGGCTCTGTAGGCTGGCCAAAGTCTTGAGAAGATCTAAAATCAACGTCAAAAACTGGATACTTCGAAAAACCGACCGATGAGAAATAGGGCCAGCGGAAACAGAGGGAACCGACTGCTGATGATTAATTTGGCGTCCAGTTGTATTCATTGATCTAGGAGTGTTTTCTGGCGCGACCATTGAAGAGATATCACGGGTTGATTGAGCTTCCTCTCGTTTGACAATCATGACAGCGAGGCGGAGAATATAGCCTTGAATTTCAACCTCGATATAATCCAGCTCATTTGTGAATCCAGACGTATCAATAAGAACCGTTTCAATTTTACTGAATTTTTGTCGATATTTCGAGCGCTAAAATATTTTATTGAACATGTTGCTTCAAAACAAGCTTACTTGGTAAATTGAAATTTCAACGGGAGCAGTAACATTCATCGTTGACTTGTATTTTCGCTTCGTTTTGAAAAGAATCTTTCCGGAACGCGTCTTATTTGAAATGAACCGACATTTTTCAAGCTGTTCTGTTTTGTCCCGCGCTTCTGTCCAGTTGAAGCCGAGCTCAACGCAGTAATGATCTTCGATTTCACGAAGACTATTCGACGGAGGGGGCCTTCCCTTCTTCCTTGGGAGGACTAGCTCTACCACTTCAAGCTCAAGCGATTCTCCTTTTTTCAGCCAAATATCTTCATCGACAGCTTTTGGTGGCGAAACATCAGGTGGGAGCTCTTCCATGCTTTTGCTTTTCGGCCGATTGATTCGATAAATTTGGTCGAGGATTTCCTCGTCGAGGAGTGAGCCACACTCGCTGGGAACATAATCAACGGACACTTCCAAATCTTCAAGTTGATTTCCCAGGACGAGTTCGGTCAATTTCTTGGACTGATAATTTTGAGTATTTGCGCAAGAAGTTGTAACTTGGCGATTGAGCTGGGGAACATTGTGCGTTGCTTGGTTTGATCTGTAATTGACATTTGGAATGTGAAAGTTTTCTTTATTCTGAGAAAAGTAAGTAGCGTTATTTTGCTCGAGTCGAAGTGGCTGCATAATATCAGCAATATCAGGGAGTGGAGGAATGTACAATTTAACTTCAGGAAGGTGCTTTGCCTGTCCGAGATTTGAAGGAATTTGCATTTTGGGACACTCTTGCGTTGGGGCTTCGAATTGAACAGTTTGCACTTCGATGGGTTGTGTTTTTTGGCTTGATTCGGGAGTGAGATTGATTTCGTTTGTCGGTAGGATTGTTTGAGTTTTGTCGGAGAAATTAACGGCGAATTTCGAAGATGCATCGTAAGTTGAAGCGACGTTTTGATGCATCTGAGTTTGAACGCTTTCTGTTCTTTCTAGCAGTCGATCGATCGACGCTGCGATCTCTTTGATATTCGGAGCGCCCGGATCGTCTTTTTTCCCCTTCTTTTTGTTCTGTTTTGGGGACTTGCCTCTTGGAGAAGCTCTTTTCTTTGACCCTGATCGCGAGCGAGGGCATGATCTGGACCTGGATCTGCTGGACCCAGATGAAGACCTTGCCCTTCGTCGCAGTCCAACAAGTTCCAAGGACACGGGGAGTCGTCCAAGTCGATATCCTTCGACGGCATCGCGAATTTGGACAGTTTCCTTTACTGGATTGTTTTCGGATAGCCTTTTTATCCCTGGAAGTGCAGCTGCGCCGATGATATCTCCGTGTTTGTCATAGAGACTCAACGTCATCGTGCCCATATCAGTAAGGTAGCATTGGAGCTAAAGGAGAGAATAAAAATTAAGTTTAATAAAGTGCAAATTTACCGCTTTCTGAGGCCGCCTGATAGCATAACTGGTGGTAGTCTTCCTCGTCGTCGATAGAGGCAAATCGACGCCGTCGTTTTTCTCACCCCACCATTGAACCGTCACTGCATGTCTATCCTCATTGTGCGGTTTGTACGAATGCAGGGGGTTCCATTCAACCGGTCCAAGAGTCAATTGCAAGTTGTTCCTTGTCCTGCCGGGGCACTGCGGCGGAAGTGACAAATTCGATTTTATTTTTATCACTGGAAGAGGCATTTGCACATTTCTGAAGAGGTAAAAATTCAAGATTCTTTTTTCGAATTCGAAGGGGCGAATGAAAGACAGACAGAATCAAGTTGGCAGTTGTTAAATTAGTCTAAAACGATAGGTTCTCCTTCTTTCGTGGCGGCGACTTTTTCGGCGATTTCTGCTTTTTCCCGTTCAGCTTGGATTTTCGCTTCTGCAGCTTTTACTGCAGCACTGTTTATGTGATCTCGATACCAAGTAGGGAGGAAAAAGGTTTCTTCAAAGAAGTTAAAGAAGAATTGTGACCGAAAATGGAACCTTTTTGCTGATCAGGGTCAAATGTGAAACAAACACCTTCCCATTCTGGATTCCATTCAAAAACGTAAGTGCAGTCGTCGACTTTAGCCATCACATCTCTTACGAACGTCAAAAAGCGCTCAAGAAAACCGAGCATAGTCTAGAATAATTCATAAGAAAACAGGAAAATGGCCATTTCTTACGCTTGGTTTCCAAGAATACGCTTCAAGAGCAGCTTGACGGGGCATAGATTGCGTTTCGATAATGTCCAAATTAGTCACAAATCCTCTATCGTCACGGAAAGCGGTCATGACCCGAGGGATGCCGGCGAGGAAGGACTGCGCCCACCATTTGCTCAATTTGTATTTTCTAAAGACTTCTTTTCTTTGTTTGTCTTTCAGCTCGCGTTGTGTTTTGATTTCGATGAAGTTCGACGGCGACGCGAATTTCTTATTTCAATTGTCAAAGTCTTCGTTCAAGATTCTAGACTATAATTTCTAGTACTCCTAACCTGAGGATCAAGAGTGTGATCGACGCAGTCAACTTCAGCTCCATACATAAGTTGAATCTGCCCAAGCTGACTTCTGAAGACGCTGACGTACTCACTATTTTCATTCACCGGTTCTTCAGGTCTTGGCGGACCGCCGGGTGTATTAGCTGTTAGAAATGTCTCAACCTTGCGTCCCCAGTAAATCGTCTTTTTGACCCAGTGTGGAAGCGATTCCAGGTCGGCGTGCTGCTCTTCTGTCTTGTACTCGCATAAGTAAATGGTCCCTTTGTGTTTGATGGCGAGGATGTTCCATTGCGTTTTGTTGTCGAAAGGAGCATTCATGATTTTCGTCAGCACCCCTCTCCAAGTCACTACATGCGGCTGCGGAACTCCTTCGCCCGAAACTACGAAACTTCTGCTCATAAAACTCCCTCAAGTGCAAATAGTAAACCTTTATCCCAATGAAGCGTCGCCCATCTGAGCAAATTATCGAGTCCCTCGAAATGTTTCTCGTCCTTTTTGACGTTATTCGGGTCATGCATTCCGTTGTTCAAGTTAAAATTTGGCCTTCTCATTTTTTGATTGAATTTATTCACAGGAGGTGCAAAATATTTCAGCTCGGAATCGTCGTCTTTGAATTTGCGCTCCCCATCGATCGAGAAATGACCAACTTTTCTCGGCCGGTTGAACTTTCCAAGGGCTGAAATCAAGGAGGAATAATCATTTGATTGCTTGAAAGAAAAACCTTTATTCTGGCCTTTGGAAATGGAGTAGACTTCTTGCATACAGTTGAAGGAGTGCGGAAAGTACTGAGTGTTGGTAATCGGGGACGTCCCTTGTGGAATCTTCGCTGGGCCAGGTTCTAGCGACATTCTAGCAAAATCTAATAGAGAGAAAGGTGGCAAATACGAGAGCTTTCGTCAGATAAGGTCGCCAAGGTTTGAGGAAATTTCCATCCGGCGTCGTGATTTCTAAGGCCACGTGTCTATTGAATATCCACAAGTCTAGTCAGAGATTTTCAAAACCAATACTCCAAAAAGTGAACAAATAATCTTGCCAGTGGCAATTCTAATCTAATTTCTAGCGCGCCACAACTGTAAGTAGAATTGATATATCCTGAGTGTTGTGACTACGCAAAAAAATTCAAAGGGCACCCATCACGAGGACGAAAATTTGACCCAAGGCCAATAAGGGGATAATAAAAAACAAACGCCGGGTTCAGCACAATCAAACATCATCAAGATCGACGATTATTCTAGCGCGGCACTAGAATTATACACACACATTTTGATTTTTTTCTCGCTTTGGTGGAGTTGGTAAACTCATTTCTAAGGAAATTTGGGATCTTCAGGGAGCAGAAAAGAATTGCTAATTAGCTTATAATAACAGTAAGTGTGAGCACAGTCCCAATTCTTATGAATTTTTTGATAAAAAGAAAACAAACTGGGTTCTGCACTCTGTGTAGAAAATCTGATTCAGGTTCTGAAAGAGTTTAAAACAAAGTCGCGAAACGGATTTTAACTTATGCACTTTCGAACCTGACTCAGGTTTTCGACACAGGTTGCCGGGTCTAGACCGGAAACATTTTGGCCTTAGAGATTTTTCAAAGAATTTTATTCGAAAATAAAAAGAATTTTCCGGGTCATGAACTTTCCGACTAAATTTTTCGTGTCGAATTAATTTAGGGTCTAAATATTTTATCAAAATAAAAGTAAGTTCACCAAATTCCCCCGTGACGTCATAACCGCCAACGAGGCAGGTCTCGCGAATTTGAATCTGGCTGGTGGGGCCAATCTGTGCACGCTACTGTGTTCTCTTTCTTTCATCTTGATGAGTGCAAAGAGCGTCGCCAAATTCGCGCCCAGATTGGCCCCTCCGCGCTGATTCATCGTCCGTTGATTTTCCAACGAGCGCCTTTTCAAACTCGCCCCATTCGAAAATCGATAGTCTTTGAAGAGACCCACCTTTCGAATTTTTCAGAACCCGAAAATCAGCGCTAGAAAAACTGTAAGTATCGAAACAAGGAAGGAATTTGTGGCTCATCCGCCCACGCTGGATGGAAAAGTCTGCACACGGCGGCGGGGCAAGCTTCTTTCTTTCATTCACTAAAAGCGCCAAATCAAGAGAACACGCAAATAATTTTTTTTATTTTTTGTGAAAAAGAGAAGCTTCCTTTCAATTTATTATCAATTTTGATTTATGTTTTTAAGTATTTTTAACTAATTAGAGAAATTAATGATCAATCTTAATCACTGGTTATCATAAAATTTACCGGTCATATTATTGAAAAACATTTTTGTAGAAAATGTAGTAGCCGCATGCGGCTTTGAGCGACAAACGAAGAAAATCGCGCTTCTCGATAATTATCATTTTCTAGCGCGCTAAAAATTCCCTTTTTCCCTCTTTCTACTTTCCCTCTTCTCCATTTCTTCAGATTCTCATCATCTGACTATTCCCTTTTCAGATTTTAATTTCTGTCCGTTTCACATTGAATGACAAACGCGATCACATCTGGACGAGTTAACTTCAAATCGAGAGAAGGTACTTTTGGAATGATGAATTCGACACAGTACACGCCCATCCAGCCCAGAATACCGACATTTGTCGCAGAGGCTGTTACAGAGACCCAAGAATCAGAAGGTAATCTCGATCTTGGCCTCAATCAGGATTTTGTCAATGAAAACCTGGACGACCTTTTTGGTTTCCAAGGCCACACGATGGGCGAGCAATACGTCCAAGACACAGCGACAGAAATCGCCGCCCACCCGCTAGTGGAAACTCCGCCTCCTGAACAACTTCAGAGCACGCTCGATTTTGTAAGTCTCTAACCCTCTTTTCTTCTTTCAAATACTCTTTTCAGAGCGGCGTTGCCAAGACAGAGCAAGGAATAGACGCCAACAAGATCGAGCTCACATTTCCCCAGCATCCGCTCAAAGCGAATGGGATCTCGTACTTCAACGACAAGGGAGTTCTCTACGCCACGCATCGACTGAAAGATCAGAAACAGGTGCCGTTTGGAATCAGCGGGATCTCCGAACGAACCCATCCGGCTTTTATCGCCTTCATGTACGCCTCCATCCCTGGCAATCACCGAGAAATCACTGTCTGCCAGAAACACGCCACTGAATACATGTTGCAGAACGACTTCTTCATGAATATCAACTTCCAAGGCCAACAACTTACGGTCGATGAAAACGTCATCGTCGACGGTAAATACGTCCGTGCCCGTCGCCTCCCAATCGTCCACGAAATCGGCCGAGACAACGATAGGACTTATCATGTCATGTTCAACTGCACCAACTCCTGCTTGTCAAATCGCGAAGAGCGAAAGAAGCTGACCCTGAATGTCGTCATTTTGAACAAATACGACCGAAGCATCTTCAAGCATCTAACTCAGCGCGTGATCATCTCCGCCAATGCTGGCCGAGATGCCGGTGTCTTCAAAGGGGCAACTAAAAGGAAGAGTGAAATCGCCTCGACCTTCGACCCAAGCTACAAGAAAGAGCGACTCGAGGCAATTCCTTCGACACAGATCAAAGTAAAGACTCCCGATGGGGATTACCGCCCAGCAAACATCGGAGAGCGAATATCTGCCAGAGTCGGTGCTTACAGGAACTCCCTACCGGACTCAATGTCCGAGCCGATGAAGGACCTGAAACAGAAGGAAATGGAGAAGAGGATAGATGCAATGGTCCGCTGCCAGATCGAGACGCAGCAGCAAATAGACCAGGCATTGGAGACATAAAAGCAGCAGACAAACTTCGAACCCGATTGGTTATATGAAAAAGTATTGACTCTATTCACTGTATCTTCCTTATTTTTATTCAAGTTGGAACCCGGCCGGCTTGCCGTCAAACAACAATGGACATAAACGAATGGAACGATAAACGATTGCTGCAAAAACGAACGATATCTGATACAACCGATGGCCCTGGTAGGAACGAAACTGAAAAAAACATGCAATTATATATGTATTATCTTAATTACTGGGCCCTTTTTACACCGCATTTTTTACGATACAAAAACACAGAAAACACTATCACATAAAAAAGACAAAACTCTTTAGAAAAAAAAACCAGCTAAAAATTTCAAAACTAGAAAAATTCAAAAACTAGCCTATGAAAAAATTGCTTTACTTTTGTATAAGTTTGTCGCTTACTAATTTATTCGATTGAGTTGTGCCTTTTTTGCGACCTCGGGTCTCCTCTACTCAAGCAGGTCCGAGGTCAAACGAATATATCCTGTGTATATTACTATCTTGCGCCCGTGTATTTTATTTACTACAGTTTCACCGACCTTACTTTGACTCAAAATGAGCACGAGGGCAGAGATCCTCTGCTCTTTCTTCTCACCCTGCTTTGCGAAAAGAACTGTGACTCGACTATTTCGTATTTTGAATACTCCTAGCATTTTATTAATTGATTACTTACTCCATCCCTTTCTCAACAAATGTGCTTCCCCGATTCTGCTGCAAGCTTGAAGTCCTAATGCCAAAGTGACTCTCATTACTCCCTCATTTACAGCCCTCCCAAACTGCTGTGACGCTATTCGTAGTGGAAAAAATCCGCCAATATTTTTTTAAACTTTAAACTCGCGCTCCCTGGCGGTCCTCATATTTGTTTCCAAGTGGAGAGGAGCGCGTCGCGTTTAGCATTTCAGTCCAAGCTAAAAAAGATATTCATGTTTTTTCAATCTTTCAAAGATACTTACAACTTCAATTACTATTTCTTACTTCCGTTTAACTTGTTTTCGAAGTAACTTTGTCTTTAGAATTTTTCAATTTTCAGTCAGTTGACGGGTAGCATACTTCATTGTGAATGTATTCCTCTATCTCCATCTCTCTATTTCTTTCTCCCAATATGTTTTCTTTCACTTCGGCAACCCCAGTAGTCGAATATGATTTTATCTGCATATTACTATTTAATTTGATGATTTCCCTCTTCAGTGAATAAATCTCTCGATAATTTGTTAATGAAAAAATTGTCTTATCTTTGCGCGAAAAACAGTCAATTTGAATGAGAGCATTTTGAGAGCAGGGCAGGCTTTATATTGACGGTGTCGAATGAACGATCTTGATGGAGCGCGGCGCAGCATGTCTTGTTTTCGGAAGGTCTTAGTCCGCTAGACGAATTCTGAAGCTCATTCATTCAATCGAAAATGAATCGTTGTTTACTCGTGAACTCATGTCTATCTTTTTTAGAAATGAAGCTTTTACTGCCGGTTTTATCGGCAGTACTTGCCGATGATCGCATTCGCGGAGTATCGATTACTCGTCAGTCATTGTATCCACCTGGAACACACTTTACTTGTCTTGATGGCTCCAAGAAAATTCCTTACTCTTATCTCAACGATGACTTCTGCGACTGTGATGACGGATCTGATGAGCCCGGTACTTCAGCCTGTCCTACTGGGCGATTTCATTGTCCCAATGCTGGGTTCGCTCCTCAGAATATCATCAGGTAGTTAATATGAGCGATAAAAATAAACGCGCTTGTTTAGTTCCCGAGTAAACGACATGATCTGTGACTGTTGTGATGGGTCCGATGAGTGGGGCGGCTTTGTCGAGTGCCCGAACACCTGCAAAGAGGAATATCTCAAAGCTCATGCGGCAAAGATCCAGGCTAGAATTGAGCAAGCTCAAGGTTTCGAAAAGCGAAAGAGTCTCGTCGACCTTGCCCTCGTCCAAAAATTAGATGATGAAGAAGAACTTGCCGCTGCCGAACCTGGAATCAACGAACTCAAAAAGGCCAAAGATGATGCCGAAGCGCTTAAAATCGAGGCCGAAGAGCTTGAAACAAAGGTCAACGAGGAGCTGGAAGCAATCAAGAACCAGAAGATCCTAGACAGGGCAGCGACGTACTCGGAAGAAGACATCAGCGAAATCGCTTTCAATCATCTTGATGCAAACAAGAACGGCGAAATCGTGGTCTACGAAATAACGACTCAAAAATATCTCGATCCTAAGCCCGAGACATCTTCATTTACCACCAAGGAGGCGAAAGAAGTCATGAAGCAAAAAGATAAAATTTACCTTGAAGACTTCCGCACAGAAATTTGGCCGGAAATACGGGAAAAGATCTTGCCGAAGCTCGAGCGAGCAATGAACGATTGGGATCGAGCTATCGAGGAAGCCAATAAAGTAGATGAGCCCGAAGAGCCAGGAGAGCCATCTGAAGAACAAGTCGCTGAGTCAGAAGAAGCACTTGATGCCATGGAAGATGAGCTTGACAATGAAGAGTACGATGATGATGATCATGACTTGCTTGACGACGAGTATGACTTTGACGACGACGATTACGACTACCGAGACTACAGAGATACTCCAGAGCCAATCAAAGACGATGAGAACGTTTCTGAAGAGCATCAAAAGATATTCGACGCTGCTAAAGATGCAAGAAGAATTTTTGACGATGCTGATCGAGCATTGAGAGATGCCGAAAGCAAAGTTAGCGAGATTCGTGAGCGATCAGAGCGAGACTTTGGCCCAGACGATGTTTTCAGAAGCATGCACAAAGTCTGCTTTGAGTTCAAAACCACTGAATACATCTACACGGTATAAAGATGTTTTGAGCTCAGAGATCAACCCCTTTTAGCTTTGTCCATATGATAAGTGTGAGCAAAAGCCGGCTAATGGCGGCAGTGGTACAAAATTAGGCAATTGGGAAGGCTTTGAAGACGATTTCAAGTAATTATTGTTTGTTTTGACAGTGAATCATCGTAAATTTAGAGTGATGAAGTTTACCAATGGTGTCAAATGCTGGAACGGGCCAAATCGTAGCGCGATTATCAAACTATCATGTGGAGTTGAAAACAAAATTCTCTCAGTTACTGAGCCTAACCGGTAATTTCTGCAGAACAGCTGCTCTTTCAATTCATATTTTAGCTGCGAATACGAGTACAAGTTTGAAACGCCCGCGGTCTGCAGCGAGCCAGAGCCTATCCCGGACCATGACGAGCTATAAAAACCTTTCTGTCGGATTCGATTAGATTTTGATTAATCAAGTTAAAGTACTTAGATTTTGTCCATCGGGAAATTTCGCAATCAAAACCCTTTTAGTTCAATAATTTCTGTCCAAACCATGATCACTCTTTCGCCTCTATAAATATAGAGACTTTCTTCTAGCATTTCAGAAAAAATGACTTCCCGAGTTGTCTTCGATAACAACATCGATGCCTTCGATGAGGCGCAGAACGACGATAAGTGCCCACAGAAGGAGATGGTCCACATTCGAATTCAGCAACGTAACGGTCGTAAGACTCTTACCACCGTCCAGGAAAGGGTTGAATAATTCTTCGCTTGATCGCAAAAAAAAGTTACTTCAACCCAAAGCGAAGGGTCTCTCAGACGAGTACGACTTGAAGAAGATCATCAAGGTCTGCAAGCGGCATTTCGCCTGTAACGGAACCGTCGTCGACCACGCTGAGTGGGGTGAAGTCATTCAGTTCCAGGATCGTGTTTTATGCAAAATCAATGATAAGTTAATTACGCAAATTTCGAAACACGTGACAGGGAGATCAGCGAGCAAACATCCAGCGTTTCTTGTTAGGCGTCAAGCTCGCCCGAGCTGAGCAGATCAAGGTCCACGGTTTCTAACTGCACCGTGTAGGTTTCAACAAAATTAGGGACGGACGCCAAAAGAAAAGAATATCAGAAATTATATCTTACCATTTGTTCGTTAACATTTGTTCTGAAATACATCCTGTAACAGTGAAAATGAATGCCCCGCTCAGAAAAGAAACATGATTTTTTGACACGTTATTTCTAGAACGTGTTTTTGTTGGATGGCGAATGGGAGCAAATGCGGAGAGCGAGGCATATCTGAATGAGATGAGGAACGGGACGGAGGAAGAATGCAGACTCTCGTCCCTGATCGTGATACTCGACTCCAGCGCTGGCTCCACTGCGCGGATCGAGCATCGAATCAAGATTGCTGAGCAGCTACTCTACACGATCAATAAGAAAGAGGCATACAAGCGTGAATTTTTATCGTAAGTACTCTTTCCTTTTTCACGGGTTTCAATATGGCTCTCTAGTTCCAAAGGAGTGGAAGCATGCTTGAATGTGATCGAAGATCTTGATAGCAAGCAACTGGCGCTGTCCTGCGTCAAGATCCTCATTTCGCTGCTTGAGTTTGGCTTCGCTCGCCGCTTCATTCAAAATAATGGAACTGGGACGCTCTTTCAACTCGTCGCCCGTTGCCATTCTGAGGATAGAGCGATGCAGAATCACTCCGAAATCGTCAAGAACTCGCTAAACTTACTGATCCTGGCGAAGGCGAAAGACAAAGGTACAGTTCTTTATTCATTTTCATTCATACTCACGAACTACCGGTAGGATTCGGGCTGAAATGCGTAAATGCTGACGGAATAACGACGCTTCTGCGTCTCATTCGTGAGCCGACCAAGGTCCGACCGACTGCGCTCAATCTTCTGAAGATCGTTGCAGGAAGTCCTAGTTGCTCGCGCGAGATCATCCCGTCTCTTCAGATGTTATTTACATTGTGCCAGGTTAACCAAGGAAAGAAAAACACTGGCCATGTTCGCATTATACTACAGCTTATTCACAAGGTAAGAGCACATCTGTCGGAAATGCTTGAGCTCATCTGTTTGTAGGCGATAAAAGTGCAGAAGAAAAACGTTACGAAGTCCTTGCCAATGCTGCCAGTCGTCGTTGACCTGGTGGAATCCTGGCATAAATACGATCACCGCCACGGCGGTCGACTTATTCATCTAAGGAAAGGATTCATCATTCTGCTCAAGAGCATGACCTCAGAGAAAGAGGGCCGTACAAAGCTCTCTGAACCGACGATATTAAAGAAGTTGTGCGCCGTCGCAGAGGGCATGATGCAGAAAAATGAGCCGGAACAAGTCGTTCGTCTACTGATAACAACGATGCAAAAGGCGATTCCTTCAATATCCCCCGCGATACGATCTGCAAATACCGATACGCACTTTGAGCAGACGCAGCAAGATATAAACGAGATGCCTACCTCGCATGTGATCGAAGAACAATACAGAACCTTTAGCTATTTTGAAAGATACTTTATCGAAGAAACTCATTCAAAATGTAATGATGACGAATGGGAAGATGATTATTCTGGGGAAGCTCTCACGAGACAGGTCAGTTTGCCGAAGATATCAGCCGTGAGAAGGTCGACATCGTTGGGCTCGACGCTTATTCCAAAAAGTCATCTGGATCTTTACAAGATTTGACGCAGTCAGCAAGCGAGCTTCTTCCAAGAGACACGCTCAAGGAATACGCCGAGTCGACAACCTACAAAGATCTCTGCAACGTAATCGACCACGGCTGGGATCAAGAAGCAAGAGCTCACAGTAATCAAGAAAAAGCTGAAATATCTAGATGCGAAAGAATCACGAAAAACATCAATCGCTTTAGCGATGGACCAACACTCGATGATATCAACAACGTTCTTCCTAGCTGCGAATTATTTGGCCAAGTTCCTCAACCCCCTTCTCCAATGGTCAGAACGAAATCGATGGCAAGACACAACCGCGCTCTCCAGGAAATAGAAAAATACGTCCATCCGGAGCGTTTTGAGCGAAAGCTCGTCTACGCTGCAAGAGAGACCGAACGGATAGGAGAAAATACGGAAGGCTTGTTAGCATTCGATTCTAAATTTGAAAGTGGAAACTTGGCCGAAGCGTACTGGACACGTGACGAGCAATACGAGCTGTGGATTGAGCCTGACATGTACCAAGACTCTCACCGACAGTGGTTTTTCTTCAAGATCGGCAATATAGACGCGAATAATCGGTATCAATTCAGCATCATGAACTTTGAAAAGAAGGAATCGCAATTTGGCAAAGGAATGCAGCCTTTAATGTTTTCAGTAGACGAAGCTCGAGCTGGGAATCCGCATTGGCGCAGAATTGGCTCCAACATTATGTACTTCAGCAATAATATAAGAAACAAAGGCAACAAGAACTACTACACAATGAGCTTTGACGTGACATTTCCGCGAGATACGACCCTCGTTTACATGGCCTACCACTATCCTTACACGTATACGCGATTAAAAGCACATCTAAACATGATCCGGCCGCCTGAAAATGTGATCTTCCAAAGGCAAACACTGTGCCAAACGTTGCTCCACAATAAGATTGATCTTGTGACAATTACAGCAGCTGAAAACTACAGCAAACCTATATCAAATCGAGAATACGTCGTTATTTCTGCACGAGTGCATCCTGGGGAGACGAATTCAAGTTGGATAATGAAGGGCATCATGGATTTCTTGGTCTCAGATCATAAAGTAGCCGAGGCAGCGCGAAACGAGTTCGTCTTCAAACTTGTGCCAATGCTCAATCCTGACGGATGCATCATTGGAAATCACAGGACAAATATGGCCAAATTTGATCTCAATCGCCAGTGGGAAATGCCCAATCCAAACATGTCTCCTTCGATCTACTACCTAAAGGGATTCATAGCCAGTCTAAATGCAAAAGGAAAATCACCCATGTGCTACATTGATCTTCATGGACACTCGTTAAAGAAAAACGCTTTTATTTTCGGCTGTGATGGAACTGGCGATGTGCTTGCTTTACCAAGGATCGTTTTTTCAATAATTTTGGAAATTAAAATCTTGAATATCGAAATTTCTAAAAACGCCTCATAGATTACTCAATCGTCTGCCAATGTTCTCTCTTATGAATTGCCGCTTCCAGCTTACCCGTGAAACATGTGCTCGTACCGTTGTCTATCGTCGTCTTGGCATTCCCCGCTCTTACACTCTAGAAAGTACTTACAATGGCTGCAATCAAGGAAAACATAATGGTTTGCAAATTACGGAGAATGACCTCTGTCAGCTTGGCGTTGGACTCGTGGCTACAATTAAACTACTCAAAGACTACATCGCGATTGGAAAAGGTGCCTTCGGCGGACTGGGTCCTTATCAAACACTCTCCGAGCAGAAGCAAGAACGAGGTGATGATAGTGACAACTCCGTTTCCGAAGAAGAATCCGAAGCTAGCTTTGAGATTTGACCCAACGTTTTATTCTGCTGCTGCTTTATTTTTGTATTCTAATAAATTATTTTGTATAAATCTTATCTTGAGTTTGACTTGTGTAGAATGTCGAAGCGCAGCCTTGATGATGGGGCAGTCGTGCCAGTCGAGGAGAAATCTCGTAAGATCGTAGAGCCAAAGCAGGTTCTTTTGAACCCGTATACTGGTCAGCCGTACACTCCGCGGTACTATGACTTGCTCAAGAGACGTCTTGGTTTGCCAGTTTGGGAGTACAAGAATAAGTTCATGGAGTTGATCCATAGACATCAGGTTAGTTGAATTACTTTTTCGGTTTTTCGAACCTAATGTTAGGTTATCTGTCTTGTCGGAGAAACTGGTTCTGGAAAAACCACCCAGATCCCACAATGGTGCGTCGAATACGTCCGTCAAAATTCGCCTGTTGGCTCTCGTAAGGCAGTCGCTTGTACTCAGCCTCGTCGAGTCGCCGCTATGTCCGTCGCTCAGCGTGTTGCTGATGAAATGGACTGCATTCTCGGCCAACATGTTGGATACACTATTCGATTCGAAGATTGCACGTCCTCGCTCACTCTCTTGAAATACATGACTGACGGTATGTTGCTCCGAGAAGCTATGGCGGACCCCTTGATGGAGAAGTACAACGTTATCTTGCTCGATGAGGCTCACGAACGTACGCTAGGTAGGGAACAGAAAATATGGCTGATTTTTTCAATAATATTTTAGCCACTGATATTCTTTTGGGTGTCATCAAAGAAGTCTGTCGGCAACGACCTGATTTGAAGATCGTCGTCATGAGTGCCACTCTCGATGCCGGAAAGTTCCAGTCTTATTTCGACAATGCGCCGCTCATGTCCATTCCTGGTCGAACATTCCCTGTAGAAATTTTCTACACGCCCGAACCAGAGAAAGATTATTTGGAAGCTGCTATTCGGACAGTTATCCAGATTCATTTGTGTGAAGAACAGGAAGGAGATTGTTTGTTATTCTTGACTGGTCAAGAAGAGATAGAAGACGCGTGTAAACGGATACGAGATGAAGTTGAGAAAATGGGGCCCGAAGTTGGAGATGTCAAGGGTAAGTGTTTCAGATCTACGAGCATGTTCTTACCGTGTCATTAGTTATTCCACTTTATTCGACACTGCCGCCCCAGCAGCAGCAGCGAATTTTCGAACCTCCACCACCAAACAAGCCGAATGGCGCTATTGGTCGCAAAGTTGTTGTCTCGACTAACATTGCTGAAACCTCGCTCACTATTGACGGTATTGTGTTCGTCATTGATCCTGGCTTTGCCAAGCAAAAGGTCTACAACCCTCGAATTCGAGTCGAGTCCCTTCTCGTCTCTGCTATTTCCAAGGCGTCTGCTCAGGTAAATTCGTTTCTACGATTCCAGAATTAATAGTTTTTCAGCAACGTGCTGGCCGTGCTGGTCGAACCCGTCCTGGCAAAACTTTCCGCCTGTACACTGAGAAGGCGTACCAAGGCGAAATGCAGGACAACACTTATCCCGAAATCCTTCGATCGAACTTGGGCAGTGTCGTCCTCCAGCTGAAAAAGCTCGGTATCGATGATCTCGTTCACTTCGATTTCATGGATCCACCAGCACCCGAGACGCTTATGCGAGCCCTGGAAATGTTGAACTACCTCGCTGCTTTGAATGATGATGGTATGTAAATTTGCTCCAGCGAGTACGGTAAATGATCGCACAGCCATCAAAGTCAGACAGCGCGCGGTATCAGGGACAGAGCGGGTACTGAGTGCAATGAAAAAGATATAATTTGTACTCAATAGGTGACTTGACCGAGTTGGGCTCCATGATGGCGGAGTTCCCCCTCGATCCTCAGCTGGCTAAGATGTGCATCTCCTCCTGCGAGTTCAACTGCTCGAACGAAATCTTGTCCACCACGGCGATGCTTACTGTGCCCATGTGCTTCGTCCGACCTAGCGAGGCTCGAAGAGCTGCCGATGAAGCGAAGGTCCAGTTTGCGCACATTGACGGCGATCACTTGACTCTCTTGAACGTCTACCACGCCTTCAAGCAATCTCGTGATTCTCCACAATGGTGCTACGAGAACTTTATCAACTACCGATCCTTGATGAGGTAGGAGTCATTCCAAAACTGCGGTCCTAAAAAATTCTAGCGCTGATAATGTCCGACAGCAACTGTCGAGAATTATGGATCGATTCTCGCTCCCACGAAGGTCCTGCGACTTCACTTCCAAGGACTACTACACAAGTATCCGAAAAGCGATCGTATCAGGATACTTTATGCAAGTTGCTCACAAGGTAAAAATAAAGAGGTTTCAGTGGCGCATTTTTTAACATTTTAAAAAGGAGAAATCTGGTCATTATTTGACGATGAAGGACAATCAAGTCGTCCAACTTCATCCGTCGACTTGCTTGGACCACAAGCCCGATTGGGTTCTGTACGACGAGTTCGTACTTACCTCAAAGAACTACATCCGAACGGTTACAGATATCAAGGTTTGTGAGAATTAAATAGAATCGTTAATAAACTTGAAAAAGGTTGACTGGCTGGTCGAAATTGCCCCGACGTATTACGACATTGACAATTTCCCCAACTGCGAAGCGAAGAGAATTTTAGAACGAGTCAGAGCGAAGCTTGTAGCAAAAGGCAAAATTGAAGCATAGAAGGTAGCATAATGCTAAATATTTTTCACTAACTTTCACTTAAGGTAAATGTTAAGCATTTGCACCAGAAGACACCCTTAGAAAAAATTGATCAATTGAATTCTTTCCTGCGAGATCTACTGCCCTCAAACTTACAATAAAATGTCTTGTGCACTTGTTATCAGCGTATTTTTATTTCAATTACTGAATGAAAATACTCTAGAAAAAGCAGCTAAATCATGTCGGTTACTCTGCATACGGATCTTGGTGATTTGAAATTGGAGCTCTTCTGTAAGCTCTGCCCAAAAACTTGTGAAAACTTTCTTGCTCTTGTCGCGTCGGGAAAATATGATGGCACAGTGTTCCACAGAAACATTCCTGGGTTCATCGTCCAAGGAGGCGACCCAACGGGGACTGGAAAAGGCGGTGAGTCTATTTGGGTAAGGCAGCGTGTCAGTTTCTGTCTTCTAATTATGAATAAGGGCGGACCATTTGAGGATGAGATTGACGACAATTTGAGACATTCTGGACGGGGTATTTTGTCGATGGCAAACTCTGGAGCAAATACAAATAGAGTAAGGGCGAATTGTTTGTTTTCCGATAAAATGAGTTCAGTCGCAATTCATGATAACTTACGCCAAACATCCCACTCTCGATTTGAAGCATACCGTCTTTGGGAAAGTCATCGATGGCGACGAGACACTTGACGCCATGGAGAAAGTCCTGATCGATCCGAAAACGTACCGACCGACTACAGATATCAGACTCAAACAGTGCACGATTCATGCTAACCCCATCGCTGATGAAAGCTCATAAACTGCCAATTAGATCAAATTCTCACTTTTTATCCAATTTCAGAATGATGGATTGCCATGCTCATTTAGGCGAATTTCATGATAGAATTGAGCAAGTTATTGCTGATGCGAAAGCAGAAGGTGTCGCTGGTGTCATTGTCGTTCCAGAATACGGAAATAGTAAGCGATAATGAATCATTTTCTTATGCCTACAGATTTTGAAAGGAACATGAAGATGTGCGATGAACACCCAGACTTTCTCTTCCCTGCTCTTGGTCTGCATCCTATTCAAGGATCATATGCCGTCCCGGAAGAGTCTTCTGCTTGCAGCTTATCAGAATATGATCAATACAAGGCAAGTTCATTTTACAAGATTCAATAAAAATGTGACAATTTAGGCGACAATTGAAAAGTACATCGATCGAGTTGTTTGTATTGGTGAATGTGGACTTGATTTTACTCCGAAATTTATCAGAACACCAGATGATAAAGAGCTGCAACTAGCGGCGTTTCGAGCTCATATCGAACTCGCTAAAAAGTACTCGCTGCCGCTGAACGTTCATTCTCGATCAGCTGCTCCACAGATATTCACACTTCTTGATGAATACGAGTACTACGATGTTCTCATGCATGCTTACGGCGGAAAAGCCAAAAGAGCCGCTCTTTATGCTAAGAAAGGCGTTTACTTCAGTGTTCCCAACACAGCTGCTAAAGAAGACAGTCAAATGAGAAATCTCATCAAACTTGTTCCGATTGAAAATCTCATTCTTGAAACAGATTCACCCGCGTTATCACTTATTCCTGGGACTGAAAACCAACCCAAGAACCTCATCATTAGTGCGAAAGTTATTTCTGAAGTAAAAAAGTTACCTATTGAAGACGTAATCAACATCACTAGAAACAATACCCTTCGCCTTTTCAGTCGTATTTCAAAGTTAATAAAGCTATAGAAAAATGTGATTTAAAAAGAATGAATCTATTAGATTGATCGAGTCGGACCAAATGGCAATCCTCGAAGATAAGAAATGGAACCTTGCCCACATTCAAAATTCTTTCATCGTTGATCAATTTTGTGAAAATGTTATTCACAAGCGAGATCAAATGACCGTTGATGAACTGGCTGATCGATGGGATGATCCAGATTTTGATCACAGTCCTGAAATTCGTGCATTTCAAAACTTCGACTCTGAAAAACCATCCGAGAAAGAAGCAACACTGACAGATTGCTCAAATCATACCAAGATAACTACAGAAAGAAGTCACGGGTTATAAAAAGCGACCTGGATGATCCTCCTCAAATCCGATATGTTGCCGATCCGGAAAACAACTCGCCTGGCAAAATTCCTACAGTAGAAGAAATCAAGCAAAGAATAGAAAAACGAAAGCAAGAAGCTCTCGGAGTTGCGGATAAAATTGTCGAAGAGCTACCAAAAGATGTCCGCCCCTTTGCGGAATATGACAAGCTTACGACAGTTAGTCTTGATGTTCCGTCTTTATCATACAGGGAGAGTTCTTTAATATATAAATCAAGGAAGAATACCCTTATTTTCGGCATCTAATCGAACTCTTATCAGTGTTTCCCTTTATAAAATGGTCGGAAATGAAAAGATCCCGCTTCGGTTCCCAAACGAAAAAGGTGAATTCGTGCATGGCATTACCATCAATATTCGACAGAATCAAAAATATCGCGATCTCGTTGGTCTGACATGCTTCCAATACATAAAAAGCTACGATCATCCTAGCTTCAGTGGTCCGAAGCTTGAACACTCCGAGGTCACAGACCGATCGCACTCAATCTATTTCGTCGAGAACGGAAATATTGAGCCGGACGTGACGATTCACATTGCGCAGGATCTTAAGTCGGCTGCGTTTGATTTAAAATCATTGGCGGAGGATAAAATTAATGGGAGAATGACTCTTGCCAATATGGGCTTAGCGATTGTAGAAAACTGTATTGCGGAGAGAGCGAAAGGTGGTTGTATTTGAAAGTCTTACTGATATTAATAAACATATTTAGTCGGAAAAGCACGAGTTATTTTGAGTGAGATACAAATGTCTCGCTCTACTTGCCAAGATGTCGTCGTTCCCATCGATACAGAATCAACCGCTGACGATGTTCTCCAAGCAGCAAAAAGGACCTTCGACGAGCACGGCCTTCAAAAGCTTCGCACGAATCAATCCTTCGTGCTCAAGAAAGACAACGTGATTCTAGCGCCGACGATCGCTATTCTTGAATTCCTGCAGCACAACTGTAGAAACCCACAAATCCCTGACCCAGTGTACACTATCAATCTCTGCGTACAAACCGTTGAGCCTCCTCCCAAGCCGCCGACGTTTACAGAAGAGCAGTGTTCCTTCACTGTCAAAATCATTCCAAGCGTGATGCAAAGCTTCAAGCTCGGAAAGAAATTCCAGATCGCTCAAGACTTCACGATTACTTTCGGTAACGATTGTATCACGATTGCCACTGGTAAGCCGAAAGCGAGCTTCAAAAATAAAATGACGCCGACGAAACTGTTCGCTGGCATTCCCTCAGTGATTCCCTACAGTAAGATGTCCGACTTTACGATCACGCCACAGAAGAACGAAAGAAGTCAACTGACCGTAGCGTACAAATCTGATGCAGCATTCGAGAAACTCGTGATCAGAGCTCCCACCGACATCGGTCGACGGATGCAGTACTTTTTCGAGAAAAACGACATTCAACTTCAGTCAGCGTCGCCGAGTCTCGCCTCTTCGCGACAAAAGGGGCGCAGAAAATCCGTCTTCTTTTGATTCAACCCGTTATTTATTATTTCTAACTGTTTCTTTCACTGCTGATTCAATGTTTTCGAAAATTCATAAACTCACAATTCATGTCATTTCTAGCGTCTCACTCACTTCTAGATTTTTCTAGTTTTTGAAAAGTACCGTAGGTATGGGCTGGTTCGGAAGCTCCGCTCCTGAGAAGAAGAAAAACTATGACGAGGATATGAGTACGGATTTTGGATTTGACTTTGTTTAACAGAGATATTGAAGATGACGGCGCTGGCGGTGGATATGATAAGTACGATACAGGCTCTTCCGCTGGTTCTTCGGCGCCACCACCACTTGGAGGAGGACTCGGAAATGCAAGCGCGATGCCATCAATGAGCGAGGACTTGGGAGCTGCTTCTATGCCAGGAAATGTTTCTCAGGTAAATGAGTGATCCCAAGATTGTTTCCTTATTGTAGATAAGGCTCTTGGTATGGTCAAGCAACAATTGAAACAGCAGCTCGCTCAGGCTCACCAACAAGCTCTCATGGAAGCGATCAACAAAAACTGCCTCGAAGCTTGCGACCCAGATGGCTCCAGCAGACTCCAGACAAAATGCGTCGAAACATGCGCCGCTAGATACATTGACGCGTGGAACCACGTGTCCAAGAGTGTGCGAAATGCGCAGTCCTAGTTCTATTGTATTTCCAATTATGTATTTATTAATGCTCACTGCGTGTAACTGAAATGGCGCTGATTAGAATGATTCAAGCTGCGCGCGCTGCGCTTTGATTGGCTCCTTGTCGGTGCTAATGCGCAGCGCCCCGCTCCGTACATTATCGATTCGACATTATTTATCACTCCTTAAGGGTAGAACATGAAATCGGCGCGCGGCGCCTCGCTCGCCAAGCGCCCCGCCGTGCCCTACTTTTCAGAATGCCCTAAAATCGGAACGGATAAAGCTTTTCAAAAATTTCTTCGGATTTCAGATTATCAAAGCCTTTACTTTTCACAGATCAAAAATGAGCAGAATCGTCAAACAGTAAGTCGGAGAAAATGACATGAGTTGGTTAAACTCTATCTCCTCTCGCAATTTTTATCCGATTTTTTCAAATTTAGATAGGTCGAAAGTGCTCCGTTAGACCTAAAATTTCGTAGTCTCAGAATTAATTTTGAAGCTTTATGGAATTTTATATGAGCTTTTGAAATGAGAGCTGCACTGTCGTGAGGCGCGCAGCGCGAGAGAAGAAGCGGCGCGGCGTGAGAGCACTTGTTTTGAGAAGCCGTGTGGATTTTTAGGGAGGTTCAAAATTAATTCTGAGACTACGAAATTTTAGGTCTAACGGAGCACTTTCGACCTATCTAAATTTGAAAAATCGGATAAGAATTGCGAGAGGAGATAGAGTTTGACCAACTCATGTCATTTTCTCCGACTTATTCTTTGACGATTCTGCTCATTTTTGATCTGTGTAAAGTAAAGGCTTTGATAATCTGAAATCCGAAGAAATTTTTGAAAAGCTTTATCCGTTCCGATTTTAGGGCATTCTGAAAAGTAGGGCACGGCGGGGCGCTGGGCGAGCGAGGCGCCGCGCGCCGATTTCATGTTCTACCCTTAAGTTCAGAAAATAATGGAATGAACCGTTGTTATGATATAACTTATGTTTATGCAGCTGAGTGCCCAGGTTAGCCTGAGCATCTCGTTCCATCCTGACGATATGCCTCGTGCATAATTGATCAACCAATAAGAACCTGGATGGCTCGGGATGCAGCGTAGGATAGCCTGGGGGCTCAGCGATCAGTATATAAGGAAGACACCTTCCTTCAGATCAGTAACGTTCTCATTTCATACCATGTGCAAGACATGAAATAAAACACAAAATACGTTATACCAAAATATGCGTTAGTTTTTATTGCAAGATTGATACACCATTGCAAGGCAGCGCATAACATTGGTGTCAGAAGTATAAACAAACCCAGCGCCAGGTATGAATTTTAGGAAAATATTAAGAAAGGTAAAAATATTTATGAATCTTCACGCTGGTAGCTTAGAAGAAACATAACAATTCATCAAAACGCGGTAAGTCTTTGAAAAACCATCAAAATTTTATGATTTTCTAAAGTGAACCTGCGTGTAGGATTTCTTTATAATTCATAAAAGCGGAAAAGAGACTCTAAAAATAATGAAAGCTAAATGAAAAATTTATAAACCCCCACACGTGTAAGCTCAGAATAAACATTTAAATTTATAAAAGCACTAGAAGTCTTTGAAACACCATCAAAATTTTATGATTTTCGAAAGCGAGCATGCCTGGGGGATTATTTATTATTCATCTAGATGCAAGCTAGAAACTCTGAAATAGGAATTAAAATTCATAGACTTGCAAGGCTTTTGAAATAATGAAACATGAGAAGGAATACGCGCTGCGAAAGTTCAAAAGAGACGTTAACTCAGTCTCTTCTCGAGCGGATACGCGCTAAGTCGTATTCATAATTCATCAAAAACTGAGCAAAACGTCTGAAGAAACAATTAGAATTCATTAACGGGCAGACTCAAAGAAGTTATGAAACTTTCAAAGGAATAAATAATTTGATACTTCAGAAGAAACTTATAATTCAGTCTCTTTGAGAACAACGATACCTGAAGGTTTATTCATTATTCATAAAAACGCAGAGAAGAGACTCTGAAATGGATAATTCATATGAATAGACTGTTGATGTTCAAAGAAATAATGAAAATTCCAAAGGAAGAAAGAATCTCAAACTACAAAAGAATCTCTAATTTCGTCTCTTTCAGATCCAGCATGATGAGAATATTCTATTAAAGAAAAACCCGCGAAGCGCGGCGCGCCAAAAGCGCTCAGTAATTTATGATCTTCAAAGAGATCAAGCTTTTCGGAAAATTAAAAATTCAGGAGAAGCGCGAGACGGTGCGCTTAGATTTTACGAATAATTTCTGGAGCAACCAGGCTGTCAGAATATGAATAGTTAATAGAAAACACGTGGAAAAATGCTCTCAAAAATATCAATTATTAAAAGGATTCCTCAGAAGTTGAGCCTGAAGATACCGTTTAATATTCATGATTCCGCGAAAACGGAAAACGGAAATCCACTTTCGTCATTTCACAAAAACCCAGCTTGGGGAAGGCAGAAGAAAAAAGAAGAAGTGGAAGTGAAGAAACCAATGCTGGCGGAGAAATTGATGAATCTTTGCTTACCGATCGCCCCGTTTCTTTTTGTTACACATTTTGTAGCCTAGACTTAATAAGCCAGAGAAGTAAGAATCAATGTTTTTTAAAATCCTAAGAGAAAAAGGTTGGGAAAAAATCATTTTAGGAAAAGCCCGCAGAATAACACAAAACCGATTATCAAAAAGAATCAAGATCTTTATAGAAGAAAAATACGGTAGGAGAAAGGTGAAACCTTATTCAAATTTTCTGAGGCTCCCTTAATCAAAAAATTTTTTTGATCGTCTCTTTTGAAAAGGAAAACTCAAAAATATGCCTTATTTAAAAATAACTCAAGGGAAAGAAACGTTTTTCTACGTTCCCTTTAAACAGAAGGCTATTATTAGCGAAAAAGAGTCAATTTACGATGAACCCAATTAATTTCACCCATGCTTTAAAAAATTTTTAACCTTCCCCTCTTCGCCCGTCTTAATGAAAGTCTACACTTTATTGACAAGGAAAGAATTTTCACGCGAAAATACGTTTACCCCGTTTTAAGAGTTACAACACCGATTTTTTCATTTTTTCTGCGAAAGTTAAGGTACCTTCCGCTCATAATAAAGATCTGATTATTCGCCCAGTTTAAGATGAAATCTTAAATAATTTATGGCTAAAGATCACCTTTATTATTTTTTCGACACAATTTTTCGCTCAGCCCACCAAAAATAATTGTTCTTGATCAAAGACACATTATTCCGAGACGTCTTTCAACGTTTCCGACACGATGGTGGAAGAAGCGAAAATGATTGACAGCGGAAGAACAAAAGGCACCGGAAAATCACAACGAATTTTTATTATTCTGAGCGGTGTGAGCCGCTTCGGAAAAATTAAAAATTCAAAGAGGCCGGTGGCCAAGTTTTCATAATTAATGAAGTAACCAAGTTGCGTGACAATGTATTCTGAAGCCAATTAAAGTGTACACTATAAATACAGCACTGGGAGGTGGAAAAGGATAACGAAGAGCAAGATCATAAGTGTAGCTCTGAAAAAAAGTCGAAAAATAAACGGCAATTCTATCGTCAATTTACAATCAAGGATGAAGAAGCAAGCAACGACCAAGCAAATAAACACGATAAACTCCTCTGCTAACAAAAATCGCATCAAAGCTACGCTGGTCCTAGATTCAGCGCTAGGCCCGAAGCAACTAGCGTGCCCCTTCCACCAATTGAATGGGTCAAAGTTAAGGTAGAGTAAAAATTTTATTTCGGGATGAAAAAGCGCATATGTCATGGTCCAAAATATTTTTCTTCTCACTAATCATACAAATATTTTTGCGGATGACAGGTCAGGCTGGCCCACTTTTCCGACATTTTTCGGCACACCCGATTTCTTGCGCTTATCTGAAAGAAAAATTTGGCTGAGTATCTTAGGCTTTCAACCGACCCTTTGAGATTTTCGGAAAGTATTTTTATCTGCCCTTGAAATTATAAAAAAGGGGCCTAAATTTTTCGGAAATTTCGATGTTCTGGCGGGGAAAAATCTTGAGTTAACTGACCATTATTTTTGTCACATTTCTTTCCTAGAAAAAGGCCGCTTCCGCTTTTTCTTATAATAGCGCGCCGCGTCAAAAGCGTAATTATGTATCGGCCCTATTATGATAATTCGATATTCTCGTAAAAAGAAACAATTTCGAGTTAATTTCCCCTTCCCTATGTGCCCAAAGAACGGAAAATTATACGTTAATTTTGGTAACACCGACTCTTCGGAGGGAAAAATCATCGGTAAATAGAAGTCAATGTGGTCTTAAGCTTGCCCGATCCTTGTAGCAAATTTTGTTATAAGCAGCAAAATTGTTATAAGCGACCCCAAAAAGCAAGCTTAAAATTTTCGAAGGAAAGTCATGATTTTGATTCAGATTGTTTTTCTTGAAAATAAATAGAGGCTTACTAACAGACCCATCGGAAGTGACGAATTTTCTCCTCCCCTTCGTTATAAAACGTCTCTTTTAGAAATCTCAGAGGATTGATAATTCTCATATAAACCTAGGTTGACTTCATTAAAGCCAATTTTTCAATTTTTCACTAAGTGAAGCGTCTCTTTCGATGCCGAAATAGGGTTATTTAGGTCGTTAGAATATAGTTTGAGTTTAATTCTTTGAAGAAAATTTTTTTCTTAACAAAAATAAACGAATGTTTGCATGACAAACAACCTAGAATAATGAAAATAAAAAAAAAAGCCCCTCTTAATTGGAAATTCAAGCTACAGTATTAATTCAAGAGAAACATCATGTTCGCCGGCTTTGATTTTTTGTCGATCAAACCCCTTCATTTTCTCATTGAGAATCATTAAATGACACTCTACCGACCGTCGTAAATCAATTTGTTCACAACTGTTTATAATTAAAAGAACACGTGCGGAAATCTGCTTGGTAGCTTATAACAACGGCAAAGGCCAAGTAAAAGCTTAATTATTTTTTGAATTTTTAATTTTTATTACAACAAAAATGATTAAGACAGTAGAATTACGGTTGAAAGAAGGATAAGCGAAAGGAAAATAATTGCGTACAAGATCATCGAGGCGGAAAATTTTATGCACCAAATTCTACAAAATAATTTCAAAACGGGCGGTAAATTAGAAAAAGATAAAGTTTATTTTTTGGTTGATAAACATTTTAAGAAAAATAGAAGGAAACAAATTCTGGCGTCTAGAAAAAATTGTGCATCAGTCGAGAGCGGGAAATTCTGAAAAAAGGGGCGCAAAAATTACGCAGACTCGAAACCGGAGTCATAGGACTCTAAGAAAAACGCTGGTTCAAAGATAATTTGATGCAAGTTGTCGAAGACAAAATCCACAAACGGATTCGGGTGCGGGTCAACTTCCATCAGGTCGTCTTCTTCGGGCTGATTTGCTGCAGCAGATTCATCGTCTGTCTGCTCGTCTTCTTCTGAAGAATCGGGAGGGAGCGGAATAGAAGCAGCAGGCTTAATTTAAAAGTTATTTTACAAAATAACTAATAATATTTAATGATTAATCATAACAAACGAAAAAAAGAAAACACCGAAGTAAAACTTACAATTAGAGTCACTGGAACGTCGGCGAAGAAGTGAGCGGGAATACCATTAAAATCAAAAGTCGCGTAGCGGTTGAGGTATTTGTCAACTTCTGGCTTCATGGCAAGGGGAAGAGACGAAAGGCGAAGCCAAATGGAACCGCGCCGTCTTTCGTAGACGTTTGCAAGAGTCCGTCCGAAATCGGGCTTGCTATTCTGGGAAGGAATTGCGAGCTGAAACAGGCCGAAGAGCTGAAGATTCATCCCCAAGATGTGCTCGCTTCTCGAAATCTGTTTCACGTAGTGTCGATAAGTCGGGCAGTCTCTTTCAGATGAATCCAACTCGTTATAGCCACGGGAATCAAAAATGCAGGGCCGCTTGCGAGGCAGATCATCTCGGGAACCATACGAAATCGTAGGTCCGTCGTCTCTTTTACGTTTTAAAAAGCGGCGCATTTTTTTTTTGGGTTGCGAAAGAAACTTTTTATTTGATAAGAATCGTTTGTAATCTGTGGTAAAACGAACATCCCGTCGAGTTTTTACAGAAAGTTATTAAAAATGAATGCATTTAAAACAATAAAAGTTCCAAGAAAACGAACGAGGAATGATCAAAAGCGGCGCGCGCTTCAGAATTTTTTGGAACGCTAGAATAATCGCATCCCCCAGCCAGCGAACCTTCACATGATCAAACCATGATTCGATAATTGACACGTAAAATAGGGCGGCCAAAGCCTTTTATTTGTTTGAATGATAAGGAAGAAGTATCGTAAAATTTAACGCACTCAGAATTTTTGAATTTTTAAAATCAAACTAAGGATAAAGTAGTCCTAAAGACAAATTAAAGATATAAAAGAAACATCATTCAAAGTATAAATGCCTCTTTTGATAAGGTAAATGGAATACAATCTGTCTGGGAAAAAATTTTTTATTAACAATACCCTCCTTTAGACGAAGTTACCCCAAACTCACGTGAAAACTAAAAATCTATTGGATCATTTTAATTTCATTTTTAACCGAAATGAGCGTATTTAAAGAACCCAACAAAATTGTTTCTTTTGATGCAAGAAAGCGATAAGCGCGGAATTTCAAAAAGCCCAAAAGAATAACTTAATATCTTCCGAATAAGCAAATAATTAATGGATGCCCGTTATTGCCAGTTCTTAAAAACGTAACTGCGACTGCCAAGCGATTACGAGGATTTGCAGCGGCAAGTTGCCGTCGCCGCTGTTTTACCAGAAAGTTTCGAACTCCCGCCGCTAGAATTAATGCTTTTGTTAATAAGAAGAAGCGCCAAGAAGAGACTATATTTTTAGCAAGAATTACAAATGTCTGACAATTTTTATTGGAAACGGTGCTTATTTAAAGAAAGAAAATACTCTTCCAAAAATCCGCGCGCTTCGACCGAAAACTTCCTTGCCCACCATTTTGTCTTTCATCAGAAATTCTTCCTGATTATTTTCAAATAGAAGATTTAGAGTTTATAAAATTAAGCGCATTAGTAAATTGCCGGAAGAGACGGAATTTCCTAAATAACCAGTTACAATTGATGGTACGGAAGGCGCAGGTGCAACCCGGGGATCGGCTGCAATCGAAGGTTTACTGTTATCATTTATTCAACAATCGCGGTCACGTGGCGAACGCCAAACAGGTGTCAGATAAGGACAATAAATGAAAAGGGCAAGCGATTTATTGGACCCTCAGCAAACTGCTTTACCGAACAATTATCTCCCCTCTTACAAAATATCAAAGAAACCTCCGGGACTTCAACAAAAGAAGGTGCAATTTTTGTCGGGACATTCAACTTTGATCGGATTAAATCAAAACTGCCTACGATAGGGATGTTCGAATAGCTCGCTTTACCTAGCGTAGCCTCATATAACTTAGAACGAGGACTTAAAAGGAACAATTATTAAAAATCATCGGCCTCGGACTTCGCTTTATTGGAGAAGCGTCTAATATTAAAGTAGAAAAAGTCAGAACTCATACCGAGTTTTTAAGATAAATTTTTGAAGTCAAACTAAGGTCAATAGAACTTATTAAAGGAGTTTATTTTATAAAAGAAACATTTATCTAGGTTTAAAGGTTTTTTCAAGATATAGACTTCAAACAAAGGCAAGGAAAACTTTAATTTTAATTTTGAGTTTTGTCATCCTTGACGGGAAAGCGACTATTTTTAAAGGCAAATCAAGTCTAAAAGGCTTGATTGACACGTTCAACACATAAAGTGAACGTTTCGATAATCCAAAATGGTTCTTTCAAGAATTCGAACCCCGAAGAAAAAGCAGAGTAGAATTTTAAAATAAATTCTAGTTTTGTCGTTTTAGACGAGAAAGCCATTATTTTTAAAATCAAACTACGCACCAGATAGCTCGTCTAACAAATTCAACAGGAGAAAGAAACGTTACCAGAAGGAAAAATGCTTCTTTCGAAAGAACAAACTCTGAAGTAAAACAAGAAGGAATTTTTAAAATAAATTTAAATTTTTCAAAAACTCGATAGGGAAAATGTGATTTTTAAAGTCAAACTAAATTACATCGGTTTTGTTTAACAAGTTTATCATACAAAAGGAATGATATTATGACGATAAATGCTTCTTTTGAGATATTTACTCCGAAGAAGAAGCAGGGGAAATTTTAAAATTCATTAAAGGTTTGTTCCCTTAAAATAGGAAATTTCTGATTTTTTGAACTCAAACTTAAGTCGAAACAATCTTGTTGACATATTTGAATCTTTAAAGAAACAAGATCTGAATCATTGATGTCTATTTTCAGAAAATCGACATGGATAAGGCCAGGAGAGAATCATTAAATTCTGGTCTCTATTTAGTCTCTTCTTCGATAATGCCTCTTCTGCGGCATATAAGGAAAGAAACAACAATTATTTTCAAAAAGGAACTCAAACTCGGATATACGGACAAATCAATTTTTATTCTCACAATGATCGAATGGTTCTAAAAAGAAATATCTACAGTGATATTTTCAATTACAAGAGACAATTGACGAATGAATTACCAGAAATCAACGTTTCTTTACAGTAAAGAAAACCGCGAAAATTACTAATAATAATGAAAATCGTCCTTTTTCGTTGATTTACGGACGCGGGTGGACCGGCGAAGCGGGGGCTGCACAGGATTTCGCGCAGCTGGTTGTGAGGCTGTTTCGGAAGCAGCTGGTTGCGTGGCCGGGCGTGCAATCGCCGACGTGGTAGTAGTAGTTGTCGTTGTCGAAGCCGAAATTCCCAATCGTCTTTCCCAAGGAAATGGCGGTAGAGTTTGGAATTTTCTCCAGCGACGCTCTGAGCGACGATCTAGCTTCTTGCAGAGCTTTTTCAGATCCAAGATACGACGCATTCTCTTCGAAACTTTCTGATCAGGGCTAGTGACCATTTTTCGTAGGTGCTTCGAGACCTTTTGTCTCCTTTTCGAGCAAAAGCCTTCATTATCAAAATGCAGTAAAAATCACGAAACTTAAATTGAACCAAATAAGTTCGAAGGATAATTTTTTCGAATCGTTGTCGATTATAAGTAGCGATAATCTTGCCCCACCACTCGTTACTGCCAGTATAAACGGCAACTAAAAACAGACTCGGGAAAAGGGCCAGCTGGCCAGGTAGCACGAACATGAAAGAAGTAGGAGCCTTCCGATTCATGTTAAAACCGCGGTAAATAAGAATACTCGCTGCGGGTTCGTGAAATTAGTGTTTAAAATTATAAGATCAAAAGAATCGTATTTCTAACATTTGGGAATTACACATTTTCCTCTAATGCTAGGTAAGCTTTATTCTAGCTTCCTCAAAGTAAATTCCTCTTCATAACCTTAAAAACACCCTCTAGAAAGAAAAAATTTTTATAATAATCAAACACTAAATCTTTTGATGAAAGAAAAGAGGCGAAAAAGACCAATAAAATTTGCTCATTTTCAAAGGAAACTTCCATTAAATGAGAGGGTAAGGTTTTTTCTGTCAAAAAAAAATGAATATTTCCAAAGAAGATCTTTTCAGTTCACAAAAACGGCACTTTTTACAAAAGGAGAACTTCTCCCCTTCACAAAATCGGCATTTTTTGTAAAGGAGAACTTCTCCCCTTCACAAAATCGGCATTTTTTACAAAAGGAGAACTTCTCCCCTACACAAAATCAGCATCTTTACCAAAGGAGAATTTCTCCCGTTCATTTATGATTGCTTTCGGAAAATTGCGGCTCGCAATTACGAGGTTTTTGGCAAAAATCCCGAAAAAGAAAAACCGCGTATTTGCAAGACCTGACTGTCATCTCTGCCCGGGATTAAACCCAGAATTTGAGCAAGATGAGACGAAAAAAACCAAGCTTTGAGGTTGACAATTTAAAGTATTTATTTTATAATAAGCAGCATTATATAAGGAGAAGAAATTTATAAATTTCATTTTATTGAAAGAAAGTAAAGTTGGTAATAAGAAATAGAGTCTGGGAAAATAAGGGAAAAAACGTGTTGAGTAATCCAAGTAATCATTTTATGGGAAAATATAAGAAAGTGCTACCTGACAGTTAGGTACAATAAAAATCATTTTTTTCAGAATATCAAGGAAAGAATAAAGATATTTAAAGAAAAAAAAGAAAATTAACCGGTTAAGTGATTCAATAATAAGCAAAATCGGGTTTTCTGGTGGATTTTCGGACGCGTTGAGATCGACGAATTGCAGGAACTTCAGGGAGCGTGTTGATAAAGCTGGCATTTGGCAGAGTAAAGACGTCATTCGTGTTGGTGTCCGGATCGATTTGACAAAAAAGGTCGGGGTCAGAAGAGGCGATAAGAGCGTCAAGGGCTGCATTAGTCGGAGATGAAGCGGCGGCGGGACGATTAGTGTCGACGTTTGTGGCAGAAGAGTGTGCAGCAACATGAGGGCCGCCGTAGTCATCCTCGAGGAAGAATTTATCAACGCCATCTTTCGTAATACAGCTCGCTAGTCCACGAGTGTAATCGTCGGTTGTGGCGGTTGCGAGCTCAAGAAACACGAGGCCGTCTTCATCGAAAACATCTCTTTCAATCTGGAGCTGTTCTCCTTCGCGTAGCGAAAGATTTCGCAGCATCTTCGTCAGTTTAACTGGCTTCAAGGCAGTTGTCTTACGAGCGATACCCATCTCGCAAAATTGTGGATGAAAAACACACCAACCGGGGATTATAACTAGCTAGAAAATAGCGCCCGCGTTCCCCAGAAAAAGTCTACCGCCAAAACCAATAAAGAGTTTATTAGCCCAAAGATCATCGGACCTAATAACAGTAATAAAAGAAAAGAGAGAAGAACACCTGGCATGATTATAACAATCAAGACAAATCATCTTTAGACCAGAATAAACGTCAGAAGAAACGATTTTTGTGGCAGATTGATCTGCATAAAATTAACAATGAAAACCTTCCTTCTAGCAGAAAAGGAACGATACCCCTAGAACCAAGGCGAATCTCTTTAAAATAGAAAAAGCATCCTTTGAAAAAAATAAAGCGCGGATAAACTTTCTTTACGCCAGTCTTCGCATCAATTTAAGCCCATATATAAATGAAAAGGGACGTTTGCCCGCGAGTTACAGCCTCTTTACGACAATTAAAATATTTTTAAAAGACTCTTTAAAAGGAAAAAACGGACAGTCAAAGTGTTCCGCTGATAAGAATGCTCCTCCCCCTTTAACAAGAAGACAGTCTTTTGTCGTTTAGTAATTAAGAATTCACCTAGTTACTTCTCTCAACAAGTTTAATTTCAATGATAGAAATTAAATTTTCCTTAGCGCTAAGGAGTTATTAAAGAGTCAGAATGATCTGCTTGTTATTTATTAAGCTTATGAAGATTCCAAAAATCTCCCGGATCTGAATATATTTCATCTTGACCACAAGATACGCATCTTTTATGGACGCGCGTATGCACTAGCGCTAGTTGAATTACTCAGCTAGAAAGAACATTTCGCAATTTCAGAGTTTATCTACCAAATTACATGTTTTCTGAAAGCTGGGAAAATTCTCTATTCAGTGACACCCATATCGATAGATCAAACCAACATTCTCAAATGCGAACTCCGCGCCGGAAGTCAAGAACACCTGCGCCTGAAAGGGGGAGTAAAGGATTAATCAGTGAAAAATCGGAGCGCAGTGGGACATCGTCGAAGAATCAATTCTATTATCCCTGGGAAAAAGTAAGGGTGTCAACAACGATTGTCAGCAAATTTCTGACTCCGGTCGAGGTACCTAAAGGGAGCTGTTCAGAATTCTTTATATGTCAATGATTAGTTTGAATCCCTTCTGTGACGCCTCTCAAAGCCAAATCTTGGACTGGTAGTCTCTTTTTACCCCTCACCGAGTTCAAAAGAAGCCCATTTTTCACAAAAGACAAAAGAAATTTTTGACCCTTGTTGCAAGAACACTCGATGGAACGTAAACCTGTTATTTTAGTAGAAGAACCTTTAGACGAAACAACGTGAACGTGAATTGAACGTGAAATCTTCGAAATTATAATCCCCAAAAATTTATTGCTAAACATATTAACAGAAGAAATTAAATCGAAAGCATGCAGTAGAGACGTTCATCACAGCGTTTATCAATGTTCGGATTAATAAAATCGCAAAAAATCGAACTGCATAGTAAAATGGAAAGAGTGACATAAAAGCCCCCCCTCCGCATTAATTTTCCGGCAGGAGCGAGTTTGGGAATAACTTCTGTCTGAAGATCTTCTCCGGGGAAAAAAAACTCGAGGGAAATCAACAAGGAAAAACGATCTAACCGAATATCCAAAAGAAAAAGGGTCCAGAATTCTGGGTCGCCACTTGCCAGATTTTCACGTTATAGGCCTATAGAATCTAATCCAGCAACAGTGACGCTCGGAAAACCGGTAAACACGAACATCGGTTCATTAGAAGAATTTTTATGGGACTCTTTTCATTGATGTTTGAATTGCTTGAAGAACCTAAACGGCCTCCCAAAGCGCCCAAAAATAGCCTCTTCCGTTACGAGTTCTATTTGAATATTAACCAATAGTTAATTCTCAACTTTCGAACAAAATAGGACCAGCTAAAGGAAACAATTTTTGGAATTTTCTTAACTCAAACTAAGCGTGTTTGAATCTAGTAAAGACTTTTTGCTTAGGAAAGAAACTTATTTATCACGACAAAATGTTTCTTGCGTCTCTTCTTGGGAAAAATAGTCATCGAAATTAAGCCAAAAAGGGAGATGTCGCATTCACAATTTCATCGTAACCCGTGGAAAATCTCGGCGGAGAAACTTAATATGCCCAGGATCCTGGAAAAATGACAGATGTCGGGAAGCATTATAGAATTTTAAAATATTAAAAACCTATTATTTAAGATTATTGAAGTCAAACTAATATTGTTTAACTCGTATTAATGTTATTAATTTTAGAAAAGAGACCTCTGACATAAGGAAAATTCGGTTAACGTTTCTTTAGAGTAATAGGATATTTTGTCACCAAAAAAAGACCGAGAACTTGAAAACTTTATCCTTCAGTCTGCGATTATCCTGGGATTTTTCAATGGGAAATTTAACACGTCCGAGACCGTTCGAGAATGACAGATATCGAGAAGCATTGTTAAATTTTTAATAATAAGAACCAAATATATAAATTTCTTGGAGTCAAACTAACACAAGTAGATCCGTGGTGTGATTATTAATCGAAGAAAAGAGAGATCTAGCATAAAGGGATTTCGGCGAACGTCTCTTCTTGAAGACAATAAAGAAAAAAGCGGTCAAATATGATCGATAAATAAAATTTGACGAGCTGAAGGAGCAATCAAAATTTTTAAAGTCAAACTAGGCACATTTTAGTCAAGTTAACCCTTTGATATTAGAAAACAGACATAGATAACGAGGATAGAATTTTTAACAGTTCTTCTCTCTCTTTGAATAAAGAGTCATCGGAGATAACAAATAAAGGGGGAAGATCTATTTACCATGTCCTCACAGCTCCTTAACATCTCGACGAAAAAAACTAAACACGCCCGAGATCGTTCGAGAATGACAGATATCGAGAAGCATTGTAAAATTTCGGCAGCACATATTAAATACATTCCATTTTGATTTTGGTATTTATTTGCAGAAGCATAATGACTTAACGTTTTCGGAAGAGAGTGTTTATCATCAGAGCCTCGTCTTTTCGTGTAAACTACAGTTCTATCGTTTAAAGGAGGAATTTAAGAAAAGCAATAAAATGCTGCGATGTTCTACATGTGCGTTATACTCGAGAAGAGCCAAAGCCACATGGTCTACGTGTTACAAAAAATTTATCCGGGTTTTTCATTATATTTCAACGTAAGGACATCTTTTTAGAATTCTTAAACTCAAACTAGATAAAAGTTGAGCTCAAATATGATCTCTTTGTTCCAGACGAGACGATAAATCATTAAAATCGTCTCTTTTCATCTAATTGCATTATTTTTTAAACATAATAACTTATAGGACGCCAAATGATTGGGAAAACTTGCGCTTGAAGAGAATATCTATAAGACAAACAGATTCCGAAAAAATGAGAGATGGCAACCCTCTCTTAGAAGGCGCGGAAGAGATGATTTCCTGCTTTCGCAAACGCCTCTTTCGATGGAAAAGAGACATTTTACAAATAGTTAAGACTGTTAAATGAACCCTAGATACAACCACGTATTGAGGATACTCATGAACGAAAACTTCAGCGAATATGGATCAAGACTGTTAATCCGATTTGCCGACGGAACGTTTTCTGAATGTTTCACCTCAACACTCGGGACCGACTTCAAAATTAAAAGTTATGAGCTTAGTGGGAAAATATTTAAACTTCTGATAACAGACTCTAAAGTCGGGAGTAACGATCAGTTCCTTGAAAAAAATCTCGACTTGGGACAATAAAAGAGACGATTGGAATGCCTCCAAAGCAATCACCATCATAACTTACCATAAACTTAAGGACGAAAATGAAACAAGAGACCCTTCAAAGCTTGAGAAATCGATACTTGGACCTCATTCCAGAAATACTCTACAGAAATAAACAGTACCACGTCATCTCAAAATTCGAAGGAAATATCGACTCAATAGCATTGCTTACAACAAGAGTAATAAACAGCACGACGCTACAACAAATGAGCGCGCAAAAGGGATTGAATAAACTGAAGAAGTTTTTGCAAAACGAAGCAAGTCCAAAAACACTCGAAGAGCTACTACACTGGCATTTTCATGTAGCTTTAAGAATCAGATCAACCCAAACTGCAGAAGCATACAATCAACAAGCACAACGCGAGGCTGCGAAATTTTTCCGAGCACACATAGACAACGAAAAAAACATGGGACATATTAAGCAAGGCGAAGTTGGACGACTGCGAAGTAGCAAGAATTGTCGATTTTAACCTGCGAAGCCTAGCATCTCGCATAGAACGAAGGCTATTGCGTGAAGCGGTTGCTCGGGCCGGATTTAGAAGAAATCGGCATCAAATTGAAATTGAAGGACAAAACATACGCCCACTACTGTTCACGGGAAAGCTACCGGAAGGCTTTAGCCGACGACGGGGCTGACCCAAGCACCTTCCTAATCAAGTCAAAGTAGAGTCATCAGTCTTAGTATCATTCTTTCAGAATCGAAATCCAACATGGGGAATATTATTCGCATCATTCATACAATCATTGAAGCCCTCACGATAGTCGTTAGACCAATAAGAAGTGGAAACGAGGAGCACGAAAAAATCGCTGAAGCAACAATAAAAGATGAAACTGACACGAAGGCAAAACCAAAGTCTGACAAAAAGCCATCAACCCAAGCCAAGCCCTATAAAAAGGGATAACGAACCAGACTTGGGGGAAATCAGCAACGGAAGGAGAAAACACTGGCAAAAAGAGGACAAATTCACAAAAATAATAAATAAAGAAAAGGAAAATAGACGAAACGACATCCAAAGAATAATTGATAAACACCTCGGCGAAAATCAGTTCAGAGCATGGAAATCGGACGAAAAAATATCATTCTGCGAGCACTTGTGCCGAAACGCAAACGCAATTTGCTTTGCCCGAAACTGTGGCCTCTCAGACAAACAATTGGTTACTTTATTTATGCTGACCCTACGCAAAGAGGATATGTACATCGAACAACTGCTTGAAGCGGAGGATTTGCACGACTTCGGTCGTTGCCTGAAAAAGATAGGAAAGTATCTGGGGGAAAGGGATGTCATGACAGATGAAATCTTCAACGTAAGAAGAAAGCCAGAAGAGTCGCTCCTGACATTCTTTAAACGCCTCACCCTGGTATACGAAGCCTCTTCTAGGCATAGCTTGAAGTCCGATCAAACAGCAGCGTTTCTTTACCCATTAGTAAAAAACAATGCTACAAGAACTCAAAAGATTGAGCTTAGCAGAGTGCTAGAGGTCAACGGAAAGTACAAAAATGCGATTACCTACGCACGCTTGGAATCCGCGATAAAAGTAGCCCAAATAATGGACGACTCAGTCTTCAATCCGGACCAAGCTTAATCACCAGCCACCAAAGAAAGGAGATAGTTAAATAGGAATTAAACGCTGAAAAGAGACGCCACATGAGGATTAACCTGCTCAGGCTTAAAATAACAGATATCGAACTATTACAAGAAACCAAAAGAAGCTATTTTACTGAAAATATCATAACAAAAAAATGAAGGAAAGAACCTTCAAAACCCATTGGGCTCACACCAAAGAAATAATAATAACATCATTCAGGATGATTCGTTATAGTGAAAGATATCAGGACAATACGTACGAGTATGTCCACGTCACGGTCCCAAAGTCTTGGGTCCCGAAAATACCGATTGAGCGCCTTATGACAGTACAAGAGTGGCGGGAACTTGGAATAAACCTCCTAACAAATTGGGAACACTATTTGAGACATCTTCCCGAACCACACATCCTCTTGTTTCGCCGCAAACGACAAAAGGAGGAGTCTTTTTCAACCCCGACCAAGTAAATAAAGCAACGCGGAGCGAAGCTAAACCATATTTAAGCATCGATGAAGAAAGAACACAAAACTAAAATTCGAAAATCGCCAATTATTTGCTGCAAAAGCTCTCCGACCAAGAAATAGTGTTCAATAAATAGTAAGTTTAGACATGAATGAAGCAACTACTGTTAGTGGCCTCATTATCGGGTTAATAATCGCAATATTGACCTGCGCCCTAATCTCCTTGATCCTTGTCGTCGTAACAGCCCGGTTCCTTGAAACCAAATACTACTCGCCAGCCCAGAAGGAAGTCGCCAACAGAATAGCGGCCCAACTAGACGAATGCCGAACGTTGGTCCGCCGAATCGACGACAGACTGACAAGACAAGCACAACAACAATCAGCCAGACGAGCGCTACGCAATCAACAAAACAAGTTGGCCGACCAAGTGAACCTGACACTCCCGCGACGTAAACGATGTCGAAGTGAGGATTTGGATGCAGTGTTCCCGAAGCTGAATCTTGGAGGCGATAACGAAACGGACAAAGAAAGCCCGGCTATGCCACCGCCAATGCGCCTTCTTGATCGACGCGAATCAAAAATTATGAAAAGATCCTGCTCCCTTGACAATAATCTCTGCTAAAAGAATCAGTTAATTGTGAATAGCGAATATCGTAGAACTATAATAACCCTACCAGAAAACCCCACTTCAGCATGACTTTTAATGAAAGCATCGGCCGAATTCCAACAAAAGATACGCAAAGCGAATACCTCAGGACTATTCCATCTATCCTGCGAGGAGACGAAGTTGCCAACGTGTTCCAAGCAAGAAAAACAAAGTCAGCCATTGGCGTTTTGAAAATCATACTTGCCGAATTAATGCGGTCGGAAAAAGCAGTAATGACGCCCGCAGAAGCCTTAGATCATCTAAGAAGCTACCTTAATACCCACCCAAAAGCAGAATCAGCATCAAGCATCCTCGATTTCCATTGGAGAATTACATTCACCCTGGCAAGCACAAAAGGAAAGAAAAAACTCACGAAAAGGCCTTGGGCCTAGTCGCAAACTTCATCGACAATCATCTTCTCTCCAAAAGCTTCTTTGAAGAGCTGAAATATGCAAATTTTCACCTCCAAAGCTGTAGGGAAATATCAAAGAAAAGATGCATTGTCGCCAGGGAGGAGCTGCAAGCAATTCGCGCAGGAGCCGCTGCAAAGAATAGACGTACAATAAAAAATGGCCTAAGAAGACGAGTCATCATCACAAAAAAGTAAAGAAACATGCTCCCTTTTCCAATGACTAAAACCTTCTAGTGCAAGCCAGCCGAGGATAATCAACAACGAAGAAAGCAAAAAGACAATTTAAAATTAAGGATTACATGGACTGTACAAAACATCTCAAAAAAATGTCACCCGAAATAGAACAAAGAAATTATAAAGTCCAAGTAGCAATAATAAGCAATTTCAGTATGAACTCAATCGAAAGAAAACACTTCTTCGTGTGGAACGTCTTACCAGTGTGCTTCGGTGACCAAATCGCTCCAAATAGGCTGCCATTTCCGGAATTGTGTGAACTCAGTGGCTTCAAGGCCCTCTTGGACCAACTCATCAACGATCTGTCCGACTTGCAGATCATTACCGACGGACTCATAAACGAACTCAAGACGAGACCGGAACGAATCAGACCATTGCTAAAGCGATACGCGCAGGACGCAAATAGAACCCCCACGTGCGTCGCATGGACTTTCTTCTATGCAACTCTCGGAACCTATCTCTGTCTTCGAGAAGAATCACACGACCCCCGGATCTATCAGAGATGGAGAAACTGCCTTCTCGAAATCGCAAACACAAGGCTTGACGACAGCGCCTTCAACTTCGAACTCGCCCCAACCCTATACCTTCTTAGCCGCTCACGAGCTACAGCAATCGGGTCAATCATTGATGCTTCCAGACAAGCCGACCAGGAAAGGGAACAAGACAGCGGAAACGAAGGCACTGAAAGTGGATCGGACATCGCCGAAGAGGATTTTCTGCCAGCCAACAGTGAAATCAATGGGAATGAAGAGCAAGAGCAAGTACTCGAACAACCAAACTCAATGGAGTCCTCACCAGCAAACAAAGCAGCGCCTGAACGTCCCGAAGAGGAGACATCTCTATAAGAAGGTAAACACCAGGCACTAGGAAACGACTAACACTAATTCAAGGGCAAAATTCAATCATACATGAAGAAAGAAGCAGTGAAAAGAGAAAGTCATAAGTACTATTTTCTGACCAAACATAAATCCAATTTTCGACGTGAACTGTAACTAAAAACTAGAAAAATCGTTAACTTAGCATTGAATTCAACAAGGAAAATTTAGACTGAAAATCAATAAAACCATGTCTCAAAAGGAAAGTCGGCTCGCAAGCGTAGAAGACCTCCTTAACGGAACAGTAAGAAGCCCAATCCAGTTGTCGCTTTTCAAGGAAACACTGGCCCGGGCAATACTCAAAAAGCCGCAACAGCGATGCAATGACGTGAACGAAGAATGGCTCAGCCCCTTCTGTGAAGCAGTGAACACTGTAATACGAGCCTCCGAATATTGGCTTGCGGCGCAAACAACGGCAACAAGAATGCGAATTGCAGGAATGCACCATCATCAGTTAGCCCGCAGAAACTTAGGGTCAACCGAAGACTTAGTATACTTCATTGCCTTTCGAAACATCCAACGATGGCTACAGATTGCGGACCAAGGGTAGGAGCAAAGAACGGATAATATTCAACCCATAAGAATTTTAAGCTATGACTACTGGTTGATTCTCGAAATCTGGGGATTCTCTTTCAACGAACCCGAAGTGGCGCGATGCTTCTACCTGGATGTTCAGGGCTGGACACCGACTCTTCCATCAATCATTCAATATGGCTACCAATGCGCGGCAAAAACGTCACCAATGGGAGACTTCCGGTTTTTCTAGGCAATGCTCAAAAGAAGAAATGCGGAACAGCATCAAGCAACGTACTAATTACGTTAACTTAAACAACAGCTGTATGCCACTTATTAACAAAATTGATAGTAGTAGAATTGATCTGTGTTATACTTACCCTTCGTACTTATCGATCATCAATTCGAACCAAACTCTGTATCCTACTGTCCGCCATTGTTATAACAGTATTTTTTTAAATCCGTAAAAGACTTAATTATGGTCATCGAAGGAAAATTTCAAGAAAGTGAGTAACTATTTTGGTTCAGACAAACGCATAAAACAACCATGACAAAACTTATCAAATCAACCAAACAACAAGCTGACTTGTGCAAAGGAGGAACTATCCTCCTGGTCACCAGCACCGATCTCAGCGGGGCACTCGCTGCGGCGGTAAAAACCGCAAAGATCGAAGGCAGCTTCCTACTGGCAACATACGAGGAGTCAATCTTTGCCCAGAAATTCGCTAACAGCGCATTACAATGGGCAAAGATGAAACAAGCTGCAGAGGAGATATTGGGAGAAAGCCCAAACACTCTGATCTATTTGGACGACTCCCTGGCCCAGCGGCACGGAACCCAAATCCCAAGTTCTTCAAAAACTGAACCTGTGCAACAAGTAAAAAGAGAGCCGGGAAAAGGCGAGAGTATCACAGAAGGAGGTCTGGAGGCGAAACCAGACGTACCGAACGAGCAAGAGACTGAACAAGTCAAAGAGCTCAGGCGACAGATTGAGCGGCTTCGCTTAGAAAATAGCTTGAAGACCGAGAATCTATCAAAAGCGCTAAGTAAGGTGGGGGCCATAGAAGAGGAACGGAAGGCAAACTGCGAAATGCTTAACCGATACGACGAGATACACAAAGAAATGATCGCAAAAATGGATAACGCATCGGAAATCCTCGACAAGGCCAACCATCTTTTTGGTAATCGTAAGCGAGATCACGACAGTAACACCTCAGAAACAGACTCCGAGGAAGAAGATTGGGACGAACAAAGAGAGAAAGAAGCAGAGGAGCGAAATGCAAGGAAAAGAACGAGCGAACAACGTCAAAAGAAGAGAGGCCGAGAAGAGAATCCCAGTCCCTCTCGGAGGGAAAGCTCAACAGAGACAACAAGAAAAGAAAAACTGAGCGAGAAAAAGAAGCCAAAGAAGGATGGAGTGGTCCGATTCGTTGGAAACCCACAGAAATTCCAATTGAAAAATTGGAAGACGGAAGAGAATATCACCTATTGGGAGCACCTTACAAGGAATAAAATTGCTCTCAACAACGCAAAGCAGAGCGGGTTAACAGACAGTCAGATGGTGTCACTCTTTATGTTAACCCTCCGCCCCGAAGACGCCTTCATTGAAGAATTGCTGGAAGAATCCTGGAAGAATAATTTTGAGCTATTTCTGGAAAAAATTGGGAAATTTCTGGCAGGAAGTCAGAGTAGCATGATGAACGATGTATTGACCGCCAAGCGACGGCCTCAGGAATCTCTTCTTGCATTCTTTATACGGCTTTGCACCATGTTTAAAACATCCTCGGGAAAAGACCCTAAGTCCCAAGAGGCAGCAATGGTGCTTCACCCAGTCATCAAAAACAACGCCACTAAAATCCAAAAAACGGAACTAATCCGAGAACTGGAAGCCGGGAAGGCGGCTGACACACCAATAACGTTTGATAAGCTTCAAGCGGCGATCAAACAAGCACAAATCATGGATGATTCAAACTTCCATGACGCTCCCGCAGAGCTTGTCTACAACATGGAAGGGGACAAAAGAACGAACACCCAAGAAAACCAAGCATGGTCCAACAAGGGGAAAGGGATATCCGAAGCACCCAAGGTTAGCTGGAAGGAGAAAACAAGTGATGAATGGAACAGGGGACCCGCCACCCGGCCGAACGCAAATCGACCCCCATGGAACCGACAAGAGCGCTTCAGTCGGGGACGAGAACCTTATCCCCGAAGAACTGGACCACGTGAACCCTTATGTTTCAACTGCAATGGGCGAGGCCATATGTGGCGCCAATGCAGCAAACCACTCAAAGACCGATTCGTGCGGGCACAAGCACAAGACAAAGCACGAGAGACGCGGGCGCGAGAGACAAAGACTCCGCCCGGGACAACAACTGCTAAGCCAAAAACCTCGGGCTAAGGCCCAGGTTATGAACGTCAGACGAGGACGGCCGGATCACTGTACAACTCTCCTCGTACGAACTGACGTAAAATTACGATCCGAGCGACGGTATCCAGTAGTGGTCAAAAACATTCTCACTCTCTTGGATACCGGCGCGAGCCTCAGCTGTGCCAGCCTTGATTTCGCGAAAAATCTGGAGGCACAGGGGTTCCCACTCAATAAGGAGAAGCCTATCCGTAGCAACCCGATGGCAGCGAAAGGGGCGCGAATGGAAATAGCATTCGACCTTGTATTGGATATAATCTTGCGAGGAGATCCTGATATCAGATTCCCTGGAACTCGCATAAGCATCATCCCGGGTCTAAGAGCTGAGCTCATTCTCGGAGTGGACAGTTTGCTTAACAAGACCATCCAATTGCAGAGAAGGACCGTTAAAATAAATGGGCAGACTTTCCCGCTTGCCTGCCCGGAAAACACCGTCCTACTGCGCGTTATCGAAGCCGGAAAGGGACAGGGAATGAATTTCCTGCGGGTTGATACAGGCCCACGAAAAGTGCACAAGGCATCAAAGCGACTTCTCCTTACATTGGATCCTGAATTTTCGCCCGGAGTCCCAGGAGTGGCTATGATTATCAACTCAAGCGAGTTGGAAACTGAGTTGATGATCACGTACCCGGGTCCTGCGACTCCCGTCCCTAAGATATTCCTGGCCAGAATTGACGAGGTACAGGATGACCCTAATGAAGACTCACCGAAGAAACTCACTCTCCAAGACATCGAGAAAATGACATCGAAAACAGAGCTTAGCGAAGATGGAATCGAGCGATTGAAGGAAATTCTAAAACAACATTCTGAAGCATTCTCGAAAGAAAAGACAGACGTTGGACTATATCAAGGACCGGAAGTCAAGCTCCAGCTTCTCGACCCCAGGCTCCCTGGAGCATGGGTTCGGCCAAGAAGAATACCTTTCAGCCAAGTGGAATGGTTGAAAGCTGAGCTAAAGAAGATGGAAGAGGCGGGGATCATCGAAAGATCTACCGGAAGTAGCTTCAACGCGCCACTCCAACTGGTAAAGAAGGCGAGCGGGGGCTATCGCATCTGCGTTGACATGAGAGCTCTTAACAACAGGCTCGCTGAAAGCAAATGGCCCCTTCCGTCCCTTGCCGAGACGTTGGAAAGCTTGTCGGGGTCTGCCTTCTTCTCCTGCGTGGATATAAGACAAGCCTTTTTCCATATGGCGCTGGAAGAAGAAAGCAAGCCGCTTACTGCGTTCTCAGCTCTCAATTCGCAATACCAGTTCAGACGGTTACCCATGGGTCTCAAGATCTCGCCGAGCGTCTACCAAATGGCAATGAAAGCCACTCTGGGAGACGATCTGGGTAACCGTGTGGTCGCCTATCTTGACGACGTCCTCGTGTGTGGGAAAAACGAAGAAGAGCACCTCCAGACACTCGACCTCGTCCTTGCGAGACTTAAGAAAGCGGGGTTCCTGTTGAATCCAGACAAGTGCATCCTTGGAGCAAAGAAGATAACGTTTTTGGGGCACGAAGTAACACCAAGCGGCTATTTTCCAAAGACAGACAATCTTGCGGCCATACGAGAGTTTCCAGTACCGACCAACAAGAAGGCGCTTCGAAGGTTTATCGGGATGTGTTCGTTTTACAGCACACTCGTTCCTAATCTTCAACGAAAACTAGCCCCGCTTCATGAAATCAGCGGGCCAAAAGCAACCTTCAATTGGACAAGCTCGCAAGAAGACGCGTTTCACCTCATCAAAAGGCTTATGGTGGCTCAAACTGGGCTAGCCTTTCCATCGAATGACCCAAAAGCTGTCTTGTTAGTCACATCAGACGCCAGTGAAACGGGTTTCGGCGGAATGATAAGTCAGAAAATAGGAGATGAGGAAGAACAGCCCTTGGGCTACACTAGCGGATTCTTTCGAGGTCCTCAAGTGCGGTGGGCCATAAACGAAAAGGAACTTTATGCTTTCATTAAAACTCTTGAAACATTCCATCACTTCGTTTATGGGAGATCATTCCGATGGCGGACGGACAGTAAATGCCTGTCTTTCATTTGCGCGGAAACAAATGGCAAGCAAACCAGAAGACCATCTGCCAAGAAACTCCGCTGGCTGGAAAAATTAACAGAATACGATTTTAGCATCACTCACTGCGAAGGGACAAGCCTCGAAATGAGTGTCGCTGACTGTCTTTCCCGGATTGATCCCCCAAACTTGGTAATGCACATCGACTCGGAAATTCAGAAGAAGTATAGGATGCTGAACCGACCAATCCCGACCTGGATAAAACTTAAAGGAATCACGAAGTCTGAGCTTCGCTTGGCCCAGGACAACGATGGAGACTTGGTCAATTTTCGTAATGGATGGAAACCGCTGAAAGCCAAATATAGACTCAAGGAGCGAAGCGATGGAATACTTGTTTATGATCACAAGGATAAACCCCGGATTCCAATCCCGCAAGAACTCCAAGACAGGATTATATTAAGCTTTCACCTCCCACACCACGGAAGAACAACCAACCTGGTCCACGCGATGAGGGACGCGGATATCATCTTCCCAAAAATGGCAAAGAAGATAAAAACCAAGGTACAAACGTGCCCAGCGTGCCTCGCAACCGGAACGACCGAGAACCCAAAGCATCGACAAGTGACGGCGCCAAAAGAGATGCATCCGAACATGACCGTAACCATCGACCTTTTGGGTCCTTTACCGACAAGTCCAACTAGAAAGAAGTATATCCTCGCGGCCGTAGACAATCTCACTCGTTGGATTGAGTTGAGGTGCATAGTCGACAAGACAGCCGAGCACGTTGCAAAAGCCCTTCTCGATATATTTTTTCTAAGAGGCCCCCCAAGGGCCGTATCTTGTGATTTCGGTCGAGAATTTAACAACGTGCTCTTAACAGAACTATTAACATCGTTCGGCACAGCAGTCAACCATGGCACCCCTTACCGACCACAAGGACAAGGACTCATTGAACGAGCAAATCGCGAGATTCTTAAACACCTAAAATCGCTCGACATCGACGAACACCGATGGGACACTTACATTCCATCTATACAGTTATCGATGAATTTAACTTACCACTCGGCACTCGGAACGAGTCCCTTCCAAGCAATGCACGGATGGCTGCTCGCCGAGCCACTTTTCTCAAGACAAATCAACGGAGAAGAGCTCCCTCGGAACGTCAGACTCTGGGTCAAAGAGTCAAGTTCCCGAATGTGCGCAGCCTTATCACTGTTAACAGCGAGACAAGCTGTGCCTCTCATGGAACTACCGGACGAAAATCAACCCGATGGACTTGAAAAGGGGACCCCCGTCCTTCTGAAAAAAATGAAGCCTCCAGGAGTGAGCTCCAAATTATTTAACGCCTGGAAGGATGGCTTCGTCGTGAGAAAACGACTTGATCATAATACTTATTTAGTTACTCCCGTCGAATCTCCTAGGCGGCGCTTCCTAGTCCATCGCTCCCGTATACGGCGATTGGGCAGGCCTCTTGAGGAAGCACCACCGGAAAAACACGTATATACGGTAATCAGTCGAGAATAAATATCCAATCATGATTGTTGCCTAGGAGGAGAATAAGTCAAGCAAAACAAGGAGCGTGCAACCAGTAGAAGAGCTTCCCAATAGCAGCAAAACCGAGAACACGGCGACAAACCCGCTTGGAAACGAAAACGGAAAATATGACACGACTGAGCAAGCGAGGCCGCGGAGAACAAAGGGACGCGATAAAAACTTCTACAAGAAATTCTTCTGAGGGTACCGGCCAACAGGGAGACAAGAGCCTCCTCAAAAATAAGAAGGTACCACAATTCGAAGCAGACGAATCCTCAGAAGTCGACGGGAAAGAGATTTTTCTTGCGAAATCTGTCAGTTCTAAATTTTTTCACTGGAAATCTGCGATTAAACCCTTAGTCATAAGGTGATATAATCAGGAATTATATTTAGACTGATGACATCAACTAATAACGAAATAATGAAAATCTGCCCATCAATAACGATACCCAAATGCCCCGATCCACCAGAAATCGGAGTAAAAATGAACTGCGTGAGCAAAGCGAACGCGGGACTCAACAGTACAACTAAGGAGAAATCCTCCACTAGCTTCGAGGTAGGAGGTAGCTCACTTATAGGAAATTTTATTTCATTCCTATTTTCTTTCGTCGCGGGACTTATAACCAGTCGCATCTTCAGCAGACTCCGCGGCCGGAAGAAACGAAGAGAAAACCTTTTTGCAAAGCGGAACTTCTGCTTAAACCCAAGCAACCAACGACAGGAAGACGTGCAGGTATCCCAAGAATGCCAGCAAATAGAATTCATCTAGACATATGCCCAATATGTCTCGACAATAAAATTGTGCCAAAAATTCTCTGTTGCACGCATAGCTACTGTCAGGGCTGTATCGATTACTGGTTCCTGACCCAAATGGAAAACTGCCCCTTGTGTAGACGTTCTATAACATGGGCGGAAATGATGGCGAAATAATGAACTCACTTTAGGAAGATCCCTTCTTGAGCAAACAAGGCTTAATGATCCAGAAATTGGATTTCTTCGTGCAAGCAGAAAAACAGTCACAGAAACCGACCGGATGATTCGGGAAATCGTTAACCGAATAATCCAAAAATCACCACCATCGGAAGCGACTAAAAGGAAAATCTACGACGCTCTATGGAAAAAGCTCCAGACAGCAAAAGAGGCAAAGGAACAAACCATTGTCAAAAGGATTCGACAAATGACTGCAACAACCGCTGCGCACAAAAAAGGAAGGATCCTACATTTGGATATCCTTGAGTACCTTGAAGGAAGCGACCTAGTACCACACTGGCACAAAAACATCGACAGATGGGCAACCGCGATGAGATACATCGACGAACTGGAAAATCATTATAAGAGCAGCACGCCATTATATCAGCGTGACCAACGAAATATCAAAAGTTTACGCAAACAGACAAGCCGAGTCATCAGCGACCAAATACGGCGTGGCTTCCGACAGCCTCCTCAGATATCTTGGGAAAAGCTCTTTGAAAAAACTGAAAGCACTACAAAGATCGAGAGGAAGCCACTTCTCGAAAGTATCGAACAAGCGACCGGCAAAATAGGAAAGAAGACAAGCGTAGTCTTGGAGATTGCTTTTCACTCTGTGCTACTGTACAATTTCATAAAAGCCTGCCTTCAAACAGTAGCAGTAGGATGGCAGGTTGTTTACGTGCCCATACGAGAAATCACAAGATATATTGTATCACAACATCAGATGGACTGACAGACAAATCGTGAAAGATGATAAACAAATAGTTTAGACCAATGACATCCATGGAAGAGATTCGGGAATACGTCTACGGGGCCTATGAGTACTCAAGGGATCTAAATACTATCGTGGTTATTATCTTATTTGCCCTGTACGCTATCGACTTTGGACTTAAATCTCTGTCCAAGGAAAAACAAAACTGAAACCTCATCCAAACCAACCCCCAGGGGGAGGGGGGAAATCAACTACCCATCGACGCTCACGGAAACCTACTTCAGAAAAATGACCTCGATGAGCCTTGCCAAGAGATACCTTGAACGGGCGTCGGAATACCTGAAGATGGCGAGAGAAACAACATTTCACATCCTTATCGTTCTGCATGCCATCAAATTCGGATTGAGACTGCTAACTAAACCCAAACAAAACTAACCCGTCTGGAAACTAGCCTAGCTAGTCACAGAAAAAAAAAATATTATATCGCACTCAGCCCATAGCCAATCGATTCCTTAAGACCTATGGGCGGAAAAAATTCGGCGTGCAAAACCCCCTGTCCCGAACCGATCTGCCCCGTCAAACACACCATAAGATGGGATATGGCTTGGGAAATGACGCGGAACAAAATCAAAGAAACAAGTGCATGGCCGTATCTTACATCTATTATGATAGGAACAATCATCACACTTGTAGTCAAAGTATACACGAACCGACGAGAAGAAAAGTATCAGCCTTCCGAAACGGCATCGAGAATTATCCTCGACACCCAAAATATTGCTGATTGGACACAAACGGCAGCAACGACAGGCTCTAAACACAATTCTGCTATAAGAAACGATAAAACTTGTACTGTTAGGAATAATCTCGAAAGAGTAACCCATCTCTAAGGTAGATCCGAACCCAAGAAATAACCAGTTGTGCTTAAGACAAGCCACTATTTCAACAAAATGTCGGCAAGATCTACACAAACAGTAAGCAACAATGCTTGCGACGAATTCGAAGAGATGATCGTTTGGACCATCATGGACAATGACACAAGCCATTTTGACGAAAAGGAACTCGTTGAGAAAATCGGATGGACTGGATTCCGGGAAGCCATAAAAGAAGCAACCGAGGACGCAAAAACTTACCAACAATGGTTAAAAACCACCGTTGCAACGTGGACCCGAGTTCCTCAGGAAATAAAAAGCACACTTAAGGACTTTGCTCATGATAATTCTAGGCAAGGACTTTTCGACTGGACTTACGAGCTTATACTCTATGGATCCGCACTGCACTCCACGACTACTGACAGAGGGGTGTTAAACGAATGGCAAAACGCAGTATACGGAGATTTTGTTGAAAAATTCGGAAATCCTCCTTACATAGCATTTACCGAGCGCCAACGACTTCCGGAAAAAGAAGAGATAAATATTGCACGTAAAACGTGCTTGCTGCGCTTAACCTCAGAAATATGAATCATAAAAACCCCAAGTAGAGTTAACCTCAAGTCTTTATTTGAGTAGATTGATAGCACTAACTTCCGTTTAGAATGGCCCCAAATACTTGCAAACCAACGAATTGTCCCTCAACCGAATGTTCCGAAGCCGTAGAAAAACTTGATTTACCGGGGACCGTCTATCTAGCGGACACGATAAGCAAAATCCTATTTTCAATCATATACATTTTGCTTGGAATCGTCGGCTGGATGTGCGTGCATGCTCTCTTCAAGTACTTTAAAAATAGTCAAGAAAAAAAGACAGAATGAGTTTATTAAATCCTGTTTACCCTTATGGAACTGCTCGGACAACGAAAAAAACCAATGAATGTGTAAGAAAATAAACGAACTTCCTTTAGATGGAAGAAGGAAACACCACTCAGCAAGCAAGTCGGGAAAACGAAAAGCAAAACCGGCACTATCCGCGGCTACACATTGAGTATCCATGTGGCAACAGGAAGATATGTCCCGCAACGAGTGACGATCCGATGGAAAATCTGAGGAATGCGATTTTTGAAGCATGCCCCGCTAAGCCCGGAGAAGAGTTGCGAAATAAAATCAAGATTTTTCACAAAGGGTCCGAAGTCAAACGAAAGGAAGAATTAAAAGGTCTGAAACCTGGAGAAACAATCCACGCCACTTGGCCTGGGGAACTCGGCCCAAATACTACTCCCGCGCAACAAACTAGGCAGATCCCAAAAATCATCGATGCCGCCTCCATCCAAAGACAAAATTTCGAATCATCCCTTAGAAACACGTTGAGAAACCAGCCACCTCAAAAACGAAAACTCGAGGAAGAAAGCGAGGTTCAAGCAGAGCAAGCAACACATCGACAGATCGGCTGTCTGCTAACAAAACTTGGAAGCGATCTTATCCAGTGGTCAAGCCCCTTACATGACCTAAGTAACCTGTTACAAGCAGATGAAATCTTACGACACGACCCCGAAAAAGCAGACAAAACAAACAAAGCCATTCTTAACAATTACACGAACATGACGTACCTGAGTCAGCTCCTAGTAAACCTTCAACGAATCCTGTCCCCGACGACACTCAAGTCACCAGAGACCTTATCCGAAGCACCGTATCTGAACACAATGCACCCAGCCTTTGAACTGTCTCCTAGCTTCAACAATTTCCTTTAATAAAAGACGTGAATAGGTAACAGGCTCCCTTCAGATGCGGTACAGATGCGCTTATTGCAACACTCAATGGGCGTCCATAAATTTCGAAGACGGCTGTAGAAATTGCAATAGCGATTTCATCGAAATAATCAATGATCGAGCCAGCACACGAGATTCAAATACAAACTGGACCACCCTGGGACAAATCAAGTGGACTCTGACGATAGAGAAAAGGCACTGGGAGAAGCTTAAGTCCTTAAACACCGACCTGGTAAAGAGCAAACAGAAAAAATAGAGCGGCTTAATGAATCACGTATTTAAGATGATGCGATTCCGCATTCCGACGCCCTCCTCGCCCAAAGAGAAGCTAAGAACCGAAAAGGAAGGCGGTAAGGACTTTCCCGTGGACAAGCAACGCCAAAAGGAAGTGGACATCTGCGCAATATGCCAGGAAGGACTCTTCAACAACCTTGCTTGCCTACGTTGTAATCATGTTTTTCATCAAGGTTGTATTCGCAAGTGGTTAAACCAACCACGCTGCTCGCGCTGTCCGTACTGCAACCAAACAGTCCCACTGCGTTTCTTCTAACCACGAATTATAAGAAGCTAAAGAGCAAATTGAGTAATTGTTCCTTCTTTTAAGAACAAATGGAACAGGCAAAAATTGACAATATTATCATTGGAACAGCGGAAGACGCGATCAAGCTTTCCTCCTTCCAAGAAATTATCGTACGAGAAATCCTGGGGAAACCGAAGTTGATTGGTTTCAATGCTGAAGAAGAATGGCAGCGTCCCCTGAGAGACGCCGTTCATTTGGTAAACCAGAAAGCCGAACTATGGCTAAGATCCCAAACTTGGCAGGAACAAGCAACAATAGCGAAACTGCCGAGACAACGACTAGCGACAACAACTTTGTCTTCCACCAAGGACCTCGCACTGCTGATCGCATTCCGAACTATGCAAAGAAAGTTGAAAAGCCCTTGGCAAAAAGAAGGTTTTGATCGCGCGATCATCAAAGAAATTGGGAGCATCAATGTTCAAGAACCAGCGGTCGCCAAGGAATTCGCTCGCGACGTAAACACGGGAATAGAATCGATTCCGGCAATCATCGAAGAGGCGTACACAAAAATAAAAAATGAAGAATCACTGGAAGATACCCGAAAAAAACCTGTTAAACCTGCATGTCTGACACTTTCCCAGCGATAAGAGAAAAGCTGGATAATACTTCCCCGAACTCATTTCCTTCCGTCTTAAACAAGTCAACGTCTTTTAGAAAGCATTTGCTGACAAAAAGTAATTTAAGAATGAAGCAAACCGGAGGAAATTACATCCTCTCCCTTGTCATGAATCAACCAACTGCAATGCCCAAAGAGGAGCTCGCCGCGAAGGGACTTGACCGTGGTAGAGCATTCGGGGAAGGATGCGGAGGAACTCAAGACAAATTCCTCGGTAGCAAAATTGGGATCGACGCTATGATAGAGGCAGTGAAGCAAACCCTCGAAGAATTGTCCGAGGGTCGAGACCTGCCTGCAGAACAAGGAGGACTTCTAATGGGAACCGCGATAGGCTTTATGAAAAGCCACGGTCACTCACCTCTTCACGAGGAAGGCTATCGAAAAATAGTGCAAGTCGTGTTTCCTCGATTGGCAAACGTACAAACACCGGCTTACTGGAGCCCTAAAACAATATTCGCACACCTGTACTTCAATCTCATGATGAGACGACAGAAACTACCCAGACAGGGCGTAGGCGCGGAGCCACCGAAGGTAAGCTTGCAAGATGTGTCCCGAAATTAAACAATCTAGAAAATCGCCCGAATGGATCCGTCTGTAGCAATTCCGGGACCAACAACTCAGACAACACAAATTTTCCCCGGGCAACACACCACTCAAATCCAGCCGACAACAAGGGAACAACCAATCCAGATGCCAACGGAGAATCTCATCGGAGACGGAAACGTAGACAAATTCTTCGAAACAGTCTTCCCACCTGCCTTTCAATAACCCTGAACCATATGTATTTCCGGGCTAACCATCCCCCTCCTACAACCATACCCAACAACCACATCTGAAAACACCAATCGATTATAAGGAATTATCACTGAAAACCGGAATTAATAAGATTTCTTTCAAGATTGAAAATGAGCTCCCCAAGAGATTCGAACCTAGCTCCAAAAACCGAGCCGGAAATAAAGGTAAATAAACAAAATGATAAGAGCTAATCTTCCCTAAGGAGGAATCCGTTCATCTCGAGCTACTCAAATCCTACAAGCACCTCCTTCCGAACCAAATCTACAATTATGCCAAACTTGTCGTTAAACGAGTAATGACAACTGACCCAAAGCTTTCCCCAAAAGGCATCGTGACCAGCGCAGTTTATTTGGCGTACAAATTTTCGCCAGAGCCAAAAACAACAACAGCCATCGGAGAAATGCTGAAATGCCCAAATTGGATGATTTACAAAACCGCACCGTTAGTACGGACACGATTCAACAAGGAGACCAAAAACGAGCTAGAGATTGCAAGAAAATACATCGATCAACAAGCTCATCTCGCTGATTCGGATTGGATCACTCGGGCAAGACAAATAGCCGACCATGCCTGGCACCCCAACATCAAAGCGAGCCCGAAAAGAATTGCTGCATCATCCGCGTACTTAGCATACAAATTTTCGCCAACACCAATGTCGGCGAGGAAAGTAGCACAGCAATGGAACTTCTCCACAGCGCAAATTCTGGCAACAGCCCAAACCATTCAGAAGCATCTCAAAATAGTCTGTTTTATTACCGCCCGGCGGGAGTAGACTGCTTGAACAATCAGAGTTACCGATCTTAACCTGAACCCGATTTCAGATGGCTAGCTTTCGCTGCTTAGGTTGTAACCTGAATTGCGAGGAGATTCGAAAACCCTGGAATTGCCCGAATTGCAACAGTAAGTTCATCGATCTAATAGGAAAATGGAAAAAAGAAGACGTGGTAGACAAGACCGGTTACAACAATGGAGAGATTCTCTTCAAAATCGTTGCAAACCACGAGAGGGCAATCAGCCAAATCAAACACTTGATGGAACTTAGTAACTGTCGAACCTCTGCACATGTAAGTGCCCTAGATGGTTGGGAAAAAGTAAAAAATTAATCAGGGTGAAACAAATGAAAACGCCCAAACACCGGGGCCTACTCCATCAACGGAACCACCGAAAGACCCAACAGGCAGAAAGACGTCCGGGCTTTTAGAAGAAAAGAACAGTTTCAAAAAGGCACCGACTTCTGTTAACCTTGAAGGACGGAATCAATTGAAAATGAGACCACAGCCAAGGGTAGGAGAAATAGAAGGTATTCGGGGACAGTGCCAAGGAAGATACCTCATACCAAATGGGAAGCGTAGACATAAACAAAAAACAATTGAAGAAATTGGGACTCGCGAATATGAAAGACGCGAGGACACACTTCGACATTCCACCATGCATGAGACTCTTGAATACCCTTGCGGCATCTGCATGGAAGAATTCGCGGCCAAGTGCTGTTCATTCCTCCCCTCGTGCGGGCACACTTTCCACACTCACTGCATCCTAAAATGGCTTCTCCACAAAAATACCTGTCCAATTTGCCAGGAAATCATAGCAAAATAAAATAATAATAAGAAAAAGATAACTCTGACACTCTTAACTTACCCTGTTAAGTATGGACGAGAACCAAGAGGAAGCAGCACAAACTGAAAACGAAGAATCACCGCATAATTCAAGGCAGAAGGAACAAACACTGCCATGTTTCTTGGAAGAAATAATGACACCACCGAAGAAAATAGGGCGCCTAGAAGTAATCAACCCAGATGGAACAAGAACTTTGCAACAATTCGTTGAAGGAGGAGCCACGTGCGAGGAACTGCAAGCACTCTTAGACTCACTTTCACGCATTGAATTGACAGAATGGGAAAAAGAGGTAGGCGACCCCTGCCGCATTTGCCTGGAAGAATTTGACAAAACAGCAAACCTTATACCCACCTGTGGACACTTCTTTCACCAACATTGTCTACGAAACTGGCTCATATGGAAGGATTCTTGCCCACTATGCATCTTACCGGTAAACGAGAACAGATTGAACATGACCCGAAAATACTTTAGGTTAAGCCGAAAGGAACCATCCCAATAACAATTAAGGATTGGCTGGAAAAGAAACATAAAGTTAAGTACGAATCGTTGCTCGATGCGGTAAATATACTTGAAAAGAAGGAAGAATATGACAACATCAACTCACATTTCCGCCTCGAACCGGACGGATCGCTCATTGAAATAAAAATCATCTTCAGGAAAGTCGAAGGCGAAGAATTGGAGGAAAGGCTCATGCTGACAAAGAAAATCAAGATAAGCGCAGTAGAAAAGTACGAAAGTGATTGCGGGCTCTGCCAGGAAGACCTGCCTGAAGACATATCGGTCATGACATGCTGTTACGCCTACTACCATAATGCGTGCCTGCGAAAATGGCTAGCAAACAGACCTTACTGCAAGTACTGCAACACCCCCCTATAAGATTGAAGTTGCAACAGATTCAGAAACCACCTAAATTAAAATATACCAAAGGATAGCACTATGATGTTTAGAATGCTCTCCACAAACACATTTCAGCTCTACGTATGGCTTCCTACCGAAAACATTTTTTTCGAGAACCATGTCTCGAGGAACCAACAAGGATTCCGGGACGCACGGAAAGCAGGGCTCTCCGACGAACAATTGACAAGTCTCTTTCTCATAACACTGACACCAGAACAAAGGAGTTACGAGACTCTCCTCGACGAAATTGAGAAAACAAATTTTGATCTATGCGTAGATCGGATGAGGAAGATTCTTACCACGAACCTGGTATACGATCGAGACTTGCCATACCTCGACGCCAAGGAAAAATTCCGGCTCTATGTATGGGGACCAAACGAAAAAATCAGCTTCGCACAACATGTGGCAAGAAACAGACAAGGGTTCAACAGCGCAAGAAAATGTGGGCTTCTAGATGTTGATCTCACTCGTCTTTTGTTTATGACTCTCAGACCAGAGTTTGCACACCTCGAGAAAGGCCTAAATAGGAATGAAAAAACCAAACTCGAGCTTTGCATCGAGAGAATGAAGAAATGTATTTCAGCGAAACATCAAAACCATAATAAGGGGAATGAAGTAAACGGAAAACGCAAAGAAGGCGAAGCCCTGATCATTTTCTTCGGACGACTCTGCGCAGATCTGCAAAAGTCACCTGGCGAAGAACCACTATCAGACGCCGCGGCCCTCAGAATAATTTACCCTATTCTCCTACAGAACTGTGGCCCTGCCGAGTTCCATACCCTTGTCAAATATAAGAGCAGCGACGGAACCCAAGATTTAACCTTCAGAGCGCTTGCAGCTAAACTAGGGAACCTGCACGTACCCTACGGTGGCATACAAACAAGACCAAGACGCGCTATTAATCGCTAGAATCCCTTAGCTTTAATTATAATTAAGCCCGCATTAACCGCAAGTAAATCGGAACTGAGAGTCCAATACCGAACATTCAGATTGAAAAAGACTATGCATCTCGCTCCGCAATTCTGGCATAAATGGCTCTCGTGCCTTTGCCTAGCAACACCAGCTGACCCGACGATTGAGGGAAGGGAGCAGGTGACCCGGAGAGTTCCTCTCCGCGACAAGATCAAACGAAAACTAGGGATAAGTAAAACCCAGAATCGGGAGGCCCCCGAAGAAGAAATCTTGATCCCATCTGCACCTACCCGAACTCCATAAACTCTCGAACTAAAGCCCCTCCAATCTTAAACTGTTCAGAGTCAGAATGGATAAACATAAAATTATCGGAGAAAAGGCAAGTGGGCTGCTTTCTGGGCTCAATGATTTGCTCCCACACCTCGGTCCCCTCGGTAAAGTCTGGTACGCAACTTTGCTGGTAAGAAGTATTGTCCTATTAACAGTTGGTACGGAAATTTATTCAAACGATTCAGGCGGATTCAGATGTAGCACCAAACAGCAACTGTGTAGCTCAGTTTGCTATAACCAATTTTTACCAGTCAACCTGACTAGATTTTGGACTTGGCACCTCGTCATTATTGGGATCGTCACTCTGGGGCTCGGACATCTTATCCTGAAACCCGCAGAAGACGTACAGCTTATGCGATTACTCGAACACGACATAAACCCAAAACCGACAGAATTAATCGTCTGGCCAAATCGCCAGGACCGGCCAAGCTGGACATTTCAACTGAAGAGGCTTAATGAACTCCGCTCAAAATATGGGCATATGCAAGGCTTCAAAGAAAAATACAAAGGTAATCGCCTGGTCATCACGACACCATCAACGAACTGGAAACGAATCTTGTTCCTAACCAGTCTGTGCGTCATTGACCTTATTTTTCTAATTATGAATTTTGTGCTCCTCAAACACCAATACAACCACGAAACACCTTGGACGACCCTCCTTAAGGCAGGACAACTGTTGAAGACCCCAGCTTCATTTATCTGCAAAATTGATAAATACGCGATACTATCAGAAAAAGAGACGAGGAATTTCGCGGAAACTGGATATGATCCTGCTGACCCGCGTTACTTCTTCTGGAAAGCACAGCACGCATGTGCCCAATCCGAGTCCGTCTGTACTGTCGACAAATTCACGGAAAAAACGTTTATCTCCTGTACCATGATCGGTGCAACCCTAGCGGGCACTCTATTGCTAGCAACAGGCGGACTGTTTTACCTGATTAAAATAATTCATAGAATTCTGTCAAGACAATGGAAAATCAGGCGGACGTAAAATTCGACTACCAAATTGTAACGAAACACGCTTTAGAATGTCTGCTCCAGGCTGCTCTCTTCCCGCCTTTACCTGCTCATATCATGGCCCAAAGCACATAGCCGACGAAAGGCTTGTGACAGGAGACCTTATCTGCAAAATATGCGGACTTGTCGTAGGAGAAAGATGCCCACCACTCAACCCAGAAAAATCAATGCGAGTGACGGCCATCAAACCAAACGAAAACTTGCCAAAAACTTTCACCCGGAATAACGAAGAAACAGGGGACGAATGCATCATATCAAACGAGGCCCAACTATCCAACCGCGAGAAAAATAGGTTACAAACTGTCCTTCGGGAATGTGAAGACCTCATCGAAGAAGCAGGAGCCCGATTGATATACTCAGGACTCACTAATACAAAACTACGAGCTTACGAACTCATCAAAAAGCTATACCTCAAAGAAAAACAGGGAACAACTTGGTACTTCCACCGCCAAAATCGCGCAGAACCCGTGGCAATAGCGGCGTGCCTCTACCTGGCCAGTAAGCAAGAGAACTGCGACCTGAGCTTGGAAGAAATCTGCCAGGCAACTGGCACCTCTCCCCCTAATCACCCAGAGAATGATTCGCAAATTCGATACCTTCCTCAGAACAGCAAAAATCGACGCACACATTAAAAACAGAATCAAACCTTACATCCAAAGAATAGCAGCTGCGCTTCGATTAACTAATCACCAAGCGAAAGAAATCGAAGCGCATGCCATCCTGATAAGCAAAGAAACCCCATCAGCCACAACCTCAGCAAAAACGCTCGCCGCCGCCAGCACCTACGTATATATCGACCGAATAAACCGACCAAAGTCAGTCAAGGAAATAGCAAGACTTGTGAACGCGGGAACCCGGCGGCTTCAAATCTACATCGCAGAACTCCCTCGAACACTCGGAGGAAGAAGAGAAAGGGAATAGAAGGAAAAGGTGATTACTATATAAACGCGATGGCGCTACAAAACCAACACTAACCAATTACGTAGTTAATCCCGCTCGATCCTGACAAACAACAACTTAAACACCCAGAATATAGTAGCTGCCACCCATTTATGTCTGTACCCATTATTTCGAACTTCAAACAAAATCTTTATGCCTTATGAATAGCGCTCACTCCTTTAAAATAGGCCACTTTCATCCAACATCCGATTTTTAGTATGTCAATCCTTAAAGAAATCCAAACGATCCAAGCCGCGTCAAACCGACGAATTGTAAAAACGCTGCTCCTCCCAAGAATGGTCGGAATCGAAATACCCATTGGAACCATGACCCTTCGTGATGAGCAGCCCGTCCAAGCCATGTACGATTTTATCGATAAAGTCACCGCTTCCGCCATCACCTACCGGTCCATCCCGAACTTAAACTCTGACGCTTTCCTGGACGCCTTTCTGAATCAAATCCCAAGACAAGAAACCGAGCAATGCGTTCTACTTTGGATCGCAAAAACCATCATCGTCGCCCATATGACCTTCCATGAAACCAGAGACCGACTGATCGCATACCTCACGGATGCTTTCCAAACCAAGTATGGTCGACGTCAGATCCCATTTCGACCAATAGCATTGCCAAGAAACGAACTCCAAGACAAACTCCAAGCGATCGAAATCCGCGTTAAAGCGGTCGCTTCTACTATCATCCTCGCCAAACGCGTGGTCAAACCCGGCTTGCCAAAAATGGAGCCAACTCCGGCTAGAAAAGGGACCAGACAACGAATGCGAAAAATCCAACGTAACAGACGAAAGTGGTCGGCATCGAGCACCAAATCCAATGAGGCTTAACCAGTTAAAAATTTACTGTACTTCTTTTCCTGTCTCTCTCTTCCAGATTCCCTAAGGAGGGTAAAGTGTTATGATATAACTTATGTTTATGCAGCTGAGTGCCCAGGTTAGCCTGAGCATCTCGTTCCATCCTGACGATATGCCTCGTGCATAATTGATCAACCAATAAGAACCTGGATGGCTCGGGATGCAGCGTAGGATAGCCTGGGGGCTCAGCGATCAGTATATAAGGAAGACACCTTCCTTCAGATCAGTAACGTTCTCATTTCATACCATGTGCAAGACATGAAATAAAACACAAAATACGTTATACCAAAATATGCGTTAGTTTTTATTGCAAGATTGATACACCATTGCAAGGCAGCGCATAACACCGTGCGTTGCGAACTGCCGGCCACCAACAGGACATTCTGCTCGAGCTTGGTATTGAACTTGGCAGTCGACCAACGCTAGCACAGCGCGCGGGCCTCATAAAATCAAAACCGAAAAAATGGACAGAGAGCGATTGGAAATCCCTCGAAACATCCCTCTTGCAGAAACGCGCCTTTAGAGACATTTGTTCTATCTGCCTCAACCGACATGGGAAGCATCCGATTGCTATGACCACCTGTGCGCATGTTTTTCACCAAAGTTGCTTGAAAGCGACGAGGCAATCGAAAACTTTTCACAAATGTCCGCTTTGTCGGTAATGCCAAATTATACTTTCCAATAATTTATGCAACTTTAGTGAAGAATATAAAGAAAAAGTCACGAAACGCGGTCTCCGAGCGAGCCAGAACTACGCGGCAGCTCAAATCCAAGCTTGTGTTCGATCGTTTATGACGAGGCGACGTCTGGTCAAGAATTTTTCCTCCCGTCCGAACGTCAAAGCTCTCAAGTCCGAGTACGAGTCGTTTATTCTACGGAATTGGTCGAAAGAGGCCATTTCTTCTACTTCGACGATGATTTCCGAAACGGACAAGCTACTTGAAGCGTCTGAAGATGCACTCGCCGCCTCGAGGAGGATCTTTTCGCAGATCAAGCTAGCGCCAGAAAAGGAGAGCGAAGAATTCCAAGCGGCGGCAGAACGCTGTGTTCAAGATCGCTCCTGCTCAGTTTGTCTTTGTCCGTTCAAGGGAAAAACAGTTGCACTTCTTTCTTGCTCGCACGTGATTCACGACACTTGTAGAATTCAGCTCGAGTCTTTTTCGGGCAAAACGTTGTGTCCAGTTTGCAGACAATCGTATTCTTTCAAAGCTTCTGATCTTATGTCCTGATTTTTTTATTCTGATAAAGTTTTATTTTCACAAAATAACTATTTATCATTCATGCTTTCAGAAAAGAATGGAAGCTCGGCGCTTGAATCCTCGAAATCGTTTGGAAGGGGATCTTGTCAGCAAAGGCATCGGCGGAATCGCAAAGCAGAGAACTGCTTTGGGAAATGTACATGGGAACAGCAGACAGGTCGTTTTCTCTCTCTATTCTATCATTACCTGAATTTTAGATCAAAGACGATGCTTCCAAGCCCCATGTTAGAACCACCAGAGCACAGATGCTCCGGTCGAAGATGGTGGTCGACAATCAACGAACGAAGCCATCCCTCAAGTCGCAAAACCAGCCCATCAAAAGAAAGGCTGAGGTGAAAAAGGCGAAAATTGAGGTTCAAGAGAAGATCGAAGAAACAAAGCCACAAGTCCAGGATATGTCTTTCGACTCACCGATGGACGTGTCCATGCAAAGTCTCACGTCGGATGACAGCGTTGACGACAAAGTAATAAAGAAAACAGTTGATTTCTTCTCATTTCGCTTTTAGTTGCAAGCAGCAATTAAAAAGGTAAAAGAACACGACCTTCTCGACGATGCTAATGGTGGTCCGTATGTCGATACGATCTACAGCTACACGAAATTCCTCGAACATGCGTACCCTGTCAAGCCCCGCTTCCTCACTGGACAGAAAGAAATCAGCCACAAAATGCGAACGATCCTTGTCGACTGGATCGTCCAAGTCCACCAGCGATTCAAGCTTCAAAATGAGACCCTTCACTTAACTGTTGCCATTATGGATCGTTACTTGTCAAAGGTTCACGATTTGCCCAGAAAAGAAATGCAGTTGATCGGTCTCACTGCCATGCTTTTAGCGTCAAAATACGAAGGTTAGGACCTCAGTTGACAAACAATTTAAAACTTGTTGTAGAAATCTACATGCCCGATCTTGGAGACTTTGAATTTATCTGCGATAATGCGTACACCAAAGGTTAGCTAACTGTCAGTGTCTTCAGAAGAAATCTTTGATTTTATTCTATTTTCTAGACGATTTCAAAGCTACGGAAATTGAAATGCTCGACGTTCTCCAGTGCAATCTCGCCTTTGGCCTCTCAATTGAGCATCTTAGAAGATATTCGACGGTCCTTACGGATGAGATTGATGGAATTCATGTAAGGGAAGAAATGTTTGTCATTCCATGAAAAATATTCTAGCACTCTCTCGGAAAGTATTTTACCGAGCTTTCTTTGATGGACTACGACTTGTGCACATTCAAGCCCTCGATCATTGGCGCTGGATCGATGAAACTCGCTCTGGAAATTCATGGGAACAAAGAGTGGGATTGCAGGCTCGTTCACTTCAGGTAAGACTTTGCGGATATAAAAGGTCAAATTCAATGAATTTTCTAAAGTGGCTACAAGGCAGAGGACCTTGAATTTTTCATAAACATGCTCTGCAAAACGATCTACATGGTTCACTTCACAAAGTCAAAGTACCAAGCCAGCAGGAAGAAATACTCCAGCGAAAAGGTAACCTTAACTTTTCTCCCTCTATCTCAAATTCCTTCTAGCTCTACGCCGCGGCAACATATCACAAGTTCGAGGAAATGAAAGAAGAAATCTACCGACGCGCAAAACTAGCGAAGGAGCAAATGGACAAGCGCTGATTCCAAATCCCGACACTCTTTTTTTTTTCTTTTCTGTGTTTCAATTTTTTATACCCACGCCACTTTTTACTTTTCTCATTCCCATAAAATAAACAAGTACTAAAAATACAAATTTGATGATCGCAGTATGCTTCCTATATACTGTCAGCATTCCTTTTTGACCGTCTTACCCAACTAGAAGTTTTGAATGAAGTAAAAAAAAGACCGTGCTCGTCAAAGTTCTGTTTATCTTGTGCAGTTAAGTTCCAAAAAAGAGCCTCACAAGAGCCTGAAAATATTGAATTTCCCCTGTTTTTTCCTTTTCTTTATAACTCACGTGATCCATCCTTGCTTCTTACGTTCCAATTAGTTAAACCCGACTAACTGCCCTATCTATTCTTCTCTCCCTCATCTTTCTCTTCCCCGAAACGGAGGCGCATATTGAAACTATATGTTATAATGTATCGGCATATAGTATTACGGGAATCGATTTTGACGAATCGATAGTTAGTTCCTGCCTCCGCTGTCTGAGGTGTCTATAGTTCGACCTTGATTCTAATACTCAAATCGTTTTATTTTTTAACCTGCGAGAAACAAAAAACTGGGAAATCCGAAAATAAACTTTCATCCGAACGAAAAACCAAAGCACCGGCTAGCACCAGCCGCCCACAAGGTGGCGCACTTATGGTGGAATGTTATTTCCAGCACGGAAACAGCACGAAACCAACGAAAAAGCAATGCGCCACCGACGAGGCTTGTCACTTGACTTATATTATTCACATTAATAACGTAGATGCCAATAATTCATATAAAATTAAAGCCAGGGTGGCAAATTGGACAATTTTGCGTTATCCAAAATCATTTTCTTCCAGTACCATTTTAATCATTTTTTCACCCTCGAGACTTAGATGAAAACGAACTCAATCCCTTCCAAGGAAAGCTTAAAATTTTTGCAAGTTGTACTTGATTTTGAATTTGGTAAAGCAGGTTTTGAAAAGCTCCCTAAAGCGGATTGTATTTCGCTAGAAAACCGCCAAGAGTGTACGCAGTATCAGGAGGAGTGTGGTCATTATTATACGCATCGTCGAAACGGCAGCGGCCACGGCTACGACTGGGGATATTATACGATCTACTGCTGCTGCACTTCGCCTCTCTGCAACCACTATACAAATGCGACACTTCGATCATGCTCTGCGGACGAATGCACTTCCACGAATCACACGAAACTCTCCGAAAGTTGCTTTTGCAACGACCCGACGGATAAAATACGATTCGATGATCTTCCACTCCCGTCAGAGCAGATATCACTCGATGCGCTTATCATTCATTATCTTTCTATCCTCATCTTTGTCGTTTTGGTTTGTTGTCTTTCAGCTATCATTATCAAAAAAGGTATATAAGAGGATTGAAGTTGACCTAGATAAAGTAGTTTTTCACTTCGCTTTCTGAGATTTCTGACATCTATCGTTCAGTTTATCGCAAGTGGCGTCATAAACGAACGTCTACCGCATCGAATGAAAGTCTTGAGATCGATGAAAGTAGGCTACAAGCTAATCGCTTCGATATGATGCTCAGACCTTCACACTACGACGCACCGATAACTGGCTCGGCTACTCATTTTAAGACGCAATTTAAAACAAAATTACTGAATAGATTGACGTAAATCAGCTTTATAACCTCCCCTTGATAAAGTTTAAACACAGATGGAATTCTTCGCGTCTCGAGATTAATATTGCCAGATAAGCTGATTAAGATGCTCCAAAAAGGGATAGCCGAGGGCAGAGGAAAAGTTCAAAGACTACAAATATGCTTACGGAGGGCCGAATAGCAAGTCTATGCTTGGAAATGGAAGATATGGAACCGTCCATTTAGGTATGAATACATTAATCGCCGCCATTTGAATCTGAAAGTTTGAACTTCAATCGACCAAACTGTGACCCAGAAGTGGTAGATTAATGCACTAAATCTACCACCTCTGTGTCTACTTTTTTTTCTACATGGGTTGAACTCGAATCACTCGAAATTCTCGCGGGAAAAGTTCAACCATAAACCGGAGCTGGAAAGTTTTGCCCGCGGAATAATCAGACATCCGGCTGCGACTATAGATCGTGTCTTCTTGTCCTCGGGAAGGCAATTGCAGAGCTCAACCTTTTCGAAACAACCCCTGTAGAAAAAGCAAGCTTGGCAAATGGACACAACTTTTATTGAGTAGAATGTGCCATCGATCACAGATTTCTCTATTTATGTAAAGGAAAAGTTTTTGAAAACACTAATATCAAAAATATCATAGGATGTTTAGATAAACAATTTTCAATAGTTCGTATCTGAGTGTCTCTCAATTAATTTTTGTTCTGTTAGAAAATCTCATCCTTCCCAAAAACATTGTTTTCGATTAACTACGTTTCTGCGTCTGGATCTCAGAGAGAGAATGATGCGGAGTAGCGCGACTAATAGACGCCGACTACTATAGCCCGTGTCCTCTTGTCCCCAGGATATGGCTTCCACAGTTCGCCAATTCTATTGAATTACCCGTAGAACTTCTACGGTAGAAGTAAAAGGCTGGTCCAATAGAGGACAAGATGAATTTCCCGTTTTTGGAGATGTCAGGAATAATATCCGTGGAACATTCCATCTCGCACCGTTCGCAGAACTAACTTAAGACGTGGGAATTTTCGCGAGATTGACGACCGCAAAGATTCCACAAGCATAATTAAACAGCCGAAACGACCCATAGACCTTGTCTTCTAATCCCTGCGGCACAAAACCTAAGTTGCTACTCGCCAAAACTTCTTCCTGGACTTCAAAGTCTCGCCACTGCGGGATAGCAAATTCGATGGCATTAATTTTGTGTCGTTTCCTCTAAGAACAAACGTTTGTAAGGTGCGGTTTTTATTCGAATGGTAGTGATTTTCTAGGAAACCTCAAATGGACAAGGTTAAATGAGCCTAGGTGATCTGCTCCTCAATCGCTTATTGACAATAAGCGATCGACTTTTTTGTAACCAGATGCACTTTGAGATTTTCCTAAAGGGAATATTATCCGTCGTACTTTTGGCAACACTTAGGGAAACAGGAATCCAGGGTTTGGAAAGTCTGAGCATAGTATGCTCAGCCGTGATTTGAGCTCTCCGTGCTCAGCCGTGCCCATGCTCGTCCAAAATTTGTGACTTTTCAAACCCTGCAGGAATCTCTTAACCCCTGCCCGCATATCGACCTACGCGTAGGTCGGGCCTTTTGAGGGTCTTTCAGTCGTGATAAAATTTTCGAAAGGACTTGAATGGAAAGATAAAAGGCTGAGCTATCTTCTGGACATTATCAAATTTCAAATATCCAGTGTCAAACGTGAACAAATGTCGTTTTTCCATAAGTAAAATTGGGATTAAAAGACCTACGCGTAGGTCAATATGCGGGCAGGGGTTAAGAAAATATTTTGAAGCTTTCTTGCAGAAGTTTTGAAACCGTGCCGATCCGACCATTACCATTTTATAGACATAAATTGAACGATAACTTATTAACTTCAATAGTTGAAAAGTCAAGTGGCGAGTTGTATGCGATGAAGATCTTCATGTTCCAGGGTCAACAACGTAATCCTGATGATCCGATGATCCGTGCAATGTGGCAAAAAGAATATCAACATCTGAATAAGTGCACGCATCCCAACATTGTCCGGCGAGAAGGCGCTGGACGGTTTAAATATGGCTTTGGGATCTTAACTTAAAACAAGCAGCTTTTTTATGCTCATTTTTTACAGGTTTGATTTTGCTGAAATTGCCTGCGCGTTGTTTTTGAACCGGTAAATAACCAGTGCTTTTTGAACTCTTCTGACTTGAATTCTGCGACTTCTAATTCTAGCATAAAATTTGGTTAGGTAAAAGTGACTTAATTCTCAAGTTAAAATCCTTGACAGTGCGTTAAATTGTTTCGCGATCGTCCTCGAATACTGCAAGCTTGGAAGTCTATCTTCTTGGTTGAACGAGTGTGCTAGAGAGCAGCGCGCCGTTCCCCTTTATTCCGCCGTTAAAATCGCCAAAGATATTGCATCAGTTACGGGATATATTCACGATCGGACTCTGAGAGTCCGATAAACCTAGACCAAGTCACGCTTTTTAAGAGAAAATATCAACGCTGCTAAAAATGACCAAAGGTGTTCCCTCTGGTGTGAATAATTAGTCCGAACTATGGCTGCCCGAACTTCTAAAAAAGACGCACTATAAATGCCATGGCATTGCAATTTGCCATTGACACCTTAAAGTTTTAAAGGCTTAAACCGTGTCTTCACTTTCAAATTCAGTCAAAAAGAGAAAGTATATCAATAAAAAGCTCTGGAATTTCTGCATGAGCCGAGTCGAGAATCTGGACTTTATGTTCGGATTCCTGTTGCTCACAGCTAGGGTGATCAAAAGTGAGTATATTTATAAAGTCCAATATATAATCTGAAACTGCTTTGATCCAAATTTACCAACTTTTCGTGTTTCTCGTATAAAATTGCCCACCCGTAATGATCAGAGACGTCAAATCAACTAATATACTTCTACGAAGCAATACTCACGCACTCTTGTCAGACTTTGGTCTTGCAATAAGTCTCGGTAATCTATTAACTGCGGTGCAAACATGTTTCATACGGAATTAAGAGTCGCTTGTGGGCACGGCGGAGAAAGTTGACAAAGAAAATACACAGGTTCGTCCTCCCTCCTTTCTGATAAGAAAGACTATTTTGATTTTAGCCGGACATTGACTACTACAGGATCAAGCAATGTGGAACTCCAAGGAATGTGGTTAGAAAGAAGGACAGAATCTGACGGTTTATTTCAAACAAAATTCAAGGGGAATATTATTAGTGACAACTTTTTTAAACCTTGGTTTGTGAGCTGACATCAATTTGCGAATGTCATTAAATTCTCGCCATAAATCAGGCGGCAATTATTTTTCGTTAAGCGACCGTAAAAATTAACAGGCATCAAAATTCACGTCAAATTCAAGTCTGACGATTCGCTTTTTCAAAGTCAAGTTCGTTCACTTTTCTCTCTTAAAAGGTCTCCCAGTTAAAACATCTTGCGGCATTCTTACAATACCGGTTAATTGGATTTCGCGGGTCAAGTCGATAATTTGAAGAAACGATATAAAACTGTGAAAAGCGTTAGCATTGGACGGAAAAAATCCAAATTTAAAAATCTTTTTTGGAATTTCATTTTTATTGTTTCCATCAAATTCTCCATATTCGAAAACCTAGAAAAAAATTATTTGTTTAGACAGGAGGCCTTCTAAATATTTTTAATATTCATCTAAAAGTGCAAAAATGCCCTTCAGGAAAAGCTTCTTTTGAAAGGGTTCCGGTAATTTTCTTTTGATTTCTTTCCTCGACCATCTAGAGACAGGTCTCGGACAGTTCGGTTAGCAAAAAAATAAATAATACTTATTGTCTTCATGCTCAAAATATGCATTAAATAACGTGTTAATGACCAAAAACACCGAAAACGTGAAAAAACGCTGAACGATCAATGATCGTCATTCTATTTAGCGAAAAAGTCGAATAAGTCAAAGGCAAGATATTTCAAAATAATTGCCTATCGAAATATATAAATGTATATTATTCATTAAGAGCTATTTTGTCAATTCACAGAGATGCGACTATTTGGCTATTTTTCAATCAACTTAATAATCTCAGAGGCTACGAAACGCAAAACGACCAATTTTTAACGACATTGTTATTTTTGAATGCTTAAAAATAACCATTCATTGTACGGATAGTCGAAATCTTGGGGCCTCAATCTCATTTTCTCAAACTTGTTCAAATACAGTCACTTATCATGTCTGCAAAATTTCATGCGATTTGAAACGCAGCGCGACCATTTTTAGTATAATTTATTATAAAGCTTTAAATAGCTCTAGAATCTGAGTTTTCGGGCCTCCAAGCTGATTGCTCTTGACCAAACTTTGGTATATGTAAACTACATTTATGCAAAATTTCATAAAATTTGAGACGCAGCGCGACCCTTTTTGTCCAAATTATATCGAAATTCTATAAAAATAGCAATTTATTAGTTGGTTTTGGCTCTAGAATCCAAGTTTCGAGAGCCTCCAACCTAATTCTTCTCAAGCAGGGTAAGAAGACTATATTCTATCTGACTGCCTAATTTCAATCAAATCGAGACGCAGCGCGACCATTTTTTACGAAAAATGATAATAATAACCACTTATTAGTAAGTTTTGGATCAAGAATCCAAGTTCCAATGGCCTCCAGCCCAATTTTTCTCATGCGAGTTTCAGCGGGTGCTTTTTATCAACCTACCAAAAATCAATCGATTTGAAGCGCAGCGCGGTCATTTTAAGACAATTTATTACTAATAAGTGGTTATTATTATCATTTTTCGTAAAAATGGTCGCGCTGCGTCTCGATTTGATTGAAATTAGGCAGTCAGATAGAATATAGTCTTCTTACCCTGCTTGAGAAGAATTAGGTTGGAGGCTCTCGAAACTTGGATTCTAGAGCCAAAACCAACTAATAAATTGCTATTTTTATAGAATTTCGATATAATTTGGACAAAAAGGTCGCGCTGCGTCTCAAATTTTATGAAATTTTGCATAAATGTAGTTTACATATACCAAAGTTTGGTCAAGAGCAATCAGCTTGGAGGCCCGAAAACTCAGATTCTAGAGCTATTTAAAGCTTTATAATAAATTATACTAAAAATGGTCGCGCTGCGTTTCAAATCGCATGAAATTTTGCAGACATGATAAGTGACTGTATTTGAACAAGTTTGAGAAAATGAGATTGAGGCCCCAAGATTTCGACTATCCGTACAATGAATGGTTATTTTTAAGCATTCAAAAATAACAATGTCGTTAAAAAATTGGTCGTTTTGCGTTTCGTAGCCTCTGAGATTATTAAGTTGATTGAAAAATAGCCAAATAGTCGCATCTCTGTGAATTGACAAAATAGCTCTTAATGAATAATATACATTTATATATTTCGATAGGCAATTATTTTGAAATATCTTGCCTTTGACTTATTCGACTTTTTCGCTAAATAGAATGACGATCATTGATCGTTCAGCGTTTTTTCACGTTTTTCGGTGTTTTTGGTCATTAACACGTTATTTAATGCATATTTTGAGCATGAAGACAATAAGTATTATTTATTTTTTTTGCTAACCGAACTGTCCGAGACCTGTCTCTAGATGGTCGAGGAAAGAAATCAAAAGAAAAATTACCGGAACCCTTTCAAAAGAAGCTTTTCCTGAAGGGCATTTTTGCACTTTTAGATGAATATTAAAAAATATTTAGAAGGCCTCCTGTCTAAACAAATAATTTTTTTCTAGGTTTTCGAATATGGAGAATTTGATGGAAACAATAAAAATGAAATTCCAAAAAAGATTTTTAAATTTGGATTTTTCCGTCCATTTCTCTTGCCATTTTATCTCGGGATCTTATGGTCGGCCGAGCCCGCAAAACCTGGAAACCTAAACGTGAAAAATCTTTGACATATTCATTTTTAAAAAGCTGAGACTCTTTGGCCCCAACCTTTTACCACAGTTCGGCTGGACCTAAACTTGAACGCGTCTTCTTGTCGCAGATTTTCTAATCGTATCCAAAGATACCTTGCCCCTGAACTTTTAGAAGGACCGATGGATGTTTACAACTTCGCCAATGCATTTCGCCAAGGCAAGCGATTTTAATCGAACTCAAATATCGCTAATTTCGTTAATTCAGCTGATGTTTATTCCATGGCGCTGGTTCACTGGGAGCTCTTTAGAATGGTCAAAGAGCTAAATAGTGATTATCACTTTACTCATGAGCTGCCATATCAAAAGAACTAGGAAAGAGGGAGAGAATGGATCCTTTTTTAATTTCATTCAATCATCTGTCAAGTTGACTTTAATATTTATTCTACGAAAGCTGGCTGTCGAGCAACAGTAGCAAGTTTACAGAGAATCGTCTCAGACGCAGGTAAGCTAGAAACAACAAGAATCTATTTGGCTTTAGTGAATAATTCTAGCGATTCTTGAATAGGCCCTCGCGATAATTCTTCATCTTTTCAGGTCTGCGGCCGATCATCCCCTCGTCGTTCGAAGACTCGCCCTTCGGCCTCGTTCTTCAGCGAATATTTACAGAAGGGTGATTTTGTTAGCATAACAAACTGACAGGCGAATTAATTTTGTCCGTCTCTTTAATTTGAACATTTGCATTTTTATTATTCACCCGCGCTATTAGAAAGTTGGGAGTATGATCCCGCCGCTAGAATCACATCAGCCACAGTTCACATGAGACTTGAAGGTAAAAACGACCCAGAAACAAACGATAATGTTCCTTTTCCAGAGCTGCTAGAGAATTCGCCAGCGCAACGAATCGCCACAGAAAAATTGTGATTGACTTCAGTTCAGATTCTTATTTTATTTTTCAATCATAAACTTTACTATTTACTTTTATTATGACTTAAGTGACATAATTTGTGTCACATAAAAGACACGAGTTGATTGATATGTTAATCTAACAAGCGGCAATTTTTAGACTTTATGAGGTCGAGATCGATATCAGAAAGAGAGTATCAGATATGACAGAGACGGCGAATCCACCCGACGAAGGTCTCCTCTGCTACAACAAGGATTCGAGAAAGGATGAAGAGCCGTACTTGCAGAAATGCGAAACGGGAGGCTGCATGCTCACTTATTCTTTCAACCGGAGTTATTACAATGAGAATGGAACGCCTGATAGTCACCTCGACGGACACGACGAAGGAAAGAGAAAAGATCTGACAGTTCTTTCTGCGCAGTGCATCATCGCCAAATATTACACAGAGTGCATTAATTCGACCGACAGCTGCGAGCATTTTTGGTCGATTCCACAAGCGGACGATATCTACCATTTGCACTGCTGCTGTACTGGAAGTCGCTGTAATCACATTGTAAGAAGAAATAGTAAAAACTTATTGAATGTCTTTTAGAGCAAAACTTCTTTATCAAGATGCAGTGCTGATGACTGTGAAACTGAAACTGGGCGAAGGAATAGCTGTTTTTGCCCAACTGAGCCTCCTTCTACGATTGAAACAACTACTGTAAGATCATTCGTTATTCACGAGAATCTACCGATTATTTTCAGCTCGGACCAACTTCTGATGAAATTATCGTCAAGTGCATCATTATTGGCTTTTTGTTCTTCAGCTCGATTGGACTCTACTTTTTATACACCTCGATTCGAAAGGCCCGCGCCGGGCTGGAAAGAAATAGCCACTCTCTTCGGAACCTGAGAGAATACTCGAACGCCGGCCATGCAAATATCCAAAGTGTGGCGAGAGCTGATGTAGAATCGGATCTTAGGCAAGTTTTTATTGAAAAATTGATGTAAGAGAAACTTTTCTAGGCCTTTGATAGAAATTCCAGAGACAGTAGAAGAAAGAATGGATGAAAAGTTCAAAATTTTAAATATTGCTCCGATGGACCAAACGAAGATTCGCTTCTTGGAGAGGGCCGTTATGGCGCCGTTCATAAAGTTCAGGATAGGCTTTGAATGAATTTTGATCAACAATCATCGCATTATACAAATTATAGAAATTTCACACAGAAGAATGTGACATTAAACCCTTCAAAGAATCAGCGTGGAGAGATTTACGCGATGAAGATTTTCAGACACAAGGGACAGCCGAGCGAAGCAACCAGCCCAACAGTTCAGCTCATGTGGCGCAAAGAATTCGAGCACTTGAATCTCTGCGCGGATGAGAATATCGTCAAGCGCGAGGGCGCTGGCCGCTTCAAATATCATGGCACGCTTAACTATGCGATTCTACTGGAGTACTGCCCGATGGGAAGTTTAAGCTCGTATTTGGACAAGGTTCAGAGTGAAAATATCCAGATCCCATTAGCGAACGCGTTGAAACTCGCGCAGGACATTGCCAGTGGCATGGAATTTCTCCACGAAGCGGACTCCCCATCCGGCGGGCCAATTCGCGTTCCCGTTGCGCACCGAGACATCAAATCGTCGAATATTCTCCTCAAAGCGCCTGATCACGCGGTTATTTCCGACTTCGGCCTTGCCATTGCCCTACGCGCACCAACTGCCAATCAACCTGCTGGACAGAATTCTATCGATATGGATGTCAACCGAACGAAGCAATGCGGCACGCCGCGCTATTTATCGCCTGAACTACTCGAAGGCCAAATCGGTGTCCATTTTGCCGATGCATTTAGACAAGGTGAAGTCGATTTTGCCGCGTTTTGAATGAAATTAATCGAATCTTTAGCGGATGTCTATTCTATGAGCATCGTTCAATGGGAACTCTTCCGCATGGTGCAGGCCTTGAACTATGACTTTGATGGAATCCACGAACTGCCATTTGCCAGGGAACTGAACGGTAGAAAAGCTACGATTGAATCCCTTCAGCATATAGTTACAAAAGGTAAGTTTAAATATCACGCCCTGTTCATGCTTTCTCGGTCAACCCGAGGCTTCCGGATTGTGTGTCGCAATTTGGAAACCTAAACCGAATTCGATCCGCTTTGTGGAACAGCCACGAAGGAGCCAACAAGACAGTTGGTCCCCCAAAACCGGAAGCGTTTATGAATTAACCTTTTGTTGCGTTTTACACCGTGTCTTCGATTTTGAACGTTCAGCAGATTTTCAGGCAACTTTCGTTTGTCACGGTTTCTACCGCTTTTTCACGGCTATTATAGTTTGCTTCAAATTACATATTTTTTCAGGAATACGACCTCAGATACCAGAATCATTTGAGAAAGATCGCCTCTATGGTTAGGGTGAATTTACAAAAATCAACTTTTAATCTAGGGGTCGTACGGCTTTCAAATTTTGTATGGAATTTCCCCATCCATATGAATCTCATATCGAAGAGATTTTTTAAATATGTCACGTGATTTTCTTCCAGCGCCCTCCGAAGTGGACGAAAAACTAAACTTTTGAGCGCCTCAAGTTACGAGAACGTGAGTAGGCTCATTCGAAGCGCCTTAAAAACTGATCATTTTGAGATAAAAATTTAGTGAAGCTCATTCAGATCGATCAGGAATGACCTGGAGGACCTTTTCTAAAGCCGGTGGAAGAAAATAAATTGGTGGAAGACAAATAATTCTTACAATCGTAATTTGAACATTAAAAGGGTTGGTCCAAAGCTTCCCGAAAAATATAATAAATAAAAATTTGAAGGGTGTAGCCTCCATAAAACCCATTTTTTCCAAATTTTCGGATTTTTGGCTCCGGAGCCCCAATTTTCAGTTTTTTTCAATTTTTATTAAGGGTTCATTAAATTCGAAGTAAATTCTCGGTAGAGAAATATTTTTATAAATTATCGATAAAAACCTTAACAAGACTTTAAACATGAACAATATAAATTTTTACATCGAATGGAGGTGGGAGGGGTTGGGGACGAAACTGAGAGTGATCAACTCAGGTTTCCCAGCCTTTGTCAAGCCCCTTAAATTAGAAAATCAAGGAACGGGGCTGAGACGGCCCGAAGGGCCGTCAAGCCCCTTAAATTAGAAAATCAAGGAACGGGGCTGAGACGGCCCGAAGGGCCGTCAAGCCCTTAAATTAGAAAATCAAGGAACGGGGCTGAGACGGCCCGAAGGGCCGTCAAGCCCTTAAATTAGAAAATCAAGGAACGGGGCTGAGACGGCCCGAAGGGCCGTCAAGCCCTTAAATTAGAAAATCAAGGAACGGGGCTGAGACGGCCCGAAGGGCCGTCAAGCCCCTTAAATTAGAAAATCAAGGAACGGGGCTGAGACGGCCCGAAGGGCCGTCAAGCCCTTAAATTAGAAAATCAAGGAACGGGGCTGAGACGGCCCGAAGGGCCGTCAAGCCCCTTAAATTAGAAAATCAAGGAACGGGGCTGAGACGGCCCGAAGGGCCGTCAAGCCCTTAAATTAGAAAATCAAGGAACGGGGCTGAGACGGCCCGAAGGGCCGTCAAGCCCTTAAATTAGAAAATCAAGGAACGGGGCTGAGACGGCCCGAAGGGCCGTCAAGCCCTTAAATTAGAAAATCAAGGAACGGGGCTGAGACGGCCCGAAGGGCCGTCAAGCCCTTAAATTAGAAAATCAAGGAACGGGGCTGAGACGGCCCGAAGGGCCGTCAAGCCCTTAAATTAGAAAATCAAGGAACGGGGCTGAGACGGCCCGAAGGGCCGTCAAGCCCCTTAAATTAGAAAATCAAGGAACGGGGCTGAGACGGCCCGAAGGGCCGTCAAGCCCCTTAAATTAGAAAATCAAGGAACGGGGCTGAGACGGCCCGAAGGGCCGTCAAGCCCCTTAAATTAGAAAATCAAGGAACGGGGCTGAGACGGCCCGAAGGGCCGTCAAGCCCCTTAAATTAGAAAATCAAGGAACGGGGCTGAGACGGCCCGAAGGGCCGTCAAGCCCCTTAAATTAGAAAATCAAGGAACGGGGCTGAGACGGCCCGAAGGGCCGTCAAGCCCCTTAAATTAGAAAATCAAGGAACGGGGCTGAGACGGCCCGAAGGGCCGTCAAGCCCCTTAAATTAGAAAATCAAGGAACGGGGCTGAGACGGCCCGAAGGGCCGTCAAGCCCCTTAAATTAGAAAATCAAGGAACGGGGCTGAGACGGCCCGAAGGGCCGTCAAGCCCCTTAAATTAGAAAATCAAGGAACGGGGCTGAGACGGCCCGAAGGGCCGTCAAGCCCCTTAAATTAGAAAATCAAGGAACGGGGCTGAGACGGCCCGAAGGGCCGTCAAGCCCCTTAAATTAGAAAATCAAGGAACGGGGCTGAGACGGCCCGAAGGGCCGTCAAGCCCCTTAAATTAGAAAATCAAGGAACGGGGCTGAGACGGCCCGAAGGGCCGTCAAGCCCCTTAAATTAGAAAATCAAGGAACGGGGCTGAGACGGCCCGAAGGGCCGTCAAGCCCTTAAATTAGAAAATCAAGGAACGGGGCTGAGACGGCCCGAAGGGCCGTCAAGCCCTTAAATTAGAAAATCAAGGAACGGGGCTGAGACGGCCCGAAGGGCCGTCAAGCCCCTTAAATTAGAAAATCAAGGAACGGGGCTGAGACGGCCCGAAGGGCCGTCAAGCCCTTAAATTAGAAAATCAAGGAACGGGGCTGAGACGGCCCGAAGGGCCGTCAAGCCCCTTAAATTAGAAAATCAAGGAACGGGGCTGAGACGGCCCGAAGGGCCGTCAAGCCCCTTAAATTAGAAAATCAAGGAACGGGGCTGAGACGGCCCGAAGGGCCGTCAAGCCCCTTAAATTAGAAAATCAAGGAACGAGGCTGAGACGGCCCGAAGGGCCGTCAAGCCCCTTAAATTAGAAAATCAAGGAACGGGGCTGAGACGGCCCGAAGGGCCGTCAAGCCCCTTAAATTAGAAAATCAAGGAACGGGGCTGAGACGGCCCGAAGGGCCGTCAAGCCCCTTAAATTAGAATATCAAGGAACGGGGCTGAGACGGAGAGAGTCTCGAACAAATTGAGACCTCCTTATCAGAAAATGACCTGTATCACGTGATCACGTGGTCAGACCAAAAAATTTTCAATTAGAATTTTTTTAGTTGGGTCCAAATACCTATTGTCCCAAAATTTCAGCCCACTAACATTGAATGTTCTAGTGGAGGACTTATTTTCACTTTGTTACTATGTTACATAACAGTGTTATGTAACACTTGAATGCCGATTGTGAGTCATCGGTGAGAGCTTCACTAAATTTTTTTTTTGAATTTTGATCAGAAGTCGACGGCGCATCGATTCCGACCAAAAAGAGCACTCAGACTTGAGGCGCTCAAAAGATAGTCCTTTATGGGGCCGAAAAGGGTTGAAAAACGAAAAAATTTTTTTTCAAAACAAAAAAAAAATTTTGTTAAGAAGTCGGGTATGATCTTTCACCATGCCGAGTTTCAACAAGATAGGATCTATAGGGAAAAAGTTGATTTTTTTGTAAATTCACCCTATCTATGGTGCTACCATTAAGAACATTCTTATACAAAGCTGGGATGGTGATCCATGTGCCCGAATCAATGCAGCTACTGTTAGCAAGCGGTTACAAGGTAAGCAACTATCTAGGCTCGACAACATGTGTAGAAAACTTGTGTCAGGGTCTTCAATCGCGTAGCGGCTTCGCTAGAATTCGAAATCGTTTGAAATTATTTTTTTGCGAAGCCGCTCTCGTTGAAGATGTTTGGGATGTTGACTCAGATTTTCTACACAGTCGACTTTATCCGAATCTCTGTTTATTCAATCGTTCAGATCTTATCAATCAACACGCTAAAACGAATCCGAAACCTCAAGATTGCTGAAACTCAAAAACTTCTATCAACAAAATTTGCCAGAAACAATCTTTCTTATCGAAGATCTCTCCACTTATCAACATAAACACTTTTACTTCTGTAATTAGGTTGCCTTCTTGATTCTCTTTTTCTTCAAAGACCTACCTTGAAATAAAAGCCCATGATAAACAGACAGCATAAAAACCGGCGTTGCTTTAGAAAGAAGGAGATGACAGATGGGAATGATGACGAGGGTTACCAGAAAATTGATAAAATTGGAGAAGGAACGTATGGGGTCGTGTACAAGGCGAAAAACAGAGCCACGGGAAGGCTAGTCGCGCTGAAGGTAAATTCCAAAACTTTTCGCTGCTTCATAGATGATAATTATCGGCTAACACTAAGCTAGAAAATCAGACTGGAGACAGAGTCCGAAGGCGTTCCGTCGACAGCGATTCGTGAAATTTCCCTTCTGAAGGAACTCGACCATCCGAATGTTGTTTCGCTTATTGATGTGATTCACACGAATAAAAAGCTCTATCTCGTCTTTGAATATATCGACATGGACTTGCGAAAATTCATGGGTGAAATACAAGCGGATTTTTCAAAGATTCAAACTTTTTAGTAAACAGACTCGCTGGGAAATGACTCGATGCCTCTCCCTCTCGTCAAATCCTACATTTGGCAGCTTTTGCAAGGAGTTGCGTTTTGCCACGCGCACAGAGTGCTCCATCGGGATCTAAAACCCCAAAATCTTCTTGTCGATCGAAACGGAGCAATAAAATTGGCTGATTTTGGCCTGGCTCGAGCGTTCGGTGTTCCTGTCAGAATTTACACGCATGAAGTTGTGACGCTTTATTACAGACCGCCGGAGATTCTTCTCGGAGCCAAGTACTACTCCACCGCAATCGGTAAAATTGATAGAAAAGCAATGAATGACTGATTGTTTTGTTTTCCAGACGTCTGGTCGCTGGGTTGTATATTTGCTGAAATGCTGACAAAAAAGCCACTCCTTCCTGGCGACTCAGAAATCGACCAGTTGTACAAAATCTTTCAATTCCTCGGAACTCCCAACGAAGAGCTCTGGCCCGGTCTTTCTGCGCTTCCTGGTACATATCTTTTATCATGTTTACGACGCTCAACAGTCTGTTTTAGAGTATCAGCCTGTCTTCCCCGTCTGGAAGCGCAAAAACATCGGACATGAGATCGGCCTGCCCAATAATAGTGATGCAGTTATTCTTATAGAAAAGGTTAGAGAAATAAGGAGAAATACAATATTCCTACAGACTGTAGGCTACAGTAAAAACCCAAACTTCAGCACCTGAAATTCCAATTGGAATGCGACTATATTTTTTCGGGAATCCTTATATTTTCTCATAAAAATTGCAGAAATTCTGCAAAATTGCCCAAAAGTCTACCGCTTTTGACACAATTTTTGGTCTGAAAAGCGGCTGGATCTCGGTCTTCCCTGTAATGCGTTAGAGTCTTTGAATCCTTCCGCTTTGCGGGACAGCTTTGTATAAGCAACTTGGAAGATCCACGCAAGGCCGGAAGCGTTCTTGAATTAACCTTTAGTTGAGTTTTACACCGTGTCTTCGATTTTGAACGTTCAGCAAATCGTTCTACCCGGAACTTCGGAGCCATAACAATCTGACGAAGGCCGGCTTTTTTTTCTTCAAACATCGGAAATCAAATAGTCCCGCTTTTTAAGTTATCATAATGGTGAAGTCATTTTTAACAGAAAAGGCGTGAGAGAAGATTATTTCCGGAATATTCTTCCTTCTTGCGCAACATTTGAAAAAATCTTCATTTTTTTTCCGAGTTTCGAGTCAAAACTTTCGACCAATTGAAAAATATCATCATCGACTCACTCGATAGATCTGAGCCGAAAAAGAGCGAGTTTTTCTCCTTTGAAAGTGGCATTGACCGAGAATCGATCCAGAATAAAGAAACTATTAATAATAAGACATGAATTTTTAAGATGCTGATTTACGAGCCCTCTCGGCGAATACCAGCCAAGACAGCCTTGCAGTCGAAATTCTTCGACGACCGAACACAGGTCCTGCCTAACTTCAAGTGAATTCCCTTCATACCGACAGAAATCAACAACTACTGCCTACAGTTTTCTTCTGCTGTACGCTTCCCAAACTACATGTATCACTTATTTTTATAAAAAATTATTTTGCTGCTCAATGAATCAACCCTTCTTGTGCCTTCTTCTTTACAGAGATAGTCAAAAACTATAAACTTGTGTATAATCATCAAACCGACCTTGAATTCTTTTTTTCTTATATTTTCTTTTTTCAGAGAACTTTCCAAAAATGAGCTCTGCCGAAGCGGGACCCTCTCATCTGGAAAAAGGATCGGATCAAGCAGGAGCTGTCCACAACGACCTCGAAAAGCTCCTGTGCCAGGGGATTATCAAAAGCGACTTGAACAAATTAAAGAGCGCCGGGCTGCATACAGTGGAGCAAGTCTCTATGTGCACTAAGAAGGATCTAATCGCGATAAAAGGGTTCTCCGAGAACAAAGCCATGGCAATTCTTCATCAAGCTCTGAAAATTGTGCCAATGGGTAAGTAATTTTAATTATAATTTTAAAGGATTTTATCCATTTTCAAGGCTTTCGAACTGCGACGGATTACCACAAAGCGCGACAAGAAATGGTCAGAATCACGACTGGAAGCAAAGAATTCGACAGAATGCTCGCGGGCGGCATCGAAACAGGAAGCATTACGGAGCTCTTTGGCGAATTTCGAACTGGCAAGTCGCAGCTGTGCATGACCCTTGCTGTCACGTGCCAATTGCCAGTGGATTTGGGCGGTGGCGAGGGAAAATGCCTCTACATCGATACGGAAGGAACTTTTCGCCCTGAGAGACTGCTTGCCATTTCAGAGCGATACGGACTGTCTGGAAAAGACGTGCTCGATAATGTCGCCGTGGCACGTGCCTTCAGCACAGATCATCAGGTTTCTTTTGACTTTATTTCTTAAAAGGCCAAAAAATGAGAAAAAAGAGAGCTCTCGTAACGGTGTACTTAGATGACTATGCTCCACACATGTGCTGCAATGATGACTGAATCACGATACTCCATCATGATTGTCGACTCAATTATGGCCCTCTACAGGTGAAGAAAGAAATTTTTTTTACATTTAAAAACTTTTCATGAAAAGATCGGATTATTCCGGCAGAGGAGAATTAGCAGCGCGACAGATGCACCTTGGCAAGTTTCTACGAGGACTTTTGAAGCTAGCGGATACTTTCGGCGTCGCTATTGTCATCACCAATCAAGTCACCGCGAATGTCGACGGAATGATGATGGGCGACAACCAGACTCCCATCGGAGGAAATATTCTCGGTACTCTTGAATGTCAGGTGACTTTTATAACATTTTATAGCGCACGCCTCCTGCACGAGAATCAAATTGAAGAAGGGCCGTGGAAATAACCGCTTCGGAACGGGTCTTGAACTCCACCATTTTGGAGCAGTATAAAAAAAAACCTGTTATAACGAAAGTAACTATGAGCTGTATTTTCAAGACCCGCGCGCCAGCTCGTATTTATGATTCACCATGTCTGCCCGACGAGCAGATTTCATTTTCAATTTCCCCTGGAGGAATCACGGATGCCGAGGAGAATGAATAAAATCAATTCACATTTGTAAATTTCACATATGCCTATTTTTATCAAGTTCCTGTCAGCAGATACACATGTCCTGCCACTTTTTTTTTTTTCTTCTTTACATTTCCAAAACTGAAAATTCCTTTTTCTTTTTCTCAAAGTTTGACTGTAAATAATCATAGATAATGCTAACACTGCTGACACATTTCTTAATTGGAACAAAGGACGCACTTCGATACTCGACGACGATCCCTGGCTTTCGGAAGAAACACTTGTCCTGCGCACTTGTAAGTGTCCATTTCAATCTGGCTTCATTAGCGGGAGCTCAGAAAGAAAGAGAAAAAGAGGGGGAATTAACAAATGAATTAAGCTATCGGCATTCATATGGCTCACCATTTGTTTATTCAAATACATGTTTATGCCATCGATCTCGTGGTTAAGGATCGACGCACGAGTAGAGAATTGGTTATCGAACGCTTTTTCCGCGCTTTGGGTCGTGCCACTCATGCTCACCAGTAAAATTGTCAATACCTTTTGGTTCATGGAAACGGCTGAATTTGTTTATCAAGCGACGGGGAGGTAAGTCAAGTTTTGTCCTTTTTCATAGATAAAAATTGAAATCAAGGAAGAAAAAGGCACCCGGGGCAAAAGTGTCAGAAGGAATTGCCGATCTGATATTCGCGCTGATTGTTTACGTCGTGTTTATGATTCAGGCGTCGTTAGTAAAAGCACTGCCGCTTGAAGGCGTCAATTCTGCTCTTTACTTTCTACACGTCAGTCTGCTACACGCCTGGACAGCGTTTGAATACAAATGGTACCCAATGGGCATCGGTAAGGCTCAAAAGAGAAATAGGCAAAGTTGAGATATTCTTTCAGATGTACGATCGCGGCTGGCAACAGTCGAGTCTCGATGGGGCTATTTTATGGGTTTTGGTTTTCCGCTGGCGGCGACGACGTTTTTGATCCCATGACGGCCGGCTGCGCGTTTGGCGTTTTATTCCCGATGTCCATTCTTGCTGCACACTTGGCAAAGTCGCCAGAGGAAGAGACCTTGTTTAGACTGAGGTAAGAAAGGATGGTTTTGGAATAGATTTTAATGAAATTAGGATATTTGGTCCGACAGTTTTCGTTGCAGATAAAGTTTCTGCAACACTCTTCAATTGGGTTTTGAAGAAAAGCCGAAACCAAGGCCGACCATTCCCGCTCAACCCAAAGTCGATACTCCCTTATCACATCACTCCTCGAATCACGTACCAAGGCCTCGCAAACTTTACTAAGCTTGTTATTTAATTTATTTGTGAATATCTTTCTGTCGGAAAATTCTGCTGTGCAAGGTGTAGTCCTTATTTTCTGAATATTCTAGCTTTCCATCCTTCTTCACCAATAACTCTTACTTTTCCCTTTACAAAGATTTTGATGGAATCGGCATGAGATCGTGGGGAGAAGAATTGTGGGACTCTTTTGAAAAAGTGGATTCAAAATTTTCAAGCCGGATTAAATACAATGAAAATATTATAAAGGTGCTCTTTTACAATATTAAAGATAGTAAGATAATGATATGTCTTAGTTTATAAAAGATAAAAACGCTTTGGATTCTGAGTATGCGAAAAACATCAAAAGCCTGGTAGCTCGAAATCGCAAGAGCACGCCGAAATCAGAATTCACTTCTGACGAATGCTTCTTTGGGTGGCTGACTGAAGTCGAAAACATCGCAAACCAGTACGAAATGATTGTTGAATCAGTGCAAAAAACATGCATAGCGGTGAAAACCAGAGATAACCTTGACGAAGTGCATTGATGATAAATTTAGAGGATTCAATCGCATACCAATGAAATGATGAAGCACAAGAACGAGTCAAGAACCGAACACAAAAACTGGATCAAGATGCTTGAAAACCTCGATTCTAATCAAGAAAAGGCGAAGCAAAACTGGGCCAAGAAGTTAAAAGACTATGAGAAGGCGAGGTCGATGTTTGAAAAGGTACGTCTTGGATAAGCGCTATTGAGATTGAGATTATGAAAATTTCCTTTTATAGAAAGACGAACAGTTCTTCGTAAGGCTAACAACATAATTAAAATTCTTCATGATTCTGGTAGATTTGATTTGACCATATCAGTCGCGCTAGGGTGTCCACACTTTGATTCGGTGTCTAACACTCAAAAATTCATCCTTGGTCACCTCGACGAAAAAATTCTAAAGTCGATTTGTTTTATCTGATTATATTCTTATGATTTCTAGCATTTTATCCTCGCTTTATGATCAATTCTAGGCCGACAGCGACCAGCACGTAACAAAAGCTGATGTCGAAAAAGCCCGTCAAAACTCGCATCACAAGCGACAAATGGCAGAAGACGCCAAAAACGAGTACTCAAGATGCCTGGTCGAATTCAACAGACATCAAAAGGAACATCATACGAAGCTGATCCCGGATCTTCTAAATACTTCGCAAAATCTAGCGCTGGAGAACGGAAACTGTTTCCGAGAAATCGTCAAGAACTTTTGCGTCGCCGAGTGTTCTTATCGACCTCTTATTGGTAAGTCAAGTTCTGTATACTGTCCTTAACCCATTCTAGCAAAATGCATCGACGATATTGATCACAAGAGCGGATCTATTGACCCAGAGGCCGACTGCGAAACTGTAATTGAAATGACAAAGACAGGCTATGCTCGGCCAGATGATAAGCCATTCGAGGACATGGAGAATCCACCCAAAGAAACGGGAAAGAAAACTTTGAGGGGACTGGGTTTCGGATTGTTCAAGAAGACAGAGTCAAAGCCTGTGCAGGTTTGTTATAAAACCTGAAAGCAAAAAGTTTAAAACTCTAAAATTAGGAAGATATGAGCCACCTACCTCCTCAACAAAGAAAACGACAGCTCATGAAAGTTCGAAAATCGCTTCTCGACGAAATGGAAAAAGATACCAAAGAAATCAAATCACTGGAGAAAATGGCGTCTGTTAAAAACTTTGGCGATGGCGGTCAAGTGCAGCAAAAGATCAATGAAGCGAGGAACAGACTGAATGCCAAAAATCAAAAACTGCATCAGATAAATGAGTGGCTAAATGATACGGAGATCGCGCTCAACGGAAAACCTCTCGACCACGACACTGATCACATGGCTACTGAACCACAGGGCTACCAATACAAGCACGAAGTCAAACAGGAATATAATCAAATGGATACTAGCTACTCGGAACAAAGTGGATCACAAATGGATGTTTCCAGACATTCAGGATATAGAGATTCTTTTGAGGTAAGCGTCGTCATTGACCTTCTCCTCTATGATTTCAATTTAGGAAGAATCGATAGAAGGTCCGGTAGCGACTTGTCTCTACAACTTCCAAGAAGCTGGAGAGGGATGCATCACAGTAAATATGGGCGAGGTAAGAAAAAGACTCTCTTCTCATACCTCATTGATCTTTCAGATTCTATCCGTAACGGAAGAGGACAACGGAGATGGCTGGACAAAAGTCCGCGTCCACGGCACCAATCGAGAAGGATTCGTCCCCACATCGTACATAAAGCTCAACTAACTTCTTCACTCACAACAAAGTATGACTGTAACTATCTTCAAAAAACAATGTTCGACCTATTGACACAAACACACTGCACTTTACTTGTCCAAGTTGATAATTCTAACCGCAATTTACCCTTGCTACACTTCCAAATTCGCATAAATATGTAAATAAAGTAATTCAACTAAAATACTCTCGGCAAGACTGGTTTCAACTAACCGTCTTGTCATTGAAATCAGTTGAAGTAGAAAAATATATTTAAATATGAAAAATAGAAGCAGAAGGGAAGATTTATGAGTAAAAGTCGTACGCAGCTTTTTCGGATAGATGCTCTTCATATTTTGCTTCAGCGATAACAGTTGCAGAAAGAATCTTTGCTTGAAGCTCAATGTCAGTTGTAAATGCCGCAACTGACTTCCAAACTGATACGTTTTCGTAGTCCAGCTCGAGCCTTGATGACAGATCTTTGTCCTTCCTAAAGGAAACGATAAAGAATCATTAATGAAATAAAGCGCTTACAATAGAAATGCTACAAGCTCGTCGTGTTTCCCAAGCGACACGAGAGCCATGCTCAATTCTGCTAGTGAATGTCCGCCATGTTCGATAAGCGCGTCCCCGACATGTTTGAGAGGATAATCCAGGAAGATGTTTTTCAGCCGTTGTGATGAAACACGACCTTCTTTGTAAATTCGAACGAGTTTGTAAAACTGGCGGCGACGAACAAGCAAAGAGACAACTCGTTCGTACATTTCCAGTTGAGTGAAGAGAAGAGTTGCGATATTCAATTCCCCTGCATTTTCCGTTGCTTCAGCTATTTTACGGTCCTATTTTCGATTTATTTTCCGTCCGTTTGTCAAGCCTACCGTTGTAAAAACTCCAACAGAGTACCAATAAGGAAAGTATAGGTCGATTTTATTCGCCTGTCCAGCTATTTCTATCGCTAGCTCTCTGAAATCTACCGGTGTCGGGTTGGCCATTCCAAAAACAAGAGATGCGAACCAAAGTGCTGCTGTCATGCTTTTATCAGAGCCTTCCGCGAGTATTCTTCGTAGATTATGGGTTGTCCTAAGTTTACAATCAATAAAGCCCGACATTCTTGGTTAGTTTACCTGAGGCATTTGTACTGAAGAGCAGTTTGAGCAGCGGTTTGATAGTCACCTTCAACCAGTTGATCGTTGAAATCTCTGATCGCATTCAAAACTTCTTGAGCTTTGGCGGACTCAGTCGGACAATCGATTGGCAGATCATTGTCTAAGTCGTCATCTAAAGAAGGATCATCCAGTCGAGCGGAGAAGAGCTCCACAGCTTTTGACTTTTCAACCAAATTTTCTGGGTTATTCATCGTTTCCAAGTAGTTTCTTGTCATTTTCGCGACTTTCAGTCTCCTTAGTCTGCTCATTTCCTTCTCGAGAGCTGCTTCTTGTTCTGAAATACTCGTTCTAAGCTCGTCAATGCGCTCTTCCGTAATCGATAATTTCTTTTGCTCTTGAAGCCACTGCTCTTTCCGGTCAGCTTCGTTTTTCAAGCTCACAATCATGTTCTCAAGATGAGCGCGCGACGTCACTTCGTCCATGTTCACCATGTTCTTTCTCACAAACTCTGGAATGTACTCGAGTCCTGGGCGCTTGACGGTTTTGTGTATGATGATCGGATCAGGAATAGCTTGTTTCGCGAGATTGATTCGTTCAACATCGTCGTCAAGGTATTTTTTCACGTCGTCTTCGATTTCTTGAGTTCGTTTTCGAAGAAGAGCAGCGGTGGACGATGCAAATGCTCTACGTTGGTATTCTTCTTCGTTTTTCTCATGTGTTTCGATTATTTTTTCACGCTCCTCGATCTTATTCTGGATCTGGCGAAAGACACGGTCGAGACTTGATCCAAGAGGCAAAGATGTAACGAAGCGATTTAGAGTTCTGCGAGAAGCAAGGTATTTTGATTGCGGCTCATGAACGCGTCCCAGCTCATGATGGAGAGAGTCAAGTAAATTTTTGCCGAACAGAGCCATTCTAAATCTCTTTCAAGATTATTGTTGTTTCAGCCTGAAGCCTTCAGGAATTTTTAATAAAAAAACTCTCGCTATGGTGACCTATCTTCAGCGTCCTGAGACGGTTAGGAGTCGAGAGAAACCTCAGGGCCCGTGCAGCCTTTCGTCAATTTAGAGTTTTTTCGGTGACAAAGATTCAACATAAACAGAACAACGTCACTGGCGGCTATTCCGCCTAACCAGCCGACAATCGTCTGTTGCACATAGTATGAACGCAAATTTCCGGGGTTGATTCTTATCAGCTTGATACCCTAAAGCCTCTACACATGGCAGTTACCCTTCGGGCCCCCCGACTAGGATTCATACAAGGGTTGCGATGTCGCCTATGAATACGAATTCAAGATGATCCCCGTCGGGATTCGAACTCGTAGCGTCTAGATCCACCAAATATAGCGCAGGGTGTCTAATTTGGACGGACAAAATTGGATTGGATAGTTGGATTGGCCTATTTTGGAAAATAGCCGGAAATTGGTTGGATCTGGCCCCGGTTTTTGTTGGATATTTCGGATTATTGGGCATTATTGGATAGTTGGGATAAATTGGAAATCGGGGCTAAAATGGGCAAATTGGCGGCGAAAATAAATTGGAATACTGGAAAATTGTTGGGCAACCAGCCGAATCAGCCGTTTTGATCAAATTTTAACCAAAAATACTCCTAAATTTTACCGAATAATGGCTACAATTAGTGGAATAAGTGTACTATTGGGTCCAAAGAGCAATTTTTAAAGTCTTTTTTTTAGTTTGTTAGAGAAGAAATAAGATAATATAAATCGGAAATATTTTTGGGAAGTATTTTTTCTCGGATTTTTATCGGATTCGGATTTTTATTGGAATCGGAAAATAATTGGAAAATCGGCTAAATTGGGGAATTTCATAATTGGCTAATTATTGGATTATTGGGCTAAATTGGAATTGGATTGGATTTTGGCCGGTTCAAACCTGAAAAAAATTATTGGCCGGAAAATGGTCGGCCAGACCCGGAAATTTTGTCCAATTTAGACACCCTGATATAGCGTACGCACGACTAACTACGCTAATCACTCCTGGTCCCGCGCCGATCATTTACTGCATAAGAACTCTCAAGAAGCCGAAGTTGAACAAATCAAAACATTCAATGTTTACATTTGTATAACTAATTTTTATTAAATATCGTCAGCGATTTGATTTTTCAGTTTTTAGAATAATATTGAACAGAAAAATGGTTAGGCACGAGTGGCAAAATTTCCTCAATAACACATGATGAAATCGGAGTCTGCTCATGAATCATGATAGTTATATTATAAAATATTGCAATTTACCATCGTTGAAGATGTAATGTGCGGGTCTATATGAAGGGAGGGGGCTGTGGCCAACCAAGTAAAATAACATATATTTTGTAGAAGTTGGTTTTAGGTAAGAGGAGATGCTCCTCGGCTACATAATTGTATAATAAAAATTATTATATAATATTGCGAGAGACAACTACTGGCAGAAAACTGAATAAGAATATGATTGCACTTGTAGCAGATGGTGAATGGGTGTGTAAAAATATACAGGAAGGAAACAGAAACAGCGCTACATAAAGTTTTTGTCTCAATTCAGAAAAAAAGAAGTCTCTTTTCGCTTTTTTCAAATAGCAAGTTAAACTTTGAACTCCTTGAAAAACAATTGGATGCAACTTATTTTTAGTCCACTTTGACGGCGCCGTAGATCTTTCGCACGAACCAGTAACATGCGAAGAAACCGATTGAACCGGTGAAGAGGAAGACGAACAAGGTCATAATACTCGTGTAACCAAAGTATAAAATCACCGAGGCGAATTTGTCAAGAGTAAGCTAAAATGAAAGTTAGTGATGAAGGGGAAAGGGCGGATGTTTCTTTTTACCTTTGAGGAGTAGTAATGAGCGGCGTAGATGAAAAAGTAGAACGCGGTGAAGCCCGAGGTCATAAAACTTCTCCACCACCAGTTGTAATCCTCTGCAGCAAGGTGGAAATAACACAGAAGAATTGTGGTTTCGGAACAAGTGACGATCAAAATAATTGCAACGAGGAGAAGGAAACCGAACATATAGTAGATCTGATGAGACCAGAGCGAGTTGAGGATGAAAAACAGCTGGATGAAGATGCATCCAAATGGCAAGATGCCGCCCATAACAACGCCAGGAATAGGTCGAGTGTAGAAAACTTGCTCCGGAACGTGTCGTGGAATCGGATTAGTTCGGACTGACGAGAATGATAAGCAAAAATTTGAGTGAAAAAACTCTACCTGGGTGCTCGATCGGCCTCTTTTTGTAACCATAGTAAGCTCCAAGGAAACACATCGGTGTTGTAATTCCAACCCAGAGGAACATAATCGCCAAAATTGTTGTGAAAGGAACAGCGGCGGAAGATCCTAGACAACTTTAACCCAAAATGTCAGCGTATAAACACGTTACCTTCTCCCCAAAGAATCAAGTTCATCACGAAGAAAATGCCAAACACGACGCCGGAAACGAGGAAAGCGGTCATGAGCACATTTGTTTTCCATTTCTCGCCTCCGAATGACTTGTAAATGCGCGCAGAGGTGTAGCCAGCCGGCGATCCGAGGAGGATGAACACGACCACCGCGGTTGTGCCAAATGCACCGCGGTTAGCAGGCGAGAGGAATCCAAGACAAGCGATGAATAACACGATGAAAACCATAATAAACACCTAGTGGCCGTTGTTATTAAAGAAGTTGAATAACAACTTGGTACCTGTAGGCCAACGCCAGCAAGAACAGACAAAAGCATACCAGCCTTGGGCGGTCGGAAAACGTCACCTAAAGAAAGGTCAGCTTGATTTTTTAACTATCAGCGAGACGTACCGTGTACAAGCTTCCATCCGAATTCTTCCTGTGCTTCTTCTGAGTTTTCCGCAGCGTTGTATCGCGCGATGTCTTTTCTGAGCGATCGGACAGTGACCATAGCGACCATGCCAGATAAGAAGATAACGATGACGAGCGAATTCATAATTGAGAACCATTGAATATTCGTGTGAGGCATGGAGTCTAGGATGTAGTCCCATCGAGACGCCCATTTTACCTGATAACAATTGTTATATTTACAAGCGGAAATGGACAAGTACCTGGTTGTTTTCCTGGAAAGTGATGGAATAGGTATATTTGATGTTGATGTCGGAATTGACTTTTCCAGGAATAGCAGCTGGCTTGGCAGATGCAGGGTCGCAGTTGACACCGTCAGAGTGATCATAAGAATGGGGAACGACTCGAGCTTGGACAAGACGAGAACCAAGGAAGCCGCCGACTGAAAGACAGGTTTTATTAATAATTTGATTGATGATTTTGCTCACCTTCTCCGGAGTGGTAATAAATAGTAATGTCGACATGGTTGAATAAGTAGAATGTGGAGGCCTGATTGTAATGCTCGGAAATAATGCATGCATCTTTCTTCTCGCCCTTTTGCGTGACATAGCAACCCATTGGGAAGCCAGGTGTGCAAAATCTGTTTTGCCCTTCTGTATCGTAGCACCAAGTAACAGGCATGTTGTCTGAAAGCGAATTTGAAGAGTTTGAACAAGAAATTCAAGATTTACCAATGATCCAGTGCTGTTCGTAGCTGAACATCATTCCGTGCTTGAGGAATTTGATCTTGTCATCATCTGCCTTGTAGTTCTTCTCGCAGAGGACTTCGCACTGTTTTTCTTCTCCAAACACGATGTTATATGGACTTGGTCGGATTCGCTAAATAATGATTTGAGGAAATTCGTTCATTGAGAAGTTTGATATCTCACCTCTCCGAAGAGAACTTGACCGAGATTTTCTGATGGCGACTTTTTGTCCTTTGAAGCTGTGCAGAAATCAAAAGCGGAGTATTCGAATGGAATGACGGATTCGGACGATGTGAGACGATTCACAAAGAGCTCGATTTGCGACTTGCATCCTTCTTCTTCCTCGCCCTGGATTTTCGTTGAAATCAAGGAAGAAAACGTTTCAATAGTTTACCTTTCTACAAAACGAAACTGGCGCCAAGCCTGGAAGATAAAAACCAACTGCTACGCCGAAAACGATTGCCAATCGCCTCATTTTCTAAAAACGATTCTCTTGTTAAAAAATTTCCTTTAAAAATTGACTTTGTTTGCAGAAGACACTAGGATATGAGAAATCATCTTTCATTTATTATTTTTTGTGTGCGGTCGTAAAAGCGAGTTTAGCGGTCCAAGGATGGAGCCGCCTCGGGACAAATTTTACGGCAATGTCGTAAGTTTATGCTCTGTGCTCGGCCGTAATGCAATTAAGGAGGCTAAGAGCGGGGCTTCTGCTTCAATTCCTGATTGCCTGTCAAAACTGAGAAGTACATTTGATAGCGATTTGACCCTGGAAATAATTTGACCACGCCTGAGGCTTTCAATTCAGGGGAAATCAGGATCACTAGAATTTCAATTGTTGATCTTGATTTCGTGCGCTTTAATTTTCGTGAAATTGCTATACTAGCGCAGCAATGATAAGTTGTCAGTGACAACTTGTCAAGTAGTTATTCAAGATTTACGGATGCTAATAAAACAAATGAAAAAGTTGCAATTTTCGTATTAAATTAATCTAAAAAGTATAATAAGTGTTCTATGATGAAACTTTTATCAAATTATAGCATTATTCTTTCAAAAATACCAATCTTTATCATATAAATTTACTTCTTCGTGGTCATTTAAAAGATCATAAAACTATATCGTCGTTATTTCGTAACATTTCGTATAATCATAATTAGTGTTAAAAACTTTTATGCCACTACCAAGTTTTACTGAACGGGAGGAAGCCTTACAAGACGAATGATTATTCTAGAAATATGAAAAAGCCTCAAATGTCGTTTGTTTCCTGTGCCTCAAAATATGCTAATCGTCCTTTTCGCTTTTTCTTCTAATTTTCTTTCGTGAACTCTATTTTCAAAATATAATCTCTAATGATCGATTGATCGACTGTTTGTTTATTATTTCTTTAGTAAAAACTGAAAAAGATAAGAGGAAAAGAAGAATCCGAATTTGATTGAATTGAAAAGCGCCTTCAGCTCAAGCTTTCGTTGATCTTGGTGGGCCGCTTTTGCCACGGCTCCTGGTGCCGAGCTCAAGCAGCCATGCGACCAATCACAATTCACAAGAGAGCTCTCCGCGGCCATGCTACACCACCATTTCTGCACAAGGCGAAAACATCAATAATTACGAGTAAAATTTCGTAGATTTTCTTTCATGAAAGTCTGCGTTAAATTTTTGCTTGTTTTCTTACAATTTTTTTTTGAAATTTTATTAATAATAAAATAGCGGGTCCCTATTTTAACGGGAAAATCCTTCTCGGATTTCGGAAATAGGGACCCCTAATTTGTTATTAATATTTGTTTAATTTCAGATAATGTCTTCGCTATTCAAGCCGTATCGGGCTCTCGGCGTTTACTCGGGTAGCTACCCGGGCATCGTCCACTGGCACAAAAACCGTCGCTACCACATCCTCAACGTTCCAATTTCCAACGCTTTTCACTCGTACAAAGTCGATGGTTTGGGCATAATCGGCATTTCCGACTCCATGCCCGGCGAAATCACTCAATTGTCCGAATACCATTCGCTCGTTTCTGCCCAAGCAGATGGCCACCTCTGGGTTTTTATGAATGGAAAAGTGCTTTTCAAGGTATACTTTCTTTCTCACAATTCCATCTAATATCATCTTCGTTAGTTTAAAACAGCAGATGACATCGTGGCGCATTACTTATTCGGCATGGACATCGCTGTTATTCTTACTGACTGCCCGAGTCTGATGGTCGTCAACTTTCGCGATGGGGACATTTTAACCGAGATTCCACTTGACAGAAATCGCAAATATTCCAACATGCTTCACCCTCCGACTTATGAAAACAAAGTTCTCGTTACCAACGATTTAGGGAGATAGATCTCTTCAATATCAAAACTGGAAAGGTAGTTTTTTATATTTTCCAATTTTTATCAATTTTTTGTTTAGAAAATCTACTCTTTCGACGCGCTAAAAGGAAAAACAATCACGACAGTACTGAAAACTCCACATTTACACGTGATTGGAGTTGGCGCAGAAGATGGCACATTCGCCTTATTGAACATCAAGAAGAACAAAATCCTGCTAAAGCTGAATAATGCGAATAGAGTGACAGCGGCTGATTGCCGAACGGATTTGCCAGTGGCGGCGATTGGGACGGATGACGGGAAGATTTCGATTTGGAACTTGGAACACATGCAATTGATTACGCAAATTGAGAACCACGATAGCGCAGGTACGCTTTTCTACACGAACTTATCTTTATTCTTCTTCTAGTTCTGTCAATATCCTACCTTCCAAACGAAGATTGCTTCGTAACAGTCGGCTCAGACAACAGCATCCGCGTTTTCGCCGAAAATAAGCAACTCCGTTACCGATTCGGCCACTCTCTTCCTCCGACAAAGATCCAGTTCTACGGAAGCGAGGAAAAACACATTATCCTCTCCGCAGGTCTCGACAGGACAATGAAAGTGTTTTCTCCAGAGCACGAATCTGGCAACAAAAACCTCGGCAAATGCACGCTCGTTCACAAAAGCAAAAGACGGAACATGCGATGTCGCACATTGTCGATTTTGCATCGTCGAGAACGAGAGAAAATGCTTGGGATAATCTTGTAGCAGTTCATTCAAATTCAAATACGGCTACGACTTGGTCGACTTACAAAACGAAAAGGTATGATCGAAAATATTCCTTTCTATACCTATTTTTAGAGGAGCATTCAATCTTTCTCCCAAGAATTTAAAAGCGAAAGTCACATCTGTAGAATGCTCACAATGCGGGAACATGGCTTGGATTGGCTGCGATGACGGGTCAATTCGCGAGTTTAATCTGCAATCCGGCCGTTTGAGAAAAGAATACCAAATTGGAGAAGATAAAATGAAAGCGCACGATGATCGGGTCACTGGAATCGGCTGCCAAATGCTGCAAGTTGCATTGATTACCACTTCTCTTGATGGAAAACTGAAAGCGTGGAGGATACATACAGGAAAGCTTCTCGAAACGATTGATCTTCATGAGCCCGCATTGAACTTCGCGTTCCAGGTTTTGCTTCCCCTTTTTCGGGCAGAAATAATCAATATTCAGAGAAAAGCAAATCTCGCAGCAGTTGCACTGGCCGACTTTTCCATCATCATCGTCGACTGCACAGGACACCCCTTACTTTAGCTCGATCATTGAGCGGCCACTCGGCTGAAATTAGAGATATTGCATGGAGTCAAGATACAAGATGGCTTGCTACAGCGTCTTCTGATTCCAGCATCAAAGTTTGGGATGTTACGACTTCCTCATTGATCGATCAATTTAGGAATGGTGATTGTACTTTTATCACAAATGTGATTGGAATTCCAATGCCTGAATGATTTTTATCACCAAGCTAAAGAACCCCTTCTATTCCAACCTCCGTGGATTTCAGCCCGAACGATCAATTTCTAGCGACGACTCATTGCGACGAAATTGGCGTTTTCCTCTGGTCGAACATTCAAGCCTTTGATCCCCGACCAGTTCGATCTATTGATGAATCTGAAGTGCCTAAGATGGTCAGCATGCTCCCACAAGTCAAAATCACGGACGAGGTCGATCTCGAAGAAGAAGACGAGAACAAAGTTATGGACGATGAATACAAATCGCCAGAAGTTATTGATGATTGTGTTACTGTCACTGGACTGCCCAATTCAAGATGGATTTCGTTAGTAAATTTGAAGTTGATCAAAGAAAGAAATAAAGTTGTTGACGTCAAAGCGCCAGTAAAGGTAAAAGATTAATTTCTCTCTCTCTCTGATCTAATTCTAGGCTCCTTTCTTCCTTCCTACTGTTGCAGGCGTATCTGGAGTCGAATTCGATCGATCCGCCCTTGAGGACGATTCTCAGTCAAAAATTGCATCGAACAAGAAGCCGATGATTTCGCTCGTTTCCGGAGTAGGCCGCCAAATGGAGTCATATCTATCCGGTAGCGAATTAGATGTCCTGATGAAAATGCTCGAAAGCTACTCGCCATCGAAATTGGACTCGGAGATTAGCGCGCTTGATCCAGAAGGATGTTGCTCGGAGAAGCCACTTGAAGGCTTTTTGACGCTGTTGAGGGACTCTTTGAAGAAGGGAATGTATTGGGATTTGTGTCAGGCGATGTTGAGAGTCTGTTTGGCGAAGCACTTTGAGGAGATTTTGAAATATGAAGGATTGTTTGCCATTTTGGAAGAATGCAAAACAGGTTGGAATTGTGGCGAAGAAGGATGAAAAATGACTGTCTATTTAGCTTCTAAAGAAGGAGTTTCATCGCTAGAAAAGGACGTAGAAGATTGCTTATTATTCGCGCAATTCGTTGTGAACAACACAATTGCCGTCCAAGAATGATCGAAGGAAAAAGAAAAATACCGAAAGAACCCGTTTTTGTACAACTGTGTGCTCAGTTACATAACTTTCTGATTGTATAAAAGTCGAGCTCACCACAAACACTGGCGCGGAAACTTGTGTGTTTGCCCAATCTCAAATATTTTCTATTTCAGGGTGGGGTGCAGTTAAAAACTGTTAGGAAAATGCTGCGAACGCGCCAAGGAAACAATTTTGAAATTTTTCTAGATCCCTTTCTTCATTAGAATGGTCGGTACTGCGGTTGGCTCTAAGCGGGAGACTGATTCAAAAGAGTACGTTGACAAGTCACACTATCTGCCCATTTTACAGTTCGTTCTAGTTCCACTGCCTTGATTTTTTATTAGAGTCATCGTCATTGATTCATTTCCGCATGAAACCGTTTTTGATTTTTCATTAAATTTATTAGAGAGATGGTCCAGAAAATCGAGCCGAAGCAAGCGCTCTCGGAGAAAGAGGTTTTTGGAGTTTTTCTTATGTTTTCAGCTATTTGCAGTACTAACACCTTATTGACGATAGGCCTTTTATGACCAGCCAAAGTTATTAAAATTCGATGAAACGTTCGATTACATAACGCTGCGTTTTTCATGAGTCAGTGATTTTCATGTTAGTTAACTTGCATTTTTTCGACCTTTGCATGGACAAATCATACGTAATTACGTAAACAAAATATTTCATCAAAGAAGTACAGTTTGATCTGCCTGTAAAATGCGCTTGATCAGCTGATCCTTGGCAAAATATTTGCCATCGTTTGACTCTTTTCTCGGGCCTCACGTTCTGCCCTTTTACCGGCTTGCTACCGTTCATTTTCGATATTCAAAAACGGCTTTGTTGAGATATTTTTATCGAAAACCCGCCCGTTGGCCATTTCGATGAACGCGGTGTTGAGATTAGGAGCAGGAAACGGACCAGACTCATTCCGTTACCCCTTGTTTGCTCCCGACCACCTTGTTCCAGTTTTTTATTATCAAGGACTTTTCTCTCCTCCAAATAGTTTCACCCCTACCTTACCTCTTACGCTCTTTATATAAAGCCAGCTAGAGATCGAGTCTAATTTCAAAATTGCCAAAACAGTTTTCGCGAGCTCAGTAAAGCGCTCATTATTGAGGTTTGAAGTTTAAAAAAGATTCCTTCACAAATTCATTGTTGAGAGATAATTCTAACCAGATCGATCTATCCTGCGCAAATAACCGAATGTTGCGGTTGTAGAGATTTTATTGATTCACCCTTTCTTCCGACGCTCTTGCGCGACCCAAACTTATACTTTTATTTCAGAGGGGCCGTTCCCGCAGTGTTAAAGAGACCCAAGTAAGTCCAGAGAATTCCTGCTGATTTCTAACTCCTGAATTAGAATGTCGTATTCCACCGTCTTCCGAGGAGCCGAGAACACCCTTGAATTCCGAATTTTCTACAAGAACGCCGATGGACAAATCATCAGGTGAGCATTGTTGGATCCCTTCCCAATTAATAATTTTCCCTCAAGTCCCTTCCACGACATTCCCGCGTACGCTGATACCGAGAACAAGATCTACAACATGGTCGTTGAAGTGCCCCGCTGGACCAATGCCAAGATGGAAATCGCCACCGCCGAAAAGATGAACCCCATCAAGCAGGACGTCAAGAAGGTGCTCTTTCTTTTCTATTTCTGTTTTTAATAACAACAAACCCTTTAGGGCAACCTCCGATACGTCGCCAATGTTTACCCCCAGCGAGGATACCCATGGAACTACGGTTGCATCCCCCAGACCTGGGAGAACCCTAAGCATGTTGACAAGAACACCAACGAAGGTAAAACAGCTTCAAAAAGATTTCATTCTTTATCCATCGTTTCGAAGGTGGTGACAACGATCCCGTTGATGTCTGCGAAATCGGCTCCCGAGTGCCCGCTCGAGGTGAAGTTATCCAGGTCAAAGCCCTCGGCATCCTCGCCATGATCGACGAAGGAGAAACCGACTGGAAGGTCATCTGCATCGACGTCAAAGACGAGCTCGCCGACAAGATCAACAACCTCGAGGACGTCGAGAACCTCAAGCCCGGCTACCTCGCCGACACCCGCAAGTGGTTCCGAACTTACAAGGTCCCAGACGGCAAGCCCGAGAACAACTTTGCCTTCGACGGCGAGTACAAAGACAAGGCCTTCGCTGACCAAATCATCGCTGAGACCTACCAGCAGTGGCAGACCCTCGTCCGAGGAGAAGCCGAATCCAAGCTCGCCATTGAAAACGTCTCTGTCGAGGGCTCAAAGGTATTAGAACGCTTTTTCGATGAGATATCTCAATATGTCTTTTTAGGCTAAACTCTCTGCCGCTGATGCTCAGGCCGTCGTCGATGCTGCCCCTGCCGTCGCAGCCGCCGCCGCTGTCACCGACATGAAAGCTTCTCGATGGTTCTACCTCGAAGCCAAGAACTAAAAAAACTGACTACTGCTATAAACACACCCTGAAAATAGAAAATAATGAAATCGCCCTGTTGCAATCAAAACACCCTCCATGATATCTGATTTCTGTATAATCAAGTACACACGAGTCATTAGGCAAATTAAGCGCAATTTAGTAAAGTTTACTGTTTTATTGAAAAACGCAGTTGTTGCAAATGTTATTGTTCAGAAAAAAATGGATTATTCGGATATAGATCTGACGTTGAGGTTTTTAATGAAGCAGAAGCAGGCGAGTCAAATTATAGGGAGAAATGCTTCCAACATAAAGGTAGCTCTTCTATCCATAACTGATCATAACATGTGTTCAAGAACTTGAGAGAACAAACAGGAGTCAACGTCATTTTATCAAATCGAGAGCATAAAAATAGAGTGCTAACGATTGCTGCGAAAAAGTCTCTTTGCATGAAATGTAAGTCACATTCTGACTGTCCGAAAGTCTTCAAAGAAAATACGACTTATTTGAAATTTAGCGGTGACAAGACTTGGCGAAATCCTCGAAGCAGAGAACAACGAGTATGGACAGTCGACGAAACTGGTTCCTATTACATTGACGCTAATTGTGCCAAAGAATATTTGTGGAATGATCATCGGAAAAGGAGGGGAAGCGCTGAAAGACTTGCGAATCAAATCCGGGGCGCAAATAAATATGTCAGCTGATTGCTTGGTAACTAGGGTTTTCATTCGATTTTAAATAATCATCGTTCAGCCAAAATCCGATGAACGAACATGCCAAATTACAGGGAATAACTTCTCAGTGACGCAAGCTGTCGATTTGCTCGTCGGAATCATGATCAAAGCGGCGATTGATGAGAGTAAAGGCGAATTCAAGGGAACACCTTCTTCAGAAATAAGAGCGTACGATCCGAAGAACGAAGAGGAGCCCGATGCGAGATCTGAAAAGGTAGGCCAGTCGTTTTCTTCGCTAAAGAAATATGAATTTCTAGGATGATAACCTGGTGAAGATGGCGACAGCTTTTCTGACTGCGAATCAAATGATAAACCCGACGATGGAATACAGCCCGATCGAGATCAACGAACAACTCCAAGAGCTGAGGTACACAATTTTTAAAACTAAATTTTCTTAATCCTTTAAAAAAGAGTGCCGAACCAGCACATGGGTGCGATTATTGGAAAAGGCGGCAAACGAATAGGAGAAATACGAATGATGAGCGGATGCAACATCCATGTAGAGCGAGCCGACGAGGATTCGAAATATGGAATGCGAAGACTTACATTGAAAGGAGATAGACAGAAAATTACAATGGCAGCTTTTCTTATCAATCAGACGATTTCAAGTTTCTCGACTGCCGAGCCTAAAGTCGCTAGTGAAGAAGGTATGTTTTCGTTCTTATTTTCGGTGTTTAATTTCAAATCAGTGACTATAAAAGTCGAAGAAAGCGAGCAGCAACAAGCTTCAATCCCTGGCACAGCTGCTGATATGAGTAAGTAAAGTAAGATTTGACCACTTTGGTAATCTTTCCCTAGCTTCCAGTAACACGGAAGAAGAAGCAGCGGCAGCTATGGCAAGATTCTTCGATACTCAATTTTCTGGAGCAGTTTCTTACGACCCTACTGAGTACATCAATGACGGTGCAAGTTCTAATTTGAATTCTAACAGAGGAAGAAAACGAAAAGAACAACCAGGTTTGTTTTAAAGTGCTGCTGAATTATTATGTGTTGTTTAGTGCCCGATATGTACAAAGTGCCCGACAAGAAGCCGGCGAAACTTCACTACTAGAATAGTTCAATTTTGATTGATTTACAAATTCACTGCCAAATAAACGTTTCACTGAAAGAAAATAATGATCTAAATGGAGGGTTTCTTCTAACGGATTTATCTTCCAAAGAGTATCTTAAAGTCGACAGTAAGCAGGCAGATGATCATTACCGTGCATCAGCTCGCAACTTGTTATGGATGAAGTGTCGTTTTTCAGGCTCCCCAGATTTTGGACAGGATTCTAGCGAAAGTTTAGCTAACTGAGCTGGCGCTGTTTTGGTGTTACCGGCTGAGCGCCTCACTGCCAATAATCATCTTATGCATTTGTTATGCAAAGTTTATATCCAAATACCCTAATAGCTTTACTCACCTGATCCCCTCCCCGCTCTATAAAACCAGCCGTCATTCTCGAAAATTCATCAAACAAAAACTTTTTCGATAAAATGTTTTCCCCACTTAAAATTTCCATTTTGAGCCTTTTTGGTCAATCTATCGCCCAGGATCTAATTCAATTGAGCGGGTCGAGATTTCAAGAGGATCGTCCAAAGCGTTACAGGTTTTGTAACTGTTTGAAATTTAGTGACAATGGCAATTTCTTAGAGATTTGGCAGAAATGGCAAATCGTCTCTGGATTGAAAAAGGAGAAACGGAGAAATTCGATGAGGCGAAATTTTTCACATACGGCTGTCATTGCTTTTTAGATCGTAAGGAAATTTTCCATGAATATTTTCGAAGAGACCAATTTTAGAAAACCAATTTGGAGAGCCTTTGAAGCATGGCAAAGGAACACCAGTTGATGAAATTGACAGAGCTTGCAAAAAGGTGGTTTCGGTTTATTTTGAATTTTTGAAGAGGGTTTTTAGTTCAAATACTGTCAAAAATGTGTGCAGGATAAGCATGGTGATCAATGTACCCACGATTTCTACCGCTACAACTGGCGATGGGGACGCAAAAGTGACCAGCTCGAGATCCTCTCGCCAAGTGGAAGCTGCGAACGAGAAATTGGAGAATGCGACAAGGTGAAAATTCAATAATCTGAGCAGGTTATTCATTTTTTTAGAAATTTCTTAGCGACATTTTCGCCGCCCGAGACGAATTCGACAATGCCTTTCACAACAAATTATCATTCTTCGACCCCAATAGCAAAGAAAACTGCTCTGCCGAAAGTCGACCTCGCGGCCGATTTGCTCCAATTTCCGAACAGTTTCAGTGCTGCGGTGGCTACAATGGCCCTTACCAGTGGATAAGCACGGCCAGACAACAATGCTGCAATATCGGCAGGGTCAATTACGTAGCACCTGTTGGAGAATGTTAGATTTGATCGTAAACCTCAAAAAAAGCTCGCAAGAACAACCGAATACCGGATTACTGCCTGCAAAATATACATTACTGTAATAAAATATTGATTTTTAAAATTCGTCTCTGACTCTTGTTTTGATAAAAACACGGCATATAAATGAGAAAGTGTCCCCATATCGTGACGCTTAATCCCCGTCGACCAAACATGCGGTTTTAGCCCCTTATAAATTCTTTCATCCAAGTGCGGCGAGCATCAAGTTTTCAAGTTGAAAAATTACTGATATGAAAATTTTTACAATCAAGAACATTTTTCTACTCGCTGCCGTCGCTGAAGCTCAAACTACGGAGCAGTCAGCGACCGAAGCTGCTGGATGGGTAACACCTGCTCAGGTTGAAGGTGAGGAAGGAGGTTTAGAGGCGAGAACTCATGGAAAGGTGGAGGCCAGACGATATGGAGACTTGAAGAACATCGCGGAAGTTATTTTCACTCACCCAGGTAAACGAAGTTAATTCATTTGCGAGTAATTTTTGATAGGACACAATAAAATGAACTCGTATGAATTCAACATCTTTTGGTCGAGACTTTGGTCTTACGGCTGCCACTGTTTTTCGGCGGATTCGGACCGGCCAATGTCAGAGATGGGCTTTGGAGTACCAGTTGATGGCGTAGGGAGGAGTTAGAGATATTTATTCGTTATTAGTTGTTTTGAATGAGAAACTTAAATTAAAACTCCTGAAAGACACAGCTTGTCGGGCGTATAAACGCTGTCAAAAGTGCGTCTCGCATCACTACAACGGGACCACACCAATGGGCGAGTGCATCGGCGAGTTTGTCCGATACAGATGGGTTGAAGGCATGGATGGTTACCCTGCATACGCAGGCCAAGCGAATACGTGCGAAGAGGGCTTATTTCAGTGTGATTACAAGTAAGCGTCAAAGGATCTTTTTAGAATCTCAAAATTTTCTAGCTTTGCGATGGACCTCTTCGATGAACCACCACTAGATCCCCGATTTTCAAAGATCGACTCAATTTACGGATGGGACAGATTTGCTTATGGAAATTGCCAACGACCTGAGCCAAACAACGTCCCTTACCGACACGAATGCTGCCACACTGGAGGTAACTGGCAGTGGTACAATGTTCACACAAAGAAATGCTGCCACGGAGTCAAAGTTGCACGAATTGACGATACTTGCAATCATCATCCTCGAAGCAAGTAAAGACCAAAAGTAACTCTAGAACTTCCTCCCTTTTCGAAAATTATTCATACTATTGTTACTGGCCTGACTGCACTATCAATAATTTTCAAAACGAATAAATATGGTGTAAAAAGACGCAAAGATAGAAAAATATAATTTATTATAAAATAATTTCAAGAAGCAGAACTCAGTTGACTTCATACAGCTCTTTGATAGTTTTGATCGATGAGTCCCAGGATTTCTTCCAGCGCTCAGCCTCAAAGATGGTCTGAGCCTTCTGATCGTCAAATTCTTGTTGATAGTCGCTGAATCGCTTCTCGATACTTCGGACGACTTCGTCGCGGAATTTCATGATGTCTTCCATGCTTTCAGAAGCTTTTGATGTCTTGATTGGCTTGCATTTGAATTGAGGGAGACTTCCGCGTGGAACTTCTGGCCATTCAGGAGGACGCCCAGCGAATGTTCTGTCGATCACAGGCTCGTCGTATTCATCGTAAGACACAACCAAAAGATCCCTTAAAAGTTTATATTAGAATACGATTGAAAACCTGCTTTTTACCTGTCAGAAATGATTTTTTCTTCCTTCTGCATAAGATCTGCGGCTAGAGCACAAATTTTCGTTGCATCTCTGGTGACAATCTCCGTCAACTTCGATCTAAGCTCCGTATGCCGCTCGATATTGTACTTGTGAATCTTGAAATGGCGATCGCGTTCATTCTTTTCCAAGTTTGCGAGTTCTTCCTTGTTTTCAGGCAAGCCGAGCGAAGTCCTCAATTTCGAGTTGTGCTCCAAACCCGCGTCTTTGAGTGCATCGAATAGCTGTTGGTAGCGATCTTGAACATCGTTGATAGCCTTTGCGTTTTCATTTTGAATAGCTTTATTGGTCTCGCTGAAGATCATTTCCAACACAGGGCGGCCAGTCAAAGTAAACCGATCGACCATATCTTTGACTTGGAGGAAACACTTGTGGACGAAATCTTTTGCCTTGCGCTCGAAATCGACGACTTTTATTACAGTGAAATCGCATGTTCTTTCGAAATTTTCCCGAATGAGCTCAGGGCGTGTGATCGGTCGAGCACCTCTGCTTTTGTAATAAGCGTCGCCGAGTGTAAGAATTCTATTCGTCGCGTCGAAAAGCAGTCTTGTCATTCGCGATGGGAGATCTTCACCATTTGGTGGGCGGAAATCGCCGAAAATTTGGACTTTGACCTCGATCTTTGGATCACGAATGATTCTTCTTGGGCCGCCTCCCATTCCAGGCATTGTTGAATACTTTCGACTTTGAGTTTTGGCAAGATTCAGCGATGACATCTTTCGAATGCCGCCGAGAAGATTGGAGGACGAACCACGCTTTGCTGCGAGCTTAAGTTCTGCTTCCTCGGCTTTCAAGCTCATAAACTCCTGATGCGTTTTCGCCGTTAACCAGTTGAAGTAAAAGTCACGCTTGACATTCGCCAGAGTAGATAAGGAGCACATGAAATGAGTGACGACTTCAGTAAGCAAAGCGTTGGTTCTGTTTCGCTCATTGACGATGAAGAGGACTTCTGTAACTCGATTTCCAGTCGTTGGATCGACGCGTATCGCAGTAGGATCAGAGTTCTCAACGTGGTCGCAGAAAGTCTTCACTGTCGATTCCAAGTTATTCAGCCATTGTCGAACTTTTGATGTTTCAGAAGCAATTTGAATTTGTGAGTTGCTGAGAGCTCTGTCAATTTGATGGATGAATCTCAGATCATTATCGTGCGGGATAAATTTTTCGTCGTGGAAGCGTTTTCTGCACTCTTCGATTTCCTTGATCTTTTCTGGAAGCAGAACGGAGAGATCCTTGTTGTAGAGAAAGCATGCTTTGTGAACAAGACTTTCCATCTTCTTGATCGCTTCTTTATCGCTTTGGTCGAGCAGCTTTTCTTGCATCATTGGCTTTATGTAATTTCTCAGCTGGACTTTCACGTTGTCTATTTTCTTCTGCGACCATTTCGAGTACTCGTCGACTAGTGTTTCAACCTGATTCTTTGCTTGTTGGAATTGAGTCTCGGCGAGATCACACAGCTCGACGAGCTGAGATGTCTCTGTTGCAGCTTGCATTTTCGGTTCTGCTTGCTCTGGAATCAGATGCAATGCTTCGGTAGCTTCATTGAGCTCCGTTGTGCATTCTTCTTTCTTCTCGCGCATTTCGTTGAGAGTCCTCGATGCCATGCGCTGCTGAACTTGCAGTCCGTCTTTTAGCTGTGTGATCTTCGCAAGTCTTTCAGGGGCGATCTCTACTTCCAGCTCTCGAATCTTCGGCTCGATAACGTCGATTTTCTTCTTTAGACCGAATTCTGATTTCATCTTTCTCCTCGCTGCCCGCGCATTTGCCGACAATTTCGCTGAGTGCTGAGTGCTGCTGATAATTTCCAAGTATTTTTTCTTCGTAAAAGTTATGAGATCGCTCATGAAATTCTTCGAGATCGCTGCGTCGAGCAAAAATTTTGGCGTCGTTTTATTGATTTTGAACTTCTCCACCGCGGCCTCGTTGGTTTTGTAGAGATTGAGTCGACCGTAAATTGAGCGTTTTGGTTCCTTTTGCTTCTTTTTCTTTTTTGCTTTTGATTCGCGTTTTGTGGCGTTGCAGCTTTCTGAAGATGGATTTCAATTTGATCTGAACGTTAATTTCTACTTTGGAGTCTAATTAAAGCTTAGACTGGTTAGGACAACAAGTTAATGATAGATTGCTCACTTTGCTGAACCCCATCAAATTGAAACCCGACCTGAGTTTTGAAGTACTGCTGTATGATTTCCATCTTCTTTTCGTGAGGTTCTGGCTCTCTGTACGCCGTTTCGATCAGCTGGCCTCGATGAAGCTTTCTTTTTCAAGCATTTTCAGCCAGTTTCTTAGCAGCTCTTGATCTTCTTCAGAGATCTCCATGCACGAGTATTTAGATGTGACGTCGTACTCCCACAATTTCGGCACTGTCCAGTTTTCTTCGCTATTTCGGAAGTACTTCTTCAAGTAGGTAGCATAAACGGTAGACTCGTAGTCTATGAGATCCGGGTGGAACCTTGAAAAGTGCCGATCTCACGTATGTAGCCTTTGAGATTAGGGATGAAGTCGGCTTTGAGTCGTTTAGCTTCGTTTACTAGGCGCTGAATATTTGCTTCCGTCGTTTCCTCGCGAACAGCTTTGACAAGCTCGTTGTAAGTTGTGTCGAAGCTTCCTTGCTGCACCTCGTATTCGGAAGCCATACAGTCGAACTCCGTCTCAAACTGGCTCATTCGGTGTTCATTCGACGCAACATGGTGTGCGTGTACTTCCGCCAAGCCGCTCAGAAACGCTTGAATCGTTTGAAACTGAGCTTCTTTGGAGGTTAAAAAGTTGGACATGTGCTCGCGCAGGTGTTCCATACGATCTTCGAAACCCTCGATGATTATGTACAAAACAGGACAGAACTCTATTAAAAGGATCATTATAACTTATTATTAATAAGTCATATCAAAATTAATCCCGATTAAGAGTAATTTTTCATAAATAACTACGCAAATCGTAAGCCTCTTACAACATGTTGCGGAAAATTTGACGTGCCCCTATACGATTTTTTCAAGCTAAATTTTGATCCGCTCCTTCATCGACTGTTTTGAAAACCTCAGGACTCGCCTTGAGAACTTCCAGCTTCTCCTTGAGTTCACGGAAATTCTGCTCAAGATAGCTTTCGCAATCTTGATAGCAGTCTTGCATCTTTTGCGCAGTATTTTGATAGAGTTTTTCCAATTTTCGTTCATTTTCATGAAGCTCGTGGCAGCACGTGAGCACCATTTCTGTTGTAAGCTCTCCTGGGGAGAAGCTTTTTATTTTCTCGAAGATCTTGCCTCGTTGAATGATGTACTCGCGCTGGGCAGACTCGCATTCTGCGATGTACTCGTCGTACTCCTTCGGCGATCGCGTCGAGTCTGACTGGATGTATTTTCGGAAGGCATCGATTTCTTTTTTTATCTGAAGAAATATGGTTTGATTCGTAGAAATGAGTAAAAGTGCTGACTAAAAATCTTACTTTTATCCGTTTGATATTCGAAAATCCGGCAAGAATGTAATTTTTACATCGCTAAAGCTACTTACATGAACATTGTGCCACTGTCCTTTCTGCTTCACAAAATCTCGACGAATGTTGAGCTGGAGCCAAAGAACCTCATTCATGATGGTATTTTTGAGGAGGAGGAAAGCCTTGCGATTCTTGATGGTTGATTTGTTCATCTTCAGAATCTCCAGTTGCAGCAGGTTCTGATTCTCAACCGAACTCTAGAATATGATATTTTTCTTTGCCAAATCAGCGAATTTTACCTGATATGTGTCTTCTTTCAACGGTGCCCAAAATTTCTGAAATGACTTCGACCGGACCTCCTCCACCTCGTTCAGTTGAGTTTCTAAGACGTCGATCTTTTTAAAAATGTCCTCTTTGGTGGCGGTAATCTCCTCCCAGACCTCGTCGATGTCCTCGAACTTGACGGTTGGAAGAAATCCGGAGTCCATAAACCGCGACCAAAGCTTTTTCAACGTGCCTTGACCGGCGGCAACCTGCTCCTGGAAGGCGAGTGTGAATGTTCGCACGTCGCCTGCTGCTTTCTCCTCCACCTTCGCCATGGACTCGCGGATCGAAGCCAGGAGAGCATCGTAGCGAGCTTTCTTCTTCGCTTGGAGACGTCTCAAGGCTGAGGTGTTGTCGCCAGTTGCCTGGACGGTGTCGGGGAGGTTGAACGTTTCCTCTTTTTCATCCCTGAAAATTTTCTTTACTAAAGCGGGTGTTGGTTCGAACCGAAAAAAGAGCGACAGATATCTCGAATTTCCTCGATAAATTTTTTCTTGAATCTGATTGGTCTACAGGCCGAGCGCAGACATTTGATTGGTGAAAAATTAAACAGAAATTTTGGTCAAAATTATCGCATTTTTGGCGAAAAATTTGTGACAAAATATCAATTGTTCGGATATAAGATCAAAATCTGAGTCAGAATTTCTGACAGTTCTGTAATCCCCGATAATCTTCCCGCGTGGGAAAATTATGTCTGCAATCCGAAACGTGGAAAGTTAGTTAAACGTATTCCTTAAATTTTTTATGCACATTTTTATCTAATTTCGCGTGAAATTTTCAGCGAAAAAATATCTATATGCTGTAACTAATTCTTCCGTAGGAGCGCAAAACACGAAAACCTTATCAGTCTTAGACGTCTTCATTTTCCCGTTCCAGTTTTTTCTTTTCCGGTCGAAGAAAATTTATGAATGACACCTCCTCTAAGATAAGACTTGGAAATCACTTTGTTTCTGACAACAGAACTGTTCCACGAACAAATCAAAATAATAAAAAAACGTGGAATTTAAATGGAATAAATTTCTTACCCTGAGATCATCTTTGATAAACAGAACTAACTGTAAGCTCGCGATTCCGCGTAAACAACGACGCGTGTTCTAGAAACAATAAAATTTTGCGTGAATTTTCAACAACTCGATCTTGAATAACAGGTCTGAAAATGCGCCCCAGAATCCCGTAAGCCTCAAATTAAGGTGCCCTCAGTATTGTCAAGCCGGAAGCAAATTGAACTGTTCATAACTTAGATAGATAAAGTACTAATTTGACAAATTGTCATGCCGATCCAGGTTTCATGAAACACTACGCTTTATTAAAGTTACAGTCTTTCGAGTATAGAATTAGAAAGTTCGCAAAAAACGGCCGTCATATTATAATTTTATTTCAGCGAAGAAAAACGCAAGTCTACTAAAGGCGAGGCACGTTTTACAAGATTATACAAAATGCACTTGGAGCATTTTTTTCTATTCGTCTCGGTAGTACCGCAAAGATACCTCTAAGAATCGTCTTATCTGAACTCAACTTGGTCTTCTATGAACCGTTTCACTGTAGTTAACTTCCGAGTGTTACGGTAAACGTCAGAAACTGAGGTGTTCAACAAAAACTGCCATTACATTCTCCAGATAAAAAATGAAAACGACGCTTCAAATGAGCACTTCACGTTTTTCAAGAATTTTATCTTTTAGAAAAAACACATCTGTATTTTTCCATTCCTATTTGCTTTTAAAACTTATCGAATGTGTTTTCCAGTTAGATTCAAGACTCTGCATCTTCTTCTATCATCTTCATAGCTTCTTCAGATTCAGTATTATTGTAATAATTACGGATCTATGCTTTTCTCAAACAAGATAAAAGTTTTCTCCAAAAATTTAGAGGGAGCCTTAAAATTCTAAAGGAGAATTTCTGAAGCAAAAAGACGCCGGGATGAAAAACTTATGACACCTGGTCCATACAATGATTCTTCATGAGATCAGATTCAAATCAAATTTCCATTTCGACTTCGAAAACTATAAATTTCTTCGCCACACGTGCGATAGATGGCGTAGTTTATGCGCGGAGTACGCCGCGCGCGCTCGCACCGGGCGGTATAAAAGTAGGAATTTTTCAGTACAGTGAGCGAAAAAAAGAGAAAAAGTTCAAAAAATTGAAACAAGATGAAGTTGGCGCATAATCTTCAGATTCCAAATTACACAGGAGGCTACATGATGTCTAGATTCAATATTAGTATTTCGGCGAATATGCAGAATGCTCTTGAAACAGCTCGACTTTTTAGACCAGGTACTTTACTTTTTTCAGAGAAATAGTTCTCATAATGAAAAATAGACTTCGACGCTGCTATTGACGGCGCTTACGGATGCTTTTGCAATTTTGCATATGGAAACAAACCTTACGACCAGTCTGCTCTTGGAAATACTCCGATTGACGAGATCGACGCAAGCTGCAAGCATTTGAAGGACTGTTTACAGTGTGCAAAAGCTCAGTTTGGCGATAGCTGTACAACTGAGCAGACCTTTTTTACTCGGGAAACGGATTCTTGTTTAAATCAAGCTGGAACTTGTGAGCGTGCCATTTGTGAGTGCCACATGCAATTTGGGCGAAACCAAGCAGATGCTCATTTGAATACTGGAGGCCATGATCAAGCTGCGCTTTGGGGAGACATGACTGACGGAAGTTTCATCAATTACAGAAGCAATGTTTGCCGTATGATTTTCCTACTGTTTTCAATTTTCAAATTCTTCTTCAGCAAGTTTGTGTCCAGCAGGCAAAATCAAGCTAACAACGAACGATGCTACCGATTTGATTCTTGAGGCTACTGGGATTTTCAAAGAACAACGACTCTTCACTGATTCTTTTCATGATGTCTACTTTGACAATGGAAAATGGGTAATTTCAAAAAATATGAATATTCTAGCTGAGTCCGCTGACAGTCCAAACTGTCCCGATGGAGTCTCTCAGTGGTTCTCTGAAAGCGGCAGTCTTTTGCCGAGTTTTTCGGTATCTAAACCAGGCAGCGGGTCAACAGCAGGAGAAGTCAAGTGCTGCTTAAATCCAATAGGAAAATGGTCGACTGATAAAAAATAATTACCCAATTATCTTTTGGGCGCTTAGGTCAACCTAAATACAGGCCCGTTTCATATCTACAATGATAGCAAAAAAGAATGCTGCAGTGATGGAACAGTCAAGCCGATTGGACTCTGTTAATTCTGTAAATACTTCCTGCAATTTGACTAAATTTGTACATATCATATTCGACTTTTGATTGAGACTTCTTAAGGCCTCAAAGAAGAGATCAATTTTTGACAGATATTATATATTTTCAAAATATTTCTGATTGTGATTTTTGATTGACGCCCCAGCAGAAATGGTGTCACTTTTATTGTCAAAAGTTTATTGATTGACGTAAATTCGATTAAAAAATCCACCTGGCTTGGGTTATTTGGACTCTATGATGTCTTCTAATTATCCGATTAATTGTCTGAAACATGCTCCAGAAAAGTTCATTGATTGATGTTTTTTTACTTCTTGAAATTTAAAAAGTGGATTTGATAAAGTTCTCTTCCTTGATTTCAAGTTTGTGAAATTATAATTCTTCAGCTGATTTTCGAGATGATCTGCATTGAAGCTGGACACGCGCTTGCTTCCGCCATCGGAGGTGCTACATCCGCCGTTAAAAAACAAAAATAGAAACAAGATTTTATTTTTAGAACTATCCACTTCCTGAGGTATGTGACGCGTCTTTTTTGATAGCTTTTAACCGTAATGTGTCAAATCGAAAGTGATCTCGTTCAAGGGTTCATTTCATAAGAAAATGGTCAGCAGGTGAACGAAAAATGCTCACTTTTACATCTTCATACGTGGCCTGTGAAAGTCGAAAAATTTTTGACCTACGTAAGAGTGTTTCTGACTTGAAAAATGGGAATTCGGTTAGAACTCGGATTCTGTAAGTTAAGCCCTTGTAAAAATGAAGATAGAGATTTGAGATCTCACATTGCTCATTCTTTTGGAAAAAATTGAAGGGGAATTCCTAGTATTTCTCTACTTCTTTGCCAGCTTTCTTACCAAATTAAACGACGTCAAACTTGCCCTACAAATTCATTAGCCCTTCAAATATCGTTTCATTCTTTCTCTCGGCCTAAACCTATTTCAACTAGGCGCGCTCTTCGAATCCTCGGGCGTATGGTTACTCAACTTGACCGAACCAGCGCTATTTGAACAAGTTATTTATCAAAAAATCTGTTTCATTCCTTAATGCCACCCGTTTCCCAACCCCTTTCCATAAAGAGGGATCAATTTACAAGAGAGAACTAACGACCTGTGAAAAAGACAGAAGCAAGACCGCACGGCGGCGCAAGAATAAAGAGATTCAAGAAGAAATTCGTCGTTAAAGAAGAAGAATCATGGCAGAATTCTGAGAAGCATCGAAATTGCTCCGCAGAGATTTTTACGAAAAGTGCGCTACCTAGTCGAGCAAAATCCTCCTATCCCAACACGCCTCAAATAGATACATGCCGACAATACTCGTCTGTAGATGAAATTCTTATTCATATTCTTCGGCTTGGCGGATTTTATACAAGCAGAGAAAACGACAGTAGATATTATTGTTACAGTGCCTTTCAATCGAACCGACACTTTTGGCGAGACATATCCATTCAGCAGGTATTTTTCGAAATTTAATGAGTTAAAAATGACTGATATAGAAAGTACTGTAGCTAGATTTTTCCTAATTGTAGACTCTTCTGTAGTTCTTATCAATAGGACAGTAGCTATAAATGAAGTGTTATTTATGCCCTGAGCTATCTTTAGTTTCACGCCATAAATTTTGGGCACAATGTTAGGTACATTGGGCACACGCCCTGACGTCATCGCCTTTTCACATGATAGGCCGAGAATGTGTCGAGCGTCAATAGACGGGAGTGCCCCATTAGATCCAAGGTTCAAGCATCTTCTTAGGGATTATGTCGAGCCAGCGCTGACCTGGATGAACAACAAGATCAGCACACAGCAAGAAGAAGTCGAGTTCAACCTGACGTACAAGGACAGCAAGTGCAGCAAAGATGGAGTGGCCCTTTTCTGGGGCGATGAATTCAAACCGCCGCGACAAAACCCACTCGCTTTTATCGGACCAGTTTGCGAAGATGCTGCAGTTCAGGCTGCTCTCAGTGGAAAGCTCTTCCAATTTCCGGTAAGAAAACAAAGGGCTACAACTGATAACAAAACTCTTAGATAATGACCCCTGGATACTTCGGTGCAAACAGCTTGCGACACAAAGAACAGTTCCCAACGCTTGTGCGAACACTGCCTGGTTTTTTAGAAGTTGCGCTTTTTATTCGAAAGCTTTTTGAAACACTAGGTAATGGAATTCTCTCTAGCCTATTTCTTATTCGACTAGGTTACGTTCAAAATGGTTGTCGACAGAAAATCAACCTTGTCTACGAATACGATCAAACAAACTTCGACTCCATGGTCAAATTCCGCGAGCAGCTTATCCACGCCGTCAATTTCGCCTTCCAAGAATACAACGTCGTTTTTGACGAGTTTATCGAGATTGAAATGAGCAAAATTGAAAATGATGACGATCGACTGATGTTTGAATACACGCTGAGCAAAAAGGTTGAAAACATAATCTCAGGTAACACGCATGAGAAAGGAACTTGAATTGCCCTCTTCAGATGATGGGCGGCCCGTTTCGACGATTATAATCGGCCACTACGATCTCGCCGAGGATATTCTTCGAGAAGCAAAATATCAAGGAAAATTAAATCGCGAAATATACGATTGGTTTCTTATAGGAAAGGGTGCCAATAGATCACTCAAGTTTTATCAGGTGTTTTTGACGTCTATAACGATAATGTGCTTTGGAAACCCAACGGAAAGACCTTCACAGCGCCTCGACGTACTTGTCCCGTCACTGGCTTTATGACCGTAATATTTCGAAATACGATGATGACTTCGAAGAAGAAATTGAACTGGTTTCCCATCTCAATGTTATCACGCAGTACCAAGATGATAGATACGCGGACGAAGATCAATCTCAAGACTATGCGAATTTTACTGAGTTTGTTCTTGAAGAATACGAGAAGAACAATGTTGAATCTCCTCTTGAAGTAAGTAATGCACGATCTATCGCCTCATACTTCCCTCTATTCTTACCTGCTGGAGGAACGCTTTTTCTGAAACTACTAACTTGATCGATGACTTACGCACCTTTCAGGAACCCGGGACGTTCCCACGTGCGTTTGCTGACACGCTTTACGTCTTCTATATACTGTGGCGCGATTTCCACCAGAACAAAGCTCGTTATGAATACCAGGACGCAGTGCCTCTCATTAATCAACTCAGGTAAAAGGTCGTCACTGTCAATTCCATGATCGACGTCTTCCTTTTTTAGCTGTTTTTTAAAATGATTCTAGGCACGGCTTTATTTCGAATGCTTTTGGCGAAGTGATGGCATTTGATGAAAACTTGGAGCTTTTTGGGAAATACCAAGTATTGCAATTCAAGGAAAAAGTGCTCAAATGGAAGGTTTGTGCTTTCATCCTTGCGCATATAATATTTTCATAGCAAACTGCTACACAAACGATGATCGGACAATGCCCTGATTGCAAAATGAGCAACGTCCAAATCAAAGACAATCATCGATATATTGAGCCACTTGATTGCGCCGGAGTCGCTTCCAACACCCCACCGATGATAATCGATAAGTACGAAGGATCGAGTACGTCGGACTTGTACGAAGTAAAATACGAACGCGAAAGCAATGAAATTAATACTGCAACTTGGGCTGGAGTCATTGGAGCCATGATTCCGACGATGGTCATCTTCATTGTCGGAAGCGTACTTTATTGGATTTATAGGTTAATTAATAAGCTAGCGTTCTTGTTGTTACATATTTTTAGGAAGAAAAAATATGCAATAGTCCTTGTCAGAAGCGTTTCAGAAAGTCGCCGTCAAAAACGCGCTAAAATGTCAAAAGAAACTTCGTCCCAAAAATCCTCTTGCAAGTCCAACATTCAGCAGCATGTCATACCAGTAATTGATCCAACGTTACAGCGAGTAGAATCAAATAGAACGTCTGAAGAGCTCCACGTTCAACTACAAGTTCAGGTAAACGGGACTAAAAGAGATTATTTCGACTATTTGCTTGGGAATTGATTTGGAGATCAAAAAAGCTGATCCTTCAGATCTCGATCACCATTTTGACAAATGACCACTATTTTGAGCGAGTTGTCAAAGATGAGTTACTGAGAAAGTATTCATCTGATTCATGGCGAAATATTTGGAAAACAATAAATATGTCAAAAATATAAGAAATTATACAGCCGATCAATTATCGACTACTCATTTTAACTCGTTCATTCATAGGACTCGGTTGAAGACATAGAAGAGATCAAACCGCCAAAACTAAATAAAGAAAGCAAAAGTATATTAAAGGTAAACAGTCAATTACAGACCATTATAAATTCTTTCAAGAAAAATATGAAATCGCTGCGATCAAAGTCAGAAGATAGCGAACTCTTCGATGAAGTCTGCCATTCGTTAACATTCGACTATCACTGATTACAGAACCATTTTGCTAACTTGTATATTTTTATTATATTCCGTGCCCAGGTTGAAATTATCAGACATATTTTTTTTATAAAAAGTTTCATATCTTTCGCTCAATAATATTTTGTCTGAAACTCCTGCTTTTCCACTGTACTTCTAAAAATTAAATGTGAATATGAAACCTTGTCACTTCAATCATTGTCACTCTTTTGAAGTCTGTCCTTCTTATTAGCAATATTATATTGCCAATATAGTTAAGAAGGTCAGTTAGTACATTTTGCCGATGAGATTATTCCCTGGAGTGGAAACCCAGCTCAAAATTAGCGGCTTATTCAGTAGATAAAGAGAGAATGGAGTTGATGAGGGAGGGGTATCTTTTTGTTCACGACTGGTGCGATATTTGGCTTGGAAGTACTGCTTGAGACTTTTCTCCTTCATTCAATTTTTTATTCATAGTTGTCATCGTCGGCATCGTTGGATTCATCATCAGCCTGATTGCTCTCGTCGTTTACGAAAGACGAAGAAAAACATGCGAATTTGCTGATGAAATGAAGAACCTTCCTGCGTCGCCTGATAAATTGTCTGTAAAAGTATGTTATGTTTCCAAGAACGGCTCGATCAAGAATCGAGCTTGTTGAATTTTAATTTGTGATCTCTGCTGTGATATATTTTTAAGTCTACTCCTCACTGTAATCTTACTGCACCAGTGACTGAACCGTTGTCGGAAGGTGGTCTTCGGAAAAGCGAATCTTTTATTCAATTATTCTACAGCCAGCTGAGAATATCTAAGATGTTTGAGTGAAGTACATCCAAACTACTAAATAAACTGTTTCAATGATTAAAAAATACATTGTTCCTCGAAGTTTAAAATTGAAGAATTAATCTCCTGTTCGAGAAACAATGGCGGCCTCTTCTCAATAATTTCCATTTCCCGTTTCTTGTCCATGAAAAGAGCTTACACCTGCCCAGTAAATTAGAACTTACGTAATGGCTTTATGTTTGACTTTTTGAATTGCGCTGAGACACATTCCAAACACAGGGGCCGTCAAAAAATTTTCGATTTTTCGGAGGCACCAAGCTGTTTTTATGGCGCTTCTTTGAGTGGGCTGTACTCAGAATCTCGAAATTTGAAATCAAAAATACTTGAAAATGGAAAACAACGAAGAAAATAGAGATTATGCGGGCATTTCCGAGAAGACGCGGGACATCCTCCAAAAGAGTAAGTTTTTGTTTATTTAATAAATATGCACCGTTGAAACTGTAGAAAGCAAGTTTTCATTTTACAGAAATGAGAAAAGAAGTCAAAGGCTTGAAATCCATTCCATGGCTAACTGGGCTCGGCAACCTGTGTAAAAACCTGTGTCAGGTCTAGATAATCTCTAATGAAAAGCGGCTTTTCATTAGAGATCTTTCAGACCCTGACTCAGGTTTTCTACACAGATTGCCGAGCCCAGATAGCAAAAATCGGGGTGGAATCCCATAAGCTCGAGCAAATATTTTCCGCGGGTGTGACATTCAACTTTGACCGTTACTTCTCCAGTTGTGCCAGCATCGGAGGAGAAAATTAAAGTCCGTGCTAGATTTCACAATATCAGAACTTTCACTACTAGTAGAGGAAATATTCGTCCTAAACTTGCTTTCTGAACTTTTTAATAAAAGTGCCTGAAAGAAAGATTTTCGGAGAATACTTGGTCAGAAAGTTTTTTGAAGCAAAACTTATCACGCGTTTAGTGAAATTGCTTACGTTTACTAGCAATGCTCATTGCAACCAAGACTTTTCCTGAAAGAGAGAAAAACGGTTAGTTAGGGTTGACGAGCGGTTACGCGGCGATTCATTGGCTCAATGAATCTTCGTCTACCGTTAGAGACATTTGAAGCTGGGATCGCCCCTTTTCTTTCAAATATCTAAAAAGGCCGAAGCGGATTTTTTTTTATTTTTGTTTTATCCTGCTCGTAATTTCCAGCGCGTCCTCATTCAAAATCAACAGAAATAGGCATGTCCTGATTTCTAGTTGATGATGAAGTTGGTTCTTCAGACTTTGAGGTAAAATTTTGAGTCTGAAAGTCAAAATACCGCTGCGAAATTACGAATTAAAATTGACAGGACAGGGAACTCAAACCTTTATCTATCGGGCAGTCAGTTATTTGAGGATAGCCACTGTCGGATAAATGGAATTGTGAGAGCTTGCATTTGAATTGAACTTGTTCATACATTGCTAGAAAATAGAAGTGAAAGGGACAATGAAAAAACTACCGTGAGGGAAAGTGAATCTTATGACTTTTTGATGATCGACAGCCAGTGAAAATGAAGCTGGAATTGATCGCCCTTTTTCGTAAAGATCAAGCTCTCTGAAAAGAGGAGATCTAGCTGGTTTTGCTGCCCATTCCTAAAATCATTCATTTGAGCTTTTTTTTATCTTCGTTTCACAAACATCGAGCGAGAACTGATCATCTTCTTGTAAAAGCGACTCTGCGCGTCTTTTAGGAAAGTGGGACTCGTAGAATTGCCAGGGAACTGATTTGAAGAATGGCTTTGTTTTCAGCGTCTTTTTTATTCGTCGACTTGTTACGATATCGACCAAGTGGTCGGCTTCGTTGATTGTCGCGATGTTCCAGGACGAATTTCCTCCGTTTTTGAAATCGGTGGTGAAGTCATAACCTTTTCAGGATTGAAATTGCCATGAATAAATTGAGCGCGAAGTTCGTATTTCCAATCCGATCCTGGAAAGTACTTTTCGTGGTATTTGCAAACGCCTCGCACAACTTTACACTGAATATCGTGTTCTGAATCTGGGTAATCAGCCAATTCCGGAGACACAAAATGCCTCGGCAAATATCAAATATTTGGCAGATTTTGACCTGAACCAAACACACTCGTTTGAATAAAATCGCATCCGCGTCGGGATCGTTTATTTCTGGGCAGCCGATTTTCTGGCAAACTTCTGACAAGTCGTGGTGCATAAAATAGTCGAAGATAGTCTTCAAAATGTCATCTTTTGTGGAGTTAGGAGCGATGACGAAAGATTTTGCATCAATTTTTACGTCTTCTGGTTTTACAACTTCTTTCTTTTCCTCAACTTTTGGCTCTTTTTCTTTTTCTTTTGACGCTTGCTTCGGTTTCTCCTTCGATTTTTCTTTAGGTTTATTTTCTACTGGCTCTTCAATCTTTTCTTCTTTTTCGGGGACGTCTACTTTTGGAATCTCTTTCTGGTCCTTCTTTTCGACAATATCGTCGATCATTTTTTCTTGCTCTTCAACCATTTTTGCCTTTTTTTGAGCTTCAAGAAGCTCAACAGCATGAATTTGTGAATTTCTTCTTTTGAATTGAGCAGTTATTTTGTATCTAAAAATTGTCTAATTTTTTTCCATTCATTCAAATTTACCTGAAAATCTCATCATTTTTCGGCCCCGCTGAAATTTTTAAATCACACATTGTCGAAGTAAAGAAATCCAACCGCACAGTGTTTCCTTGTATCGACAGCCCAGGTTTTGACTTATTTCCACCAGATCCTGGTGGTGATGTAAGAGCCGGGCATATTTTGAGTTTCTTCGGATTCTCCAGCTCTATTAATATTTTGTCTCCCTCCAAAACATCGACGTTTATCTCTCTTTATTGAAGATTTCGTACACTTTCAAAGGCCTATTGACCGCTCACGTGAACTTGGCGGAGAAGTCCTTTCTTTTTCGAGTTTACAAAACTCCTGGCGGCGAAAATCCTTTCCTTTCGGGGTGGCTTTTGGGCACAACAGCGTGAGAAAATGAGTGAGCGGAGAGTGCTAGCTGCCGAGAGAATGCTTCTTCCTGAAGATTTTCTCCTCCTTTACTGCTTATGTACTTCTTCCAATGTTTGTCGACAGAAAAGTGAGTAAATTGAAGAATATGAGTCTCGGTATTTATCAATAGATTTCTAAAATCTTAAAAAGTCAGTGTCATGTCAATCATTAATTACCAGGTACTTTTGAGCTTGATTGAAGAGTATTCGCTAGTTCGGGATCATAAAAACTCCAACTTCCATCGTCGATTTTGACAAGTGCCCAGCTTGACTCCTGAGATTGTTGCTGGCCATAGTTGATTGTGTATTTAGTCAGACTGAAGATTCTATTGAAATCGAAATCATAGAAGACTCACCCCTTGATAACATGGAAATCGATTCCAATCTCATTGATTATACTTGTAAACAAGACCGTTCTTGAATACTTTGCATCCATTTTCTTGAAAAACTTGTTCCACTTGAAAACTTCTTCAGGCGCAATCGTCGCACTCAGATCAAAGGCCATTTTTGCTATTTCAGTGATGGTTACTGCATCGAAATCATCACATGGCAAAAGGCCCATTTGATGAAGCAGTTCATTCAACAAGTCTTTTTTGATGAAGATTGAAAGCTTTGAAACTTCTATCCATTCGTCTGTCTTACATAGAGTCGGATGGTGGGCGAATACTTGAATCATTAATTTTCCGGGAATTTTTCCAAGAACATGGAGGCCAATGTTTGCATCTTCGTCTAGATCTCCGTCAATGTCGTCCACATCGTTTCGGATGTCTACCATTTTCTCATCATAAACATATTTAAATTGAGCCTTAATTTTTTCAATAAAAGAAAGGTACTTGCGCGCACCTGTTTAGCTCCTCGTCGATGCATGGCGAGATCGACCCTTATCGTCTCCCAGACATTCATATAGATAATTTTATCTGGCTTGTCTTCGTCTTCGGATACAGTCATTGTGCACACGTGGATAAAGCTCTCTTGGTTTCAATCTGTTCTGTCTCTTATCGACACCGGAAATATAACGACAAAAGTTGACGAAAAGGGTAGAGTCAGTTGGTCAAGCGAGTGGATCCTCGATCTACTGCAGTGGGTCCAAGGGACGCGTCATTGACGCCTCAGCCACGTTTATAGTTCTGGCCATGCAGACTAAAAGCTTTCATAAATCAACTTGCGAAAGTGACTCTGAAGAACTACTTCGTGAAACATAAACTTCATCGCGCTTATTTTAACGTTTTATTGTAGTGTCTGAAGCTGATAAGAAAAAGTCGGAAGAAGATCAAAGCAGCACAGCAAACAAAATAGAAAAAATTTCTCCAGCGCAACAAATCGCTGAGAACGAATGCCAACCGGAACCATCCGAGCTTTCGTCAATAGATCCAGACGATACCCTCAATGCCGTGTTCTCTCAGGTACTCGCTGTGTTTAGTTAAGCTGCCATTGATATCCATTTCATGGCGCACTAGTGAAACCAATAATTTTCAAAAAATATGAAGGCGCAGAACATTTTGAACGAGAATGCGAATGGATCAGAGTACAATTGGAAGCTAAACAGGCTGCTGAACGACTCGCCAGGGGGCAGATTTGATGATGAAAGTAGAATTGGCTCTGTTTTGGATGGACTGAGTCAGGTTCAGAGCGATTTAGGTGAGAGAAAACGCCTCTTTTAGTGGGAGAAAAAGCTTTTTGTAGTGAACATTGACGACTCTGTTTCTCAAGTTGCTTCTCGAGAGCAATCGCGCCCTGCAAAACAAGCAACTCCAAGAGTGCTCAACGAGCTACAATCAAACTTCACAGCCGACACAGGTGCGCTCTTAGCTATCAACCCAGAGTCCATCGTCATCAAGCCTCCAAAATCGTCGATTATGCCGCAGAGCTTGGCCAGTTTGAATACCGTCAGGATGGGTTTCGATTTAAGTTTATCAATCATATTTATGCTTTGTCTTGAATGACAGAGTCGATATAGTATCTTGGCATGGGCTGTCGATATAATAATCGATTTGATTACGGGCCGCCCATAAAAAGATCCTATCGATGTTTACACTTTCGACACTCTAAATAAGAACTGACGACATTGCAGCTGAGTACAAAAAGATGCAACAACGGCTCAATAACGAGAAGAGACTCGCCGGCATTCCTGTCAGAGAATTTGACGAAGTAAGCATCGATTCCGACCTCAATTCGGTGCAGACGGAGATGGTTCATCAGAAGTTTATGGAGCTTTTACGGAGACCTGGGGGTACTCTGCCTACTCCAGCTGCTTCCGGAAGCAAAACTTCTTCGAGAGCCGTCAGCACAGTGAGGTCCAGACCTGTTTCATCAAAGCCATCAACAGTTCGATCTCGTCCGAGCTCTCTACCTCGTTCTAGAGCAACTTCCGGCGGTGGCCGCTCTTATCGAGTAGATCCCGACATTGAAAGCGAAAAAGTCAAAGCCGAGCTAAACCTCCTTTACGTAGAGAAACGCAAAGCAGAATCCGAACTGCGCTCCATCAAAACAGAGATTGAAGAAAAGGAAATGTCTCAAAATGAGCTTGAGAGTTCAATGAAGATGGAAAATCTGGAGCTGTCGTCAAAATTGAGCACGACGCAACGCGAACTGTTCAAGACAAAGAAAGATTACAGAGAAGTGATAGAAGACTTACAGTTGGCACTTGAAGAAATGACGAGAAAGTACGAGGACTTGAGAGAAAAACGTTCCACCGTTAGTGTTAGCCGAAGCGATGCCGTTGTCAACTTGGCTACATCGAACAAAATTCAATCTCTCGAAAAGCGTATTCGAGAGCTAGAAGTCTCGGTAGAAAATGAGAGCGCAGAAAAGAGAATTCTTCAACACAAAGCGAATCAACTCGAGCATCACCATCAGCAACAATTCTCTGAGAACATTGAAGCTCATCCTGAAGTCGAAAGATTGATCATTAGCAAACGAGCTGAGTGGATTAAAGAGCATGAAATCACCATCAACTCTTTACAAAACCAACTCTCCGGTAATTTTTTCATCTCAAATTGGTATCAAGCAGTAGTTGTTAGGCGCTAGAAATCACAATGCTGAGATGCGATCCCGTCATCAAAGCGAAGTCGATAACTTGAAATCTCAATTGGAATCTGAAAGAAGCAAAAACAGTCGTCTCGTTGCAACGAACGAAGAGAATCTTCAAAAACTCGAGCAGGTTTTCGCGACGTTATATTTTTTATATCAATCTTTGATTAGGAAAATGAGATATCAAAATCTAAGGAGCGTGAATCGATGGAGAAAAAACTAAAGAAGCTCAATGAAGTTATCGTGAAAATGGAAAAAGATAATAAAAATAAGGACGAGTCGATTCGGCAGCTCTGCGCGAAATGCGATAAACTCAGTAAAGAACCAAATGCTTTAGCTAAACTAAGGTAAAAACGACCAAGTGAAAAAATACAAGATTTTCTTCTTCAGAAAGTACATTTTGAAGATTTGCCCGACAATGAACGTCAAAGAAATTGACAACATCGACAGCGCCCTGAGGATACTAGAAACAGCGATAAAAAGCTCGGCGGGGGATGAAGAAGTAAGGACGCGTAAATTCGAGCGTGAATTAATATTTAAATTTTAGACCTATAAAACAGAACTGGCGAGAAAAGACGAAGAACTTAGAAAAATTCAAAAGAACATGGCTCAGTGGAAGGTTCGACTTCTTGTTGATATAAAGCTCAGACTAACTCCTTTCAGAAAAATACCTCACGAAAACTTGCCCAAAAATTCGAAGTCGAGCTTCGAAGACTCTCCGAAAATGCATCAACCATGGCTGAAAGCGAATCTGGTTTCGCTTCAAATGTCAATTAACTCTGCTTTCCTAATGAATCTTTATTTTTTTACCTGTCAGATAATAAATTATTAGTAAACTTGACTTCCTACAGAATCTGCTATCAGTATAGCATTTTTGCATATCAAATTTATTTAAATAAAGAACTATCAATGGTTTTGCAAGAAAAAATCTCCTTTAGCTAATGGTGATTTTCATAAATTTCATGTGCAACGAATCCACCAGATATGGCTCCGATGATGAATCCGATGATGGCCATGGTGTTGAGTTTTGTCCCTAATGACTGACAGCAGCTGAAACATCCCCCTAAACAGTTTGAGCTCGTCTTTTTTCTTAGAAAAACTTGAACCTGTTTCACCGCCGTAATGATAACTCTGAAATCTCGAGGCTGGTGACGATCCCATGACTCCTTTGAATGTAAATCCAATTATGTAGATGGCCAACGGGAAACAAAGAGAACCTATCAAACCAGAAATCAGAATCCAACTGAGCATAAATCGTCCTTCCATATCTGACGGCCAGAGCTCATCTGAGTCGTCCGATAGGGACTCAAAACGCAATTTCATCGTTTTTTTTCTCTAAATAGAATATTTCTAATACAGAATTAGATTTTTCTCTTGGTTTTCTCGTTTCATTTAAATTTCTTCATAAATTTTACAGCTTTGCGTAAGACGGAGCTTTTTTGAATGAAAGGTCATCAAAAAAACAAGGTCATAAATAACAGTCTTATCTAGAAGAAATTAAGCGTTTACCCTAACATTATGAATTCTGTTGAAAATTGTCGGAAGATCGCTAAAAATTCATGAGTTGATCAAATCATCGGCCACTCGCAGGTGCCTTCAATCAATTCTAGCGCCCTTCTTATCAAAATCATCTTCGAAGCAGCTGTTTTACGTTTTATAAGATAAGGGTGGCCGAAAATCCATCAAATAACAACAACCAAAATAACCGAGAAGAAAATATCAAAAAAATGCTCCACCAAATTTTGCCTTCAGAAGAATGCAAACTCTACTTTCTCTGCTGCGCTTTGTTGCTCTTCATTGCCAATGGAGGATGGCTTTTGATGCCGCATCTTGGATTCTGCCTCGTTCTTTATGCAAGACTTGCAAGTTCAGCTCTAAACGATAACTAGAATCTTTCGAATAAAATCATATAAATATGATACCCTTTTTTCCCACATCCGCATAATTGCACTTCCATTGATTATCTACAGTAGTAGTAGTTTGAATTGACATTTATTTACTCATCAGACTTTGAAGAAGTTTCAAATGTATTTACACTATTATTTTTGCAAAGATTGCAGTTTCGCTCTTTTCAAAAGTGTTGAACTTGTACCAGCCGCGTTTATGGAAGCGAAGGGCTTTTGCTGTGTTGATTTTCAATTTGACCCGCCGTTTGAGATCAATCATTTGAGTCATGTCGCGATTGAGATTTGGCGCTAGAAAAACAGGCCAGGCGCAGCGAAGTCGATCGTCGGTATTCTTGACTCGATGATAAACCGCTAAAGTATGGAAATGGAAAATGCCTCGTGTTAATGAAAACCTTTTGCGTTTCCGTCTGAAAGATGTTCCATCAAAGTGCCGATATTGACAACAATGCAGTCTTCCATAGGCTTTACCGGGTACCAATCGCCTTTGTACTCTATTTCTAACCCATCGGCTTTGTCTTGCTTTAGAATCGTCATGAGACAGTTGTCAAAATGAGGACTCGATCCCCACATTCCAGTTGCTGTCTTCTCGTAAAACAAAGCATCGATGATGGCTCCATTTGGCTCGAAATGGTCGAGCAAAAGACCTTTGGGTAGATTGAGAACTTCTTCGCATAGCTCAAGAAGCTTTAGGCCAAGAGTGGAGGCGCTTTTTGAATAATCATTGAAGAGCACGTCGACCTCTTTTTCGTCAACTTTGATCGACTCATCATTCCTCAAAATAGTAAAGTTTGTCGACAAATTTTCACCCACAGTGAGTTTGCAAACGCGTTCTTTGCAAAAACGGTTCCTTCAGTTGCCATTTTCCCTTCGAAATTCTCGACTTTCGTCCTTTCTTCCGCTGTTGTATTGTAAAAGCTGTCAGAAAATTTTGCCAAGCGATCAGTAAGATTCTTCGGAATATCATGATTTTTGAGATAGAAAAGACCAATATCCGTGATTGCCTTCAAGAACTCGTTTTTAGTTGCTTCATCTCTCTTTTTTAAAAGCTCGAAATCAATAACCGGTATTTTAAATGTAGAATCCTCTGACATTTTGATATTATTGCTTGATGGCAATAAACTATTAATATTGCAGTATATTCAAAAAATGCGCTTCCTGTCCAAGGAGAAAAAAACATATTTGCCTTTATAAAGCGGAAACCCTTCTTCAGGCATATTTGACTCTTCTTTGATTTTGAGTGAAAAAAGTTCGTTGAACACTGTTTCTAAAATGATTGCTTCGCTAATAAAGATAAATGAGATAATCTGAGAAAGTAATTATTTTTAATAATAATTCATTATTTATTGCTCAAGCTCTCTGATTTTGTATATAAACTTTGTTTGACAATACTTTATAGTCTATTGACTATTCTTTACTCTGTCTTTTCATTTCGCAAGTTTGAATACCCTTTGGATTGGCTTCGATTTATTAATTATATTTATACTTTGTACCGAATCACAGTAATCCTGTGCTCTCCCCCCCAAAGAAAAAACTCGAAGGTTGTCAAAACTTTTGACAACCTTTGACTCAAAAGGGTATTCTAAAAGTTTGCCAAAATCGACTTTTACGCCCTAAAGCAATTTTTTTTGGTATTGCAAGTACCAATTTTTTGAGTCAAATGATTACGATGTTCAATTTCCATTTTAATTAGTTGTTCAATTCAATTAGTTGTGGCAGAGCTTGTGACATTCAAAAAGGAACGAAAATGGAGCTGAAACCGCCTAAGTGTCAGTACGGGAGTTGTGACAAGAAAAACTACCACTCTTTCTCAGAGAGGTTTTCTCTTTTAGAGATCACTCTCGATGCTTTTCGGCGAAGAAAAAAAGAAAATCAAAGAAGCGATTTTGCAAAAGAGAATTCAGGTAATTTAAATTTCAATCATGAGGATAAGAGTATTATTTCATGAAGTGTCTTGATTGCGACTGCGTTGGGTTTTTGAGAAAAAAGGGAAGAAAAGTTTACTTGCTTCCCGAGGAAGTTCTGACGACCCGAAGCATTCATACCCAAGAATATCATATTCGAAAATTGAAAAAGAAAAAGACATGGAAGAAAAAGGTGACGGCGAAAATGAGCCTGGCAAAGCACGGAAACGCTACGGATCCCCAGCTTTACACTTATCTTTCGCTTGGCTCGCTGTTCTGGATAACTGTGATGCTCATAGGTTAGTTTTTTATTTGTTGCATTCTTAACTTGAGTCTCAGCGAATGTGCATTCTTTGGAGAAATCCCGCGCCTCGACCACTTTTCTGACTTCGACCTGCCATCGAAACTACAAGAAATGCGTTAAAATAGCAGAAATGGACGTATGCGGGCATTTGTTAAAGCAATGTTTCGAAACCAAAGAATTCATCGTGCCTGAACCAGTTTCAAAAATTGCAGGAAAAGAAAAGCACACTCAGGAATTCTCCAGTGAAGAAAACGAAGTAAACCTGCTCCGCTGTCAGAAGAAACAGTTTTACGACCAAAAATTTGCCGCCATTTTTGCTCGAAAACGCTTGTTTTGCAATCAACAAGGACGAACTCATTCTCTCCCTGTGAGTCTTTGTGTTTTCAATTGACAAGAACGTCTGATTCCGCGGGAGAAGTGTGCCCAACGCAGAAATATTGCCAGAATGGTTGTCCTTGTCCGTTTTATAAGTGCGAAAAACTCGACTCGCGGCAAAAATTGATTCCTGTTTTTGATCTTCAAGCCAACTTTACGGCTGCCGGCGGATTTGCCTGCGCGGGGGTTTGACCTGGCGGCGGATTTGCCTGAGCGGGGGTTTGACCTGCCAGGTAAATCCGACGCTCTGGTCAAACCCCCATTCAGGCAAAAGCGCCGTTTTTGGATGGAAAAATGTGACTTTCCAAATTGAAAATTATTCATTTATTATTAATTAAAATTTACTTTAATCTTATCATGCGAGAATGTTTAACCTTTTTGCCACGGTCACTAGGAGAATTTTCTCCTAGCTCGTATTTTTGCGAACTAGAAGAATTTTCTTCTAGTAGTAGTTCAAGAATTTGCAAGCAAGGAGAAATTTTTAAACTCTAGAAAATTCCACTTCCGGTCGACGACGGAAGTTGACGAAATTAAGGTTGGAGGGTGAAGTGTGACATATCAAATTGATGCACAGACGATTTCCTTTCATTTGAGAAAAGAATCAACACCACCGGGGATCAAACCAAACGGATAAAACAGAAAAAATTTCAATTTATGCCTTTTGTTCATAATTTTACCGGTCGGTTCGACCACGTTTGGGACTGTTTCTTCTGACATATTGATTATAGGATGGCTCAAAATCTTCTGGGCATCAATTTGATAGGTCACACTTTACCATAACTCCTAACTTTCTTCAACATCCGGCTATAGAATCGACCGGAAGTGGAGTTTTCTAGAATTTTATACCGTCAAAGTTCGTAAAAGTTTCTAAAAAGGTATCGCGTATGGGGGTCTATAAGGCTGAATTGAGCTGGACAACTCCATTAACCTTAAAAAAAAGCACGTCTTAGGGTTACCGAAGCCTAGCCTATCCCCCCTTGTGTGAGTTTGTTCTGTCATTTTCCGTAAATGAAACTTTGACCAAACGGGGATTTGACCTAGCGTCAGATTAGCCTGACGGGGGTTTGACCTGAGCGTCGGATTTACCTGGCAGGTCAAACCCCCGTTCAGGCAAATCCGACGCCAGGTCAAACCCCCGCTCAGGCAAAACCCCCGGCAGCCCAACTTTACAGATACCATGAAAACGTATCCAAAAGAAGACATTGAAAAGATAACTCAACGATGGGTTGAAAGAGCAAATAAAATACCAAAATATCGAAAATTTATTCTCTCCGATTTATCTGGAAACGATCGACAAGTCAATGTCGAAGACTATTTTTGCCCTATGAAAGTTTTTGCCGATTCAGCTTTTTTAATTAAAATCCATCAAAAACAAAAAAGTCTACTGGAGCTACTTTTCTTAATGGCGAACACTACTTGGTCGATGCAATTGGCAACTTGCTCAAAATAAAGGAAAACAATGATGATACGACTTTTATCCCAAATCGACATAGAAATTTGTAAGATTTTTCGGAAAAAGCAATTTTCAACCTTTTTTTAAATTTCTTTTCAGAGGCTTCTTTGTTTTCCATTTTGGCTCTTCCATCGGAACTCACTTTATTCAGATTCGCAACAAGGAAAAAGCTACTAAAGTGTTTCCAGCTATCGTCATTTGAGAATGGTCGAAAAAATTTCATGTCCATTAATCGATTAGTAAGTTTTATGGTAAAATTTTTGGGATGGTGTCTGGAACCGACAAAAATTTTCGACAATTTTTGCGTGGGCGCCTACTCGACTGCTGATTGGCCGGTTTGCCGAATACAGGCTTCTGATTGAATAAAAATTTCCACGCAAAATTTGTCGAAATTTTTTTGTCGGTTCCAGACACCATCCTAAATTTTTTGACCGATAAAAGCCGTCCCACCGGAAAAGATGAAAAATGCTTTTACTACGCACCTGATTACGCCCTGAACCGATTCGAAGTAGCCCAAGGTTTCATCGCCAGCAATCACTTCAACGCTAAAGTATCTTCCATCAGCTTCAAGGGAGTTTTCTATCTTATGAGTGCCAGACTCGGAGATAATTACGTCAAGTTGTCAACAACCATCGCTTTGAACAAGATCAGAAGCGACGAAGAATTGGAAAAGGGTTGGAGAAAAAATGATTTTGTTATGCCGGCAGAACTAAGAGACCTGGATTTAGTCCATGTTGTCCCTTTGGAATGAGTTTAAAATGTTCAGTTGAGTTTGATCGGACTGACGTTTAAGCTCAAGAAAGGTCGATTTGGACAGACTTTTGATGATAATTGTGACAAGAAGTGTTTCGTTGTCGAACACCCTTTATTCTGTGCTTCTGGAAGCGGAAGGAAAGTTTCTGTCTCTTGGTCAAGAGTGGATTGGTTCACTTGTCAGATACGAACAAAAATCAATTTGTTTTTCGAAGATATTTGCGGACGATCATTTCTATACAAGTCCTGATGGAATAAGAAACGACGAATGCGAGTACTTCGGCCATGCAATTGTCAACGACGATAGAGTTTACTTTCAAAATTTTGTTTTTGATGTTTTGTTCGAAATCAAGTATCATTTCGGAAGGGTTATGATTCTAGTAATAAAATTCTTCAAGTATTTAAAATCAATATGAAAGAATTGATCGAAATCGAATTTGTCCAACAAAAGGCGATGGAGAAAATGCACGTGACAAGCAATCCGTATTTCGCGTTTCATGACGACGTTTTTCCTGGATTTTCGAAAAATGCTGCTTCTCAGCGAAAATTTCCTCGGACACTTGCTTCAGTTTCCCGGCCCCATCCAAAGGCAATTATTCCTTTCAGCTCTTTCTCATCGCTCGCAGAATTTAAACATATTTCGACGTTTGAGATGGACTTGAGGCGAAAAGACACTATTCAATTTCAAATTGATTTCAAGGTGCCACAATCTTATTGGTTTTTATTATCTCTTATTTTTAAGAGACTGAGAAACAATACTCGCGAAGTGAAAATTCTTGAATGT